CTCGAAATCTCGAGAAGCGCTTATCAGAACCTATCGATGTGGGGTCGGAAAATGTAGCTAATGATGAGATCTTGTGGGGGATTAAAGGGTCGAGTTTCTTGGGAAAACTTGAAAACCGTAAAATCGTCAACAACTCGACTCTACTATTAAGGAAAATGCGATAACCTTTTTCATTTTCTATCATTTTTCATCAGCTTACCCATTTCTTCGATGAGTCGATACTGTTTTCGGAATTCCTTTGACCCATGAACTAAAGCAACTTTGATTGATCTTGAGAAAGAGTAAGCTTGCGTTAATGATCAAAGGGACGCTTATTTGTTCACTTGAATCAAGAGAAATTCTCAATATCTCTCATAATCTTTGATCAAAGATTTTACTTTTTAACTCAAACCTTTATTGTGAAGAAGATTCGTCTTGTATGTGCAACAAACAGTCAAATCTTGTAGCTTTCGCTTGAGCATCCTGAATATGCAAAGATTTGTTGAGAAGACTTGAACTGAGAGCTCAATAACTAATTTAACCAATTCAAGGATCGTTTTTTTGAGGTTTGGCAGATTTCTGGAACAGATTTGACTCTTGAGGAGAAAGGGAAATGTTATGCTTGTAGGAAATGTAGGAAATGCTATGTAGGAAATGCTCAACACCGTTTCAATCAGAAAATACTTTAGGAAAAGTGGATGACAATGGGAGAAATATAGGTGAAAAAGAAAATCGACGGAATTCCCACAATCTTGGACCATCGAAATCACATGTGGAACAGATTTGACGGGCGGAAAAGTGAAAGAGAAGGTTGACCATTGCACAAATGAAATCAACATCGACTTTTGCGCAAATTATCCCCCTCCTTTTCCTTTCGATGTTCAAAGTAAGAGAATTTCGTTTGCTAACATAAAATTAAACTTTAGAAGAACAGGAAATTTTGAAGCTTTTTAAATCAAAATCTTTTTGGATCAAAATCTTTTGGAATTAAAATCTTTTTAAATCAAAATCTTTTTGAATTTTGAAAGCTCAAGAAGTTGCAGATAGGTGTTCGCGGATTGAAAAAAGAGAAAAGAAAGAAAAGAAAAGAGAATCGAGAGCTCTTCTAGGCAAATTTATGATCGCTGAGTGGCCCAAGGGAGATGAGAATTGAGTGAGATCATTTTCAGCATATTTTTCACGTTCATCATGCTTTTTCTTTTCAAAAAAACAATTCCGATACATTTCTATAAATTTTCCATTCGATCTTCTTTGATCAGTGAGCCGTTGATCTGTTTGAGTTCAAATGGTTTTCGTTGAAGGATCTGACGGGTAAATCATACCGTCAAAATCTAGGCTGACCGGATAAATGGAGAGAAATATTTTGGATAAACAGATCTCTCGCCCGGGAACTCTCAAGAACTTCTTTCGGCTTCTTGAGATGTTTGAAATGAAAGAAAAAACTGGAAAGGGAAATCCCAATGAATCCACTCCATATTTTTTCGATTTCAAACTCTGTGGGCCAACGTTTTTTCGTCGTTTTTTTTTTACAGCCAGCTCTTTGTTCATTTGAGAGCCGAGTGGTCGATGAACAAAAAGAATTTGGAAATTTGAAGCCAAATTATGAAATGGTTTTTTTTGAAAGAAAAAAGAAAAAATGAGTATGAAGTGAGGTGTGACGCTGGAAAGGGCAACGAGTTAAAGGAACAGTTGGCCGTCTTAGACAGAAAAGAAAGACAAAAGAATGCGATTCCTAAAAATTAAGGAAGAAAAAAAACACGAAACTGCTGGCCGCTTAGAAGAAAGATCAGTGAAAGGAACGGGATTTTGACGTGTCAGTCGATGCCTGTCATCCCAAAGGTTCTCCGACTCTTGGTTTTGACAAAAAAACAAAAAGTTTGCCTTTATTTGAAGACATTGAACTGTGAAGGAAATTTACTGGCAATCATTTCCAACACTTAACAAGAATCTATTCGAGTATGATGCTATTGCTTATCCTCAATAATAGGTCAAATTTCCACCGGCAATCATTTTGGTGTCATTTTGTTGCACTTATTGAGATCTACAAAATGACACCAAAATCATAAAGATTGGTCAACTTAGAAGAAAGTTATAGCGAGTTGCGCAAAAAAAAATGCGGAAATTAGCCTATCCCCAAATCTCCATCGGCAATCATTTCCCGAGAAAACATTTTTGAGTCGCGCACTAAAATGCACTAAATACCGTAATCCGCCTTTTTGCGCAAAAATCTTTTTTTTTTTTTTTGTAACTTTAGCTATTTTTATTCTTTTTTTTTTTGTTCTATTGATTCTATTGATAAATAAAGTTGAACTAATTGATCTAAACTAATCAAAACACTAATTGCTTTAAAAACAATGTAAAAAGCAAAACTACGAGTAGAAATTGCGCAAAAGTAAGAAAAAAAAATAGCTAGTTGCAAAAAAAAAATTATTTTGCGCAAAAAGGCAGATTACGGTATTTAGTGCATTTTAGTGCGCCATCCAAAAATGTTTTCTCGGAAAATGATTGCCAGTGGAAATTTGGGGGTAGGCTAGTTTCCGCGATTTTTTTTTGCGCAACTCGCTATAACTTTCTTCTAAGTCGACCAATCTTTATGACTTTGGTGCCATTTTGTTTCACTTATTGAGATCTACAAAATGACACCAAAATCATAAAGATTGATCCACTTAGAAGAAAGTTATGGCGAGTTGCGCAAATGACCCAGTTGCGCAAAAAAATTTGGCGCAAAGTAGCCACCTCCGTGTTTCTCTCGCTGTGGGAGAGAAACCAATCCGAATACTAGAAATCTCGCAGCTTCCACATAAACAAGCTTAGAAGAAAGTTATAGCGAGTTGCGCAAATGACCCTGTGCGCAAAAAAAAATCGCGGAAACTAGCCTACCCCGAAATGTGACCTATCATTGAGGATAAGCAATAACATGATACTTGAATAGATTCTTGTTAAGTGTTCTTGATTCTTTAATCATAGAGAAAAGAAATTGAGAATCATTTCTTTAAGAATAACAATATCTTCATCAATATATTTTTTTAGCAAAAAATTGAATCCTAAAACAGTGAATTCTCACAAAACAGTGAAAAAAATTTTAAAGGCAAATCATTAACGCCTTTCAAATTCAGATCTTTATTGAATGAGATTCACTGTTGTTGAAAAGAAATTTAGCCTTTTAAATAGTTTTCAACAAAATTCAGAATCGGTAAAGGTTACCTGAGTCGATGCCGGAGCCAAAACATGATGAAAAAGGATTAAAAGTAATTAAAAAGCTAGTTTCGATGATTGGCTTTTTAGTCGAAGAGATGAAAGATTGATTAAAAGAAGGGACCTGTATGGGGGAGAGGAGGGGCGGAGTCGAGGAAAAAGGGATCTTGAAGGACTGACGACTCTTCATGAGATCCAACAAGTGTCCAAAACTCACAAAAAGCAACTGAAACCGGGAAGTGTCCGGCTTTTTTTGTTGTCATTCCATGTCTGAGATCAGCGATCATTTAAAAAAAAATGAATCGTTTTGAGAACTTTCCCCTCATTTTCTTTGACAGAATTTCTCACTTTTATTTCTTTTTCCTTTTAGATTTGAGAACTCTCGAATTGAAAATGAAAATTTCTTATCACTAGGATGTTATAGAAAACAATAAGCTGTCTTTTCTGACCAGTCATTCAGCATTTCCGTTTTATGATGAGTAATCGGTGAAGAATACTAGATCTAGATCGATAGGTACTAGATCGATTGAGGAGACTTTCAGTCATTTTTTAGAGACTTTAGAGAGGAGACTTTCAGCCATTTTTTATAGAATCGACTCTCAAGTGAGGAAAAGGATCATTTGTGAACAAGAGATTTGATTTGATTTTTTCGAATTGAACAACTGACTGATTGGAAAGAAGATTGAAAAGAAGGAATCGAGAAAAAAGAAAGAGAAAAGATCAACAACTTCCTCGATTTTTTGATTTCATTCATTTCCCTCAACACAATCGAGATCGAAGAGAGAAGTTCAAAGTTAAAATAAAGATCACTTTGAAAGATCTTTGTAAACTTTTTTAGGTGTAAAGATATTTAGATTTTAGACTTTCACTTAAAAAATAACCCTATAGTACTTTTAAACCTATAATACTATAATATAATACTATAATTAAATACTTTTAAAAGCTATAGAAGCTATAGAAGCTATAGAATTATAAGCTATAGAATTACTGTACTTTGCTGTAAACACCGTTCCCTTTCGTACTCACCATTTCACGTATCGCTTGTAAAATCGAATCTCTCCTCGAATCTTCTCCATTTTTCAGTTTTCTTCACCCTACTTCTCCTCGAGCTCCGGAAGACTCTAAAACTTAAAACTTCAAACTCATCTCAACTATTACAATAAATAAATGAGAAGAAAAAAAAGAGAAATTAAAGAGATAAGTGCTCTCAAAGACTCTCAAAGACCCATGAGACCCATGTGGTTTGCGGTTTGCATTCCACTCACAAGAGATTGTCTCCAGCCACTCTAAAATCATGTACACACACACACACACATACAAAACAATCACCAAACCATTTCGCAAGGCATGATTCTAACAAAAACAATCTCTATCGTCGAGAAAATCGACTTAAATCAAATGCGGTTTTCAAAGAAACGCGAAAAAAAGGTCAAAAAGTGAATGAAAACTTCGGGATCGTAAATTTCTCGAAGTGATCAACAAAGTGAATTTAATTTAGTCTGCCGTCTTATCAGTCGGGATTTTTGCACCAAACAAAGAATTTTGTTTGAGGGAAGGACAAGGCAAATCTCTCTTTCTCCGCCTCTTTCAACCCGCCCCTTTTTTCGCTCCCATGTCTCACTTTGAAACACACGTTCGCTTCTGGTGAACGAAAAAAAAATGAATAATAATGGTAATGAAAACCCACTGTACTTATTGGTACTGTAGTACAGAAGTTTCCAACATTATGTGCAATTTTATTGTCATTTTACGATGATTAGATACTATTTGAAAGCTCCAATCTCCGTCAGGATAGGCTAATAAGTTTTCAAAGTTTTTAAATTCATTTAAAAGTTTCGATCGATTAAACCCGAGCTCTAATTGGTAGAGTTAATAAAATGAATAGTTTCAATCGATTGCCCGACTCTGAAAACTCCTGGGAATAAATTTACAGCTGAATATCTTTTTTTTGTACCATATATAATGCCCTGAAGCCCAAAAGAAAAAGCCCTGAAGAAAGGTGAAATGACTGGTGTTCTTTGTGCGCGCAAACAATCGCTAGCCATCTGGCAAACCCTTCCGATAGATAGGTGTTCCCTTTTGGCGTCCATAAAGGGACGGCTCAATGGCTGAACCGGTCAGCCACTGAGCCAATTCCTTCGTGCGCCACTATGCCCAAAATTCACCATAAACCAAGCCAACCCCGGCCGCATTTTTTTTTAAAAAAACCCCCCCCCCAAAAAAAAAAAATAAAATTGTAATTGAGACACTCAAGGCCGAAATTAAAAAGCTGAGATCATCCCAAAGCCGATGCCAAAGAGTTTTACATCATTTTGAAGCAAATCTCAATTCAAGAGCTCTGGCTTTAACAGAACCAGTTGCGCAAAGTAGCCACCTCCGTGTTTCTCTCGCTGTGGGAGAGAAACCAATCCGAATACTAGAAATCTCGCAGCTTCCACATAAACAAGCCTAGAAGAAGGTTATAGCGAGTTGCGCAAATGACCCTGTGCGCAAAAAAAAATTGCGGAAACTAGCCTACCCCGAAATTTGACCTATCATTGAGGATAAGCAATAATTGGTCATTGGCTCGTCATTGGCTTTAACATTCTTTTAAAACTCTATTTTCAAATCAAATTCAAAGCCAAAGACAATATGTTTATCTAAAAAATCCTAAAGATTTAACAATGCATTTCAGAAAAAAAAACACCCAACCTCTGTGCTGTCTATCACATGGAGAAAAATGCGAAGATTTTATTCTAATAGGCTTACGTTTTGCCTAATTCGCATTTGAGTCAAAAAATCTTTTTTTTGATAACCGCAGAAAAATTGCATGTATAGCAAATAGCTTTAAAAAAAAAAAGGTCAAAGTTAAGGTGAGAGTTCAAATTGAGAAAATGGCTTACACACAAAAAAGTATGTAGTATTTATGTTTGTGATTTTTATGTAAATTTGTCCCACTGTTACCCCCAGAAAAGCCATAAGCTGGTTGAGGGTGCACTTTTTCATAAACTACATCAAACGTATATCAAACGACGAAAAAAAAGCATCGAACATCATTGTCTGTTGTTTTTTGGGAATGGGACAAATGCGACCTTTTTTTGCGCACCCGGACATTTGCGCACCTTTTTTTTCCGCACCTTGCCCATTAGCGCACCTTTTTTCGCGTTTTAAAAAAGCTCTAAAAAGCTAATATTAACCAATTTCTATTTCAAAAGTTGTTTTTCTAGGTAATTTTAGGGCGTAGAATCGAAATTTTGACATATCAGAGCTTGTGGAAACAAACGGACGAAGTTATACAAAGAGAAAAATCGACAATTTTCTGTAATTTGATCTAGCCGTTTTGTCTTTCAAATTGGTTCCACACGCTCTGTTATGTCAAAATTTGAATTCGACACCTCGAAAAACCTAGAAAACCTTTGAATTACCTAGAAAAACAACATTTGGAATAGAAATTGGTTAATATTCGCTTTTTAGAGCTTTTTTAAAACGCGAAAAAAGGTGCGCTAATGGGCAAGGTGCGGAAAAAAAGGTGCGCAAATGTCCGGGTGCGCAAAAAAAAAGATCGCATTTGTCCCACTCCCGTTTTTTTAGTGTCTGTGATTTTAAAAAGCATTGTCTGTTGTTTTTTTTTTTCCACTGAGTAATTGCAAAACAGAAAACAATGTAACGTTTTCTTTTACAAATTGTTTTAGTTGCGATCAGGCTTGTAAGCGAAAAAAAAAGCGGGATGGTTATTTTCCGCCAAATTTTTTAGAGTTATTTCCAAATGGAGTCACTTGCGCAAGCAACTTTTCATTTTCATCGGAAATTTTAAAAATACATTTTAATTTTAATACATTTCAACCAAGATTTTCTTTCCCACAACTTTTCCTAAGTTTTTCACTATTTCACTCTTAATTTTGAAGTTTAGGATTATATTTTTCAAGTACCGCTCACAAATGTCCCCATTGCTAGAGGTAAGCTACGTTTTTTTTTGTGTTTTTCTCGCAGCTCATTTGCCTGATTTGGCTACACTTTGTTTCATTTGATAGATATTAATCGGGGCTATCGAATGAAATCAAACTAGCCAAATCGGTCAAGTGAGCGGCGAGAAAAACACAAAAAACGTAGTTTGCCCCTGGCTATGAGAAGGCTTATAGGCGGTACTTCAAAAGTATATTTAGTGCGGCGTACTTGTTGATCATTGAAGCTACTCTATCAAATCAGTATGGCGCCAGCAAGACCACGGTCAGTTTTTGGGTTTCTTTGTATAGCTTTCTAAAGCTTTCGAGTGTTATCGGCAACTCCTCGGTCAAACAGACGGAAATGGCTCTTCTACGATCAAACGGGATTTGGGTATCGTTTTTACCGTTCGTTTTTACCGCACTGACACCAAAGGTGTAACTCTTTACAGGTATAATTTTTAAATCTTTCTTTTCGAATAAGCTTTTTGAGGGATATTGAAAAAACATTCAAAGTCAAGGCCAATCGCGTTTTTCGCTCAAAATTCGTAAACCCTTATGGAGATCATGATCATTTAGATTCGAATTTCCTCCGCGAGGATACGTGCGGCTCAAGCAAGGCGCCTACAAGCAAGGCGATTCATTTGCATACAAGATTTTCTCGCACGATGTGGGCAATTGAATTACTAAAATAGGTTTTTTTGTTTTTCATCTCTAAACGCATTTATTTTTAAGAAATGTTCTTGGGCAGCGTACTCGACTTTTTTTTGCTTGTCCAGAAGACTTTTGTCAGCTCTTTATTGTCGGAGCACAGGTATTAAGATTTTTTTATTTTGTTCGAAAAAGTTTTAGACTGACCAAATTTTTGTCCCGTGTGTGTTCGCCTTTTTGAGCTCAAAAGATGCGTCAACTTACAAAGTCGTCTTTGTTTACCGAGGAGTCAATCCAAGAATTAAACTAATGACAGGTTTTTTTGGTACCTTCAATGCTAATTTGTATTTTAGACTTTAAGCTTGGTATTTATGCGGGTTACAAAATGACCTATGGAGCCACTGAGCAGTGGGAGCCACAATCAATAATGGCTCTCGTATTTATTTGCTTGTACGAGTCGCACGTATCCTCGCGGAGGAAATTCGAATGTAAATGCATAGTTTAAAGAATGAAAGAAGAATCTTGATGGAAAATGTTTTCTTAGTGGCTCAAAATAGGTCAGTGGGAGCCACTGAGCACCATTTTTGTTGCTTTCACTTCTTCCAAAATGTCCTGAAGCGAATAAAGGTTTTTGAGTTTTTTTTAAATAAAAAAATTGATTTGATTAGAAATTCGGACTTCACAGCCTTGTTCAGACACCGTTCGGGAAAACGCACATCCAATCAATCATGGCTCTCGCATTTATCGATCCAACTGAAGTTGTTCTCTACTTTGAAGATATAAAGAAATCAGCTTTTTGCAAACGGCCGCTCCCTATTTGCAACGTATGTCATTGTTTTTTATGAATACATTCTTGTTTTAGAATTTTACGCATCTTTTGAAAAGGGTTACTTGAGTTGCGTCAGCACAGCAGGAACTCGTGCTCCGTGATATCTGCAATATCTGCAAATGAAATGCCCATGAACGGAGTGTATTTTGGGTTAGCATATTGGTAACTCCGCTCAGGAAGAATTCCATTCATCTTTGAAGGTTAGTTGATTTCCTTGCAATGAATAGTGCTGTTTTTAGAAGGATCCGAAAAACCCACATCCAAATCACACTGCAGTGGGGCTCTACGAGGAAATGTCGGTGTTTATCAATAGTTTCAATCTTGCAATATCCAACAATCTCACCCTTGGACAGAAGAATTACCCGCAAAAGAAAACCAAAGTAACCCGTCAAAAGAAACGTTCTGTTGTTAATGTTAACTGCTGTTAATGGACGCTTACCTGGTTGTGATCACGCTCAGCACTTGTCGCACCCAATGAATGGGGCAGCTACGCACTGCGACGGAAAAATCGGAAAAACGTAGCTGCCTCATTTGTTCACTTTTTCTGCAAAATTAAAAGATATTCAATTTTCCGCTTTTTTTTCTGCCTGCAAGCTTGGTTGTGATGTCAGAGGACTTTTTGTGTGTCTATGAGCAGACTTTTGCATGTGGAATCAACAGATTAACGCTTCAAAAAAACTAACCAATAAACTCTGATCTAAAAATAGATAGTTTTAGTCTTTTTTCCCGTCTGACAAAGACAAAGCGATCACAAGGCTCACCCATTTTCCTTTTCTAAAAGTTCAGCTTGATCTCTTTCATTCTCTTTTTTTTTGGCTTATCACAATTTTTGCCCTTTTTCACGTTTCGTCAGGGGTTGCCCTGCTTTCTCCAAAAATCAGCTTTCGGTTCAAGATTTGTCCTTGAAATTCTCCTTCTGCGTCACATTTCCCTCAAAATCGCCTATCTTTAGCTTGCAGAATTTCGGTGAAATTTTGCGATAGTGGCGATGCGTAAATTCCCGAATTGTTTTACGGTGGTAATTTTTTGAGATTTATGCTTTAAAGGTGAGCAGAGAACGGTTTGAAGAGAATGATTTTGAAGACAGTAAATAGTTTGGAAGCCAAGTAGATTTCAATGACAAGGCCTCACAGTCAGATTGTTCAGATTTCTTCAAAGCTGTCATTTACTGAAATCTGGCAAGCTCTCTGTGGGAAAGATCTCTTGAGTTAGAGAGCTGTTTTAAAGATTTCATTTAGAATCATTGAGAATGATGAAACGTTACTCTATTTTATAATCAAATAGCTAACTGGATACTCTAAAATTCCAGCGTTTTACCTCACTACAGTATTCAGTCTGTAAGATTGAATACTTTCAAATTTCAACAAGACGAAAGATATTCAGGCAAACGTTGGAATACTCGACTTTTACATATAAATATTTTTAATTATTGTACTTTTTAAGAACAAAATAATGAGTTGGACAACAGCTGTCGTTAGACAAATCTTTCATTAAAACTATGACCAACTATAAGTAATTTTTAACGTTTCGAAGCACATGCTTTTACTTGTCTTTCCCCCTTAACATTAAGCTTTTACTTTACATGACTGTTTCACCACCAAACCCGAAACAATGCTTAGAAAAATGATGACCGAAATTCTAACAACACTTTAAGAGAACTCGTCAATCAGATATTTCGACAGAGATTCTCCAAAACGAGAAGAATATATTAAGTCTTAAGACTTAAGTCTACCAAAATCTCATCAAATCTCACTCAAATGATATGAATGACCCAATCTGTATTCAGCTTAACTCTAGATACTGAATTAAAGCATTTAGAAGTTTTATCTTCCTTCTTCATTTTTTTTGTCAACTTTTATTCCATAAGCCCTTCAAAAATAAGCGAATTTTTAAAAAAAAAGCGATTGTGGAAAGAAAAATTATGTAAAAGAAAAACTAAAAGCCAATCAATTGAATATCTTTTTGATTAAGATAAATATCGAAGATATAAAAAAGAGAAAATAATAACTGGCATTGAAGTAAGAGAATTGAAGAAAAAAAAAATGAATAAGAATGGTTGGGGTGATTAAGTAAAATAGTGTAGGGAAAAACGAGCTAAAGCACGGTCTACCGTATGCTAAGCGTAGATTTAAGAAATAGAAAAATGCAAAGAAATTAAAGGTAATTTGAGAGCGATTCTGCCTTGGGATTTCTCTAAAACTACCGTCAATCGAAGCCACATTTGACGAGATTGAAATGCAAATTGCAAATTTGATCTCAAAAGGCTCTAGTTAATTAGGCTTTGACGGAATAGGTGAAAATCGGTGATAATAAAGCTTTAGCTGAATATCTTTTAATGAAAATCGACTTATAATATTGACGGGGTAGGCTAATTTCCGCGATTTTTTTGCGCAACTGGATCGTTTGCGCAATTCGCAATAACTTTCTTCTAGGTGGACCAATCTTTATGATGTTGGTGTCATTTTGTAGATCTCAATAAGTGCAACAAAATGAAAGCAAAATCAGAAAGATTGATCGACTTAGAAGAAAGTTATGGCGAGTTGCGCAAAAGACCCAGTTGCGCAAATGACCTAGCTGCGCAAATGACCTAGTTGCGCAAAAAAAATGGGGAAATTAGCCTATCCCATATTGACTGAATGAATATGAATATGTTTATATATATATATATGAAAAAACAAACATTTAGTTTAACAAGCTTTCAACTTTTTTGTTTCAAAAATCTTAAAACTAACTAGAGCCTCAAAAAGGGTGATAAAGGGTATTCACAACGCGGTTTTGACTATAAGTAAATCATTTTTTTTGACTAGAATATTTCTGGAAAGAGTTACAATTGAAAATTTTTCAGAAAAATAATAAAGAGATAATATCATAAATTTAAGGAAATCTTATTTACTTTTTCAGGGGTGATCAAAAAAAAAAAAAAAAAAGGGAGAAATGAGCAGTGCGCTAAACGGATAAGTGACGGCTCGGTTTGGCACGCATTTTCACAAAAAAAGAGAAATCTATAAGTAAACGAATAAGTTAAAAGATAAAATATATAAATTAAAGATAAATATGATGATGAAAAGAAAAATGAAAAGAAAAATGAAAAAAAAATGAAAAGAAAAATGAAAAGAAATTTTAGTGGAAAGTGGTGAATTTGATTATCAAGTAAGTGACCAGAGAGTAAAAGAGGGGAATTTGGGACCGGCTAGGCGAAAAACAAAAAGTGAACCAAAAAATGGGGGAATGATTTGAAGGTATTAGATGAATAGTTAGATGAACTGAATAGCTGAATAGCTGATTGTTTTTGGGTTTTTTTGAAAATTGTAATGAGAATACTGAAGTTAGTTGAGAATAAAAACTTCTTCATACCGTAAATACTGTAATAGTACCCCGCCCCCATAATGACGGTGCAGAGTGTTGCGTAGTCTAGCTTTGGACGAGTGTTTCCCCACACTGGTTTATGCCACAATGCGCGTTTAGGTACCAAAAATACCTGAAATTCAGGGCTATTTTTTGATACCAAAGACGCATTTTTTGAAAGTACGGGCGCTTTGAAAAAAAATGAAAAACTAAAAAAAACTAAAAAACTTTTGCGACTACGCGACTGTACGAGGGGGGTGGGGTACTATTACAGTATTTACGGTATGAAAATACTAAAGTTTTTCTTTCATTCATTTACAATTCATTTCAAATCTTGTCCCCTTTTCTCTTTTTCTTCAAAACTATCGCATTTTAATTTCAGCTCTTAAAAAAATCTATAAGAACCATAAGCTATAAAAAACTAAACAAAAAAAAAGTAAACAAAGAAAAAAAGGTGAAAAGTTATTGCTCAAAAAGGCCTCTAGATTTGAGTTTATAATTGTTCAAAGATTGGATTCTGTGGATGAGTTGAATGGTGATGGGAACGTGGGAGGTGTGCTTGCGGCTTTTGAACAATATATTGTACTGTAGACGATCCTTTAAGCACATCAATCACTCTCGTTTCCCCTAGATTCGATTCACCTGTTCGATTTACACTTGACATTTGACATCGATCGATCAATCGCTAAAATATTCTTTTACTTTACACATTTTGTTTAAAGTTTTCCAAAACTAAGCATGAGAAAAAAAATTTTTCCGGATTTTCCGGATCTACGATAAATCCTCTAATAACGGATCTACGATAAATCCCCAATATTAGACCGTTATACAACGGTCTAATATTGGGTTGGTGAATTGAAAACTGCGGGACTTTGAACTAAAATTTATTTAACATAAAACCATGAATTCATTCGAAATAATTTCCATTATTATTGACGACTTCTGCCCATTTTACAGGCAATTTGCGGGGTTACAGGCATCCTCTTTCGTGGTAGGATTTTGGTTTGTGTGTGAGACAAGTGTGAGACTCAAAAATGGAGGACTGGAGATGTCCCAGTTTGAGCACTTTCTTCAAAAGAAACCCATTTTGGTGTCAATAGAAAAGTTGTAGAGAATCAAAAATTAGGCTTATAGCCAAATTTCCAAAAAGATACACTTAGTAGTTTCGCTTAAAATGCAAGTTTTGTGAAAATTCGTAAATTTGGCATTTCTTGAAAACCAGTTTTTGAATCGTTCTGAAAATTTGGATATAAGCTTGATTTTTGATTCTCTACAACTTTTCCATTGACACCAAAATGGGTTTCTTTTGAAGAAAGTGCTCAAACTGTCACACATGACAATAGCCGGCAGCTTTCAATTCACCAACCCAATAGAACGTAGTCTAACTTCTTTTTAAAAGATTTTAAGTAGCTGTATAGTAGCTGTATGAAGAAATATTAAGAAATCAAGTCAAGAAATGAATCAAGAATGTCAAGAATGTCAATTCTTTAAAGATTACCAACTTTTTGAAGCATATTTGACACATCGACTTGTTGCTTTGATAAATCATCACCAATTACGTTGGCTTCAATTTCCTGAAAAGAATCTCATTTAAATATGATTTTTTTTTCTACAATTACTTGTAGAGCTTGAATCTCCTCGATATTTAATGGTTCTCCATTTGTCTGTGATGTGTGAGTGTGGAGGAAAGAGGTAGCCGAAGCGTTTGTTGGATCAGGAGGAGCTGTTTGATACTGCAAAAATATACAAATCGATTTAAATCTATTTAAATATACAAATATATATATATATAAATATTTTTAAACAAACAAATCGATTTAAATCTATTTAAATATATTTAAAGATTTTAAAATTAAATCTAACCTTTAAGCGATTCGATTTTGACTTTAAGAAAGAACTTTTTTTGTTAGAAAAGTATCGCCGGCTGCATTTAGAGAACAAAATTTTAAGCAGCTTGCATTGGCACGACTCATCTTTGTATCTTTGAGACTTATCGCTCGGCTTAACTTGAAGCCGTTCAACTATAAGTGAAATGACGTCACTCAACGAAAATCACATTTTTGTTGAATAGAAATCAAGAATGGCAAATTCTTTTACGAAATTCTTTTACTTTAACATCGAGATCATCGAGGAGATTTGTGTGTTCTGTACTTGACGCAATGCTCGCTCCATCACCGCTTTCACTCTCTGTTCGATCGTGCCCGTCAAAGAGCACCTCATGTCCTCTCCGACGAGCATTCATAAAAAAATTTGCAACCTAAAAAGCTGTCTATTTTTCTATTGTGATTTTTTTTTAAAAACCGTAGTTGGATCCAAGTTAAGTTGCTGACTGATCGTGATTTGCATCTCTCGAGATGGTCGTTTTGTTTCTTTGAAAATTGCCTGGAAAGGCTTTTTGAAATAACGTTTTACTATGTTTCTAAAATTAGAAAAAGATCCACATTTTAGCAAAAACAAAGAAAAACAAAAATTTACTTGTAAAGTGCGTCGCTGAATATCAGTGAAAACGAGTCGCGGCTTTTTTGGGCCACAGCTCGACGACGTGTCGTCTCGGCGCTTTGTGGCTGCGAGTGATGAGGCTAAAAAGTTTTTCTTTGGTACACTTCTTTCTCCATTTCCATTCTTTCTCAATTTTTTATAAGTGAAACTTTCTTTAATCTACAGTAAGTAAGTCTGGTGTTTGATTTGTTAGAGCTAGTGAATTTGAATTTACCGATAGCCAAGGTGGTAGCCTTGAAAATCAAGCTTTAAGAAATCAAGTGCTTCAAGACTTTAAGCTTTGCTTAAGATCTTAAGGATTATGGTGTGTTCTCGCGCCCTCACATTGACCAGCTATTCAACTAACAAGGGAATGTCAACTGGGTGTGATGGCTAAATGCCATGAGCCAGAGATCATTCGATGCAGAATTACATGCCGAATCCGGATCTGCTTTCCATTTCTACTATGGAGCACTCTGTCAAAAGTTGTAAGCATGCAAAGTTTTGTATGGAATTTCAAAAGTCACATTCTGACTTTATAAGCAGATTTCCTAGAGCCAAGAAGGAGCAGTTGTAGCCGAGTGGCAGTGGGTTAGAATACAAGGCAAAAACTCCCTAGTCGAGTCCGCTGTTCTACTTTTTTTCTTTTGCTTTTTGGATTTTCAAAGTTAGTTGTTCTCCGTTTTAAATACAAGTTTATTTTAAATGACTTCTTACTTAAAAATGTTTACTTTTAACTATTAACACCAAGTTAACTTTGAAAATCCAAAAAGCAAAAGAAAAAAAGTAGAAAAGCGACCCTCGAACTAGGGAGTTTTTGCCTTGTATTCTAACCCACTGCCACTCGACCACAACTGCTTCTTCTTGGCTCTAGGAAATATGCTTATAAACTCGGAATGAGACTTTTGAAATCCCATACGAAACTTTGCATGCTGACAACTTTTGACAGAGTGCTCGATAGCAGAAACGGAAAGCAGATCCGGATTCAGCATGTAATTCTGCATCGAATGATCTCTGGCTCATGTCATTTAGCCATCACACCCAGTTGACATTCCCTTGTTAGTTGAATAGCTGGTCAATGTGAGGGCGCGAGAACACACCATAATCCTTAAGATGTTAAGCAAAGCTTAAAGTCTCTGATGATCTCTGGATCTGAATGATCTCTGGCTGAATGATCTCTGGCTGATGCCATTTTGCCATCACACCCAGTTGACAGTCCATTGTAAGTTAATTTGAGATATTAAAAGCTGTGAAAAAATTTGACTTACTTTTTCTCAGGCATGGATTTTAGAAAACGTATTAATCGCGAGGAGCACACTCTAATCAGGGTCATTATATACTGGTCATTATATAAGTGATCAGGGTCATTATAGAATTGAAAAATCTCAGCTCTATTTCCTTTGAAAATTTCAGAATCTTCTAAAGCATTTCCCACTTTTTCTCCATTTCTAGATTGATCCCCAAAGCTCGCATGTCAAGGTTTCATTGGTTGTGGTCGAATTTGCGCGAGGGAGAAGATTTGAAGGCACTGATTGCAGAAAGGGGAAAGTGTGGAAAACAAAAGGAGATTTTTCCTTCTCTTTTCCCTTTCGATGCGTAAATGCGGCTGATGGGCCAAATAGGGTCTGTCTGTCAGCACACAATCATTTTAAGGCTTTCTCTTCGGATTCTTTTAAACGCTCCACCCTACCACATGCTAAATTGCTTACCAATCTCTTTTTCCTTTTATATGTCAAACGTTTGATGGAATCAGCTTTTCTCTTTTTTCTTTTTTTTATTGTTTGTCTATTTTTGAATTAAATTTATGTGATTCAAGAATTCAAGAAAGAAATTTGATTTCCCAAACTTTTTAAAATTTGCAATCATTCTCTAGAAATTTATGATACGATCAAACGCACTGATTCCCCCCCTCTTTTCCATATTTATATGGGAAAATTGAGGAGCGATCACACCGATCGCTTGAATTGAATCGGAGAAAAAAATACGCAGCAAAAAGATGAAAAGAATATTTCTCACATTTGAATCGATTTTATTACTACTTTTCTGCGAAAAAGAATACCGTATTTCATCGAATAGAAGACCGGGTAAAGAGTATCATCGCGTACTCCTGCGTAGCAGCCCTTTTTAAAATTTCTTTTCTGCATAAAAGCTTTCAATCAAGTGCTATAGGGCTGGAAAAATGACTCAAAAATACCAGATGAGCTAACAGATTTTTGAGCCATTTTCCAGCTCTATAGCACTTGATTGAAAGCTTTTATGCAGAAAAGAAATTTTAAAAAGGGCTGCTACGCAGGAGTACGCGATGATACTCTTTACTCGGTCTTCGGTATTCTTTACCGAAGGAATAAGGAACCAAATCTAGAGAGATAAGGAAATAAATTTAGAGAGATAAGGAACAAATCTATAGAGATAAGGAACCAAATTTAGAGAGGGAAGGAAATAAATTTAGAGAGATAAGGAACCAAATATAATGATACCCTTTACCGCGATGATACTCTTTACCCGGTCTTCTATTCGAAGAAATACGGTATGCAAAATTTAGTGTAATTCTAAGAAAGAATGATGCAAATTCACTGCTTTTCTTGTATCGAAATGGTACACGGTTCAAACTTGACACTTTCGACATTATAATACAACTGTAAACTAGCTTTCTATCATTCAAATCAAATCACTTTCAAGAAAAACAACATTCCTGCAGCTAAACAAAGTTTAAAGCTGTTGAATTCTTGAAAAAAAATCCAACAACAAGTCATAGAATTCGGAAGAAAACCGAACTCAACCCATCTGCCACTTCTCAACCCACTTTACCCACTCAAACAATTTACCCACTTTCCCCCAAGAAGATGAAAAAGTACTTCCGGCTAATAACCAATCTTCACTTGCTTAATATCAAGCAAATCATCGAATCAAAGACAAACCAGCGAGTCGAAGAGCGCTCATGCGTTGAAACTCGGGCTCTTGCAACCACTTGGCCATTCTGCGGAACGTCTCTCGTCCACTCTTCAGCTTTCCCCAAGGTTTTGGATTTCGCAACAAATCCGACAAAGTACCTTGTGATCTGGAAAGAGTTTTTTTTTAGGAATTCTGCAATTAAAAGAAAATCTTTGAAAAAGGCAAAGAACCTGCAAAGAACGCGTTGCGCGAAGATCGCTTGCGGGATCGAGTATCGCTTAAGTTCGGCTGAGATTCGAGTGGCCAACTCCTGAAAAGTCATGTTTATTTAATGGAAATAGCAAATGAAAATAGCAAATGAAGAATTCTAAAATCAGAGCAAAGAATTGCACAAACCTTTGTGTCCAACTCGTCTCCATCACCACAATCTGAGCTGTGCATTGGCGAGCAGCATTTCTTCATGCCCTAAAATTTTGAACTTTATTTAAATCACCAAAATTCTCTTTTACATCCAAATCCGGTGCATCATCCGTAACATATGAGTCAAAATAGGGTTTTTCCAATTTTGGAGATCTAAAGAAATGCTGAGAGTTTGAAGAGAGTTCCCTTTTCGATAAACCTTGGATCAAGCGTCGAGTTATAAGCCGCATGATTGAAACCATTGGAGAACATTGGATCCGGCATTCCATGTGGAGAGAAATCAGCTGGAAGACTTACTCCGTTTTGTTCTAAAACTTTTAAATATAAATTTGTCTTTTATTTTACCATGGGGACTATGCTGTGGGCTGTCTGTTTTCACGTCATATTCGTATTTGATGTTCACTGTGTTGAAGCCGAATGATGTTGTTGTTGGTGGATAGTAGAAACCGCTGTAATCATATCGTATTTCTTTTTTTTATATTTTCCGATACTTTGTATTCGATCTTGGGGGTGGTGGGGGTGGTGATGGTTGTCGGATCATTCTCTCGCATTGTCCAGTCACCGTTGAAATTGGCGGCAATGGAGCTAGTGGCTGCAGGGTTGCGAATTGACTAAAAGAAATTCTTTTCTATTTCAAGATTTTCAAGATTTTCAAAAATTCCTCTCTTTTAAACTCTTCTTTATTACTTTCTAGAACTAGATCTTATCTCTGACATTCATTTGCTCGGCAGAAACTGAGTTTCGATTGATTTGAAAGGGGGAAGAATAGGAAACGAGCAGAAGGGGCCATCTGTCAGCTCGAATCGGGAGCCAACCCCATTCCCTATTTGCATACAAGTACCAGTCAGGAGAAAGCATAAAAGAAAGAGACTGAAGAAAGAGAGAGGGAGAGAGAGAGAGAGAGAGAAGAAAGAGGAAGAAAGAGAAGAGAAAGGGTGGATAGAAGACAGAGCCTTAGCATCGATGGGTGGGCTCAGGGGAGAAAAGAGAGAAGGGCACCTGGCACCCCTTGCTTTCTATGCCCGTTAAGGATAGGCATTAGTAGCCGTGTCCGCTTGTCCGTCTGTCCCACACTCTATCCAAAATCCCATGTCCCTTGTTACCCTTGACACCATTGCTATGAAAAAGATCTAAAAAAAACTAGTACTAGAACTAGAGCTAGAACTAGAACTGCTTAAACTTTAAAACTCTTCATTCTAACCCACTTGTACGCTTGATTAAGTCCAACTGGATGCAATAAATCAGAGAAATCATCAGATGGAGATGGAAGTGATGGATGATCAGAAATAGAAAGGCGGCTTGATGGTAGAGTTGAGAGAGCTTGCGAGAGTAATGGATCAGCAGTTAGCGGACCAGTTTCAAGACCCTCCATTTCTTTACACCCCCAAGCGGGGTTTCACAGAAAGATACGCGTATAGAAGAATGACTTGAAATGACTAGGATAGGAAAGAATTGAAGGTTGGTGTGAAGGGGGAAAGGGGGGAATAGCTAGGGGCACGAAGGGGAATGGCTAGGGGCCCAGGGGGCGCAACGCGAAGCCGCCACGCGTGTGCTTGTGTCCAAGAGTGGCACCGCCCCTCCAAAGATGGAAAGCACCAGCAGGCTTTCCATGAAGAGAAGAGCTGAAGAGCCTAAGGGCATGTGGTCCCTCTTCCTCTCCTATTTCTCATCTCTTCTTCCTCTAGTTGCCAACCCCATTCCCATCTCTTTCCCCATTCCCCTCTTTTGATTCATACCAAAGATTTTTTGGCTAGATTGGAATATGTCTTCACTTGATATTCTAGTTTTGGCAAAAAAGCAGTTCTAGGAAAAGACATTCTAGCAATTCTGTCTGCGTTTAATATTTTAAGAATATTTTCAATTCAAAACTAAACCTGTACTTGTTGCATTGAATACAATAAAACATAGTTAACAAATAGAAATAGAATAGAAAAAGTTAATGAATTGAATTTGTTGATAGATATTGATTGAAAGTGTGAAATTTGATCGAGTGAAATGAGATAAAGCTAGAAGCTTTTAAAGTCAAAAAAAAAAGGAGAGAGAAAGAAATTTGATTGAGAAAAGGCAATACTTTTTATAATCCATGTTCATTTTTGTGGGAATCATTTTCAACATATTGGGTTGGTGAATTGAAAACTGCCTGACTTTGAACTAAAATTTATTCAACATAAAACCATGAATTCATTCGAAATAATTTCCATTATTATTGACGACTTCTGCCCATTTTACAGGCAATTTGCGGGGTTACAGGCATCCTCTTTCGTAGTAGGATTTTGGTTTGTGTGTGAGACAAGCGTGAGACTCAAAAATGGAGGACTGGAGATGTCCCAGTTTGAGCATTTGAGCACTTTCTTCAAAAGAAACCCATTTTGGTGTCAATAGAAAAGTTGTAGAGAATCAAAAATTAGGCTTATAGCCAAATTTCCAAAAAGATACACTTAGTAGTTTCGCTTAAAATGCAAGTTTTGTAAAAATTCGTAAATTTGGCATTTCTTGAAAACCAATTTTTGAATCGTTCTGAAAATTTGGATATAAGCTTGATTTTTGATTCTCTACAACTTTTCCATTGACACCAAAATGGGTTTCTTTTGAAGAAAGTGCTCAAACTGTCACATATGACGATAGCCGGCAGCTTTCAATTCACCAACCCAATATTACATGGGATACGTGCATAAAAAATGCGGATTTCAACATTTTCATAGATTTCCAACGATAGAGACCTGATATCGATGAATGTTATAAACTATTTGAAAGTTGTAAATCTCCTCTACAAAATAGGCTAAAACGTGTTTCAATTGAAGAAGAATTGAAGAAATTTCGAGGGCGAAATGCGAGTGACCAAAAAAGGAATTGCTCGATCAATTGAAACACGTTTTAGCCTATTTTGTAGAGGAGATTTACAACTTTCAAATAGTCTATAACATTCATCGATATCAGGTTTCTATCGTTGGAAATTTATGAAAAATGTTGAAATCCGCATTTCTTATGCATTTACCTAATATTTAGACACATTTAGTAAATAATGAAGATTTTTTAAAGAAGTTTTCCTGGAAGACTTGGAGCAATGATTGTGTTGGAAACTACGATAAAGATGGAGTGAAGAATCTTCATATCTTTATAATGCTTACCAGCCGAGAAACCTGTCTAACGGCTGGTTTTTCTGGATTTTTCTGGATGTTTTGTTTTGGGCTTTTGTCGCCGTGGAGCAGTGGATAGCGCGCCTGTCTAGCGCCCATATGATCTAGGGTTCGACCTCCCCGTGTGACTCGAATTGTGCTTTCTAAAAAAATCCAAAAGCACGTTGCACAACATGTAATTCTCTATTCAACGGCGCAAAAATCATTGCAAACAGTTCTCTGTGGGGTTGAGGAGTAGCACGAACAGACAGACAAACGCAGACAAACGGACAGACAAACAAACGGACAGACAGACAAACGGACAGACAGACAAACGGACAGACAGACAAACGGACAGACAGACAAACGGACAGACAGACAAACGGACGGACAGACAAACGGACGGACGGATAGACGGACCGACAGACAGACAGACCGACAGACAGACGGACGGACGGACGGACGGACGGACGGATAGACAGACCGACAGACTGACAGACGGATGGACAGACATTTTTAATCTTTATCTCTTTATAATCTTTATAAAAGCCTTGTCTCGTAAACTAACAGTTTAGTCGTACAATATAAAAACTTTTAAATTGTTGCTCTCAAAAAAAAAACGAGGAGATGGAACATGGGCTGACGTCTAAAAGAGTGTAGATTATTTGGCTGTAATCGAGACAAAACATAGCTCAAGAAAGAGCCCGTTTCGATATGATTTCAAGAAAAAAAGAGAAAAGAGAGATGGGAAAGGGAAATAAAAAATGGGAAAACATTCGATCGCCTCCATGAGCTCTTTTAGAAATTTTTCGACTCCGAATACTGATTGGCTTTTGAAAATTTGGAGAAAATTTGACCTTAGGAAATGAGGAAATTGTTAGCATTTGTATTGGCATTCTATAAAAAAGTTTCGTTTAAAGAAATTTCCCTTAAATTGACTGTGGCAGAGAGAACTTGAATTTTCCAAGTTTTTCCAAGATTTTCAAGTGATTTCACAAAAATAATAGAGCTAAATAAAGCAAATACTAAATAATCAACTCACTTGTCCATAGAGATAAAGATGGAATGATTGGCAATGTGATGGCTTGTCGAGGAAAAGTAATGGGGAAAGGGATGGGGATGTGGAGGAGAGGATGGACAGGAACAGTCACTGGAGGCGCCCCTCCTCCCCTCTTTTCCCCCGTACGTGCCCCTTCCCTTCTCTGTGTCATGCGGGGCACTGTGGGAGCGCCACGCCGATCCCGAATACAGCCCGAATGCAATGAGGAGCCAATTCCAATGCTATTCCAATGCCATTCCACTCTTTCAGCCGCTTGGATTTAATATTCACCCACTCTCCGATGTTACACAAGGATTCAAAAAGTTTTAGAGAGAAATGATTGAACAGATCAAAAAGAATGATTGAACAGAACTTCCAAAATTCTCTTGTACAATTTTAAAAACTTTAATAGATCAACTTCAGTGTTAACTTTGAAACTTTGAACTAAGATCAAGGATAAAAAGAGAAAAAGAAAACAAGACGACTAAGTGGAATAGAATATAGAATTCGTTTTGTTGAAGCTTCAGTCATTCTTGCATTGAAATAATTGAAGTCAAAGCATTCAAAGCATTCGTTTTGTTGAAGCTTTGTTGAAGTTTTGTTGAAGCATTCGTTTTGTTGAAGCTTCAGCCATTCTTGCATTGAAATAATTGAAGTCAAAGCATTCAAAGCATTCATCCAGAGAGAGTTTCAGAGAGAAATGATTGAACAGATCAAAAAGAATGATTGAACAGAACTTCCAAAATTCTCTTGTACAATTTTAAAAACTTTAATAAATCAACTTCAGTTTTAACTTTGAAACTTTGAACTAAGATCAAGGATAAAAAGGATAAAAAGAAAACAAGACGAATAAGTGGAATAGAATATAGAATTCGTTTTGTTGAAGCTTCAGCCATTCTTGCTTTGAAATAATTGAAGTCAAAGCATTCAAAGCATTCAAAGCATTCATCCATTTCATAGAGTCTTTTCAAAATACCTAGTTTTAAATCCTTTTTTTTTGAAAAAAAAGAACAAAGAAAATGACAATGATGGGAAAATGAAATGTCATTTTTGCACTATTTGCAATGCACTTCTTCAAAAAACATAAAAGAATATCGGTTTAGAAAAAGGATTGTAATAAATTCAACAAGGCTTAGCCTTTTAAAATGTTCCCAAAGTCAGATTGAAATCAATTTTAAAATGAAAATATTTTAGTGAAGCTTGAAGCAATGAAAGAGCTGAAGTGATTGTTTATGAGTCGTTTAAAGTGGTAGTTGTTGTTATGTGATTTGTGAAGAGCACGATACGAAAGTAGAAAATATATAGTGTGAAAATAGATATCGATGAAAGCTTATAAGCTTTGTATAAAGCAGAAAACAAATCTAAATCTAAGGTTAGCTGGATAGGAACTGTTTAGATAACAATTGAAAATACGATAATCATCCGATTAGATGTTCATCGTACTATGAGATGTTCATCGTACTATTAGATGTTTTTTTTTGATCTGTTTTCGAACTCAGGTGTTTCTATTTGGGCAGATCACAACCTGCTTCCACATTTCTCTATCCCTTGCTATTGTCATCCAGTGTTTCCTAGCTTGATTGTTCCTGGTTCGAAGTCTTCGACTCGCTGGTGCTGGTGGTGGTTGCACTCTAGCCATCCTTTCTCTGGCCGTCTCTGCCACTCTTGTGCTCCACCTCGTTGCTGGTCTTCCGATGGGCCTCTTCTGGTCTCGTGGTAGCCACTCTGTGATCCGTATCGTCCATCTGTTGTTTATTCTTCTGGCTACGTGGCCGGCCCATCTGAGTCTTTTTCTCTCAATCACTTCCACTGGATCTCTGAGTCCCGAGAGCTGGCGCATATCCGTACTTCTTATTAGATGTTGATCATACTATTAGATGTTCATCATCCGATTAGATTCTTCATCGTACTATTAGATGTTCATCATTTTCTTACGATGCAATTGTAGACAACGATTAGGAAGAAAATCTAGTGTTTTTTAAGATTAGATTGTAAAATTAAGATTATTGGCTAGATTATTGGCTAGATTATTGGCTTTCTGTTGGTTACTGTCTTCATCATTTTTTAAAACCTTAGCCCATTGATCCCATCGAGCACATCAATGGGCTCAATTTTTGGAAAATAATGAAGCTTACATTGTGGATTGATTGATTTAGTGTAGATAAAGAAATCCTGAGAATTTCGACACCTTATTCACTTTTGAGTAAATCCATCAAAAATCACCATCTTACACCCGACTTAGTGACCCAAGTTTGCACAATTTCAAATGTTGAATTTCTCCATTGTTTTTTCGAACGAATTACACCCTTTTCGCCGTAACTAACACTACATAAAATATGGAAAAATCAAAACGCTTTCGTAGCCAACAACAAGGATAAAAGTCAAAATTTTTCAGCGCTTTATCCTCAGCCATTTCACCATAAAATTAGCTCAAACTTTTTTGTTTTTCTTTCTGGCATCTAATGTCAAAAAATGAAAGAAATTGACTTTTAAATGAGGGAGGAGAGACATGACAAAGTCGTGACCATTTCATATGCGCCAACCTACCGTAAAAACTCTAATAGAACGGCCTCCTAAAGGAGCATCGTGTAGTCTCAAAGTTTACTCTCAAACAAACGCTCATATCTCGACACCAGTACGTTTATTTCTGCGTGCTTAGGTATCAAATTAAAGTAGAAAGGATGAGTGTTTTTGTTGAGATATAACACTTATTTTTAACTTTAACCAGCGCTTAGGAAAAAAATGATTGAAAATCGGCTCTTTTACCACTTTTCAGTCATTTTTTCCTAAGCGCTGGTTAAAGTTAAAAATATGTATTATATCTCAAAAGATCACGCATCTTTTCTGCTTTAATTTGATACCTAAGCGTGCAGAAATAAACGTACTGGTGTCGAGATATGTGGGTTTGTTTGAGAGTAAATGGAAACATTCTTGCTGGTTGGACAAAGAGCCGAAGCGATTCCCCCAGTTTTTCGCTCGGCTGACGAGTTGGACTCTTAGGAAAAACAAAAGCCATGCTTGTTTCTTCTGGAATCTTATACTACACGACGCTCCTTTAGGAGGCTCTTCTATTAGCATATTTACGGTATGTAATACGTCCGAAACAGAACAGGCGTCCCGCGCCGTAGAAACAAACGTACTGGGTACTGAGAAACAAACGTTTGTTTGAGAGTAAACTTATACTACACGACGCTCCTTTAGGAGGCCGTTCTATTAGAGTTTTTACGGTATACTCTTTTTTAGGTGAAAAGAGTCGATAGAGGAATGGAAAAATTCTTGTTACGAAGAAACATACGAAGAGCCGAAGCGATTCCCCCCAGTTTTTTGGCTCGGCTGACGAGTTGGACTCTTAGAAAAAACAAAAACCATCCTTGTTTCTTCTTGAATCTTTTGTATCGTTTGTATCTTTTGAATCAAGCTCATTCAGTGCACAAGTTTTGAAAGAATTAAGCCCAAGTTCAGTTTTTACGGTGATAGAGAGTACGGTAGGCATACTTTAAAAATAAACAATCTTCAGTTGTGCAAGCTTTGAATCAATTAAAACAATCGGATTACAGTAGCTTATGTAGCTAACACTAATTTAGTAGTTGTTTAGTTTTTAAAAGAATATTAGAACGATGTTATTGTTTAGTTTAGCTTCTTTTTCTCTTGCTCTTCTGTTTAGCTTCTTTCTCGATTCGCAATTGATTGATGAGAGAACGGAAGGCACTAAAACAATTCATTTTTCATCAAATCAATCATCAAATTCTGTAGAATTCCAGGAATTGGTTTTCTTTTGTTTTTTTGTTTTTTGAAGATGTTAAATCTGTAGAATTCCCTGGAAATTCGTTTTCTTTTTTGAAGATGCTGAATGGTGAGTTGTAGGCATTTGGTGGTAGGAGAAAAGAAAAAAGGAGACGTAGGAGGACAATCAGCCGACGGAAAGGTATTTACGAATGCAGGCTACGTATCCATTTCCGTTGGGGAGGGAGAGGAGGTGGGATGAAGGGTTGGAAGAGGGTCAGGGTTAGACCCCATCTCATACATTTATCCCAAGAGCTCTACCCCTGCTTGTCCAATTACTCGACATCTTCTCAAAGGATACGTGGTTCCTTTCCCCCAATCCTCAGCATACCCAATTTTCTATTCTGATACCTATTATCCCCGATATTTTCACATAAAACATCTTGATTTACAATCTGGTTTCTTTGCTTGTTCTACTTGGAATGAATTCATGGTTTTATGTTGAATCAATTTTAGTTCAAAGTCCCGCAGTTTTCAATTCACCAACCTAATATTATAAAACCAAAAAAACCAAGATTTGGTTGTTTAGGAAAAAGGTTGCTTAAAGAAAAGGCTAAAATTTGAATTTTCAACATCTGGTTCTTTGCTTGTTCTACTTGTTCTACTTGTTTTGTTCTACTTGTTCTTTGTTCTACTTGTTCTACTTGTTCTACTTGTTTTGTTCTACTTGTTCTACTTGTTCTACTTGTTTTGTTCTACTTGTTCTACTTGTTCTACTTGTTCTACTTGTTCTACTTGTTCTTTGTTCTACTTGTTCTACTTGTTTTGTTCTACTTGTTCTACTTGTTCTACTTGTTCTACTTGTTCTACTTGTTTTGTTCTACTTGTTCTACTTGTTTTGTTCTACTTGTTCTACTTGTTTTGTTCTACTTGTTTTGTTCTACTTGTTCTACCTGTTCTACAAGTTGAAGTTTTTAGTGATTATTAAGTCTCTTCGAAAATTTCCCAAAAATTTCTCAACAAAGACATGAAACTGTACTATTTTATTTGTCTTTTTATGTGCAATGACAGTTTTTACTTCTTTAAGCTTTTATTTTGAGTTTTATTGATTTTAGTAGTGTTAAACTATGGAAAACAATCAAAATTTATCATTTTTTTTGTTGCTTTAACGGTTTGCTTTTAGCCTTAAAACTAAATTAAGTTAATAATTCTCTAAAGAAACAGAAAACAATTACAATATAGTATTTTTACTTAAAATGATAGAAGCAAGATGGAGTTGGAGTAGCTGGTTTAGTTGGAGTAGCTGGTTTAGTTGAAGGAGCTGGTTTAGTTGAAGGAGCTGGTTTAGTTGGAGTAGCTGGTTTAGTTGGAGTAGCTGGTTTAGTTGAAGGAGCTGGTTTAGTTGGAGTAGCTGATAAACAACACAAAGTGGGAAATATCTCTAAAATAGGCAAAAGTCTCGTCGAGATTACAGCTCAAGACACTTCCAAATTCTTAAGTTGAACACACCGGTCCTTTAGATCTATCAAAAATAAGATCTATCATCTTTATTCTCCTCTTACAAGAGTTACGTTACTTTTAAGACATTCAATCAATGTTCACTTTCTATTTTGCAGTGTAAAAAATAGCTTGACAGATGCTTAAATAATTGATCACTGATCTCTGATCAAAAAGGTTTTCAAATGCCAATTACTGCCAAATGTTTTTTTTTTTTGATAAACTCGTATAGTTGGCTACATTCTTTCCCCTGTGTGATAAGAATTCAACTTCAAATTTCGTTGTTTTCGTTGTTTAGCTGCTAAAAATCGTTGTATTCATTTTTCTGAACAATTACGACTTGGGGGAAACTAGTTGGAGTGAAATGTAAAGAAAAATCTGAATAGTTTGAGAAGTGAATTGAGAAGAGAATTGAAGTGAAAAGAAAAGAAAAGATTTCTCTTCATTTTTTGAACTGATAAAAAACTTTTTTTCTTTTCTCTTTTCTATTGAAAGTCTCTCTATCAAGAAATTCTATTTTATTAGTTGCTTTGCTTTGCTTTCTCGAGTTTGTTCTTTTTTTTAAATATTTTATTTCTTTTATTCTTTTTATTCTTTTTATTCTTTTTATTCTTTTAATAACATTTAATAATAATATTCTTTAATAACATTTATTTATTTGAGTCCAATCGTCTCGAAACCTTTAAATTATCTGTAGATGATCTTGATCTTGAAGCTCTAGTGGATCCTTGACGTCATCTGTGCTACCCACATTTTACATATATTATATCGTGTTTCTTTTTATCGGCCCTTTTCGTGTTATGTGTATGAATTCATGTGTTTTAATCTTAAATCTAGCGCACTTTATCTCAGGTCCTGAATAAAGTATCTATATTTGTGAATCTTTTGCTCAAAATCATTTCATTTTTCTTTTTTCAGATGGATCCAGCTGAGTTTCGGGAATGGGGAAAAAAAATGGTCGATTTTGTAGCCGATATGTGGGGTTTGTTGAAAAGAAAATTTGGGTTTAAGTGAATACCGTATTTTCTCTAATAGTAGTGCACCCCGGCGAGCCGATTTGATGACTATTTTACGGTTTCCAAGCTTTTGCAGAAGATAAAAGAAGATTGCTGGAATTCAGGGATTTATGCCGGAACGGTTTGCCAGACGCCGAGCACGCAGCCGCACAAAGAACAGTTTACAGTCATTTACAGGCATTTTAGATGTTATAAAAAGAAGATATTTGAGCTGTAAATTTTCCGGGGGTACTCAGGGTAGGCGAATCGATTGGAGCTATCGATTGGAGCTATAGTGCACCCCGCCGAGCCGAGTTGATGACTATTTTACGGTTTTCCAAGCTTTCCCAAGAAACTCAACACTAAAATCCCCAACTAGATCTCATCGTCAGCTACATTTTCCGACCCCACATCGATAGGTTCTGATAAGCGGTTCTCGAGATTACGAGGAATTTAGGCAGCGCTCAGGGTGCACTACTATTAGAGAAAATACGGTACTTATTTATTTATTTATTTAGAAGATTTTCTTATTATTTTTTAAAATTCTTTTAAAACCTAGAAGAATATTTAGAAGAATATTTAGAAGAATATCTAAAAGAATATTTAAAGGAATATTTAGAAGGAATCCCTGATAGAACCCCGTTACCAGATGTGAAACCTGGATATATTCAAGCATTGGTACAATAAAGTGAAATTTCTTTTGAAAAAACAAAATCTAGGTACCCCCACAAGCGCCGAATTACCCGGAGAAATGGCAAGCTGTTTTTGATGATCTTGAAAAGGTGGACAAGTTTGGGATTTTCTCAGACTCCTTTATGTAACTGTAAACCTTTTCTCACAAGGAAAGGTTAACTGGTTGACGAAATCCTATGCGAACTATACCATTCGACACAGAATTTGATGTTGATTCGAAATATGTATTCCGTTTTTGCTAAATCACAATCTACCACGAGTTAAAAGCCTCTAAAGTCTTGTTAGGACTCTGAAAATGTGGTCTTAGCCGCCTCCTTGCGGACCGTTGCCGATGCAGCCGTGGCCGAGTGGTATAGCGTTGGCTTCTAGAGCGAGACCTCACAAGTTCGATCCCCACTTTGGATTTTTCTTTGGCTTTTTTCGAGAACTAGTGTTCTTGCGAACATATTTCTTGTTGTCACACTTTTATAAAACATAACATACCGTAAATACTGTAATAGTACCCCACCGCCCTCGTACAGTCGCGTAGTCGCAAAAGTTTTTTAGGATTTCATTTTTTACAAAGCACCCGTACTTTCAAAAAATACGTCTTTGGTATCAAAAAATAGCCCTGAATCTCAGCTATTTTTTGATACCTAAGCGCGCATTGTAGCATAAACCAGTGTCGAGAAAAACTCGTTCAAAGCTAGACTGCGCAACACTCCGCACCGTCATTATGGGGGTGGGGTACTATTACAGTATTTACGGTAGCATTTGGCCGGCTCAGCCAGTTGACCTTCCCTTGTCAGAGTCATTTCATTTATGTAACTTAAAGGTGGTTCTATCCGGTGTCACGTGGTGGCATCATCCCAACTTCTACGCATATTTCCCCACAGCACTCTCTCATCATGCAATTGTTGCTGACATTCTCTCTGGTGGAATCTCCGCGATTGGTTTCACTTGGGTAAATGATTTTCTGTATTCCATATTCTATCTGTTTCTCTTTTTCTTTTCAGAAATCTTGTCCTTCAATGACTGAACTCGAGCTAGCCGTTCTTGATTGGCTCGTCTCGGCGCTCGGTCTGCCTGATCATTTCCGCAACTCGCATCCTGGACCCGGCTGTGGAATCATTCAAGTTAGTGAAAAGAATACTTGACAATTAATCTTTCCTTTTTAGAGCACAGCCTCCGATGCAACTCTCATCGCCTTTTTTGCCGCTCGAGCAAAAGCCGTTGAGGTGAAACGCTCTTTACTAACCTTAATTTTAATACTTTAGGAAATCAAAAACTCGCCCACCATGTTGCAATCAATTCAAACAGAAGTTGGGCAAAAGTTCAAAGATCTTCTAGGAAAATCACCATTTTCAGTAAGTTGAAATGAATAAATGAAATCAAATCCGAAAAGGGAAAGAAAGGAGCAGAACAAGAAGGGCAACACTCGTCCGAGATCTATCTTCATCCATTCCACGATCCGGCTGTCTTTGATCGTCTTGTCGCTTATTGCTCAGATCAAGTGAAATATTCTTATCGTAAAATCATCTTTATCACTAGGCTCATTCATCAGTTGAAAAAGCGGCAATGTTGGCCGGTGTACGATTGCGCAAATTGAGAAGTGAACGTGATGAAAGATACGGGAATTTCTCCGTCACAGCAGCCACCCTTGAAGCAGCAATTAAGGTAAATGTGTTTCAAAATAGATTTCTTCACACGAATAATTTGGTATAAACAATAGAAAAGCAGCCCTAAATACCCTAAACCCATTAGGGAAGAAAAACCCATCGATAGAAAAAGATTGAACCGGAGGATTGAACTGGAGGGATTGAACGGAAGGGATTGAACTGGAGGGATTGAACTGGAGGGATTGGACTGGAGGGATTGGACTGGAGGGATTGAACCGGGGGATTGAACCGGAGGGATTGAACCTTTGACCTTTCGACTAAGAAACAAGACCCTTAGCCAATCGGCTATGAGATTTGATTTGTTGTTGTCAAATATTTAATCCTTTTATGATTTACAGGAGGATCGTGCTCATGGTCTTCACCCATTCATTTTCCTTCTCACAATGGGCACCACCAACACTTGTGCGATTGATCCGATTCGGGTAAAACAAATTAGAAGCTCAGTTTAATCAAAAGTTTAGGAACTGGCCACCATTTGCAATCGGGAAAAGATTTGGGCTCATGTTGATGCCGCTTATGCAGGTTGGAAACGAAAAAAACTCTTATAATTATAATAATACTATGATATAATATAATAGCATAATATAATATAATAATATAATATAATATAATAATATAATATAATATAATATAATAATGCAAATGCAATAGTTTTAAGGTGGTTTCCTTTTGTGCCCGGAATTCCGGGGGATGGGCGATGGACTTGAATTAGTCGACTCGTTCAACTACAACGCTCATAAAACAATGATGGTCAATTTCGATTGTTCGCCTTTATGGTAGATTAGTTTATTAACTTTAGATTAACTTTAGAATCAATTTTAACTTTAACAAGAGAAAACATTATATTTATAGGTTGAAAGACGGGAAATCGGCTGTGAAATATTTCAACGTTGATCCAGTCTATTTAAAGCACGAACATCAAGCGAACACTGCTGACTACAGGGTAAGTGACGAATATAAAAATTTAATATAATATAATATACAGTATGAGATTTATTTTAGCATTTACAAGTCGCTTTGGGAAGACGGTTCCGTTCGTTGAAGATTTGGTTTGTAATGCGAACGTTTGGAATTGAAAAGATTCAACAATATTTGAGAGATGTGAGTGACTGGGGAATCTAGAATAAACTTCTCTTCTTTTCTTCTTTCCCCTTTTCTTTCCTTTTTTTCTCTTTCAAGTTAAGCTACCGAATAGCTCAGTGGATAGAGGAATTGCAGAGGTCTAGGAAAGCAAAAGGTCAAGCGATCAATGCGCTCTCCAGAAATCTACCTTTCCTTGTCAATTTCTTCACTTATTTATAACTAATACTTTGATATTTATAACTAATACTAATACTTTCAAGTAAGATATCGGATAGTTTAATGGTTAAACCAAAGAAAAATGTCAAGAATTCAAAAAGATCAAGAATTTAAAAAGGTCAAGAAATTCTCAATTCTAACTTCCGATAAGACTCAAGTTGTCCGCTGTTGGGCTATCTGAATTGGCTTTGAATCTTTTGAACTGATGAATTGAATCTTTTGAACAAAATTGATTGCTGATTGCTATAAAAATCACCGGAATCCTCTCCGGAAATCTTTCCATTCTTTACCTAATTTTCCAGGGTTGTGCTCACGCTGAGGTGTTCTCGCGGCTCATCGCTGCTTCGTTAACCTTTGATCTGGTTGTACCTCGAAATCTAGGACTTGTTTGCTTCAGGATCAAGAATGTAAAGAAATATTTGTTTTCTGTAAATTTATGAAAACATTAGGCATCAAATGAGGTGAATGAGGAGTTGTGCAATGCGATTAACGAGGATCGACGGATTCACATTGTTCCCTCAAAGGTGAATAAGTTTAATGCTTTCAAATCTAATAAAAAGCAATTAAAGCAATTAAATTGTTTATAGCAATCCTTGGAGAACTTGAATCGTTTAAAGAAATTGATTTCCCAGGTTGGCGAAGTGTACTTTTTGCGTTTGGCCCTTTGCTCGCAGCTCACCACCGAGAAGCACGTGCGTTTCGCGTTTGACGTCATTTCCGAGGTTTCATTTTCATTTTTCAACATTTATAGCAATCAATTTTGTTTAAAAGATTCAATAAATAAGCCAAATTCAGGTAGCCCAACGGACGCTTGACAAAATGAGTCTCATCGGAAGTTAGAATTGAATTTTTTTTATTTTTTTCAAAAATCTTTCTTATCCCAATCGCTTTTCTATAATTTTGCATATAAAAACAAAAAAAAAGTATAAAGATCCTGTAAATGACTCAGGATTTTGATATTTTGAAGTATTTTTGAAGTATTTTGACGTATTTTGACGTATTTTTGAAGTATTTGACGTATTTTGAAGTATTTTGAAGTATTTTGAAGTATTTTGACGTATTTTGACGTATTTTGACGTATTTTGACGTATTTAGACGTATTTTGAAGTATTTTGAAGTATTTTGACGTATTTTGAAGTATTTTGAAGTATTTTGACGTATTTTGACGTATTTTGAAGTATTTTGAAGTATTTTGACGTATTTTGACGTATTTTGACGTACTTTTGAAGTATTTTGAAGTATTTTGAAGTATTTTGACGTATTTTGACGTATTTTGACGTATTTTGAAGTATTTTGACGTATTTTGAAGTATTTTGACGTATTTTGACGTATTTTGACGTATTTTGAAGTATTTTGACGTATTTTGACGTATTTTGACGTATTTTGACGTATTTAGACGTACTTTTGACGTATTTTGACGTATTTTTGAAGTATTTTTACTCATTACAATATGCCTACATAGTATTCAGACTGAATGGCTTTCAACTTTAACTAAAGTAAAGTAAAGTAAAGCATGCTAGATATTTTATTCAAAGATACTGTAGTTTTAAGGAAAATTAGTGTAGTTAATAATATTGTAGGTGAAATGGATGCAAATTTCATTCAAAAATGTGTTTGGGATAAGCGAGATGAAAGAAATCAGACTTTCTCGCCATTCAACTAGTTTTTTTTCTGTTCTTTATCCAATTTCTTTCCAAATTTAGCTATAAATCTTCTTCGTTTATGCATAGAAATGCAAAAATTCTCTCGTCTATAGTTTAGAATTTGTCATATTTAGTGTTTTTTGTGGGGTAAGCTAATTTCCGCAAATTTTTTTTGGACAACATTGCGCAACTCGCCATAACTTTCTTTTAAGTCGGCCAATCTTTATGATGTTGCTTTCATTTTGTTGCACTTATTGAGATCTACAAAATGAAATCAAAATCATAAAGGTTGACCGACTTAGAAGAAAGTTATGGCGAGTTGCGCAAACGACCCAGGTTGCGCAAAAAAAATCGCGGAAATTAGCCTACCCCGTCAATATTATAAGTCGATTTTCATGAAAAGATATTCAGCTAAAGCTTTATTATCACCGATTATCACCGATTTTCACCCAACGACCCAGTTGCGCAAAAAAAAATTGCAGAAATTAGCGTACCCATTTTTTGTCAAATTAGGAATCCATTTATTCAACCGCAGAGATAAAAGAGATAAAAAAGATTAAAAAAAAACCCAATAAAACCCCGGAAAACCAATTATTTTATCATATAAATAGAAAATAAATTACAAAATATTACAAAATATTACAAAATATTATAAAAATAATACAAAAGATTATTTTAATCTTTAGTCTTTTTAAAAAGGCACAATTTTTTTTTTAAGTGAGTATATGCGTTCGAAAATCACAGAAAATAAGAAACTTCAAGAAAAAATCACAGAATCTTTACAAATGATCACAAAAAATCACACTAGAAAGCAGGTTTTAGAAGAAATTTTTTTGAAAAAAAATGGATTATGATTTGTTTTTAGCGACCAAATGAATTCTAATGGACAAACATGCTTTTTTTTGAACAACAATTGATTGTTTAAAACCTTTTAATATGCGAATAATAAGTAAAAAACAGTTTCAAACAGTTTCAAAACCTTTCAAAACCTTTCAAAACCTTTCAAAACCCAAAAGAATGTTAGAAATTAAAGTAATGGCTATATATTAGAGTATAGAAGAGAGGAAAATGAGTTTTCAAGATATCTTGAAATATCATGATATCAAGGTATCAAGGTATCAAGATATCAAGATATCAAGATATCAAGATATCAAGATATTCAATCATCTTTGAATTGCTATTTTGCGAGAGTAATCAAATTGATGGATTGATTGCTTGGAAAGAATCAATATTTGCTTATTAATAGATAGATATGTAAAGAATATGAATACTTTGACCTTTTTGTTATTGCTTAAGCTGTTTCTTGATCCTATTTTAAGCCACCATCGTCGGTATATAGAGTGAATTGATTGCCTCACAGAGATGCGTCGGATGCACGTGACGTTTCGTATCCAAAGAGAACACGGTTTCACGATGTCTAGAAATTCGATTTTAGAATGTTTTATCTAACTCTGTCGTTTGTATTTCAAGAATTCTACAATTCTTTCTACTTTAGTTGTCGTTTTTATCGGAATGAGCTCAAAGAATCAAGTTCAACTTTCATGACTCAACTTTCATAACTCGATAACTTTCTCTTTCTTCCTTTCTTTCTCTTCCTTATCTCTAGTATATTTTTCTAACTTAACCATCTTGTTTGGAATTGATTTGTGAGCCAGGAGGTGATACATTTTATAACATTCGGACAAATTTTATACTTCTTAAGCTTATGAATCAGAAAGAAGTGAGGGACAGTATCAAACGCTTTAGCATAGTCGAGAAAAAAATAGCATCAAGTTGCATTTTGTGCTTATTCTCTATAGCCCGGACAAAATCTCTATAAGATAAAAGCAATTGGTCAACTGTGGATTTGTTTTCCAAAAAGCCGAATTGTTGTTCGGATAAAAGATTGTTCATGTTTAGATGACTGATTATTTTATTATGAAGGATAATTTCAAAAAGTTTGGATAAGGGTGAGGTCAAGCTAATGGGTCGGTAGTTTGAGAAATGATTTTTAGGGGAAAATTTTGATAATGGTATAACGAAAGATTCTTTCCATTTGAGAGGGATTTCTCCATCGATCAAAATTCTTTTAAATTCTTGTAACAAATTCTTATAGTCATTCAGTACTTTCTCCAATTATTTTTCACATTTCTTTACCTGAGTGGTCTAGCGTGCTCATCTCTCACTAAACGATAGGCTCTCGAGGCATTGATCGCTGTTGTTCGCACCAAATACGCGAGCTCACTTCGCCCCACCAGAGCTCCTATCATTAAAGATATTAAAGATAAATGTATCTGGTTTTGTAATACTGTTTTTCAATCATCTCACCATCAAACAGTGGCCCGAACTCGAGCGGTGACTGTGTCTCGATTCTCACTCGATAGTTGTGCTCATCAGCTGCTTCAACAATCAGTAGCACATCGCAGAACTAAAATGGTTTTTAAAAAAATCACTTTTTCATTTGTTTTACCTTTGTAGCAATGATATCTCGTCGATATCGTTGGGGATTTTCGTTCCAGACAATGTGCACCTGGAAATTTCAACCTTGAAAACATCAGTTGTCTCTCAAACCTCATCATTCCCAAGATGCCGAATCTTGCTAGTTGCCTCTCCATCAAGCTTTGTGCTCACATGGAAAATCACCTGAAATCATTTCTAGAACTTGGAGCATCTCAATTTTAAACTATCAGTTCTAGTTCTAAAGTCAAAATCTAGCTTTAAAGCTGTTTTCTTCCTTGTCTTTCTTATTTCTTCTCATCCAAAGAAGGCACCGATAGCTCAGTGGTAGAGTTCTTGCCTGTTAAGGCTTAGGCTGTGCTTAACAGGCTCTGGAAGGGAATTGAACCCTTCCAGATTTGTTTTGTCATTCATTTCTTTACTAACCTCACTATCGGGCATCGCCCAATAATTTGCCAAACTATCCACTGCCAATCCACCCGTATACCCTTCGTGATTCTTGCCGATTTTCACCTAAACTTTTCTTCGACTTTTACTGAAATCTTTCCCATTTTACCTCCCAGCCTAACTCATTGATGAACTTCTCGAAATCGGCTGAATGCGTAGCGGTGGAAAGGATTGCTTGTTTCTCCTAAACAAAATTTTACAAACAAATTCATCTTTCAACAAACCATTGGACCAGGTGGGACATAAATCACCGCAAATTTGTGCACTTCTCGAGCACCGGTGCTATCAAGATGGCGAAGATCACGCGCAAAATTGACTGGTACCTGGAAAAAGGGCTCTAGTACACAGATAGTTATAGTACAATTAATAACTAACAGAAGACTAATAGAAAAACCATAGTCTTACATGAATTTTTACGGTAAATGAATGCCGTATCATTTTTACCTCACTAGCAGCGGAGACAAAACCCATGGTGGCGGCGAAAGATCTCCATTCGAGGAGGCGACTTGATGGCAATGCTTTTGGTGGACTGTGAAGAGCATTCAACGATTGAGGAGTTCTAGAAGATTTCTTTTCCCTTACACTCTAGCAATTCTTTTACCTCTTCGATGTCTGAATCAACTGCAACCATGACTCGGAATCGAGCGAAGTCGCCGGCTGAACTGGGGTTAATTCTCTTGTGAATAGAGCATCCAATGGATCCTCCATCGTTCCCAGAATCCCACCTCCATCCCTTCCACCCCTGAAAGATATATATATTTCTATATTTTTTTTTCCTTTTTACCTTCTCCCTTTAGCCACTTCTCTTTTGAGCCAATCGGTGACAGCAGTGCTTTGATTTCTCTCCAACGAATATTGATCGATCGACCAAACGTGTTTGTTGATCGGCGTTCGACAGGTCAACTCACACAAGCCGTTCTTTGCGACACTAAAGCAAAAGACTAGCTAAAGCAAGCAAAACAAGCAAAGCAACTTTTTTTTACCTAATAATGACTTTCTTTCGATCAACAAAAGCCACTTCTTGTCGATTGATTGTGTTCGATGGGGAAAGCGGCATATCGATGGAGTTCCATTTAGCGGCTGAGAAGCCCGGCAAAGGCCATTGACCGCTTAGAGTTACCATTGCTCCTTCTGAATTGGAAAGCGAAAATAAAGAAAGCCTTTTCAACTCAAACCCAAAATTTGTTGTCGATCAGCGAGAACTCCACACAGAACATTTGGTGCTTCTCGGCGTCGTCCCTCCATACAAAGGCTCACCAATTGCCATTCCACCTAGAAATTATTGATAAAATTTAATATCATCTTAACAAAATAACATTTAATATCATTTAATAGCAATAAGAATAAAAGAAAACTCTTTTGTCGGGAGTGGGACAAATGCGACCTTTTTTTGCGCACCCGGACATTTGCGCACCTTTTTTTCCGCACTTAGCCCATTAGCGCACCTTTTTTCGCGCTTTAAAAAAGCTCTAAAAAGCTAATATTAACCAATTTCTATGCTAAAAGTTGTTTTTCTAGGTAATTTGAGGGTGTCGAATTCAAATTTTGACATAACAGAGCGTGTGGAACCAATTTGAAAGACAAAACGGCTAGATCAAATTACAGAAAATTGTCGATTTTTCTCTTTGTATAACTCCGTCCGTTCGCTTCCACAAGCTCTGATATGTCAAAATTTCGATTCTACGCCCTCAAATTACCTAGAAAAACAACATTTGGAATAGAAATTGGTTAATCTTAGCTTTTTCGAGCTTTTTTAAAACGCGAAAAAAGGTGCGCTAATGGGCAAGGTGCGGAAGAAAAGGTGCGCAAAAAAAGGTCGCATTTGTCCCACTCCCCTTTTATCAAACTTTTATAGCAAAAATTGGGGTTGATTTCTGGAAACTCCACAAAATAGGAAAAATTTAGCTTTTTCGAATGTCTATTTGATAAGAAAATCTTGCTGTTGAAGCTTTTCTAGTGTTATATTTTTTTTGTTGAATGATAGGTTTTTAAAGTAAAATACAACAAGTTTGATTGAAGGAATCCCTTTCTAAATGAAAATATTGTGTGTCAAAAATGGCAAATCATTGGAGAGAGGTCGAACTCATTCAATAGCTTGTAAAATGAGTCATATAATTCCAATCGGGAAGTTCTTTGTAGAAAAATGATGCCAAGATCAAGGGCTTTATTTTTCTATATAACACTTGGCACTTTTTAAAATAAGTCAGATGTTTGCCAGGAACTTTTCTAAAAAAAGTGTCATCCTGTATAATGCAACTTTCGTATACACAACTTTTCAACTCAAAATCATCGGAATTTTATTTTCTCACCTCTGTTCGCATCCTCTCATCTCGAAGCGCACCAGCGCAAGCTCTTAATGTCTAAATTCTTAAAATTACATTGTTTTTTTAAAAATGATTTTACTTCAAGAACCGCACTGCTCATCCCGAATCGTGCCAATGGAAGAACCGACGAGCAAAAAGTGGGCAACAATTTAGCACAAAGGCGATGATTCCGCAAACAATCAACCACTGAACATTCGTATATAAAATGATTTTCTTTTTTTTTCAAACCTCTTTGCATCAACTCGATATCAGCTCTTTGCACAATGAGAAGTGCAAGAGCATTTAAGCATAGAAGATATAAAGGAAGGGTGAGGTCGGCCTGAAAGTTTTGCTTATTGATCAATATCTTATCTTTCTTTTCATTTACTTGAGAAAGATTTCGAAGGAGCAGCGATTCGACTGTCGAGTGTTCACCACAAAGCAAAACTAACGCCTGAAAATATTTTTTGAAAAATAGAAATAAGATTTATTGAAACCTTAAGCAGATCACTGCTTGGAGCATGTGAAAGACGAGGGAGAGCTTGCAGGAGATGTGGGGAAAGAATCGAGAGATGACGAGGGCTCATTGATGGGAGTTGTGAGACAACCGATTGTTCGGCTGATCCAAGAAGACCGATCAACGAGGAGAGGATGTGAGCCTGCAAAAAGAATCGCACTGATGGCATAGATTGAAGTGTAAACTTTTAAAGAAGCTGGATTTCCGATGAGCAATAATAAGCAAAGCTACAAAAGGCACTCCTAAGTGCTCCAATACCTGTAGTTGTGGTGGCGATTTGTTCGACGAAAGCACATGAACGAACGGGGCAACGCATTGCGGAAGAATCGATGAGGGGACAATCAAGAGTCGGCTGCACAACCAGTGCGCCAGAGTGTTTAAACCCACAGTGAGTAGGTGCTAAAAGAATTTCCAACCTTTACAAATGCCAAATTTTACTTGAATTGTTTGTCCAATCGTGTCAACAGCCACAACGGCAGCTCCTTTGGATTGCGGACCGAGGAGACACATGACTCGCTTCCAAACGCAAATCCATCGAGTCGTGTCACCGTCCCAAGTCTGGAAATTGACAAATATCAAATATCAAAGAGAATCAAAGAGGCTTTGGGTTTTGCATAGGATAGCTTTTTACAAAGAAAAAACCCGGATTTTGTCAAAAGACCCTGGATTTCCGATAAGAACCAAAATTTGACATTTGTCATCTGTGATTAGCATTAGCATTAGTGATTAGTCAACTTACACTTGTTGCCATATAATAACAAGCACTAATCGTTTGCTTACCTGAACATTTCTCGTGATATCATCGGTATCAATGAAGACAACATCGTCAGCCGAATCATCGGTGGCCACCGAGTTAGCCTCATCACCAACTCCGCCAGTTGGTGACGGTTCGCCTGAATGCATTGAGCTATTTTATTACTATTATGATATTATTATTGCACCTTGTGGTTCCACCATTGAACGACCGAAATTCTCGGAGCGAATTCCACGTCTTGCCGGGATTGGTGGTGTCTAAAAGTCGAATTTTACAAGCTAGCTTTTGTTAAATCAAATCTAAATCGACAGCTATCAAATCTAAATCTACCTGTGCGTTCTGCTCGATTTCTTCTTTTGTAAAGATGTCGACATGTGTTGCGTGAAGTATCATGGCCCTAGTGACAGCGTGAGCTATCTAAAAATTCGATTCTTAAGTCTGTTTGGGTTTTTTCCGGGTATTGGATCATCGGCTTTCAATTCCCGCTTACCTTAGCCCATTGAGTAGCAATCGGCATCCAGATTCCGTGAGCAAAAACATTATGAACATTGTCCCAAATCTTGTCATCAACTTCCACACCCCGGATTGCCTGGAAAGAGATTTTTAAGAATAGCTTTTGGAAGATTATTAAACTCTGACCTGCTCTGATAGTGAAATTCAATACATACGTTAAAATTTAAATTGGATGGATAAGATATCGTAATCAGTTACTCAAAAGTATCCCATTGTCTGTTTGTTGTAAATTTTTGTACTCTAAAAACCTCTTTTAGTCCTCGCGTTCGGTATCTTATTCATCGACTTTAAATGCATTAAAATCAAAGATCAAAAGGAGCGTTCGAGCTCCTTTTTTCATTTTTACGAAATTGATCAAGTTTGAAAGTTTCCAAACACGATTTGAACATCAAAAAACTTCTCGATTTCACTTTGCAAGTGTTGAACAGTTGTGATAGTACCAAGTTTTTCTATTTTAAGCAAAGTTTACCATAATAATGGGAAATTTTGTTAAATTGTGCATTTTCAAGGCATTGAGCCACACTGAGACACGGTTTCACAAGAAATTACAAAGCTCAAAGTAATACCCGAACGATCACCATCGCTGAAAGAATGGTGGAAGCGAAAGCAGCGGCTGTCTCTTGAGCGAATCGATCGGCACTCGAGCAAACATCGATTCCAGCGTCACAGAGTCGAGCAATTAACTCATTCCTATTAAAATCGAATTTAAATTCAACAACTCCTTTACTTTACCAAAAACGAGTGGAGAGTGGTTGGGGCAACTGCTTGCGACAGATCAAATCGCGACAAGCTCTGAAAAAATCGTCATTCTCAATTTGAATATCGATACAAACTTCAGAATTGTGAAAGCAATCGATGTAGCAGATTGTGCTCGATCACCAGGTTGTTTCAGATAAGGAGAATGGAAAAATGAGAGCAAAACGTGTAGAACTAAAAGGGAACACGAATCAGCTGTTACTGCACCCGAAGCCACGAATCGTGGGATTTCTTGTTGTGTCAACCAGGCAGCCAATACAGAAACCACCTTAAATCTTTAATATTATAGAAATCTTCTTTTTTTGCTTACTTTATGAATGACATTGTTGCAAGGAAGAGGTAATTGCATAGCTTCTCGTTGCAGCGAAAGAAGGGTATTCGTGGCGGCAGCACACGAGAAGAGAGCTTGATGGAAAAGCATTAAACCCGGGTGAACAGTGCCATTGTTCGAGCTGATCGTCACCCCAGCGACATTGTTGATCCATCTGATGAGCCAATATCTGAAAAAATATTTGTGTAAATGGAAAAATAGCTGTTGAACCTGGCAATGATCACAGGATCAGCTGTATCCAATGTCTCTGCAGAGTCACCGGCTCCTTCCCATCCACCGAAAACATCAACACCATTCGTCTCCAAATCGGGAAACGTTTCATGAATATAAAGAGCTAAAGTTTTTTATGTGAGGAGCGTTTTCAAGTTTTAACTTACAGATCACTTTGTCTAGGATGAACTTGGCGCACTCGAGTCGATGGCTTTCATCATTCCATTCAATTCGAGTTGTCTCTCTTGTACAGTACTCCAAAAACTTGTCCAAGTAAACCTATTTACAAGTCATTTCTATTTTCTTTTACGTTTCTTCAAACTTGTAACATTTGAGCTCTTTCCTTAGCTGTAAGCTTTCCTCCAGATGAAGTTGAAGTTTGACTTGATTGTGACGTCCATTGGACTGTTCCTAGAATTTTCTGATACGAATTTCGGTATGTTTTTGATCTTACCCGCTGATTGACAGTATTCTTGTAGAATCAACTCGGTGCTACCGCCATTTCGAAGTGGAAAGTACGGTAAAAGACACTGAACATTAATGTTTAATCGTCACATTTTTTTTGTACCTGAAAGACTCGATCCAAGTCTGGGGTGGTTTTTCCAAAAACAGCAAGCTCTTGGTACCAAATCAAGAAAAGGCGGATCGCAATTTTTCGAACAGCCAATAAATTATGCGGATAAATCGCCTTTTTCAGGAGTGATTCAATAGCATGTAGTTGCCATCCTGGAAATTTACGTTTTACAAAGACTTTCCGCTTATTTACCATTTCCAACAAGTTCGGGCGCCAAGCAAAGCAATTGCTCAAGGGTCCAGAGACCACTTTCAGCTTCAATAGCCGCCTAAAACTTTTTTAGTTTTAAATTTAAACACACAGTTGACACCTGTGGGTTTCCAGAAATCTCGGTCTGAAGTAACAATTCATCGACTAGGTGAAAAGTTTCAAAAGAATAATCATCGATAAGCTGACGTTTTTCCTAAAAAGCTTTATGTGAATTTTTCATTTTGGTATTTTGCTCACGTGAACATTTAAACTGTCAAGCAGAAGTTTTAAATGTTTGACTCGGCTAATCGGATCCCGATGAACATCAGAAAATCGTTGGATCTGAAGAGTTTTTAGGTGTATAGTTTCATTTTAAAGCACGATTCTTTAACAGAATACCGTATTTCTTCGAATAGAAGACCGGGTAAAGAGTATCATCGCGTGCTCCTGCGTAGCAGCCCTTTTTAAAATTTCTTTTCTGCATAAAAGCTTTCAATCAAGTGCTATAGAGCTGGAAAATGGCTCAAAAATCTGTTAGCTCATGTGGTATTTTTGAGCCATTTTCCAGCTCTATAGCACTTGATTGAAAGCTTTTATGCAGAAAAGAAATTTTAAAAAGGGCTGCTACGCAGGAGCACGCGATGATACTCTTTACCCGGTCTTCTATTCGAAGAAATACGGTATCCATTTTTTTGAACCAACCGATTGCAACATATCGGAACTTTTTTGTTTTCGAGCGAACATTTTTGAAGAATATGCATACGTCGACACCCACTGACCGAAAAAAGACTTATTTTCAAAAATCTACAAGATCATTCAATAATAAATATGAGAGTAAAAATTTACTCGTTGAAAACAACGATAATGTACTTCATAAAAAAACTTTTATTCGTTTTTAAAAGACCTGATTGGCATTAAATAAGCAATAAGAATCCAGATTAAAGCAAGAAAAACAAATAGTAAATGTCATTCGAATAAATAAGTCACAAGAAAAGCATCCCGTTGAAAGAAATGTATCACAAGGTGGAGTAGGAAATTTAACCGAACTTTTACGCAAATTTAGCACATCAACAACGTTTAACAAATGATTATGATTATACTCAAAACTATTTAAAATCTATTAATAAATGGTAGATAACAATTCCCATAGCAAATCACAGCTAACCATTCACAAAGGCTTTTGCTCGTTTAGATGACTTTTCGTTGCTTCAAATGCTTTCGCGCTTCACCGATTTCGCCCACGAGCTCGAGTTTTGCCTGTAAAGTGAAACAAAATAAAAATATATTTCAGTACATTGTTCTTTACACCTTTCCTACGAACTAATCACAATGCAGTAACATTTTATCAACTAAATAAAACGTTTCTACGACTTTTACAAGAAACTAATCGCGCAATATGTAATAAAACCTCTTTTTAACAATTTACGATTAAATAACGATCAATTTCTATGTTTTAACGAAAGATTTACAAGTAGTAACATAAATATTACTTGGTTGCAATCGTTGAAGGTAAAAACGCCGCATATCACAGAAGAAGCCGCCCAAACACCAAGTGCAAGCACAGCATAAATCGGAGCATATTCAACCACGTGTGATAGGCAATGAGGCAGATTCTAAAAAAGAAAATAAAAATGTGTAAGCCAGTATATACATAATCTTTAGAATACCATATAAAACATTTCAAAACTTTTAAGTCAATGAAACTACTACCAAGCAAAAGTTCGGTTTTTTAAAGATTCTTGCGCTAAATTCTTGAAAATTTTTTTGATATGTATGATAAACTTTGTTTAAATTATCTAACTTTAAACATTTTACAATTTAATAGTAGAATTTAATAGTAGAATTTAAGTTAACAAAAGCGTGATGCTTTTAATTTAAGCGCACAGAAAATTTAAAAACAAAAATTAAAAATCATCGATAAAAACTAATTTTTTAGCCTTTTAAACGTTCAACATCGGCATAATTTTACTTAATCACGTTTGTTTTTACTTAAAACATAAAATTACTCACCATATTCGCCGTAAATCGCCAAAGGGTCAACCAAGAAATGACGAACGTGATAAAATACTTCAAGAAAACGATGAATTGAGTGGCCATTTCTAAAAATAAATATAATAAAATGTTTACAAACATAACGATTCGAAAATATAAATAAAACATAAATAAAATATAAATAAAATATAAATAAAAACAAAGAATAAATCCGAAGTCCCCCAATCCACTCAGCTGTTATGTGCATTCTGAAAAGAAAGAAAGCTTTTCCCCCCCTTATGTTGAATTACCCTATCAAGAGCACAATTTAGAAAGCAATATGTCGCTGCAAACGAGAGAAGAGAGAAAAGGGATCACTTTTCGGGGCAGAAAAATGGAGAATAGAGAGAAAGGGATCGTGAAGAGACACAGCGTTTGGGAGAAAAGGACTCGCCGGGGCTCGTGGGCCAAATGAGGGATTGGATTGGACGGGGGATCTTTTCGGCCGAAAAGCAAAAGAGAAAAAAAGCAGAAAAGGGGTAGGGGGTGAGCCGACAGGAGAGTGTGCACACACGAAGAGAGGGCCGAGGGGGCTCTTGAGCGTTGTGAGCAGCGATCGACGCCCGCCAACGCCGCTCTCTGCCCCCTGCCCCCCGGGCCTTTCCCCCCCAAGCCCTTCCCCTTCACTGTTCTTCACCGGCCGGCGGCGGTTGTCAACTTGGCCATCTCTGGTGGCGGCTCTCTGGCCCCCACCGCACAAAGGTTGACTCGGCGCTGAATTCTCTGTGGCCCGGGCCGCCCACCCGCTGCCGGTTTGCCTACCCGCCGGGACGACCCGTGTCCCGTGGCCACCCCGGCTCCCATCGAAGACGATCTCTCGGACGCGCTCGACTCGATCCCGATCGCGCCCTCGAGTGCGTCCCGAGTGCCCACGACGAGCTCCGGCTCGAGCCCGTTTCGTCTCCTACTTAGGCAAGTGTTTTTTTTTTTCTTTTCCCGTCCAGACAACCATTGTGTTTAAATTCCAAATACAAATTTAATTTGCGAAGTTTTTCTGGCAGATCAGAAAATTGAAATTCCGCATAGGGAATTCTATGCTATTTGTTTTTCAAATTCCCCTATTTGTTTTTCGGCAGCCTACGAAATTCGTTTTTTTTTAACCGCTGGTCTAAACTTTGACATCCAAAAGAAAATATTTTGAATGATTATGTTTATCTTGAAAAAAAAAAATTATTCGGAGGCTGTATGGGATAAATTGGAAAGCGGCGGGGAAAAGGGGAAAAGAAGACAAAAGAATTACACAGTCCATTTTGCAGAGCGATGGAGGACGAGGAGCCGGGGGAAAGGACTCCAGCTCTCGCGGGTCACATGCACCATTCGAGGACTCTCGCCGCACAGGCAAGTCCTTCTTTCTCTTGATCCCCATTCTCATTTCATTTTTCTTGCTCTCATTTCCTTCCTAATGATTAATAGCGTTTACAAGAGACACCAGAGATACGTGAAAAAATTGCGAAAGGCAAGTGGTGACTCTTTTTCTTTTGTGTGTAAGTGTAAGTGCAAAAATTTTTGTGGAAAGCTTGAAAACATGTGGTAAAGTTTAGGCAAGCGAGAGAGCGCACAGTGCCTCACCAAGACGAGTACCGATTTTTGAAAGAGCATCGGCTAGATGGTGGAATCCACAATTCAAGTGAATTTTTCGAGAAAATACGATAAAATCTCAAAAATTACGATAAATCATAGAAAAAGGTTACAGTATTTGAAGAAATCTATGCAAATTTTGATATCAAAAAATAGCTCGCAATTTCAGCTCTTTTTTTTGATACCTATGCGCGCATTGTAGCATAAAAAAGTGTCAAGAAAAGCGCGTTCAAAGCTAGACTACGCAACACTCCGCACCGTCATTTTGGTGATAGGGTACAGTATTTACGAGATTTTACGATATTTTACGATATTTTACGACATTTTACGACAATTTACGACAGCTAACAATTCTCCGACTTTTAGAAGCGCTGCTCTAGAGGCACAGTACTGGAAATGCTCATTCCCTCAATTGCGAGATCGTTTCCGCGCCGGACTTCTCTACATTTGCTTTGTTTGTATTGCTTGGCTCATTTTTCTCACCATCTTTGGTCAAGCGAAAATTTTCTATGCGGTAAATGATAAATCAATGTTTTTTTTTTATATGCAATTTCGTTCAGGTAGTCTCATTAACGCTCGTCGTCGTCAGTCTTGCCATTTACAGTTTCACCGTCTTTTCTGCGCATTATCAAAGGTTGAATAGAGGAAAAAGGAAATTCTAGAGCTAAAATCCTTTCAGATTCTACATGCCAACCTCATTTTTGTGCACTTTTCTGATATGTTTGGTGACGTTGCTCATTTTCAGCGAAGGAAACGCGAATTTCATGTCCCCGGTGGCCACATTGGCAATCAGTATTCAAGTGAGTTTCAAGTTCAAATTGATTCAATTTCAAAATGATAATAAAAATTCGAACTACTAGCAAATGTACTGTAAAAGCCTGATAAAAGCCTATAGGAGCGTCCTATAGAAGCGTCGTGTAGTCGAAGTTTACTCTCAAACAAACGCTCATATCTTGACATCAGTACCTTTATTTTTGCGCGTTTTGGTATCAAATTAAAGTAGAGAAAATGGGCGTTTTTTTGAGGTGTAACACTTATTTTTAACATTAACCAGTTCTTAGAAAAATTTGATTGAAAAGTGGCAAAAAAGAGTCGATTTTTCAACGATTTCCAGGTGGTGCTTTTGATTTACACGGTGATCCCTTTACCTTTATATCTTTGTGTGGCAATTGGTGTCATCTATTCAATTCTCGTTGAGCTTCTTTGTCGGAATAGGTGAGTTTCTTTTTAAAAATAAAAACATTCTTAACATCTACAACTCTAAATGTTTAGAGTGAAATTTGGTGAGGCCGAGTTCGTAAAGTTTTTCATTCATTGCGGAATTCACATGCTCGGTGTACATCTCTTCATTCTTACACAAGTCAATTTTCTTAATTGCTTTTATTTTTAGCTATCTATTAGCTACCGTAAATACTGTAATAGTTCCCCACCGCCCTCGTACAGTCGCGTAGTCGCAAAAGTTTTTTAGTATTTCATTTTTTTCAAAGCGCCCGTACTTTCAAAAAATGCATCTTTGGTATCAAAAAATAGCCCTGAATCTCAGCTATTTTTTGATACCTAAGCGCGCATTGTAGCATAAACCAGTGTCGAGAAAAACTCGTTCAAAGCTAGACTACGTAACACTCCGCACCGTCATTATGCGGGTGTGGTACTATTACAGTATTTACGGTATATTATTATTCTTATTATTATTATCATATTTGATAAACTTTTTCTTAGGTTCGTCAGCGCAAAACCTTTCTCAAAGTCGGGCAATCGCTAATGGCGCGGAAAGATCTAATGCTCGAGAAACAGTTTAAAGATCACATGATTCAATCTGTCATGCCGAAAAAGGTTAGCTACGTTTTTGAAGCTACGTTAGCTACGTTTAACTTAAAATTTGTTATTTTTCTAATAGCCATATTTAGGTGGCTGATGAGTTGCTGAAAGATGCGAACGAGTTGCGCCGTCCCTCAGCCTCACTCGACTCCAATTGCCGTACTTCAAACGCCACCGCTACGCTAAACAACGAAGATCGAAGTGAGTCAAGACTTGAAAAAAATCAATATTTTAAATATTTACAAGAACTAATATATCGAACTAATATATAAATATATTGTAGATCAATCCATCCCTCAATCTGTCCCAGATGTGCGCAAGTTCCGTCCATTCACGATGAATCTCATGACTGATGTCTCTATTCTTTTTGCCGATATTTGTGGCTTTACAAAGGTATCTAAATTTGGAAAATAAAAGTAAAATCTCTGACTTTTTTTCTTAGATGTCATCAAACAAATCCGCTGACGAATTGGTGAATCTTTTAAACGATTTGTTCGGTCGTTTCGACAACCTTTGCCGTCTCTGCGGACTTGAAAAGATCAGCACGCTTGGTGAGAAAACTATAGAAAAAGATACATCTATTTACAAATAATATAGTACAAACAATGCAAAAGCATTCTAAATCTAGGGAAGAAAAAAAAAACATAAAGAAAAAACGAACCAATCTAGCCGATATAGCAGATGGGACTCATGACCTCTTGGTCAACCTCTCGACTAATATCAAAGGCTTTTAGTCAGTCAGCCATGATGGCTTTTAAAAAACTGTGGAATAAAGAAAACATGTTTCAGGCGATTGCTATTATTGTGTGGCTGGTTGCCCAGAGCCTTGTGTAGATCATGGAAAGCGATGTGTCGAGATGGGACTTGAAATGATCGTCGCTATTAGGTAATTCGTTTTCAAAGTCTTACCAAACGAAAATCCTGATGATCAACGCACTTTCTTGTATACGATTTTTTGTGAATAGGTGGAGACGAAGTATGTTGAGGGGTTTGTATGAGAAAAGTTGTATCAACTAAAGAGTTCTGAGTCTCCCAACTTTCACCTTTTACCCACCCGAATTCACCTAGCTTTTTCTCACAAGTCTATCACAAAACCTTTTGACTAAATTTCCCTTATAAATTTCCCTCAATTCTTTTTGATTTCCATTCTTTACCACAATAGTTTTCTAACAATTATAAAGAATTTTGAAAATAAAGAACCTAGAAAAAGGCAAGAATAAAATGATTTAGACAATTCGATGTCGATCGCGGTCAAGAAGTGAACATGCGAGTCGGAATTCATACTGGAAAAGTGAATCATGTTCAACTTCTTTCAATTTCAATGTAAATTTCTAGGTAATGTGTGGAATGGTTGGTACAAAGAGATTCAAATTCGACGTGTTCTCTAATGATGTCACCTTGGCGAATGAAATGGAATCATCAGGGCAAGCTGGAAGAGTAAGTGCTACAAAGCTTAAAATTTTAAGTACGAATTATACGTACAAAAAAAATCTAATTACGAAATAAGTACGACACATCTAATTTGCAATTTTTTCAAGGTGTAGCTGCTTTTTTAGGTCCATATCTCTGAGTCAACAGCAGCTTTTCTCGATAACAGCTATAATCTAGAGGAAGCTCCTGTGTATGCTGGTGAGTTGTTGATCTTGTTGTTGATCTTGTTGTTGATCTTGTTGTTGATCTTGTTGTTGATCTTGTTGTTGTTGTTATTGTTGTTGTTGCTGTTGTTGTTGTTGTTGATGATCAATATTTTCAAAATCTCAGGCCTGAAGACTTACTTCATCGCTGGACGAAACGAGGCAAACGTTTATGATGGAATCGAGAGAGTTGAGCGAGAGATTGCTCCAAATGGACAAAGCAGTAAAAATGTTGGAATGAGCTTCAGAAAGGTATATAGATGTTTAACATAAATGCATGTGTCTTTTTTCCCAAAAAAAGGAAATAAAAGCTGCTTGTTTTTTCGAGAAGAGCTCTTTCTTTGGATCTTTGGGAAAAAATTCTGGGTACTTATTGGTTATCTTCCCACCTCAAAAAAGAAAACAACCATTCAGCCGACTGAAATTTTCCCCCACCAATGCTCTGCTGCAATTAAATTCGAATTCTCGCGCATATGCTAATTTGATTTCTGATTTCGGACCTTTACGGTTAACAGCGGGGGGCTAAGCTTTTGACCAACTTGCAGCCCATTTTTCTATGAGTTTATGTTAATAACTTTTGATAAAACAAATATTTTCTGAAAGTTGACGTTCTAAGCTATCTAAATCTTATTAAAACTTTCTAATCTGATAAGTTTAAAGTGCTTAAAAATGAGATGTAAGTTAGTCAAAAAAAAATGGCCGATAACGGCTATCGCTCGCCGTTAACCGTAAAGATTGCTGGTTTGCCTGTTTAGGTTGTTTAAAAAAAAATATAGAACATAAAGAAAAGGTTTTTATTTTAAAAACAATAGCTATTATTTTGATTTTTATGTAAATTTGATTGCTTAATACTACTTGATGGGAGCCCCGAAAAGCAGAATGCTATATGCAAATTGATAAATGCAAATTGTTAAATGCAAAGTTTTGAGTGGAGAGGAGATAACCAATAAGTACCAAATTCTGTTATGTAAATCTTTTGTGAAAGAGTTAGAAGAAAGAAAAGAGATCTGCAGGCTTCGATCCCCGAGCGTTGGTTCAAGACAGGTGCCGGTGTGACTGGACGCTTGGTATTGAAAAGAAATTTTTTTGTTTTATTTTGAATGAGAAAAGAAACTTTTCCCCCTTACTCTTTTCCCAGTAAATGCGAATGTTTTCACAAATATCTCTGCTTTCCATCAAACTTTCCCCATTTCCTAATCCGCTAATAGTTTGGCTTCTATTTTTGTCGTCAATTTGAGGATTAGAGCGATAAAACGTGATTTAGTAAAATACCGTAAATACTGTAATAGTACCCCACCCCCATAATGACGGTGCGGAGTGTTGCGTAGTCTAGCTTTGAACGAGTTTTTCTCGACACTGGTTTATGCTACAATAGCAATACAATTATCAAAAAATAGCCCTGAATTTCAGCTATTTTTTGATACCAAAGACACATTTTTTGAAAGTACGGGTGCTTTGAAAAAAAATGAAATACTAAAAAACTTTTGCGACGACGCGACTGTACAAAGGGGGTGGGCTACTATTACAGTATTTACGGTAATCTTTTAAAAAGTTAAATAATTTTTAAAAAAAAAACTATAAGCGGAAAGCAATGCCTTTATTTTGCTCGCTTTCTTTTCTTTCTTTAGCTCGCTTCTAGATGACAACACAATTTGATATCCATATCTGTATTCACTCCCAAATCATCCCAAAAGATTATGCATTTTTAGAATTCACGTTTGTTTAGGAATGCTTATAATGAGTAGGAATGCTTATATTTATGTAAAACATGTTTACATAAAAATTTAGAAGATTGCGAGCAAGTTGAAGACCATTCACACAAATTCTCTTCCGATGAGAGGTGGACAAAGCGGTGGAGGTGAGCAATACTTGATTCTCTTTAAAATTTTCCATTTTCTTATAGATATTACTTTAAAATATTGTAGAAAATCAAGAAATCAAGAATTACTTTGTAACCAATCAACTTATTTGTTTATTTATCGAAAAAAAAACTCTTTCCAGGCTCGTTGCGAATGAAGATGATCGAGAAAAATAAAGGAGCCAGCAATAGCACTCAACTTTTGCCCAAAGAGGTATGAAATTTGATTAGGGAAAGTCAATTTATCCATTTCCTTTTGTCTTCTCTGCAGCCAAATTCGATTTGTGTGATGGACGATCAAAAAAAGTCGGCTTCTCTCCAAGCTCTCACTAGCAATACTAATGTTGGACCATATTCATCGACAGGTAAATTTTGAAAAATTTAAATTCGTAGAGAAAAGACGACTTTTTTCAGGAAAAATATAGACAGATTTACGAAAAAAAAAATTGATTCCAAAAGTTTGGGCATAATGACACCTAAAAAGCGGAAAAGCTTAGTCCTTAGGGGAAGCAACATGGAAGCACCTTATCTTAGAGCGGTATGCCAGATGGAGAGCGCACAAAGAACATCTTTTAATTATTTCTATAGAGATTTTTCTTTTGCATTTTTGATGATATTATATAAAGTGAACATTTGAAATGAACATTTCAAATATCAAATGAAATTTTAGGCGTTACAACTGGAAGTACACCTGATGCAAGAGCGTGGAATGAGCGTAGTGGAGCAAAGGTAATTGAGAATTGGTAGTAAAAGATGAAAGGGAATAGAAAATAGATATCGTAGGTGATAGGGAATAGAAAACAGATATCGTAGGTCAAGGTTGATATTCATCTAGAGCTTTAATAGTTCCAGTTGTTAGTAAAAGATGATAGGGAATAGAAAACAGATATCGTAGGTCAAGGTTGATATTCATCTAGAGTTTTAATAGTTCCAGTTGTTAGTAAAAGATGATAGGGAATAGAAAACAGATATCGTAGATCAAGATTGATATTTATCTAGAGTTTTAATAGTTCTAGTTGTTTAAAATATTCTTTAGAACTCGGGGAATGGCAGCAGTGCGAACAGCGCGAAGGGAAGTCGAAGTAGCGGTCTTCAGGTGAGTTTTCTCGATCTTTCACCAAAATGACGGGTTTTCTTAGGCTTAATTGAAATGTTTTCTAAAAGATGCGATACTGGAATGGATTACTGTGCTCTAGGTGTTTAAAAAAGTCCCTCAAATGTTAGCCTGTTAGCCTAAAATTTCACTCCTGTTAGCTTGTTAGCTAAAATTTCACCTACCTGTGCAGGCTGACAATTAGTTCAAACGACAACCATCAAAATTCAATTGTTTTCACATCCGGTTTACCGTAACTTTCCTCCAACCTTTAGAAAACACTTCAAAACGGAACACAACCTTTTCCTGCACTAGTTCTCGTTCTCCAGCATGATCTCCCCTTATTTCCCCAATTCATACTCTCAAGTCTTCTCTTTTCATTTAAAAAAAGCAAACGAGAGAAACAGCTTGATCTTTCGATCCGTTTTAGTTATCTCTCCAAGATCCAGGCTCAGATCTTGCCTCTGTGGGCGGCCTCGACACCGCCATTTCCCATCACCACAACGCCGCCTCTCTCACCCGGTTTGCTTTCAGAATCTCTTCTTCTTTTCCCTTACCCACTTTTGAAAAGTCTTTGAGTTGCACTTGTCACAATTTTTACAGCAAATCGCTCAATGATTCTTGGCAAAACTTCTTAATTTAATCTTAATTGGTTTGAATCTAGTGTTCAGTCAAATTTGACAAGAAAAAAAAACAATAAGCAAGCTGGGTATGTCAGAAGAATTTCTTAAAGCCTTTCTCTTGAGATCTAAAATGAAATAATCATCGAGAAAAGTTTTGAGGGTGTAAAAGTTGAGTAAAGAGCTGAATTTGACAAGTTCAACTCAATAAGGCGATGCTTGTTTATACAAAATGATAACATAAAGGATATGAAACAAAAAGAAAAAAAACCAGCAATTAGTTTGGAATGCTCTAATTTTTTTTGCATATAAAACATACAGATTTGACACGGATCATCGGGATTTCGATCAGCGCCTCGTCGCCGTCATTCAGGTCTCTCGACTCTCCGAGTGTGCTTGTTGTTCGTTTCGTTTTCACTCACCTTTTTCTAAGACTAAATTCCTTTCCAAATTGCTTGCTTTACATGAAAAGATGGATTTTACAAAAAAACTAGCACAAATTTTTGAATGAAAAAACCTTTACTTTCTTTCACTCATCTATCCCTCACACAGCTTTCTATTTCTACATATTCTATCTTTTATTTTTTTTGCATAGTTTTTACAATAACTTTAGCTTTTTTTTCTTCGAATAATTGATTAGTTTTGCGATTTTCTAGATTCAGGGAGAAGAGGCTGAATTCGCGAAGGGTTTTTGGGTTCATCAAGACAGTCTCAATCGATGGACACTTCGATTCAACGAAAAGGTCTGATGGATTAAAGTTTTAGCTTTAGAATTTCGACAATAGACAATAAAATTCTTTTAAAAAAAAAACGAATTTCGCTTAAATTTAGGAAATCGAGGAAGAGTACCGAGCCCATTTCGCCGAGTCAACCGATCGCTTTGGAGGCGCTCATTCGGCTATCGCTCATCACAAGGTTTCGACTTGAAAATTGATTTATTCACAATAATAACAATAACAAGAATGTGATATAAACGATACAAAAGCATAACTCGTAAATGTAGGGAGTAAAACAAGAGCCAGCGGGATTGAACCCTTGACCTCTCGACTCAGATCCGACTAGGATACGGGCTCTTAGCCAGTCTTAGCCAGCTATGGCGGCTAGGTTCTTCGGTCTCAATTCAGGTGTTTAGAATTTGACCGAGTACACTCCAGAATCATCACCTTATCGATATTCGGGTGTTTTTATCGATATGATTACAGCGGGTAAGGAAAAGAGTTTTAGAAAGAGATATTGAGACTTTAGGTGGTTTGTGTTTGGTGGCAGCCATCGCTGTGATGCTATCGATTTCACCGATCCCAATCCGATTCATTATTTACACTGCAATCGCTTTGACAATCGTGAGTTTAATTAACACTCAATTATTTCCTTCTTTCCCCTTGTCTATCCCTCTTTCTCTTGATGATTTGGGGGTACCAGGTAGCCCAGTGGTTAAAACGATAACCTGGAAAGCAGTTCGGCCGAAAGCCTGGTCCTTCGATCCCCATCCCGGAAATCATCTTTTTCTTCACTTCTTTTTTACACTTATTCGCACAATAGCTTAATACTGTAACTCTTGTAACAATAGCTTAATACTGTAACTGTAACTGTAACTCACTGTACTTTCAAAGCCAGTACTGTAGCGTGTAGGGTTATAAGGGCATAAACATAAAACTAAACATGAAATAACATAAATACCTTAAGTTATATAATCTAGCTATAACTTTGTTTCTTTTTTTAGGTGATGACTGCGATCGGCATGATTGGAGTTCCACTTCTGACCCGGAAATCATTCCTCCCTTGTGTCAACCTTTGGCTTCCAAGGCACATTATTGGTAAGCAATATCACATAAAATGATTTTTAGTTTTAATGAGTATTTCTAGAATTTCCAATTGTTAAACTAAAAAAGTTTAACTTTTGTTAAACTGTTATTGTTAAACTAAAAAAGTTAAACGGAAGCCGGAAGTATTTCTAGAATTTCAATTGTTAAACTAAAAAAGTTAAACGGAAGCCAACTTCCAGGGCTTATTCTCATCGGTTTACCAGTGGGCGTCGCTGTGTGCATTGTGCCACTTTGTGACTTCAATAACTGTCCATCAGTAAGTTAAAAAAAATCAATAAAATAAAGACTATTACGAGAAAAGAAATCCATTTTTGAATTCAAAAAGTTTAGGAAGATCTCTTGTCAACGAGGATAACATTCTCGTATGTGATGATTCTTGCCCTCTTCGCTCATTGTAACTTCTCACAACTTGGTGCTTGGCCAAAAACATTATTAGTGAGTGGAATCTTAAAAAAATCTTTATAAAGAGATGATTAGATTTGTTAGAAATGATTAAAAAATACTTTTTTAACTTTTAAAATCAAGAATTTAGTGTGTTGTTGTCGGAATTGGTCACGTTGGAGCGTTAATCTGGTGCCAAAAGCATCTTGATCTATTAAAAGTACAGGTAAAATCAATTCTTATAAATAAAAATAGAACTTTGATTTTTCAGGAAATCAATTGCACCACATCGAACAGCAGCCTTTTCACCAGTGATTTCAAATCGCCACTTTTCTTGTGGGAGATCGTTCTCGATGTGCTCTTGGCTATCATCCTTGTCGCTTTTCTTAACTATCAAGTAGAATTTATTAAAAATATTAACTTCTCCAAATCATTTACTCCAAATCTATCATGAATTTATTTCAGTTTGAAGCCGCTTTTCGAATGTCTTTCTTCGGCGATGTGCAAGCGAGAAGAGACACCGAAAAAATGCAGGTCAGCGCTAATTGATAGGTGTCAAAAGTATGATCGGCTTTTTTTTACAGATAGTGCGAGATCAAGCCGATTGGCTGCTGAATAACGTGATCCCGCCGCATGCTGTCGAGACACTCAAAACTGACACCAAATACAGGTGGGAAATGTGATGAACTGTCAATTTTTATTAAACATAACTTGGAGTCTTGCCGGTTGGACCACACAATTCTAACAATAAGAAAACTAAGAAAAGATGCTCAAATTGGATCGCAACGGTCTTCTAGTTTTGATTCAAGAGGTCTTCTAGTTTTTCTAGTATTCGCAGAAAAATAATAATAAATTTCGTGGCAGAAATTCCCCCAAAAATTTGAGCATAATGAGGCTTTATAAAGTTGATAAACTCACTCAATCGCTGTGCGCTTTTGCGCTTACCCACGCGACAAGGGAAGCACCTTCTACCAGAGCAGTATGCCAGATGGAAAGCGATTGTGAGCGCGCACAAAGAACATCTAGCTTGGGATTCTCTTTTGCTTTGTAAATGGTATAAAAAGAAGATATTTGGCTGTAAATTTGTACCCGGGGGTTTTCGGGGTCGGCGCATTCATTAGAGCTATTCATTTTATTGACTATACCAATTTGAACTCGGTTTTAATTGATCGAAACTTTTAGATGAATTCGGAAACTTAGCCTACGGCTTAGCATATCAAATTCAAATCAAATCAAAATCAAATCAAATCAAATTAACTCCAACAATAGCTTCGTATATCAAATTTGCATGCTTTTCTACTAGCTATAAAAGAATGAATGAAAATTTGAAGTGAAAATCACGAGCAAACGGCCGTCCTCTTTGCATCGATCACGAATTGGAGCGAGATGTATGAGGAGAATTTCGAAGGAGGACGCGAATTTCTTCGAGTGCTTAATGAGGTAAATTCTTAAAGAATTGTGAATTCGAAAAATCGATATCTCAGGTGATCGGAGATTTTGACGAATTGCTGGATCGAGCCGAGTTTTGTCACATTGAGAAAATCAAAACGATCGGCTCAACGTACATGGCGGCGAGTGGGCTGAATCCCGAGAAACGGCGACACGCAGCTCATCCAAAAGAGCATCTATATCAAGTAATAAATTGTAATCTTGCAAAAATTAGCTAATAATTTTCAGATGATCGAATTTGCCTTATCACTTCAACACCAGTTGAGCGTTTTCAACGAGGATTTACTCAATTTTGACTTTGTTTGCAAGCTGGGTTTGAACATTGGCCCGGTGACGGCCGGCGTTATCGGAACCACCAAATTGTATTATGACATTTGGGGTGACACGGTGAATATATCGTCGAGAATGTACAGCACCGGTGTGCAGAATCGATTACAGGTTATGGAAATGAACTTTTGAAGTTTTAGAATCAATGTTTCAGGTGTCAAAATTGACTCGAGATTTGCTCTCGGATCGTTACGAGTTCGAGTTTCGCGGAAATGTCGAGGTGGGGTCAAGAGTCGGGATTTTGGGAATTAAAATGGGGATTTTGGGGATTAAAATCCCCACAATTAGAGCCAAAATACAATTAAAGAAAGTCGAGGTAAAATTGACTGAAGCAAGAAAATGTTCCGAAACTTTTGGGCATAGTGACGGGCGAGAAGCGGGAAAATTAATTTCAAAATGATAATAAAAATTCGAACTACACTAACAAATGTACTGTAAATACTCTAATAAAAGCCTATAGGAGCGTCGTTAAGTTTACTCTCAAACAAACGCTCATATCTTGACATCGGTACGTTTGTTTCTGCACGCTTAGGTATCAAATTAAAGTAGAAAGAATGGGTGTGTTTCTGAGGTATAAAATTTATTTTTTGGCATTAACCAGTGCTTAGAAAAAAATGATTGAAAAATAGCGAAAATCGGCAAAAATCGGCTCTTTTTGCCACTTTTCAATCATTTTTTCTAAGCGCTGTTTAAAGTTAAAAATATGTACTATATCTCAAAAAAACACCCATCTTTTCTACTTTAATTTGATACCCAAGCGCACAGAAACAAACGTACTGGTGTCGAGATATGAGCGTTTGTTTGAGAGTAAACTTAGACTACACGGCGCTCCTTTAGGGGGGCCGTTCTATTAGAGTTTTTACGGTATACTCTTTTTTTAGGTGAAAGGAGTCGATGGAGGAATGGAAACATTCTTGTTGGTTGGACGAAGAGCCGAAGCGATTCCCCCAGTTGTTCGCTCGGCTGACGAGTTGGACTCTTAGAAAAAACAAAAGCCATGCTTTTTTCTTCTTGAATCTTTTGGTACCTTTTGAATGAAGCTCTTCAGTGCACAAGTTTTGAAAGACTTAAGCCCAAGATCTGTATGTGTATTCACTGAAAATTTTTTTTTTGGTGCATTTCTATAGCTTTAGCTTTTCCTTTCATTTTTTTTTTCCTAAAATCTATCAAAATGAATTCTCTTTCACTATCCGCAGTACTCTTGAAATCAGTATTTTCAACCCCCGACAGCTTTACCTCAAACGCTTTCATCAAAAAAAAAAAATCCCAAATCGTTTTAGGGGTCACAACTTTTTTACGTTTTTTTTTTTTCACATTTTGATTTTAATTTCTGATGATTCAATCTTAATTATCACTTAAAAATATTCAAAATTTAATTGAGAAAAGGGTTTTAGTAAATGGGGAAAGAAAAAAAGCAAATTTTTATAAGAATTTTCACCATTTTTCTTTTATTGCTCGTTTCTTAATCGAAATGGGCATAAATTTACATAAATTTACATAAATTTACTTAAATTTACATAAATTTACTTAAATTTACTTAAATTTAAAGCAAATTTTCATATTTTAGTTTTTATTTGAATATTTTTTACATCTAAAATTGTACCCTTTCACCCCAAAAAAAAAAACAAAGCAATCTCTGCGCTTTTCTTCTCTCTTTTCTCTCTTTTTTTTTGAAATTCTTTTTAAGCAAGTTGAGAATTGTTTAAGAAATGGTTTAGATTAGATTTTAGGAATATAATTTAGATTGATTGATTACTATAGATTGATTTGATTCGATATAAAAGCTGTAAATATGCTTTTTAGCTATTCGATTAGCTAAGATAAGTTCTCTGAGCTCTCTTAGAGCTAACACACACACTTTTCAAAAGCTTTAAAACAACTCTTTCTTACCGTAAATACTGTAATAGTACCCCACCCCCATAATGACGGTGCGGAGTGTTGCGTAGTCTAGCTTTGAACGAGTTTTTCTCGACACTGGTTTATGCTACAATGCGCGCTTAGGTATCAAAAAATAGCTGAAATTCAGGGCTATTTTTTTTATATCAAATACGCATTTTTTGAAAGTACAGGCGCTTTGAAAAAAAATGAAATACTAAAAAACTTTTGCGACTACACGACTGTACGAGGGGGGTGGGGTACTGTTACAGTATTTACGGTAGGTTTCCTTAGAGTTAAAGTGTCTAAACCGGCTGTCATAGCGCCGTTTTAACTACCCGACTTCCATATAGTCAAGCTGCTTTTTTGAGTATCTGATTGATAAGTTTTTAAATTGACAAGTTTAGTTGACAAATAAAATGTTTCAATATTGAGTTTTGACTCAAATAAAGCACAAAATTTTCAAAAGAAAAGATTCTCAACTTGTTGACTCCTAAATTTTTGCTCTTTATTCTCTTTCACTGCAATCCTGACCGATGAAAAAAAAAATCATAAATGTTAAATGTCAAATAGTGTGATCGCTTTTAACCAACTATTGCTTTAAATTTTGTGCTTTTTTCAGCTGTTTACTCAACTTTTACACCCTCAAAACTTTTCTCGATGATTATTTCATTTTAGATCTCAAGAGAAAGGCTTTAAGAAATTCTTCTGACATACCCAGCTTGCTTATTGTTTTTTTTCTTTCGTCCTTTGTAATAAATCTTAAAGATTTTGTGGTCAAACGAAAAAAAAAAAGATTTTCGAAATAACGAAAAACTTTATCAGTTGGTCTTCGAAAAATGTCAAGAGTTTTCTAAAAAAGCACTTTGGCTATCGCTGGATTAACAAGAATTGAGCTAGAATAACTAGTCAATAACTAGTGAATAACTAGTTAATAACTAGTCAATAATTAGTCAATAACTAGTCAATAACTAGTCAATAACTAGTCAATAACTAGTCAATAACTAGTCAATAACTAGTCAATAACTAGTCAATAACTAGTCAATAACTAGTCAATAACTAGTCAATAACTAGTCAATAACTAGTCAATAACTAGTCAATAACTAGTCAATAACTAGCTAATAACTAGTCAATAACTAGTCAATAACTAGTCAATAACTAGTCAATAACTAGTCAATAACTAGTCAATAACTAGTCAATAACTAGCTAATAACTAGCTAATAACTAGTCAATAACTAGTCAATAACTAGTCAATAACTAGCTAATAACTAGTCAATAACTAGTCAATAACTAGTCAATAACTAGTCAATAACTAGTCAATAACTAGCTAATAACTAGTCAATAACTAGTCAATAACTAGTCAATAACTAGTCAATAACTAGTCAATAACTAGTCAATAACTAGTCAATAACTAGCTAATAACTAGCTAATAACTAGTCAATAACTAGTCAATAACTATTCACAATTAATCAACCAAATCAAAAACCTCATCAATAGTTCTATACTTTTATTCTTCATTGATTTTGAAGTAACAAAAAGATGAAAAGAAAAAAGAAAAGAGGCAGAAGTACCTCCTATTCCTCTCTTTTCTCTCTCTTTGTGTGAACAATTTAGCCCGATAAATATGTAGATTGCAAAGAAGGTTCTACATTTTGTAATCTTATAGCAATTAGTTTCACATATTGTTAAGAACTATGGAAATCTTCTAACAAAAGATTTTCTTGCATTAAGCAAGATCTACGTTTGCTTAAGACCGTTTGAATTTGTGTGCGTTAGCAGGGTGAAACACGTGGTGAAACGGCGATTGGGGCGTCGCGTCGCGGCTCGTCCTGCCGACTCATATAAAAGGCCGACTTTCAGAACCCCTTTCCTCAGTCGTTCACCCCATTTCGTCTCTCGGTTCTCTGCCTAGAAATGGCTAGAGTGCAGAGGACGGTTCTAACGGGCGAAAGTGCACAAATGCGAGAGGTGCTCTTTCTCTTTTCCCCTTCTCTTTCTTACTCTTTCTCTTTCCCCTTCTCTCTCTTACTCTTTCCCTTTCCCCCTTCTCTCTCTTACTCTTTCCTTTTCCCCTTCTCTTTCTTCCTCCCTCACTCTTTTGCCCCGCCCCTTTATAAATAAAAATTTCAACCTCTTGTTCTTTTTTTTATTGCTTTTCAAAAAAAACAAACAATCATTGCAAATTTTGCATATTTTGTTAATTTTTAAAATTCAATTAAGCCATTTTTTAATGATTCTAATTAAAAACTTTTTTTTGAAAAATTAAACTAGCTTTAAAAATTTTCTGAGATTTAAAACTTCTAGAATTTTAAAGCTTTTAAGTTTCCAATTGCTTTAAGATTTAAAGTTTTATGATGAATTTGCTAGAAATCGTTGTAGACTTGTTCAAACAGGGACACGATTTACGAATCACCTTTCTCTGTGTCTCTAACCAATAAGATCCTCTCTTATTCTTATTCTTATTCTTATTCTTATTCTTATTCTTATTTTCATTCTCAAATTTTTCTTTAAAAGCTTTCTTCAACTTTTCTTTCAAACATTTTCCCTTATCATTGTATAATTTTTGTGAGAATTTCTCTACAAGATCCAAAAAGAATGAATGAATTTAGTTACTGTATCGGAAATTGAAAATCGATGTCGATTGCGCCAAAAAGTTCCGACTCACGAGAGTCACTGAATTCAAAAGCTGAATCGGAAACAAGTTCGACAACAGAAAAAGATTTGAAAAAGAAAAGAAGACGACGAGCGAATAAAAGAAGAAGAGATGAAAGTGATGAGATGAAAAAGGAAGATCAACAAGGCACAAAGTTGAGGAGATCACTTCGGTCAGTTTTATAGAGATATGAAAATTTGGATTAAAGTTTTGAGTCATTTACTTTAGAATTAAAGGAATCATTGAGAAAGAACCAGAGCTATAGCCTGACAAGTTGCCAATTTTCTGCTAGTTGTTTAGCAAAAAAAAAAACATTTCCAAATCGTAGCTAATCTTATTGTAATACATATTTAAACATAAAATATATCTAGATTATTAGATTATTATTGAATTTTCAGCTTGAACAGTCGTGGAGCGATGGCCCCAAAAAACAGTAACTCTTTTTTGATGAAAGACGCTGAGGAACGCAGCACAACATCTGATCAGAACTTTCAAATGCTATCGGTTTGTTAAGTTTTCAGAAATAAAAGTAATCTAAAATAAAATTAATCTGAAATAAAAGTAATTTCTTTTCAGGATGAGTCAATGATACCTGATTTTTCAAATGATTTGAGTGACTTAACATCGCATGAGGTGAGCGATTATGAAGAGGAATGCAAAAAGTGGAAACAAGAAGTGGAAGAAGAAGAAGCACATGCAAAGAAGGATTTGGAAAGGGAATTGCTGGATAGAGAGATAAAACGAACAAAGGATATGAGTCGGATTGAGGTTTGTATATGGAAATTTTTGTAAAAAAGAACATTTAACATATCGTAATGATGTAGGCTAATTTTTGGGCTTATCAAATTGGATATCTTTGTTTAGTTGAAATTGAAAGATTCTGTTTTCTGTTTTATACTTTCACGGTATAGTTAACACCCTCTGGAGTAAGGAAAATCAAGTGCGTGGTGGTGTATTGGTTAGCAAAGTTGCACGGTAAGCGAAAGGTCGCGGGTTCGAGCCCCGGCGATGCACAAGTTTTGGATCTGCCCTAGTTTAAACTGTAGTGAAAAGTAAGAGATAAGGCCCTACCCTGTCAACGGAATACGTGTCGGTGTAGTTCATTGGTAGCGTTCGACCGGATTCAAATCCCGGTAAGCGAGAGGTCGCGGGTTCGAGCCCCGGCGCCGGACAATTTTTGGATCTGCCCTAATTTCAACTATATACTGTAGTGAAAAGTGAGGGATAAGGCCCTACGTGTCGGTGTAGTTCATTGGTAGCTATCGACCAGGATTCAAACCCTGGTAAGCGAGAGGTCGCGAGTTCGAATCTCAGCGCCGACCATTCCCAGTCTCAACCCAGCCGACCAGCGTATTCAAAAGAAACAATAAGTTAAGATAATAAATGTATTGTTAGATAGTAAATAAATAACCAAGCTTATTGTCCGCTTTTATCAACTATATATAAAGCAGAAGAGGCATCTGTCCGCCTGTGCGCAATCATTGGCAAAAAGGGGCGGGACTTAGATTGCGTTTCTGCTGGTATAACTATAATAGATATCAGATTCAAATACCTTAATGATCTCAATTATCTCAGTTTTTAGTTGGTACGCGAGCTGGTGCAAATGACGTTAAAGTATCAAAGAATGGTTGATGATGGAGGACGAATAAATCACTCACAAACAAATGCATCTATACAGATCTCTGATTAAAAGTGTGTTATATTTTTTTGTAGATTTTGATCGAAGTGTTATCAAGAAAGCTGTAAATAGGAAGATTGAAAGCTTTAGATAGACTTGAAGTTAGAATGAGATTGAAAGCTTTAGATAGAGTTGAAGTTAGAATGAGATTGAAAGCTTTAGATAGAGTTGAAGTTAGAATGAGATTGAAAGCTTTAGATAGACTTGAAGTTAGAATGAGATTGAAAGCTTTAGATAGACTTGAAGTTAGAATGAGATTGAAAGCTTTAGATAGACTTGAAGTTAGAATGAGATTGAAAGCTTTAGATAGACTTGAAGTTAGAATGAGATTGAAAGCTTTAGATAGACTTGAAGTTAGAATGGATTGAAAGCTTTAGATAGACTTGAAGTTAGAATGAGATTGAAAGCTTTAGATAGAGTTGAAGTTAGAATGAGATTGAAAGCTTTAGATAGAGTTGAAGTTAGAATGAGATTGAAAGCTTTAGATAGACTTGAAGTTAGAATGAGATTGAAAGCTTTAGATAGACTTGAAGTTAGAATGAGATTGAAAGCTTTAGATAGACTTGAAGTTAGAATGAGATTGAAAGCTTTAGATAGACTTGAAGTTAGAATGAGAAACAGATTACGATAGAAAATCATGACAGATAACTAAATATTCAACTTTTCTGTGATTTCTATTACTAGCTTAGCCAATAAGCTGAAAGTTAGTGCCAAATAGAAACGGTAGAAAGTTTTGAATACGGTTGAAAGTTTTATCTACACTCTATCGTACTTTATTTCAAGTTTATTAAGCTATCTTGCATCACACTTCGATACAATTTCTTCATTTCTTGTTGCTGTTTTTTTAATGCTAGATGTTGCCAAGCCAAAAACTCTTTTTTTCTTATTAAAATTTTTCTTATTGTTTTCTAAAAGATATGCGTAAAGCTATCGTAACTCTAGAGTTTTAGAATTTTTGGTTTTAAGCCAACTGAGCTGAGCTTTATCCAAACAGTTCTTTCCAAAATCGGATTACGATAGCTTTTCTCGTTTAGATAACAGTAAAGCAAAAGTTTGTTTAAAAAATTTTAAATAACTTTTTACTGATTGTTTTCTGATTTGTCAAAATCTTGAAAAATCAAGTGCCAAAATGTTGTTATTTTTATTCGTTTTTTTCGGGAGTGGGACAAAAGCGACCTTTTTTTTGCGCACCCGGACATTTGCGCACCTTTTTTTCCGCACCTTGCCCATTAGCGCATCTTTTTTCGCGTTTTAAAAAGCTATAAAAGCTAATATTAACCAATTTCTATTCCAAATGTTGTTTTTCTAGGTAATTTGAGGGCGTAGAATCGAAATTTTGACATATCAGAGCTTGTGGAAACAAACGGACGGAGTTATACAAAGAGAAAAATCGACAATTTTCTGTAATTTGATCTAGCCTTTGTTTTGTCTTTCAAATTGGTTCCACACGCTCTGTTATGTCAAAATTTGAATTCGACACCTAGAAAAACCTAGAAAACCTTTGAATTACCTAGAAAAACAACTTTTGGAATAGAAATTGGTTAATATTAGCTTTTTAGAGCTTTTTTAAAACGCGAAAGAAGGTGCGCTAATGGGCAAGGTGCGGAAAAAAAGGTGCGCAAATGTCCGGGTGCGCAAAAAAAAGATCGCATTTGTCCCACTCCCGTTTTTTTCTATTTTTTTTGTCAAAAAAGTTGCTGGCCACATTTGGGTAACCTCTTGCATTTCAATACGGGTAAGTTTTACTCTCTCTCTCTCTCTCTCTCTCTCTCATCTTTTCTTTCTTTTTTCAACCCCTTCTCTCAACAAGAATCTTTTTGTACATACTGCTAAATTATAAAATAAAATAACATTTCAAACAAAAAGATATAAATGTTTTCTATTTTGAAATGTGAATCACTTTTTCAAAAAAAGATTTCAGTAAAGGAATTGAAGAAAAAGAGAAAAAGAAGAAAAGTCGACGACATTTCCACTCGACTCAAGCAAAATGTCACTTTTGAGACTAAGAAATGACTAAATTTCTTTAATATTTAAAAAAAACATAAAGACTTTACTTAAATAATTATCGAACTAATATAAAAGTGATTTCTTGTAAAAACTGTGACAAAATTTTCCTTGGAAACAACAAATACGCAAAAAATACCTCAACAACTACTGTAAAACAAGAATTTTTGAGTTAATCACATGGAGTTTAAAAAGATTGTTAATAAGATTATTAGTAATAACCAGCCAAAAAAATGTTGGATATTTTGTGGTTGACACATAGTTTGATGTCTTCAGTTGAAGAGTCCTCCTCCCCTCCACTCATGCGCCCCTCCACTCATGCGCCCCTCCACTCATGCGCCCCTCCAAGACCCCTGCAACAATACTGAGATCGGTATTTATGCTTTAAACCTCCTCATGCATCAACCGACGCAAACCTTTGCAGAATTTTAATCTTAAAAAATAGGACAGAAAATAATGAAATGAAACAAATGGAGGAGTATCAGTGGCAATTAGAGTTTCGAGCCTGGATCCACGTTTTAGAAAACAAACCTTGTTTGCTAAATCTTGTATAACACTGGTTTTTTTGTAATTTAGCAAACAAGGTTGGTTTTCTCAAAATCCACGATGGATTTTAGAGATTTCGTGGATCCAGGCCCGGCGCCCAACCCTAGTGGCGATACTAACGCTCATGTAAATTGCCATAACACAAAATTTAAATGCAAATTCTGCGGAGGTTTGTGTTGGTTGTTGCATGGGGAGATTCAATGCAGAAGTATCCTGATATCTATCTATTGATCCTTCAAAGCAATATCGGGACCACCATGATACCTTTCGAAGCACCACCGACATCTACATCTACTGGGAGGCTCGGTCCCCACTAGCTCGGTCCCCACTAGCTCGGTCCCCACTAGCTCGGTCCCCACTAGCTCGGTCCCCACTAGCTCGGTCCCCACTAGCTCGGTCCCCACTAGCTCGGTCCCCACTAGCTCGGTCCCCACTAGCTCGGTCCCCACTAGCTCGGTCCCCACTAGCTCGGTCCCTACGAGATCTCTGTAATAATTAGAGTGGGTTGGACTTGCACAAATAATTATTTGGATAATTTTGAGCAAATAGTTATTTATCCAAATAAATGGGTCAAATAATTTTTGGATAATAACATTCTAAAATGCATTATCTTTTTGCTTGCGTATTTAAAGGCTCACATAATTATTTTGCAACCACTTTCATTTTCGTTTTAATTTTTCAAGCCAATACGTAATTATTAGGTTGGCAACTAAATAATGGCCCTCGCCCTTTTTTGATAAAATCTTTTAATCTTTGCGTTTAATCTACCCTCGCTTGTTGTTAATTGAATATTACTGAATTTCTGGTGCATTATTATACGTTTTTTACTTTCCTTGATTTGATACTTTTCAAATAATTTTGTTTAGAAATGGAAGATCTCAAATATCGAATGCGTGTCTGTCTCTGGTACGACTACAAACAAGACAAAACAGCTGCCGAATCCCACAGAGATTTATTGCGCGTTTTTGGTGATGAAGCTCTTTCCGAAACACAATGTAAGAGATGGTATCGACGGTTCAAGGAAGGGGATGAAAGTCTTGAAGATGAGCCTCGCCAAGGACGACCCGAACTTCTGCAGAACGATATTTTGGAAGCAGCTTTAAAGGAGGATCCAAGTCAAACATCACGCGAGCTAGGGGATCGATTGGGCCTTTCGCATACTGCAATCGAAAAGCGACTTCATGCATTGGGGAAAAGTAACCGCAGTAGAAAGTGGATTCCGCATGAATTGAGCAAAGAAAATAAGGCTACTCGTGTTATCACCGCTGGAATACTACTAAAACTTGCGAAAAAGGGAAGCTTCTTGGATTCCATTGTCACTTCTGATGAAAAATGGATCTTTTATGATAATCGAACGCGAAAACGACAGTGGCTTAGCACAAACGAAGACCCAAAACCAACGCCGAAGCCGGATATTCACTCAAAGAAAACTCTCCTCTGTGTGTGGTGGAGTTCTCGTGGGTTGGTGCATTTCGAGGTTCTCAAAAAGCCGGCAAACGGTTAATTCAGAACTCTATTCGTCTCAACTACATCGTGTAGATCAAGCAATTCGCTCTCAAGGACTCGAACCCTCTTCAATTAATTTTCTCCATGATAACGCAAAACCACACACTGCAAAACTTACAATGGAGAAAATCGAGGAGTTGGGCTGGAATGTTCTTCCTCATGCGCCATACAGCCCGGATATGGGGCCTAGTGATTACCATCTTTTTCGATCGATGCAACACTTTCTAGCCGAGAAAAAGTTCAATGACCTTGACGAAGTCCGAATTTCAGTGCAGAAGTTCTTTGACGATCAACCAGAAGAATTTTTCAAGAGAGGTATCCAGTTGCTCCGTCAAAAGTGGAAAGAAGTAATAAAGAATGACGGAGAATACCTTTTGGATTGATGTTGATATTTGTTCATCTTGTTAATAAATTTTTTATTTTTACTGAAAAGGGCCATTATTTAGTTGCCAACCTGATAATAGTAACTTTTTGTCTTGTTTTACGATAATCTTTTGTTTTTTATGTCTCATCCAGTTGATCCGTTAAACAATGCTTTTATTTTAGATAACTACGGCAAAAGAAAAAAAAAGTAGAAAACGGCGCAACAATAGGACAGTTTTTTTCTGTATATTTTTCGTAATGTAAATTTACTGGGGATTAAATGCACTTTTTTAGAGATATGAGCAAGAAGTCGTTTTTTGGGGGGTGGGACAAATGCGACCTTTTTTTTGCGCACCTGGACATTTGCGCACCTTTTTTTTGCTGAAAAAGGCCTTAGGCAAGGCCGTAGAGCTTCGAAAATATTTCCATATAAGGGAATCGTATGCGTAGATTCCGAATTCGACAAATCAGACCTCGCTGACACGTCAAATTTGGGCTAAAAGGCAAAAACTGCGGAAAAGCGTTAAGTTGCGTAGTTTTTGTTTTTAGTTTTTATCGGTTTTGGAAATGCAAACAAGTGTATTTTTAGAAAAATCAACAAAAAATGCAAAAACAACAAAATTGAACAAAACATAATCAACTTAAATTAGACTGCAACAGGGGAAAATGAACAAATACGAGTTTAAAAATCAACATAAAATTGTTTTTTTCTTTAAGTTAGGTTCTTAAATTGCATACTTGGTAAAAATTGTATATTGTGTATTTCCAGGAACGAGAGCGGATTGCAATTGACCTCGTTGATCGACCAAAGATTGGGCATCGAAACGTAATGGGTGTCGTCATCGCCGAGGAGAATGATTTTTCCACAATTGGAACTTTGACCCACAAATTTTTGAGGTATGCTTTTGATTGTAAGCTCTTGATTTTGGAGGTGATTTTTAGAAATCAACTACATCCTTGTGAAACTACGTTTGTTACATTGGATTCGATCCCTAGCACGATCACTTCCTTCCGAGCAGCCATTGGTGAAGCATCAATTCATGGAAAACAAGGTATTGTTTTAGGTGGTTGTTTATACTAATTTTTGTTTGTTTAGGAAACAAACATTGTCTATGTACCGGAGGATGCTCAACAAATCGATGTGCATGCAAGAAAAAAAGGCATTTTTTGCAACTCCCGATATCACCACAGTCTAACTTGTAAAAATAAATAATGATTATGTTGATTTTAAAACTCATGTTTGTTCATTTTCCCCTGTTGCAGTCTAATTTAAGTTGATTATGTTTTGTTCAATTTTGTTGTTTTTGCATTTTTTGTTGATGGTTCTAAAAATACGCTTGTTTGCATTTCCAAAACCGATAAAAAAAATTCTGAAAACTTCTGTAAAACATAAAACAATAAAACAATAAAACAATAAAACATTTGAGTCTAAATCAGACGTCTGATTTAGACTCAAAATCTAAATCGGACGTCGGTTTTAGATTGAGTCTAAATCAGACGTCTGATTTAGATTGAGTCTAAATCGGACATAACATATATATATTTATTTATTTTATTTAAATTGGTGTAGACAGTTACTTTTTATCTGCTAACCGGGAAGAAGAGAGGGTGGATGGATGTAAAGGCGTCGTTCGAAGTTATTCATGAATGCAGAACACGCGAGTCAATTTGATGGCGGTAAGAAGTCCCTTGAGAAATCCCCTCATTTTCTTATTTTCCTTCCACCTTGAAATTTTGATCTTTTTTTTCTTTCATCACTGTTGCTTTCATTCTAATGAACTTTATATACTCTTTATCTATGGCAAATCAAAGGTAATCTATTTTCTTCTAGTTTCCAAAGCCATGTCCATTATTAAGGCTTATTCTAACTTTTTATCGGTTGTTGACAAGATTTGGAAATATTTTTTGATCCGTCAAAACTTTAGCAATGATTTTCTTGAGATGAAAGACGCTTGAAACTTTTCTTTTTTTTTTTGAAAATGCTGAGATTTGGATGGAAGTGGATACGATGGCTGAGAAAATTGGTAAGTTTCATCATTGGGAATCATCGTTTAAACCCTACAAAATATCAGTTGAACGCCGGCTTTGCTCAAAGATTATCTCCATAAGTAAATTGAAATCATGTACAGAAAATTTCTTTTGATGAAAGGGACTTTAATTACCCGTTTAATTGGGAGCAAACAGGGCGAGAATGGAAGAAAAAGAAGGCCGAAAAAACGGTGATTGTGCGCCTAGGAAAGAGGTGTGAAAGAGAGAAAAGAGGTTCACAAAATCCAGCAGTGATGATTTATTCTATTCTCAAAGCATTATCTTTTTTGTCCACCAACTGGCGGCCGTCATGGAAACGAAAAATCTGGGTGAAAGATGGGCGCTGATAGAGAAAGCGCATCTCCCCCTCGGGGCCCATCTCTTGATTTCTATCGCTTCCGTCCAGGAACTCTTTTCCCCACCCACAGCTCTATTCGAATTACCTTTCTCATCCTCTATTCGCTAAATATTGTATCTATTTCTTTTCTTTTTCGCAGATGAGCACGATTTGAAAGATGAGTGACGAGGCGGTGTCCTCTTCAACTGCAGAGCCGCCGATGAAGCGCCGTTTTCCTCGACGACTTCGACCGGATAGCAGCCATCCTTATAAACAGGGTCTACCGGCGAATGTGCCATACAATTCGAATTTGGCTCCACTAGATGAGGGTTTGAATGAGAGTGGACAGAAAGAGCCAGTTCCCATTTCTGTATCGATTCCTGATCCTGAAGCGAGTAAAGCTGAAGAAGCTGTAGCGAGTAAAGCTGAAGAAGCTGAAGCAAGTAAAGCTGAAGAAGCTGAAGCGAGTAAAGCTAAAGAAGCTGAAAAAATGGCTAACAATGGAAAGCCAAATGGAACTCCCGCCTCACAAGCTGATCCCCGTGTCTCAACAGCTACTAAATTCGCGATAATCGCCAAGGTGGCAAAAGTATCGTTTACGGAGTATTGTTTTCTCAATTTAACCCAATCAATCACGAAGCTAGACATTGCACAACTAACACAGAGTTTTATAGATTTATTTAAATTTTTATTTTCAGTTGATGCGAAAGAAAAACCGTGTGGTGGACTCAGCGCAAGCGTTGGCCCAGTCGGAGTTCATGAGTCGATTCGGAGTGGTCGGTGAGCAGAGTGAGGCACCAAGAGAGGAGGAACCTGTGCAGCAAGGTTTACAAGGTTTTAAAATGCTAATCTTTGTAAAAATGAAATCGAAAACTTCATTCAAAACACACAAAACACAAAACACACAATTTTTTTTTTTTGCAGAATCTCGATGGCGAATTTGGATGAAACAGGGTGTGATGGACACTTCAAAAGACATGTTTGTTTTATTTGATTTTTTTGATTTGATATTTGATTTCAAGATTTCGAAGGTTTGAAATCAGTTATGATTACTTAGTTATGAATGGATGAATGAATGAATTAGTGATAAAATTCGTTACCTAACTGTTTGATTTTTGTTGACAAATTTGCTTTTTGCTTTTTTGCTTTTTTTTGCTCACAAATTTCTATATGATATCTCAATTTCTTTATCGATAAAATATCGATTTCTTTTTAGTTATTACTATTGGACAATCGTTGTCACCGCCGCTTACGTTTACAATTTGGTTTTCGTCATTTTGCGATACGTATTTGTTGGTGAGTTTTTGAATTTGAATTTTGAATCTTTTTTGAAAATATTTCCTAATATTTCAAGAATATTTTGTTCATTCTAAAAGCTTAAATCAGTATTTGAACTAATTAGTAAATAGAGAGAAACTTATAAGCCTTATATCCTGTCTAATTTCCTTGATCTTCTCTTTTTACTCATCAATTTAAAAAAAAAAGGAATTATTCTCCTTTGATCAATGTACAAGAAAGATTGGTTTTTAAAGGAAAAAAATTAATCATTAAACATTAATCATTAAACATTAATCATTAAATATTAATCACTAATCATCAATCATCAATAATCAATAATAATACAAAAAAATTCAATTTCTAAAGAAAACTTCAGATTAATCTTGAAAAGAAAATCGTAAATCCTTTTTCAGAATTCGAGCGACATCCTTGGTGGCTTATGTGGATTATTTTAGATGCTTTAACGGATTTCATTTATTTAATTGACATGTTTATTCGAACGAGAACCGGTGAGTGAAATGAAAAATTTGAATGATTTTTCTCGCTCGAAAAACGGGAGTGGGACAAATGCGACCTTTTTTTTGCGCATCTGGACATTTGCGCACCTTTTTTTCCGCACCTTGCCCATTAGCGCACCTTTTTTCGCGTTTTAAAAAAGCTCTAAAAAGCTAATATTAACCAATTTCTATTCCAAATGTTGTTGTTTTAGGTAATTTGAGGGCGTAGAATCGAAATTTTGACATAACAGAGCGTGTGGAACCAATTTGAAAGACAAAACGGCTAGATCAAATTACAGAAAATTGTTGATCTTTCTCTTTGTATAACTCCGTCCGTTCGCTTCCACAAGCTCTGATATGTCAAAATTTCGATTCTACGCCCTAAAATTACCTAGAAAAACAACATTTGGAATAGAAATTGGTTAATCTTAGCTTTTTTTAAAACGCGAAAAAAGTTGCGCTAATGGGCAAGGTGCGGAAAAAAAGGCCGACTAACTTCTTGTTTCTAAGTTAGGAGAGATCCCTGAAATCAGTCTGCGCGCTAATTCCTCTCACTTCCAAAAGAGAAATGTCAAATGTAGCTTCACTTCAAAACTTCACTTCACTTCGCTTCAAAGAACCCATGGTTCGTAAACATATAGACCATTCGATCCAAAATTTTACGCTGATTCTAATGATGTAAAAACTAGATGCCCAATGGCGCGTAATCACCGCCAAACTGGCATCAAAGTTTTGAGCGTCCCGTTTTAAGCCGATATTTTGCAACCCAAATCCTTCATCAATGGTTGAGTGCTTGTAGAGTAAGCTGATGGTCGAGAGTTCGAACCCGATCCGTCTCGTTTTTTTTTTGCTTTTTTCATTCTACGTTCATTTGTGTTCTTTGTGAGTCGACATAAAAGCTTTTCTCCTGTTCGATTGTAGTTTATCATTCTTGTTAAGCATTTAATAGCTTGTCAATGTATATGGTCGACGAAATTTGGCTCTATATATCATTGGAAAAGGCCACGGGGCCAAATTCTTCCCTCGTTAGTTATATATAGTTATTCTTCCCTCGTGACGGGTGTCGCTGCAGTAAATAGATTAGAGCTAAAAGCGTTTAATCAATTGAAAGAATGATTTAAAAAAATTGCCGCAATTGTTGTTGATTTTGATTGGAAAGTTGTTGTTAAAATGAATAGTAAAAATCGCATGAAAATCAAAATATCAACAGAGAATTTAAGTGGAAATTTGAAAATTGAAATTTTCAATGCTTCTCTAAACTCCGATAGCACCTAACTCTTTTTTTTTTCTAGGCTTTCTCGAGCAGGGTTTACTTGTGAGAGATCTTGAAAAGATCAAGAAACTTTATAAGAAAAGTTTGCAATATAAATTCGATCTGGCGAGTATGATACCGATTGATTATGTGAACATGCTCACAAAACAGGTTTTGTTTTTCGAAAAAAAAAAAAGTTCTAAAAAGGATTTAGGCGCTTTTATATTACTTGCCGAGTTATCAATTTCGTGGATTGCCATTTCGATTTAATCGGCTACTTCGAGTGAATCGTGTTACGGATTGTCGAGAAAGAACGGAGACAAGGTTGGGGAAATTTCTTCAGCGATTCAAAAGAAAGAAATCTGGGATTTTTTTTTGTAAAAATTAACTCCAAACACTCAATTGCAAGGAAATTGGCGTTTAAGAATTGCAAGTTTTATGAACACTGTTAGAATACAAAAAGAAAAGATATTCCCTCTATGGTTTGGTTTTAGAGCTTTGAGCTTTGATTGAGCTTTGATCTTTGATTGATCTTTGATCACTTTGATTGAGCTTTGATTGAGCTTTGATTGAGCTTTGATCACTTTGATCTCTTTTTTTTTGCTTTTAATCATATTAGGTTGGAAAGAAAGTGCTCGGAAAGAGTTTGACTGGAATTTCTTAAAAACGAATCCACCAATTCAAGAACATTTTGTTCTATCCTTTACAAGTTGACCCCAAGAAGTTACTCGTAAAAAAATGAGTGCAGCTTTTCCTTAAAATTTTAGAGATTTTTGAAAAATTATTATTTTCCAGCTTAAATTCAGCTCACTTTTTGAACGAGAAAAACGATTTCTTATGAGTTAAAGCTAGCATAACGCTAAGCAATACGCTTTATAATAGTAAAAAGAAACTTAAAAGTCCCCCGAACCGAGTGCTGTAGGTAACCGCGAATGGTGTATGGTGAACTAGTTCCCAAGACCGGGTTCTGGTTCCCCCTAGGCCACTTCCCTGGGATAACCAGGGATCCAAATTGGTAGACTTGTTTAAGGCGCAAGCTCATATAAAGCGAGTAGCCTTCTCCTTCTACATCGTCTCCTACATCGTCTCATCCTCACAAACGATAGAATATCCCTGAACTAAGTGCTGTAGGTAACCGCATCCATATGGTGAGCTTGGTTCCCAAGACCGGTCCCCCTAGGCCACTTCCCCTCGGGACTGGGATAACCAGGGATTCAAATGGGTAGACTTGTTTAAGGCGCAAGCTCATATAAAGCGAGTAGCTTTCTCCTTCTACATCGTCTCCTACATCGTCTCATCGTCACAAACGACCGAATATTCCCTAGGTTTTAATGTGTAAATTGTGATTATGTGTGTGCAAAAATGCAAATCACCGGTAACCCCGGTGTACATTAATTAAAATTTGTTAATTGTTAATTAAATTAAATAGTTAATTAAATTTAATTAATTAAAAAAAAAAGTATACAAAAAAATGAATTAATTAATAATCTCTATTTTTGGCGAAAAATTTTTTACAGAGAAGCTTTATTTCAAAAAAATCTTTTTTTTTTTGTTTGCTGTCATCTTCTTGGCACTGGAGTGTTTGCTAAAAATAGGTGATTCTGAAATCACCTATTTTTAGCAAAGTTAAAGCAAAGTTAAAGTATTAGGTCAAAATTTTCCTTAATCACAAAGCTTTCCCTATTTGAAGTACTTGATTTGAGGTTTTGAATGAAACCCATTGCCTATCCATTAACCCATTGTCTAAAAGGCTTGTCTAAAACTTGTCTAAAACTTGTCTAAAAGGCTGGTTACTCAAAAAATGACAAAGTCACTTCAGCTGAAGAAAGCTTTAGCTGAAGAAAGCTTTAGTTGAAGAAAGCTTCAGCTGAAATCTCTTATTTCTTTTGACCTGAAACCCACTCTGATTTTTTTGTCAAAAACTTTTTGAAATCTAGTCAAGTTTATCCAAAAAATCCAAGAAGTCATGGCTTGGTTTTTGAGAAATCACCGTCCAAACCGTCCAAACTTTTTCCGAGAACTTTCTCTCCAACCTAATAGAAATGCAACAGAACTCAAGTTTTCAAATACTTAAATTGTCATGCTTAACTAATCAAAGTCAGTAATATATTCTGTTACCTTTCAGAAGCTCAATGCCAAACGCGTTTCGTGTTTTCTGTGTCGTTCTTTACATCATCGTGATCATCCATTGGAATGCTTGCTTTTACTTTTTCATTTCCGAATGCATCGGTCTTGGGAAAGATACTTGGGTCTATGGATCGCTTAACAAACAAAGTCTACCAGAGTGAGGATAGCAAAAGATAAGGAAATCCATAGATTTTAGCGGGATTGAGGACACATTAGCTCGACGCTACATCTACAGTTTCTATTGGTCGACGCTGATCTTAACAACAATTGGAGAAGTGGGGGATTTTCTGTTAGATGAGAGGACATTTCTATAGGTGCCCGGACCCGTCAAAGACATCGAGTTTTTCTTCGTCACAATGGATCTGATGTGCGGTGTGCTCATTTTTGCCACCATCGTTGGTAATGTTGGCAGGTTTGTGGGTTAGAAAAGAGCACTAAGTAAAGTAATAGTGAGGCAGTTGGATAGAAATAAATTGATGACTGGGTTTAACGAGAATTTGTAGTAAAATGAAGCCAAGTCTAAGGCAAAGATGTAGCCAAATTTAAGGCAAAATGAAGCCAAATTTAAGGCAAAAATGTGGCCAAATCTAAGCCAAAATGTGGCCAAGTCTAAGGCAAAATAAAGTCAAATCTAAGCCAAAAATGCAGCTAATTAAGATTAATAAACTCCAAAATAGAACATAAAATAGAAATAACGCACAAATCATTAGCAATTCCTGAATTCCAGTATGATCTCAAACATGAGCGCGGCACGGACAGAGTTCCAGAATAAAATGGATGGCATCAAGCAGTATATGGAGTTGAGAAGAGTTAGCAAACAGGTAACGCGAAACCGATTATTTTCACAAACAAAAAATCTGATTTTTCAGCTTGAAATGCGCGTGATCAAATGGTTCGACTATTTGTGGGCAAACAAGCAATCGTTGAGTGATCAGTTGGTGTTAAAGGTGGGAATGATAATTTACTATATAAGAACTGTCTATCTGTGCGCACTCCACAGCCCCCAGAGGACCGTTTCAAATCACTTATAGTTAGTTTGACTTAGAATTTCATCTAGGTGTGCAAGATGTTTTTAAATTTAAAAAAAAATCAAAATTCCCCACGCCGGCGGGAGTCGAACCCGAATAGTGTGGGTTAGAGGCGAGTGCACTCGCACTGCGCCATCTATCGAGCATGAAAGGTCGTGTGAGCTAGTGACAAGTGCGCTCGCACTGCCCCATTTATAGAGTATGACGGGTCGTGTAGGCTAGCGGCAAGTGATCTCGCATTGCGCCATCGAGTGGCCGAGTGGTTAACGCGCGCATCTCTCAAACGAACGGAAGAGAGAGGTCGCTGGTTCGACTCCTCTCGGCGCCAATTCTTTTGCTTTTTGCTTCAAAATTTTTTTTTTTGCTGGTGGGATTGATAATGCTGTTGACAATGGTTGATTGGGTTGATCCAGCTGATACATTAGTTCAGTAAGACAGTCAAAAAGTTAGCTTTTAGGTTCTACCGGATAAACTCCAAGCCGAAATCGCTATGCAAGTCCACTTTGAGACGTTGCGAAAAGTGCGCATTTTCCAGGTAAATTTCCGATGAAATTTTCAATGAAAAAGAAATCTTTAGGATTGTGAAGCGGGTCTTCTAGCCGAATTGGTGCTCAAACTGCAATTACAGGTGCATTTTTCTTCCAGAAATCTGATCTTATTTTCAGGTATTCTCACCGGGTGATTACATTTGTCGAAAAGGTGATATTGGCAGAGAAATGTATATTGTGAAACGAGGGAAACTTCAGGTCAAATTTGATAGAAATAAATTGATGTCAAAATTTGAAAAAAAAAAAAAACAAACAACAACTCAACTCTCGATCATTTTGAAGCCTATATTCTAAGATATCCTATTCGTATTTCGACCGTAATCCATTTCAAATTCTATGGCTTAACTTGTAAATAAACATACCGTAAATACTGTAATAGTACCCCACCCCCCTCGTACAGTCGCGTAGTCGCAAAAGTTTTTTAGTATTTCATTTTTTTCAAAGCGCCCGTACTTTCAAAAAATGCGTCTTTGGTATCAAAAAATAGCTGAAATTCAGGGCTATTTTTTGATACCTAAGCGCGCATTGTAGCATAAACCAGTGTCGAGAAAAACGCGTCCAAAGCTAGACTACGCAACGCTCCGCACCGTCATTATGGGGGTGGGGTACTATTACAGTATTTAAGAAAAAGCTTAAGAAAAGCATACCGCGGTATGCTTTTCTTAAGTCACAGCCATAAAAACGAAATTCTTGTTTAAGGTAGTGGCTGAAGATGGGGTGAAAGTGTTCGCCACATTGCAAGAGGGTGCCGTCTTTGGAGAGCTTAGCATATTGAATATTGCAGGTAGAAAAATATGATTTTTTTTAAAAATAAAATACAATACTAAGGAAACAACACGCAAGTTCAGGCAGTAAAAACGGAAATCGCCGTACGGCAAACGTTCGCTCGGTGGGCTACACGGATCTTTTCGTGCTGAACAAGAATGATCTCTGGAGTGCGCTTCGGGAATACCCAGATGCACGGAAATTATTGCTAGCAAAAGTGAGAAATGAAAAGGAAGATTTGGAAAAGGAAAACAAAAGTGAAAAAGAAGATTTGAGAAGATTTTGTAAAGAAAAGTGAAAGTGAAAAGGAAGATTTAAATGAATTTCAAAGTTTAGGGCAGAGAGCTTCTCAGAAAGGACAATTTGCTTAATGAAGGAGCACCAGATGAACAGGTGAGTGAGTAAAAAGGATTGTCTTGACCATTGTCTTGGCCATTGTCTTGATCATTGTCTTGGCTATTGTCTTGACCATTGTCTTGGTCATTGTCTTGGTCATTGTCTTGACCATTGTCTTCGCCATTGTCTTGGCCATTGTCTTGATCATTATCTTGGTCATTGTCTTGACCATTGTCTTCGCCATTGTCTTGGTCATTGTCATGACCATTGCCATTGCCATTAAGGCCATTATCCTGACTTTAGAATTCGTCAATTCTAGTTTTCAATGTGTACTTGTTTAATTCCAGAGTCACTTTGGAGAATATCGTACAAATAGTTGGAATTGTGAACCTGTTAAATCTATTAAACTTTTTGTCAACCTTAACTCTTTTCAAGCTATTTTACTAATGCACTTGCTAAGCATTTTTATGTGAAATTAAACAAGACAATGATTCATTTTGAGCAAAACAATTTTGAAAAAGTTCAAGCTTATATTAAGATTTGCTATTTATCGTTTACCTTAATCCATTTGATATTTCACTTCAAAAACTTCAAAATTCTAGGCATCAGCTGAAGAGTTGGCTGAAACATTGAACACATCGGTGAAAGGACTGCAAATACGATTGGCTCGCCTCATTGCCGAGCATACTTCACACGAAATGAAATTGGCAGCAAGGATTGAGTTTCTTGAAACACAACTAAAAAGGTTAGCCAGTTTCGTTTTATAATAGAGAATTTGAGTTCTCTAGGAACCTAGAGAGCGAGAGAGAGAAAGAGAAAAGAACCGCTAGGAACCTAGAGAGAGAGAAAAGAGAGCTCAAGCCTCTTTTTAGCTTGAGCTCAACTTCACATGAATTTTGATTAGTTTTTGTTTTTTTATCCATTTCTTTAGATCTGAAAGAAGAAACATTACCGTACTCGTACCGTACAATCTTTCTGTATTTCTATAATAATGATATCAACTATATTTCAGGTATAAAGCGATGGCAGCCGAGAGAACGAATCAACCGTCTAAAGCTCGTCGGAGGTAAGACTTGATAATATTAGTAGACCATTAGCAGACCGTTAGTAGAATAATAGTAGAATATTAGTAGAATAATAGTAGAACATTAGAAGAACATTAGTAGACCGAATATCTGCTTACTTAGACTTACAAGTAGAGTCGAAAACTTACAATGAATGTTTAACAACTTGAAAAAGCTTTGTCAATGCTTTGTAAAAGCTTTGTAAACACTTAAAAACACTCCTTTCACAAATGACAATCAATAACTATTACTTTCAACTTCCTTACTTTAATTTACTTTATTTTTTAACAATAAAACAGTCTATTTTTTAATAATATTCCATTGAAATTTAGAAAAAGACGAAATGAGAGAGACGAGGTGACCAATGAGTGAAATTTTGTGATGATGGTAGATCTCTTTTCTTTTTTTTTTTTTGAAATCCTACAATTAGTGCCTATTTCGCATTTTCTTTTTCTTTTCAACTTTTCTCATTTGCTCAATCAGAAATGCCTCAGAAAAAGAAGCATTTTAATACCGAAAAAAGTTGATATTTGCTGATTTTTATCTAAATTATTGTTGAAATGATATTCTAGCTTCTAGCTACCGTAAATCCTGTAATAGTACCCCATCCCCCTCGTACAGTTGCGTAGTCGCAAAAGTTTTTTCGTATTTCATTTTTTTCAAAGCGCCCGTACTTTCAAAAAATTCGTCTTTGGTATCAAAAAAAAGCTGAAATTCAGGGCTATTTTTTGATACCTAAGCGCGCATTGTAGCATAAACCAGTGTCAAGAAAAACGCGTCCAAAGCTAGACAACGCAACACTCCGCACCGTCATTATGGGGGTGGGGTACTATTATAGTATTTACGGTAGGATTATTTTAAAGCCTTGACTAGCTAGGGTTATTTTAAATCTATAAAATTTTGTTTAAAACTTATTCATAGAGTTTTTTTTTTAGCTAAAAACCTATTTCAAAACAGTTTTAAAATCAAGAATTGCAAATGGTAAGGTCGAATAGTTAAAGTAGATTTCATTTTACACTTTAAGATCTACTTTTTTGAGAAATATGAATTTAAAAACAATATTTTGATAACTACAATTTTAATGGATTAAAATTTCTAGATTAAAGAAAAGAGAAAAAAAGGAGAAGATCAGCAAATATTAAAAAGTTTTCCCAGCAAGAATCTAGCAATTTATCTTCTATCAAATTTCTCAAATACCATATTTTTTCTAATAGTAGTGCACCATGAGCGTCGCCTAAATTCCTCGAAATCTCGAAAAGCGCTTATCCAGAACCTATCGATTTGGGGTCGAAAAATGTAGCTGACGATGAGATCTTGTGGAAGAATAGAGTGTTGAGCTTCTTGGAGAACTTAGAAACCGTAAAATAGTCATCTGGGGTCGATAGTCATAGTCAAATAGTCATCTGGCTCGCTGGGGTCGATAATTATGAGCATACCGTATTCTCTCTAATAGTAGTGCACCCCGCCGAGCCGAGTTGATGACTATTTTACGGCTTTCAAAGTTTTCCCAAGAAACTCAACACTCAAATCCCCCACTGGAGCTCATCGTCAGCTACATTTTCCGATCCCACATCGATAGGTTCTGATAAGCGGTTCTCGAGATTTCGAACAATTTAGGCGACGCTCTGGGTGCCCTACTATTAGAGAAAATATCTACAATTTTTCTTTTTCATGATTAAACTGTGAAAATCAAAAGTTTGAAAAAAGTTTGAATAAATAGTTTTATAAAAAGCTATTCAACAAAATTCAATTTGGTTAAAAAGAACATTTGACCTTGGAATCTTTTTTCTAAAAGTACACGATTCGATCAATCATTCATCAATTTCAACGCCAATAAATCAAACTACTATCAATTTGGAGCCTCATTTCTCAACAAAATTGTTTAATTTTATCAATTTTCTTTGTTTAAATTCGAAATTTATCGAAATTTAAAAAATAACTAGAATTTGATCATCAGCTGTTATAATTGAAATTTTGATTGACAACCACCCAATCATAGCCCAAATCAACAGCCTATTCCGTCTGCTAGATAGCTTGCAATTAATTGCCAATTCAAACTGAATTTCTTTCTTTCTTTTGTTTGTTTCTTTTAATTTAAATAAAAAATGATTATTCCTAATCAAAAAAAACATGTAAAAGTCCCCTTTTTTTCTAATATTAATAGAATGTTTTAATTGTAAAGGGCAGGCAACCTATCACTCTTTTTCGAGATTTATTCAAAGTTAAACCCACGGTTAGTTCAGGGAGAGGTTCTTTAGTTTTAGAAATTCCAGTCACCTTCAATAATTTTATGCCTAACTCTTTTCCAATAAGAATTCCAATAAGAACTGCCAGAATTTGGAATCGATTCCCCCAGAGTTTTGAGAGAGTCCAATAGTCTCGAAACCTTTCAATTATCTGTAGATGATCTTGAGCTCTATATTCCCATCTTGCCTAGATTTAAAGCCGCAATTTCGGCAATTGACTTGACTACTCTGTGATCCTTACTTGAGGTATCTTTTTTTATCTTTTGGGGTGTATTTTGAGTGGTGTCTTGGGTGATTATTGTGATCTTGTTTTGTCGGCTATTCAACAGAATAAAGCATATCTCTAATAACTTTAAGCTCTAGTGAAATCTTGACGTTATCTGTGCTACCCATATATTACATATATTATATCGTGTTGCTTTTTAGCGGCCCTTTTCGTGTTATGTGTATGAATTCATGTGTTTTAATCTTAAATCTAGCGCACTTTATCTCAGGTCATGAATAAAGTATCTATATAGATGTCGTAGCCGTTTACGAAATTCATCCGCTAACGAATCATTCGTTAGCTACTAGCCGTTTACGAACGATTCGTTAGCTACTAGCCGTTTACGAACGATTCGTTAACGGCTACTAGCCGTTTACGAACGATTCGTTAGCGGTTGAATTTCATAAACGGCTACAACATATATCTATAATATTCAAAAATTTCTCTCTTTCTCTTCAACAATTCGATTTCCAATTTCAGTGATTTGAAATTAAAATGAGTAAAACATTTTTCTCAAAAAAAAAACGATCGATAAAGTACAATAGCATGGGAAATATTTTTCAAATTTTAAGGCGATTTCTCTCTTTTTTTTTTGTTCTCTTTTGTATGGTGCGTACGAAATTCATTTCCACTTCAACTAAACACAAAAAAAACCAATGAGAGAAAAGAGAGCAGTTGGCAGCACAAACACAAAATGATCCCAGGGAAAAAGGAGAAAAAAGAATCAAAGAGAGAATCAAAAAAGAGGAGAAAAGAAGAAAAATAAACCGAGTCTTGAGTAAAAGAAAAAAAAAGAGATCCTCGAGAGTGCCACCAACTTTTTTCCCTTGACATTGTTGAAATTAATTGTTTGAGTTTAATTTATTCGGTGTCCTTTATCTATAAGGTTTAAAAGTTTTATCTATAAGTTATTCGGTTTTTCTATTGGATTTTCTTTTCCTGGTTTTGCCTGTCTTGCTGTCCTGTCAAGTATTTGCTATGAGTTAGGCTTTACTTGAACTTTTTTTACTGAAATTTGTCCAGCTTTTATCCAACAATTTCAACAGTATTCTAAATAACTTTAATAAATAAGAATTGTATCTTTAATCTATAGAAATCTATAGAAAAATTAGATTCATCTCTGAAACTGAAATCAAAAACTAAAAAAGTCGGGAGTGGGACAAATGCGATCTTTTTTTTGCGCACCCGGACATTTGCGCACCCTTTTTTCCGCACCTTGCCCATTAGCGCACCTTTTTTCGCGTTTTAAAAAAGCTCGAAAAAGCTAATATTAACCAATTAACCAATTTCTATTCCAAATGTTGTTTTTCTAGGTAATTTTAGGGCGTAGAATCGAAATTTTGACATATCAGAGCTTGTGGAAACAAACGGACGGAGTTATACAAAGAGAAAAATCGACAATTTTCTGTAATTTGATCTAGCCGTTTTGTCTTTCAAATTGGTTCCACACGCTCTGTTATGTCAAAATTTGAATTCGACACCTAGAAAAACCTAGAAAACCTTTGAATTACCTAGAAAAACAACTTTTGGAATAGAAATTGGTTAATATTAGCTTTTTAGAGCTTTTTTAAAACGCGAAAAAAGGTGCGCAAATGTCCAGGTGCGCAAAAAAAAGGTCGCATTTGTCCCACTCCCAAAAAGCCTCAGGTTTCTCTTTTTTCTTAACTCTAATCCCCTTTTAAATCAAAAAATATTCCCAAAAGTGTCACCAATTTTTTTTTCCACTTTTTTCCTTAATTGTTTACTCGTAATTGCCTTCCCATTTTTTCCTATAAACTCACCGCCGACTTTCAAATCCACCTGTCAAAAAGCTATGCCTCTTAATTGTCGTTTTTATAATTCAAAAGAAAAAAAAAATCTATTCTTTGATCTACAAATTTGATCTAAACTTTGCAAAAATTAATTCGGAAGAATTTCTGAATTTAAATTTAAAAGAAATGAAATTTAAATTTAAATTTAAATAAATGAAATTTAAATTTAAATAAATGAAATTTAAATTAAATTAAATTTAAATTTAAATTTCATTTCATTGTAATTTAATTTAAAATTCATTTGAAATCAAATCTACTTTCTTATTTTGAAAGGCTTATTTTCAATATTTAAATATAGCTTTTAACGATTTCAATAATCTTTTTTTTTACTTTAAACGATTTTCAATATTAGAAGATAACTTTCAATTGTTTTAATAATCTTTTGATGATAATTTCATTCCCTTTGAAGTATGGGAGATCAGGTTCGTTGTGGTGTAATGGCTAGCACAATCACCCGCTAAGCAAAGGGTCACGGATTCAAGTCCCGGCGCTGCAAGAGTTTTTGATCTGCCCTACTTTCAACTAGATTAAAATATAATTTTTGATTTTTTTAAGAATCTTTTGATAATACTTTGATTCCCTCTGGAGTCAGGGGGATCCCGTTGTGGTGTAATGGTTAGCACAATCACCCGGTAAGCCAAGGTCGTGGGTTCAAGTCCCGGCGGCGTACGAGTTTTTGTTCTACCCTAGTTTCAACTATATTAAAAGATAACTTTCAATTGTTTTAATAATCTTTTGATGATAATTTCATTCCCTTTGAAGTATGGGAGATCAGGTTCGTTGTGGTGTAATGGTTAGCACCCGCTAAGCAAAGGGTCACGGATTCAAATCCTGGCGCTGCAAGAGTTTTTGATCTACCCTACTTTCAACTATATTAAAATATAAATTTCGATTTTTTTTAAGAATCTTTTAATAATACTTTAAACAATTTTCAATTTCATATGGCTACATATCGACGAATTTGGCATTTGCACAAAGCTTTACAACAAATCGAGACCACTGTTGCCGCATATAGGTAAAAGAAAACGATGGATTAAAGAAAAGAAAAGAAAAAGAAAAAGAAAAGAAAAAAATTTCAGACAACCAACAACTTTTCTTTTCACTCGTTGCTTATCAACGACAAGTCGACTGAAGAATTATCACGATCCAGATGAGCATCACCATCAACCGGGATCCCATGGAGAGCCGGTTTATCCGCCAGGGAGTGTGAGTTTTTGTTTTGATGAAACCAGAAAATTTGCATCTTATTTGATTTTAATTAATTTAAAAGCAATAATTTCTTGTTTATTGACGGAAAAAAAGCGGTATTTAAGGCACTTTTACATTATGATTTCTTTATTGCATTTCAAAACAGAGACTCGAGAAGCTTCTTCTTCTTCTTCTTCAGCTTAACTTTAGGCTCAATTTCCAATCAAAACATACCATTTGTGATAATCTAAGAATTTAAGTCCATATTTTAACACTAAAATTATAACGTAAAAAGCTATTGTAACAACTGTAATTGAAGCTCCCTCTGGAGAGAAAGGGAAAAAAAGAAAATAGAAGCTTCAATTACAATATTTACGATAATCATTTTAAAACAATGCTACCTTTTTTTTCGATTCCATTATTTTCTCGGCTTTAACTCGTCACTTTTTAGATATAAATTTAAACCAAATTAGAGCCAATTAATTTGTTTGAATTTAATTCACTTACTGGTTTAGTTACTTACTAGTTTAGTTACTTACTGGTTTGGTTAATTACTAGTTTAGTTACTTACTGGTTTGGTTAATTACTGGCTTAGTTACTTACTAGTTTAGTTACTTACTGGTTTGGTTAATTACTGGCTTAGTTACTTACTAGTTTAGTTACTTACTGGTTTGATTACTTACTGATTTGACTACTTACTTTAGAAACTGTAAATTTGTTTACTTTAAAAGGAAAGTTTTAGCTAGAATTTTGTGAATTTTGAAGCCAAATATTGACAAGTTTTATGTTGATTTTGAGTGATGTTAAAGGCATTGATTCGGAAAGAAAAAAGAAACAATTCGTCATTTGAGGCTGAATCGTTGTGACGTTACTTTTTTTTTTTTGGAATTCGATTTGAATTTTGGTTAGAGTTTTTTTTATCGAACATTTCACTATTCGATTCAATGCCATTGTTGCGTTAAAAATGAACTTTCGAGAGTTTTCTTTACATTCAAAAACGCTAAAGCGGAAATTAAAGGTAAATTTGAGAGATTTTGATAATTTAGATTTTAAAATTCCCCTAATTTGCAATAGTTTTCTAGTGCAATTTTCTCTTTTCTAGTTTCTAGTGCACTAGTTTTCTAGTTTTATCCAAAAAAATTGAATTTATGAAATTTTATTAGCAAAAATTTGTTTACTTCAGAAATTCGTTGCCAAATTTCAAATTTCTTATCAATTTCAAATCTTAGTCTTTTGCTAAAGAATTTCTTTTTCTAAAAAACATTAGAACTTTAGGAAAGGATTTCTTTTGATCTTTTCAAACATGTTGTAATCGTTTTTTCGTATTCGCGCCAGTCCTTTCGCTCAGGGAAAATCGCGCAACGCGAAACGAAAAAAAAGCGTTTGTGGTAAGCCCCGCCCCATTTCTCGCATCAGTTGTGCGCTCTCCATTCCATTCCCGCGTTTTCTTTTCAGTCATTTCCCCCTTTTTTTTCCTCTTTTTTTCACCCGTTTTCTTGTGTCGTTTGTTGCTTTTTTTTCTTTTACCGCTTTTCTCTATTGAAAATTCTTCATCTCTGAAGCAATTTTTAACTAGAAAATCTTAGAGAAATCATGTCCGACGCGCATGTCAAGTTTAACCTTGGAAATCCCGTTGAGGATTCAGAGGAAGAGGTGCTTTATTTTAACTAAACTAGAGTTTAAGTAAAAAATAATCTAGTTTAAGCAAAAACTAATCTAGTTTAAGCAAAAATAATCTAGTTTAAGCAAAAACTAATCTAGTTTAAGCAAAAATAATCTAGTTTAAGTAAAACGAATCTATTTTAAGCAAAAATAATCTAGTTTAAGCAAAAACTAATCTAGTTTAGGCAAAAATAACCTAGTTTAAGCAAAAAACTAATCTAGTTTAAGTAAAAACTAATCTAGTTTAAGTAAAAATAATCTAGTTTAAGTAAAAACTAATCGATTTTAAGAAAACTAATCTAGTTTAAGTAAAACTAATCTATTGGGTTGTCCAGTTATGAATGCGCGTTTTTACTATTTTGTAAATTTCTCAAAATATCGAACAGATTTATATGAGTGTTATATATCATTCGAAAGCTGAAGATCTCCTCTACATTTTGGAATAAAAACGTTTTTGAATTCATTCAACTTTTTGGGAAATTGACTGCACAAAGGGAGAGGTCGTTTTCGAAAAAACCCATTTCAGCTTAGCTCTTCCTCAAGCTTTATGGTGTAAAATAACCGCCCAGAAAAGAAAAGAAAAGAAAAGATGCTCTGAAATTGTTATATTTTAAAAAAGTTGTATTGATATATCTATTGGCCAAACATCAAACGGTTAACTCAATTTGAGCGGAGCCAAAACTTGATCCAAAGGCCACCTTCCATTTTTTGGCCACCTCTTCTTCTGTGCAGTCAATTTGCCCAAAAGCTGAACAAATTCAAAAACTTTTTATATCAAAATGTAGAGGAGATCTTCAGCTTTCGAATAATACTCATATATATCTTTTTCTTGATTTCGGTATCTTGAGAAATTTACAAAATAGTAAAAAACGCGCATTCATAACTGGACAACCCAATAGTTTAAGTAAAAACTAATCTAGTTTAAGTAAAAACTAATCTAGTTTAAGCAAAACAAAGAAAGATAGATCTTTATTAAGTAGTATTCTGAAAGTTTAAACAAAAAGAAAAGCAAAAGAAAAGCAAAAGAAAAAAAAAGTAGAGAATATTAATGTTTTTTTGAACGAAATTCAAACAAAAGTTCAACAAATAAAGTTGAAAAAAAAGCTTTAAAATTTATAAATTCAATGTTAAGGAAAAGATTTTAGTGAAAATTCATCGATCATTTTCGATCATCGATCATTTCCAGGTGTTTCTCCCACCAGCTCCGCTTCTCGCCGGCGCTCATGTGGCTGGATTGCCGAGTTACCATGAAATGTATTCTGATTCAATCAACAACTCGGATGCTTTTTGGAAAAAGATTGCTCAAGAGTTGCACTTTTTTGAGCCAAGCAATAATGGTGAGTGAAAAATGAAAGAATTCTTTAAAAGCTGAAAGATAAATCGATCAAAATCTAGGCCTCGAGTACAACTTCGACTCACGCAAAGGCCCAATTTTTACTCGTTTTATGGCCGGCGCGAAGACAAACATCTCCTACAATTGTCTTGAGAGGAATATTCAAAGAGGGTAAGTGCATTTGTATAAGGAGCAGGATGAGATTTTGTTTTTTCAGTTATGGAGATCGTGTGGCCTATTTGTGGGAAGGGAATGAACCATGTGATTCAAATACAATCACCTACAATCAATTGCATGAACAAGTAGCTAGAATTATTAAAAGCTAGTAATTAAATAAGCTAGTAATCCCTTTTCAGGCTTTTAATAATCTTTTTTTGAAGTATTTTTCTTAAAAAAGCAAATTAGGTGCTGAATTTCTCAGCCGTTCTCCGAGCTCATGGTGTGAAAAAAGGCGATGTTGTTGCCATCTATTTGCCAATGGTTTGTTTTTACATTTATGCTTGATTTTATTAGAATATAGAGTGTTGAATACCGAGTTTTAAAGATTTTACCCCAAATATTACCTTCAGGTCTTGGAATTAGCGGTGGCAATGTTGGCGTGCGCTCGCATTGGCGCTCTTCATAGCGTCGTTTTTGCCGGCTTCTCGGCGGATTCATTGGCGTCACGAATCGTTGATGCAAAGTAATTTTTGAGATTACTAGAGCTTTGAATTCTTGCTTTGAACTTATTGCTATTCAATTTATCCCATTTTTCTAGATGTAAAATTTTAATCACCGCTGACGGCTTCTTCCGTGGCCCAAAAGCGGTCATTCTAAAGCCGATCGTCGATAAAGCGATCGAGATTTCGAAGGTTTGAAATCAATTATGATTACTTAGTTATGAATGAATGAATGAATGAATGAATGAATGAATTAGTGATAAAATTCGTTACCTAACTATTCTTAAAGTAATCGAAATTTTCTAGGAACAAGGAGTGAATGTTGAGTCGGCAATCATCGTTGAGCATCTAAATCGAGCCACCGCTCCAAATGGGCATCCAGCTCCAACGGTTTTTTTTAAAAATAGATTTATGATGAAAATAATGGTACAAACGAACAAACAAAACAATATAGCGCTCCAGGGAAAAAGAACCAATGACCCAGCCGGGATTGAACCCTTGGCCTCTCGACTAAGAGACCGACTAGGTTACAATGCCACTCGGCCATGGCGGCTGCCAGGCGAATAATTCCATAAACATTGCTTCAGGTCGATTGCTCAAAGGGTATCTACCACAAATATTTCTCGGAAATGCAAAAGTACAAGGGTGTCGATTCGCCGGTTGAATGGATGGATGCTGAGGATCCACTCTTTATTCTCTATACTAGGTTTATTTTGATACCATATACATACTAGAGTTTATATTATTCGAAAAGAAACTTTTCTTTTGCATTTCTTATGGTTATCTAGTCAAAAAGGCGAGCTTTAGTCGGAAATCTTATTCCCGTGTGGGCTATCGATTTGGCACAACTTTTTGAAAAGAAGACCTCGAAAAGTTGAGAGTGTTTGCATAAATTTCGAGATGAAAAGCAAAAGTAAAAGCTTTGTGATAGGAAAAAGAAAGGAATTTAGTGGATCAACCGGAAAACCGAAGGGAATCTTGCATACAACAGCCGGCTACATGACCTACGTGTACGCCACCTGCAAATACAACTTTGATTTGCATCATGAGAACGAGAAAGATATTTATTGGTTAGTTTTGAAAAAAGAGAATGATAGAAGCTTGGGGATTGGATAAAATGGCAGGGAAAAGGTATAAATAAAGATTTTTCATTCTTAAAGCTTTCAAAAATAGCTATAAAGCTGTACTAGCTGTACTAGCTGTACTAGCTGTACTAGCTGTACTAGCTGTAATTATACAAACTATAAAGATGTTAGAAGTTGATAGAAGAAAAACAAAAACGAAAAGGGAAGTCGAACCCGGACCCTTTGCGCGGAAATCTTAAGCCTTATCCACTAGACCACCAAGGCACATCTCTCCCGCTAAAAAAAAGCCTTTTAAAGCATCCGTTTCTCGATTTTCGATTTTTCGACGATTTCGATACAAATTTTTGATTGAAGTTTTACACGCCTGGAAATTCATTTCACAAATTTTGATTTCAGATTCGGATTCCTCATATCCGATTCTATAAAGTGCGCTAAGTGTCCAGAAAAAAGCTCACCTTGAGTTCATGCCTTCCCTAGTAAAGCCGCCAGATTAGCTGACCTTGTTTTGATCTAGATTTTGATCTTAGCTTCATAACTCTATAGAACTTCAATTCAATTCAAAATCATTTTTTATTTTTGAAGGTGCACAGCGGATTGTGGCTGGATCACGGGTCATTCCTATCTTCTTTACGGTCCTCTAATGAATGGCGTAAGTTCGGTGTTCTTTGAGGGAGTTCCCTCATATCCTGATGCCAGTCGACTCTGGGCGGTCACCGAGAAGTACAAGGTGAATCTAAAAGATAAAAGTCTTTCTTTTGTAAGACTTGAATGTCAGGTGACGAAGCTCTACACATCGCCAACAGCAATTCGTGCACTGATGGCTTTTGGTGATCAATTTGTCACCAAGCACGATCGTTCGGTGAGTCGTAAAAATGTATTTGAAAAAAATAGCGGACATTTAGACTCTTTCTATTTTGGGAACTGTCGGCGAGCCGATTAATCCAGCCGCTTGGCGATGGTTGCACAAAGTTGTCGGCGAAGCTCGTTGCTCAATCGTTGACACTTATTGGCAAACGGAAACGGTTCGAACGCCTAATTGCTATTTATCAAATTGTAATTGTATTCTAGTGCTAGTTACAAAACCAATCCAAATTACAATTTCAATTACAATTCGTACAACTTGTTCAAATTTTCTTCTAACAAAATAACAATCGATATTTGTCAAATGAATTGACAAATATCGATTGAATATTCTAGAATTGGAACTAGGACTAGAATTGGAACTAGAAATAGAATTGGAACTAGCGCTAGAATTGGAACTAGAACTAGAATTGGAACTAGGACTAGAATTGGAACTAGAGCTAGAATTGGAACTAGGACTAGAATTGGAACTAGAGCTAGAATTGGAACTAGGACTAGAATTGGAACTAGAGCTAGAATTGGAACTAGGACTAGAATTGGAACTAGAAATAGAATTGGAACTAGCGCTAGAATTGGAACTAGAACTAGAATTGAAACTAGAACTGAAATTGGAATCCAGATATTTAAAAAAAGTAAATAAAAACTGTAACTAGTTCTTAAATTTTGAAATCACAAAATCAATTCCAGGGTGGACATATGATTGTCCCATTGCCTGGCGCGACTCCACAAAAACCCGGCTCAGCAACACTTCCTTTCTTTGGTGTTAACGCGGTTCTTTTAGATGCAGAAGGGCGTGTGATTGAGGTAATTATATCTTTTTTTCTGTCAAAAAAAAGAAATCTAAGGGTCCCGGAGAAGGGAATTTATGTTTTGGAAAAGCATGGCCGGGAATGATGCGAAATGTTTATGGAGATTATGAGAGGTTTGAAACATTTAAAATAAACAAAATGAAACATTTGTAACACCGTTATCGTAAAGAATCTATTTATAAAATATCTAGATTCACAACGATTTTAAGACATTAAACCTCTTTAGATTTGTGAAAACGTACATGCAACCATTTCCCGGTTACTATTTCACTGGTGATGGCGCTCGTCGAGATGATGATGGATACATTTGGATTACGGGACGGTAAGTGCTAATTCTTGAGTTTAATTAGACTGAAACTTGAGTTTTCTAGTGTTGATGATTTGATGAATGTTAGCGGACATTTGTTGAGCACAGCTGAGATCGAAGGAGCACTCACACAGCATCCAAAAGTTTGTTTTCTTCTTTATAGAGGTTCTTTGATATTTCATGGAGAAAATTCTAGTGATTCTAGGGCTCAAAGAGCTTTAGTGATTGAGGGTTCTCTTTCTAGAAATGTGTGAAAGGTCACATAATTTTCACTGATAAAATGGCATGACTAGACAGAAAAGCGAAAAGAAAAGAAAAGAAAAGCTTTAAAATGGAAATGGGGTGAAAGGTCGATACGGGATGGCAAGAATGCATTGATTTGTTTGTAGTGAGGGGAAAGATTTTGAAATTCGAAAGTCTAATAAGTTTTCTTAAAACTTAAAACCTAAAATCAAAACGCTTGTTCAACGTTGAAATCTATTGGGTTGGTGAATTGAAAACTGCGGGCTAGTCGTGAGTGTTTAAGAAACAAGGTAATAAATAGAATAGGTGAAAGTAAACGCAAAATATCTGATGCTGTTTTAAAGGTGACAATTTGATATGTTACCAAAAAATATTGGGTTGGTGAATTGAAAACTGCCGGCTATTGTCATATGTGACAATTTGAGCACTTTCTTCAAAAGAAACCCATTTTGGTGTCAATGGAAAAGTTGTAGAGAATCAAAAATCAAGCTTATATCCAAATTTTCAGAACGGTTCAAAAACTGATTTTCAAGAAATGCCAAATTTACGAATTTTTACAAAACTTGCATTTTAAGCGAAACTACTAAGTGTATCTTTTTGGAAATTTGATTATAAGCCTCATTTTTGATTCTTTACAACTTTTCTATTGACGCCAAAATGGGTTTCTCTTGAAGAAAGTGCTCAAACTGGGACATCTCCAGTCCTCGATTTTTGAGTCTCACACTTGTCTCACACAAAAACCAAAATCCTACTACGAAAGAGGAATCCGCAAATTGCCTGTAAAATGGGCAGAAGTCGTCAATAATAATGGACGGAATTGATGGTTTTATGTTGAATAAATTTTAGTTCAAATCAATTCACCAACCTAATCTATAAGAGCTGTCTGTCTGTGCGCACTCCTCAGTCCCCAGAGGACCGTTTCAAATCACTTAGAGTTAGTTTGACTTAGGATTTCATCTAGGTGTGCAAGATGTTTTTAAATTTTGAAAAAAAATCGTAAAATTTTAGTTTAAAGTCCCGCAGTTTTCAATTCACCAACCTAATAATTATATACTCTATGAAAGCCGCGAATCTGCTCTAATTTTTGAAGGCTGATAAGTTTTTGAATTTATTTCAAATTTATCGAGTTTAAATTGATATAAATAATAAAATGAATAGCTTCAATCGATTCGCTGTCCCCGAAAACCCCCGGGTACAAATTTACACCCAAAAATATCTTCTTTTTATATGATTTACAAAGTAAAAAGTCGTAATGACGTTCTTTGTGCGCTCTTTCATAATCGCTCTCCATCTGGCATACTCATCCGGTATGCGGTGCTTTCGATTTCGACTTCGTAAGGAGCAATCAGTGGCTGAGTTGCCCCGCTTTTTTCCCGTCACTATACCCGAATTTTTGCGACAATTTCCTGCCTCAATTCAAGCTATTTTTAAAAAAAAAAAAAATACCGACTGGGGCTACCAGTGGTGAATTTATCGCATACACGAAATATATCAATCACAATACAACGACACACACAATACTAGGCTATATCTTAACTTAGCCCACGTCATGACAGACGGCTCCCTAACCCTAAGCTCAATGGGGAACTAAATAGCTTTTTTGGTGGTGAAGGGAAGATGACGATGAAGGAGTGGCTTGTCACTTTAAAGAACTGGGGCCACAACCACCAAACTGCCCTCCAGAAAACCTCTCAACCCGAAGGGAAAGGAAATCCGAAGGGGGTGACCATGTCGCATGTGGGGTTCGAACCCTCGACCTTCCGATTAAGATAAAAGACACTTAACCAGTCAGCCACACGCTTTTTTCCCGTCACTATACCCGAATTTTTTTCCTGCCTCAATTCAAGCTATTTACAACCAAAATCTCTCAATTTCGACAAAATTAAGAGATTTTATATCACTTAAAAGCTTGAAATGTTCTATAAAATTCTAAAAGAAGTTGACAATGCTATAATCACTAGACAAACCTATGAATTCTCAAAGTGGTACTCATTTCAACAACCAATAGAACAATAGAAGAAAAATAAGACCCAAATGAAACTAAAACTTCTAGGTAGCCGAAGCAGCTGTCGTCTCGGCTCCACACGACATCAAGGGCAGTTATCCATACGCGTTTGTCACCCTCAAGAATGGTGAACGCCTCAGCAAGGAGCTCATTGTAGAATTGAAACAAATTGTGAGTAATTGAAAAATTTCTTTTTTACATTCAAGTTTTAATGCAAAGTTTCAAGAAAAAGATCTATATTTTGTTCATTTTACAGGTCCGTGAGAAGATCGGTGCAATCGCTCAACCTGATGTCATTCAAGAAGCGCCCGGCTTGCCAAAAACTCGCTCTGGAAAGGTAAAAATAGAAAAAAAATGGACCTAGATAAGGCTTCTTTCACCTTCGCGAGGGGTGAGCTTGTGGTGTAGTGGGTAAGAGACTTGTTTCCGAAATAAGCCAATAAGTTTTTGCTCGAGTTCGATCCCTTTCTTTTATTTTTATTTTTTTCCAATGTTTGGTCGCTCAAATTCGTTATATTTTAACATTTACAATGTAATCAATAAACTAAACATTCTTAGAATAAAAAAACTATCAAAAAAACTATCTCTAGGTAACTCGTCGAATTTTGCGGAAAATAGCTGAAGGCTGCGACTCCGGGTTGGGCGATACGACGACGCTTGTCGATGAGACGGTCATCCAACAATTAATCAGTGGACGTGATAATCGGGCTTGAGAAAACTTTAGAAACTCTTATATCATATCTATCTAGAACTCATTAAAACAAAGCTAAGATTTGTTTTTAGCAAAATTTGAGCAAAATTTTTAGCAATTTGAGGTTCTAGACTCAAATTTACAAAATTTCAAATCTAAAGTTAATTTTTAATTTTTAAAAAACAAACCTCTTTACTAGAGACCTACTAGAGATTTCTTTTTTCCGTAAAAAAATAATTTTTTTTGAAAGGATAACATAATAAAGAAAAGCATTCCCTATAAATGAAAGTGATTTTTTTTTGACAAAAAGAAAGAAGAAAGTTTTTTAAATAAAATTGTATTGTCCCGGTTTCTTCGAAATTTTCCCCATATGCACTTCGATTCTTTTTTTTTTTTCCCTATTCGTTCGTTTGTTCTTTGTAAAATAAAGATTTTGTGCCAACGTTTTACTTAACACGGATACACTTAGATAACTAAAAAAAACCAATCAATAACTAAAAATCAATAACTTTTATCAATAACTAAAAATTTCATATAATTTTTTAAACCCTTACCCCTCATAAATTTGATGACAAAGTTGTTATTGGGAATTGCGAGATAAGAGAATTCGATTTCAAATTCCTGCTTGAACAAAAACAAAATACGATTTGACTTTTACTGACTCTTTTACTGATCAAAAAGCTTATCACAAAAAAAGCTAAAGGATTAACTAACAATTTTTGTTGTTTTTGATTAACTTATTTGAAAGCAAGAAAACGGTAAACAAAGCTTGGTTTTTTAAAAGGTGTCAACTTTTGACCATAATCCTGGCTCTAATCTTTATTCAATAAAGCCTAAGCTCAAGGTTATCCCAGTATTCTAAAACTTGTCAACTTTGAGGATTACCATTATCATAACCTAGCTCTAATCTTTATTCAATAAAGCCTAAGCTCAAGGTTATCCCAGTATTCTAAAACTTGTCAACTTTGAGGATTACCATTATCATAACCTTGGTTCTAATCCTTATCTAATAAAAACTAAGCTCAAGGTTATCCCAGTATTCTAAAACTTTTCAACTTTTAAAGCCAATCGTCTTGTCTTAGTTTTTGGCTATTGTTGGTTGATTCTATGGGATTCACGAGAATCTAAAGATATAAAAGATACACAAATCTCTCACAAACAAAAGTGAATCACAAAAGATAAAAGCTAGAATCAAGGTTACAATATTTGACACATTGTAATATTGATTGTAAGTTGACACACATTTTAGCAAACGGCGGCTCACTCGATTGCTCTTTCTGCGTTCTTTTGTTCCTTTCCACCGGTCAATTCCCTCTTTACGATTTCCATTGGTCAGTTATCTCTTTTCGTTCTTTGTGCAGAAATGTAGCCACCCAACCCAGCCAAAAATTGTACAAGGCTCTTTGAAATTTATTGCAAAACAATTTTTCTATCAATTTTTTGGCAGGTAAGCAGAAAAAAAGCTTTTTTTAGATTCAAATCCATTAATTTAAACTCATCTTTTTCTTATCTTATCAATCCTTTTCAAAATAGTATCTAATCAAATATTCGGTGACTCAGCACATTTTGTTGCCTAATACATTGATGACCAGGCGGTTTTTCACACAAAAGCCCATGAGACCAAAAAAAAAAATGTCGTAAATTTTATTTGATAAAGAACGATTATTTGTATCGTTATTATTAAATTAAATAGATTTATATAAGCTATAGAAAAGCTGAAAAGCTAAGTGTAGATATGGACTTTATAAACAGTAAAGTTAAACCCACATATACCTGAAATCCTTTGAAAAACATTCTTAGACTATCGTTGGCCTAACGATTCCCATGTTTACTATAGTTCACCTATGGTAAACTATCTAATGGTCGTCAATGTATTGAAAATAATTCACACAAAAGCCTGTGGGACCAAGAAAAATTGTCGTACATTTTATTTGATAAAGGACGATTATTTGTTAGAGCACGTGTGGCTGACTGGTTAAGTGTCTTTTATCTTAATCGGAAGGTCGAGGGTTCGAACCCCACATGCGACATGGTCACCCCCTTCGGATTTCCTTTCCCTTCGGGTTGAGAGGTTTTCTGGAGGGCAGTTTGGTGGTTGTGGCCCCAGTTCTTTAAAGTGACAAGCCACTCCTTCATCGTCATCTTCCCTTCACCACCAAAAAAGCTATTTAGTTCCCCATTGAGCTTAGGGTTAGGGAGCCGTCTGTCATGACGTGGGTTAAGTTAAGATATAGCCTAGTATTGTGTGTGTCGTTGTATTGTGATTGATATATTTCGTGTATGCGATAAATTCACCACTGGTAGCCCCAGTCGGTATTTTTATTATTAAATTAAATATATTTATATAAGCTGTAGAAAAGCTGAAAAGCTTTGTGTAGATATGGACTTTAAAAACAGTAAAGTTGAACCCACATATACCTGAAATCCCTTGAAAAGCACTCTTAGACTATCGCTGGTCTAACTGTTCCCATGGTGAACTATGGTAAACTATCTAATGGTCGTCAATGTATTGAAAATAATTCACACAAAAGCCTGTGGGACCAAGAAAAATTGTCGTACATTTTATTTGATAAAGAACCATGATTCGTATCGTTATTATTAAATTAAATATATTTATATAAGCTACAGAAAAGCTGAAAAGCTTTGTGTAGGTATGGACTTTATAAACAGTAAAGTTAAACTCACATATACCTGAAATCCTTTGAAAAACATTCTTAGACTATCGTTGGCCTAACGATTCCCAAATGCTAAACTGTCAATGTATTAAAAATAATTTTTTCAGCAATGATTTTATGCTAATCCGCTAATACCACACGGCAATTTTGTTTGAGGTAATGTAAAATGAAGTTTTTTTTGAAAATTTTCATTCTTAAAGAACGCAAAGATGCGATTTTTTCAACAATTTTGGTTGATGACTCAGAAGAATTTCATTGTGATGCGCAAGAGTCCCGTTTGGACATTTTTCGAGCTCTTGTTGCCTGTCGCCTTTGCCGCACTTGTATCACATTTAGTGTATAAGGTAAAAGGAAATTGCTTGATTATTACTTGTCAATATCTAAAAGTTTTAGGATCACGAGTTTGATGTAGAGAGTCATTTGAATGAAACGATTTCCCCAAGCAATGTGTCTTTGATTCGAGAAAAGTTCAAGCCATTTGGGAGCCCGCCATTTTACAGGTAAGGAAGGATTTAAAGAAGATAAAGAAGATTTAAAGAAGATAAGGAAGATTTAAAGAAGATAAAGAAGATTTAAAGAAGATAAAGAAGATTTAAAGAAGATAAGGAAGATTTAAAGAAGATAAGGAAGATTTAAAGAAGATTAAGAAGATTTAAAGAAACGAAAATCTCACATAGAAGATCTAAAATGAAAATTTGAAAGGGTAAAACAAGATCGAAAATATTGAAAAGTTTGAGATTTTCAGTGTAAACCCGGGAATCAACGTGACTGAGGTAAACGAATTGATGGAGAAACTTTGCGATCAGCGATGCCCTTTATACATTGATACAAAAGAGAAATTAATGAAAGAATTGTAAGAAGTCGAAGATGAACGTTTACTTTTTTGAATTTCTAGAGAATATCAATCGGCGATCGGTCTCCTTTTCACCGAACTCGATCGCATCAATAAACGCCTTACCTACGAATATCATGTGCCCGAGTTTAAAGGTTTTGGCACCTACATGACAATCCCATTGCAGCACTCGTTAAACTCAGCTTTTCTAAAGGTTAATCTCTATACAATTTTAATTATTATATCCAATTGTATCCAAGAATATCGTGAAATTTCAGTCGCTTAACCTGTCCGCTTTGCCAGATGTGCAAGTGCAAGAGTTCGCTTTGAACAAAGATCAAATGTTGATATGGCTGGTTTGTGAAATGAAAAAGGTTTTGAAACTTTGAAAATTTACAGGCAATTTTTCCCATTTATCATTATTTTTATTTCATTCTTCTTTTGCCGACTTTAATGCACACGGGAAGAGAGATTGCTGTTGAGAAGGAAAGAGGGATCAAGGTTTCTTTTTCAGCTTCATTTTCAAACAATAAAACGTATCAAATGTTGAAAACTATCGTAATCTAGCCTCTTCGCTTAATATTTCTTTCGTCTGGTTTACGGTAGTTTTCTAAAACAGCAATTCTTTGAACATTAACGAGGTTTTAGCCCAATATCTTCAGAGAAAGAGTTACAGGGGTTTTCAAGAGTTCAAAATCAAATTTATAACATTTTCGATTTCTCATAGATAATTCCGTAGATCCCGTAGATAATTCCGTTCAATTTTAGCTTCAATAACTTTCCAAATTTCAGGATTTTCTTGATGTGATGGGCTTAAAAACTTTCAACTTTATCGCTTCACATATTTTTCTCGGTTGGTTAAAAGGATCGCTGATCATCACAATCGCTTCGATTTGGCCAGCTTTCCGGATAACGGTACGATAAAGAAGAAATCGCAAGAATAATGGTACAAACAAGCAAACAAGCAACAAGTACAAACAAGCATAACCCAAAATGTAGGAAAATCTATGGAAAAAATAACCTGGCCGGGATCGAACCCTTGACCCCCCGTCCTACCTCCCCACCGAGATCCAAAGCTCTTAGCCATTCGGCCATGGCACTCAATAAAAGCCCTTCAATTTTAGGGCTTTTTCGGTTGAAAATTCGACATAAATTTCTTTATTTTCTTCATCCCTCTCTACTTTTATGTGCTAGCTGGGATGATCTTTGCTGCTCTTATAGCAAGAAGCACAACCCAAAATGTAGGGGAAAAAAGAGCCTACCCGGGATCGAACCCTTGACCCCTCGTCCCACCTCCCGGCTGAAACACAAGGCTCTTAGCCACTCGACCACGGCAGTCACGAAACGCGCTTCAATTTTAGGGCTTTTTCGGTTCAAAATTCGACATTAATTTCTTGATTTTCGTCATCCCTCTCTACTTTTATGTGCTAGCTGGGATGATCTTTGCTGCTCTTATAGCAAGTATCTTTAAAAACTCAAATAGTACAATAAAAGGTAAGGTTTACGATAGAATAGAATAGAATTTTTCTATATCTCTATTTAGCAATTGCTATTTTACATCCACTTCTCGTTTTCCTCACATTTTGGAGTCACTCAAATGCTCCAATCACTTCAGTGAGTTTTCTCTTCGTTTTCCTCGAAATTAACCGAAATTTAAAGCCCATACAAGCCGCCATCGCTTCTTTAAACTATAACACAGCGTTCGCGAATGTTTTAGTTGTTATTGGCAATTATATGAAAAGAAGTGAGTAAAGAAGAAAAGAAGAATTTGATTTCAAATTTCATCTCTTTTTTTCAGATCGTTCCCTCTCGTATTGTCAACTTTTCGAGCAAAACGATCTCATGTTAAATATTGGACCTTTAATGGCACTTCTTTTACTCGATATTTTTCTTATGGGGTCTTAAATGATGTTTAAAATTTTCAAAAAAACTTTAACAAAACTTTAGCTTTTGTTTATATTTCGTTGAAGTCTACCAGAAAACGTCAACTTTACCCATAAAAAGCACGCTGAAGCGCATTTTTCATTCAAAAGTTTGAGAAACGAAATTTTTTTGAAAAAGTTTAAAAGTTTTTCAGAATAAAGATGAGATTGATTACGAGAGAAATTTTCGCGAAGAGGTCACTCATTTGCCGAAAGCACACGAGGAGTTGCCAAAAGCTGTAGAAAATGATGTTGTTGTGGAGAAATTGTCAAAGGTAACATACGATAATGCAAGTAAAATACAGTACAATCGAAATTCGATATAACGAATCGCTCGGGATCAAAAAAAATTTGATCAAAATCTAAAGAATAACAAAACAGAACCTAGACATGTTTAGTAATTTTTTACTACCCAAAGCTCCTTGGAACATGAAACCCAATTCCCCCGCAAGCCCTTATTTTAAGCTTCATTTTGATACTAAACATGCCTAGGTTCTGTTTTGTTATTCTTTAGATTTCGATCATTTTCGATAAAAATTTTTCTGGATCTTTCGCCGGACTTGATAAGTCTTATCAAGTCCGGCAAAAAAAAAATTGATCAAAATCTAAAGAATAACAAAACAGAACCTAGACATGTTTAGTATCAAAATGAAGCTTAAAATAAGGGCTTGCAGTTGTTGGGTTTCATGTTCCAAGGAGCTTTGGGTAGTAAAAAATTGAAGAGCGAAACAGGTTGTCTGAAAATTTTGAAAAATTTTCGCGAAGAGGTCACTCATTTGCCGAATGCGCACGAAGAGTAAGCTGTAGAAAATGATGTTGTTGTGGAGAAATTGTCAAAGGTAGAGTAGGCACCACCAATGCAATACGATAATGCAAGCAAAAATACAGTACAATCGAAATTCGATATAACGAATCGCTCGGGATCAAAAAAAATTCGATCTAACGAACCTAAAATGTGCCTCAAATTTTCTACATGTAGCTGCCCTGGACGGCCACTGATTTCATTTAGCTGGGGCAGCTATGCAGAGATTTTGGGTACGTTTTAGCATTTGAAATTCGTTCTATCGAAGTTTGACTGGATTAAGCTACTTTTCAAATATAAGCTAAAGTCTCTGTGTATAAAAGAGATAAAGGAATTGGCAAGAAAAAGTATCCAGAGAGCGGATTGAACCCTCGACCGTTTGCTTTCCTTTTGCTATTGCTCCAACCACTGAGCTATCCAGTCTCTTAACTGGAAGGAGAAAAAAGGAAATACCAAGCGGAAGAAGAAAGAAAGTAAGACACAAGATTGATTTCATCAAAATTACAGGAGTTTTTGAGTTGGAAACTTTTTTGTCTTGGGTTAAAGCTTGATTTGGTTACCGTAGCATGTAACCCAGTTAGTAAATGTTACAGTAAATAGATAAAACTTAGAATAACTTAAAGGTATGAAATATTGAAATAATCAAATCATAAAGCTGAGCTATACTTTATAATGCTTTGAATCAAAGCTGACTAAAGAAATTCAGACTTTAATGTTTAATATTTTGATCCGTTCAGCGATGGAATTCTTCAAGCGATTACGCTGTTTACGATATGAATCTCCAGGCTTGCAGGGGAGAGGTGACAATATTTTCTTTTTCTCTTTCTGAATACAAAACCCATTTCAGTTAACGGTCCTTCTTGGGCACAATGGAGCTGGGAAAAGTACGACTTTTTCAATGATTTGTGGCATCACTCAACCAACATCTGGAACTGTTCATGTAAAGATCAGATAAAGATTTTTCTAGATTTTAAATTTTAGATTAACTCTGAGACAATCGGCTTTTGCCCACAAGGGAATGCGCTTTTCGAGAAATTGACCGTAGCACAGCATCTTTGGTTCTTTCATCAAATCAAGGGGTTTGTAGAGAATTTGGAACTTTAGGTTAGCTAATAAATCCTATCTTGTCTGTTTTTTTTTGAGTGATTGCTCTGAAAACTTGGCTACAAGTAGTATTAGGTTGTCCAGTTATGAATGCGCGCCTGCTCTTGAACAGCGTACCTTAGGGCTATACAATTTTATCAAACCCTATTCTCTATATGTTGTTCAAGATTTCTTATTTATTACAACTTTTCGTGTTTTTGACGTTAAACTAATTCATTTTTGATTTAATTTCCGTGTTTAAATGACCGAGACGAAGTTTCGTCATCGTACCAGTCTTTGTTATGACTTCAAATTGGGCAAAAATGCCGTTGAATCCCATCGAGATCTCTGCAAAGTATTTGGCGAAGATGCTATTTCGGTCGCCGATGGTTTCAACGATTTCGAGAAGGAAATGAATCTTTGGAAGACGAAGACCACCAACGACGACCTCCTGCGATCGATAATGCACTACTGAAGCAGGCGATAGAAATGGATCCTCGACAAACGACGCATGAACTTGCAGAAATATTTAGAGTAAGCCCCAAACCATTTCCGAGCATTTAAACAATTGGGGAAAACAAGCCGACAAGGGAAATGGGTCCTCATCTTCTCAGCAATGCCAATAAAGCTACTCGTGTCACTATGGCGGGTATTCTTCTTCGTTTGGCAAAAAATACTGGGTTTACGATGAAATCCTTACTTGCGATGAAAAATGGATTCAATATGATAATTCTACACGAAAACGGCAAAGGCAGAACCTGGGTGGAGCCAATACCAACACCAAAACCCGACTTCCTTGACAAGAAAGTAATGCCTACTGTCTGGTGGAATTCCCAAGGCATTGGGATTTTGAGCTGCTTAAACCTGGGCAAACAATCACGGGTGAAACGTATGCACAACAATTGGAACGAGTGAACAATGTATTGCTACAAAAAGGCCTTGATCCTTCAAACATAAAGTTCATTCAAGATAACGCCCGTCCACACGTTGCAAAGATTGTTCAGGAAAAACTCGAAGAGTTGGGCTGGGAAACTCTCCCGCATCCGCCATATTCTCCGGATATTTCTCCTTCGGATTACCATTTATTTCGCTCAATGCGAAGCCACTTGGCCGGAAACAAGTTCAAAGAAGTTCAAGAGGTCGAAAAATGGATAGCCGACTTCTTTGCCTCAAAACAAGCCAATTTTTACGCGGAGGGAATTCATTCTTTGCATGGAAGATGGCAACAAATAATGTTAACAAATGGTGAATATATTGTTGATTGAGCTGTTAAACTGTTGGTTTTAAAATAAAAGAGTTGTTATCTTAAAAACGCGCATTTATAACTGGACAACCTAATACATTAGTAACTAAATTTTCAGAGCGATTGCTCCAAAAGAGGCCGAGATTTTTGAGAAAAACGATTTGAAAAATCGAATTGAAAAAACGAATAGGATTTATCGGCTAATCTAATACCCAATCTAATACTTGTAATATAGAAATTAAGTAAAATCTAGTTGTTATAAGAAATTTAGTGGGACGACTAATTGGCGTGACGAGATGAACGAGCTGCTTGGCGCATTGGGAATGAGTGACAAGGAGAATGAGGTTGAGTGGCTGTTTCGCTTAGAAAACAAGCTTAGCTAAATATCTTTTTTTAAATGATAGTTTATTCGTCTTTACTGTAGCCTTTTTACAAGCATTTAATCAATAGAATAGCCATTATTACAGAACGTGATGGCGCTTTCGGGCGGAATGCAACGAAAGCTTTGTCTAGCGATGGCGCTAATTGGAGGATCGAGGTACTGAAGCAAAGATTAAATAATATAATTTTAATATATTATTTAATCACAACTTCAGGGTTGTTTTGCTAGATGAGCCGACGGCCGGCATCGATGTTGGAGCTCGAATGGATGTGCAGAGAATGCTGAGTGCACAGAAGAAAGATAGGTAAAAGGAGAACAGGGTTTTCAATATTTATGGAGAATTTTAAGCTCACAAGTCGTTTAGCACTCTCAAAATTGATTTATAAAGAAAAAAAAAGTCGTTAAGAAAGCGCTGCATAGGAGTTGGAATAAACTATTACCGTAAATACTGTAATAGTACCCCCACCCCCCTCGTACAGTCGCGTAGTCGCAAAAGTTTTTTAGTATTTCATTTTTTTCAAAGCGCCCGTAAAAAATATTCTAGAACAATTCTTTTGACTACTCATTATATGGACGAAGCGGAAACACTCGGTGATCGAATCGCCATAATGGTTAAGGGTCGTTGTGTCACCTCGGGAAGTCCACGGTTTCTCAAAGAAAGGTGGGGAAAAAAAACTAGTACAGAAATCAGTTATGATATTATATAGATTTGACACTGGTTACATCTTGACGTGTGTTTTGAATGATGACGTGGCGAACGATCCAGAAGCAACAAAGGCATTTCTTGAGGTAAATAGGAAAAACGGGAAATTAGCTTCAAAGAGGTTTTCAGAAATTTCAAGAATACGAGTTAGAAGCCAAGATCCATGAAAATAAAGCAATCCACGGGAGGCAGGTATGAGAAATTTGTGTTTTCTTTTACAGGGTGACCAGAAATAACGTTGCGGCCTAATTTAGCCTATTTTTTTAAAAATCCAAAAAGATTTTGTAACCACGCATTGACCTTGACGATGAAGCTCCAGAATGGCAGATCCCTTGTTTGTCATCCTATAAAAAAATGAATAAACTTGAAACAAAGTAAAACAACAAAGAAACTAATAAAAACAATCACAGAGAATAGGTTAAAAATAAATTCGTCTCCCAAAATTGAAACGTTGAGGATTTTAGGCTGCCGAAAATCCCGCAACGTTATTTCTGGTCACCCTGTCCAAGTTAAACCGGCTTAACGAGCCTGGGCAAAACTTTCAGACAGTCTGCCTCGCTCTTCGATTTTTTTACTGCCCAAAGCTCCTTGGAACATGAAAACCAGTTCCCCCGCAAGCCCTTATTTTAGGCTTTATTTTGATACTAAACATGCCTAGGTTCTGTTTTGTTATTCTTTAAATTTCGATCATTTTAGATAAAAATTTTTCCGGACTTGTTAAGCTTATCAGGTCCGGCAAAAAATTGATCGAAATCTAAAGAATAACAAAACAAAACCTAGACATGTTTAGTATCAAAATGAAGCTTAAAATAAGGGCTTGCGGGGGAACTGGGTTTCATGCTCGAGAGAGATTTGGGTAGTAAAAAATTGAAGAGCGAGGCAAACTGTCTGAAAATTTTGCTCGGACTCGTTAATCCAGGTCTAATTCAGGTGGAAATCATCTTGCCAATGGAGATTCATGAACGTTTCGAGCGGATTTTCGGATGGTTAGAAGGTCAGCCAGAAGTTTCGACGTTTGGTCTTTCAATCAACAATTTGGAGCACGTGTTTTTGAAGTGAAATCTTGCAAAATTCGATTTTGAAAATAGAGTTGGCGATTTAGAGTTGGCGAGATGACTGATAAGAGTAACAATGCTGTAAGAATGGAAGAGGACAATGAAGAGATGATTAATGCAAAAGTTGAGAATTGGTAAATGATAGATTTTTAAACTTTTAAAATAATTCTAGCTTTTGTTAGATGATAGATCTCAATTCTCAATTTTAGCTTCTTGAACTTTCTCTTTCAACTCTTAGCTCTATTGAAGAAGCGCTGGTATTTCTCACTCCACAACTGGCATCAAGCTATTTTTCAACTCGTCCTTCCAGCCTTAATAAGTTTAGAGTAAAATTTTGCTCAAAAAAAAAGGTTGATTTCAGTTGCTTTTTGCATCTTTTTCACAACGGGAAAGAAAGAAGAAAGTTCAGCTGATATCGGACCAAGTAAGCTATTCAAAATTGTAGAATTTCTTGATCGAACTTTCAGTGCACACAATTGATTTCACCAGCGTCGATCTGGCAAAGTTTTTCATCGCTGGCTCGACCGTTGCTCCATATTTTTCACTCATTGATTCGGCAAAGAAAGCGAAAAACCTTCGGGTAACAAGAAATCAAGAAAACCTTTTGTTTAAGAATTGTTTTAATTGATAAATTTTAAATTTTAGATTAAGAAGATCAGTGGGACGAGTTATGTGACCGATCTCGTTCACCAATCCACCGATTTACCGACGGCGTTTTTTGGAGTAAAACTCTCAAATGCATCGGCGCCTCTTTTCTTCTACGGTAGCCAGGAGGAGGTGTTATCACAAAATTGGGCACTCATGGCAATGTTTAATGCTTTAGCAAATGCACATTTGAATGACGGTTAGCTGGGTTTTTCTTTTTTTTTCATTCTTAAGTGCATCTAGGTGGATCTGGTTCGATTTCGATGAAATTCTCGAATGTGAAAACAGTTGTGGCACCGCTTGAGGGAGAGGATAACTATTTGGTTTGTTCTTTTTAGGGATCTTTTTCTGAAATGCATTCAAGATCTATTCAATATCAATTCAATTTTCATTCAATTTTCATTCAATTTTCATTCAATATCTTTCTAGATGAATAGCATCGTGATGGGACTTCTTTCGGTGATTGTTTTCTCGATGCTCACCTCACCATTCTCGATTTTCTATGTCGTCGAGCAAGTGTCCAAGTTTTGGCATCAAGTCAGTAAACTTCCATAAAGATAAGAAACAATAGAAAAGATAATAAGAAAAGATTCGGCTCTTGCGCAGTTTTCGGGTTTTTTTGAACGAATCGTCACACTTTGAAGCCTTATAACTTTGTCTAGAGACTATATTTTTCTTAACTTTTTATATCATTGTACAGAAGGCATTTCAGGCTTTCAAATGATACCAAATAGAGCTTGATCAAATAATCCAGTCCAAGAAAATCAGGGCCAACTCTGAGGAAATGAGACCTATCCAACTCGGGGGTGTTGTGTCGTCTGGTTTGTATGGGAATAAAAAAATCCAATCAAGCTTTCTTTGGTATCATTTGAAAGCCTGAAATGTGATCTGTACAGTGATATAAAAAGTTAAGAAAAATATGATCTCTAGACAAAGTTATAGAGCTTCAAAGTGTGACGATTCGTTGAAAATACCAAGATTCTTTTAAGAAAAAGATAATAAGCTGAGTTTTTAGTTTTCTATCATTGAATCTTATTTTGGTAAATGTCCTCAATAAGAAACAATTTTTTTTATAAACTTTGTTTACAAATTTTTTTTGTAATTAATTCTTCAGCAACGACTCACCGGCGTTTCCACAAGTCTCATCCACTTTGCCTCAATTCTCTTTGATTATTTAATCTTCTTGTTGATGAGTTTTTTGATTTGTCTTGGTTTTTTCATCAGTGGATGGTCGAGTGAACAGTTGCAGTGAGTTTTAAAAGATTTTTATCTACTGTTATCATAATATTGAAAAGAATAAGTACTCGTTAAAACGTTGCTCAACTTCAGCGTAATCTGGCTGATTCTCGCGTACTTTCTCGCAACAATGGCCAATATTTATCTCCTATCCTCTTTCTTCAGCTCACCATCAAAGGTTTAAAAATGAATATTAAAAAAAAAAAGATCCAGAAGATCCAGATTATTATCCAGATTACTATCCAGATCCAGATTATTATCTAGATCCAGATTACTATCCAGATCCAGGTTATTATCCAGATCCAGATTATTATCCAGATCGAGATTACTATCCAGATCCAGGTTATTATCTAGATCCAGATTACTATCCAGATCCAGGTTATTATCCAGATCCAGATCCAGATTACTATCCAGATTACTATCCAGATCCAGATTATTATCTAGATCCAGATTACTATCCAGATCGAGATTACTATCCAGATCCAGGTTATTATCTAGATCCAGATTACTATCCAGATCCAGGTTATTATCCAGATCCAGATATTATCCAGATCGAGATTACTATCCAGATCCAGGTTATTATCTAGATCCAGATTACTATCCAGATCCAGGTTATTATCCAGATCCAGATTATTATCCAGATCGAGATTACTATCCAGATCCAGGTTATTATCTAGATCCAGATTACTATCCAGATCCAGGTTATTATCCAGATCCAGATCCAGATTACTATCCAGATTACTATCCAGATCCAGATCCAGATTACTATCCAGATTACTATCCAGATCCAGATTACTATCCAGATCGAGATTACTATCCAGATCCAGGTTATTATCTAGATCCAGATTACTATCCAGATCCAGGTTATTATCCAGATCCAGATCCAGATTACTATCCAGATTACTATCCAGATCCAGATTATTATCTAGATCCAGATTACTATCCAGATCGAGATTACTATCCAGATCCAGGTTATTATCCAGGTCCAGATCCAGATTACTATCCAGATCCAGATTGCTATCCAGATCTCATCTTAAACTTATCAATTTTAAGGCAAATGTCCTAATAATGATCTATCAAACGCTTGGCGCTTACGGATCATTGTTCATCGTGACAACATTGTACACTTTTGCCAAAGATATCTCCGATCGTTTCTCCGTATGAAAGATAACTCGATAAAAAGGATAATAGACTCTAGATTCCTTTACAAATCCTCTTCCCATCATTTGGCCTTTGTTGGGGGATTTGGAGTTGTCGAATCATGTCAAATCCGGAAAGTTTCAGCGCTGATGCAAGCGCCGCTTCAACAGCTCTCGAAAACTATCGTAAGACGGAAGAAAAAAAAAATGTTATATTAGTATTACCATTTCAGATAAAACAATCTTGATTCTTATCGTGTCTGGGATCGTTCAATTCCTTGTTGTTTTTGCCTACAGATCTTCATTGTTGCGATATTATTGGATGAGGCTTTGTTGCAAATATCCAAAACATTATGAGGTAAAAATCTAGAATCTAATTCTAGAAAATCTCACAATATTTATCTAAAATTCAAGTATAATAGTTTATAATCTATCTTCTTTTATAATTTAGCAGTAATCTTTAGCGCTGATGCAAGCGCCGCTTCAACAGCTCTCGAAAACTATCGTAAGACAAAGAAAAAAACAGTAATCTTTAGCCTGTAACAACCGACGAAGATGAAGAAGATGTGGATGTAAGAGAAGAAAGGAAATTGTTGAACCAAGGAAACCTTTCACTCAAGCCGAAATTGATTTTAGAAGTAAAAATCGAGTTTTTAAAAAGTTTAGAATTTATTTTTGAAATCTAGTTGAATGAATTAACGAAAAAGTATGGCACAAATGTGGCTGTAAACTCGTTGACATTCGGTGTACGAGAAGGTGAATGCTTTGGGCTACTCGGTGAGTCTTATCTTTAAAGATTACCTTTAAAGATCTAAATCTCCTGCTTATTGCAGTAATCTCTAAAAAGTACTCAGCTAAATGTAGCAGCTCATTTGTATTTGTAATGTATTAGCTTAGTGCATAAGTTTTGTCATACTGTGATGAAACAGTAAGGTTAAACGTAAACCTGCTTAACGAGTCCGGACAAAATTTTCAAACAGTCTGTCTCGCTCTTCGATTTTTTATTGCCCAAAGCTTCGTCGAGCATGAAACCCAGTTCCTCTGCAAGCCCTTATTTTAAGCTTCATTTTGATACTAAACATGTCTAGGTACTGTTTTGTTATTCTTTTGATTTCGATCATTTTAGATAAAAAATTTTCTGGACTTGTTAAGGTTATTGAGTTCGGTGAAAGATTGATCGAAATCTAAAGAATGACAAAACAGAACTTAGGCATTTTTAGTATCAAAATGAAGCCTAAAATAAGGGCTTGCGGGGGAACTGGGTTTCATGTTCCAAGGAGCTTTGGGCAATAAAAAAATTCGAAGAGCGAGACAGACTGTCTGGAAATTTTATCCAGGCTCGTTAAGCCGGTTTAACCTGTTATCTTTTAAAAGAGAACTCAAATTTCTCATACCTGTTTCCCGTGGATTGCTTTATTTTCATGGATCTTGGCTTCTGGCTCGTATCTTTGAAATTTCTGAAAACCTCTTTGAAGCTAATTTCCCGTTTTTCCTATTTACCTGAAGAAATGCCTTTGTTGCTTCTGGATCGTTTACCACGTCATCATTCAAAACACACGTTTCATGCTCGAGGGAGCTTTGGGTAGTAAAAAATTGAAGAGCGAGGCAGACTGTCTGAAAATTTTGTCCAGACTCGTTAAGTAGGTCTAGTGAAACGACTAGCAGATTTTCGACTAACTTACAAACCTTTACAGTATCTTTAAAGACTTCAATTTATAGAAAATAGATTCTCATTTCGTTTAATAATTGATTAAATGCAAATTGCCGTAAATTTTCAGGAGTGAATGGCGCTGGAAAAACGACAACATTCGGTTTGATTACTGGCGAGATTTTCGCAAACGGAGGACATGTGCGCTTGAATGGAGAAGAGATTAAAGAGATAAAGGTATCATTTGATAAAGATAAAGGTACTATTTGCATATAAAAGAGAAAGTTTTATGAATATTTTTAATATTATTATTATTGCTTTTTTTAGAAAATGGGTTATTGTCCTCAATTTGATGCTTTTATGACCGATTTGACTGGCCGAGAAGTGCTCTCGCTTCTTTCTGCACTTTATGGTTATAAATATCCGGACAGGTTTTTTCTAATAAACAAACGAAGTTTCAGAAAAGTTAACCCGATTTTCAGAAAAGCCAACTCGATTTTGAAGGCTGTTTTAATGGAGAAACATGGTGATAAACAACTGAAAAACTGCAGGTAAAGTGATAAAGTGAAAGAATAGAATGGAAAACTTGAGCATCAGAACAAAATGAATGGAAAACTTGAGCTAACGAATCTAACAAATCGAACAGATCTAACAGATCTAACAAATAAAATGCATAGAAAACTAGATCTAAAAAGCTTAACGAAAGTTAAGCCAAAGCTAAGCCAAAGCTAAGCCAAAGCTAAGCCAAAGCTAAGCCAAAGCTAAGCCAAAGCTTAACAAAAGCTAAGCCAAAGCTAAGCCAAAGCTTTATATTTAAAAATCTTACTGCTTAGTGGCGGACAAAAGCGAAAGATCAGCGTCGGAATCGCTCTACTCGCCGATAGTTCTTTGGTGATTCTCGATGAGCCAACTGCTGGAATTGATCCAAAAGTTTGATTTTAGAAAGCTGGAAATAAAAACGACTATTTAGGCACAAAGAGAGATATGGTCGTTGATTGGAAAGTTCAAGAAAAACAAGAACAGCGCTGTTCTTCTTTGCTCTCATTCAATGAATGAATGCGAGGTAATTGTCTTCAATGAATCATCGATATTTCAAAGATTTCAAATATTCCAGATATTCCAAATATTCCAGATATTCCAAATCTTTCAAATTTCAGGCTCTTTGCAATAAAGTTGGGATTCTAGTGGGTGGAAAGCTGAAAGCTTTAGGCACAACACAACAACTCAAAACAAAGTAAGCTATTGTGCTTTGTGAATCTGTAAATGATTTGATAATCAATTGCAAAATATGTTTCTAGATATGGGAACAGTTACGAGTTGACATTGGTTTACCCAACTGGTGAGGAAACGCAAACGGATTGCGGGCAAAGCATGAGAGTCAGCGGGATGAGTGGAATGAGGAGCGGAAGCACGCAACGACTCGTCCCACCGCGAATGGCAGAACTCTTAGCTTCCGAAGAAAATATTGAACTTCAAATGAAAAGAGTTGATGAAAGAATGGTACAAGAACGGGTAGGAACAAAAAATGATCCCAAATTATTAGATGTGAATCCTATTTTAGACGACCTATCATTTTCCTGGTGCTAAAATCTACCGTGAAGGGATTCACACAAATGTTTACAGGTTTACGGTAAGTAAAACTTGATAGTAATCAAGTAATATCAAATAGTAACCTTAATTATATCCAAAATAAGTTTTATTTTAATAACATTGACTAAGTCTTGTGATTTCTCATCGAAATTTGGCTAATCGAGTGCAATCTGGCTATTTGGTTACGGGTAGATTTCTAAAATCAGTATTTTTTTAAAAAGGAAGCTGGTTTCCTTCTTGGGTACTATTTTGGTTTTTTCTTTGCAGAGTCAAAAAGTTTAGGGATTTACGGGGGACCCTTAAGCGAATACCCAACTGAGGAACCAAGCTTGACAATTGCTTTACAAAGCACATTAGCTTTAAAAAGCAAATTAGCTTTAAAAAGCACAATAACTTTACAAAGCACAATAGCTTTACAAAGCACAATAACTTTACAAAGCACAATAGCTTTACAAAGCACAATAGCTTTACAAAGCACAATAACTTTACAAAGCACAATAGCTTTAAAAAGCAAATTAGCTTTACAAAGCAAATTAGCTTTAAAAAGCAAATTAACTTTACAAAGCAATCAATTCGAGAAAATCAGTCAACATTTGAAGATGAATAGAAACCGAAGTCCTTTTCCCGTGTGAATACGTGTTATTTGGGTTGGATTAAGCTTTAGATTTATCTAAAAAAGATAAAAGAATCGATGAGCGAGAAACAAGGCAATATAAACGAAAGAAAAGAGGATAGAAAAAACCGCCCTAGCACCAGCTCAAGCTCAAAAGCTCTCAAAAATCAAAGGGATGATAAAAAGGAGTACGAAATAGCCAACAGTGCCGATTACGGACAATGGGAAACGGGGTATAAAAGAGGAAACACTCGGGAATTACCTAAGAAGACTTTCTAATAGATTAAAAACAAATGAATTCAGGTTCCAAGAGATGATCGAGATCAATGGTCAACTTTATGGAGAAAGAGCGAACGGATAGCTAAGGAAACGAACGCTGTCAACTTTTCGATCGCTCAAAACACTCTTCTCCAAACATTCCTCCGGTTATCCGGAAGCTCGAGTTGAAAATTTTATCGTTTTTTGTTTATTTGATGATCTAAACATCTTCTACTATCTAATTTTTGTTCTACTTTTGATCTACTTATATCTATAACCGTTTTCTCTGTTGATAACTCAAAAAATCTTCTCATTCTCAGTCTTTCATCCAGTTTTTTTCTTTTTCTCGAATCCCTTGCTTGCTTTAACTAAAAATGAACGGGTCTTTTTGTCAAAGAAAAAAAAAAGATGAAATGTTCTTTTCGTTTGTTTGTTTAACACATTTGTTTAAAATAAGATTTTCTGTTTGTGAAAAGATTTAAAGGGATCACGATTCACCAAGAATTCAATTTCCTCAACAATCCAACTTTTTTTTTTCTTTCTACAAAACCCTTTATTTTCTACAAAACAGTAATTTCTTTATTCCAAAATTTGCAATTCATTTTGTTCTACTTTTGGATAAATATTATTTGCATAAATTCTTTTCAACTAATGCAAACCAATGATTGACAGAAACAGTACGATTTTCATCAAGAGATATCACCGGTGACGTTCAAATGAAAAAAAAAATATTGCATTTTCTAGGCTTATCGCGAAAAAAAAAAGGATTAAGATAAAGGAAAATTCTCGGGTGCAAGATTGGTGCTATATTTGAAGAATGTTGAATGGAAGAGCGTTCGAGATTCAATGAATTTAGAGAAAGTGATGATAAGCAGATCGATTCAGAGTTTGACTTTCGGGAAAACAAGCTGCAAGCTAAACGAATAAACGAATAAACGAGAAGATTTTGGTCAAAAATTTTGATCTTTTTAAAGATCTTTTAGCAATGCTGGATTCTGTATGGGAATTTCTTTTAAAACTTTAAAAAGGTTTGCTTCCAGGTTTTGAAAAATTAAAGAACATTGTGATTTCATTGCTATTTTCGAAATGAAATGAGATTTTTGATTTTTGAAGAATTACAGAGAATTCCAGAAAGAATCGATCTTTTTCTTTTCAATTAAAATCCGATAAAAATCGATTAAATTTTGTGAGTTTTTAGGGTCAATTTTAGTTAGAAATATACCTCTCCATGGTCCTTTCCATGTTCTTCTTTGCTCTCATTCAATGAATGAATGCGAGGTAATTGTTTTCAATGAATCATCGTTTTCCATAGTTAGTGAACTATTGAAATGCATGAACGTCAGCTTCTCGTAGTCAGCTTCTCGTAGTCAGCTTCTCGTAGTGGCGGACAAAAGCGAAAGATCAGCGTCGGAATCGCTCTACTCGCCGATAGTTCTTTGGTGATTCTCGATGAGCCAACTGCTGGAATTGATCCAAAAGTTTGATTTTAGAAAGCCGGAAATAAAAACGACTATTTAGGCACAAAGAGAGATATGGTCGTTGATTGGAAAGTTCAAGAAAAACAAGAACAGCGCTGTTCTTCTTTGCTCTCATTCAATGAATGAATGCAATGAATCATCATGTTCCATAGTTAGTGAACTATTGAAATGCATGAACTTCTCGTCAGCTTTCTTTTCTTACTCACATAAATCTTACTCATTGAGTATCGAGATTCATAATCTAAAATCAAACGCGTCAAAAATTGAATTGAAATTTCGAAGGAAAGCTTTAAAGGGCACTTTTTAAAGACAAGGAGCACCGGCACCGGTGACCTAGTGGATAGTCGGACAGCCCCTGGGTCGTAATATCCGGGGTTCAGTCCCCCCTCTTGGCTTTTTTTCTTTTGAAACTTCAATGTAATTTTTACGAGCGAGCTTATTTGGGAGATTTTGATTTCAGATTATGAATCCTCATACTCGTAAGATGTATGTGATCGGGAGCAAAAGGGAACTTGGTGCCTCTCCCTAGTAAGAACATTTTCTAAACCCTTGCTAAAGAAATATTTTAATAATTGATACTTCAACTTATTGAATTAAGGAGATTTAGCAAAGATAAAACAAAGAATGGAAAAACTTAAGTCATTTTCCATTGTAAGATCTTCAAAACAATTCCCCTCACTCAAAAAAAATACCGTTGTCACCTAGAATTGAAAAGATTCAGGGCTGCAAATAAAAAAAAAGGAAATCAAGAATTGTGGGTGTATTGTAAACAATTTCCGGTAGAAAGGGTAAAAGTTCATGTTTTCGTGCTGAATTGAAGAAAAGAGAAAGAAAAAAATTGAGATCACATGTCGCTTATCTCAAAAATCGGCACTTCTTTTCGCCCCTGATTACCCCTATAAAGCGATTGCCCAACTACTCGTCGAGTTTTCCCCTCCGCAGACGAATCGACTCTGTTTATTCAATTTGCTGAAATGTCTTCTATTTCTAGTGATCATCCGCCAATTTATCGGGAAAAGCACGTCGATCATGAGGTTGGCATTGTGTTGTTTCCATTCAAAAGTAGTCAAATAGCACTGAGCTTACTTGATAATCTACTATATAGAAAAGAGCAGTGTATGTCCGTCCGTCCATCCGTTCGTCTGTCTATCTTTTTCAGTCATCTTTGGGCCTAAAAAAACTCAAACTGTTTTAAAAAGTCTCTAATATAGTTTGTAAACAATTTCCGGTAGAAAGGGCAAAAGAAATAATGAAAAAAAATTGAAGTTAAGTGGCAGTACGGGGAGCCGAACCTGAATCTGGTAGGCTATAGGCCAGCGCCCTCCCGACTGCACCACAACGACGAGTATCGGCCGGCAACAAAGCAGCCCCAAAATACCGCCGCCGAAAAACCCGACTTTTGGGGTTTGACAGTGAAGAAACAGTGTTGTTTTGACAGCGAGGAAACGAAAAATAGATGGATTGATTAGAGGCTAGATTAGGGTAGCTTTCTGAAAGTTGACACGTTTTAGAAAGGGTATTAGTTTCGAGAAATGTCTACCTATAAAATAAAACTGGTTTTTTTGTTACAGTTCCCGATTCTCTACCTCGATCAACCGTCCACAATCGCACCATACCCCCAAGTGCATCGAGGTATCAGAAAAGCACTTATTCACTTAAAAATATCTTTGTTAATCAAATTTAGGAACAATTTCCAGCAATGAAACCTTTTCACCGCATCAAAATCATCGCTCAGAGCGAAGAAACACTTATGAGTAAGTGCAAAGTCTTTCCCTTTTCTATCATTGCATGAAAGGCATAAAAACTTTAGCACATATGACAGAATGATGGCTCATCCACCATGTGCACTTTCATTGGGAAATCCACATGATAATGTAAGTGTGTGAACAAGTTTTAATCACATACTTAATTAGTAGATAACTACAGTAAACCCTGAAGAGTTTACTACAGTTTACTCTAGTTTACTCTAGTTTACTTTAGAGGTTTTCTTTACTTCTTACTTCTTTACTTTACTTCTTTACTTTACTTCTAGAAGTGCTCTTGAGTTTTCCTGTTTCAAGGACTGTACTCATTTTGTGGAGAAAAGAAACTGAAGCGCTTTAAAGTCTCAAAAATCAATTTTAGAGACCATGGCTTGTGAGAAATCGAAAGAAACTCCAAGTGACAGTTTGCATTGTTTTGCTATTCCTTGTCATCGTCCCTCTCGTCGGTTTTCTCATTCATCTCGCTTTTCGCAATTGATCGAATTCTGTACATTTTTTTACATTCGTACGGGTAATAAATTGTTTTGACTAGACTTTCAATTGCTTTAAACCTAAAGAAAGAAAAGATCAATTTCAAAACAAAAATAACAAAAACAACAACAAAAACAACAACAAAAACAACAACAAAACAAAAAAACATTTCAAAACAGTCTAAACTAGAGTGTGTTCCTCGCGAGTAATGCGTTTTTTAAAACGCACAATTGGGAAAAAATTAGCGTACTTTAAGCAAAAAATATTGCAAAAAAAATGACGCAAAAAATGACGAGCCCCGCATTATCTATGACACTTTTTAAAGATTTAAATCATTTAAATGATTTCGTGGGAAATTCCCTTCCAATGTAAAAAATGAGTTTTTTTTTTTTGAAAAACCTGGGGGTAGGCTACTTTGCGCCAAATTTTTTGCTCAACAGGGTCATTTGCGCAACTAGGTCTTTTGCGCAACTCGCCATAACTTTCTTCTAATTCGGCCAATCTTGATGATTTTGATTTCATTTTGTAGATCTCAATAAGTGCACCAAAATGAAACCAAAATCATAAAGATTGGCCCACTTAGAAGAAAGTTATGGTGAGTTGCGCAAACGACCCAGTTGCGCAAAATAACCCTGTTGCGCAAAAAAAGTTGCGGAAACTAGCCTACCCCAAAACCTGCACAAAAAATTGCTTTTTATTTTTTTTTTTTTTGCGCAGGCGCACTTTTTAGAAGACGCATTACTCGACAATTACTCGAGCTATTACTCGAGTAAAAAATTACTCATGCAAATTTACTCGAGTTTAATTACTAAATTACTTACTCGCGAGGAACACACTCTACTCTTTATAATTAGAAATCTTTTCTAAAAAGGTGCTTGAAGTAAGCTATCGTTTTCTTTATGAAAATAATAGTAACTTATCTTTAAACTGGTTTTGGTTCAAGGCAATTCGAAGTAAAGTAAAAAATTACTCACTCAATTTACTCGAGTACTTATTTACTCGGGTTTAATTACTTACTCGAAACTCTAATCTAAACCATCAATAATTAACTGATTCCTGAAGGAAAATTTTCTGGATTTAGAGGTTTTAATCAATATTCTGTACTCTGATCTCTTATCAAGATCACTTCTTTATTTACAAGTACAACTCACATTTTTCTATTCAATACATGCAAGTGATGTTTACGAACTAATGAACGAGCTTCGATCACTTCTTGTCCTCAAATCCTCATGTGATGGGCATCGTTGAAGAGAGCAAACCTTTGGATAGGGAATAAAAGGGTGTCGATCATTGACAACTGGTCTCTTCCCTGTTTGTGTCCAACAGTGAAGTGGAAAGGGCGGAGGGGAGGTACTGATTGAGCTCTTTCCTCTTTTATCTCTTGAGCACAGCAGTTGTCTCCCTTCATTTTCTTCAATATCCCCATCTCCATCGACCCAATCCTTTTTTCCCCTTCAATTTGCTCGATGTCATAAGATCTACTGCTTTTTTGGCCTGAGACATTGACCTATTAATTTCATGTTGAAGATTAGCTTAAAGATCAATAGCCTTAGTTTTAGCTTAGCTTAGCTTTTAGCTTTAGTTTTAGCTTTAGCTTTAGCTTTAGCTTTAGCTTTAGCTTTAGCTTTAGCTTTAGCTTTAGCTTTTAGCTTTAGCTTTAGCTTTAGCTTTAGCTTTAGCTTTAGCTTTAGCTTTAGCTTTAGCTTTAGCTTTAGCTTTAGCTTTAGCTTTAGCTTTAGCTTTAGCTTTAGCTTTAGCTTTAGCTTACTCTACTACTTAAAGAACTTTATTGAGTTGAACTCAATGAATTAGATCAATGAATGATTAGATAAATGAAAGATAAGCTTTTCAAAGTTATCAAAAAGTAAAAAGGGTAGAGTTTGATCTTTTTCTTCTTTAAATTGATGAACGGAACCCCTAGGATTTCCCCTTTTCTCCTTATGTTTTCACACTTTAAACACAAGAGACTCTTTCTTTGCTTGTCTTCGAAGAGCGAGTCACTCGAAATGATTTCGTTGTGTTCTGCCAGTAAGGCTCTACTCTTTTAATTTCTATCATATCTTAGAACTTCTTTCTTGACTTCACTTGCTATTTCGTAAATCTCCCAAGCCAAACTCATTACTTTAAAGCTTTCAAAGTCAAAACTTACTTTAAAGAGTTGCTGATGGAGAATGAGAATATCATTTGTGCTCATTATTGCTTTATTTCTGTGGAATGGAGATGCGATGCCGGTCGAGGATTGTCGTCTCGAATGTGATCAAATTGATGACGCATTCAAATATGAGGAATGCATACAGAGTTGCAAGAAGAGGCCAAGGAAAAATCTTGTCGAAACGACTTGTCAGTGATTTTTCTATTAGACATTTAAACCTTTTAAACTTGTAGACTATCCAGCTCCACCAGTCAATGTCACGATTAAAACAGAAGTCGTTGTTGAGGACGGGAAATTCCTTGAAACCACTGTCACCTGGGATTCGATTCCAGGTTTTTTTTTAAAACAAAAATTTGCTAAATGAAAAATTTTGAAGATAATGAACGAACCGGTTACTATCTTCGTTTCACGGCAATTGGTGAAAAATGTCAACAGGATTTTCCCGGTTATTTTACAACTGCAATTAAACCGGTAAATTGAAGATCTTGAAGATTTCAGAACCGTTTTTTTCTTTCAGACAGCTCGTTCCCATATGATTCCGTTAATGTTTGGTGGAAGGCCTTTAATTATCGATCATGATTGTCAATATAAACTTGAAGTAATTTGAAGAATGAGAAATGGGTAGAGAAAAGCTCTAGATGCATTCGAAACCGTATCCATACGGCGATCAACTCTTCACCGTTTCACAGCAATATCGAGTGCCTACATGTTTAGAGGGTTTTTGCGCTTGTCGAGGTAGCTTAGTGCTTCATTTTGCTTACAAAAACTTTCTAAAATGTTAGATTAGTAAAACGGACTGTTAGATTAGTAAAACTGGACTGTTAGATTAGTAAAATTGACTGTTAGGTTAGTAAAATTGACTATTAGATTAGTAAAATTGACTGTTCGATTAGCAAAATTGACTTTTAAATTAGTAAAATTGACTATTAGATTAGTAAAATTGACTGTTAAATTAGTAAAACTGATTTTTAGATTAGTAAAACTGGACTGTTAGATTAGTAAAATTGACTGTTAGGTTAGTAAAGCTGACTGTTAGATTAGTAAAAGTGGACTATTAGATTAGAAATCCCGGATAACCTTTATCTTTTCTGTACTTACTGTATTCCATTTACATTCTACACTAACTTTCATCATAACCTATTCGAAAAACCCTTGTGATTTTGACTCATAGACTCATAGCTCTAGAATGAAAAGAGAGTCTTCGATTTTATTCGACAAGGATAACAAAAGATTTCTATTTTAAAAGACAGATACCAAATCCTTATTGTGAAAAAACCTGAAAGCCAAGTTATTATCATAAAACAATGCCTAACATTTTCAGATGGAGCCGTTCCGATGCCCGACTCAACGACAGCCGAACATACACCTGATGGAGTCCGTGTCTCGTGGCATTTCATTCCGAAACCCCCACGAAATTACACTTTTCATTTGACACTCTATGAAAGGTTCACTTCTCTTCAATAAATATTACAGAGTGACCAGAGAATAAAACGGAGAAATCTTTTTCAATCGATTTGCAGATAGACTAAATAAAAAGATCTTTAAATCGTTTATTTTTGGTTTATTTTTATTTTTATTTTTATTTAGTCTATCTGCAGATCGAGACAAAAAGGTTTGTCGGGGTTATTTCTACTTTGTATATCCATGAATTTCCAGATTTGTTCCACCAATTGCTTTCAAGAATCCAGATGCTTTCAAGTATCGTATCGTTGATGAAACCGAGCATAAGCTTCATTCAAAATCGGTCAGTGAAAGCTTTAAAGATTTGAAGGTTTGAAGGTTTGAAGGTTTGAAGGTTTGAAGGTTTGAAGCTTTAAAGATTAGAAGCTTTGAAGATTAGAAGCTTTGAAGGTTTGCAGCTTTGAAGCTTTAAAGATTAGAAGCTTTGAAGCTTTAAAGATTAGAAGCTTTGAAGCTTTAAAGATTAGAAGCTTTGCAGCTTTAAAGATTTGAAGCTTTGCAGCTTTGAAGTTTTGAATATTTTGATGGTTTAGAATGTAACCTCATACAGCATTGTGTTGCCATTTTCACTGCGACCAAATGAAGAATACAAAGTAACGTTTTATTGTGAAATGTTTTAAGATTTCAATCTTAGATAACCCTTTTTGCTGAGGATGATCATTTCTGCCATAACGCTGATACACATATCGAGTTTTTATCGAAAAATGTTTGTTTATTTACTAAATTTTTCCAAATTTAGGAAATAATATCGAATTTTTTTCAGGAAATTTTTCTTATCACAACTAAAAATGCTAGCAAGTCACATCAAAAACATGAGGAATTGCATGAAATCCCGGGAAACACATCGATTTCCATTCTTAAACCGGTAAATGATAGTACAATCTAAATTTTACTGTTTTTCATTCTTGTTTTTCATTCTTAAATCAATCCAATAAACTAGTGCAACCTATTGGTTTGGTGAATTGAAAGCTGCGGGACTTTGAACTAAAATTTATTCAACATAAAAACATGAATTCATTCCAAATAATTTCCATTATTATTGACGACTTCTGCCCATTTTACAGGCAATTTGGGGATTTCTTTTTCGTGGTAGGATTTTGGTTTGTGTGTGAGACAAGTGTGAGACTCAAAAATCGAGGACTGGATATGTTCTTAAGCTTTTCAGCCATTTTGTGCGCTTTCTTCAAAGAAATTTTTTTTTGAAAATTTTTTTTTTTTGTTTCCCATTTTGGTGTGAATAGAAAAGTTGTAGAGAATCAAAAATGAGGCTGTTTATATTTGTCCAAATTTCCAAAAAGATACACTTAGTAGTTTCGCTTAAAATGCAAGTTTTGTGAAAATTCGTAAATTTGGCATTTCTTGAAAAGCAGTTTTTGAATCGTTCTGAAAATTTGGATATAAGCTTGATTTTTGATTCTCTACAACTTTTCCATTGACACCAAAATGGGTTTCTTTCGAAGAAAGTGCTCAAACTGTCACATATGACAATAGCCCGCAGTTTTCAATTCACCAACCCAATATAATTGTATACAAATAAGAAAATTGAATCTAGACGAAAGAACCGAGCTCATCAGTGGTCCTCAAAGATCACTTTGTCATCTCGCATGCTTTGGTTCTAATCTTTATCTGTGAGTTTATCAAAAAAAAAAAGTTTAGAAATTGTTTTTGTTAAAATTGATACCTTTTAACTTGAAAAAACATGAATTTTATAAAATTCTAGTAGTCGTTTTTGTTGTGGTTTCTCTTCCTTTACTTGCCGCTTGGATTTGTTTCCGTCGTCGATCCACACATAAACAAAAGCTAAGCCGTTTCCGCCCAGATTGGTCACTTTCACAGTCAAGGTTTCAACGATAAGTGAAACGCTTTTTCAAATTTCAAATTCAGACACTCAATTTTGGAAACAAATATTCTATATCGACGACCAATCGAATTTCGTCAACCGGTACGTGAGGAGGATTGGATCATTCAAAGGGATGATATTTCTGTTGGATCTGTCATTGGTGAGGGAAATGTTTAAGGAGAAATTGGCACAATAAATATAATAAATATAGATAAATCAACAAAAATTGTTGAACTTTAAAATGAGCTTTTTTTGACACAAACTGTGGCGATATAGTTTATTCTGTAGGAAGCTGTTGAAGCTGTTGTGGTGTAGTATTAGGGCTGTTTGATGTGAACTTAGGAGCTGTTGTAGATGTAAGTCTTAAGGAAGCTGTTGTAGGTGTAGAACTTAAGGAAGCTGTTGTTGATGCAGGTCTTAAGGAAGCTTTTCTAGATGTTACCTTGTTATTGTTGTAGATGTTATCTAAAGAAATTACCGTAAATCCCGTAATAGTATCCCACCCCCCTCGTACAGTCGGGTAGTCGCAAAAGTTTTTTGGTATTTCATTTTTGACTTTTTTCAAAGCGCCCGTACTTTCAAAAAATACGTCTTTGGTATCAAAAAATAGCCCTGAATCTCAGCTATTTTTTGATACCTAAGCGCGCATTGTAGCATAAACCAGTGTCGAGAAAAATGCGTCCAAAGCTAGACTACGCAACGCTCCGCACCGTCATTATGGGGGTGGGGCACTATTACAGTATTTACGGTATGTAGATCAATTAGAAACTTTACAAAATAGTATAGTATAGTATAGTTGAAACTTCTTTGAGAAAATCTATTAGAATAGTAGCGAATAAATTTTTAGGTGAAGGTGCTTTCGGTCTTGTATGCAAAGGATCAATGAGAGGACCTCGTGGGGTTCCTGTGCGAGTCGCTATTAAACAACTAAAAGTCAGTAATCATCGAATTTCTTCACGACAAACTACAAATGATTCTAAATTGCTTTAAACCGACCTGATTGATATGATCTATAGCTTAAAAAATCGAGAATTTCAAGAGCTTTCGAATGGATTAAAGTACATCGAAAAATATGAATACTAAAGAAAGTTACAGTGGTTTATACTGGACTCCAACTAGGCCCGAATATAATCGACTATAAATCATTGTAACTTTCTTTAGAATTCATATTTTTCGATGTACTTTAATCCATTCGAAAGCTCTTGAAATTCTCGATTTTTTAAGCTATAGATCATATCAATCGGGTAGATTTAAAGCAATTTAGAATCATTTGTAGTTTGTAGTTTGTAGTGGAAAGCAAGTTAGAATCATTTGTAGTTTGTAGTTTGTAGTCTATAGTGTTCATATCTATTTTTAGGCAAATGCAATCGATGAAGAAAGACGTGAATTCGAAAGAGAACTTGATATGATGAAGCATGTAAGTAAAGTTATTGCAATTATTTCTTCTCATAAGTAAAAGAAGAATCATTTCTTTTTAAGGTTCGACGTCATCCAAATGTGGTCACAATGTACGGGTATTGTCGAGAGGGTGAATGCCCATGTATGATCATGGAATACGTGCCGTTTGGCGATCTCAAACACTATCTACAAAGTCTACGGAAACAGGTAATCCATTTGATCAAGATGAAATCAAAAACAAACTACTAATTCTAGTAATCGTAAATCTAGTAGAATTGAAAATGAAATCTAGTTGTCGTTGGCGGTTTCAACACTGAAAACCTCGTTGAGAATCGATGATGTCACTTGTCATCCACTATCGAACGCGTCGATGACCGACTCAGTCATGTCTCAGCCAGAGGTTGAGCTTTAAAAATTGTTTTTAATGGGTTTTCTAAAGAGTTTTCTAATGCCTTTTCTAATGCCGTTTCTAATGCCTTTTCTAATGCCAAATTTCTTCAGGAAAGACTCGAACTTCAATACGAGCTTGATCCAGCCGAATTGCAGTCATTTGCTTGTCAAGTAGCCGCCGGAATGGCTCACCTTGAATCCCTTGGAATCACTCATCGAGATCTTGCAGCAAGGAATATTTTAGTCGGAGAGAATAAACAATTAAAGGTATGGTAAACATAAAAGATTTCAAACAAAAAGGAAAGAGTCGGTCTTGCGTTTCTGAAAAAACACACTGAAATAACTTTTCTAGAGAAAATTTTTCTACATTTAAAAATGCTTCAACAAATAGAGCGATTGGAAAAAAAAAAAAAGGAAGAGGAAAAGAGACAAGGGGGGGGGGGATAAAAAAAATGTTTCAATGTAAACCAAATTCCGCCTTCATTTCAGAAATTATCGTTTATTCATTTTATTCTGAAATCGTTTACAAATAGAAATTGGAATTTTAGTTAACATCTCAAAGAAATCGGAGAAAAGAAAGATGGAATTAGATTTGGATTCGAATTTTTTCTGTCTAATGTGTAATTAATCACAAAAAAAATCCTTTAGATCAGTGACTTTGGTATGTCTCGACAAGGAGTTTATGTAAAAGTTTCAAAAGGAGTAATCCCACTTCGATGGTTGAGTGTTGAAGCGATCAAAGAAAATCTTTACTCAACGAAAAGTGATATTTGGGTGAGAAGACTAAATGAATTTGTTTTGTTAAAAAGAGCTTTTCTTTTCAGGCATACGGTGTCGTTTTGTGGGAAATTTGCACATTAGGTGGTTTCCCATATGCGACAATTTCTGACAAAGATCTTCTACAGTATTTGGTTGACGGGCATCGACTTGAAAAACCGATGAGTTGCAGTGATGAAATGTTGGTGAAAATTTTGGGGAAGGAAAAATTGAGATTGATTGAGATTTGATTGAGATTTTAGCTATTCGTTTATGCTATCGTGTTGGCGAACAAACCCGTCGGAGAGGCCATCGTTCGCCTGTTTGGCGGATTGTCTTGGCGCCATTCATGCGCCTTATGTCGAATTTCTTTCGCATGCTCAATTGCCTCCACAAGGTTGAGAAAAAGAATCTATTGGGTTGGTGAATTGAAAACCGCAGCAATGAGTTGAGCATTTCCCAAAAAGACCCATTTGGAAGAAAAAAAAAAAAAAGAAAAAAAAAAAAGGCCTGACTAAATGACTGGGTGTTCTTTGCGCGGCCGCGTAATCGCTCGTCGTCTGGTGCAGGGTTTTTACATAACCCCCTCCCCTCTCTGCTTTGTAACCTATTCTGGCCGTTTCCGAATCCTCAAATTTGACATTGATTTCTCCCCAAATCAGGGTAATATCAATAGCTATTAGGTTGCTGAATTAGCTAAAACTGCGGGCTATTGTCATATGTGACAGTTTGTGCACTTTCTTCAAAAGAAACCCATTTTGGTGTCAATGGAAAAGTTGTAGAGAATCAAAAATCAAGCTTATATCCAAATTTTCAGAACGATTCAAAAACTGATTTTCAAGAAATGCCAAATTTACGAATTTTCACAAAACTTGCATTTTAAGCGAAACTACTAAGTGTATCTTTTTGGGAATTTGGCTATAAGCCTCATTTTTGATTCTCTACAACTTTTCTATTGACACCAAAATGGGTTTCTTTTGAAGAAAGTGCTCAAACTGGATGTCAGCTGACAGCTGACATCTCCAGTCCTCCATTTTTGAGTCTCACACTGGTCTCACACACAAACCAAAATCCTACTACGAAAGAGGAATCCGCAAATTGCCTGTGAAATGGGCAGAAATCGTCAATAATAATGGAAATTATTTGGAATGAATTCATGGTTTTATGTTGAATAAATTTTAGTTCAAAGTCAGGCAGTTTTCAATTCACCAACCCAATACAAAGCACAATAGCTTACTTTGTTTTGAGTTGTTGTGTTGTGCCTAAAGCTTTCAGCGTTCCACCCACTAGAATCCCAACATTAATGCAAAGGGCCTAAAAGTTGAAAGATTTTAAATATTTGGAATATCTGGAATATTTGAAATCTTTGAAATATCGATGATTCATTGAAAACAGTTTTCAGTTCAACAACCTAATAGATTAAGAAAGAGCTTAACTTTCAAAAGAATCATAGATTTTAGGTCCTTTCTCTCAATGATTCGCCCCTCCTCTTCGCATTTCTTCGCCGCTTCTGTGATTTAGCTAATTGTATTAAATTCTATCAAAAAAAGTACAATCTTTTCATTTTAACATCTCTTTTTAATCCTTTTTTTTTGCTTATCTTTACGTTTATCTCTGCTTTTCTTCTTTTCTTTTCTTTTTCTTTTTGATCTCATTCATTTACGGTAATTTCTATGTACGATAAAGGTATTATCGAAAAAAAAAACAAACAAAAGTTTAAGATTGACAAATGTTTATGTGAAAATCTACCCAAAAAGGCACAAAAATAAACATCAATGAATAGATGAAAGGAAATGATCAAATCGAAATGCTATTTTTCTAATATTTTTTGATGAAGACAGTAAATGATTTCATTTTCATTGATTTCATTGACTTTCAAATGAACATTTTTAATGCTTTCCGGAAAGATATTCAACAGAAAAGCAGGAGAAAAGAAAACGAAGAGTTTACTTCTTTAAAAAATTCAACTTTCGATCGATTATCGAAATCGTAAATGAAGCAAATGATGACTTTCTCGATATGGCGCCGACCAGGTGAGAAAGAGAAACAAATGAAGGAATGCGTCAAGGAGTGGGACAATCAAGCTTCAGCAATCAAGCTTCAGCAATCAAGCTTCAGCAATCAAGCTTCAGCAATCAAGCTTTAACAATCAAGCTTTAACAATCAAGCTTCAGCAATCAAGCTTCAGCAATCAAGCTTCAGCAATCAAGCTTCAACAATCAAACAAATGAAGTTCAGACTGTCAATGGGGTGGTATATCAATGGCTGAAGTGCTGACGAGTGCCAAGTGCTTGCATCGAAGTGGATTTCCCAAGGGATCGCCCGTTTTTGGTTTTAAATTTTATCACTTATAAATAAAATACTATCAAACTAATACATATAATGGTTATTTTCATCTGTCTTTTTTTTATTGACAAGATTTTTTTCTGAAAACTCAACGACTAGATTCTAGCCCAAATACAAATGGTTTTGCACCGGGTGAATTTTCGCTTTTTAGCTGTTACATTTTCCCTATTCATGCTATGTCGATGATTTTTTGGGATTTAAGGGTTATTTTTGGTCCTGAATCTAACTACGTTTTCAGTTTTTTTATCACTGACACGGGAGCTGCAGAAAATTGAAATTTAGGCGGTGGCGTATGGTTTTGCACCGCACTTTATGTGTCGATGACTTTCTGACTTTCTGTGACTTTCTTTTTTTTGTTTTTGTAAATGTTCGAATTGTTTTTCTTTTGTTTTCTTTTGTCTATCCGTTTAAATAAAAGTTCTCGTTAAATCGATCCGTCTAAACAAAGTAATACTTTAACAATGATTACCTGTTGATTACCAATGATAACAATGACTTGTTAATCATAAAATTTATTCAAGATGATATTTAATGGAAAGAAACGAGAATGACTGCGATCAACTATTGGGTTGGTCAATTGAAAATTGCGGGACTTTGAACTAAAATTTATTCAACATAAAACCTTCAATTCCGTCCATTATTATTGACGACTTCTGCCCATTTTGCAGGCAATTTGCGGATTCCTCTTTCGTAGTAGGATTTTGGCTTTGAATCGAAAAACTTTCAAAGCCAATTTTTGACTGCTTCTTCCGAATCGAAGTGTTCCCCCGCAAGCTCATTACTCATGATCCGGAATAAATAGTAATCAAAAGGGGCGAGGTTCGAACCGTATGGGGAATGCGCCAAAAGTCCCCAAACAAGGCTATTTATTTTAGAGCGAGTCAGTTTTGCAACATGAGGGCGCGCGTTGTCGTGGATGAGAACGATCTTTGACTTGGAGGGCCTATTCTTCTTGAGGGATTCATTCACCCTTCCCAACTGTCCACTGTATTTGATTGCATTAACGGTCGTCTTGCTATCCAGCAACTCCCAGTACAAGTGTGTGAGACTCAAAAATGGAGGACTGGAGATGTCCCAGTTTGAGCATTTGAGCACTTTCTTCAAAAGAAACCCATTTTGGTGTCAATAGAAAAGTTGTAGAGAATCAAAAATGAAGCTTATATCCAAATTTCCAAAAAGATACACTTAGTAGTTTCGCTTAAAATGCAAGTTTTGTAAAAATTCGTAAATTTGGCATTTCTTGAAAATCAGTTTTGGAATCGTTATGAAAATTTGGATATAAGCTTGATTTTTGATTCTCTACAACTTTTCCATTGACACCAAAATGGGTTTCTTTTGAACAAAGTGCTCAAACTGTCACATATGACAATAGCCCGCAGTTTTCAATTCACCAACCCAATAGAACGTAGTCTAACTTCTTTTTAAAAGATTTTAAGTAGCTGTATAGTAGCTGTAAGAAGAAATATTAAGAAATCGAGTCAAGAAATGAATCAAGAATGTCAAGAATTTCCCAATAAACCAATATTTTTGGTAACATATCAAATTGTCACCTTTAAAACAGCATCAGATATTTTGCGTTTACTTTCACCAATTCTATTTATGACCTTGTTTTTTAAACACTCACGACTAGCCCACAGTTTTCAATTCATTTTAGAAAAGATTTTTTGAGGTTCTAAAAGTGGTTCAGCAAACCTCTTAGCGCATGCATTTGACCTCAATTTCAATTCAATTTTAAATTTAAAATCAGACTCACATCAGACAAAACAGACGAAACTCTTGACTCTATCGCAAAGAATTCTTTAAAAAGAAATCCCTATTTAGTTTTTGATGTCATTTTTTTTTTGATATATAATAACGATTAAATTTTTTTATTAAAGACAAAGAAAAGGAAAGAAAAAAAAAATCAATTTTACTATCGAAATTATTAGCATCAAAAATTTCAAGCACTCACACAACAAAAAAAGAGAATTCATATCGACACATCTTTGGGTGGGAATCTAGCCGTAAAGTTTTCAGAAAACACACAAAAACATAAAGACAAAGAAATCTCCTTTCAAAAAATAAAATACGAAGAAAAAAAATAAAAAAAAATAACCGGAGGCTTTGTAATCGGCAAAGGCGGGGGAAAGTTTTTCTCAAAAAAAAAAAAAAAAAAATTTTTGAAATTTTTTATGGGATAATGAAGAATTTGAATCAAAATGCAAAGAAAAACCCTTATTTGAAAAAAAAAAAAAAATAAATAAGTAAGCTACCACACAAGAACTACCAGTGTTTTGTTTTTTTTTTTTGTCAGATGAGCTACTCGTGATTGGGGGTAAACAAAAAAAAGGGTTAGAGAAATGAATAAGTACACTTATAAAATTCTAATTTACATTTAGACATTTAGACTACAGTTTTTAGTCTGCACGACTTGAAGTCGGGAAAGAAAGACGAATGAAAAAGAGAATGAAATAAAATAGAAAGCTCAAGAGAGCTCAACTTTGAAAGGATTTCGGTTACGGTGTCTGAAAAGGTTTCTAAAGTCACTAATGACGTTTCTAAAGTCACTAATGACGTTTCTAATGTCATTACGATAGTTCTCAAAAGATTTCACGTTTTAGAAACGATCAGAACACACTACTCATTGCGATGATTTGTGAAACGATCAGAACACGATGATTTGTGAAAAAAAAAACACAAAAATCGATGTGTTTACTAGTTGAAGAAGTGCTTTAGAATTAGATTGTATCACACTTCCAAGCGTGATGAAGATTGTGAAGAACGGCGAGTTTTGTGGGAAGTGACGATGGATCAGATGACTGCAACACTTCGCTCAGCAATCCCAGCACCCCACTGATTTCCGCCTCTCGATTTGTTGATAGCTAAAACTTGAATTTATACAAAAAATCGAATATCTTTATAGGCTAACAACTACTTTCAGTTATATCCTTACAAAATTTGCAATTTAGAAACGATCATCAAGATTTCCTCTGTAACAAATATGTTTTTCTATCTTTTTCTATCTTTAATTTATCTTTCTATCTTTAACTTACCGTAAATACTGTAATAGTGCCCCCACCCCCATAATGACGGTGCGGAGTGTTGCGTAGTCTAGCTTTGAACGAGTTTTTCTCGACACTGGTTTATGATACAATGCGCGCTTAGGTATCAAAAAATAGCCCTGAATTTCAGCTATTTTTTGATACCAAATACGCATCTCTTGAAAGTACGGGCGCTTTGAAAAAAATGAAATACTAAAAAACTTTTGCGACTACGCGACTGTACGAGGGGGGATGGGGTACTATTACAGTATTTACGGTATCTTTCTATCTTTTTCTATCTTTAACTTATCTTTCTATCTTTTGTTTAAATCTCTTTAATATCTTTTTATTAGCTATAAGCTATATATAACCCATAAAAAGAACTATAAAGACGAATAAATCTTTAAAGAATTTTTCTTTATTGCTTAGGGTTTTTGTTATTAAAAACAAAAGCAATCTAAACCAATACAAATGTGCATTTTAACGAGCTTTATGGAAATATAACTACCCAAATAACATTCTTTTGTTTAACAAACCGTAAACGAAGAGGGTAGACTCGGTTTTGGCCGCACGATGCCGAGCGGTGGATCGGGTGAATCCTGACGAAAAGCCTCTTCTTTCACCTCATCTTTCACAGTAAGAAGCTGGAATTGATTTTACAGCTAAAACCTTTTTCGATTCCATTTCTAAACCTCGGTTTTCTGTTCAGGTAGAGCGAGAGTCGAGGCAGCGGTCGGTTCAGCAGCTGGAGGGGCCAATGGGGCAACAAGTCCGTGCGGTGGTTGCATCAAAACAAAGCGCTGTTGAAGATTGAACATGTTCTGAGATGTTGAGTTTTTTTTTGATTAATTAAAAGATGATTTACCATAAGCATTCCCTGAGCAAGCGCTTGATTTGATGGGATATTTGTTGTTGTGCCAAAAGGTCTTTGTACAGGAGTTGCACTAAATGGTTGAGCGCTTGGGGTGGTGGCTGGGATTCCAAGGTTTTCCTTTTGATGTTGCGAGAAAATTGAAACCAATCGTTGTTGAGCCATCTGAAATTTTTCTTTTTTTTTAAAAGTTCAAGAATTTTTTCTAACCAAAGCTGCTAAATTGGGATTGACATTTGTGGAAAATATTGGTGAAGGTGGAATGGACGAAGGACGAAGTTGAGGAGTGACTTGCGATTGTGAGAGAGGATTTGCACAAGTGGCACTAATCGGTGACTCGGTGATCTCTTTCGATTCACTCTTTCGTCGTTTAATAGTCGGTGAGCAGGCTAAAAAAATTCCGTTCACAAATTTCTCATCTTTCGACTCACTACTTGGGGATTTCCTTGTTTTCTTTGCACCCAGCGCGCCCTCAGGACCCAATTCATGACCAGTGTGCTCTTCTTGAAGTGTTGTAATTTTGAGTACCTAGAAAATGACAATTATTTAGATGATTGATGTTTTCTAGGTGTTGATTTGAATAAGATTTCATTAAGAAATAGATTTCCCAAGTTAGAAATAGCTTTCCCCAAGGAATTACCTTTTCATTAAAGTTATAGTTCAACCGAAGCATTGCCCGACATCCACACGGGAGATAGTTTTGATTTGGTCGCTTTCCGACACCTAAACATTAAGAAAATTTATTTCTTTTTAAGAATATGCAAATTTCAGAGTTGAAAGGCTATTTTCCAGCTGTTTCTTCATATCGTCAGCCGCCAATTTCACCACTCAAACGCTTATTTAAAAATCAGTCGGCAGATGGGCCTTTGACAAAGATTTAAGAGCCGGAAAACGGTTAAAAATCCATTCAAAATTCGTTTCTTTACTAAGAAATCTCCAAGTAACACTCAAATAACAGTAATAACAGTAGTTATGTGGATTTAGAATGGGTATTTTCTTTCTTTTTTTTTGTTGTTTAAAGTGTCGTGAATAGGAGAAAGAGTTATCTTTTTCCTTATGGGCACAGGTGGGCGCAATTTGTGGCTCGAGAAACATCTCAATCCAGTCAATCCTCATCGACAACTCAACGATCGGACACTTGTTTTTATTTCCCTTTTCACCCAATCGACCTTGCACTAACGATGGTTGGAAGTAAGCCAGAAAAAAAAGAGAGTATAGCTTACTGTAAGATCAGTACTTAAATATGAATCTATAGCATATAAAGACAAAAATCTCAAATGTTAAACAATTACTAAACTACGATTACGATTTATTATGTGATTTGATTTTAAATTGTCCAAATCTCATAAGGTTTCTCGTTGGGAGGAAATTGTTAACAAATTTTTAGCAAATCGTAAGCTAACAACAGCTAACAAATTGTTAACAACTCCTAAGCAACTCCTAAGAAACTCCTAAACAACTTCTAAGCAAAACCTAAACAACTCCTAAGCAACTCCTAAGCAACTCCTAAGCAACTCCTAAACAACTCCTAAACAACTCCTAAGCAACTCCTAAGCAACTCCTAAGCAACTCCTAAGCAACTCCTAAGCAACTCCTAAGCAACTCCTAAGCAAAACCTAAGCAACTTCTAAGCAAAACCTAAGCAAATCCTTTTCCAGTATTTCCCTGAACCTTTCCATTTCAATAAAGGACTCCTATCGAAATAAAGTCTTAAAAGCTAAACCCATTTTTCTGAATTGATTGCCCAAATCGCAGCATGAGCATCGAAATTTGAGTGTAACCAAGAAGGATAAATGGGTAAAAAGACCTCGAAGAGTGACCAAAAGAAGAGAAGGCAACCCACATCTGCCTTCAAAACGGCTGCATAATTTGCATAACGACGAGAAAACGGACTCATGAGAAGAAAAGGTCAAAAAAAAAGAAATCTGTCATTAAACTGCTCAGTTTTGGTTTAAAATTGATCTATCAATGTCGTTTTTCAAGAAAGATTTAGAGAGTACGATTTGCATTCTTCATCACATCAATATCCCTCTAAAAAGCTTTGTTCTTCTTTCTTTATAGCTCTAAAAAGCTAGAGACATGTGATTTCAATCTCGGGAATTACATGGGATTATCGAAATCCTCGTAAACATTTTGAGATGAAGAGGGATGAGGCGGTGTTCTTGAAAGAGCCAACTGTTACCGAATCGCTCATTTTCTTCTCTCTCTCTCTCTCTCTTATAAACCTCGCCGCTCAAAAAGGCAATGCACAAAAATGGGAACAGATTGGATTGGTCATTTCTTTTCTCTTTCAAAGAAATCTTACAGTAATCAACTCAAATGACCCATACAGGTTGACTATTGATTGGAAGAGTTGGAAGGGTTGCTTGGAATTGATTGGAATTGCTTGGAATTGCTTGGAATTGCTTGGAATTGATTAGAATTGATTGGAATTGATTGGAATTGATTGGAATTGATTGAAATTGCTTGGAATTGCTTGGAATTGATTGGAATTGATTGAAATTGATTGGAATTGATTGGGATTGATTGGAATTGATTGGGATTGATTGGAATTGATTAGAATTGCTTGGAATTGATTGGAATTGATTGGAATTGATTGGAATTGATTGGAATTGCTTGGAATTGATTGGAATTGATTGGGATTGATTGGAATTGATTAGAATTGCTTGGAATTGATTGGAATTGATTGGAATTGCTTGGAATTGATTGGAATTGATTGGGATTGATTGGAATTGATTGGGATTGATTGGAATTGATTAGAATTGCTTGGAATTGATTGGAATTGATTGGGATTGATTGGAATTGATTGGGATTGATTGGAATTGATTAGAATTGCTTGGAATTGATTGGAATTGATTGGAATTGCTTGGACTTAGAATTAGGAAATCATTTTGTATAGATGTAACAGTTTTTTTTATAGTAAAACCACGAAAAACTTATTCACCTCGCATTCTCGGTTGTCCATAGTGAGCACAATGATAGACAATGTATCGATATTTGAAGATTTCATTTATCGCTCCACCAGGCTCTCTACAAATTTGGCAAAGCTTTTTTTGAGCAAATCAGTTACAATTTACCTTAATGTTTCACTGCTAGCTGTTCGAAATGGATGATAGTAAACAGCTTTCCATAAATCAAATGCCTCTTCGAACTCCTGAAAGAATTGAATTTTTAGAAAAAGTTATTCATACGAACAAGCACAACCAAATATAGAAAAAAAACGTTGCAACAATCTAGCTAGTGGGACCGAACCCCTGAACTTCTGCTTGATATACCAGGCTCCTAGCCAGGCTCCTAGCCAGGCTCCTAGCCAGGCTCCTAGCCAGTCGGTCATTTGCCTCAGTCGCTCAGCGAATCATTTAGCAAACCTTAAAACTGTTAAATCGTGCATCTTGAAAGATCGGTCCAGCTTGTCGCGTATCCACACTCAGCTCATTCTTTATCGTTTTTGGAAAGAGTTGAGCTAAACAATGTTTAACATTTTTATTGTTAAAACCAAAAAACAAACCATTTTGTTCAACAGGTGATGGTGCACTGCTGTTTCCGCTATCCGTTTGTGTGTCATCACTTGAAATCACATCTGAAACCTTTAGTTGTTTTGACTATTTTTTAATAGCTTTCAAACCAATATCATTATTTATTGGATCCTCATCAATTGGACTCTCCTCAGAGCTTGCCCTGAACTCAGCAGTCGTTTGAGAAGAGGATGTCTGAAAAGGATTCGCTAATACAGAGTTTAAGACTTTTTTTTAAAATGTTAATTCAATTTTAAAGCTATATTAAGCTAGCTGAAGTTTTGAATTTTCAATGGTTTCCTTCAAAGATTTCAAGCTTCAATTTCAATGGTTCCCTTCAAGTTTCAAGCTTCAAGTTCAATGGTTCCCTTCAAGTTTCAAGTTCCCTTCAAGCAATGGTCCCCTTCAAGTTTCAAGCTTCAAGTTCAATGGTTCCCTTCAAGTTCAAGTTCCCTTCAAAGATTTCCTTCAAGTTCAAAGGCTTTTTTTAGTGAGATTTCCCTTTTTTTCTCTGTGAAAAGACTAATTGAAATGAAAATGATTTCTCTGAATGAGAAATACAGTACTGGACAATGAAATATCATATTTGAAAAATGATCGCCACTTTCGCGCGTCTGTAACTCCCTTGTCTTTGAGTTTAAACTTTAATGTTATACATTTTCTGAAAGCTCTTTTCAAGGGCTACACAATGGTAATATTAATATTTAGAAATACGGTAAAGACAAGGGAGTTACAGACGCGCAAAAGTGACGATCTTTTTTTCAAATATGATATTTCATTGTCCAGTAGTGTAGCTTCAACCTCACCAACCTCACCAATACTCAGCCACAATTTTCAAAAAAAATTCTTTCACTTTTTTTGAGTGCCCATTTTAATGATTCAATTAATATTTATGAAAACTAACATTGAATTTAGAAGATACAATTATATTTACAGAAGGAAAAACAGCTCTAGAAAATTGTCAAAACTTTAATTCTCTTTAAACTTTAACTTTAAAGTTATTTACAAAAGAAAAATTGAACGTTAAATCATTTTTTTTCTTCTATCATTTTGTCATTTCGTTTCCACAGAATTTGGAAATGTTTTTGTTTTTGAGAAATCATCTTATTTAATGATTTTTCAGAAGGAAAAACAGCTCTAACATTGCTCAAACAAAAAATTGTCAAAACTTTAATTGTCTTTAAACTTAAACTTAAATTTTAAACCCCATTTTCCCTAGAGATAGCTGCGATCAAAGGTATCCCTAATAGAGCATCATCTCAACAAAGCATTGCTAGTGTTTTAATAGAGCCTACTAGAGCATCATCTCAACAAAGCATTGCTAGTGTTTTAATAGAGCCTAATAGAGCAGCATCTCAACAAAGCATTGCTAGTGTTTTCTGTCAATTGCTAAAAATTGCTAGTGTCAAAAATTGCTTTAAAAAAAGGGTTTCCTAAAGTAAAAATACTTGAATTTTCTGAATTCAATGATATTTTTAAGAAGTATTTCTCGATTAATCGAATTGATTTCTCAAAGTCTCAAAGATTTCTCAAGTCCAGATTGTGTCCAAGCACTTTCCAAGAAGTCCAAGAAATCCCAAATCATTCTATTTCCAGCTCTAACCAGTTAGTTTCTCTGAGAAAAGGCTGAGGAAAAGAAAGGATGATCGATGATTGATGGCAAGTAGGAAGCTATTGCGCGCGCATTTGTCAACGAAGCGATTGCCACAAAACAGCGGGAGATCATCCATGAAATCCTCGATCTTCTGATACTGACAGTACCTTTCTCACACTTAATCTTACTCAATTAGTGCCAAGTAACACATTTGTTTTGTCGAAATTGTAGGAGTTAAAAAAGTCACTAAAAAAAAAAGTGACTCACATGTGCCTCGTCGCCACTCGTTGACTCGATTGAATCCGGGCTATGCCCCCAAGTAAACCCGTTTCCTTTTGTTACATCAATTGTTAAAGTCTGAAAAGATAAAGATAAAGATATTCAGTTAAATCTTTATACCTTTGCTTGAAGCGGTATTGGTAGAGAAGAGAAAGGTAGAGGATTTCCAGGATTCGCAAAAGCAGCATTGATCTGCGGAAGGGAAAGAGGTGGCGGCATTGCCGCGAAGAATTTCTGAGAAAATCAAATGCTATTAAAGCTTTAAAACCTTTAAAGCTTTAAATCAAGAATTTGAAAGCATAAAGTAAAGAATGAAATTTAATAAAATTTAATAAAGAAGGCTAATAAAGGCTGAATAAAAAGAGGCTACTGTAGTGGAAAAAGGAAAAGACAAGAGATGGCGATTATCCCATTCCGAGACAGTCCTTTTTGGACCATCTTCACCCTACCGGTGGCAGCTGCCAAATCCAGGATCCTCCCCTTTTCTTTTTCGACTTTCAATGTCCTCAGGTTTACATGTAATTGCTGCTTGTCAATGTTTTCTCAAAAACAGTAAAGCAATCGAGGAGAAGAGTGAATTAAAGAAGTTTATTTTTGTATAGAAATGCTTAGGAAATGATTGATTGATGAGATTGATTCAATTATAGCTATTAAATCTTTACAATTATTTTTCAAGTTTTTCTTTCCATAAAAAAAGTTCTTTATCAAATTTGTTACGTTTTAAACTATTAAAACTATTAAACTATTAAACTTTAAATTATTAAAACTGTTAAACTATTAACCTTTAAACTTTAAACTATTAAACTTTAAACTATTAAACTAGTAAACTTTAAACTATTAAACTATTAAAACTATTAAAACTATTAAACTATTAAACTATTAAACTATTAAACTATTAAACTAGTAAACTTTAAACTATTAAACTATTAAAACTATTAAAACTATTAAACTATTAAACTATTAAACTATTAAAACTATTAAAACTATTAAACTTTAAACTATTAAACTTTAAACTATTAAAACTATTAAAACTATTAAAACTATTAAACTATTAAACTAGTAAACTATTAAACTTTAAACTATTAAACTATTAAACTTTAAACTATTAAAACTATTAAATTCTCTACAAAATGGCTTTTGAGAGAAAGCTTTCCTCAACTCGGTAGCACATTTTTATGTACAAACTTTCAATTATTGTTTTGAAAAAATCGCTGAACGCATTGTTTTCAAATTTTACAGACTTATGCAATCAAATAAGCTCTATTTTTTTTTACTTTGAGGCAAAAATAGGTATCAAAGAAAGTATTCAAATTTCGGCTTCAAAATTGAAGCCTTTGCGCCTTTGAAAATCCATAAAAACTATTTTCAAGAATTTCTCAAAAGCCAGGAGAAACAATTAAGCTTTTTAGTAGTTTAAATAGAAATATTAAATAAAATATTAAAATAGAAATATTAAATAGAAATATTAAATAAAATATTAAATAAAATATTAAAATAGAATATTAAAATAGAATATTAAAATAGAAATATTAAATAGAAAAATTTTAAATTGTTGGTTTTTTGGAAGTTTAGAAAGAAATTGTAAAGACTAATCTAATAAAGTTGTTATTAAAATCACCAATGGAAAAAGAAATCTGGGCAGAAAGAAAAGTGAGAATAAAAAGAGACGGAAAGAGTGGACGTCATCGACAGGAGAGGTGATGATTGGAGAAGGAAGGGAGGATGGTGGGAAGGGGGGCGCCAGCCGGGTGGTGTGGGCTAGTCCAGTCGATGAATGCTTGTGCTTCGAGGGGTCGCCAACCGGTCCCGAGCCTCCCGACCATCGCTGGACATCCTTCCCTGTCTTCTCCCTGTTTTTCTTTCCCTTTCCCGTTCGTTGTGCCGAGAGCCGAGAGCCGACGTTACCGAACCTGTTTCCCTTCAGCGAGTCTCTTCTTGCGGAGTGTTCCTTTCCCTCCAATCCCCTTTCCATTCTCGATCAAACCACCTTTCCCTTCTCGGGAAACGAATCCAGTGTCCATGCTTGTCCGAATCTCACTTTTCAGGGAAAAGCTATGATCAGTTCAGATTTTAGAAAGACGATTTTCCGGTATACTTGATTGGCTACTAAGTGAAGACCATTTCTTGATACTTGATTGAGAATTGAACTGAATCAAAGTAGGGAGAAAGTTACGTTTAGAATCTAAAACCCTAGAACTAGCGTCAGAGAGTAAGATAGGACTTTGGTCACCAAAGTGATGAGACATCTTCTCCCCACCGTTCCGGAAAAGACAAAAACTTTCCTTGCGCACTAAACGCTTCTCACAAACAACACAAATGAAAAGAAGAGAGAAAGAAGGAAAAAGAAAGGAAAGAAGAGAGAAAGAAGGAGAAAGAAGAGGGAAAGAAGAGGTTCTCATCCCGGAAGCCCTTCACGACGTGACCGTGTAGACAAACTGTTGCCAGTTTCTCGCCAATTTCCCTCCTAATGTTTCTGGCTTCAATTCTGAATCAACAAATGAAATTACAAAAGAAAACTGTATCGAGTAAAGTAAAGATAAACTTTCAAAGTTTTGAAAAAAGTATGAATAGGCTGGCTAGGAGGGTAAGATCGAGTAGTGGAATGGCCAGCGGCAACGGCTGTACGTGTGGCACAGTGCCTTCACCCACCCTAGAGATTGGGGGTCATTGCGCAACAGGGCTCCCCTCCACCCCTCGGGACCCGCTCTTCTCTACTCTTTCTCTTTCTCTTTCCTTCATTGGACCCAACGGCAAAACAATCCTCTACCATACCGATAAGGAAACGAGAGTGCGGTGGCAGAGACGAAGAGATCGACCCGCGCATCTTTCCCTCCCTTTTCCCTCCTCTTACCTCCCGGCCCCTTCTTGACCAGCCTCTAACCTAGTGACATCACCATAGCCATAATAACTGTCAATCGATTTCCTCGCGTTACTTAGACAAGTTTAGAGGGGAGAAAAGGGGTTATGAAGTTATGAAGTTATAAAGTTATAAAGTTATGAAGTTATGAAGTTATGAAGTTATAAAGTTATAAAGTAATTTCTTCATAGCTTAGAAATCATCAAAAAGATTTGCCAACTCTTTTAGCATTTCTTCATAAAATTCTTCAAAAATCCTTCAAAAAAAACACCCACTAGCTTACAATTAGACAATAAAAGCGACAATTATTAGCAATGAATTAATTGTGGAGGAAAAGTGAGCTCTCACAAAAAGCCTTAGTGATTTCAATCTACTAAAGCTAACTTACAAAAAGTGAGCGAAAACTTTGAGACAAACAATAGGGATTTCTATAATAAGTGGGCCTCATTTGGAGTTCAAAATCAAGCAAACATTCATTCATTTTTGAGTATCCAGGTTAATAAAAAGGCAACATGGCAACAAATCAAGGAAGAGAAAAGCTGAAAAGAAGAAAAGGGGGAAAAAAAATACGCGGATTAAATGAGGTGAAAGACGGATTTGCTCACAAAAATCTGGGCCTCATCATGAGCGAAGAGGTGCAAAGAGTGTGGAGCTTTGTCTCATTGAAACTCGTGAAGGGTTCTCGAAATGAATTCAAAACGAAAACGATTCAAGAGTGTTAGCAATACGGTAAAAATGCGATAAATGTTTAAAACTTGTCGACTCTTTTCTCTCAGATATTTGGGTACATCTGGTGGGTGTCTTGTGTGAACTGTCGCCATTTAGTGAGCAACTCACCCCGTTGGCCATCTTCGACTACCCCACAGGCGATTTCCCCCTTTTTTGGCGGCTCTTTGTCTCTCGTGTTTCCCAGACGAATTTCTTCTTGATCTCTGAGTGACATTTATTGTCATTTCGTGATTTTCATAGCCATTTTTTGACTAACTTTTTGAAAATCAGGATGATATCTCAAAAATTATAAAAGAAAACTATTATACAGTCCGAACGTGTGTCCCCTTCTGCCCCCCTGAGTACCCACATAAGTAGAGTGTGTTCCTCTCGACTACTGCATTTTCTAAAATGCACCTATTTGAGGAAATCACCGTAGTCAAACCGTTAGTTTTCATCAGATCAATCCAATTTTTAAATCATTGGCTAAGCCTTGTGATTCCTCATCAAATGATACCAAAATTGAGCAGTTTGACTTTGAGCAGTTTGACTTTGAGCAGTTTGACTTTGAGCAGTTTGACTTTGAGCAGTTTGACTTTGAGCAGTTTGACTTTGAGCAGTTTGAAATTGAGCAGTTTGACTTTGAGCAGTTTGAAATTGAGCAGTTTGAAATTGAGCAGCTTGACATTGAGCAGTTTGACATTGAGCAGTTTGACTTTGAGCAGTTTGAAATTGAGCAGCTTGACTTTGAGCAGTTTGACATTGAGCAGTTTGACTTTGAGCAGTTTGAAATTGAGCAGTTTGACATTGAGCAGTTTGAAATTGAGCAGTTTGAAATTGAGCAGCTTGACATTGAGCAGTTTGAAAATCGGCAGTTTGACTACGGTGGTTTTCTCAAATAGGTGCATTTTAGAAAACGCGTTAGTCGAAAGGAACACACTCTACTCATAAATTCCCCCTTGCCAGAGGCATTTTGCGTTCTTCTCGATGCACAATTTACCAATTGGGCTGTTTTTGGTTTCATTCGATGCGTCTAACTCTCCTCTATTCAATGAAACCGCCAACATCGAAATTGGTAAATTGTGCATCAAGGAAAACGCAAAATGCCTCTGGCAAGGGATACTCTAGGGGTAAATGGAAGGGGACACTCGGAATGTATCGGGTTGGTGGAAAAGTCCACGAAACACATGTTTTTAGCCTAGGTTTCTGCACGGAAAACTAACGAAACATGAAAACAGCTATTTTTTGGCCCTGCCGCCCTTTACTAAAATAGCTGTAAAAACTTTTAGAAAAGAGATATCTCAAAACGGTTTTTACCAATCGATCCGTCTTGAATTCAGCTTTAGGATGAGCTATAAAACGTCAAAATTGGACAAAAATTTAAGGTACTCTCCCAAAAAATCCGAAAGGACTTTTCCACCAACCCAATATAATAGCTATTAAAACTACACCAAAATTTAGTCTTTTTTCAGTCTACAGAATGCTGGGATAGAAATATTCAGCAAAGATTGAAGTTCTTTGATCTGTTTAATTGTACCAAATCAATTCCATTACTTTTTACTCCATAACACCGTAGAAAATAGCTTCTTAAAAGCTTTTGACTCAACAAAACATGAACTTTTCTTCTAGTTTTTCTTTTTTCTCAATATTTCCCTGATTTTATTAGTCCCGATTTTTTAGTATTTTAGTAGTTTTTTGGCAATAAATGATAAGCGATCGGGGGAAAAATCGCCTGATCTCTTTGGCCAGTCAGGAGACGAAAGATAAAAAAAAGCTAAAAAAGCTAAATAGACTTTTTCCCTGCACAGGTGGCAACTTCGTGGGTGGGCTTGCCCTTTCGTTGATTTTTAAATCGCCTGATCTTGCTTTCGTTGCTTTCTTCGAGAAGATTTTCATTCTTAGACTAGAGATTAAAAGATCAAAGTTTGTTTTTTGTTTCTTTTGTAAAATTAAATCAAATTAACTAAAAAGTTTAGTTCCTGAACAAGTTTAGCTCGTTGTGTGTGATCATTTGAAAGGTGAGACAAAGTTATTTATTATTGGTGAGTGCGAAAGACGAGAAGAGGTGATGGGGTGAAGAAAGAAGCGGAAAGAGATGGTGAGAAAGAAAGTAACTGAAAAAGTGATATCTGAAACTGATGAAAGTGAATATTCTATAAGTATTCTAAAAGTATGCACATTGAATGCACCGGGCATCGCACTCGTTCCAAGTCGTTCACCAGCAGTGCCACCAGTGTTCGCATCGATTCATCTTTCATCGGTAACACCGGTTCCACCAAATACTCCAAGCCCGAAACCCTGGAAAATAAATTAAATGTTTCTTTGTTTCTTTGTTTCTTTGTCTTCTCCATTTCTTCAACATCTTCTTATCATTTCTCGGAATTGGATGTGGATGTGTTCGCGGAGATATTCCTAGAAGCATTCCATATTCCAGTGGAGATATTCCAGGGGAGATATTCCAGTGGAGATATTCCAGCGGAGATATTCCAGGGGAGATATTCCAGTGGAGATATTCCAGTGGAGATATTCCAGTGGAGATATTCCAGTGGAGATATTCCAGCGGAGATATTCCAGTGGAGATATTCCAGCGGAGATATTCCAGTCCAACACAGCTAATAGAGAAGCAATTCGAGCAGTAATTACAAAAATTGTCACCACCAAAATCAAGCCCGAATCTCGATCACTTGTCATCCAAAGAATTTAAATAAGCAACACCAGCATTCGGTCTTTTGTCAAGTGATCTTTTTGTGATTCAGCTGTCAAGTGATCTTTTTAACAATCTGCCAAAATGAATCACTTCTTTATTTATCGCTAATATATTTATCTATTTATTTAATATATATTTAATTATTGAATTATATAATATATATATATATTTATTGTTTATTTTCCTTTTCATCTACATAAAAAAGATCGTTTACAGAGAGAAATTTTCGCTGTGTTCCCTTTTTTTAAGATTCTCGAGTTGTCAAAAGTGAAGGCTAGCGCCTTTTTTTTTCATCGATGAAAAGGGGAAAGATCGAGGCGAAAGGAGAAAAAAAAAAGATGAGGATCCACCTCTTGTTTTTGGAGAGACCAAAATGTTGACGACAAGTCGAAGTGACAGTGATCATTGCCAGTGATGTCGCTTCAATCATGCAAACCTGGAAAAACTATCAAAAATCTTTATACCTCAAAACAATTTAAGGCTTAATTTCTTGACTGAAAAGACTGCGGAGTTTAAGGGATTTTAGGAGTGACTCTTTTCCATAAGTTTTTCCAAAATATTCCAAAATCTTTCCAAAAACCTAGCGTTTTTTTTTCTGATTGTAAAGAGTTTTTACTTGTTTTTTTCTCAATCCACACAGCAAAGAGGTCGATGGATTGGCGTTGATGTTTACAGATACCATTTTTTTTAACCATTTTTCGAGCCCACAAAATAAGCCCCAAATCGGTGGAGAGGAGCGGCTCGAGGTCGACTTTTGAAAGATTGCACAAAACAGTCTGCAGAATCTCCACCGGTTTACAGCCTTCTAAATTGAGGTCACAGAACTCGCGAAAAAGAATGAGAACCTTTCAAAACCCCATTCGCATACACCATTTCAATTCCTCGTATGAAACACCGAGTTTTTTCTTGAGCTCTTCGATAATCTGAAATCAAATATTACACTTTGTTGTCATTCTTTGAGTAAAACAAGTAATACAATCAGTAAAACAAGCAAGGTTTTTCTTTTCTTTTCATTTCTCGACGTTTCCCTCGAAAAACGAATGAGAGAAATAGAGGAGATTCACTTTTTGTGTTCGATTTTTTTTTCAAAATCACCGACAAGTGCGAGATGCTGTGAAGCATGAGGTGCAAAGAGAAGAAGAGCCGACGATCGGCACATTTCCATCTCAGGATCGGGAAGAAGTGGGCAAGGGACGAGAAGGAGAAACAGGGACGAGGAGGGGCAAGGGACGAGAAGGGGAAAAAGTCCCACCGAAACGGCGAGTCGCGCGTTCCACCGCGCTCCATCTCCCTGTATCTCTTTTGGATTTTATCAAGAAAGCAGAAAGCTATTTGTGCCTTTAGGTTGTTTATTGTTTATGTGTAAAAGTTGCTTGATAAAGTTTAAAATCATGACCATTGCGATGGTAGAATTCGGCTCTAAAGCCTACTAAAACTTCTTGGGTTTAAAAATTCTCGAAATTTCATCTCAGTCCCCAAAAGAGAGAGAGATTTTTGAGGGCACACAGGGGGGAAAGGGGCAAGCGAACCAACGGGGATGGCTGTCTCAGCACATTCGTGTTGTTTTTAGAAGCCATTCGGTTCCCAGCACTTAGCATCTTTTCCCATGTAACTGCTTTCCCCAGTCTTTTCCTTCCATTCCCCATTCCCCATTCACCACCTTTCCTATCTCTCGTCTTTCCCCCTATCCCCATCGCTTTTCTTCTCCGCCACACAGCAACGACAAAAAAAAAGTGCGGCTCGGCCCCAAATTTTCAATGGGATGCCATTGCGTGTGCATTCAATTTTTTTAAACCCATTAATCCTTTGCGAAACAAGAAAGTCATTTCGATAAGAAAGAACTGTAACTGAGTCGAGTTGTCGACGACTCTCGAGTCCAAGCGGGTACATTTTGTAAAGACTTCGCTCAAATCGTTGAATCGCAATTGGTGATTTGCAGCGAACAAAAATATAAGCTTTTTGAGGAAAAAAGACGGAAAGATAAGTGTTTTGCAAAAAAAAAAATGCTAGTTCTATGTGAGCACCGCGATGTGTCGAGTGAAGAAAGTATGGGTGTGAATGAGGACAGCTTGTGATTCAAGGATTCTCATTGGTCGATGCTGGGGTGTGTGCCAGAGTCGTTCACAAAGCACACAACTTTCGTTTCCTTGAGTGAACATCCTACAAGCTCTGTGAATTTCATTCTTTTTTACTTTAGAAGTTTTTGAAAAGTAATTGTCGGGCCTTTTATTTGAGCCATACCTAATCGGTAATTTCTGCAAGGCTATGAAAAAGTCGGCATTGTATTAGATATAAATGTGTATCGTCATTATGCTGGAACGAAACTTACTCTCTAAAGGATTTTCAATCATACCCGTTCTTTGAAATATAAAATAGTCGAGTTTCAGTAAAATAGTTTCAGACTCGCAAAAGTATGTCAGAATATTTATTATCGGGTAGATGGCTTGCGGGGATTCCTAGGCCCCGTCTACTCTGCCGTTACTATGTATCTTGCATCTTGATATCATATAATGTATTTTAGTTTACACGGAACTTCTTTATCCAAACACAGAACACTAACATACAGTTAATCTACATACAAAACCAAAAGCAGAAACAACAAAAAATTAAACAAAATTAGGAGTGCCCAGCTCCCACATATACAGCTAATCACAATTATAAGGGGGAAAACAAAACGGCAACGATAAGCATTTACCGTACCCAAAAGCTAATATACATTCACAAGACTCTATGGGAAGGGCAAAAAAAACAGCTCCAAACACCAGCCACGACGCACTGCGTGATAGGCTAGGAGGGTAAAAAATAACATAGGTAGGGCGCCCAAAAGAAAAAGCCGCCCAAGAGGCACTTTCAATCCAAAGGAGCAACCTACAGGAAAAACTATTTGACAGGTAACTTGGTGAGGTGACTCCCTTGTCTTGCAATTTCAAAAATACTATAACAACAAAGTGAAGTAAAACACTTCGCCTGCTTGGGAAACAACAATATTTCAAAGGAAGGTGCTGCGGTTTGAAAAAGTTGCTCACAGAGTCATAGGTAACAATCAAGCGTTTTCCTTTACAAGCCATAGCACTTTTAGTCGCACCTTATAGATAGGATTCGACCACCTAAACCCACACAATGAAACAAGGAGCTAAATGAAAGTAGCAAAAAACAAACAGGTCGTAAGAATAGTGAACGCGTCCAGGCGCACCATCAGAAACAAAGTTAGGGGAAGATAAACTATAACAACAACTTTAGGGGGCTTAAACAGTTACTATTTTCGAAAACAATGAAGTTAGATCGTTGTTATTGTCCCTATTGGGGGGGAGTCGAGGAAAATTGATTGAAACGGTAAAGGTAGAGACGATAATCCTTTGATGCCAAAACAACAGAGCCATCGTCGACCAAAGCCACATCAAAGCATTGAGCGTGTTTCACTTTGCTTTCCAGCGCGCCAATCAGTTGTCCATCCTAGCAAAACGATGCATTTGTTTTACGTAAAAAACATACCGGTGCAAAAAGTGTCAAGTTGAAGTTGTTATGATTATCGGCAACAACGACATCTCCAGTAGATGTAATGCCAACGCCAATTGGGTAATTGGTCACACCCTCACCACCAATTTGGCGCAAGAAAGTTCCTTCATAGGAGAAGACCTGAATAAAAAATAAACCTAATTTGCAAAGCTAGCCAACCTTGACACAATGAGCTCGATTGTCAGAGATCAAAATTTCGTTCTTATCGTTCGTGCAGACTCCATTAGGGAACTCAAGATAACGGGAACAGCTGAACTTCTGCAGGATGTTGCCAAACATGTCAAAGATGATGACACGCATAACCTATAAAAATAAAATAAAATAGAAAAAATGCACGCGGTAAATAGTCACCTTGCATTCAACCACAACCACTCGGCCTTTATTATCAACACAAACACCACGTGGATGTTGAAGAATGTTTGCTCCAAATTTGCGAAGGAACTGACCATATTGATTGTACACCTAAAAAGTTAAATAATTCGTAATCAGGTTGCGAATAAATCATTCATTCGACATTAATCAATGTTCTAAGCAAACCTGAATTTGATGGGTTGGTGAACGTTCAGTGACAACAAAATCTCCAGTCATCTTGTTAACAGCAACGCTAGAAAGGTTTATTTATTTAAAGACTGCAAAACAATATACCGATTGGGGTAAAGCAATTGTCCGTCTCGTTTCCCACATTCTCCAAATTGGAACTTGAAGCGGCCTTCCTTGTCAAACACCTAAACTTGGAAAGGTCAAAAATATGTTTGCTTTTTACTTGAATCCGATGATTGTTGGTATCTGCAACAATGATGTCATTTTGAGCATTCACAGCAACTCCCGATGGCTCCGTGAATTGTCCTTCCATAACTCCAAATTCACCAAACTTGCAATGGTAGATCATCTTGAAACGTTTGACTTGCGATCGAGAAGAAGCCCTATGGTTAATATGCGAATTAGTATAACAAAATATAAAATACGTTGCTGCATAGGCGCCATTGACAGGAGCTTTCTCAACTTCGCAATCACCACTTTCTAGCAGACCAAGACTCGGTTCCAATGCAGAGGACCACTTCTCATAATATTGTGCCTAAGATATTTGTGATATTAATGTCAACTTAATACGATGTTACTTCTCCATTGAATGGTTCAGACGATTGCAAAGAGCCACAAAATTGATCATTCAAACAGCCAAGTGACGCGTTGCGAATCGGGATGGAGCTTTCGAGGGCTGACGTGTAACCATTGGTCGGAGCTGAAGAACCCAAAAGCGATGGCAGGCCCTGATGTTGTCCACCAATAATTGCAGCAACAGACGGAGTTCCTAAAGTTTCGAACATAATTCCGATGATCTTCAACTGGTAAGCGTTAAGCTGCCACATATAATACCAACCGATAGGCAAGAAATTGGGATTGTTGCCGCCGATAGCGCTTGGATCGTTGATCAGATTTCCAGCCGGCCGTGAAGGTGGGCGTCCAATTGGGGTTGGTGGCATGCCCGGTTGAGAAGACGCGGGTTGTTGCCATTCGCTAGCACCACAATGAAGCTGAAAATTCTTGGATTACATTAAATTTGCTAAAGCATACCCTTCCAAGCAAAGTACCAATATGCTGCTTTGATAGCAGCAAGCTGTTTGGTCGTTCCAATTCAATCTATAGTGAAAACATTAATGGCGTAGCAAGAAACAAACGCACCTCCACTGGATCAATCATGCCCAAGTCGGGTGTGTAAGCCAAAAATAGATTGAAGCGCGTTTCCAAAATCTGCTTGAACACGACAACCTAAAGAACGAATCATTTATTATGCAACTGTTTCCAAATCAATGCAAAGCAACTGTACTTCAGCTGGCGTAGCAAATGCGAGCAATCTTTTCGTGAAGTCAGTTGTACTCGTAATTCTTTCAGACATTTCTTGAATGCTCTTGTCAAGATTTCGTAGCTGCACCTAAATTTTTGCGTCTAATAAATTGAGCTAAATGTAGATACTTGTTTAGCTGTATAGGCACATTCAATCTCCTTCATAAATCTTTTGCGTTGCTCTTCAACCATGTCAATGAGCATTGCCACATTGTCATTGAGTGCCTTTTGAGTACTTTGCACAGAATTGATCAAGCGTTGATTGGCCGAATCAAGGTATGAGTAGTACGCAGACAAGCTACTATTTTTCTCCAACGCAGCGTTCAACAGCCGCTCAAGGTGTTCGCTCTCCTTCTCAGCCACCTAAAGCGTGAATAGAGGTTATTATAAAATTAGTTTTTGATACCTTCTCAACTTCTTCGTACTTATGATCCTTGTGGGTAGAGAATGAACAGTCTCCACACATTGGACGATGGCAATCGAGGCAAAAGTATAGGATCAGCTGTTGATGGGTCATGCATTTTGGCGCAGATCTGGAATCAAGCACTAAAAAACGTATCATCAAAGAACTGAACCTTGATTGCTCCAAAGCTCCTGCAGTTATTGGGCTCGTAGAGACCGGAGGAGAAGCATTGTTCGACGTAAAAATAGGCTTGACCTAAATATTTCCTCGTTGCAACAGACTTTCATAGCTGATACCTTATGTCCGCTGAAGCAGTGCATATATTGATGAGCCATTGTGCAATTTTGGCACAAAAGATAACCGCATTCCTAATAAAAATTAAATGAAACAAAATAAAGGAATGTTTACTTGACAAAAATGTGAGGCACGTTCACCAGTTTTACATCCAGTACATGGAACCTTAACAAACTCCCCAGCACCACTCGTTTCAACCACCTAAAAAAATAGCCGTACACGCATATAACCATCAAATTTTTTTGTTTTATCGATTACCCGTTCAATTAGTGACTTTCTCTTTCCACTTGTAGGCTACTTTAATTACAAAACAGGGTGTTCAAATTACTTGTTCAACTAAAGGCGAGTCTGTCAAAGGAGGTGAAGAAGACCCGCTTGATGGAGATCCAAAGATTAATCCCTAAATGTAAATGGTTACAACTCAAGTACGTTTTTAGAAAATACCTTATCTGCTTCGACACGGCTTTTAATATGTTGAGTGACATCAGCACCATTCATCGACAATTTTTGAGCAACCAAACGCTCCATGCCAAAATCCGTCAGAAGACCGTCCAAACCAAACGATGGAGTTAGCTTCGCTTCCATGTTGCACTAAAATATACACTATTGAGAGTTTTTATTACTAGTAAGAGCCACAAAAGTTATCAAAGTTTGTTGATGCTTGATGCATAAAGCAACCGGCTATCAACAAAACCCACAAAATGCCTTTAGCAAAAACATGTATCCAGCTCTATATAAAAAAACAACCAGACATCAAATCAAGTATACAAGGTGTCGTAGGCGTTTTACATCAAAAATTTTGTGACTAGAAGAACAATGATTAATTAACCTTAGGACAGAAGACAGCGTCGTAGCAACAATTTTGAACGAGACATTCTTTACAAAACGTATGAAAGCAAACAAGCACTTTTGGTTCGTCGTATGGCTTGAGACAACAAAGACAAAGAAAATTCTAAAGAAAAAATTAGACATTCTACATCTCGCGAGCGTCAACATAAACGTATTTTATCTAAGTTTATTAAACATCACTATAATTTAACAAATTTAAACTCTGCTTCAAGTTTATAGGAAAATGAAAAAAAATAGGTTATTCCTAAATCCTATTCCCCTACGAAACAGGGCGCTAACCGGTAAGACCACGTGTGACCATCGGCGCAGTGCGCCTAGAGGGAAAATCAATACTAGCCAGCCACGGGGGCGGGTAAAGAAAGGAATGGGGGGTGGAGCGAAATGGGGTGGTTGAGCGCCTAGTGTCATGGGGCAAATTCGTTCATTTTTGGAAAAAAAATTGTTTAAACTTTACCAAAATTTCTTGAATCTTTAGAAGTTAGAAGTTACAAGTTACAAGTTACAAGTTACAAGTTACAAGTTACAAGTTTACAAGTTTACAAGTTTACAAGTTAAAAACATACCTCGGCCTGTGATGGTGCTCGAACTGGAGCCAATCCGAAGCCACGCTCATACAACAATGATGCTAAAAATGAACAAAATTAAAAACATAATAAATGAATTAAACCTTTATCTGGTGACATTGGATCAATTGCACTATTGCCAAACAACTGAGTTCGCTTTACTGACTTTTGCAAAAATTTATCGAAATTCCTGGTTTTGTCGCTAAGGTAAAAGTTGAAAAGCATTTCAGTCGTACCTTTGGCTCTTCCTTAAAAGAAAATTTAAGCAAAATACTCGTAACGGAGCAAAGCAAAGCGAAGAAATCTTATAAAAACCGCTCTATCTCAACGGACGATCAGCGCGGGACTACTCAATTTCGCTGGTTAAGAAATGAGATCAGGTAACATGATTAATTAATGCGCAACTGGAAGAAATGTCAAAAAAGCTTCGATCTTTTTTAGATTTTAAAAAGCCACCCGACAAAATGCTTTAGCAAAAGTGAAAAAACGAGAAATCCAAACGGCAATGTTCCCACAAAACTAAAAATATTCTCTTTAATTCTGCAATATCTTTTGTTTTCTGGCTGTATATATACTTTCATAACTTTTAAAGGTTTTTTAACTCTCACGGAGAATATAATTTTTTGCAATTCTTTTGTTCGATAAATCAATGCTCAACTTTCACATAGGATTGCGGTTTTTAAAGCTTCGATTTGGTAATTTATCTTGTATTTCTTTCTCCAAAACACAACTTCCAAATTTCTCTCCCATTCTGTGCGCCCATTCGTTCGCGTCAAGTCCCGTGACTGCTTTTTGCCCTACACTATGTAGCTGCTCGGCAGACAGATTTTTGTGAAAAGAAAGGGTGTTCTGCGACTCTGCGCTCTCGTTCCCTCCATTCCGCTTTCTTATAGATTTTTACAAAGAACTGGTAATTACTGAGCTCAAATCTTGACGCAAAATGAATCATTTTTGGTATTGAAAGAAAAATCAAGGAGAAAAATTTTGCCGTAAAATAGATCGGGGAAGAGAATTCAATAAACGCTCCTTAAACGAGAGACTATTTGATTCCTAGCTTTTTTCGTATGGTGATAGTAGATTGTTCATTTCAATAGCGCTTAATTCGAATCAAGCCTTGATTGATTTTAACTATGTCGACCAGTTTTTCTGTTCTATTTTCACCTGGATTGTCGATCGAAAAGGTTATCGGGTCCGGGAGAATTGGGAGGAGAAAATCTGTTTTGACAACCGGAAATTCGGGCGAACAACCAGACGAAGTGTCCTCATCGTTCATCATCAGCGAATAACTTTTTCGAAAGTTTTGCAAACGACTAAACCCATTGTCTAATTTAGCACAAAATACGTTAAAGCATGAAAACAAAAAAAATCTGGAAAAACTTGAATCCAAAGTGAAAAGCCTTTGAAAAGAGGAGAATTTCCCTTGGTGAGATTTGAGCATGTAGCAAGTTTCAGAGAGACACACAAACACATAGGCATCACCGATTGGCAGTCATGTGGTGCGGGGAGTGGGCAATGGCGACGAGAGATTGTGGCAGCGCTAGAGCCGAGAGAATTTCTTCAACAAAAACACGAAAGAGAGAATGGCGGCTGAGAGAAAAAAAGCTTTTCTAAAGCCCCCGCCCCTCTTGGCTTTAGACATGCCCATTCATATAGAAAACATTCGTCGATATTTAGGTCATCAATTTCAAAAATTCCCTTTTCGGTCAATACAACCGATAAAATATGGAAATTAGATGCCAATGATAAGTCAAAGCCAATGTGAAGAGAGTCAAAGTTCTATGACATTCACAGTTTGAATGTGATTCGGTCAACCTCTTTTCAGTTTTTGTATTCTCAAGAGTTTCTGTGAAACTTATTGAAGAGTAGAGTCAACATTTGTGGCCATCTGCAGAAAAAAAATGAGCACTGTAAGGTGAAGGAAATGGAAAAGAGAAGTGTTCAAGACCCTCGATCCTTCAGTTTATTTACTATTCTTTTTGCAGTTTTTAGTTTTTTTCCTGTTTAGAAACTTTATTCATAACAATAAAAAACAATGTATTTCGCCTAGCTAATTTAATAACAAATTAAACTCGAAGATAAACCCAAACAGAATCGATGCCTTCACCAATTTGCGTTGTTAATTTCCAATTGGGGTGTTCAGGCAAGGGAAATCGGCATGCAATAACCCGTCCGCCAGCATTCATTTCATTCAATTTCGGCAGAAGTGACTCCATCTAAAATAAAAATTATTATTATAAAGTTAAACGAGTTTACCAGGGTTTCCGCGCCAAAAATTACAGCAACGTTGTACTGAGTTAGATCCGTCTTGAAAATGTCTCTCCGATAAAATCTAGGAAACCAATAACAAAAAGCATTGTAAAAAAAATTACTTTGTCAACGGACGTAGCCCAGTTCTAAAACTTCTCCAGCGTGAATAGGCGACAAGGATCGAATTCAACTCCACACCGGTAGATTGGATTCCTTCTTGAGCACATTGCAGAACCTAAAATCATACGATAACAAATTTTTTCCATTCTCCATTACAATAAAGAATATATGATTCTTGACACTGTTTGTGCAAGTTTTTTATATTTATCATGTATTTTAATTTTCAAAGCATAAAAATTTTATTGATACATCTTGCACATATTTAAAGCTGCACTCTCTAGCAATCGACTATTTTTGAATACTGAACAATTGATTTGTTGAAGACCCTGGGATTTTCTAGGAATAACTGAGAACAAATGGCAAATGGAATGAATGGCGACTTAGGGGAATGGAAAAATGAGAAATTTTTGACTGGCAACAGTTAAAGATTAATGACGAGTTTCTGCTACAACGAGTGTGGTAGTTGGAGAGGTCAAAGCAATTTTATTAAAACGCGTCTTGCGTAAGAGTTGACGAGTCGTCTTTGCGGTTCTTTTCTGCTTTTTGACTCTCTCGACCAGATCATGTCCGCGATGACTGACCCCATCAGGCTGATCCATTTTGGCAAGCAATGATTCGAGATCTCCTTTCCTTATAGGTTTGACAGAGATATCTCTCACAGCACGGAACTGTCCACAGTTGTTGACATGCTCATTTTCTAGACGCAGATAATTCCATATAAATCTTCGAAATACTTCTAGAGGGGCCGTAATGCACATTAACAAATCCGTTTCCAAAGTCCATGCTTCTCCAAGAGAAACATTCAATACCCATGAAAGTCGAAGAACGAAATCTTCGACGATGGCTGCATAATAATACCACTTTGAACCGTAAATCATCTCTTCACGCAAGAATGGAGCATCACGTGGAGATCGTGGATCAATTAAACCCCAATCCATGAAAACATCCCACAAGAAAGTGTAAGTGAATGAGAAGATGTAGGAAGCGATCCAAATATAGAAAAATATACTAGTTTCATTAGGATTAGCCTTTTCAGCCCACTTGTTGAGTGCACCACAAGCCACCGTAAGAAAGGTTGTTGCGTATTTTCCAGCATTCACCAAATGTGGATGAACATGCTTTGTGTCTCGGTATCTTCTGAGGCATTGCATGAAACGTACAGTGGCTGGAATAATAGCTACAAGAGAGCGAATCCCCGAAGCTGACATGCACATATCTTTGCCTGTGACTGCATCAACATAGCCCCATGGTATCGCGGCACCGGATGTAGCATTCACTGTTCTAACGCTCATCCAGGCAGAAGAATAGTCCACTTCAGTTGCATAAAAGCAGATGAAATATTGAAAATCTTGGAAGGCAGTTGTTAGAGAATTCATCTGGTCACCCAGCCAGAAATCGGTGAACGTCACAAAATGGAACGGGGCTGTGAAGCAATTGAAACAATGTTTCAACAACCAAAAGCGACTGTTACGGTGGAAGAGGGATTCGGGTTTCTTGAAGGGATTGAACATGAGAATACAGCAAATCACCATAAGAGCAAAAGGCGGCAGGAATGGTGGAATACCAAGAAGGTGAGCATACTGATATGCGAGTGCAGCACAACTCCACAATACCATCATGAAAGCTGCCACTTGCATTAGGTCTTGATAAGTGAGATGATTGCGGGGGTCGACCTCGAAAATTAAAACGTGATTCACACCGGCCTTTGCCCATCCATACATATTGACTCCACAAAGAAATGTGAGGGCAAATAGTAGTAGAGGCCCTCGAAATAGTCGAACAGCCACCCATTTTGGTTCATTTTGTCGGGCAGGGGAAGCTATGAATGATAGAATTATAGCAACGACTAGAACAATAACTGCACCCATGAATAAGCCAAGAGTAAACGTCGTTGAGGACGACTGTTTCTCAGAGAGTGGCGGAACTTTCAGCCGTTTCATTCCGGCCTGTCGATCTCCACCTTCTAACTCGTTGATGACTGATGTTTCGACGGTGTTGATTAAAGTCTCAATGTCACGGTTGAGAAAAAACGAGCTTTTCTCAACTTTATTAATTCTCCATTGTAATCCGTTCTCATTCATCGTGAGCTTATCATGTTTCTTGAGGATTTTTCGAAATCCGGTAGCATTTAGCTGTTGGTAATTCTGGACAAGAACGAGACTCAAGTAAAATTCGGAAAATGCCAATTTTAATTGTTGGGCCGTTTTTGCACGCTCTTTTTGCAATTTATCACCACGAAAACGATTTCTAAGCCCCGTTTTCAGTTCTGAATCTCCAATGGTTTCTTTGAACTGATGCAATTCACTCTGCAGTTCGTGGATTTTTCCCTGAGCCTCGGCAATCTTTTGAGAGAAAAACAAATTGATTTTGGTCAACTCCTTTTCACACTCGTTAAAGAATTTTTCGTCAATTTGAGCCAAATAGGATTCTCTACGGTCTTCTTCACTAGGCATCTCCATCATGAACTGATAGAGACTGTCCTTCAGACGCTCGTATTCGATGTACTGTTTCCTCCACTCGGGGGTAAGGTGGCTGACAAGTTGCTCACCGAACTTCATCCTATAATTTTTCTGATAAAACGTAAACCCACAACGCGTCCATCGCCACTTCCCAAGTCTATTAAAGGTCCCCTTGGGTTAAGCGGAGCCAGAGCACAAGATACGTTAGCTAGTTGCTGTGGTGTCGCCGGCACGTATGGGATGCACACCTTCCGCAGCGCTGGGGTCACAAACGGAATAGCAGCAGCCGTGATGCCAAGGCCGATAGCCCCTGCCATCCCAGCCACTACAAGCCCACTCATACCGCCCATTCTGCAAAAGCAAAGTTAGAATTATCTAAAGGTTCCGCTCGCCCAAAACTAGGTACTAAGTATAAAAAATCTTGCACTTGTCTAAATCTACATTCTGCGCTATAAGTTGTTTAGCTTGAAAATGTGGAACTTTAAATTTATCGTTTACGTAATTTATTCTTGGCGATGAACCGCTCGAATCTCATACAGTCGTCAAAAAAAGGCCGGCCGGTCAATGTTTTCTTATTTTTCTCCTGTTAGATCGCATTTAAATAAATCGATCTCAATTAGCTTTTTTTTAGTATTTTGTGGGAGCTTTAAGATGATACTCTTAGATTTTTGATGTCGCTCTAAATAGAATTTTTCAAGCTACTTTTGCATGAGGGTTTTTTCTTTTTTTTCTATTTTGTTCAAGGCTGCAAAACTGCCAGTAGCCTTTCATTTTCACCAGAACAAAATTAATAGGTAATAGACGATCCAATGCCATTATAATTGCAACCGTTTTCAATGGGATCCATTAATTCTTAAAATACAGATTTTTAAAAACCATGCTCAAATAAGGTTTTTCGATCTTAAAACTCTTAGTTCAAAGAATATCCAAAAGCTAAATGGTTAATTTTAACAACCTTTGAAACACATCAAACTATTTGTGGTCAATATATTTGAATGTGATCTATGGACCAAGTGAACACTGACCGGCCAAGACTTTTTTGAACGACGACTAAAAAATCTTGCACTTGCCTAAATCTACAATCTGCGCTATAAATTGTTTAGCTTGAAAATGTGCAACTTTAAATTTATCGTTTACGTAATTTATTCTTGGCGATGAATCACCCAAAACCTATAATATCACAGCTCAAACTACTCACCTTTACAGAATCGCAAGAAGATCACAAGTTTGTTGATGATAAACCTTGTCGCCTTACGATGGCTAAAAAGAAAAAGAATTGTAAAGTTTGAAAAGAGTTACCTTACTTTCGTTCTTCCTCGATGTGACGTCTTTAGACCGCGTGACTTATTCTTTTGCCACGATCAAACCTAAAATTATCGTTACTCTTTTTAATCTAACTTAAAAGAAAAACTAACCCAACGAAAAATTTGGACAAAAATAAAACGTTGACTTTTTATCTACCACATGCAAATGAGAAGCAGTTTTTGACCCATCTGAGCTTTTTATAAAGTATTCAGTTTGGATGTTTGAATTGTTTTTTGTACAATGACGTACATATTATCAGGCAAGGCTTATCATACCGCTTTCAATAGCTTAAACCTTTGTCTTCTTTTCAAAAGTTGTTGCGTGTTATAAATTGCAAAATATTTTAATTTATCGGAAAGTTTCTTGCATGTTTTAATTTTTCAATCTGTTTTAACATATATTTTCTTTTCTTCTCAGGCTATGCGATGGTGTTGGCTAATTCTTGCGATTTCGACGGTTGAGGGGATTTTGCAAACGGGATTACAATTGAAAATCGACGAGTTCTTCGAATCACCGGGGCACACTAACAATTGGGCCGTTCTTGTTTGCACAAGCAGGTTGGTTTTAACTAGGTTATGCCTGTTTTTCGCAAATATAAACGAGTGGATGGTATCATACAATATTTAATTTTTAGATTCTGGTTCAACTACCGCCATGTGGCCAATGTACTTTCTCTTTATCATTCGATCAAACGCTTGGGTATACCAGATAGGTATTTATTTTTCTTTAACCAGAACTGTAAAAAGTTTAGTAACATCATAATGATGCTCGCTGAAGATATTCCATGTAATTCAAGAAATCCAAAACCAGGTCACGCTTTTAAATTTAGTTTTTATCTTAAAAATATAGGCACCGTTTTCAATGCCCCGGGTGGTGTGAATTTATATGGTTCGGATGTTGAAGTTGACTATCGTGGCAACGAGGTAATAGCTTTTTTAATTTTTTTTGAGATGAATGTTGTTTAGGTCACTGTTGAGAATTTTATTCGAGTTTTAACTGGACGCCATCACGAAAGCACTTCACGTTCGCGCCGGCTTCTCAGTGATCATCAAAGCAACGTTTTGGTATTAATTTGAATAGCAATATTTTGAAAATAAATTATTTTTAGGTATATTTAACCGGCCATGGTGGAGATAGTTTCCTCAAGTTTCAAGATGCGCAAGAACTGACAAACGTTGACTTGGGATATGCTATACAAACGATGTTTGAAGACAATCGGTATTTCTTTAAGATTTATCATAAACAAACCAAACTTTAGATATCATGAAATGTTTGTGATTGTTGATACCTGCAGGAGTGAATCAATGTATGAGTACATTAATTCGCCAAGAGTCCTCTCAACAAGTTCTTCGTTGACTCATGAGGAAAGCTATTCATACGATATTGATCATGAAATTGGAGTCTTTGTTATTGACAGGTTGGTGACTGTTGGAGGGAAAATAGATTTGGTTCAGATACACACATTTCACTCTGGACTTCATGAATCAAAATGTGAAAGCGTTAAACTCTTCGGCTTCGTTGAAAGATTATCTGGACTCATGTCCACTTGCTCAATGCTTAAGTACAGTTGGAGTGCGAAGAGTAAGTTTTTAGATAGAACTTTATCTTATTTTTCAGTAATTTTTTTATTCAAACGTAAAATTTAGGATACCTATCCAAAGGATCCTGCGAAGGTTCGAGTTACGGACTTCTTTGGTTCTGCTCGTATTTTACACTACATTCAAGAAGATATTGTTTTCGATGATGCCTGGCTCGTCGAACCTGTCACGTATCAGCTTTAACTTATAAAACTTGACCGGGTTTTTGTGATTGACAAACTTAAACATCTTACTAATTACGGGTAACGTGTTTTTATTAAATTGTTTTTGAATGAAGAGAACGTCATAAATGCATTTACAAAAATACAAAACAACGTGTTTATTATGTGCTAATTTTGGTTAAGGTGCTAGATGCTGATTGGGGAAGAGAATCTTCGGAATGTGAAGAACCGGTTTTGGTTTTCTTTTTCTTGAAAGTAGCAGACTTTCTATGCCGTTTGTGGGAGCTCTTAACGAAGACTTCAATCGGGGCAGGCTCCATCTAAATTTCAATCGCATTTTCAATGCTAATTAGGTGAAATACTTTGTCCGGTGAGGCTTCTATTATGGGCAGCTTTTCTAGCAGTTGTTGAGCTTCATTTTGGCTCTTTGTCAACTTCATTATCCAAGTCATCTTTGCATGGCGAACTTTTTTACTAAAAAGTGTTGACTACCTAATAACTTTGAGTCCATTTACCGTTTTTTCACTTCTTTTGGCACATCACCCTTTTCGATCAGGTAACCAACGACAAATCGTTTCTGAAATCCACTTTTGAAAATGTAACGTTAGTGCTTTGTAAGCTTGCGATTTTTTTCATACTCGTCTTGTAGCGACTCGAATAGATGCAGGAACTGTCGGAATAACACTTTGAATCACATATTTTAGAAGGAAAACCCCGTTCTAAATCCTTTCGGAATCTCGTATTTTAACCACTGCTTACTTGGAAAATAATTACGATGAGCAATCGATCCTGAACATCACAATGCAAGAGCGGAACAAGCGAATTGGCGCTGCCAAAGAAATTTTTGCAGAAGTCCGAGGTAAATGCAACTAGAAATGGATATTTTAGGTTTTATATATTTTCTACCAATAAAAGCATTAGTCAAAACAGCAGCATACTGTAGAAATGTAATAATTGGTAACCAAATGCCAATTCCAGTTGTTACAACAGGTACAGGGCGTCTATTGAACCTAAAAACTGCTATAGCTTAGCTTTTTTTTTTGCGATTGCTCAACCAAATGAGTCGACTCGCATCGACACGTAAATCGACGAGTCCAATAATTAGCCCTATCAATGGAGACAATGGGAATAAAGCGGCAAACATCTGAAAGATTACGTAAAGTTGTATCACCTTTTTGCCTACCATAGTTGTCCCAAACAATAACACTTTTTCGTTGAATTCCCATAGGGTGAATTGTCCAGCTGAGGGTTTCAACCATTCACGAACAAGCACATTCGTTGCATCCTATACTTGAATTTTGATCACAATTTCTCCAAATTGAACACTTTTTCCATAAGAATATTCTCGATCGACTCGTGTCTATTATACCAACTCGATGTTCGATAAACGTGCAGAATGTAACTGAAATCACTTTCTGGCTTGAATTTTTCTTTGAAAACTTTACGGCCAACAAATATCTTTGAAGAATTTTGGAAATGGCTTTATGAGCATGTGAGAAAGAAGCTGTAAAGCAAGCAATGAACCACATGTTCCCTCGGTGCAAGTATCGCGATAATCCGTTCCCAATCCAAAAAGACCATCGGTTTGTAAAGCCTAGAACTTTGAAATAGTCAATTTCGGTTTTTTTTTGGTTACATAAGATTCCGGACGAAAGAAAGCGATGTAGAATAAAGATGTATAGTTATTCACAAAAGAGAAGGCGAAAATTTTGATCACTAACGCGTTGCTGTGCTCAGATTGAGTTCGATGGTTTTCTGAAAGGCAATTTTTTCATAATGAAATCCGTATCAATGGAAACCCCAATGATTTAGCATTTCGGCGATACGATTGTAAATGTTTCCAAGAATCATTGTTGAAACCTGAATCTGTGCTAAAAAGTGAGAGAATTCAGAAATTATACCGTATTTAAAACCGATGGCAACCAAGCAGACATGGCCGAACAAATGAGAGTCGACTGAAATTCTGATTGTTTTTTTATTGTTGGTTGAATATTCTTTACCTCTACACCACATCCGTATGTTCGAATTGCGTAAAGCTTGTAGAGAGTGACGACCATCACAGAAATCACTACTGTTGACATGCAAAGTAAAACCACGAGAACCGAGGTCACCATCTAATGTTAATCCGCTTGAATAAGCAACCGTTTAAAGTACTATTAAAGTACTATTAAAGTACTATTAAAGTACTATTAAAGTACTATTAAAGTACTATTAAAGTAAAGTACTCTTTTAAGCTCATCATCTTTTAAACTTTTTAGCGGTAAGCTTCATCATTTTAGCGTGTCTTTTATTAGAATAATTATCGTATTGAATTACCTTGACGAATCTCAATAGTTGCGGATAAAACCATTCAGGTTCACCGGTAACTGGATCCTGAAATTCAATAAACCTTTGATACGCTTTAGATTACTTACGATGTCAATCTTTGTCCCAACGAACTCCGGTCTATCGGGCTCAATTTCTGAAAGAAATTTTTTAAGTAGAAAAACATTAAAACATTAGAAATGCCTGTATAATCCTCGCAATTCCACTCATAGGTGAGCACCGCGTTGTTTCGTTTCCAAATTTGATAAAAGACTGATCCTAGAAAGTTTTTTTGATATAGCTTTTTTTGATATTGCTTTTTTTGAGTTATTGAGTTTTAAAGCCAAACTTCCCCTTACCCCATAACGAAATGAAAGCGGCGAAAAATGGATTCAAATCGTTGTCGAAAGATTTCATGAACCAGTTGGATATTGTCGAGAAAAAGTGTTTAGCTCTGGAATTGGATTTTCTTTTGTAAACTCTTGTGAATTCCGCTTGGCTTGTAAATTCCGCTTGGCTTGTGAATTCCGCTTGGCTTGTGAATTCCGCTTGGCTTGTGAATTCCGCTTGGCTTGTAAATTCCGCTTATTTTTTTTGATCCGTTTGCCGTTGACAATCAATTTTCCTCGTATCTTAGCCGGGTTTGTTTGAGGAAACGTTGAATTTGCATTTTATTCGATTCGAAAGCTTATCTCTAATCCTATATCTATCTATCTACATCTATCAAAGCTTTCTCAATCAAATGAAAGCAAATACAACATTTTTCAAATAAACCCAGTCAAGGTATGAGCAAAATTCGAACCGAAAAAAGGGGTGAAGTTTAAAATTAACATCGCTGCCACTTACCCGTCTCGAAACTGGCAACTCGGATAATCAAGCTCTGTTGTGTAGCCTGAAGAATTCGAAATCACGCATTTCTCGTATGGATTCTCATTGATACTAAAGGAAATATTTGAGTTAAATAATTCCAAAGAAAACCTTTTCACAAGTCCATATGTAAAACTAAGCAGTCCAACTATTGTAGCCACCCAGAGAACCGTGATGAAAGTACCCTGAAAATGAAAATGAGAAGAGAAAAGAAAAAAATCGAGAAAACTCAGTGCTTTCCCACCTGCCAAGCGAAATAAAATGCGATTTGCTCTCCAAAATAGTCACGAATTCGATTGATTGGTTGAAATTTAAACCATCGTGTCCATTGCTTAAAAAAGAATTTCTTTTAGCCATTCGTTTTTTCACAAAACTTTTCCTAGTTTCTTTCTTGGATCGTCCTCAATTTCGGAAAGCATTTGCAGATAATCGACAACATTTCGATTCTTCATTTCACGAAAATACGGTTCTTCCTATAAACCGAAATCTTTTCAAGTACTTCTTTTCAAAATCTTCTCAAGTACTTCAGAAGGCTCATGTAGCATAAAAGAATCCTCGTAGGCTTCATTCATCAACAAATACAGTAAACCCTTGCGCTAAAATCATAAAAGAATTTAAAAAATTTGACAGAAAACAGGTACGGTAAGTGGCTTCTCTCCGAGAATCGTTTCAGTGAACGACAAGCTGTTGTTCTCTTCTTTCGATCGCTTGTGATGCTTCTCTTCAGCTCCAAAGCCATCCAATTGTTTACTGATGTCTATTTCTTTTAAAATCTAAAGCACAGTTTATAAGCTCTTTTTTTTTTCCTTCAAAACCTGATGCGTCAAAAGAGAGCGCTGTGCTGATGAGAAGAATTTTGTGTGATCATCGAAATTCTCAAAGTGTTGCGCATATTTTCGATTGTACGGGGCGCTCACAAATCCGACTAAACATCGAAATTGAAACCTCTGTAGCTTTGCTTAAACCTTTATCATTAGTGATAAACAAATGTGAGAGCGAGATACAGCATGTTGGTTGCACAGGAGTGATTGGACACTATAAATTCCCAAGTATTACTGTATACGCTTTTTAAAATCCAACATTCTTAAGTGGGAAAGACATTGCACTCTTCTCAGCCTCTTTGCAAAGTCGGGGAAATGGGGTGGAGATGAGAGCGAAGCGAATGCTTCCCGAAACCTCATGTGAGACAATGAGACCCTCCTTTCTTGCTGCCTGTTAAAGTAATCATATCTTATATATTGTATTGTCAGTGCAGCGATGCGCTTACATTTTCGAACAAATTTCTATATTTCTGGTTTGTTGTATCGCTGGTTCTTGAGACAAGCACGTAGTCGACTAAACGTGAAATTCGATTTTTTACTTTACTATCACTTACCTGCTAATCGAAAAGGAAAATAGGGATAATCAACATGCGTTTTGATTGGCATCACAGAAATAAAATTTCTTTATGAGTGGCCATAAAAATAATTCGATATCTCTCTTCGACAAAAATCACCTGAATCCGCTGCCTAAAACAGGCAGGTGTTCTACAACTCAAAACGAAATGGATATGATTAAAAGTTAAACAAGAAACATGTTTTTAAAGACTGTTAAACTCGATGGCTAAAAGTTTGGTAATGCTGAATAATAGTTCAACTAAAAAAAATCAGTTCAATACTTATGGACACCTACGACAACAATTCGAAAAGCTTAACAATTGCCAAGTCACGCGACTTGGCATAAACAAAGAAAATTCCAGATTAAGTCGAAAAATTCGAGCCACAATAATTAACAACGAGGAAATCGGTCATAAATTGTGGTTATTAAAAAAGTTCCGCGGTCGAGATTGAAAGTTCGGAAAAGAGGCAAATGAAGCCCTTTTTGAGTGAAACTCTGCTGGGGCTCCCGGGAAACCAAAAATTGGCTCTGTCAACTCCGTGAACATTTCTTAATTGCTCTATCGAATAAAAGACACTTTTTTCTAGGCAGCAGAAAAAAGCACAACGGTGTGGGCTATTTAAATTCGTTATTCTTAGATTGAAAGTTGTGCTTTCTCCAACAAAGATAATACTTTCTTCTTTATTGTCACAGCCATTTGTGTATATCTCCTGAAAATATTTATGAAAATTTATTAAAGATTTTTTCTTGCACGGCAAAATAGGTTAATCAACACGAAAGCTTTTCGGAATAATGCCGCATTCAAAATTGCAGTAAAACAATACGATAAAACTGACCACAAAGCATAAAATTATTTTTGAGAACTATCTTTACTTGCCCGAATAATCATCAGGCCTGAGATCGATTTCTCATTCGTTTAATTTCTTAAGCAAAACTGCTTTGAGAGTGGTCGCTAATTGTTTTGAAGTGGGCGTCATTTCTTCTTCGGGCTTCGAAAGTACCTTGATTCGAAAATAGGTTTGAGACAAAAATAGAAAAAAAACCTCATCTAAGACCGCTGTGATACCAGCTGGCCCAACAACAGGAGACCCATTAATGGAAAAAGTAATTTCATCGGCTCCAATCACCCGACCCGCCACAACATTTCTAAGAATCAAAATAAAAATAAGATTCAAACATAAATGGCTATAATGTAAAACAATCTAGTCCCAAAGGTTATAAAAAATATTATAAACTAAAAACATACTCAGTATTCTTCAGCCTTGGCGCAATATTTGAAAGCATCTTTGGCACTCGTACATTTCGATTGCCAAGCGGTGTTGCGACGGTCAAAGTTCGCGCATCTCGTTCTCTAAAAGGAAAAAAAGATTAATGCTTTTAAAAGCCAATAATTACATTGGAGCTCGCAAAACGGTGGGCGGATGATTGAAAGCGGCGGCCGGCTGGTCGACTTCCATCGGTGAAAACACTTCTTCTTTGACTTTTCGTCGCACGTTTTCCTTGGGCGTCATTAGCTTTGGATTGAACTCGTCCACATTCAAAAACTGCTCGACATTCTTTGAAAGTAATTCCTAAGATCAATCGTTAACGAAATTATATTAACTTTAAAAATACGTTTGTGAAATGTTTCTTCAAATTTGTATACACATCCATAAGGTACGGATTATCCACGGTTAAATATGGGCAATCTCTTTGAGATAGATATTGTTCCGCCTCCTCATTTAGTTTTGAACCTAAAAATATGGGTTCTTTACGGATAACGGGCGGGGGTAAGTTTTTTGGTCAACTTGCAGCTCATTTTTAAGCACCTTAAACTTATCAGACCAGAAAGTTTTAATAAGATTTAGACAGCTTAAAACGTCAGCTTTCAGCAACTATTTGTTTTATCAAAAGTTATTTACAAAAACCTATCTAAAATCGGGCTCCAAGTTGGCCAAAAACTTGACAAAAAAAAGCTGACGATGAGATCTAGTGGGGGATTAGAGTGTTGAGCTTCTGCAAAAGCTTGGAAGGCGTAAAATAGTCACCAACTCGGCTCGCCGGGGTGCACTATTATTAGAGAAAATACGGTATATTTCGAAAAATACATAATAAAAACCAAAAACAAACCTTCTTCGCAAAATTTTGTGACGAAATCTGAAGCCGCGTCCACTTGCATTTTCCTTCTCCTTTTTGGTGGCATTCCCACTAAATTATTTAAATTAAAAACAAAAGAAATAAAAATAGAAAAAAATTTAAAAGAAATTTAAAACCAATTTATTAATGATGGAGAAAGAACGCAAATGTGACTGGCATTCGAATTGCCTCCAGGCGATCCGTCATTTGGAGTCACTTGTAGTCACTTGTAGTCGCTAATGAAACAATTAACGTTGAAAAAAATCTGCACACATTGAAACCGTTTAAGAAATTTTTGTCGATCCTTTTTTCAAAATAAGAAAAAGTAACTGGATCTTTTTACTTTTCATGAATATTACCTAAACTTTATTATTTCCCGTGAAAATCTCTTATTCATTAAACAATGGATGATCCACCAATCGAACTCCAAGAAAGGCCACGAAATCGAGCTTTTATGAGTAAGTTTATAACGGACAAATATAGCTGATCAAAATTTAGAAAAAGTGCTGATCGTTGTGGCACTGCTTTTCGTGAATCTTCTTAACTACATGGATAGGTAATAATAAAAAAAACTGCTTCCAAAAGACAGTCTTTCTAGATTTACGATAGCCGGCGTTTTGTCGCAACTACAAGATTATTTCACGATGAATGATAAAGAAGCGGGCATGTTACAAGTAAAGATTAAACGAAAGTTACAAAAAACAAACATATTTAGACAGTTTTCATCATTTTCTATATGATTGGAGCACCAATTTGCGGATATTTGGGCGATCGGTACAACAGAAAGATGATCATGGTAACCGGGCTCTCGATTTGGATCATTGCTGTGTTCTCAAGCAGTTTTGTTACAAAAAATGTAAGAAGAATTGAACTCAAGATTAATGAGAATGAGATTGAAAATGAGAATTTAAAGCTTTTAAAAGAATAGTAAAACTTACAGCACTTCTGGGTTTTCCTTTTCTTGAGAGGAATCGTTGGCATCGGTGAAGCCTCTTACTCGACAGTTGCTCCCACTTTGATTGCTGATATTTTCGCGGGTGCCGATCGATCTACCGTACTTATGATTTTCTATTTCGCTGTTCCAGTTGGAAGGTAATAAAATGGTAATTTGAAATGGTAGAAAAAAAGAACTTTAAGTGGACTTGGATACATTGGAGGAGCTTATGTGTCGTTGTGGTTCGGCGGATGGCAATGGGGTGTCCGATTTACACCGATACTGGGTGAGCACAAAAAAAGAAAGCGACAAAACAAAACAAAACAGAAAAACAACAATGAACTTGTTTCTAGGAGTCTTATGCCTTATCCTGCTCATTGTATTCATCGAAGAGCCAACTCGAGGAGCTTCAGAGCACGCTCATGTCGAGAGCTCCTCGATTCGCCAAGATCTCGCCTATCTTTGGTCGATGTTTGGTTTAATTTGATTGTATATATATAAAAAATTTTCCAGAAAAACATATCGACTGAACACAGTGGCTTTCACTTGTGTCGTTTTTGCGGTGGGAGCTTTGTCATGGTGGGCGCCGACTCTGATCACTCATGCGTATGCCATTCAACACGGTGAGCCTGATGTGCCACCTTCCGAGAAAGCAAAGTAAAATTTGGAATACGAAAAAGAGTCTATTTTTTTTGAATACAGTATCTCCTTGATCTTTGGTCTAATAACTTGCTTTGCTGGAATCGTTGGAGTTGTCGTCGGGTCAACGGTGGCTCAGGTAAGTGTTTTAATGAGAATCAAAAGAGAATCATGAGAATGCGAATCAAAAATGAAATGAATGAAATTGCTTTCTCAGGCTTGGAGAGAAGGTCGATGGGGTTTAAAAGCCACACATACAGCTGATCCCATTGTGTGTGCAGTGGGGAGTCTTCTCGCGATGCCTTGTCTCTACACTTGTCTCATCACCGCTGCTCATCATATCAACACCGCATGGGTTTGTTAGAAAACCAGAAATAATCTAATTGTAGACTTTGGACTTTTGATAGCATTCAATTTTACAGGTTCTTATGTTCATCGGGGTGACTTGCATGTGTTTGAATTGGTCAGTCAACATGGATATGCTTATGGTACAAGAGTTTTATTTAAAGTTGCAAGTGATCTCAATTCAGTACACAGTCGTTGCGAATCGTCGAGCCACAGCAACAGCCATTCAGACATTGATCTCGCATTTGTTCGGCGATGCCTCATCTCCATATGTGATTGGAAACATTAGTGATATGCTACGAGGTAAGGAAATAGTTACTACAGTGCTACAGGGTTGCCTCTCAACTTTGAAAGGGTATATAAAAAAAGTTGACAGATTGAATCGTTTATAAAAGGCAGCGTTAGAGGAGGCATACTTAAGATTGATTTTCAGAAAAATTAAAACAATTGAGCCAATTTTGACCTAAAAGATAACCCAATTTTGGCCAAAATGTGGCACAACAATTTTTAGCCAGTCCTGTACAGTAAATTGCCCTCAAACTATAGCCAAATTCTCTTACTGTAAAACAAATGCTTTTTAGGAGATGCTACTACACAAATCGATGCCTTTTTCGCTTTACAAAAGGCTCTATTCTTGACAGCATTTGTCTTGATTGGATCAGGCGCTTTCTATCTATGGGCTTCATTTCATGTTGTTGAAGATCACTGCAATGCGAAACGAGCTATGGGAGGTTTGCTAAAACGTTTTCAAATAGAAAATTGAAATCTTTCAGCCACTGATGAATGGGTGGATGAAGAGGCAGACGATGTAGAGACACTGATTCACAATGTTCGAAGAAGCAGTACTGAGGATTAGTTCTGTGATGAGTCGTCCAAAGTCAGTCATACCAAAAATTCAATATCATCTTTATCATCTTTACCCTAATCATCACATATCTATTCAATATCCAACTTTGAAACTAATATTTTACAATCCCAAAAGGCATTTTTATCATTTTGTCATTCTAAAGAAGGTGATTCCCTAATGGTGATGTTTTCCTTGTTTTCCGTGATTCACTAATGGTGATGTTTTGTTTTTTTTTTCATCTTTTGCTCACTTTTAAAGTGCTTTGGTATAATTTTCGGGTGATGTACATTTACAGCCAAATTTTTATTATAAAGTTTTGATTCAAAAAAAAATAAATAGCTCATGAAAAGGCAAGAAACATTTCGAGGCAATGATTCAATGAAAAAGTGAAACAAAATATTAAAGTATGACTAGGGTGAAAGAAAAAATAGAAAAAAAAAAAGAAAAAAAAAGAATAAAAAGTGACCAGCACAGAATGGAGAAAAGAAAAAGAAAAGGATTTTGATTAAATGAGCACCAAGAATAGAAACCAGTGTTTAATAATTTGAGAGCTCATTTGAGATTTAGTCGAGATCGCGTGTCGCCCAGTTTAGTGGAACCTGAAAAGAGTGCTCATTCCCATTCTCATTTCATTAAGAGTGCTCATTTTTTTTCTTTTAGTCTTTCAGTTTTAAGCTTGATAAGACAAACCCAGCTAGGATGAGACTCAAATTTGTGAATGAGTCGAGTGAGAGCAGCAAATGAGGTCTCGAGACTCGAATTCACAAGTCGAGCATCGAATAAATGAGCGATTTGTCGTTCCAATTGATCGGAGGCAACAATAATCTACAAGAAATAATTCTCTGATCGTTTTTCATTTCATTTCAAACTTGTTCAATTTCAAGCTCTGTAAACCCTCTCGGTCCACCGACGACTGTTGAAGCCGAGTTGCTTACTTGTGACGTTGCTCTTGACCACCTTGATCGCAAAGCGGCTCGAGTTTTCTGAATAAATACGGTACTTAGTTTTTGGGATTGTCTACTTTGCGCCAAATTTTTTTGCGCAACTGGGCAACTGGGTCGTTTTTTTTCATTTGAGCAACTGGGTCGTTTGCGCAACTCGCCATAACTTTCTTCTAACTCGACCAATCTTTATAATTTTGGTTTTATTTTGTAGATCTCAGTAAGTGCAATAAAATGACACAAAAATCATAAAGATTGGTTTACTTAGAAGAAAGTTATGGCGAGTTGCGCAAACGACCCAGTCGCGCAAATGACCATGTTGCGCAAAAAAAGTTGCCGAAACTAGCCTATCCCTAATTTTTGTTCTATTCTAAGCTAATTCCTTACCGCAAACGTTTCTTTGTCCGGTGATTGAATAAAAATAATGATAGGCATGAACTCCTTTGTTCGAAGAGCCTTCAATGCAAGAGGATGTGGAGTCAAGAGTGGGATGCCCACTTGAGTCGCTTTTCTCACCGCTGAGACTGCTGTTCCATAATAGTTTCCTCTAAAAACTCGTAGATTATAGAAAATCGTTGCCAACGCTTTTTACTTGAACTCCCCAAACTCGAGCATTTCACCCCGATGAATCATGTTTTCCATTTCGATTTTTGGAACAAAATAATAGTCGACACCGTGTTGTTCATGCGGTCTACAATTGATCGTAAACTAATTATTTCTTTTTTCTTTAGATAAAGAATTACCGTGGTTGCCTTGAAGTGTGCGGAATTGTAGTTGAGAATTTGTCTGGAAAAGCCAAAGTCAATCGTCTTCTTAACTCATTTCTTCCAACACCAGAAGCACCAATTAGAACTGAAAATTTGAATTTCTTATTTGAATAAGAGATAAGCTTTAATTCAAAGCATTTCATTCATTTATTTAACAATTTTTGAATTTGAATTTGAATTAGAATTAGAATTGGAACTAGGACTAGAATTGGAACTAGAAATAGAATTGGAACTAGAACTAGAATTGGAACTAGAACTAGAATTGGAACTAGAAATAGAATTGGAACTAGAAATAGAATTGGAACTAGAAATAGAATTGGAACTAGAACTAGAATTGGAACTAGAACTAGAATTGGAACTAGAAATAGAATTGGAACTAGAAATAGAATTGGAACTAGAACTAGAATTGGAACTAGAACTAGAATTGGAACTAGAAATAGAATTGGAACTAGAACTAGAATTGGAACTAGAAATAGAATTGGAACTAGAGCTAGAATTGGAACTAGAAATAGAATTGGAACTAGAGCTAGAATTGGAACTAGGACTAGAATTGGAACTAGAATTAGAATTAGAATTAGAATTGGAATTAGAATTGGAATTAGAATTAGAATTAGAACTAGAATTAGAATCAAATTCATTTATTCTCCAGTCTCTACAATTTTTCTCTTCTTTTGTTTAAAAAGGTTTGTGTCATTGTTTTTCAATTAAACATGTTCTATTGTCACTTTTTTTTAATGTTTTTTATATGAATAAAGTAATTGATCTATATATCTAAATATAGATTTAAAAATTTGCTTTCTAAAGTTACCAATTGGTCTAATCGTTTCATCGCTGGGTCTCAGCCGTACAACTGATTCGTAACGCATATCGGAATCGGACTAAAACAATGGTGATCTATAATCGAGTCATCTATAATCGAGTACCTCATTTCCTCGACTACGAGAAATCCTTGGCAATGTTCCACTTCGATTCACACCAGGTGTCATTCTCTCAACAAGCATCGACTCTGATGGAACCAAACCAACTTTCTTTAAGCCTGAAAATGGTAAAGTGGTAAAGAAAGAGAGAGAAAGAGAGAGAAAGAGAGAGAAAGAGCTTTCATTTTCATTTTGAAAGTACAATTCTTACCATGTAAAGTAAAATAAAGTAAAGTAAAGTAAAGTAAAGTAAGGAATGGTAAAGAAAGATTTCCAGGCATTGAACCCTCGATTTTTCATTTCATTTCTCGATTTTTCAATTGCTTTAACCATTGAGCTATCCAGAGCTTTCCTTTTGCCAGAGAAAAGAAAAAATGAAAAAGATGCAACCTAATAAAATGAAGTAAAATAAAGTAAAATAAAGTAAAGTAAAGTAAAGTAAAGTAAGGAATGGCAAAGAAAGATTTCCGGGATTGAGCTTTCATTTTCATTTTGAAAGTACAATTCTTACCATGTTTCTTATCATCATCTCCAGTCGCTAAGCTTCCATTGCCCAAATTTCTAAAGTTATCTTCAAGAGTTGTTCATTACTCTTTTTCTTACCTAGCTTGCCACCATTGTCTATCATTACAAACAAGAAGCTCCAAAATATCGCCTTTATTGAAGGAAAGAGCTGCTTCTGGACAAGGACTTTGTGAATCCATTTTCCCATCATAATCAAACTAAAATAAAACTCGTAGAATTGACTTTTCAAAAGATTACCAATGCTCTGAGATGTATACTGCTTGCTGTGCTATGTGAATGCTTTCGTTTATCTCCAGGGATCAATTTGAACGTGACACTTCCTTTATTGTTTCGATCAAGTAATCTGAAATGGATCATTATCTTAATCAGTTTTCCTTTTTTGAACACAAACCCAAGAATTTCTCTTGGCTCCAAACCGGCAACTCGAACCCCGTTCACTTCAAGAACTTGATCACCTTCCTATAAATTTGCTTGTCTATTGATCTAGATTTATGATGATTACCATTATACACCCAGTTCTATCAACAACACTGCCGGATATCACTCTAGCAATTGTCACTTTTCCATTCTCGTCACTTTTTATCGTTGCACCAAGTGGCTCATCTTGTCGTATCTAGAACGCTTTTTTGCTTCAATGTTTCAAATTCACTAACGATTTTCACAATTTTCACAGCCAGTCCTTCATCATCGTCAACCTCAAAAGGGATCTCTGGCAAGATAGGGAAATATCGAGAAGAGCTGATATCATCCGCGGCACAAAGCACTTCCTAAAGGAAGTAGATTAGAAAAATCTTTAGAGTATAAGTATAGACGATTGATGTTCCAAAGGTCAAATTGGATCACGTTCTTTTACGTTCTTTTATGGCTCTTTTATCTTCTTTTATGTTATGTTCTTTTATGTTCTTTTATAGCTAGAATTACAAAACAAGGTCGACGCCGGGATTCGAACGACCTCTCGCTTAGCGGACAAACGCTCTACCTGACGAGCTACACTGACGAGTATTCCTTTGCCACCAGCGTAGGGTTTTATCCCTGACTGTCAATTAGAATCTTACCTGTATATGTTCTTTGCCAAGAAGTGTCGCTAGAAGACTCGCCGAGCTGGGACCCGCTTCACAGTCTCGAATTATCTCTTCTAATTGATCAGCGATTCCACAAAATCTGGAGATGATTGTGAATAGTTTCGAGTAAAACTGAAGCATATCAATATGTTGTTTTTTACCGATCATCTTTTGATGTTGAGACAATCAAGTTGTGAAGTGAACACGTCGCGTCTTCTGTTAAATGACCGTGACTCCCACTTCTATAACTTCAAATACAAATATTAGCGCTTTGAAAATTGAATATACTCGCCGAGCTGGGACCCGCTTCACAGTCTCGAATTATCTCTTCTACGTTTTAGATAAACGAATGAATTCTTTATCGTTTTATTTACACAAAATCTCTCTCTCTCACCGATTCGTGAGTTCCAAGTTTTGCTCTGTAATCGATTCAAGGATATTTTCAAGTGCTTTCATCCATTCTTCAAAATCATCTTGCATTCTAAAGAAAACATTCTTTCATTTATAGTTTTATTCAAAAAAAAAAAGTTGTGGAAAAGTTCTAGAAAAGAAGCAAGAAAAGGATTAAAAACAAAAAAAAAACCACCGAAAAATTCCCCATTTCTTACCAGTAAATACAGCTCGAAATTCAAAAAAGAATTCTTGGAATTTGATTGTCATTTTGATTAGTAAAAAGTAAATCTTTTGATTGAATGGAGGATTTTTTTTTTAAACTTTGAAATGAAGAAGGGAAATCTCGGTGGCGTCGCGGTTGTGCCGCGGTCATCAAACCTTTCAACGCCTCTCTTTTCACCCGGTTTACTGGGAGGATTTTGCATAAAAAATATTGATGAGTGACAAGAGATGAGGCTTAAGATTGGCTCTAGCTTCAAAAAGTTTCAGAAATGTATGATTTGAAAGAAATAAAATGTAATATTTATCCCAAAATACACAAAACAAGTTTGTGTACGAGTTGCGGTACTAGTTTTTACATAAAATGTCATATATCTACAGTACTGGACAATGAAATATCATATTTGAAAAACGATCATCACTTTCGCGCGCGCTGAAATGCGTCAAAAAAATACGGTATTTCTAAATATTAATATTACCATTGTGTAGCCCTTGAAAAGAGCTTTCAGAAAATGTAAAACACTAATAGTTTAAACTCAAAGACAAGGAAGTTACAGACGCGCGAACGTGCGAACGTGACGATCGTTTTTCAAATATGATATTTCATTGTCCAGTACTGTATCAAAATTCTATCAAATAGTAAGTAAGTAAATAAGCTAAAATAGTAAGTAAGTAAGTTTAAGTAAGTAAGTTTAAGTAAGTAAGTAAGTTTAAGTAAGTAAGTAAGTTTAAGTAAGTAAGTTCGAAAATTCTTTAGATCTTCAATCACAAAGTTCTCATCTAGGCAAGGAAAGCAAATGTTCAAGAGATTTTGAAATGGAAATTGTTGAGATTCGAAAAGAAAATCTTGAAGATCAAAAGGAGTATCTGTAGATCAGATGATGAAAAAGAGATTTTTTTGAGGGTAAATGAGAGTAATGAGAGTAAAATGACAAGATGAGCAATCAATCATCAGACATTCGATCATCAGCAGAGAGACGTCTTTCTGATGAGTTCTGAAAAAGAAAACTTTTCTTTGATCTTTGAAGATTGAGAATCAAAATTGATTCTTCTTACATTCGATGTTTCGGCCTCGATATCCATTTTCGACAATTCCCTCAATCTAGCAGCATGTTCTCGAATCGAATCCTCATATGTGGCCGGGCGTCTTCCTTTTCGTTTTGCTCTTTTCCATTGACGATCTTCAGGTCGTAGAATAATATTATCCTGAAGCTTTTTTTAATAATATCGTAATATCTCTAATAGTAGCGCCCCCCGCCCCCTCCCCCCTCCCCGTACAGTCGCGTAGTCTGACTCCTTTTTAGAAAATCAGTTCTTTCTCAGCTCCTAGATTTTTCCCTACTACACTTTTAGTACCAAAAAATACTAGATTTCAAGGGCTATTATTTGACACCCAAGCACACACTGTAGCATAAAGCGGCGCAGAGAACGGAGCGTGTAAAGTTAGACTACGCGGCAATACCCCGTCATTATGGGGGGCGGGCGCTACTATTAGAGGTATTATGGTAATAATTTAATAATTAATCTCTTTATCTTATCTTTAACGTTTCTATTTTACCTTGATTTTTTGACTGATTGTTGGATCTTGTTTGAAAAGGTTTATGTAAACGCCTCCAGGCGTTCGCTTTCTTGATCCATCTTGCACAAGAAGTCCACCATTTCCCTCCACCTCACGAGTTTTATCGAAAAGTTCGATTGCCTAAAGATACAGTTTTCTGAATCATTTTTTGCACAAACTTTTTCTCTTCCAATTGCTTTGATGATTTCGAGAACAATAAATGGCTCTTTTTCTCCTAAAGCCAACGCTATCTGAAAATGAGAATGGTCATTAGAGGAGAATTTAGAGGAGAATAATTACCTCGTCTCCAAGCCGATCAATACTCAAATCTTCATCGAAATTCATTGCAAATAGTTTTTGCAGAGAAAAATCTTCATCCAAATGTTTACTCGATTCTTTCTAAAAGCTCAAAGTTTTTCGTTTTCTTGAAATTATTCACCATTTCTTTGTAGGTTCGTTTTTCCCGAGATCTCCAATCGCTTTTTATCCGGTAGTCGGGCTTTTGCGTACCTGGCACTTGTTGATTATTGTCGAATATGTTCTACAAACCATCTGGAGATCTCTTCTTTGCATATTTTGAAGAAGAAAACTTCTGAAAATTTCTTTAAAATTCTTTCTTTCTAGATGAGTACCCTTTCATCGAAGCCGAAAGATTCAACTTGACTGAGATCAGCAGGGCCAGCAAATGGATCATCATCAGCTGGAGATACAGTAACTATGGGAATTGGCTAAAGGATTGCGTTTCGCGTCATTTTGCGTTTCAATCTTGCAATCTTCTCTTACCATTATTACTTCCTTAGGAAATGAGCCGGGCTTAACAGCCATGATGACGTCATTTGTGCCATCATCGGGTGCCATCGTTGTCTGATTTTTTGATCGTGGTGATAAATGATTTCCCTGAATAGATTTTCAAATGAAATTCAAATGAATTTTCGATTCCGCGCACCTCATGAGCGCCTGTTTCGAAAGATTCACTTCCTCGTTCAACCCGGAGATTTTCCTGAAAATCGATATTTTTTTAAAAAATCGTCTTCGTATGTTTATTATACCTCCATATACACAGATCCGACCCTGTCAAGTTCTTGCTCGAGTAGAACATCCGTCCAGATGGTATTTAACTTTCTAAATTTGAGATTTGAGTAAAACGCAATCTTGCTTATGGTTGAGCAAAGCCTTTCAACTAAATTCCAAATTCCAAAATGCAATTATCCCCCTCCTAAAATTACCGGGACTATGACGATTGCGCTGCAAGCCAAAAACGAAATTTGCGCCGTGAAGATTGCGCCACAAGCCACAAGCCACAAGACGAAAATTGCATTTAAAAACATGTATGGCGCAATCAGTCAATGCAATTGAGCTTAAATTCGATTCTGCGTCATCAAAAAAACAAGGTAAAGTCTCAATGAAATAACTCAAATCCTTCGCCACAAATTTCGCAGCGCAAAATTTAGCGGCGCAAAAAAACTTGCGCAAAATTTGGCAGCGCAATTTTCGCGGCGCAATCGTCATGGTCCCAAATTACCCAAGTACTAAATACATAGATTTCTAGGTCATTTTTTTCTTCCCCACTTTATCTTTCGGACTTCAGTTGTTTCGTGGCGCGGAATCTTGAAAACCGGCTCCTCATCATCGCTCGATATTTCACCATCACTTTTTTCTGTATTATAATATTTAAAACTTTCATTCAATCACCCTACCCTCTCTATTATCCCGATACATAAGCCGAAAAACTCGGCTTAAAAAAGTTTTTTTTTTGATCGCACAAAATCTGTGATCTAAATTTAGCATTATGTCAAACAAGCGAAAAAAAAAATCGATGAGTCCAATGAAAAACAAATCAATAAGAGGACATCTCGCTAAACAAACCCAGAGAATTTTTGTCGAATGAGAGATGAAAAGAGGCTGTGTCTGATTTCCCTAATGTATTCGTCTAAGCCGGGAATTTATTAGCCAATAGGTGAAAAAAATCTTCAGCCAACTCTCGTTCGTCCCTCTCTCCCCTTCATTTTCTCTCTTTTCTCCCCTTTCTTCACTCTATTTCTGCGTACATTCTAGGCCAAAATACGCTGTTTTTCTCTAGTTTGTACCTGCCATCAAGATTTCAAAGTCTCTAAATCAAGTTCAAGATTTTCGCAGTGAAAGAGCGATTTACGACTTATTTTTGGGGAAAGGTAGCTGATTTTTATCAAAGTCATTCGATACATTTATTAGCATTTTGTTAGTTTCAGTTTCATTTTTCTATTTACTTATTGATTTTTATTGAATAATTTTAGATGGTCGAATTCGGCTCATTGCTCGAGATTTCTGCATGGGATTTTGTTCTTCTATCGATTCTCGCCGTTCTCGTCTATCGATGGTGGAAACGTCAAAACACGCCCGATGTTGAACGACCCGTTGTGCCAAAGGTTCGCTGAATTCTTTCATACTTTTTTTAGCACAAAATTGCGACCATTTTTGATTGTTTATAACTAATCTATCGGTTTATAAATAATCTATTGAGCTTTACGGTCCAAAAGGTCAAAATTAAAAGTCGAACTTTTTTGGTTTAAAAATTTTTCCTCTCATCTTTGTGTTTTTTTGTGCATAACTAGGCATAGTAAAGCATAAAAGCTGGTTTTGAATGTATTTTGGCTTTGAACCGTAAAGTTCAACTTAGCTGAATTATTTAAGAACCATTTTTTTTATTCAGCACTTAATATTTTGCGTTTAGATTCCGCCGACCGAGATGATGGATTTGACAATAGAAGAATTATTGAAATACAACGGTACCACGGATCCACACATATTCTTTGCGCTCAATGGAACGGTAAAATTTTTGAAAGAGTTTTCGCTTTTGAAAATCGTTTTTTTTAGATATTCGATGTTACACGAGGAGCAAACTTCTATGGTCCCGATGGTCCATATGGCGCTCTAGCGGGTTCGTTCTCTCACTTGTTGTTTTTTAAAGTTCGATTAATTTATAAATTTAGGCCATGATGCCACTCGTTCGTTGGCGACAATGGATACTAAAGCCGTGAAAACAGAATGGGACAATTGTGACGATTTGACACCATCGGAACGGTTTGCTTTTAAAGATTTGTCTAAAATCTCGCACTGGTGTGATACTTTGTGCACATCTTGGTCTATCTTTAGATAAAATAAATTTCATATCATTTCAAAATAATATTTTTTATTTAAGTGATAGCGCAAATGAGTGGGAAGCAAGCTTCAAGTTCAAGTATCCGACCGTTGGAAAACTCGTCAAAAGCCAAGAGGAAAAGAAAGATTATGAAGGGAAAATAGCCGGCATCAATATGTAATTTGTTTTCGATATAATTACATATTTCTAGTTTCATTTTTTAGTGCCTTTGTGTTGATTTTTCTTGCGGGTAGAGCATTTCACTTAAATTTTACGCTTGAAATTTTGCTGATGCATCCATGTAGTATAAACATTTTCTCCAATGCTTTATCAGATTTAAATCACACAAGAAAGGTTTTTTTTGACCTTGCTATTTAATATTTTGTCAAGCATATGAAATGTTAATATTTTCCGTTTAGAAATGGCTTATATGTATCCATGCTTAATGCCAAAAGTGCCTACTTTTATGAATCAACAGGTTATTTCGAATGGTGCTACAGTCGACTCTCTCTAAAACGGAATGGAAGGAACCAAAAAATTTTTCCATTATATAGAGCTTTCCGTTATATATAGCTTAGCGTCGGCCGGAACTAAAATTCCATTCCGTTATATAGAGTTTTCCGCTATATAGAGTTCCGTTATAGAGAGAGTCGACTGTATTTTTCAAACGAAACTTTAGGAATGGGTTACACCAATTAATAATGTTACGGAAACATTGAAATTGATCGCATTGGAAGCGAAATATCGAGCTCAGGTTTGTATTTTTAAGTAAAAAAAATAGTTTTTATGTAAAATACCGTAAATACTGTAATAGTACCCCACCCCCATCATGACGGTGCGGAGTGTTGCGTAGTCTAGCTTTGAACGAGTTTTTCTCGACACTGGTTTATGCTACAATGCGTGCTTAGGTATCAAAAAAATAGCTCTGAATTTCAGCTATTTTTTGATACCAAAGACGCATTTTTGGAAAGTACGGGCGCTTTGAAAAAAATGAAATACTAAAAAACTTTTGCGACTACACGACTGTACGAGGGGGGTTGGGTACTATTACAGTATTTACGGTAAGTAAACTAAAAGCTATCTTTCGGTAAAATTTCATTGTACACTTTGCTTTAGGTTAAACCCACAGCAATGTCAGGAGTCCCAGAATCCGTGTGTGATCTTCAAGCGAATGAGGTCGAGAATGAAGACGAAACCGAACAATTTGGGGTGTAATTTTAAAAACAATTCTTGTTTTAAAATTGTTTCCACATGACTCATTTTTACGGGTAAACATGTATTTTTTTTTCTTGAATTTAATGTTTGTAGCAATTTGTTATACTGTATTTTTGTGACCATTAAAATTTTGATCTGATATTAATGATTGTATAACGGTTTGAAACCGAAATATCTAATGGCGTATCGTTCTTAAAATACCGTATTCTCCCTAATAGTAGTGCACCCTGAGCGTTGCCTAAATCTCGAGAACCGCTTATCAGAACCTATCGATGTGGGGTCGGAAAATGTAGCTGACGATGAGATCTTGTTGGGGATTAGAGCGTTGAGTTTCTTGGGAAAACTTGGAAACTGTAAAATAGGCATTAACTCGACTCGGCGGGGTGCACTACTATTAGAGAGAATACGTTATGCTTTATAATTATCGATTGCAAAGACAATTTACATTGTTCATTGCTAATAGCAATTTTTGAATATTTTGCCAAAGCAAAAGACCGCACATAGTAATCTAAATTTTTAGGTTTCTTATTTTCTCGATTGCTAAAAGTAAATATTCCCTAAAATGTTAACGACAATGCTCAAAGATCATCAACAAAAACAGCAACTACGACGAGAGCTTCAAGGTTTGACAGAATAAATGCAAAATTTATCAATTCAATTTATGCAAATTGCAGAAAAATACAAAAATGAAGCTGTTGTCGCAGCTCAAGATCTTTCATCTGCTGTCGTTGATCATTTAAATTCTCGGTAGGTCAACTATAAACTCACACAAAACTCAAAACTTTTCAGAGTCGCCCAGGCTTATCACAACCAAAAACGCTTGGATGTCGAGGCTAAAAGGTGAAAAGAGTCGCATGGAAATAGTCCAATAACGAGTGACAATTAAGATTTGAGAATCACGCCCAAACACTCACCAAACAGGTGGAAAATTGGCTGTCTCTGACGGATTCGCTAAATTCGGCTTTGAAAGTACTAAAAACACTCCAATTTCAATACAAAAATCTGTTTTAGGAAGTGGGCGATGTGGAGAATTGGTCGGCTGCGATTGAAAGTGACATGTCATTTATTGCATCAACGTTAAATAGAGTTTTTCAAGGTACAAAAAAAACAATCATAATCAATTCAAACTTATCAAAGTTGGCCAACTTTCAGAGTGCTCTCGAAGTGAAGCGCCTGGGACAAGCTGATGACCCACGGGACGATCTACCTCTCTTACATTCCAAATGTACACTAGTGTCATATCTAAATGTACATAATGTATCTATTTATCTATTTCTAAATAAATGTATACATTGTAGCTTCAAATACATGCCAAAATTGATAATGTACACTGTTTTTATAATTCTTTGTTGTCACTTCAATTTGTAGAGCTGTAAAGCTTCATTCGTGGAGTGCTCCGAGCAGCTTGTTTATGAGTGTGTGTGGCCCCCTCTCAACCAACGGTGGCCATTTTGAGAAAAGAGAGTCGCCTCCAGGGGCTCTGTCGTCTTGGCTGGCCGTCCCTCCGATCCCCCTTTCCAAGCAGCCCCATCCCCCACCCTTCTACTCCCCCATTCCTGTCCTGTCCCATCCCCCCTTCCCTCTAACACTTCATGATGCCGCTTTCCCCCCTTCCTCCGCTCTCTTGGCGGCGCCTCATTTTCGCAGAAGCGACACGCTTTCCCTCCCGTCCCTGTCGCCATTTGAGATGTTAGTGACCCGCTCTCTTTTCTCCAATCTTTTCCTCGACTTTCATTATCTTCCCCCCCTTCAACCCACTTGGGTAGTAATGTCTTTTGTTTGGAGTTACTGAGGAAACTGAGAATTCTAGTTGTTTGATCTGAGTTCAACTGGTTGCTAAGGCTTGGCGGTAAAGAATAGATGGCTTGGCGGTAAAGAGATAAGACAACAAGACAAAAAACAGTTTCCATTTGTATCTGATAGCACAACACCTTTAAAGGACGCTCAAAGGAAAGCTTTTCGAGCATATGCTTAAAGTCGTTCGAGAGTGGGTGTTGGGTTTCGATCGTTAGCGGGCTCGGAGTGAGAGAAGGGGGAAAGCAATCCATATGCAGAGGCGAGGCACGCACACTCCTCGTTGGTGCTGTGGCCGGGCGCACAGGGGGCGAATCACATCTGCTCTCCCCCTCCTTTTCCACCCCTCGATTGCTTACTGTCCCCTCCATTTTCCCCCCTTCTCATCGCCCCGTTCCCGCGCCGCTGTGACCTCTGCTGTCCGGCACAAGCAACCCTCCCTATCGCCGCCTCATAGCCCCATCCCAAGCGCCGAAACGTCGCCTCCGAATGTGCTCCACCATCACTTCCCTCTTTCCACACTTTTTGCAACACTAACACTTCCCCAATTTCTCTATCTGTTAACAGTTTTTGTTTATTTCGTTGATTTTGCCGCTATTTCTGTGCCCAGTCAATTATTCTAAATGCTTTTGGCGTTCTTTTCGCCTTTTTCTCTTTCTTTTCTTCCCCTTTTTGCAACAAATGATTGTTTTTCAACTAGAATTCCTGAAAAAAGGCATTTCCTTTGATAAGAATATATAATGTCCTTTTTAAAAAACTCCTTTTTAAGAAAACAACTTTTTCGAAAACACAGCTAGATATTAAGGAAACTTTTCATCACGTTTTAAAAGCAATTTTAAAAAAAGCAGTGTCAAATTTATCAATTTTAGTGACAGGACGAGGCATATCGATAGATTTTGAAAGGGAAAGAGTGTTTGTGGCAATGTATTGTTGGTGGCTTCTTGACTCCTCAGTTGTTATGTGCGGCTCAGCATACGAATGAACGTGTGTGTGTGTGTGTGTGAGCGTCAATAGGGAAGGGGCCGCCGCCCGACTGAGTGGTGGGTGCAGTGTTCCCCACTCTGCCGACGCCGCGAAATGAGCGGCGAGGGGCGAGCGGGGCGGCGATGGCGTTTCTCGCAACCCGGCGCCCGGCCTTTCTTTACTCGCGTGTGTGTGTGTGTCCACTCCGATGAATAACACAGTTTTCTTCGTTTTTATCTTCTTTTTCAACTTGTCGAAATTAACTCCAGAATGCCTTTTCTTTCTCTCAATTATCCAGAAATTAATCCTTTTGCAAGAGAATCGCAGAAATTGCCCTTTCCCTTTTTTCCTCAATCTCTTTCATTCATTGCACCATTTTTTTTGCTCTTTCGATTTATATTTCGTAATGAATTCTTCTTTTCAAGCGTTTTTTGATGTTTGTTTTTGATCTCACTTAATTCTCAATACTTTCTTCTAAAACCTTTAACTAACTTTGACCTAATAGTCTTCCCAAGATCCATCCGGGATTATCCATCTCATCGGCCACCCCATTGCTCGTTGCTTTCCCTCGTTGGCTGTCTCGTCCCCTCCCCCCTTCCACTCTCATCTTACATGTATACAGCATTGATGCTCTTCACATCTCTTTTCCCTTGCCCTAGTCTCCTCGGCCTCACGCTTCTTATGTCCCGTGTACTTTTCCCCGAGAGCCACTAATTCAGCCCGTCTCCAGCAGTGATGGTGGTGTGTGTCACTTCACTCGATAACGAGCGACTCGGCTCTCCTTCAGAAAGCTTTCCCTCGTCCGTTTACCCTCAAACCTTTCGCTTTTTTTAGCTTCTAAAATAAATCGACAATCGTCTCATAATCTCGACAATCTTTTCATCTTTTAACGCTAGTAGAAACAATTGTTTACAAGAAAAGGCAAGGCACGATGAGTCATTTTTGGAAAAAAAACTAAACTAGCAAAACTGAATTGACCTATTTGGTTTTTCTATGGAAACCCAGCAGGTGATGGTCTTTTATCGTGAAGAGGGCATGGATGGAGTGTTTGCAAGAGGGGATTGGGGTGGGGTGGCGGGAGTTGTCTTATTGTCCCCCATCGCCCATCATGCCCACACCACCCCACCCAGTCACCCCCGTGTCCCCTCCATCCCCCATCTCGTGCCCGTTCTTTTTTTGCCTCTTCTGTCGTGTCACTCGATTACGCATGGCGCATCGCTTTCTCCCCTTTAACACCTACCGAATTCGTTTTTGCTTTTGTGTTTTTTAGCAATTTCCTTTTCTTAAACATCTCTATTTTTAGTATTCTTTTTTCAGATATTACGGGCAGAGCCTTGGTGAAGCCTTTTCAAGGCGATGGCTGATCCAAATGCTCTTTTACGGTTGCTAGCCGCTCAGCAAATGATGGGACTTCAAAACTCACAAGGTTTGATTTAAAAACAAGCACAAATCTAATTAGATTGTTTGTTTGTTTGTGTTTGTTTGCTTGCACATGTTTTTTTGAAAATATTGAACACTAGATACTTTTTAGCTAATGCTTCCACAAGTAGTTCACGGGGAAATCAATCAAATGGGAATTCTTTGAGCAATCAATTGGCTGCTACAATGTCTGGATTTGGAGCTCTTAATCCCCAGGTTTAAAAAAAATAGAATTTTTTTAAACTTTAACCAATTCAGGCTGTCTTTTGGCAGAACATGTTATTGGCTCAACAACAACAACAACAGGCTCTTGCAATAGCTCAGCTTTTTCAGGTAATTGAATTGTACTTGATAATAAGTTGAATTAATTTAAAAAAAAATTGTCCTTTTAGGCTCAACAATCTAGCTCTCGATCTTCATCAAATACGCCAGCGAATTCCCTCGAAGAAGCACTGAAAAAGCTAGTAGCCGCTCAACAAGGCTCCACAAAGAAATCACATGAAAAGCCAAGTGAGTGATTTAAAAAGTTTCAAGACAAAGAATTTTTTCAGCTGGATCTTCGACAAATGGAAATGGCCATACGAACGGAACCAGCACAAGCTCGCCGGCAAAACTTGAACCTGGTGAAGTTCCCAAGAAAACCACTTCGGCAAAAACGTCAACTTCATCGACTCCATCGACAAAGAAGTCGACATCGGTTGGTTTAAAGCTTGCAATGATTTCTTTCTCATTCTTGAAATGATTAACTTTAAAAGCTTTTAGACATCAAATTTTCAGGCAGACTCACCATCGGGACTTGCCGCTTTTTCGAATTTGTTAGAAGCTTTCAAAGCGGGAGCGTCAACTCCATCGAACAATCTTGGAGCCTCGTCATCGGTGAGTGCAAAAGTTTTTTGTCTTATTGGGGCTTGATTATCTTAATCATTAAAAAACACGATAGAAGCACAAGAAAATGCACAATAAAAAGCCAACATTTCAGTCACAACCGCCATTGGCTCGTCTTTTCGAGAATATGAAGGGAAACAGTGGGTCGAATCCTTTCCTCGCCGGCCTTTCGAATCAACGTGACAACAACAATGCAATGTGGCAACTCCTTGCTCATCAACTCCGAAATTCCAATTCGAAAAGCAACAAATCGTCACAACAAACGTTTGTTTAAAAATTTTTTCTCTAATCAATGATGTTTAGACCAAAAGGACAGAAAGAAAATGGCTATAATTCTTCGAATTCTTTCCAAAAGACTCCTGATTTCTTCAGAAATGAAAGGGACTCCTTGACACCAGCAGATGAAGGTTTAAATAAGAAATTTAAAAGAGGAAATTAAGATTCTAGATAACCGACAAAGGAAACATGTGGTCACCGATGTGGAAGCGGTAAGGAGAGCGCTGGATAAAGGGTTGGTAATTCTTCAATTGAAATAAGTGCAAACAAAAGTGTATTTATTATAGAATATTGTATAATTTCAAAATTGCAAAGAAATCGGTTCAGATGGCGCCGACAGACATGCATTCGACAGCTGACAACTGCTGGTATCCGTGGCGATGTCGTTTACTATGCACCGTGTGGCAAAAAGCTTTCTACTTATGCTGAAGTGCTACGGGTAACAAATATTTAACATAATCTTCTATATCTTTCTTTAGTATTTACAAAGAGCTGGCCCAAACGAGATCACGCGAGATCACTTCTCGTTCAGTTGCAAGATGATCGTCGGCGAGTTCATCTGGTTCAAAACTGACAAGAACTCTGGAGAGAATGTAGCTAGTTAATCATACTTTAGATCTATACTAAATGAATGATATACATATAGATAAACTTTAGGCAATTGTAAAGTTATCCGAAGAAGAAGTGACGAATGAGCTGCAGAAATTGATGAAACCAAAGGCACCAAAGATTGTCCCAGAGAAAAGCCGAAAGCTAGCACAACCGCCAAAGAAAATCAAAGAAGAGGAGGAGTTTTTTGATCACGGAGAAGAAGTAGACAATTTCTGAATATTAGAAATTACAAGAGTTTTAGACTTTTGATGATATCGTTAGAGATGCGGATGAGGCAAAGGGAAGTCGGATTCCAGTTGATGATCTGTTTTTGGAGGAGATTCGAGTGGGTTTAGTTTCTATTAATGTTTCTAATTTCTAATTTAACCATTAGCATTATTTCGAGAATTTAGCCTTTACCAACACTGCCCAGAATCGAGAATTTGCATTTGAAAGGCGACGGTTTCGCGAACGCGTTGATGATTCACGAGTTTCTCCTCAATTTTCATCATGTCTTAAAAATCGGTAAATCTAGAAATATCAAATATACTTTAATAAAAATTCTAACGTAAAACTATTCAATTTTATTTCTAGAAAAAGATTTCCTTCCAACTCTGGACTCATTGTGCGCGGGTTTAGCCGGTGAGGAGTCCAAACAAGCAGTGATACTCAATGTTCGTTTTTTTTACTTTGAAAACTCTAGATTTTTGATTTACTTGATTTACATTAAAAAAAACCCTAAACTTTTACATAGTATGTCGAAATCGATAAAAAAAACCATTTTCAGCTGACAAAAACTCTTCTCTCGTTGGCTTTTGAATCGCCGGGTTTCCCACGTAAAGACAACGATCCTTTAAGGTAAAATTTAAAGCTATTAGAATAAATCTCTCCTAGATCCCTTAGTTCCTTTTTCTTCTTTCAAACATCACTCATTTTTATAACATGTTTTCACTTTGATTTATGAGTTCTCTTTTTTTCTAGGCAACAAGCTGGCGAATTGGAGTTATCGAGAGAAAATCTTTCCGAATTAATGCGAATGTGGCTTCAAACACGTGATAAACAAGGGAAAGAGGTGAAACATGAAAGAAAAAAGAAAATGATAATAGAAAAGTTTTTAGTTATCACTTTTACTCGAAACAGCTGCTTACGAAGAACTATCAGGGGAAAAGAAAGCGGATATTTTGGCGTACATTTGCAATGAATTGTTGTATTGCAGGTAGGAAATCAAGGATTTAAGAGACCAAAAACGATTTAGAAACATCATTCGAGAGATTGATTCGAATCTTGAAGAGATTGCGAAGCTTCGTGGGGAGCGTTGGATGAGAGAAGGAAAGGTGAGAGAGCTAGGAAAGTTTAAAAGTTGCTTGCTTGCTTTAAAAGTTCAAAACAACAAAAATTGTTATTATTTTTATCTATTTTAAGCGCTTAGCTTTTGACGTGGATACATAGGATCAAACATAACTAAAAATAACTTCAACAAAATTGAAATCTAGGTGCGAGCTTTGCGCGGTGTTCATACAAGAAAAACGAAAAAGAGAAAACAAGAGGCAAAAGCGACAAATGGAGAAAATGGAGATGTGGAAAGACCCGAGAGTCGAAATTCGATCAACAGTGATGGGTAAATTTTTGAAATACTTTAAAGATTGAACTTCAACTTTTAGCTCTCGTCCCGCTTCTCCAGCTAAGAAAACATTCACTCCTGGCATTGGACAATGTGAAATTCTGACAGCTGAGGTACAAAAAACCTGTTAACTTTCTAAACATAACAAGTTTCAGGAAGAAAACATGAATGTCGAGGAATTAGAGGTGTTGATCGATTCGTTGAATGGAGAAGCGGATCAAATCAGAAAGAACGTCAATCATATGTCGAATCGAGTGCGAACATTCCCGCTGGGACAGGATCGTTTCCATCGGTTTGCATTTAAACTGTAAATTGTGAAAAATGACGTATTATATTATAAAAAGCTAAAAGTCTCAACAATTATTGAGCCTTTTAGCTTCTTTTTATAACAAATATATTATACATCAAATTATTCCTTAATTTCCGCATATTAGACTCTATTGGCAACTGCCGAATGTGAGCGCAGTTTTGGTGGAAGGGGTGGAGAGTGCGGCGAAGAATAACGCGGCGGTGAACTTGACCGAGACTTGTCACCATGATCCGGCTGGTATCACCGAACCAAGCGATTTCGTCGATCCGGATGTGATTGCCTGCATTGAGGATACGATTGATTTGGTCAGTTGAAGGAAAACGAATGGATAAAGAATAAAGAAATGAGAAAAATGACTAAAAAGAAAAACGAAAAACGAATAGAAATGAATAAAGAATTCTAGGTGATAATTGGCGGTCGATTTGACAAGAAAAAGAAGCAGCGCAGACGTCGCTTGGAGAATGTCGCCAAGCGGGGATGGTGGACCGTTGATCAGTGAGTTTTCAGTTTAAAAATTAGAAAAATACTATAAAAAACTCTAGAAAGGAGAAACTTTGAATAAACTGTTCTAGAGCTTCATTGCGTCCTCTTCGCGAATCGCTCCATGGTCGGGGCATCAGAGAAAGAGCTCTTCATCGACTTCTGCTCCGCGAATCTTTCCTCAAAGAGCGACAATGGACCACTTGTATGTTAAAAATTTGACTTTTTTATTTGATCTTTTTATTTGACCACATAAGAGCTTTTTGAAGAGCATAGTTTATTGTGACAGTAATAGATTTGTAACAAAAACATCTATCGATCCTTTTTTTGCCGTCAGCAATTTTATGGTTTTTCGTCTTTTTCTCAGCATCAACCTTTCAAATTTGACTATTTTGACTATCATTCGATGCAGAATAAAATTGCGCGTCAAATGATACCAAAAGTACCTCAAAATATAATATCCATGCAAAGTTATGAGGCAAAAAGGTTAAGTCCCGCCGATAATGGGCGGGGTTTAGGTTTTTAGCCAACAACTTTGCATGGATATTATATTTTGAGGTAATTTTGGTATCATTTGACGCGCAATTTTATTCTGCATCGAATGATAGTCAAAACTGAAAGGTCGATGCTGAGAAAAAGACGAAACACCTTAAATTGCTAACGGTAAAAAAAGGATCGACAGAGGTTTTTTTAAAAGTCTACTGTGATGACTTTCAAAAATAAAACTTTAGTATCTGTCGAGCCGAAAAAGAAAACGGCTGACCCGGCAATCCTACACGCCGAGCAATTGTATCGAGCTGAGAGAGCACTGCGTGAGATCGAGAATCGTGTCTCCGATGCGTCTCTTCAAATACCCGGATGGAAACCACCACATGAGCCTTTTGATGAAGCGGAAGATGGTAAAATGGCAAACAAAATCCGATTAATTTAATTTGTTTTAGTGTCAAACGATAGCTGGACATGCCATGCACACCTTTTGGAGTCCGTCAAACCAACTCCAGCACTTGAAGATCTACGAATCCGTCTTTTGTCTTTGGAAGCAAACATTGAGCGACGCTATCTTCGACAAAACTTCTTTGCTGGGTACTTCTTTTTAAAATCTAAAACATTTAAAATTTTAAGATCTAAAATCTAACTTTAAAATCTTTTCATTTTAGAGAAAATGTGTCTGTTCGAAAAGTGATGGGAAAAGAAGAAGCTAATAAAGAACAATCAACGGAGAATGGGACAACTGAAGAAGTTGATGGAGAAGTGAATGGGACGACAAAACAACAAGGGACTGGGCAAGAAGACGAGGATGAAGAAGAAAAAGAACTGTGTGATATTTGGCGTCAAGCTGTCACTCAAGCACAAACACCGGCAACGATTGTCATCTGTGCACAGGTTTGGAACTAATTAAAAAATGGAGGAAAGAGGGTTTTTTTTTAGGTTTTCGAGCAAAGCATTGCTTGGGAAAAGTCGGCAATGAAAGCCGCTTGTCAGGTGTGCCGAACGTCCGACAATGAAGATCAATTGCTTTTGTGCGATCTTTGCGATCTCGGATATCACTTGTATTGCTTCAGGGTAGGCTTTTGAAGAGTTTAACTACAGGGTTTTCAAGAGTTATGAGAACCAATAGGTCACTAGGTTTAAAGTTCGTTTTGTACAAATCTAATTTTCAGAAGGAAACAAACATATCAAACACATATACTTTAACAAGTTTAAGTCACTTTTTTTTAAAATTATTACCTTTCGCGTTGATATTTTGTCTAGAAACTTGAAAGAAACAAAAATGAAATATGATTTCAACATTTTTAATATCGCATAAATTTGAAAACTGATAAATAATGAAGAATTTTTTATTATTAAGCAAGAATAACTAGATCTTGTCTCTTTAGGGGTAATTTAGTAATTGAGTTTCAATGAATCGATTTTTCGCATAACAAATTGAGTAAACAGTTGAGTAAAAATAAGTGAGCAGAACAGAACATTGTGTAATTAAGATAAATTGAGTAAAAGTAAGTGTCATGTTTATCCCAACTCTGTAATTCAGTGCTTTCTTAATGATTTTTTCATAAAACGATTTTCGAAATGCTAAACAGCCTTTAAACTCAAAAGTCCCCATAAATATTGAACGCCCTGTAAACAGAAAATCAGTTTTGATCGTTAACAGTAATATTTTTCAGCCAGTGTTGAAGCAAGTGCCAGAAGGAGAATGGTACTGTCCAAAGTGTAAAGAGGCCGCCTCGGGAAAGCCAACCTGTCTTCTTTGTTCACAGCAACGTCTCCCAATCTATGGCTGTCAGAAATGCTTCTCATTTTTCCATGTCGATTGTGCTGGAGAGGTTCCACCCGAGAATCCCCGGCAGTATAAATGTACGACGTGTGGCAATCGAAAGGTAGTTTTTTGATATTCTTGAGACAATATATTTTAGTATTTTAGTAAGTTCAGTACAATTTACGCGTTTTTAGAAAACGGTTCGCGTCCTTGAAAGAGACTGTGAATCGAGGGCCACCTCGGAGACGGGTTCCGACGATTTCTTGAATCAAAAGAAGCCTGTGAAGCGAAAAGCAGCCACTGATACCCTCGTTTTCCCACATTCAATGGTCGCTGACTTGTCTAGGTAAAATAAAATCAAGAATCCAATTATCAAATCAATTTAGAACAATGCTTGACGAGCTCGAAGCTCAGCAACAAGCCGGTCCCTTCATGGAGCCAGTTGATGAGGATGAAGTGCCCGGGTATCGAGACATTATCAAACATCCAATGGATATGCAAACGATGAGAGATAAAGCCGATGCGGGAAGGTAAAGCTGATAAATTTGGATTGGAAAGGACTAGAGTTTTATTGAAATTTTTAGCTACAACACTCCTGAGGATTTCCATGCCGATGTGGAGCTGATGTTCACGAATTGTCGCACTTTCAACGAAGACGATTCGCCGATTGGACAAGCCGGCATTCAGCTGCACAAATTTTTCTCGAAACGCTGGAGACAGGTTTGAAATTGTTTTGAAGGACAAGATTAATATTAATACTTTAAAATCCGATAACTGAATAGCTGAAAATTTTGTACGAATCAAAACTTCTTATCCAAGTTAAATGGCCATCAAAAGTTTTCCAGGTTCGCTACAACTTCTGCAAGCGTCTCAAGCGAATGAAACCTTCTTACTAAATTTCAAGTGCTCCGAATTGTTATTTATATGCAAATAGTCTTCATTTTTTCTCATTCTGGAACAGTTAACTTTCCCACTTAAATCTTTCACTCGATCACGTGACACTGCACATTTTCTTGGGTTATCATAATTTATTTTGCGACTTGTTGCGATTACGGTAAAATAGGGGCACAATTTAGACATTGATTTCCCCGATTGCAATCAATTTTCTCCGTGTTTCTTTTTGCGATCTCGATTCCGCTATTTTTTCCTCAATTTTTTTTTGCTTTTGTCTCTTGGGTTGTTCAGGATGAAACCGGTGACTTCTTCTCTTCATTGTGTTTTTAAATTTTTCAAATACCAAATGGAAAAACGTTGATAGGCTTTATTTTTATAGAAACTACGAATTTTAAAGTTTACAAAGACTATTGTCGTTTTTAAAGGAAAGGGGAAAAGGGTCGGGATCAATGATGTACTTGATATAAATTCACTTAAAAGTACTGGAAGTCTAAAGTCATTACCGTATTAGACATGTTCAGATATTCACTTTAATGCCTGAGCTCTACTCAAGGGTACTGTGGTGTTCTACAACTACAGATCCTCGAGTGAGAAGTAGCAGTCACTAAGACTGAATATCTTCTAGTTTATTTAAAGAGTTTGAAAAGTCTTTAGGCTCCTCGGCTGAATATCTTTTATTTTATAGTATAAGGAGTAAAAGATTTAGAATTGAAAAAAAGAGATTTTAGATTTCTAAACCCTTTCCCTTTTCGCTAGGTTTTTCCCTTCTCCTCGCTTCCCTCATTCTCAGTTTCTTTTTTTTTTTTGCTACTGGTCTATTTCTTTATTTTTCTTTACTCATTTCTTTATTATACGATATTATGTGATAATTGCCGTTATTTTTTGGCCTAACAAGCAAAACGCATATTTCCAGGTGTACCCTTTTCCAAGCTTTACGTGCCCATTCCCGTTTTGGTATAAAATTTTGGGGATTTTTCAAATACAAACTTCAAACAAGTGCTTTATTTTTGATAAAATACCAAATATTGAAACTTTATCAGCAACAAATAAAGCTAAGGAAATATTCAAAAAAGAAAAGAGAAATTCAAATATTTCTCACAACTTTAGGATAATACTGGAAGAGAAAAAGGATATTTTTTTTGTCCTACATTTCTTTTCATATAGATTTTCATTAAAAAAACTACAGAAATCAAACTGTCCCGCTTTTGTTTTACTGAAGAAGAAAAAAAAACGATTCACACAACCTGTAAACACAAAGAAAAATGCACACTAAAACCTGGCTAAAGAAAAAAAAAAGAAAAAACTAAAATGAAACCACTTTTGAATTTTTGAACTTAATAAAGCTGAAAAAAAAACTTTTCAAAAACTTTTAATAGACTTTGAAAGAACACGAGAATTTTTTTTTTTATAGATTATGGCCCATAAGTGAAGAGAAATCACAAAGGCAACAAAAAAAATGGGTTGTTTTTTAGAGAAAGAGAGATAATTTACAAAGAATGAATTAAATCAATTCAATTTTCATCAGAAAACCTCCGAAAAATGCACATTCATCCACCGATTAGGCATCGATTTGTTTCCTGAAAATATAGAGCTCTTTTCTTTGTACTTTGTGCTCACTAGTGGAAGGAAAATGTACCCTTTCTAGTGCCTTTCTTGTTTTTCTTGTACTTGTACTAGAGAACTCTCAACGAATCAAGTACGCTAGAAAGGGTTCGTTTGAGACAAAGTACAAAGCACAAAGCAGCTATAGAATTTTTTCAAAAATTCATGTTTTAAAACCACCATTAGCATGGAAATCAATTTCAATAGTTCTTACCGTAAATAGTACTGTAATAGTATTTTTTTAAGCTATTTTTTGATACCTAAGCGCGCATTGTAGCATAAAGCATTGTAGCATAAAGCATTGTAGCATAACTTTCTTCTAACTCGACCAATCTTTATAATTTTGGTTTAATTTTGTTGCACTTATTGAGATCTACAAAATGAGACCACAATCATAAAGATTGGTTTACTTAGAGGAAAGTTATGGTGAGTTGCGCAAAGGACCCAGTTGCCGAAATTAGCCGACCCCATAGAAGCTCTAGGCTTTTATTAGAATAACCTACCGTAAATACTGTAACAGTACCCCACCCCCCTCGTACAGTCGTGTAGTCGCAAAAGTTTTTTAGTATTTCATTTTTTTCAAAGCGCCCGTACTTTCAAAAAATGCGTCTTTGGTATCAAAAAATAGCCCTGAATTTCAGCTATTTTTTGATACCTAAGCGCGCACTGTAGCATAAACCAGTGTCGAGAAAAACTCGTTCAAAGCTAGACTACGCAACACTCCGCACCGTCATTATGCGGGTGGGGTACTATTACAGTATTTATCGTAGCTTTTTTTTTCTCCTTTTCACTCACCGAATATAGGCGGTGACAACGCGGAATGGTCGCATTTCGAACTCAAGATACGTGTCTTTGTCCAATTTCACCTGATCTCCATCCATTCGATTCAACAAAGTCACACAACAGATTGCTCCTGTGAAAATTAGTAATGATTTCTCACACGCCCCCGTTTGCCGCCATGGACGACTGGCTAAGAGCCTTAACCAGTCGATCTTAGTCAAGAGGTCAAGGTTTCAATCCCGCCCTAGATCGTCGGTTCTTTTTCTCATCGGTTCTTTCGGCTCTCATCTTATAGGGCTTTTTTCTTCCCTACTTTTGTGCTTGTGTATTGTTTTTATTTGTGTGGATAGATGGAAATAAATTCGTGAATATTTGTTTAAATAAATTCGTCTTTTACCTTTCACTCCGGCTCTTAACAAAGTCGCGGAAAAGCACGTGCTCTCCATCTCAATATTCCGAACGCCAAGCGATTGCAATTTACGCAAAAAGTCGAACTTGTCCTCACTCTCGTAGTTGCAGAAGAAGCCATCAAGTCGCATTTGACCTTTAAAATGGCTTTATACTTGAGGATTTTCGGCTGGCTTATAAATGGTTGATAGCGGTAATGATGGCTTATACAAAGTTAAGTCTATTTGAAGAAATACTATTCATTTTAGAATTTGAAGCGTTTTTAAAGATTTTCTAACTGATCTCACCCTCATAGAAATCATCAGCGCACAGGGTTTTGCCTTGAGCGTGCGGGATGTCGAGATGAGCGGCCGATTGAGCCAACTCGGCTCTCATTCCCTCATCCAAATGGGTTTCCCGTTCAACCTGAGTTCATTGTATTGTATTGTATTTTATTTATTGTATTTTATGCTTATTTTCTTTTTAAATAAACCTACCGTAAATACTGTAATAGTACCCCACCCCGATAATGACGGTGCGGAGTGTTGAGTAGTCTAGCTTTGGGCGAGTTTTTCTCGACACTGGTTTATGCTACAATGCGCGCTTAGGTATCAAAAAATAGCTGAAATTCAGGGCTATTTTTTGATACCAAAGTCGCATTTTTTGAAAGTACGGGCGCTTTGAAAAAAATGAAATACTAAAAAACTTTTGCGACTACGCGACGACGCGACTGTACGAGGGGGGTGGGGTACTATTACAGTATTTACGGTAGTTAAAGTCAGAATTTTAGGCAAAATTTATACATTAGGCTCTTCAGAAAGTCTTTTTTTTCGTTCCTTTTCGCAATTGCCGTTGAAAAATAACAAATATTCATCAATTAATCCAAGATTTTCTCTGAATCTTGTTTATTGCTCAATTTCCAATCTTTTAAAGTTAATTTTGGCTCACTTACAAGCAAATTCAAGAGAGAAAACACAAAAAGTGCGAAAAAATCTCTATTGACTGAATGAATTCCGCTCAAAATTTAGCCATGTACCAAACTTTTTATGCTCTATCTTTTAGCTATTGATCGAAAGATGGGTTGTTTTAGCTAAAGTGTCTAAATCGTATCATCATCGGCTCGACTACTCGACTTCAAGCTCTTCAAGCCTTCAAGCTCGACTTCAAGCCTACAAGCTCGACTTCAAGCTCGACTTCAAGCCTTCAAGCTCGACTTCAAGCCTTCAAGCTCGACTTCAAGCCTACAAGCTCGACTTCAAGCCTACAAGCTCTTTAAGCCTTCAAGCTCTTCAAGCTCTTCAAGCTCTTCAAGCTCTTCAAGCTCTTCAAGCTCTTCAAGCCTTCAAGCTCGACTTCAAGCTCTCCAAAAACATCTAGACATAAGACATTTTAAAAACCGTTTTAATGTTATTTTACAGAAAAATAATTGCGATTTTCTAATGAAATAAACCATAGATTAATTGATTTTAAATGGACGTACGAAAAGAAACGAAAAGACTTTCTGAAAAACGAAATCTGTACCCTTTCACCGGCAATCCATTGAACATATTTCTGCTTGAGCTCTCCATTTATCGCTCCATCCGAGATCACGACTGTACCCGGGGCCACACCAACTCCACCTATATTTTATAATAGAAAAATTGAAACAAAACAAAAACCCCTTACCGCTTGTTCCCAATCGAATAAACGAAACGTCTTTAGCACCGGCGTAGGCGAGCATTTTCAGTGTCTCATTAAGCATAATCGACAGCGATGGGGCACCGATTCCATGCTAAACTCTTTATTATCAATTTTAATCCATTTTCAATTACATTTATCCATAAAACCGGTCCCGTTTTGTACACAACGTAACGATCGGAGAGTGCGAGATTCTCCGAGCATGGGAGAGCGGTTTCTTTTGAGAAAAGCTTTGCATATAGCTCGAATCGATGTGCTGATCCGCCCGTGCAAACAAACTAAACATTTTTTGTTTGTGAACTTTTTGGAAAACAAAGAAAAGAGAAAAATTGAGGGTTACTATTGGGTTGGTGAATTGAAAACTGCCGGCTATTGTCATATGTGACAGTTTGAGCACTTTCTTCAAAAGAAACCCATTTTGGTGTCAAAGGAAAAGTTGTAGAGAATCAAAAATCAAGCTTATATCCAAATTTTCAGAACGATTCAAAAACTGCTTTTCAAGAAATGCCAAATTTACGAATTTTCACAAAGCTTGCATTTTAAGCGAAACTACTAAGTGTATCTTTTTGGAAATTTGGCTATAAACCTCATTTTTGATTCTCTACAACTTTTCTATTGACACCAAATTGGGTTTCTTTTGAAGAAAGTGCTCAAACTGGGACATTCCTTCATTTTTGAGTCTCCAGTCCTCGATTTTTGAGTCTCACACTTGTCTCACACACAAACCAAAATCTTACCACGAAAGAGGAATCCGCAATTTGTCTGTAAAATGGGCAGAAGTCGTCAATAATAATGGAAACTATTTGGAATGAATTAATAGTTTTATGTTGAATAAATTTTAGTTCAAATTCCGACAGTTTTCAATTCACCAACCCAATAGTTGATTGCAGTCATTCTCGTTTCTTTCCATTAAATATCATCTTGAGTAAATTTTATGAGCCTAATTTTTGATTCTCTACAACTTTTCTATTGACACCAAAATGGGTTTCTTTTGAAGAAAGTGCTCAAACTGGGACATCTCCAGTCTTCCATTTTTGAGTCTCACACTTGCCTCACACACAAACCAAAATCCTACCACGAAAGAGGAATCCGCAAATTGTCTGTAAAATGGGCAGAAGTCGTCAATAATAATGGAAATCATTTGGAATGAATTCATGGTTTTATGTTGAATAAATTTTAGTTTAAAGCTCGGCAGTTTTCAATTGACCAACACCAATAATTGACTTATATAGCTTAACAAGATCAACTCAATAACTAGACTTGAGTTAAATAAAGTTAAATAAATAACTAGACTTGAGTTAAATAAAGATTAAAGTCCGGCAGTTTTCAATTCATCAACCCAATAGTTTTGAGAAGTTTCTCTTTAGACTCACTTTCACATCAGCGAACTGAGCGAGATCTTTCGTGTATTTTCCAAAGCCAAAATGATAAAGAAAATCGTCTTCAGCCGCGTTTAAATGGTTATTGTGCAAGAAAACGGACATCTGGAAAGTCAAAACTTTCAAAACTGTTAAAGTATAAAGTAAAAGTCGAATAAATGAAGAGTCGAGGTTTGATCTTTAGGCTCAATGAAAACTGGGAACGGTATCTTGGATACAAAAAAAAAGAGATGAGAAAAACGACTCAAAGTGACAATGAGGAAAAAGGATTCGATGAAGGGGCGTGAAGTGAGGGGAAGGGGCAATAAATATTCCAGAGATTGCATCTATCTCCCTTTTACACCCCCACTATCCTCTACCTATCCTCCATGGACCTATCTCTCCCTCCGTCCCCCCCTTCCCTCCCATTCTCGCAGTCTCATGCCTGTCCTCCGATTTTTTGAGAGAAATCCAAACACCCCGGCGCTCTTTCTTGATCTTTTGATTAATCTGTCTACAGACTTCTCTTTAATCTTTCTTTTTTTTTGCTTTGCGCGCAATTAAACGGAAGAAATTCGAAAATTCGGTACTTGATTTGAAAAGATTTACAAAATAACAAGAAAAACAAGAAAAACAAGAAAAACAATTGAAATTTAGTAATTGATTTGAAATGTTTAATGTAGAATAAGATTCAGCGAGAGAATCAAAACAAATTGACACTTAGAATTCTTTCTGACAAGTAAAAGCGTTTAGTGATGGAAAGTAAGAGGTGAGAAAAGAAGGAGAGTTAGGAGAAGAGGTCTAGTCTTTTTTTTTCGCTGTCGGGACATCGATTCTCGGAAGGGAAAGGGGGAAGCGGGAAGGCGCTTCTTCATACTCTTCTCTCTTTTTTTATATCAAACACATATAAACAAACGATTCATAGGCGTTCGCGGTGGGATGGCTTTGAGAGAACAAAGAAAACCATGCATTCCATTCTTTTCAAATGAAATTCTTTGAAAAACAGTACAGAACAGTGTCAAGTTCTAATAAATTCTTAATTCTTCATTTTTCTAGCTTTTTCACTCTTTTTCGATGATCACTAACAAGAATTGAATAAGAAATTTTGAGGTTAAGGGAAGATATTAAATATTTCTCATTGTTAAAATCAAGCCGATGGTAACGATTTTTGAGATGGGCAGGGAAAGAGGGTTTGTCTCATCGCCCGAAAATCATCACTTCGGTAAACGAAGCACTCACATTTCACAGTGAGCCATCGAGCTCTTTGACGTAGACGCGTGGAGAGGTTTTCCTTTTTTTAAGGAAGAAAAGAGGGGACTGAGACTGGGCCCAATCAACCCCCAGATATCTTCATTCCCCTTCTCAACTCATGCACACAAATAGAAACCCCTCTTCTCTTATACTTGATTGGTCAACCACGTGGTTCCCTTTGCAGCATACGTCACTTAAAGATCGATCATTTAAGTTAAAATTTGAGCAATTTTTTTTTCTTTGCTTTTTGTTTCCCTTTTTGAAATCCGTAATTCACGCATTAACTAGTGTAGAATCTTAAGTAATTTTTAGTAAAACTAAGTAAAACGATAGAGGTTTTTATTGGATTGGATCGATCTGATCCATTAAAAACCTCTATCGGATCGATCTGATCCATTAAAAACCTCTATCGGATCGACCTGATCCATTAAAAACCTCTATCGGATCGATCCAATTCAATAAAAAAACATCTATAGGATCGATCTGATCCATTAAAAACCTCTATCGGATCGATCTGATCCAATAAAAACATCTATAGGATCGATTTTAGCAGCTAGAAAACTCTAAAAAAAGCACAGGAGAAGTAAAATCAAACCGCCTTTGATCTTTTCAAAAAAAAAAGAAAGAGAAAAGCAGTGAGTGAGCAGAAAAAAGAAAGGCGAAATCGAATGTTTTGTTTGCTAATGGATTCAGTGATCTCAAACTCTGAAATGGATAATTGCTTCGGATAAAACGAAACAAAATATCGATCAAAAGAGAAAATTCTTCTTAAACATGAAATAAGCTGGATGAAATCACCGCGAATCTTTCGAATTTCTCAGATGTATGTACTATGGATCAACAAAAATCACCAAGAATGTAAAAAAAGAGAAAAAAAGTTGAATGTAAATCACTATTTCTTTTTTTTCACAAAGCACTATCACGTAATTAAACCGGCTTGATAAGGTTTTATTGCTGTTGCGAGATCGAGAAAAAACGACGAATTACCGCGAAAAACGAGAAAAAAGGAAGCACTTCATTATTTTTATTCATTGAGAGGATGCTTTCGAGAGGAGAAGCGATAGATCGGCTTTTGATTTTGAGAATTGCGGTGGGAAAAACGGTGTTAGTTGTTTGTAAATTACCTTCCTACTGATAGTACTGTATACTGGCCATCAAATGGATTGAATACGGATTATATCGGATCCGATTGCCTCGGATGATAATCTGATCCGTTCTGAGCCAATAAAAATCTCCATCAGATCGATCCGAGCCGATAAAAGTCTCTATAGGATCGATCTGATCCAATAAAAATCTCTATAGGATCGATCCAATCCAATAAAAACATCTATAGGATCGACCTGATCCATTAAAAACCTCTATCGGATCGATCTGATCCAATAAAAATCTCTATCGGATCGATCCAATCCAATAAAAACATCTATAGGATCGATCTGATCCATTAAAAACCTCTATCGGATCGATCCAATCCAATAAAAACATCTATAGGATCGATCCGAGCCGGTAAAAACCTCTATAGGATCGATCTGATCCATTAAAAACCTCTATCGGATCGATCCAATCCAATAAAAATCTCTATCGGATCGATTTGAACCAATAAAAGCCTCTATCGGACTGAATCCGATCCGATTCGATCCGATCCAACAGAATTTCTGCTATAATAAACATACAGTTCACTGCTAAAACCTGAAAATATTCAGTCAAGAGACTGACTATCTTAAGTATTAAAAATGTCTGGTTTTGAATGCAAATTTACTTGGCTTGGATTTGACTTGGTTTTCATTGACCTATCAAAACCCAGCCAAGACAGGCTTTAGCTTTGGCTTAGCCCTTAGCTTTTAGAACAGCCCTCGTTATGGCTCACACACCAAAAACGTCACTTGATCCCAGCCCATTATCAAATCATTTTTTCGTTTCAGTTTAACTAGTTGAGCTTGAGTTTGTTGAGCTGGAGTTTGTTGAGCTTGAGCCTGTTGAGCTGGAGTTTGTTGAGCTTGAGTTTGTTGAGCTTGAGCTTGTTGAGCTTGAGCTTGTTGAGCTATCCACCTTAAAAATCAGTTTCTCCGCTTCGAATATCTTCTAGCTTGTCAAGTTTGACAATTATTCCAGATGTTTATCAATCGACCACTTTTCGGCATCATAAAATCGATAATCGACGTGATTTGTTGACAATTACAGCAAAAAGAAAAACATCTGACAATGAGACACCGAAAAAGGGCGACTAGTGGCAGAAAGTGTTGTTGATCTGTTCTTTTTCATTAAAATTTAGATCAATATCGATTTGGATAGTCTGAAAGTGGAAAAGAGTCGAATGTAAATTCCTTTTCTCTTCTCCACCTTTTCACAACTTTTTCTTTTTTCCTATCTCTTTTGCTTTTCCGAGTGATTTCCCCTCATGTGCTCATGCCTACAAGCTACACGACTGGCCGTTCAGCAACAGTCCATAGAAATAGTAGGGAAAAATTTTTCGCATTTTTCCGGCTCTTTCTGCTTCTCCTTTTTTTTTCTTTTTTTTTGTTGATGTCGACAAATAATCAAATAATTTATTCCACAAATACTATTTTTCTTTTTTTTCTCTTTTCTCTCTTTTCTTTTCTCCTCCTTCTATTCCCCATCGAAATCAATCGCCAATCCGCATTCAAATTCGCAATTTTCTTCTCATTACTTTGATAAAAAACGTTTTTAAAGATTTTTAAAGATTTTCCCGTTGATTTCTTAATCATTTATAACTTTTTTTTATGAAATCGATTATGTCGATCGATTATGAAATCAATTTTTAATGATGTTTCAATGAGATTTTCGTCACATAATGTATTATGAAATCAGGCGGATTATTTTAAAAATTGTCATCCTTTTCTTCTTTTTTTTTAAAATCTAAATCTATTACTCATTTTTTTCAGACTTTGGAAATCGAACCTAAACGTCTTCTTTCTTTCTTTTTTTTTGTAACAAACAATGACTGATAAATCGTATGGAACGCGAGAGAAAGATAACACGGACAGAGGGGCTAATGTAAGTTTACAAGAAAAAATAAAGAATGAATAAAGAATGAATAAAGAATGGAAAAAAGATAAAATAAAGAATAAAATAAAGAATAAAATAAAGAATATATAAAGAATGAATAAAGAATAACTAAAGAATATATAAAGAATATATAAAGAATTTATAAGGAATGAATAAGGAATGAATAAGGAATGAATAAAGAATAAAATAAAGAATAAATAAAGAATAAATAAGAAATTTTCTTATGTCTTAATGAATTTAAAAATATTAAGTAATAAGATTTTATTGAATAAATCGTAAAAGTTTTCAGTCAAACGAGGCGTTGGATGGGATGAACGAGAATCAGCTTCGGGAGCTTCTCGAGGCCGCTCTTGATTTTCAAGTGAGCTTTTTTTAAGATAAGAAAACGTTGATTTCCTTGTAAAGTGTGTATCTAACAATATTAAAGAATGTTATTGCAATTGGGAAACTTTCTTTTCAATCGTTATTGATTCAAACACTTAGCCCTAGCTATAGGATCTTCATTTAGGCCAAGGACACCTTAGTTATCACCAAAATTTACAAAAATAGCACTATTACATGCTAGAAATGTATTAAAATCTCAATTTTTAACTTGCTAGCACTTTTTTGATCTCTAATTCTGATATAGAAGTGAAAGAATTAACAAGAAAAAGTAGATTTCAAGAAAAAGTGCTAGAGAGGGGATTGAACCCTCGACCTTCTGCTTTCTAGCTGATCACTGCTTAACCACTGCGCTATCCGTTACCTTAATCTGTCGAGAGAAAAAGAGAAACACAAGGGAGAAGAAGAATGAAATAAAGAAATCATTTTTGATATTATTTCCATTTCAGGGCGAAAAAGACATCAAGGATCCCAAAGTGAAAGACGTTTACAACGAGGAAAAACAAAAAGCTGATAAAGAGCTTCAATCAGGTTTGGGAAAACTTTTAGAAAATAAGGCCTTTTTAAACATTTTAGCCCGAAAAAGTCTCCAAATGGATTATCCGCTCGCCAACTCTCCCACCCCGACTCCGCCTGTACCCAAGCCACGCCGGTAAGTTAAATCAGCATATCAGCAATGCTATGTATCAACTCCTAAGCTTAAGCTTTAAAATAATATTATAAAGCTATCATTTTTGATAATAATTCTATAATTTTCAGCAAGTTTAACGAGCCTGGCACCGATGAGTTGATCAGCGCATCGAAAGATCGCAAACTTGAACCAGCACACAAGTCAGTTTAAAACTTCAAAATATAATAAGATTTAAACAATATAACAAAGTTGGAAAGTTCCAAATCAAAAATATGAGAATGGATATATGCTTTTTTTGAAAAACCGTATTCTCTCTAATAGTAGTGCAGCGCACCGAGCCGAGTTGATGACTATTTTACGGTTTCCAAGTTTTCCCAAGAAACTCAACACTCAAATCCCCCACTACATCTCATCGTCAGCTACATTTTCCGATCCCACATCGATAGGTTCTGATAAGCGCTTTTCGAGATTTCGAGCAATTTAGGAAACGCTTAGGGTGCACTACTATTAGAGAAAATACGGTATTTAGAGATTTCGAAATTTCAAAGAAAAACTTTCTGCGATGAGTCAGAGGAATAAATGACCACATTTCACTGTCCTTGACTATTTTCTTCAAGATTAGAAAAATTCCTTTTTAGAACAAACTCTACCACAGCAAAGCCGATCAGCATATTCACGTGTGGCAATCAGGAAACATATGTAAGTCTGTGAATAAACTAAAAAAAAAGCAATCAGTAAAGTTTCTCGTAATGTATCAAAATGTAACTCTTACTTTCAAAATAAGTCTTTCAATTTAGGTAAAAGAATTCTGTGATTGGGATGCGGATGATGAGTCGAGCAACTCGAGCGACTCAAAAAACAACACAAAACGAGTTCACATACCTGAACATCCAAAGAAAACCGACAAAGCAGTCCCGCAAATCTTCAGCCAGCTTCGTAGGTTTTCTAACAGAATTTAAAGCAGACTCTTCATTCAGCCCAAAGTCACGAGGAAATTCACCCGAGATTTATGAATGAGACGAAAAAGGTAAGCTACCACAAACCCCATCCTATAAGAGAAATATTGTAATAGAACTGCAATAGGAGCGTCGCGTACAGTTCTAGTACAAGCAGTTTTTCAAAATGCAAAAGATTTTCGCTCCTGGGTAGGTTCGAACCACCGACCTTTCCGTTAACAGACGAACGCGCTTCCGATTGCGCCACAAGAGCAAGTGGTTGAGAGGAGGATTTAGTTGGTTAAATAGGAGACGACGCTTGTATAGCTATTGTTAAAGTATGCCGTTATTGAAAGCAATAGATATATTGGCGCCGTCTCCTATTTGAGCAATTAAATCCTGCAGGCGAACACCTGCTCTTGTGGCGCAATCGGCAGCGCGTTCGGCTGTTAACCGAAAGGTCGGTGGTTCGAACCCACCCAGGAGCGAGAATCTTTTGCATTTTTAAAAAACTGCTTATATTATAAAGCATATTGTATTGAACTTAAATTCCAGAACAAAATGGAGTTCGATGAAGTGGACGATGGAGTGGCTAATATGAACAACAAACTTCTCGATATAAACAACAAAAATGAGGAACAGGGAAATGTGGGACTTTTCGGGCTTTTCAAAGATAGCAAAGAGATTCAGCTCGTTGATCGAAAGAAATCATCAAAAGGAAACGACCCTTGCAAAGATGATCCAGAAGAGGTTTGTGATAAGAAGATATTAAAGAATCGAAAGTTTTGCTTCAGTTTGAGCTCCAAGAAATCAATGAAGAGCATCGAGATACGGGGTTGAAAATTTTGGTTTTGAGTGGAAGTGATGGTGGGAATGATTCTATATCGGAGGTGAGCTTGGCTACAAAAAAAAATTAGATTTTTAAAACTAACTCTTGCACAAGTGTTCTAAACAATGATTGTTAAGATAATATAGATGATTAAGATAGGTTAAGTAATCTTTTAGCTAAATCTTTGCAAAGATTTAGCTAAAAGATTACCGTGAGATACAGTGATCGTTATAATATAGCGATTCTAACTACAAATTTTTCAGGGTGAAGATCAAAACGAGCAGAATGGCGTCAATCGAGAAAAGGCAGTCACCACTGGACGTGAGCACAACAAAAAGACCAATGACTATGTGAGAAGGAATATTATTTAACATATTCAGTTTAAAATCAAAAGTTTCTTGTCTAGTTCAAGAAATTCCCCCTTTTCAGCTACCATCACTGAAGAGCGCCCGATCCGAGATGACAATGTTTCAACTTGAGAACGTGAAGCCGAATAAAGAGAATGAAATCAAAATGCGCACTTTGACCTATACAAATCGATTCGGGAAAATGGTACAGAAAGAGGTTAAGATAAAGGCAAAGAAGAATGAGAACGAGAAAGCCGATCAAAATCCAGGTAGGGTGAAACAAATGAAATAGTTAGGCTTAAATTTTAGAAAACTCGATCGGTCAGAAGCCACTTGATGAGATTTTGAAGTATTTGGGTGTTGATGAAGAAGAGAAGAAAGTCAAGAATAAGGTTTGGAGAGAGGGATTCATGAAAAGCATATGGTTTAGGAGAAGAAAAGGAAGAGTAAAGAGATCAGCAAAGATGAGAATGGTGGAGGGATACAGAGTAGAGGTTTGTTTACAAGGACATCATTGAGCTCTTCTTTATCTAAAAAGAATCCATTCACATCCAGTTCTTGATTCAGATTTAGTCCTTGATTCAGATCTAGTCCTTGATTCAGATCCAATTCTTGGTTCAGATCTAGTTCTTGATTCAGATCCAGCTCTTGGTTCAGATCCAGGTCTAAATTCAGAGCCAGTTCTTGATTCAGATCCAGTTCTAAATTCAGATCCAGTTCTTGATTCAGATCTAGTTCTTTATTCAGATCTAGTTCTTTATTCAGATCCAATTCAGATCATTTTCTAATCTAAATGAAAAATCGATTCTAGAGAAACGTGGCTCAGAGGATAGTCGAAAAGAGGGAGAAAACGAGCTTCAAGATGAAGTTTTTGAGGAAACAATCCCACTTGATAACAAGGTAAACTTTAGATATCAGTATATTCTATTAATATTTAATATCTAACTTATTTAGAAAAACAAATCAATAAGCACTCCACCAGTCAGCTCTGCTGTGAAGCTAACGAAAGAGATTCGGAAAGAGTAAATTTACAGTGATTACAAAGTCATAACTCTTTACAGAATGCCTATTGAATCAAATCAAGGAAACAAAGATGAACTTTTCATTACGGTTTGTTTATTTTTTTCGATAATCACGAAGCGATACTCGTTTGTTTCAGGTTTTCAAATCGAAGAAAGCGACGAAATCCGTGGATAGTGGAAAGAAAGTTGAGAATCCGAAGATTACCACAGCGAAAAGCTTTGATCAGGAAAAGTAAGCTATTAGTGAATATTTGAAATAATCATAACAATCATTATTTTCAAAAAATCACATTTTTCAGATCACCTCAAAAGCCCGTGCAGACAGGTGGAGAGAAGCGGAATTCGAGTGACTCTTGCATGGTTTGATCTGATTTTTATCATCAAAATTCTATAACAATTAACACCTTTATGCAATAGTTTTTAACGTAAAATTGCTTCTTTTTCAGTTTCAAATCAAATTCAAATCAAAAACCCGATTGTTTTGAGTTGATCTTTTGAAATATCCAATGTTTTTCAAGCCGATGATCACAACTAAAGCTCATTTTTTCTTATTCACTCTTTCTTATTCATTTCTTTTTCTTTTTTCTTATCATTATCATCTTAAATCATTCAAAGATTCAAATTATAAATGATTTTCTTTTAATATCTAAATTCCTCTGACTTTTTCAGACTTCCAATCAATGTTCTTCAAAGTTACCACCAGATCTTGACTCTTATCCAGCTTTAGAAACGGTAAAACTCATAAAATTTCCGTAAATATTTGTAATTTTAAAATTTAGACAATTCCTGTAAAAGCAAAAATGCAAAACAAGAGGTAACTTTATAAAATTATTCAAATGTTACGATAAATTTTAGGCAAAAGACCAAAATGATTGTTGATATGGAGCAGAAAGGTCTGAGTTTTTGATTTTTCTTTTTTTTTCTTTTTCAACCATTAAAGCATGCTTAGAGAAAAACATTTTTAAAAAACGATTGCCGTGTTTTGTGAATAACAAAAAGCAATTCTTGTTTTTTCCCTACCGTAAATACTGTAATAGTACCCATCGTACAGTCGCGTAGTCGTTTTTTAGTATTTCATTTTTTTCAAAACGCTCGTACTTTCAAAAAATGCGTCTTTGGTATCAAAAAATAGGTGATATTCAGAGCTATTTTTTGATACCTTTTTCAAACATTAGTTTCTCGACATTGCTTTATGCTACAATGTGCGTTTTGGTATCAAAAAATAGCCCTGAATTTCAGCTTTCATTTGACACCAAAACGAACACTGTAGCCTAAACCAGTGTCGAGAAAAACTCGTTCAAAGCTAGACTACGCAACACTACACACCGTCATTATCGGGGTGGGGTACTATTACAGTATTTACGGTATCTATAGTTGTGGCTATATAAAAGTACAAAAATGCTTGTTTAAATCCGAAAAAAAACAACATTAGATTCGTGGATTTTCTTTGACTGTTGTGAGATTTTAGAAGAAATGGGAAATGAGGAGAAAAACGAGGAAAACGAGAAGAAAGACATTATCGTAAACGAGAAAATTCGACATTTTACGGTAGAGGAAAGAGTGGTGTTGCCAGGTAGTGAGAAAATCTCGGAGACAACCCTCGGCATCTCGTTTTTCTTTGATGAACACCTCGTCAAGAGCTCAGGTTTCCGTTTTTATACATGAGAATCTGCTAAAAGGATAGCTTTTTACATATTAACCTCATTAAACAAGCAAAAACTATCGTAAATACTGTAATAGTACCCCACCGCTCCTGTACAGTCGCGTAGTCGCGTTTAGTATTTAATTTTTTTCAAAGCGCCCGTACTTTCAAAAAATGTGGCTTTGGTATCAAAAAATAGCCCTGAATTTCAGGGCTATTTTTTGATACCTAAGCGCGCATTGTAGCATAAACCAGTGTCGAGAAAAACGCGTTCAAAGCTAGACTACGCAACACTCCGCACCGTCATTATCGGGGGTGGGGGTACTATTACAGTATTTACGGTATATTCAACACCTTTAAGAAAACAAGATTTAATCTTTAAAAGTTTGTTTAAAAGTTTAGAAAGATTGTGAATCTTCTCAACTGAATACTCTTTCTTTCAATACTCTAGACAAACTTTACAGTAATTTTGAGGAGAAATCTTTGTTTTTTTTTTGATTTTAAAAACCTTCTAGCAGATTCTAAAGGATAACCATCGTTGTGAGCCTGTAAATTTTAGTTTGATCTTGCTTTTTCTTTCCCCTATTCATAGGCGTTCTTTTTTTTTTTTCTTCAAGCGCATGATCTAATCGTTAACTTGAGGGAAAATTTGAAAATACCAACAACAAAATTGTAATTTTAGAGCCCCTGAGCAGAGATGGGATGAGGGAAATGAATGAAATTGTGGAAAAAGAGGTGAAATAGAAGGAGAGTGACATCTGGACTCAATCAATTGTATTTCAGATCCCCGAGAATCCGTTCCTCAAGGATCCTTTTTACCGGAAAATCGTCGATAGCTGGAAAAGCTTTCAGGCGGACTCAAGTGAGTTACAAAATTGCAAATCTACAACAAGCTAAGCTAAGCAAATCTACAACAAGCTAAAGTTAGTCCCCTCTGGAGTAGGGGAAATGAGGTGCCTTGTGGTGTAATGGTTAGCAAACGTGCCTCGTAAGCGGGGTTCACGGGTTCGAGTCCCGGCGGTTGTTTTTTTGCTTTTATTTTTGATCTGCGCTAGTCCTAACTCTAGCTACAAAACTAGAGTACTACAGTACTACAGTAAATACTAAGCTAATCTACAATAAGCTAGCTACAGAACTACAGTACTTTTATAGACGAGTAGTCAAATAAGAAGACATAGAATCGTTGCCTAAATATTTGTATGGAAAAATGAAAGTAAAATGCTTTGGTTTATAAATAAAATAGGTTTAGACAGCTAGAGTACTTTATTGTACTATATCGCTAACTGGCGTCTACAGTACGATTACGGTAGCTTCAGTATTTAATGAAAATGTCTTTCTAGAGCCTTTCATCTACTCGCCGAGCGAAGAAGACTCATCTCGATAGGTCGTCTCGCTTTCTTGGCTTTGAAATCAGAAACAAATTTGCATATCGTCCAAAAATCACGGGTTTTTTTACGTAAAACTTTTCAGTTTTTTTAAAAAAAACAAACATTTAACATTTATTAGATTCTTCCATGCATATTAAGCATTCGTTTTTGTTTTTTTTTTGTTTAAATCATAACCTTTTTTTTGACCATTTAAAACAGAGAATGGGTGTGTAAATGTGTGTAAATTTGTTCATTGATAATGTTTTTCTTTTTTTGTGAAATTTGAAACGGAAAGCTTTTGATTTAAAGATATTCAATGGGGAATTCAATTTCGATTTTGACACTAACTATGGGGTTCACTAATTTCCGCAATCTTTTTTTTGGCGCAACTGAGCAACTGGTTCGTTTGCGCAACTCACCATAACTTTCTTCTAACTCGACCAATCTTTATAATTTTGGTTTAATTTTGTTGCACTTATTGAGATCTACAAAATGAGACCAAAATCGTAAAGATTGGTTTACTTAAAGGAAAGTTAGGGCGAGTTGCGCAAAGGACCCAGTTGCCGAAATTAGCCGACCCCATAGAAGCTCTAGGCTTTTAGTCAAAAACAGCTTGACCATATGAAAGTCGGGTAGTTAAAACGGCTCGATGACAGCCGATTTAGACACTTTAACTCTAAGGAAACCTACCGTAAATACTGTAATAGTACCCCACCGCCCTCGCACAGTCGCGTAGTCGCAAAAGTTTTTTAGTATTTCATTTTTTTCAAAGCGCCCGTACTTTCAAAAAATGCGGCTTTGGTATCAAAAAATAGCTGAAATTCAGGGCTATTTTTTGATACCTAAGCGCGCACTGTAGCATAAACCAGTGTCAAGAAAAACGCGTTCAAAGCTAGACTATGCAACACTCCGCACCGTCATTATGGGGGTGGGGGTACTATTACAGTATTTACGGTATAAACTGATGGAGAAAATTGAACTCGACTCTATCATAATCTCTACAAAAATTAAGCTTTCTTTTACATTAAAAATATTCAGTAAAAGATAAATTAGAGAAATTAAAGATTTCAATATCGATGAAAAAATGAATTTTTGTGTATTCCCTTGATATTTCTTTTCATTTTTGTTTCGGTTAAATGGGTGATTTTTTTCAATGTTCCAAGTGTTCAATTCATTTCAATGTTCCAAGTGTTTCTTTTTATGCATAATCTCTCTTTAAAAAAACTTTATTTTCTATTTTCGTTTGAAAATTTTTGACTCTATCTAAAAAAACAACATTTAAAAATCTGTTCCCAAATGATAAAACATCAAAAAAAAAAATCTATCAATATTGAGAAATTTTTGAGAAATCTTATTTTTCATTTTCAACTTTATTTTAATCTTTTTTTTTATTGTTTATAATTTTATAGATTGCTTTCTTTTTTTGGTTGATTATTTGGAAAAACGTTTACTTTGCTCATATTGAAGTCGAAAAAAAAAAAAATGATGAAAATGGCTTGCAGATTGGAAATTGAAATTCGATTGAGAAAAAGAAATTGAATGTAGAATGTAGAAAAGCTTTTGAATGTAGCTTTTAAATGTAGCTTTTAAATGTAGCTTTTAAATGTAGAAAAGTTAAAAAGTTAAAAGTTTCAAAGTTAAAAAGCTTTTAAATGTAGAAAAGCCTTTTGAAAGCTTTTCACATATTGAAAATTTATCAATTTAATTTTTCTTTTCAAATCTTTTGCTAAATAACTTTTTTGTTATCTTCCACTTTGCAAGTCCACTTTACAAGTCCACTTTCCAACTCTTACTCTTCATCTTTCACCTGGTTCCCTTTCACCTTCCCCACCCAAAAAACAAAACAAAGAACTTTCTCTTTATAAATCAAAGTTTTTTGAAAGTTTTCTTTTATTTCTTTTATGAATACGGGATTAAAATAAACGTCGTTAAAATAAAAAATTTATAAAGTTTAAAATAAAAAAAAAACCCATTAAAATCTTATAAATAACAAAAGAAAATATAAAAGATTTTATACCGTATTTCTTCGAATAGAAGACCGGGTAAAGAGTATCATCGCGTACTCCTGCGTAGCAGCCCTTTTAAAATTTCTTTTCTGCATAAAAGCTTTCAATCAAGTGCTATAGAGCTGGAAAAATGACTCAAAAATACCACATGAGCTAACAGATTTTTGAGCCATTTTCCAGCTCTATAGCACTTGATTGAAAGCTTTTATGCAGAAAAGAAATTTTAAAAAGGGCTGCTACGCAGGAGTACTCGATGATACTCTTTACCAGGTCTTCGTTATTATTTACCGAAGGAATAAGGAACCAAATTTAGAGAGATAAGGAACCAAATTCAGAGGGGAAGGAACCAAATTTAGAGAGGGAAGGAAATAAATTTAGAGGGATAAGGAACCAAGTTTAGAGAGATAAGGAACCAAATCTATAGAGATAAGGAACCAAATTCAGAGGGGGAAGGAACCAAATTTAGAGAGGGAAGGAACCAAATCTAGAGAGATAAGGAACCAAATCTATAGAGATAAGGAACCAAATTCAGGGGGGAGGAACCAAATTTAGAGAGGGAAGGAAATAAATCTAGAGAGATTAGGAACCAAATCTATAGAGATAAGGAACCAAGTTTAGAGAGATAAGGAACCAAATATAATGATACTCTTTACCGCGATGATACTCTTTACCCGGTCTTCTATTCGAAGAAATACGGTAGATTGCTTTTTTGGTTGATTATTTGAAAAAACTCGCGTTAAAATCGTAAAGAAATGATTTAAAAATGATTTAAAAATGATTTTAAAAATGACTAATCGAGTTTTTACAAAGTTCAACTCAAAAAAACGATAGAAGATTTGCATAAAAAGCAGCAGAAATTTTGAAATTTATGAAGTGTATGAAATTTCAAAATCATAACAATGAGAAGCTCGAGAGGCGGCAAGCGGCTGTTGTTTATTTAAAGGGATGAGTTTATTCGATTTTTAAGCCAGCTGTCCTTTCACCCCATCCTCCATTCAATCCTATTGTGCTCGTGAGAGTGTCAGTGTCTCTTCTCTTCATACCTTCCCATCCCTCCACTCTCTTCACTCCCTCTCCTCCGCTCCTCCGGCAACCCTTTCCCATCCCCTTCCCCATCACCATTCTTCTTTCTTTTCTGTCATCCACCAATCATGCTTCGATTTATCATCATTTATATCAATTTCACGCTTACAGGTGCGTTTTTGAGATCTTTATTTTGTTGGGAATACTTTTGAATTTGTTTGATTGGATTGGATTGGATTTGGATTTGATTTGATCTGGATTTGATTTGGATTTGATCTGGATTTGATTCGGATTGGATTTTGTAGTTGATTGGATTGGATTTAATTTAGATTAGATTTAAATTTGATTTGGATTAGATATTGTAGTTGATTGGATTTGATTTGATTTGGATTAGATTTGAATTTGATTTGGATTAGATTTGAATTTGATTTGGATTAGATTTGAATTTGATTTGGATTCGATGTTGTAGTTGATTGGATTAGATTGGATTGGATTTGGATTAGATTTGGATTAGATATTGTAGCTGATTGGATTGGATTGAACTGGATACTGTTGCTGAGAATGAGCTTTAGAAGCGATCTAGATCTAGAGCTTTGCTTTTTCCCTTCTTGACTCCTTGTAGAACTACTTCACTGTTATTCCAATCATATTTTTGATTAAATCTTTCATTTTTTACTCATAATGATTGAAGAAACAACTGTTTCGAGGCCGAAATTCAGCTATGAATTCAACTAGTTAACAAAACTTTATCTTAAAATCATTAGAAAATAGTTTTAAGGAAAGCAAATTGATTTCTAGTAAAAAAAACTAGAATTCTTTCCTCTTAACTTCTTCTTTTCTCTATTTCTTTACTTCTTCTTTTGTCCTTTACTTCTTCCTCCATCCTTTACCTCTTCCTTTTTCTCTTCTACGAAAAATGACCTTCATTTTTGTTCTTTCCAACGACTCATCTAGGCTAATCCGTTTCCTAACGAAAGAAAAGAGAAATGAGGGAATTTTGTGACAGAGCAAACTGTTGCCACTTGATCAAAAGGTGTACAGGGAAACAAGCTGATAAGTGGTCCAAATTTGTTCAAGGCTTGTCTCTAGAAGTTGAATGAAAGAGAAAGTGCGTGCCCCTTGCCCCCGCTTTGTCCCCTTCTCTGTCCATCCATCCAGCCCAAATTTCTTTCCTCTTCTCTTTTGAATACCCTTTAAACGATCACAAATATTTGCCTCTAATTGGGAAAAGCCCCAATCGCTTTTCTTTGATTTTTGCGCGAAATTCTAGAACGATTTTCAATCACTTAATCAAAAAAAATCAAATTTTCAGCTAATCAATGTGAGATTTTTTGAGTTTTTACATTACAAGATTTGATTTTTCCTTTTTTTCTTCACCAAACAAAATGAGTGATCATTGAGCAATCTTTTCTCACTTTTTTCATCTCTTTTATCACCTTTAATCTATTGACAATCAGTGAATAATTAAAGTCAATCATCGAGAGAATCAAGATAATAATTTTAAAGAATACGTTATTTAAAGAAAATTTAAAGAATTAAAAAATATATGTTAAAACTTTAACTAAAGACTTTATTTTTAGTGATTTATGGAAAGCAATATCCGCTTTGTTTGGATGATTGTTTGTGTGATCGTGAGGATGCAGTGATCAGGTAAAAAGAAACAAGAAAGATGCAGTGATCAAGTAAAGAAACAAGAAAAATGCAGTGATGAGGTAAAGAAATAAAAAAGATGCAGTGATCAAGTAAAGAAACAAGAAAGATGCAGTGATCAGTTAAAAACAAAAAAGAGAAAACAGTATTGTTATTTGTTTATATCAATAATTGATATAAAAAGTGATCGCTTAAGATTTTTTTGCAAAAATTTCATTTAATCAATCAATTTAATTTGATTTGGATTTGATTTGGATTGGATTTTGTAGCTGATTGGATTGGATTTAATTTAGATTAGATTTAAATTTGATCATTTAATCAAATCGATCAATTCAAGAAAAGGTCACGGTTTTCTGAAAAGAAAAAAAAGATCATCAAAAGAAGCTAAAATAAAAACAGGTTAAAACTTGTGATCTAGAATATCTAGAATAAAAAGTATTTGTCTTTAATTTGTCTTTAAATTGTCTTTAAATTGTCTTTAATTTGTCTTTAATTTGTCTTTAATTTGTCTTTAATTTGTCTTTAATTTGTCTTTAAATTGTCTTTAAATTCTTATCTCGATATTGTATTGAATATCGTGAACATCTTTAGATGCGATCACGGTACACGAACAAAAGTCACGATTCCCGAATACCCGATTTATGGATATAAATTCATTGGTGACACCTTTTTTTGGAATAACAATATTTCATTCATTTAGCGATCACATGCAACGACGTTCGTCAGCTTCCCGATGAGGCTATTCTCAAGGCTGCTTTTCCCGATTTACAAGTAGCTTTTTGGTGAAGGAAAAACAAAAACTTTGTATAACTCTACTTTGTATTTTCGCGATTACTTTGTATTTTCAGTAGAGTCTATTCTGACATCTCATCATTGATAATCCATAAAAATTAACTGAAAAATTAGAATTTTTTGCCTTATAAATAACTAGGAAGAATTTCTGAATATTAAAAATCGAAAATTTTCGGAATCTATCCAATTTCTAGGGTGTCGATGTGCAAGGAAATCGTGATTTCGATTGTGATTCGTTGTCTTACAAAGAGGTATGTAAAGCTAATGTTGAAATAAATGAGATATTTTTTTAAAGAGTTCTTTTAAAACTAGAAAACGGATTTTAGTATACCGTATTCTCTCTAATAGTAGTGCACCCCGGCGAGCCGAGTTGATGACGATTTTACGGTTTCCAAGCTTTTGCAGAAGCTCAACACTCTAATCCTCCACTAGATCTCATCATCAGCTACATTTTCCGACCCCACATCGATAGGTTCTGATAAGCGGTTTTTGAGATTTCGAGTAATTTAGGCAAAGCTCAAGGTGCACTATTATTAGGGGAAAATACGGTATTTAGAGATTTCGAAATTTCAAAGAAAAACTTTCTGTGATGAGTCAGAGGAATAAGTGGCCACATTTCACCGTCCTTGACTATCGGTGTCTATCGGGAAAAAGTGGATTTTGAGTGCAAAAGATTTTGATTGAAAGTTTTAGATTAAATTCAAATGAATAGATCAAATGCTTCATAGATTTTCGCAAAAATATATAAGTTTTCTAACTAGAAAAGGTCGCCGGTCGCCGATTTAATCATTAAAACTAGAAAACGGATTTTAGTATACCGTATTCTCTCTAATAGTAGTGCACCCCGGCGAGCCGAGTTGATGACGATTTTACGGTTTCCAAGCTTTTGCAGAAGCTCAACACTCCATTCCTCCACTAGATCTCATCATCAGCTACATTTTCCGACCCCACATCGATAGGTTCTGATAAGCGGTTTTTGAGATTTCGAGGAATTTAGACAAAGCTTTTGGTGCACTACTATTAGAGAAAATACGATAACTAGAAAAGTAGAAAAGTAGGTAAAACTTTAGATTCCTGTGTTGAGCGACTGTGGCAGTGAAACGGTGACAGACTGCAAAGTGAATGAGGTAAAAAGGAAAGCTTTAAATTTTATAGAATTTTATAGAATTTTCTAGTTTTTCTAAAACCTAAAACCTCTAAAATTCTCTTTTTAACTATTTTATGCATTTTTTTTCAATCATTTTCAGGAATGCGATTGGAAATGCTCGACGTTAAGCAAGTTGAAAGAGTTGTGGGCGCATTTCACGGAGTTGCTTTCACGAAAATATCACGTTTGAAAAAGAAAAGGAAAACTTTAAAGAAATTCTGGCAGGAATATGGCGGTGAGCAGCTGGGTGAGACGATCAAACAGAAGTACTATGAAATTGGTGGAGATCAGGTGGAATTTTTCTGAAATTCCTTCAACTCTTTGAAAAAAAATCGTATATTGCTTTCGTTTTGTTTAAGCAGTCAATTTTGGGATATTTTATAAAACAAACGATGGAAATTGATAGAAAATCAGAAAGTGGACAAATTCGACCTTTTTTTTTGCGCACCTAGACATTTGCGCACCTTTTTTTGCCGGAAAAGGCCTTAGGAAAGGCTGTAGAGCTTCAAAAGTGTTGTCAGATAAGGATGTCAGATACGAAACTTAACGCTTTTCCGCAGTTTTTGCCTTTTAGCTCAAACTTGACATGCTAGCGAGGTCTGATTTGTCGAAATTCGAAATCTACGCATACGATTCCCTTATCTGACAACATTTTTGAAGCTCTACAGCCTTTCCTAAGGCCTTTTCCAGCAAAAAAAAGGTGCGCAAATGTCCAGGTGCGCAAATGACTAGGTGCGCAAATGTCTAGGTGCGCAAAAAAAAGGTCGCATTTGTCTCACCCCCGTGGAAATTGATAGAATAAACTCGAGTCAAGTTTTTCGTAGCTTTTTGTGACATTTTAGAAAATTCAGCAACTTAGAAGAAACTCTAGAATTTATATGAAATTTTGACTTAAATAAGCCAACAAGGATATCACATTTTTGCTCATTTAAATCGTTTTGACGTTGTTTAATGGTAAACAGTAAGCTCTTTTTTTTTGTTTACTTCAAAAGATATAGTCTTTTCAAGTTTGAATTCACTGAACGAATCTCTTAAGAAAAAAACTACAAACCTTCTGCTAAACTGTTTATTTATAAAGAAAAAAAGAAAGGATCCATAGCTGTAAACTATTCAAACGATTGGATAAACGAGATTTCTAAAAGACTTTGAAAAATAGAATCAGCTTTTGTGAGCTTTTCTAAAGATAAAATGAAAGAGAATCTTGAGTGACTTCATACAAATGTTTAATAGAAGTGCTTTCAATCCTTTCCAAATAGGATTTCAGTCAAGAGCCAAGAGCCAAGGCCAAGAGCCAAGGCCAAGAGCCAAGGCCAAGAGCCAAGGCCAAGAGCCAAGGCCAAGAGCCAAGGCCAAGAGCCAAGGCCAAGAGCCAAGGCCAAGAGCCAAGGCCAAGAGCCAAGGCCAAGAGCCAAGGCCAAGAGCCAAGGCCAAGAGCCAAGGCCAAGAGCCAAGGCCAAGAGCCAAGGCCAAGAGCCAAGGCATCTTTCTGTTTCTTAAAAATCTGTTTCTATTTCTATTTTTTAAAAATCAATTTCTAAATCTTTATTTATTTTTTTATATTCAGATGGTTGAGAAAGTTGGTGGCTGGTTTTCGGATGCTTTCGCGAAACTTAAAAATTTGACAAACGATGAGTGATTAGGAAAGACTGTGAACGAGATTTCTGATTATATTTATTGTTGTCGTAAATAAATATTCTTGATTGTTTTGGGAGTAAACTGATAGGGAAACAAAAGGTGCAAATGCTCGTAATTTAGGGTAAAGTTTATGGGAAAGGTGCAAAAGAAGGGGATGATTTTGGGGTCGAGAAAGAGTTGAAGAGGGGAAGGGAGGGGAGGGGCCACATCCCGAGACTCCTCTCTCCCCTTTGTTGGTCCTTGGTATCTCACTCTCAAATCCCAGCCATCCTTTTCCCTACCTTTACTAGCTTCGAATTTCTCCTGGCTTTCCTCCTTTTTTTGTTTCGATCATGAGCTGCGTAAAAATATTGCAACCATTGCTCTTCATTTTTAATCTCTTATTCTGGGTGAGTTTTTTGAAAAAAATCTCGATTTATTCACAAAAACAACAAGACGAATTTGATAATTTAATGAAAAAAGATCTTTTAAATATATATTTGTTTAATATAGATACTTTATTCAAGACTTGAAATAAAATGCGCTAGATTTAAGAACAATACACATGAATTCATTCCAATAAGAACTGCCAGAATTTGGAATCGACTCCCCAGAGTTTTGAGAGAGTCCAATAGTCTCGAAACCTTTAAATTATCTGTAGATGATCTTGATCTTGAAGCTCTAGTGGATCCTTGACGTCATCTGTGCTACCCACATTTTACATATATTATATCGTGTTTCTTTTTATCGGCCCTTTTCGTGTTATGTGTATGAATTCATGTGTTTTAATCTTAAATCTAGCGCACTTTATCTCAGGTCCTGAATAAAGTATCTATATATATGTTACGTCCGAATCCGACCAGAATGAGTGTGGTCGGATCCTGACGTCCGGATCGGATTCGGACGTCCGGATCAGATCCGGACGCCTGGTCGGATTCGGACGTAACATATACACAGAACACGAAAAGGGCCAATAAAAAAAACAATTTCTCTGCTATTAGGATTTTGTTTAAATCTCTCTGCTATCAGGATTCAATTTTTAGCCCTTCCATCTCTTTCTATCCATTGATATCTAAGTTTTTTATCTGTTGGATTAAAAATTCATTGCATTCTAAATCCATTCTTCATTCACTTCATGGATTCATCTTAGATTCACTTTCAATAACAGAAAAAAATGTTTTTGTTTGTGAGTTGAGATCGAGAAAAAGAGCATGAATGGACTTTACTGCGGGAAGGGAGAGCATTGGTGTGGGTTGTGGCATGGCAAAAGATTGGAGAAGTTTTCAGGGGAAAGGAAATCGGAAAGAAAAGACGGGCATCTTAAAAAGAGACTTGGGATGGGATGATCGGGAAAAGAGGAGGGGATCTCGAGCTGTGGGCATGAGAAAGAAGTGATACATCTTTATCCTATCCCCTTTTTTTTCTTCTTCTCTCTTCACCCCTGCCGTGGGGTTGAGTGGATGCAAAACGAGCCGTTGTTTAGTTCTTTTTCGGCTCAGATTTCTTCAGCTTCAGCCCAGATTTCCCTCGTTTTTTTTTTGCCAGAAAAGCAAAATAGCGTAGCAAAAGTTTGAAAATTAGATTTTGGAATCCCAGAAGACTCTTTCTGTCTGTCCGAAAAGATCTGTCGACCACGATTTGTTCAAAATTCTCGCACAAGTCTTTGAATGAAAGAAAATCTGAAATACAAACAAAGTCCACACACTTAACACTCATTGTTGTTGAAATCGAGAAAAAAAATCAAATAAAGAAATTGGTGAGAAATGTTGATTTCAGTTGGGTGGTGTGATTTGCTTGGCACTTGGAATCTATTTGTTGTTCATCGCCGATCCGAGTGCATATTTTGATGCTCACTCGACGCATCCCGGTGAGTTGAATGTGGTAACTAGACAGAAAATTGATTGATCATTGATCATTGACCATTGACCATTGATCATTGGCCATTGACCATTGACCATTGATCATATCTTATGCAAATTCTATACAGATCTTCTCAATATTAGGCTCATGGCGAACGGTTGGATGGCTGTTGATTGCGGCTGGGTTGCCGATTGCATTGATTGGCTGTTGTGGATGTTGGGGAGCGTATCGGCTCAATCAACCGGCACTCCTTTGTGTAAGTTGTTTAAAAGTTGATCGAGAATCTGGCTTACAAGTAGCTACAGGCCGACAAGTAGCTTTACTGCTAGCTCAAAGATTAACCTAGTCACTCAGACTTTCAGTCTACTAGTCAGGCTTAATTCTTGAGTAAGTCTACTATTCAAACGTCATTCTTGAGTCAGTCTACTAGTCAAACATTGTCCCGAATCTGGCTGTAATTTAATCTATTTTAGAATCTGATCTGATCACGTCCTAATCAATTTTTCACATCTTTCCCATTTTAGTTCTTCCTTTTACTGATCATCGTTTTCTCATTGGAGCTCGTCGCCGCTTATGTCGCCTATCACAAACAGGCTAATGCACGGAGATTCGTCGAGGCAAGCATGTATGACACTGTCAGGAATCGGTGAGTTTTCTTAATGCTTTCTTTTTGTTTGTGTTGAAACAGTCAAAACTTAAGCTATGGAAGCGATGACAACTATAAAGACGCTTTCGACAAGATTCAAACATCGGTAAGTGAAAGAAGATAAAAACTCGTCATAAAATATACAAATTACGATTGATTTTCAGAAAAAAACAGTAAAATTTGACATTTCGAGATGAAAATAGGAATACTTTGCTCAAAAAAAACCAATAGAATTTTCTTTAGTTCGAATGTTGTGGAGTGAAATCGTACAGTGATTGGCTGGGCGCTGCTTGGGATGGAAAAAAAGCTGGTGATGATAAATCACAAGAAGATCTAAAGCCAGAACATGGGATTGGAGCACTCGGTGGACGGGGAAATGGTTTTGGTGAGGAAAGAATAGATCCACTCAACTTGTTACCACTTACAAGCTCTAGATTTCCTAACTCATAGCAGTATTGGCATTGCATTTGCAGCTTTCAAAGGAAACCAAATTTAGAAGTAACTTGGTTGAGATGAACCATGAAATATCAAGGAAAACAGTGCAATTGAAACTTTTCAGGACGTGTGCCAACATCTTGCTGTAACGAGCACGGATTGACGACTTATCCCTCAAATTGTGGTGTCTCATTCACTCACGCTCCACTCTCCACCTACGAGCAATTCCTTCACCCAAAAGTTTGTTTATCAAAAAAAGAAAACCCTTTAATTAGTAAAATTTCAAAAAGTGTGACTAGAAAAATAAAAACTAGAACGATTGGATTGGTGAATTGAAAATTGCCAGAATTTGAACTAAAATTTATTCAACATAAAATCATCAATTCATTCCAAATAATTTCCATTATTATTGACGACTTCTGCCCATTTTACAGGCAATTTTCGGATTCCTCTTTCGTGGTAGGATTTTGGTTTGTGTGTGAGACAAGTGTGCGACTCAAAAATCGAGGACTGATGATGTCCCAGTTTGAGCGCTTTCTTCAAAATAAACCCACTTTGGTGTCAATGGAAAAGTTGTAGAGAATCAAAAATGAGGCTTATAGCCAAATTTCCAAAAAAATACACTTAGTAGTTTCGCTTAAAATGTAAGTTTTGTGAAAATTCGTAAATTTGGCATTTCTTGAAAACCAGCTTTTGAATCGTTCTGAAAATTTGGATATAAGCTTGATTTTTGATTCTCTACAACTTTTCCATTGACACCAAAATGGGTTTCTTTTGAAGAAAGTGCTCAAACTGTCACATATGACAATAGCCGGCAGTTTTCAATTCACCAATCCAATAAAATCTAGAACTAGAATAATTGATCGATAGACAGATTGACAAGTGTATTAGGCTTTGTTTAGAAAGTCTTTTCATTTCTTTTCAATTCTTTTCATTTCTTTTCAATTCTTTTCATTTCTTTTCGTATTTAACCCAACACCAATTAATCTATGATTTATTTCATTAGAAATACCAATTATTTCTCTGTAAAATACCATTAAAACGAGTTTAAAATGTTTATGTCTAGAAGCCTTTTGAGAGCTTGAAGTTCAGTAGTCAAGAGCTTGAAGTTCAGTAGTAGAAAGAAAGTTCTCGGAAAAAGTTTGCACGATGATTTTAGAATCTGATCTGATCATCTCCTAATCAGTTTTTTTTGACATCTTTCCCACTTTAGCTCTTCCTTTTACTGATCATCGTTTTCTTCAAAAAAAACAAGCCATGAATTCTTTCCAGATTTTTTTGATAAACTTGACTATATTTCAAAAAGTTTTTAACAAAAAACAAACAGAATGGACTTCAGGTTAAAAAAAATATTTAAGCTGTATTTAAGCTGGAAAATAATAATTCAAGCTTTGAAGCTGATTCAAGCAAGCTTTGAAGCTGATTCAAGCAAGCTTTGAAGCTGATTCAAGCAAGCTTTGAAGCTGATTCAAGCAAGCTTTGAAGCTGATTCAAGCAAGCTTTGAAGCTGATTCAAGCTTTCAAGCATTAATTTAAGTTTAGAGTTGCAGTGGCCAGGTTGTGATAAAAAAAATCAGGGCTCATTATCGGAATTCTAGGCTAAAAGGAGATTCATTATCTTCTAGAGAAAAAACAAAAACGAGAATTTATCTGTAATCTGAAACTGAATCTGAAATTTATTTAAATCAGAATTTAGCTGTTTTAACAATAGATTAAACAATAAGATTGATCTAGAAAAATCGAATTTTTTTGACTTAAACTGGATTTATTATATTTATTATTGACTTAAACTGGATTTTTTTTTGTATTTAGGGCTGCTCTGATGCGCTTTTCGACTTCGCTGACACCTGGCTGAATATCATCATTTTGGTGTGCGTTTCAGTGGGAATTTTGCAAGTAAGTGAAATTCATAATACTAATTAAAGTTTCTAAATATATCAATAAAGTTCTTTTCTTTTTTTCAGCTATTGGGCATCGTTTTGTCGATGTGTTTGTGCTGTTGTTTGAACGCGAAACAGAGCAAAGAGTACGATTATTAAAGCCTTGAAAAGCTCAAAGTTTATGCAATATTTTGTCTTTTCTTTTGTCTAAAATTCTAAACCTAACTAGATAAATCTTATTTTTTTCTTTAAATTACCGTATTTTCTCTAATAGTAGTACACCCCAGCGAGCCGAGTTGATGACGATTTTACGGTTTCCAAGATTTCCCAAGAAACCCAACACTCTAATCCTCTACTAGATCTCATCGTCAGCTACATTTTCCGACCCCACAGCGATAGGTTCTGATAAGCGGTTCTCGAGATTTCGAGCAATTTAGGCAAAGCTTAGGGTGGACTAATAGAGAAGGTACGGTTAATACCGTCGGTTAATATCTCTCTCCACTCCGCCGAGTCGGGTGCACTCCGCCGAGTCGGGTGCACTCCGCCGAGTCGGGTGCACTCCGCCGAGTCGGGTGCACTCCGCCGAGTCGGGTGCACCCGCCGAGCGGGGCACTCCGCCGAGTCGGGCACCCGCCGAGTCGGGGCACTCCGCCGAGTCGGGTGCACTCCGCCGAGTCGGGTGCACTCCGCCGAGTCGGGTGCACTCCGCCGAGTCGGGTGCACTCCGCCGAGTCGGGTGCACTCCGCCGAGTCGGGTGCACTCCGCCGAGCCGAGTTGATGACTATTTTACGGTTTCCAAGCTTTTCCCAGAAGCTCAACACTCAAATCCCGCACAAGATCTCATCGTCAGCTACATTTTCCGATCCCACAGCGATAGGTTCTGATAAGCGGTTCTCGAGATTTCGAGCAATTTAGGCAAAGCTCAAGGTGCACTACTATTAGAGAAAATACGGTAAACCTTTTTTTTTTTAGTTTATTTTACGGGTTTCTATTTTAACCAGTGCCTTTTTTTGTATGATTTTTGAAAAAAAAGCTGATTTTCTGTATATTATTCTTTCTATCTTTTTTTGCAAATTATGTAAATTTAATTTTTTTAAGATAAAATTTTATAAATGCAATTTTATTAATTGATACAATCACAATCTTTTTCTTTTTTTTAATGATAATAGCTCGATCGTTTGCACATTTTATAGCTGAAAAGATATTGAAATTAGATTCAATTCAAATATTTTCATATCAATTTATTAAATCGATTTTCAGGCCAATTTCGGCCTTGAAAACTTTTTAAACATTAAGCTGGTTTTCGTTTAACAATCTGGAGCGCTTGTTGAAAAATATGGTCCAGAAAAATAGAAAGATCCCAAAGATTTGACCATAGCGACCTCATAAGCCATTCACCGCTCTTTCGCCTTTCCTTAAACCTTACGCCCGGATCGTTTGCCAGGTCGCGAGCGATTACCCGGCCACACAAAGCCACTCACTTTAAGATCGGCACTTGAGAGTGGTCACTAAAGGTGACAAAATCTGGAAAATGCTGCTTGCGTCAGTCCTGAAGCATTCGAGCCTTGTGAGCCTGCATAAAACACCAAATCCTGTTGCAAAAGTGATTTTTGGTTCACGAAAGAAGATTTTTTAAGTTCGTCAAAATAGTTGTTAGAACAAATAGTGATGCTCTGAGGCGGTTGCAATAATCCTGTAGAGTTATTTTTGATTGCTATATGGAGATTCGACTGTGGGTGACCAAATTTTGCTCAACTCTCCATCGGAGTTGGCAAGAAATGAGAAGGGGAAAGGGACTTTGGTGAAAAGGACGGCGAGGCCACCCATCAAGCTGTCGATGGCTAGAGAGAGGAAACTTGAGGGGAAACGAGGAGAGCACCGGGAGAGGGGAAGACCACCCATCAAAGCTTTGTGGGTGGTCTTGGACTTTTCTAGAAAAGGAGCACTCTGACGGGTGTTCATTTCTCTTCCACACAGTTTAGAATCGAGAATTGAAAGTTTAAATGCCTGATTTTGGTTTTTTTTAGGTTGGCGAAAAAGTTCTGATATCTTTTTTCACCGTTTTCTTTCTAAATCTTCAAAAGTCCAAGACCCCCACTGCTGAGTTTGTTTAGTCTAGTATACTACTAGACTAAACAGTATACTACTAGATTCAGTACTCTAGTATACTACTAGATTCACTTATGCATCAATCTAATATTAACAGGATTGAAAACAAATACGCACCGATTGACGAACAGGAATTGTTGAGGTCGATGAGTATGCATTACATGCGCGCAAATAAGGACGAAGCGAAAAAAACAGAGAAGTGACGAATTTTTAGGGGTAGCTTTAACAAAGTTATTTGATTTCATTACTTATAAGATGAAAGTGGGGAACAAGAAGGTGCTTTGAACAAATAATCGAACGATGATCCCATTGTTGTGACAGAAAATCAGCGCTGGCTCAACGGATATGTGGAAAAGTTACACTGGATTGAAGAAAGTATTCCAAGAGCACCGCACGCGGAACTACTCCAAAACCCTCAAAAAGTAAGCACCAGGAGTTTTTTTTTTTATCTACACATATTTTCGGTTTGATAAAGATGGTGTAGAAAGTGCATACACAATTGAGTTGTTTTGGCAAAGAATGAAGAAACCAATCAAGGAATAAAATGGAACATTAGAGGCACTCCTCAAGGAAACCAATCAAGGAACCAAAATATTAGAGATCCCCGGTTACATCAGTGAACTTGTTGTTTGAAAATATGAGGGAAACGAGTTAGACAGAAGATTTTTGATGCTTTGAAATATGAAATATGCTTTGAAATGTTATTTAAATGGTTTACATGTTTTGTTAACATTTTTATTCGAAACATCTATTGTTCACGAGTAAGTAATGAAATTATTTTTGGTAATGAAAAGTAATGAAATGAAAGTAATAAAAGTAATGAAATGAAAGTAATAAAAGTAATGAAATGAAATTTCTAGCTAGAATTGAATTTGGTTAAAAAGTTAAATTTGTTTTATAAAAGATAAATGTTAGGGAAGCTTGAAGAGAAGAGATTCAAGGAGGTTTTTCCTTAAGAAGAGAGGAGAATACGGAAGTGTGCTCATCCTTTTAAAACAAACAAAAACAAAAACAAAAACAAAAACAAAACCAAAAACAAAAACAAAAACAAAAATAAATAAGTTTAAAAACTTGTGGGGGGGGGGGAAATGATATGATTAAAATGATATGAATAAAATGATATGAATAAAATTTAACGATATGGATTGGATTGGATTGGAAAGCTTGGAGCAAGATTGGAATGGAAAGCTTGGAAAGCTTGGAATGGAAAGCAAGATTGGAATGGAAGCAAGATTGGATTGGAAAGCTTGAAGCAAGATTGGAAACCTTGGAGGCAACATTTGGAATAATGTTTCCATTTTTGATTCCCCATTTCGGATGTAACGATTTACGGTCCGTAATTTTTTACTCATAAAAGACGTGTGGCTTTTCCGGAGTCTTTGGAAATCGAAAGTAGGCAAAAATCGAATCTTCTTCAAATGCCTGTGGTGGAGTATTTTCGTTGATGAATGAATGTTGAGAGTTCACATCGATCTGAAAAGTTTAATAGATCGAAATTCGATTTCTAACTTACATTTGCATTTTGATGGCTATTAGGCGAAATTTCATGAAAACATCTTGAAAAGAAAGAGCTCAAACGACTATAAATCGGCTCTTGAGAATCGATACACTCGCCATCACAAATGTTTCCATTTTTGGAATAATGTTTCCATTTTTGATTCCCATTTCGGATGTAACGATTTAGGGCCCGTAATTGTTCTCTCGTAAAAGACGTACGGATTGTCCGGAGTGGTGGAAGTCCAACGTAGGCAAAAATCGAATCATCTTCAAACGGTGAAGTATTTTCGTTGATGAATGAATGTTGAGGGTTCACATCGATCTGAAAAGTTTAATAGATCGAAATTCGATTTCTAACTTACATTTGCATTTCCATGGCTATTAGGCGAAATTTCATGAAAATCTCTTGAATAGAAAGAGCTCAAATGACTATAGATCGGCTCTTGATCATCGATAAACTCGTCATCACAATCGTCAGCCACGACTTCAACATTTTCCTTTTTCACAGGATCAATCGACCGAGTACTGAAAGTTTCTAAGTTTAAAGCAAATCTTATCGTCTACTCTTCATCAATTATTGGTGTGTCCAAGTGAACATTCGTTGAGATGGACTCTGATACTTTAGTTGGCTCAAAGCTTGGCAATGGCGATGCTGGTGAATTTAGCTGGTGAATTTGGTCATCAAGGACCAAATTCATCAGCTTCTCAGCAACATTATCGAGATCTTTCTGCAAAAATGTTATTCAACTTTTTGCTTTTATTCATACGTGATTGTTTGGAATTTTTGAAGGCGGGTCCATTGGATCGTTCGCTGATGGGATTGCACCATCTCTGATTGCACCATCTCTGCTTACACCATCTCTGATTGCGCCACCTCTGATTGCACCATCTTTGGATTGCACCATCTCTGAAATGCTCATCTCCAGTTTGCATCTTTTGAATCCAGAAAGCCAGTGGAATTGAAAATATGATTTTTGATGGAAAAACGAATGCCATTTGGTCCTATAAATGACTTAAAGCTAAAAATGAAACAATTACAATTCGATAATGAGTCATACAATTTTTCTAAAAATTACTTGGCGAACGTGGCGGCGATTGATCTTCCATTGGAGATGGTGGTTGGTTGGATGGTGATACGGGAACGGGTGAGGCGGATGGCAAATGATTCGGCGAATTCATTTATGGAAAGATTGAGAGGAGGAGGGGCTGTGGGAGGGCCCAAGGGCAGAGGAGCAGAGGAGAGGCCCGGATCGATGGAAAGACCACCCACACAGCCTTCATGAACTTCTGCAGAAAAGAGTCACTAATAAGTATTCATTTCTAATCCACAGTTTAGAATGGAGAATTGTGAAAGAGTCAGAGTGAGTTGTATTGGGTTGATGGAATTTCCGGTTGATGGATTTCCGATTTTTTGGGAGAGTACCTTAAATTTGTCGAATTTTGACGTTTTATAGCTCATCCTAAAGCTGAATTCAAGACGGATCGATTGGTAAAAACCGTTTTAAGATATCTCTTTTCTAAAAGTTTTTACAGCTATTTTAGTAAAGGGCGGCAGAGCCAAAAAAAAATGGCTGTTTTCACGTTTCGTTAGTTTTCCGTGCAGAAACCTAGGCTAAAAACATGTGTTTCGTGATCAGCGTCAAAAATAACCCCTAGACACTCATTTTCAGAATCTTAGCAAAAAAATTTTGAAAAATATTGTCACCGGTGGAAGTCGAACCAGCGACCCTCAGATCAATAGCCTTTCCGCCGCTTTTCGCGATTTTCCTTCGTTTTTCTCGTTTTTTGTTTTGTTTTATCATTTTTTTTGATGTTGTTAGAAGGTAAACCATTAGTTTGGTTGGTGTAAGAGTTCTGACTAGACTTGTGTTTCGGTTGGCTCTTTTCGGTTCAGTTTCGGTTTCGGTTTAACCGAAGTCAACCGAAATCTTTCGGTTCGGTTCAACCAAAAAGATTAGTTTTTCGGTTTGGTTCGGTTTCAGTTCAACCGAAAAGATGATTTTTTTTGGTTCAGTTCGGTTAACCGAAACCGAAACCGAAACCGAAACCGAACCGAACCGAACCGTTTCCAGTTCAACCGAAATACAAGTCTAGTTCTGACACCTTTTTTTTCACCGTTCTCTTTCTAAATCTCGAGAAGTCCAAGACTTTAGCTGCTGTTAGAGTTTGTTTACTTTAATATAATATTGGGTTGATGCATAATTATCCGGACTTCTTTTATAAATGATTTTATTTAACAAAAAATAACATAAATAGTTAGAAAAATATGTTTAATTGATTATTCTGGGGCATATTCACCGCCCATCAATAACTGATTGCCATTTGATTGGAGACGATCGATTCCACGAGCGAAGAATAAACGATCTTTGGGGGAAACCCACGCTTCAAAGTCATCAAGTCACCAAATCGTTGTAGTCTATTTGTTTGCCAATTTTGAGCGATCGATTGACGTGGTAGTCCGTTGGGGCTTCTCCAGTTCTTTGAGATCGCGAAACGACTCTGCGGCAGACCATCCCTTTTTGAAGTGGTAGAGCATGATATGGCGAAGATGGATATGATTGTCGACACGCATTTTTTCAAAAGAGGAAAGAGGGGGGGGGGAAGAGAAAAGGGATTTATGCATCAACCCAATAGTATTGGGCATTTAAATAGTATCACAAAATAAAATATTGTTGTTTTTACCGAAACGGAACGAAAATTTTGCCTCAGTTTGAGCAAGAATGAACAAGCAACTTGAAAATTGACTAGTGAAAGTTTTCATTGAAAATTTTGATAGTCTAACGAAGAGTTTAATCACTATATGCTTTTTATTGAAGAGCTAAATATTAATATTTCTTTATATATTAATTAGATAAATTGGATTCCTTTTGAAGTGAGAGAAAAGAGGACAAATACGAAGGAAATCATTTTCTCGGCACCAAACTGATCCTCTCAAAAAATGATCAGAAAAATCTGTAGGCTTTAACGCTGAGAAGTTCTCCCCAAACCATTATATTCTCTAGACATTGCCTTAATTTATTTTTTCTCTTTTCAAGAAATTAGATTGCTTGGTTTGCTTTGCTTGGCCAATGGTCGAAGATGGTCAATGGCCAATGGTCAATGGTCGAAGATTAACAAATTTTCTCGCTTACTTCAATGAGTTTTTAAGAAATTGCAACGCAAAAAAGAGCTACAAGACTTTCTCATCAGTCTGATAGTAAAACGAATATCTCCAATCGATTCGCCGACCCCGGAAACCCTCGGGTATAAGGTTTGTAGCTTCAAATCTCATACAGGAGCGATCTTTGTATGGCCGCGTAATCGCTTTCCATATAACATAAACTACTAGTATAAGAGGCTTCCCTTTTAGGATCCTTAAAGACTTAAAGACCCTAGTTGTGCTGTAAATCCTACGTTCCGGTAAACCATTACATTACTTGAGAAAAATTTGATTTATTTCCTTTCAGGTAAATGCTAATGTTTCAAAGCTGTTCACTTTTTGAGTTCACCATCGTCCAATGATTTTGGATTCTTGGATGAAAAATGAATGATTTCTTGGAGGTTTAGAAAGAGAAGAATAAACTTTAGAAGAATAACCGCCGACAATGATCGTTTGGAGCACTTTGGAACACATTCCGTTGAACGTTTTACGTGGAACACCGAAAATGATAGCTTTTTTGGTTAGGGTGAGTCACAAAGAAGTTCTTTAAGATAAATTAAACCTTTTTTTAACACTAGAAAGCTTAGAAAATAGGTTTTAAGTTAAATGAATGATAAAAATGAAGTACAAAACTTGTCCTTGTAGGAGGGAGGCGATTTATCGCTGCAATTCTGCTCGGCTCGAGTTTGTCGAAGGTGCATCGTATTGGGTTCAATAGGATTGCCCGGAAACCGTCAACAATCACATTGAGAATTTTCTTAAAGAATGATTTTCATATTTATGTATTAGATAAGAATTTTGCTCACTTGAGAAATGAAATTTTTTAAATCGACATCTACAACAGTATTTCAAAAGCCAAACTTGCTGAGTCAAATGTGCATTTTTAACCCACATACTGTTCCATTGTTGAGTCAATTAAGCCACATATTTTTCAATAATGGCAAAACGAGCGACGCTGAGTGGAGACGAGATGAAAGCGATTTGATGATCGATTTGTGATCGGGATCGATTGAGATCTCGTTGTGGTTGTGCTTGTGGTTGATGAAAGATTGGAGTGACACGACGCGGTGGTAGTTCCTCATTATACCCATCACCAAGTATATCAACTACAGATAACTGAAAAACAAAAGCTTTAAAGTTTGATAAAGATTTGTGGGTACTTTTTTAGCGTATTCTTGAACTCTCTTATCAATAGTATAGCCTAGACAGAATGTGAAAAGGAACAAACCTCTCTGACTCGCGTTTCACCACCAGGAACGGTTAGTGTGTCCTTTGGTCGGGCCTCCTCTGAAAAAAGTAAAACTTTAACAGGAAACTTTCTAGATCAAGGCAAATGAAAAATTATCACCACGATCACTTCTTGCCTTTTGCGGTGAGCTAAACGTTTAACTAAGGAGAAAAACAAATGAACTATAGTAGCTGGTAATTGATATTATGAGTTTTAAAACCTTTTTTAAAAATGCAAAACTTTTTCGCTCCTGGGTGGGTTCGAACCACCGACCTTTCGGTTAACAGCCGAACGCGCTGCCGATTGCGCCACAAGAGCAGGTGGTCCAGGCGTGGAAGATTTAACTGGTCAAATAGGGGAGGGCGCTTGTTATCAGCTATTGTTCTCAAAAAAGTATGCCGTTTTTTGAGAGCAACTGATAACAAGCCCCCTCCCCTATTTGACGATTTAAATCTTCCACACGACCACCTGCTCTTGTGGCGCAATCGGCAGCGCGTTCGGCTGTTAACCGAAAGGTCGGTGGTTCGAACCCACCCAGGAGCGAAAAAGTTTTGCATTTTTAAAAAAGTTTTTAAAACTCATAATATCAATTACCAGCTACTATAGTTCATTTGTTTTTCTCCTTAGTTAAACGTTTAGCTCACCGCAAAAGGCAAGAAGTGATCGTGGTGATAATTTTTCATTTGCCTTGATCTAGAAAGTTTCCTGTTAAAGTTTTACTTTTTTCAGAGGAGGCCCGACCAAAGGACACACTAACCGTTCCTGGTGGTGAAACGCGAGTCAGAGAGGTTTGTTCCTTTTCACATTCTGTCTAGGCTATACTATTGATAAGAGAGTTCAAGAATACGCTAAAAAAGTACCCACAAATCTTTACCAAACTTTAAAGCTTTTGTTTTTCAGTTATCTGTAGTTGATGTACTTGGTGATGGGTATAATGAGGAACCACCACCGCGTCGTGTCACTCAAATCTTTAATCAACCACAACCACAACCACAACGAGATCTCAATCGATCCCGAACACATTCTTCACTTCAGCTGTTATTTACGATGATTTGGGTAAAAGAAAATAAAAGATTAGAAAATTTAAGAATTTCTAGACCATCACCACCATCACTATCATCATGGACACCATCATCACCACAAAAAGACAGACAATGAAGCGGCTGCAGATGCGATTGCGGCTTCTTGTGCGCTAGGTGACAGCTTTCCCCATTTAAGAATAACTCTTGACTTTTCCAGAATCTTTTCAACTTCATGTTTTTGTATAGAGTTGCCGCAAAGTATAGCGACAACTTTTTAAAAAAAGTATCTGAGAAATGTCTAACTTATTTCAAAAGTGGCAAGTGCTATATAGAGAGTTGTAGCCGTAATTCTTGACAACATTTATCTACCAAAAACTTCTCGATTGGACTTATACAACTCATTTCACAAGCGCTTGAATAAACGCTAATCGACATCTCTCCGGAGAATCTGTCATTTGACCGCTTTTCTCTATTGAAATAAATTAGAAATTTCTTAGATACTTTTCTAAAAAGCTGTCGCTATACTTTGCTGTCATTCTGTGCATCTCTCCCCAAACTTTTCTGTCAGTAACTGTGTCAGTTCTTTTCTTTTCTGTCTGTCACTTTTCTCAACTTTTGAGACCTTTCCAAGAACAGCTTGCGAATTAAAAAGGATCAAATTTATGAAAAATTCAATCCAAATTTACTAGTAACTAGTGCAATATTTGCTTTGATAAGTAATTTTTATTGAAAAGCTTTTCTATACAACTTTTCCAGGCTGTTGTTGTTTGGCGATGGCGGCAAGCGAGAACGAGCAAGATCCGTCCTCGAATCGAAGTATCATTTGCATTGTGTTTGCTATTCTTTTCCTCATCCTAACCCCAGCGGCTATTGTCGTCATTTTGGTAACAAATGAAAACAAAAATGAATAAATAAATAAATGAATTCATTAATGGACAAATGGAGAGAATTTACACAAGAAAAACAATAAAGAAGTCTGGAAAAACGGTTTTAAACGGGGTTTAATCTTGCAAAAATCTGGACCAATCTAACTTTAATTTAATCAAACACCAATCTAACAATTTAACATTAACAATTTAACTAAAGTAAGACAAACATTGATTAAAATCCCACTGTGGGTGGTCATCTCTTTTGAGGAAGAGAAAAGAGGGAAAAGGGTATTCATCAATCCCCTCGTGACTGAAAGCTGTTTGCTCGAAGCCGGCTCCTTTTCGATCAGTGCGATCAGAATGAAACAGATGTGAGCAGAAATGCCTCCAAGAATATCCCCTTCTTTTTCATCCATTCATCCGGATCAGTCTTTTCTGATTTCTGGAGGATTTCTGGAGGAAGTGCTTGTCCTTCTGCGTTCCTCTCCTTGAAATTCCTTTTCAATGTCTTTCTGATCTTTACAGATCTCAAGCTCTCAAAATCTAAAGAGCTAAAGAGTCTAGTTGGAAAGAAAAAGATTGTAAATAGAAAATATTGTAACAAATAATTGATTAATGGTAAAAATATAGCTGTTAGCTGTAAATATAGCTGTTAGAAAGAACCTTATGGAAATCTAACTTCATACTGACAAAGTTTGATTCACTTGAATCATTGATTTATTTGAGTTTGATTCACTTGAATCATTGATTCGGGGGAAACAATCGCCTCGACACTTTCGTGAAAGGGGAGTTCATAATTGATTGATCTCTTTTTTTTTCTTTTGCCAATCGAATTAAATGGATGTTTATTGAGAGAGCCTTTTCGGAGAGATTTAGGCTGATCTCGAAGTCGCTGAGTTGGGTCAATTCAAAGACAAAATAGGAATAGCTTTAGATTTACTTTGTTACCTTTATTGTAAAATGTTTTAAATAGTAAAAGTAACAAAGTAAATCTAAAGCTATTCCTATTTTGTCTTTTGATTGACCTATTGACCCAACTCAGCGACTTCGAGATCAGCCTAAATCTCTCCGAAAAGGCTCTCTCAATAAACATCCATTTAATTCGATTGGCAAAAGAAAAAAAAAGAGATCAATCAATTATGAACTCCCCTTTCACGAAAGTGTCGAGGCGATTGTTTCCCCCGTCCCTACTTCGGCGTTGTTTGCACTCGGAAGCAAAGCCGGCCAGTGTTCTCTCTTAGAAACGGTGCACACCCCATCTCGTCTCCCCTCCGGCCACTTTTCAAAGAAAGGAAATTCCGGCTAATCCGCACGCAAAACGGCTCCCATTAGGTAGAAGAGGGAAAGAGGCTGATCTCGAAGTCGCTGAGTTGGGTCAATTCAAAGACAAAATAGGAATAGTGAAAGATCGAGGAGCGGACGCGGAAGCGTCACCTCTTCTTGGGTGGTCCTTTTCCTTTTCTTTTCTCAATTCTTCCGAGTCCGCTTGCTCGAAAAGTGTGTGTGTGTGGTAGCGCTATTTTGAGGTAGAAGAGGAGAAAGCGATTCCCCCCTTTTCCTCACTTTTTGCGCGGAACGGTCAGAGTGCAGCGCATGCGGAAACACCGCGAGAAAGAGCCGCGCCTCGTGAACCACAAACATATCGCTGATAGGAGAAACCGGCGAGACAATGGCTGGCACAGGGGAAATGAGAGCTTTCTTTCCCCCATCACCCCGAGGCGGAAGCTTTTCGAGAGACGCTCATCAAAATTTGGTGATGAAGGAGAAGTGATGATGAGTCTTCTTGGTCTCCTTTCTTTTCTTTTGTAAACCGGATTTGGGCATACTGTCCGACTTTCTTTTAGTCAACGTAGACACTGACGTGTTTTTCGGGTCTGATTAGAAAAATTGAACAACTTGTTGTGTAGGATGAGCATTGAGGGAGTGAGTCATCAGTAGCTCTTAGAATTCTACAGTAACCATATCAGAAAAAGACTTGGAAATGATTAGGAAATAGAAGGAGAAGAAGAGGAAGAAGAAGAAGAGGAGGAAAAAGAGGAAGAAGAGGAAGAAGAAGAGGAAGAAGAGGAAGAAGAAGCTAATAGTAAGCTTAGATTGAAATACTGTAGCTATATTTCTCAAGGTAAGCATCTGAAGTTAGATCGGAAGTATCAGGAGAAATAACTAGACAGTACGTTTAAAGTTTCTTTTTCTTCTCGCCAAAATGTTTTCCTATGGTGTAGAGGTAAGGCCGGTCGTCGGTGGCTGGTAGCAAACGGGGTTCGACCCCCACCTCGGGCTAGCAAGGAATTTTTTTCTTTTTTTGATTCTTGTTTCTTCTTTTCTTTTGAACCAAGCCAAGCTCAGCTTCGAATTTTAATCATGAAAGCGTATTTTGGTGGCCAACATCGTGGATCGTGGTGCAAGGAGCCGACAAAACTCTCGTCCTAAACGACAACTTTGAACACTTATCACTTGTCACGCGTCTCCCCCCAACAAACCGAGTTTGGTTTCTCTTTCGCGTCTTTTCTCTAGCTTCTCTCCGCACACCGTTCCCAAATAGACGCGTTTGGGACTGTTTTGGGCGAATGAGGGAGAAGAAAAGAAGGCTAGGACGGGGAAAAGAAGAGAAAGGATAGATGAGAAAGAGACTAGGGGGGAAGGGTGTCCACCTCTCCAGAGCTTTTCTTCCTGGGACCTATCGGGGTCTCAAGATCCGTTTGCGCAACCGACCTACAGCCGTGCTTTCATGAGAGGAAGTCGCTCTCTTTTTTCCTGACAACAACACTTTTCAACACAGACTCATCACTTTCTGTCTTTTCACAAAAGGGTTCTTAAAAGAGACTTTGGAAATCAAAGGAAATCAAAGGAAATCAAAGGAAATCAAAGGAAATCAAAGGAAATCAAAGGAAATCAAAGGAAATCAAAGGAAATCAAAGGAAATCAAAGGAAATCAAACCGAAATAGATACTATAGATGGAAGAAAATGAAATGAACTAATGTGAAAAAGGTTTTAATGTGGTTTAATAAACTTTGAATAGTATTAAAGTAAAATATGTTTTTTTTAAAAGTAAAATCTCGTAAAAAATCCGATGATTCTTTGCTTTCAAATGTTGAAGATGAAAAATCATATAGGAAATATTTAAGCTAAAAATAAGCCTTGTTTAGTTGTGTAGTTTAGTAGTTGTTTGTTTAGTTGTTTAGTTGTAGTTAGTTGTTTAGTTTAGTTGCAATTAGAACCACAATCAATTTGTCTCTTTTGAATTATTGATATTGAGCTTTTTAAGTTGAAATTTCTGAATTACATTTCATTGCTGGTAAAATAATATAAAAATAGATATTACCTTTGAAAAAAAGTTCTTTATCTTCAAACTTTGACTTCAAAATATCCGAATTAAGCTTTGGATTAAGCTAATCAAAAATTTGCGTTAATGAGATCCGTTAGAAAAGAATAGAAAGCTTTTTTTTTTCGTTTTTTCGTCTAAATCTTATTCTTATTTCATTCTTATTAGTACTAGTTTTGTTGAAAGTTTTGTTTCTTTTTTGTTTTGTTGAAAATTTTGTGTTGAAAACTGCAATCCTTTGCTTCGGATTGTTAGAATAGGAGGAATGTCTGAATTTTTCGTCCCTAACATTCACTACAGTTAACAAGAAAGCTAATTGCGGCCCAGCAAGAGGCACTCACTGGAAATCACCCTGGGGTTTCCTCGAAAGTCTTAGCGAAAGCATCTGAAAACTCTAACTGTAATTATTTTCTGTGTTATTTCTATTCACAAACTCTATTACTCAATGTTTTTCTCATCATCTGAAAACGAGAAGGAAGCAGGGACCTTCGGGAAGAAAAGAACTCTAAACTTGGCGCGACAGTCGACTCCAACTTTGGACAGGCGGTTGTGGGATCGAGAAGAAAGAAAAGTGCTCCAGACTGTTCAAAAGAGAAAAGACCAAGAAGTTAAGCCCCGAGGAAAAAGAGCCGAATAAAGAGAAAGGAAATCGGAATTCCGTGGATCGGAAAAAGGAGTTAAAAAGACGGAGAAGCGGAAAAAGGGAGAAGAAAGAGAAAAGAAGAGAGAGGGGCGGAGTCGTCGGCTGCTTATAGCTGAAGAGGAGAGGTGCGCGCACACAAAGGGCCGTCCCTCTCATCGAACTCCACTTACCAGCGCTCCCCTTCCATCACCAGTCCATCCCACACCACATCAGCTAGCCACATCGGATAGTGTCTTCATTCATTTTCACTTTTCATTAGTTCTTTTTAAATTTTTTCAAATAAAGCCAAATATCCAGAGGCGATTCCAGAGATGCCGCGTGCCGCCGCTCTCCTTTTGGCGACGGCCGCCTTATTGTATTCGGGTTCGTTCATTTATTCTCAATATTTTAAAGCTTAATATTTAAAGCTCAATATTTAAACCTCAATATTTAAACCTCAATATTGAGCTTTAAATATTGAGCTTTTCAGCTTAAAGCTTTTCAAATCATTTCTCAAGTTCTTTCTTTTTCAAATCTTTTCTTTTTTACAGCTTATGCCCAAACTCCAGTGATCGGTGGATCTTGTAAAGTTGGTACTGCTGATGTGCAAATCGGTGGAAAACAGACGCAATTTTTCTTGAAATGCGAACCCACTGCTGAGTGAGTTTTAAAGGATTCTATTCTAAAGGATTGAACTGAAAGCATTCTGAAAGAATTCTGAAAGAATCTGAAAGAATCTGAAAGCATTGAAAGCCTTCTGAAAGAATTCTGAAAACATTCTGAAAGCCTTCTGAAAGAATTCTGTAAGCCTTCTGAAAGAATTCTGTAAGCATTCTGAAAGCCTTTTGAAAGCCTTCTGAAAGCATTCTGAAAGCATTCTGAAGCATTCTGAAAGCATCTGAAAGCATTGAAAGCCTTCTGAAAGAATTCTGAAAGCATTGAAAGCATTGAAAGCATCTGAAATCATCTGAAAGCATTGAAAGCATTCATTTTTCGGATTTCAACACTTTTCTTCTAGAATCTTTTCCTCTAAATCCTTTTAGAGTCTCATTGTGAAAAACGTTTCTCAAGGCCGACAAACCGGGATTCGAAACCTTTTTTATAAGCAAACATTTGAAAACAAGAAATCCAATTCAAAAGGATATCGATCTAGGAAAATAAGAATTGAAAGTGAAAAAAAAAGAGAATTTAGAAGAGAATTTAGAAGCAGCAACGGAGAAGGGGTTTGGGTGGTGAAATCTCGATCAGCCGCCTCACCGACAGTGTCCACCACGGCAGCTCCAACCGAGAACACTCAACCACAACAAAGGCCACCAATGTTCAAGTACAATCCCAATATTTGCGGTTAGTCTTCAAACTTCTTTTCTAAATGTATCAAATTTTTCATTTATTCTTTTACATTTCCTTTTCCTTTATCAATGGGTTTATTTTGATTAAAACTTATTAAAAAGTAGGAGTTTATAAGTTTTAATTCTTTATTAGGTTTTAATTCTTCATTAGTTTCTAATTCTTTATTAGGTTATAATTCTTTATTAGTTTCTAATTCTTCATTGGGTTTTCATTAGAAATCAAAGAAATTATATCTATATTAAAATCTATTAGAAGAAAAAATACCAGAATTTTAAGTATCAAGAGTGAATATCTTTTAACGTGTTTTAATTAAAAGTACTTAATGCATAATATTTTCTATTAGATATCTACTGTAGGATACTGTAGTTACTGTAGTTAGATACTATAGTTAAATACTATAGTTACTGTAGTTAGATATTACAGTTAGATACTGTAGTTGCTGTAGTTACTGTAGTTAGATACTGTAGCTAGATACTGTAGCTAGATAAGTGATTGATCTACAGTAGTTCTACAGTAGTTCTCAGTTTACAAGTTCATTTCAACTTTTCTCAACTCTATCAATAACTGATTTGAAATCTAAGCTATCACAAAAACTAGGAACAAATTGGGAAAACGAGTGAAGGTGATCGGCGATCGGAAAGGTAAAAAAGAAAAGAAAAGAAAAGAAAGGCAATAGAAAGGGGACATCAGCCACTTCCGCATTTGGGAATCCTTTTGTGGGACTTTTGTGGGACTTTTGTGAGACTTTTGTGGGACTCTCCCGTTCCTTTGCCTCCGCCGCGCCGTTTCCCTCCCCGTCTCCTCTTTTCTTCTTCTTTCTTTTGCCTTTAAAACAGTCCGCCGATTGCTTTCTCTTTTGATTTCAATTCGAATCCGTTGCTAAAGAAATCCTTCTTTGTCCCTTTTTTTCTCTTGTTCTTATTTTTCATTTCTGCAATCTCTTGCAGAAAGCTGTCAGCTCTTGTTCCACGGAAAGAGAGAAGAACTAAACTAAAACTTTTGATCGAAATATCAAGAGCAAGATCTTAATCAAGAACAAGATCTTAATCAAGAACAAGAACAAGATCTTAATCTTGACAATTTAATAAAAATCTGATTAAGCGCGATCAAAACAGATCTTAACAGATCTAAAAAAGATCTCTATAAAAACAGAACAGATCTATTAGAAATAAGTTTTTCAATTAAAAAAACTCTCCTAGTTATAGTAAAATCCCAATCTTATAGTTGTAAGCCAATTTTGTAGCTAAGAACTCGCTAAAAGTCGTTTTTGCTACAGTTTTGCTATAGTTTTCTCGCAAAAAAAAAATGCAGTCCTCACCAGTTTCACCATTTTTTTCTCCCAGCAATCCAAATCGGAGAGCGATTTCACTATGAAAGTGTTCCCGATTCCCGGAGACAGAAGTGACTCCGGAAGAAGGAAAAGACAAAGAGAGTCAACTATTTGGGTTGCTTCCCCCGGTTGGTCACTGTTCGAAGAAAGAGAAAAGCTTGAAGGAGAGATGTAGAGGGTAAAGGGGGCTGGAGGCGAAAAAGCACTCGTCTCGACTTGAAGCGCTAGTCACGACGCGTTCGGTGTCCACTCCTTAGAGGACGCAAACAGATAAGTGGTCAAGAGCATCTCTTTTTCTCTTTCTCTTCTTTCGCTAAGACTTTCGAGGAACCCCCAGGGTGATTTCCAGTGAGTGCCTCTTGCTGGACCGCAATTAGCTTTCTTGTTAACTGTAGTGAATGTTAGGGGCGAAAAATCCAGACATTCCTTCTATTCTAACAATCCGAAGCAAAGGATTGCAAACTAATGATGATTCTAGAGCAAGCTAATGACCCTAGAACAAGCTAATGACTCTAGAACTTTCAGAGCAAGACAACAATGCTCGTGAGGGTGACTCGTGCTCCGTGTCGGCTACATGTCTTCAGGCAAACATCGAAAATCCGACGACTTTCTTGCAATGCGAACAAGCTTCGACTCGTTGGATCAAGAAATCCTGTCAAGACACTTTCATCTTCAACTTTGAGCAACAAGCCTGCATTGTGCCCAAGCGCTCACCATCATCTCTCAGCCGTAAGTTCAAAGATTTAGCTTCTACTCTTTCACTCTTTCCCTAATAACCTTTAACATTTCACACTCAGCTAACTGCTTGTCTTGTCGGGATGGGTGTCCTGATGGGTTTCTTTGTTCACTTTTCACTGATTGCTGCTCGATGAACGCATCGACGACGAAAGTTCGATTCAAGGATTATGTATCAACGAATCTGGAAACAGTTGAAAACTCAATGGTGACAATGAATCCGTTGAGTTGTCAAGAATTCCCTTGCTCGACTTTTAACGATTGTCCACCAACTTTTGAATGCGAAGCCGGCTTTTGTCATTTGACCATTTGTCCTGGAAGTTCGACAAAAGTTCGATTCAAGTGTCGACACAAATATCATTGTCTAGCCGATCAGAAATGCATTTATGGTGGATGTTGTGCACAAAATCTTCAACAAAATCAAACTAAATCAATCATTAACAAAGAATCTAACTCATATTTTCCAATCACAATGCAAACAAAGACGACAACGACAATGGCAACAATGACAATGACGATTTCCTCAATGACGACAACTTTTTCGAGTCCGATTGAAATCGGTTATGGAGAAATAGAAGAAGTAATTATTGATAAGGGAATGGAAAAAGAAAATTGCGAAATCGACAATAGTTTCAATGGGAAATGCTCATTGGAAAGCCCGTGCTCGGATGAAACTGAATGTCGAGATGGGAAATGTTGTGTGATGATGAAGAGTCGTTGTGGGAATACGATGATGCCGTTGGCTTTCCCTGAGATTTGCAATGACTCAGAGCAATGTCCAGTTGGATCAATATGCGAAGAAACGCAATGTTGTCCTGACTCGAAGCCTCTAGAAACAATCACAACAATCACAACAATCACAGCAACTACAACAATGCCAACGACAACAACAAGGAAACAAGAGGTAGAGAAATGAAATCATTTACTTTAATCATTAACTTTCTAGCAATGTCTTCCATCAATGAAATGCAATGCAACGGCTCTTTGCCCTCCTGAATTCACATGTTCTTTAAGTGGACGATGTTGTCGATACTCTGTCTATTGTCCAAATAAAACGATACCCGAAGCACTTTGCGACTTTGCGAAAGATTTGTGCCCAAGTGTTGAGCATTCTTGTATGCAACTCTCGCAATTGATCTATGCTTGTTGTCCATCAGGTAACAATTTGACATAAGATCTGTTTTAAAACTACAGCAGTTTTGAAAATAATATAAGTCATTTCAAAATCAAAATTCTAGGCAGAGTGGAGAGTATTGAGGAGATCTCTGAAAAGGATATGATAGAAATGATGGTACAATCAAGCACAAAGACGTCTTTTCATCAATCAAGATTTGGAAAAAAGGGCGGCTGTCCAACTGGGAGCATACAGGTATATTCGATTCGAACTCTTCACTGTCCATATACAGTACTGGACAATTGAAAAACGATCGCCACTTTCGCGCGCCTGTAACTTCCTTGTCTTTGAGTTTAAACTATTAGTGTTATACATTTTCTGAAAGCTCTTTTCAAGGGCTACACAATGGTAATATTAATCTTTAGAAATACGGTAAAGACAAGGGAGTTACAGACGCGCGAAAGTGATGATCGAATTTTCAAAAATGATATTTCATTGTCCAGTAGTGTAGGTATAATCGCAAAAAAAAACAAACCGAACATGTCCAGTAGTGTACATATTATTGCACAAGAAATGGGAAATGTTGTGCTCGCTTTCAAAATCGATATTTCTTTATCAAAATCAAATTTATCTCAATTCTAGGTTCCACCGAAAATCGGTCGAACTTGTCGCTACAGTCTTCACTGTCCATATCCATATTATTGCACAAGAAATGGGAAATGTTGTGCTGAATGCTAATTTATTGAGTACGTTGTTTTTGAATTCGTCAATCTTTCCATTCATATTTCTTTTCAGATCACTCGAGCGAGGCCAAACGGATCTTAAAACTAATCTTGCCTAACACAGTGCTTTTGAAATCACTAATAAACTTTTACTAACACTTGAATTCTAACAATAAAAAGAAAGAAAGAAAAAAAGAAAGAAAGAAAGAAAGAAAAAAAGAAAGAAAGAAAGAAAAACATGAAAATAGAAGTGCTCAATTTTAGGTCAAACGGTTTCTGGATTGGTCTGCACCTATTCCTCTTGCTCAAACTCTAACCCTTGCTCCTCCGGTACTTGCAACAACGGATATTGCTGCTCGTCTTCTGGCAATAGTGGATCTCAAATCATTGGTTAGTTAAAGAAAAATGGTGAGAGTTAAATCTAACATTAAATCTAACATTAAATCGCTTTTCTAGCATGTTTCACAATGCACTTGCTTAGTTTTTTTTTTATAACCGCTAAAGTCTAAAACCTAGTCAGCACTGAGCTTTTGTTAGTATTGCACAAAAAAAAATTACAATTCCTAACCTCGACTTTAGCATTCGAGCACAATCGTGTAAAGAGAGTGCGTAGAAGAGCACTGAAAAGGGAAACAATGGTGTTGAAAGCGGCCGCTGATTGGCCAATCGGTCCACCGGGTAGGGGATTCCCGATGGAGATTTCGAAACTCGACTCAGTTCTCATCAAAGCTCGCGGCGATGGAAGTACGGCACTCAATTCTCTAACCAATTCGCATGTGTTTGTAGATGTTTGCGCTGGCGGCTTCGAGTCGCCGATCGCTTGCGGCACGGTCGGCCTTGAGCCTTGCCCCGTCGGGTTGCACTGTGACGAGCTGCTGCACGTGTGCTGTCCTCTGTTGTTGCCGCTAGTCGACTCGCGAAATCCAAGCCGAATCCTTGACATCTACCGCCCAGAGACTGGCTTTCGCATTGAGCCTGAATCCGGCCCAATTCGAATGCACTCACTCTCCAGAAAGCCAGCTAATTGTAACGCTTTTTTTTTAATTTTGCTTGTTAAATCTCTCACACCAATGCACATAACAAAAAAACATTCGTTTTTGTCGATTTACTTTTCGTTATTGAAGTGGCTTTATTTTTAGTTGCTCAACCCAGCAGCTCATCGTGCAATGGATGCCAACAAGCTCCACAAATCATCACAATTCGTAAGTGGCTTTCTAAAGTACTTGTACTTACCCGAGCTTTAAAAACGTAACCACGCTGATTCTTTGTTGTTTGCTGTGACAATTTTGTTGAAATAACAAAAGCCACTAAAAAAAAACCACTAAAAAGCCACTAAAAAGCCACTAAAACAAAGCGTTTAAGTTGAATGAGTTTTTGAAAGAGTGTTTGTCGAGTGTTTGTCGTGTGGTGACTCCTCGGCGCTCACAAGGTTTCAGCTAGTTGTACGGCGGGATGTCCACGCGGGTACTCGGGCTGTTGTGGGACGTCGAGAGCGAGCTGCTGCCTGCGACAACAGTGCCCAAATGGGATGCAAACGACAGGACAACGCTGCTCATCCGAGTGTGCCCAGGCGTCACAATTGTGCGTCTCAGGGATCTGCTGCTCATCAAACTCTTCTCCACAGCAGATCACCATCGCTTTCCAACCCTCGTGTACCGTAACTGCTTTATTTTTTTTTCCTTTTGTTCATTTCTTTACCCACTTTCCCCCACTCTCCTCACTGATCACTTCAACCTTTGTGTTGTAGACACGGAATTCCAAATCTAAACAATAATTTCACTTTCATTTTCTTGACCAAATCTTAAACGATTGCTCTGAAATAAATTCACAAATAGAAATAGATTGAAATAAATTGAAATAAATTGAAATAGATTGAAATAGATTGAAATAGATTTAAATAGATTACAGATTTACAAATAGAAATCAATATCTTCAGCTTTTAGACATAATTGGTTTGATTTCAAAGCAATCGACCAACAAAAAAAAAGAGCTGAGAAAAGTGAATAGTGAAATTAGATTCGGCTTGGAATTTTCCTATGTCTAGTGTGTAGTGTGTCCTCACTCTAACGATCCTTTTTTTTTTCTTCAAATCCAACAAAATTTTCACCACACTTTAATCCCTCTTTTTTTCTTTCAGCCAGTTGCCCCGGTGGGTCGAGCTCTTATGGAAGCTGTGCATCGACTGGCTTCTGTGCCACTGGATATCAATGTATTCAGGGATCTTGTTGCCCATCTTACTCTCAACCATCAGTCACCGTTTGTAAGTGATAAGGAAATCTTTTCTAAAATCAAACCAATTTCAGACACTTGCCCCGGAGGTGGATCAGCGGTTGGCAATTGTGTTTCCGGTGGATGTGCTACTGGCTACACTTGCTCATCTAGCAACCAGTGCTGTCCGACCACCAATCCATTTGTCTGCTCTGATGGTACCCAGGCTGCTGGTGGCTGTGTGAACGGACTTTGCGGTACCGGATACACTTGCACGAATGGACTCTGCTGTGCATCGACGTCCTCATCGCCAAAATGTCTTGATGGATCGCCAGCTGTTGGTGCTTGCATTCCATCGTGCACTGGGAATGGCTGTGGTGGAACGACGCTCACCTACTACTGTGGATCTGGATACACTTGCACGACTGGAAACATTTGCTGCCCAACCACCAGTTGCCCAGATGGAGGAGAACCAATTGGGCCAACCGTGAACGGTTTGTGCCCCACTGGCTACTCAGCCCAAGGAAACCAGTGTTGCTCGATTGTGGCCACGTGTCTGACTGGAGAAACGAACATCGGTCTCCCAGTCAATGGTCTGTGCCCAACTGGCTCAACTCTTCGTGGAACAGTCTGCTGCTTGACGTCGACAACTGTCTCGTTCGCGCAAGCTTGCCCGGTTTCCGTCCAACTCGGCCCATGCCTCTCCACCAACTCAGCCTTCGACACTTGCGGTGGTCAACTCGGATACGCTTGCCGTGCCGATGCTGACGGTGTTACCACCTCGATCCCGCTCGTCTGCTGTCCACTCGTCGACTATTTGGTAAATTTTGAAAAAGAATAACTGTAGATACAAGAGCTGCGTCTAGACTCTAGACTCTGTCTTTGCCCATTAATCCTCCGCACGCAGTGGGTCATTCCAAATGACTTATAATTAGTTTGACTTAAAATTTCATCTAGTTGTGCAACAGGTTTTTTAATTTTTAAAAAACCAAAAGTGCCGACTCGGGCGGGAGTCGAACCCGGGTCGTGTGGGCTAGAGACAAGTGCGCTGCGCCATCTACTAGAACATTAGCCAAGTAGTCAACGTGGGCGTCTCTCAAACGAATGAAAGAGCTGGGTCGCCCGTTCGACTCCTCTTGCCGCCAATTCTTTTGCTTTTAACACCAAAATCTTCTAGGATCCCACGCTAATCATTGGGCCAGCCATCGGAAACAGTTGCCCGATCGACTACACTCCAGTCTTCATTCCAGCTGACGGAATCATCGAATGCGTTGCTCTTTCCTCAAGTCAGTGTTCAAAAGTTGAACTAGATCGAGTTTTTCAATTTTGCCCAGGAAACAAAAGAGATTTTAGTCCCTGGCCTTTGCGCTTCGACTTCTCAATCCGGCCCTTGCATCTCGGGAGATTGCCCATCTGGTTACACTTGCAACATCTACGCTGATGTGAGTTTTTAAACCGAAACGAATCTTGCTACAAATTCAACAAGTTTAGGTCTGTTGCACAGACACAATGAGCATGAGCCGTTTGAGAAACGGAGTCCCAACAATGCCGCCACGTTCGATCTTCGCTAACAAGCCACAACCACCACCAGTCGCAACAGGTGGGCCGACTCGTCTCCGCACTTCTCCATCCCCCAAAAGCAGCATTGCTGCTTTGTTTTGGCCCTTTGTGCTCTTTCTTTTTACTGCTTTTCCTTTTTTTTTTTGTAAAACAAAACCGCTTTAACCCACCCGAATCTCTAGGTTAACCTGAGATTTGTAGAAATCTATTTCAAAATCTATTTCAAAATCATTTTCTAAATCAGTCTAACTTCCCAAAAGGAAAACCAAGAGATTTGGCTTTGTTTGCAGCGTGCCCGAGTGGGGACGAGCCGGTGTCGGCATGCATAAATGGTTTATGCGGCGCGGGTCTCGAATGTTACAACAAGTTGTGCTGTCCGGCCGGCTTGAATCCATCGTATGGATCGGGAGAGGAAAATCTATCGTCACTTCTCGCAGCGGCCGCCTCATCATCATCATTTGATCATCGACATAAGAGTATGTGTGCGATTTAACCCTAGTACCCACTTGGCTCGCCGTTGGCTCGGGTTTCTATCGGCTTCATTGAAAAGACAAGAATAGATAAGTACAATTGTAATAGATAAGTACAATTGTGATAGCTAAGTACAATTGTAATGGATAAGTACAATTGTAATAGATAAGTACAATTGTAAAGTTTCAAGTCTGATAGAAACCCGAGTTTTATCTCTAACCCGTTGGCCCACTTGTTCAGGGTTGTGCCCGAATGGCGAGGAGGCGCTGAGCAGCTGTTTCTCTGATGGATCGTGCGGTGATGGCCTCGTTTGCCTTGGATCAGTGTGCTGCGGCACGCCGAGTGTCTCGTCGATTGATCGATCGAGCATGCACTTCAACCAGGCTCGCCCCAGTAAGTGCTCACATTACCCTCAAATAAACAGAACCTTCAAACGCTTTACTCACGCTTTCCAACCGCTCCCCATCCATAATCAGCACCGTATCCACAAAACCCAGCGCACCAACTCACCAAAAAATGCTTTCGAAAACACAAAACCTTGCTTTACTTGACGTGTGCTTTCAGAATTTGATGAAATTGAAATAATGCTTGCTTTCTTTCCAAAGAGTTTCTCCACATTCTCATTTTTTTTAAAAAAGCAAACAAGCACACTGATTGAGTAGCCAAAAAAAGCGCACATCTAAGACGCACATCTTAGAAAGTTTCCCAAAAAAAAAATGGAAATTTGAACGAGCTGTGGTTGCAGGCAACTCAGCGATCGGAGCCCCGTGCCAGGCTTCGCAGCAATGTGCCGGCTTCTCGGAGGGTCTCTCGAAATGTGAGCGTCGCGTTTGCCGTTGCACCTCGATCGCCTACGCCAAGGGAATCGCCTGTGTCCGAAAGAAGATGCTCAGTATGTCACCCAGTCACCTCTCTCAAATCCTTGGCAAAAACATTTTCCCCTTATCCGCTTCTCCTCTCTCTCCCCCCTCCATTTCACTCTGAGATCGGCTTCAAACCAAACAAATAGCTGTGCAACAAATGCGGAACGTGCACCAAAAAAAGAAAAGGAATTTTCTTCTCTAATTTTCACAAATCTAATCTTTTATCGAAATAGTTTTGAAGCCGGTTTTAAAGATGTAAAGAGGATCAGAAATAGAGTGTGTTCGAGCGAGTAATGCGTTTTTTTTTTAAAATGCATACTTGGGAAAAATTTGCGTACTTTTAGCGGAAATTATTGCAAAAATTGGCGCAAAAAAGTTACGAGCGTCGAGTTATATACGATTTCTTTTAAAGATATTCAGCTATTTAACTGATTTGGTGGGGAAATTCTTTTTAAATGTAAAGATATTTAGATCTTTAACTGATTTGATGACAGATTTCCCTTTAAATAGAAAGATATTCAGCTGTTTAACTGATTTAGTGGGGAAATCCCTTCAAATATAAAGATATTCAGGTGTTTAAATGCTTTGATGACAGATTTCCCTTTAAATAGAAAGATATTCAGCTGTTTAAATGATTTGGTGAGGAAGTCCCTTCAAATGTAAAGATATTCAGCTATTTAACTGATTTGATGACAAATTTCCCATTAAATATAAACACATTCAATTTACTCGACGTGTAAAGAGGGATTACTCGTAGTTAGCCAACAAAAACGTCAATGAATCTCGAGTAAAAATGAATGTTGCAAATTTGACTCAAGTAATCACTTATTCGCAAAGAACACACTCGAATCAAAAGTGATTTTGAAATCATTTGTTACTAGAAATAAGTCAATAAAACTATTGACTTTGACTTAAAAACGAAAATGACAAAGAATGAAATGTTTTTTTTTGAAAATTTCAGTGTTCAACGACGAGCCAGTGCCCGTGGAGGCTGAGTCGAACTCGATTGTCGCCGCCGCTCCACCCAGCTAGAAGAACTCGAACAAATATCAAATATCACGAAGAGAATTCAAAACAAAACATTTCCAAATGCTCATCGAATAGCCATGATTTGAGTGAAGATTTGAACCCTTCATTTCACACCATTCGCTCATGTTTTTTTTATTTATTATCTTCAATTCAATTCAATTATCATTCAACATTCAACAATGCTCTTTTTCTCGTTTCATTTTCGAATTCCTAGCCAACTGTGATTTTTGAGTCTCTTCTTTTCCAAAATCATCAACAAAGGTGTACGCGATTTGGTGCGTTTTTTCTTTTGTCTTCATTTATTCTTCAAAACTTTTACATCCCCACATTGGTGCAACTCGCCAACTTGTAATTCCGTTTAGGAATGTTTTTCTTTAATCTTTTTTCATCTTTTTCAAACCCTGTGCCATGTGGCCTTTCTCTTCTGTGCTTTCATTAGTTCTTCTTCTTTTTCTCCTTCTTCTTCTCCTTCTTCTTCTCCTTCTTCTTCTTCTCCTTCTTCTTCTTCTTCTTCTTTTTTTCTTCTCTCTCACTTTTGCCGATTGTCTTTCAGTCTTTCTTTCCCCCAAACTTCTCAAGCGGCGCTCCAGCAGTTCAGTGTTTTTTTTTTCTCGATAAAATTTTTCCTTTAGAAATAAATCAATATTTTATCGAAGCTTTCACAAATGAAAAAAAGTTCTCAAAGAAACTTTGAAGCATAAGAATTACTCTTAAAGAGAGTAATTTTTGAAAGTTCTTCATGATAGAGATAAAAAAAATAATACTAACTAAGCATGCTGTCCTTTTCTTCTCATCTTCTTTGTGTGTCCCCTCCTCTTTCTTCTGCTGTAACCGTTTTTTTTTTTTCAAAAAACAAACTAAACAAAAACTTTTTCTTGATAAATAAATTGTTTTTGATTAACAAGCTGAGGAAACTCTAACTAGAAATACTTTTAAAATACTTACATCAGAAAAATCTCATACACTAAAGTATTACTAAAGTGTTCTTTTATGCATTCTAATAGTAAATGCTACTTACAAAGCTGATAGAAAGAGTTTAGAGTTTAGAAAAGAAACGGAAACTCTATAAAAGAAAATAAAAAGATTTTCCTTGGCTAGTCGAGATCAGGACTTTACCGTCCACAAAAATTTGGATCAGGCTTCTGTTTTGTGCTTTAAAAAAAAAAATACCGACTGGGGCTACCAGTGGTGAATTTATCGCATACACGAAATATATCAATCACAATACAACGACACACACAATACTAGGCTATATCTTAACTTAACCCACGTCATGACAGACGGCTCCCTAACCCTAAGCTCAATGGGGAACTAAATAGCTTTTTTGGTGGTGAAGGGAAGATGACGATGAAGGAGTGGCTTGTCACTCTAAAGAACTGGGGCCACAACCACCAGACTGCCCTCCAGAAAACCTCTCAACCCGAAGGGAAAGGAAATCCGAAGGGGGTGACCATGTCGCATGTGGGGTTCGAACCCTCGACCTTCCGATTAAGATAACAGACACTTAACCAGTCAGCCACACGTGCTATCTGTTTTGTGCTTGGCTTACAGGCTTTGTTAAAACAATTGTCCTAAAAGCTTTGTTAAAACGTTTTTCTCACCAGGATTTGAATTTGTGAACCTGTAACATTCGAAAAAGATCTAAAATTTCTCGAAACTCTAAGCTGAAAGACATACCTTTTACTTCTTTTACCTCTTTTATCTCTTTTACCTGAAAGACATACCTCTGGATACCTTTTAATGTCATAAAGTTAACAAAAAGATTTTCAACCTATATTCTTACATTAATAGCCTATAGAATATAACAAATAGCTCAAAAAAACAACTTTCATACTTGAGACGGGCAAAAAAAACCTATAACTCATGTATTTGTGTGATCGAGATGAAGAGAGAATTCAGGTGGAAATTCGAAATCGCAAAACGCACCTGTTTTCTTTGCTTTTTCTCACTTTTCACCTGATCTACAGTAAGGCATTTTTTTTTACTTTTTTTACATCCAATTTCTCACCAAAAAGTCGACTAATGGAATTTCTTCAATCCGAAGCTCAAGTTGTGATGACAAATAAGTTGCTGATGTTTTTACTGCTTGAACTGCTTGAACTGATAGAACTGATAGAACTGATAGAACTGATAGAACTGCTTGAACTGCTTGAACTGATTGAACTGCTTGAACTTGAACTGCTTGAACTGCTTGAGCTGCTTGAACTGATAGAACCGATTGAACTGCTTGAACTGTTGAATTGCTTGAACTGCTTGAACTGATAGAACTGATAGAACTGATTGAACTGCTTGAACGTGAACTGATAGAACTGATAGAACTGCTTGAACTGATTGAACTGATAGAACTGATAGCTGGCGGCTGCTTGAACTGCTTGATGAACTGCTTGAACGCGTGACTGCTTGAACTGCGACTGAGCGATTGCTGCTTGAACTGTTGATGCGAACTGCTTGAACTGATAGAACTGATAGAACTGATTGAACTGCTTGAACGTGACTGATAGACTGATGACTGTTGATGTTGACTGCTTGAACTGTTGATGCTCTGTGCTGCTTGACTGATTGAACTGCTTGAACTGCTAAAAGCTCACGTTGAACCCGGTTAATCCACAGGTTCAACGAAATGCCTATAATCATATCGTGTACTGGAAAAATTAACTTTATAACTAGATATTTCATTGAAATCTCTTGTTCTTAACTAGTGAAAGAAAAAGCTGATGAAATTTCACCCCTAAAACAGTTAAACGTTTTTTGCACGCCAATCAATTTCCTCATCAAACTTCAAGCCAACTTGTACGCTTGCTGTTGCTCCCCTTTTTGAGGAATTAATTCGCAAAAATTTTCCGCTGAATCAGACAACCGACGTCAATGAAAAGCAATTTTTAGAAAGCCTTGGAGAACAGGTGAAAACGAGGAGAAGTCGGGGCGGGGCTCCTCCTCCATCTTCTTCTTCTTCTAGATCCCCATCATTCCTTCACTTCTCATTTTCACAAGAGTGACCCTCTCGGAGATGAAGTCGATCACCCCGTTTCTTTCCCTTTTGGCCTTTCTCCTCCTCTCCGCACAAGCATACGGTAATTAGAAGGATTCTGAAATTCCGAAATTCCGTAATTCTTGTGGACTTTAGTTTAAGAAATTTCTTTGAGAGATAAGCCAAAAAAGGGAATCAACTGGATAATCTCAGGTATCAAAATCGTAATCTAGATGTTTCATAGATGGTTCATACTGTAAATTCATTGAGAGCTTATGCTTACTTGGATGCAAATGTCCGATAGCTGAACAAGAGCCTAAAAAACTTTAAACCATAGGATAATATTTGCATTAGTTGATCGTTTCGTTTCTTGGGAAGTCCAGTTTCTGACTCAATTCCACTCTTAAAGCTGTCAAAACTGAGTTTAAGTGAGTTTTTCTAGAAGTGCTCCTCTGTGAACAGCAACCCGAGTTGTGCAATTTGCTCGCCGTCGAACGCGATTCCCGACTCCCGATCTCTGATGTGCCAAAGCGTGAGTACTTTAAAGAATATCTAGATCTTTACGGTTAACGGCGAGGGCCAATTTTTTTGGCCAACTTGCACCTCATTTTTAAGCACCTTAAACTTGTCAGATCAGAAAGTTTTAATAAGATTTAGATAGCTTAGAACGTTAGCTTTCATAAACTATTTATTTCATCAAAATCTCTTAACATAAACTTATATAAAATCGAGCTGCAAGTTGGCTAAAAAAAAGCGCCCCGGTCGTTAAGCGTAAAGGTTCGAAAATCACAATATCTAATCTAATAAATTTCAAAAAGTCTAATGATATCTTTGATCGTTGAAAACTAAAAATTGAAGACACACAAAATTGAAATACTTAAATCAAGTCAATCTTAAGTTGTGCACGAGTTAAGCAAACTCGCCGAGTTGAGCAGTTAAGCAAACTCGGTGCTGCTCTAAAGCTAAAGATCTAATCTAAAGAAGACCTAAAGAAGATCTAAAGAAGATCTAAAGAAGGTCTAAAGAAGGTCTAAAGAAGGTCTAAAGAAGGGCCTAAAAAGATCTAAAGAAGATCTAAAGAAGTTCTAAAGAAGATCTAAAGAAGCTACTCGACTTAGCATCAACTTAAGTAGAGGTCATTGAGCTAAGTAAACTCGCTAAGTATGCAGCTAAGCAAACTAAGCGCTGTTCAAAAACACTTTGCAAATCTAAGGAGTAGAGCGAATAATTAAGTACAAAGCATCAATGTAGATGTGTTTTTTTTTCTTTTCTCATCATCAAAACCCCTCAAAAAGAGACGATGAGATAATTGAAAGCTTACAATGAAATCCCCTTTTCATCACTAACAAACGAAAATTTTGTCTTGAAAAAATGAAAATGAGAAAAAAAAACTGTTTTCAGTAAAAAGTTGCGTTTTTTCCCTCAAAATTCACTTCAAATTATTGGGTATTCAGTCATTCAACTTGAAATTTCGTTTTTATAAAGAAATTTCAAGATCTGCCCCGCTCAATGATGCAACTAACACTTAAATTTTTTTTTATTTTTGACAAATGAAAAGAGGCGTTGACCTTCTCAAGCGAATGATTTCATGATAGATCTTTTGATACGAGAAAAAAACTATTGCAAAAAGAAGAAAGGTTTTTTGGATTTATTAGAAAATGAGCTAAAGAACATTTTGCTAGTTAAAAAAAGATCAGAAATAAACTAGAGTTTCATAAAGTTGAGTGCAGCATCGATCTGGAACGCTTGATGAGCTCTGGCATACTTTGCTCGGCTCAATGACCTCTACTTAAGTTGATGCTAAGTCGAATAGCTTCTTTAGAACTTCTTTAGATCTTCTTTAGATCTTCTTTAGATCTTTTTAGGCCCTTCTTTAGACCTTCTTTAGACCTTTTTTTAGATTAGATCTTTAGCTTAAGAATACTGTAAAGTGCTAGTAGTTCGTATTTTGTCTTACTACAGTATACCTAATCATTCACAGAACTCAACTCAACAGTACCAAAGCTTAAAAATTGGATCAAGTTTCCATCTTGATTCCTGAAGGTTTATTTTTCATTGGGCCAATCATTGGGCCAATCAACATTGGACATTGGACGAGCGTTGCTCAATTCTGATGCTCTTTTCTGGTCAATTCTGATGCTCTTTTTCAACTCTAGCATACTGTAGACAAGACAAAATATCAATAATTTAGAGAATTTTTTTAATGTTGACATTTTTAGAAAAAGGTTTTAGTCATTTTTTTTTTTCAGATGCTGAGAAACGAGCCTATGACTTTGTGCGTTTCGGACGCTCTGACCCAGCAATTGGCAAGGAAAAGAAAAACTCCTACGATTACATTCGGTGAGTGTAAAGCTTGTAAAACTTGTAAAACTTGTAAAACTCTTTAGCTTCGGCAAGCGATCTGCTGGATTGTTGGCTGAGGATTTGGTGAAATTTTGAGTGCCCGGCTCGCCAATCGATCTCGCTGGGTTTTATTGTAAAAGAAAATTTCTCTCTTATTGCAAAAAAAAAAATCTCTAAATTTTATCGTTGTGCATGTTTAGAGAAAGGGGAAAAAGGGAAGAAAAAGAGAAAGAAAAAGAAAAAGAAAAAGAAAAATCGTGCAATAATTTTTTTTTCGGGGGTTTTTGAGAGATTGAGAACTACTCTCTGTCAATTGGCTACATGCATTCCCTAGAAAAAATCAAAAACAACATCAACTTTTTATCCTTTTCTTGATCAAAATCTCCTCTATCTTCAAATTTTTCCTTTTCTGTTTTTCTTTTTTTTACATACAAATCGACAATTCATCAAACAAAAACATTTTTGTGTACCTTTTTCTTTTTGATCTCATTTCGTGTTTGAAATAAAATTTGTGAAGAAATATATATATATATATATACGTCCGAATGTTACGTCCGAATCTGAGGAGACGTCCATCTCCGATCCGAACGTCTGAATCTGAGGAAATTCATTCTCCTCCGAAACGAAAGTCCGCCTCTGAAACGAACGCCCGACTCAGAGTCGGACGTCCATCTCTGAGCCGGACGTCCGTTTCAGAGGAGAATGAACATTCTTCTCGGAATCGGACGTCCGATCTTGAGAACTGCAAATGCAAAATGTTTTAAACAAAACATCTCCGATCCGAACGTCTGAATCTGAGGAAATTCATTCTCCTCCGAAACGAACGTCCGCCTCTGAAACGAACGTCCGACTCACATGTATTCAGATTCAAATTTTCCTTTTTCTTTCAAATTCAAAGATGCAGCAGAATTGAAGTCCCGTTTTCGTTGAATAGAGAATATCGTCGGTGAAGATTTTGCTCCGCTTTTGTTCTCCAATTGCTTTCTGATTGCAACAGCTCGAACATCTTTTTGTACTTTTCAGTGTTTGGGAAACAACTTCGTTGCCCGAGTTGCTCATCGAAGCCCGTCATTCACAAACTAAAAAAGAAACATATAGTTAAAAAACATAGTTAAAATGTATAGATAAAAGAAAAAAAATAAAACATCTTTGCCAAATTGCCAAACCGTACATATTACCAAATTATTTGTAAAGAAAAAAAAATAAATTGAGAGAATTTCCATTTTAACTTCCTTTTTCATTTGTTTTGTTCAAAAGATTGGATTTTGCATTTAAACTATTTGTTGTCAAGATCGGACGTCCGATTCCGAAAAGAATGATCATTCTCCTCTGAAACGGACGTCCATCTCTGAGTCGGACGTCCGTTTCGGAGGAGAATGAATCTCCTCAGATTCGGACGTCCGGATCGGAGATGGACGTCTCCCCAGATTCGGACGTAACATATATATTATAAAAATCTTGTATTTTCTTTGAAGATCTTAATATTTTTTTGAAAGATTTATTTATCTATTGCAAAAAAGATCTATCGATGAAGGCAATCAGTGTCCTTGGTGTGAAGAGAGAAGCTCCAAAGTTTGAGCGTTGTACGTCTAGAAAGGATTTCAATAAAGAGAAATTTGTTAAATAATTTCAAAACTAAAGATATAGTCGATTCTATAGAAATAGAAATCAAATAGATTTCTAGAAAAAAGGAAAATCAGAAAGTTTACCTCTCGTGGGCTGTTTCCGCCGGCGACATATCGGCTGGGGATGTCGAATGACGCTTTGAAAGTGCAAGTTGGAATGAAGCGGCGAGTCTGAATAGAAAATATTTCGAAAATTTCTGATTTTCTCACGAATGGCAGTGTTCCACATTTGTGGTAGACATTGAATTTGGTCTTAATTCCGCCGAATTCGGATTGCGATCCTTGGAGACGGAAACGACCTTGCGAGTCGCTCTTCCCCGAGGCCAACTTGTCGTCCAAAACTGAAATTCAAAATCAAATACTTGGTGTAATTAGCTGTTTTATGCTCTTAAAGCTTTTATGAGCTTGATCTCACTAAAGAAATTTGAAATTAGTTGAATTAGTTGAAACTAGAACAGATTAGAAATCTTGTGCGTCGCCGGGACTTGAACCTACTTATCGGACAAGTGTGCTAAGAATTACACCACAAGAGGACCGTTCTCCTTTACTCTAGAGGGGCTTAACTAGTTACTATTGTAGTTACTATTGTAGTTACTATTGTAGTTACTATTGTAGTTACTATTGTAGTTACTATTGTAGTTACTGTTGTAGTTACTGTTGTAGTTACTTTTGTAGTTACTATTGTAGTTACTATTCTAGTTACTATTGTAGTTACTTTTGTAGTTACTTTTGTAGTTACTTTTGTAGTTACTTTTGTAGTTACTTTTGTAACTAGTTAACTCCCTCTAGAGTAATCTTGAAGGATTTGAGTTAGTACCGATTAAGGCACTTGCCAAGATCATGATTTAGAATAGGGTACTGTTGTACTGATGTACAGTACTACTAAGCGAGAAATTACTTGTGATTTACTGTAAGATAAAAAAGGTATCACTCACGTGTGTCCTTTTCATAGAGCTTCACGAGAACTCCCGAAGCTGGTCGTCCATCGCAAGTCAAAACGCCTTCAACGGCAACCGAATCGGCCATACAAGCTCCAAAAAGACCAAGCAGAGCAACACCCACGAACAACATCTTTCCTAATCGAAAAGTAATAATAAAGACTCACAAATCTCAAGAAAAGCCAAGCCTTATATCTTAAAAAGCTGAACGATTCATTCGCCTAACGATAACGATAAACAAAATGGAGTGGATATCAGAGAAATGACGCCAAATGAAGAGATCCGGCAATGGCGATCCCCGAGCGACCTTGCTTTGTTTTCTTTTTTTGGGAGATTTCTCAATTTTTGGAAAACTTTTCCGCCCACATACTCTCTTCTTTTTTCGGATAGGCTTTCAGTCAATGAAAAAAAAAAAAACAATTACCAGAGCTATACTTGAAGGTCAAAAACAGAAACGGGGAAATCGTAGATCGGAAAATATTTCCTTTTACAAAGCTCTCATTTCTAAACGGTTTTCCAAGTGAACTTCTTGAAAAATATACCTGAAAAAGTGACTTCAAAATGACTTCAAAATGCAGAAACACTTTTCTCGGCTGCTTAGATTCGATAGATCGTTGAGATTTTTAACTTTAGCATTTTCAACGTTGCCGTCTTGATTTCGCGTTTGTGAAGTTTTGTGATGACCGTATTGGCGCGGAAATTAAAGTTCCTCAAAAAGTGATAACGAATTCCGATTCTCCATCCCAGAATGCCTTCGGTTACAAGTTTTCCCGTCTACAGCTAACATAGATCGCTTTGAGCTAAGCCAAAAAACGGCAGCCAAGCCAAAAATGACTTTGTCGTGAATGTGTTAAATAGAAAATCAAAATCTCTTTCAAATCCTTTCCCCAATAGTTCAATACTTTCTTTTCGACCACCACTTTTTAATTCAAAATCTAATCGCTTCATACTTTTGTCATCACTAAATTATGCAAAATTATTCTCTAGTTTTAATGATAATAAGCTTTAATAAAGCTAAATTTGAATTCAACTTTCAACTGAATCAATTTACGATTTAGAACTTGTTAATCAAAAATTTATTGAATATTTTATATCTGGAATCGCATCAGTGATGATGGCAAAGAGAAAGAATGATTTTTAAATGAGAAATTAGACTCTGAAACGTCCATTACTTTTGGTTTAACAGAATGTAGAATTTGTGCAAAAATAAAGCCAAGAGTCAAGTAAAGACAAAAATTATTCCCAAAAATTCCCCAAAACCCCCCAAAGCAGCGGCGAAACCAGGTCAGTCGCTCATCAGAAAAGGGCATCAGCATTGACCAACGCTCGCCCAATGTTGATTGGCCCTATGGCAGATGGAATTCGAATTCGTCATAAATTTTATCCAACATGCTCCAGTGACAAATAAAGAAAAAGAGATGTCATTAACATTTCAAATGTTGAAAAGAGAGGAAGAGTTTGAAGATCTACTGAATTCTTGAAAAATTTCCACCACGATCACCTGTTGCGTTTTGCGGTGAGTAAAACGTCTAACGATGGGTGAAAATATGGAAAAACTATGGATAATGAAAGCCAGGGCAGCTGGTAATTAATAATATGATTTTTAAAAGCTTTTTTAAAAATGCAAAAGTCTTTCGCTCCTGGGTGGGTTCGAACCACCGACCTTTCGGTTAACAGCCGAACGCGCTGCCGATTGCGCCACAAGAGCAGATGTTCGCCTGGAAGATTTAACTCATCAAAGGAGAGGGCGCTTGGTATAGTTCTCAAAAACGGCCTACTTTTTGGATAACAATAACTGATAACAAGCGCCCTCCCTTATTTGACCATGTACATCCCGCCAGAGCCACGAGCTCTTGTGGCGCAATCGGCAGCGCGTTCGGCTGTTAACCGAAAGGTCGGTGGTTCGAACCCACCCAGGAGCGAAGATCTTTTGCATTTTTAAAAAAGTTTTTAAAACTCAGATTATCACTTACCACAAGAGGTTTGCGAGAGGATTTAATCAGTCAAATCGCAGACAGCAAAGTGATTTCTAATAAAATCTTACCGACTGGTGGTGACTCATGGTATTTGTGTAAAAGATTATCAGAATTGGGCACCGCCTCATCCAAATCGCTTTCATCTCGTCTTCACTCACCGTCGCTCGCTTTGCCATCAATGAAAAATATGTGGCTCAATTGGCTCAAAAATGGAACAGTATGTGGGTTAAAAGTGCACATTTGACTCAGCAAGTTTGGCTTTTGAAATACTGTTGTAGATGTCGATTTTAAAAATTTCATTTCTCAAGTAAGCAAAATTCTTATCTATTGTTGTACAGGAAAAGTTTTGTGCTTCACTTTTATCATTCATTTAACTTAAAGGCCATTTTCTAAGCTTTCTAGTGCAAGAAAAAGGTTTTAATTTAGCTTAAAGAACTTCTTTGTGACTCACCCTAACTAGGAAAGCATTCTCAGTGCCCCAAACGATCATTGTTGGTGGCTATTTTTAAATTGAGTTCGAAGTTTCTATTTTCTTTCTAAAACATGATTAAATAATTTATTTTTGAAAAAATGCACATTTGACTCAGCAAGTTTGGCTTTTGAAATACTATTTTAGATGTCGATTTAAAAAAAATCATTTCTCAATTAAGCAAAATTCTTATCTAATGCATAAATATGAAAATCATTCTCTAAGAAAATCCTCAATGTGATTGTTGACAGTTTCCGGGCAATCCTGTTGAACCCAATGCGATGCACCTTCGACAAACTCAAGCCGAGCTCGCTCGCAGAATTGTAGCGACAAATCGGCTCCCTCCTACAAGGACAAGTTGTGTACTTCATTTTTATCATTCATTTAACTTAAAAGCCATTTTTCTAAGCTTTCTAGTGTAAGTACAAGGTTTTAATTTAGCTTAAAGAACTTTTTTGTGACTCACCCTAACCAAGAAAGCATCCTCAGTGCCCCAGACGATCATTGTTGGCGGCTATAAATTGAGTTCTATGTTTCTATTTCTTTCTAAACCTTGATTAGATCATTTTTTGAGAGTCTCGATTTCCCTTTCATCGCACATCGATACCAATTAATCGGTCCAGTGAGAGCACCTTGTTGTGAGAATGTATATTTCCAAGCTTCCATATCAATCTCATCGAAATTCTTTGGATTTACTTTAAGACCATAATGGTTTCCTTGAAAAATCTGAAAAGGTAAGCAATAGGGAAATTGATTTAAAATCTAGTTTATACTTGATCCAAGAATCCGAAATCATTTGCAGCGATGGTGAACTCGGGAAGTGAACAGCTTTGAAACATTAGCATGTACCTGAAAGGAAAGTGATCGAATTTTTCTCAAGTAATGTAATGGTTTACCGGAATGTAGGATTTACAGCACAACTAGGGTCTTTAAGGGTTCTAAAAGATCTTTAAGGGTTCTAGAAGGTCTTTAAGGGTTCTAGAAGGTCTTTAAGGGTTCTAAAAGGTCTTTAAGGGTTCTAAAAGATCTTTAAGGGTTCTAGAAGGTCTTTAAGGGTTCTAAAAGATCTTTAAGGGTTCTAAAAGATCTTTAAGGGTTCTAAAAGGTCTTTAAGGGTTCTAGAGGTCCTAAGGGTTCTAGAGATCTTTAGGGTTCTAGAAGATCTTTAAGGGTTCTAGAAGGTCTTTAAGGGTTCTAGAAGATCTTTAGGGTTCTAAAAGGTCTTAGGGTCTAAAAGATCTTTAGGGTTCTAGAGGTCTCTAAGGGTTTAGAGATCTTTAAGGGTTCTAGAAGATCTTTAAGGGTTCTAGAAGGTCTTTAAGGGTTCTAAAAGGTCTTTAAGGGTTCTAAAAGATCTTTAAGGGTTCTAAAAGATCTTTAAGGGTTCTAGAAGGTCTCTAAGGGTTCTAGAAGATCTTTAAGGGTTCTAAAAGGTCTTTAAGGGTTCTAGAAGCCTCTCACTCTCATAAAGTTTATGCTATATGGAAAGCGATTACGCGGTGATCGAATTTTTCGCAAATTTTCCTTTATGAGAAAAGGAAAACAGGAGAAATCTATATGAGAATTTTGTTCAAAAACAAACCAAGATCTAAGGAATTGTTTCCATGTTTTCCCAAAGAGTTGTCCCATTGCAAGTGGATGTGGGCAATTGAGAACGATTAATCGAGAGACAGCCTAAAGTATTGAAGGATTGAAGTTGGGGAATTCTTGCTTTCTTATTCATATTCTTATTCTTTCTTTTTCATATTCATATTCTTCACATTGAACTGCTGTTCACGTGGAACCCTTCCCCACTTCAGTCTTCAAGGATCTCGCTTGAATATTTGCTACTACCACCAAGATCTGCAACGATGGAAGCTCCAGCTGGAGCTTCCATCCTCCAGCCTAAGCCCAAAGCCTTCAACGCAAACCACCGCGACCCTCTTACTCGTTGCGACCAGGCGGGCATTGCGCTCAAGTCGGCAACGGTCGGGTATAAGTGGTCCGCTCAAGCGCCATCCATTTTCAGGGCTAGTTGATTCGGCAGGTGAGTTGTTACACACTCCTTAGCGGGTATCTTCTCTTCTTCTTATTCTTCTTATTCTTATTCTTTCATATTCTTATTCTTTCTTACTCTATCTTACTCTTATTCTTTCTTATTCCTAAAAAAACCTCATACTTGTGGATAGTAAGCCGCCAATCTCCACGCGATCGCACCACCCCAATCGTGAGCGATTACAATCGCATTTTTATAGCCTAAAGATTTTATTGGATGCCTAAAACTATCATAATAAAGCTAGCAAACCCAATGCTTCGATGAATTCTTTCGCATCAGCAGCTATCTCATCAGCCGAATAAGCATCTTTACTCACTGGAGCATCCGATTCCCCATAACCTCTCTGATCAACAGCCACCACTCTAAGCTTTAAATAAGAATTCTCAAAGCCTTAAAACCTATAATCTTTTGCGAAATGCTTGAGTTGAAATCGCCATGAGTACCAGAATTCGGGAAATCCATGTAAAAGAAGCATCAACGGTTTCCCCTCTTCTCCAGTCTCTACATAGTGTAAACGAACTTTCTAATAACAATTTTTTTTAAAAATAATTCTTATTTCTTCTCACTGATAATTGAATGAATCGATGATTCCAATCTTCATCCAAAACAGTTGGTCTTTTATGAAATTTCCTTTGAAAGATCGGTTTTCGAAGAAAGATCCTGTTTTTTGTTTTTTTAATTAATTCCTTATTTATCATATGTTTACCAAGAAAACGCCAAATTCAAAACCGTTAGAGTTGACCATAAACCAACAAAAAAATAATATGAGGCAATGAGTTTAATCGTTTGCCACATTTTATCTAAAAAATCAAAAAAAAAAAAAGAAAAACATCTCTGACAGTGAAGAAAGAGAGACAGAGATCGGAGAATCCCACTCAAAAATAGAACAGCTTTTACAAGATTTATTTGTAATAGAAGAAGGAATCTAAAGGCGTTCCTCGAGGAACTGTTCGATGAGACGATTCACTGTTTCTGGATCATCTTGTTGCACCCAATGTGACGCTCCCTCCACATAAGCGACACGACCATTCTCACACAATTCGACCGACTGTTGCGCACCTTCCTAGATTTTCTTTTGCTTTGATTTGCTTAAACTAGTTTACTAGAACTTTTCAGTCTTTAAAGTTCTTTAAAGTTCTTTTCATTTAATCTTTTCAGTCTCTAAACTTTAAAGCTCTTTCAGTTTGATAAATCGGTAAAGAAATGAATGAAAGAGATGAACTGAGGGGGGATTGAACCCTCGATCTTCTGCTTATCGGGCAGACTTCCGCTTAACGGGCAGACTTTTGCTTAGCGGGTAGACTTCTGCTTATCGGGCAGACTTCTGCTTAGCAGGCAGACTTCTGCTTAGCGGACAGACTTCTGCTACTACCACTGAGCTAATGGCGTCTTTTTTGCCCAAGAAGAAATAGGAAAGACAAGGAAGAAGAAAGAAAGAAAGAAAAAGAAGAAAGAAAGAAAGAAAGAAAGAAAGAAAGAGAAGAAAGAAAGCAGGAAAGAAGGGGAAGAAAGAGAGAGAAGAAAATAGCAAAGAATTTTATCTATCAACCTTGATGAGGAACGGATCAGCATCACCCCAAACAATAAGCGTCGGTGGCTAAAATTTCTGTTTAAAATTGTTTTTACTTTAAAAAAAACCTTAACAAAATCGTTAAAGGTAACTTCTTTCGGGTACCGAAGAGCGGCACGATAGAAATTGATCGGCCCGGTGATTGCGCCTAAAGTTTCTTTATTGAAAAGTTTTAAGAGTTAAAACTTGTGGTTTTAATCTGTTTTCTGTAAAAATCTAGCTAATAGCCTCATTCAAAAACAAACCTTGTTGCGAAAAGACATATTTCCAGCATTCAACCTCTTCTTCACCAAAATTCTCTCGATGAAGACGAATCCCACCTTTTCGACCTCTCATCATCTAAACGAGCTTAAATATGGATCATTTGAGCATAATGAACATCATAAAATGCCCCCATTTCACCGCACCTTTGCCTTAACGATTCCCAAGAGGGAAGCCCCTATGTCAGAGCTATTTGCCAGAGCGCTAGCGATTGTGTGCTCACACAAAGCACAGTGATTTATATTGGGATTTTCTTTTTGCTTTGTAAGTGGCATAAAAAGAAGATATTTTGCTGTAAATTTGTAGCCGGAGGTTTTCGGAGTCGGTGAATCGATTGCAGCTATTCATTTTATTGAGTTCATCAATTGAAGCTCTGTACCCTTGGTCTAATCAACTTAAACTTATAAGCTAGAAGGACTGAAGTTAAAAAAAAAAACCCCAGTTTCCAGGTTTCTATAAAACGATCTCAATGCTTAGCGGTGTTGTCTACGATTTGCCGCACGATATTCATTAGATATTAGATGTCCAGCTGTACCCTTGGGTTTTCGGAGTCGGTGAATCCGATTGCAGCTATTCATTTTATTGAGTCCACCAAATTGAAACTCTGTTTTAATCAGTCGAAACTTTGTTCGATGAATTCGAAAACTTAGTGTATCTTTGGGAGGAGATTTACGCTTTAAAATAATCTATAATAAGCATATTTTTTACATTTATCTTTCAAAATCCCAAGTAAACTCATTTTTATTGTAATCAATTCTCAAGCATCACCCACCGTGTCCAACATCTTGTAGTCATTCGATGAAACGACGAATTCGGGGAGAATTGGTGCTTGGAAGAAGAAAATGTACCTAAAATTTACAAATCTAATGCGAAAATCCTTTTCAAAACCATGATGCCAAGAATTGTTTGAGATTTGAGCGCATGTTTTTCTTCGCGACAGCTGGATGGGGCACATTGAGAATAACGAGTCGCTCAACTGACTGAAAAAAGAAATACAGTAGATCTAAAGCATTTGCTACGTCTCTTAGCTCTTAACTCTAAAACTAAATACTTCTCTTGTACAGAAGTGTACAAATTACAAATCTAAACTAATCTCATGACTTTAGCATACCTGTGGATAGGTGAGAGCAACGTGCCAGGCGACCAATGCTCCCCAATCATGACCAGCAACAATTGCCTTTTTGTGACCTGTAAATAAAAGAAATTATTCTACTATTTCTACTCTGTTTTCAAGGGACAACAAGTGTGTCACAAAGAGCTCCATCAACGCCCCGATGTCCTCGAGAACTGGGAACATCATTATGCAAACTGCAGTTAAACGTAAATCGAAATAAGAACTTCAAGTTTTTTAGTTTCTTACGAATGAAATTGCAGGCGTGCCAGGCGACCAATGCTCCCCAATGCTCCCCAATGCTCCCCAATGCTCCCCAATGCTCCCCAATGCTCCCCAATGCTCCCCAATGCTCCCCAATGCTCCCCAATGCTCCCCAATGCTCCCCAATGCTCCCCAATGCTCCCCAATGCAATTGCCAGCAACAATTGCCTTTTTGTGGCCTTTAAATAAAAGAAATTATTCTACTATTCCCTGTACAGAATTGTACAAATTGCTAATCTCATCTAGCATTATATAGTTAAATCTAATTTACCCAATTTCTTGATAAGTTGATCAATATCAGCGGCCAAAAGTCGCACATCATAGTCAGCGACTTTCGATGGACGATCCGACTCATTGTAGCCTCGCTGATCAATGGCAACCACTCTGAAAGTTGATTACCTTTAAATTTATTCGAATTTTTTTATTTTCTTACCGATATTGACTCGAGAAATACTTCAACTGGAATCGCCACGAATACCAGAATTCAGGGAAACCGTGAATGAGCACCATTAATGGCTTGTCATCAGAGCCCGATTGCACATAGTGCATGCGAATATCCTTTAACAATTTCATTCATAAGAAACTCAAAAAAAACTTAAAGTTCTTATTTCGACTCACGTTTAATTGCACATAATGATGTTCCCAGTTCTCGAGGACATCGGGGCGTTGATGGATCTCTTTGTGACACACTTGTTGTCCCTTGAAAACTCTGAAATTTTTGGTTTTGCTTAAAATCCAACGATTGTAAAGGCTTATTCTATTTGAAAATTTGTCTCAAAAGCTTATCTTTTAGCGAAATTATTAGATGATCAAATTATTTAAAGGTTTTACCGTTGATAAATGAGATCCAAGGTGACAAGAACTGAGTAGAAAGCGGTGAACGAATAGAGAACAATCATCTCGAGAATTCGAGGAGCAGCTCTGGAAATTTCGATTTAGTTAAGGATATGCTTACTGTACAATTGATCACTGTACAATTGATCACTGTACAATTGATCACTGTACAATTGATCACTGTACAATTGATCACTGTACAATTGATCACTGTACAATTGATCACTGTACAATTGATCACTGTACAATTGATCACTGTACAATTGATCACTGTACAATTGATCACTGTACAATTGATCACTGTACAATTGATCACTGTACAATTGATCACTGTACAATTGATCACTGTACAATTGATCACTGTACAATTGATCACTGTACAATTGATCACTGTACAATTGTTTACTGTACTATTGTTTACTGTACTATTGTTTACTGTACTATTGCCTACCTTAGTATTACGAAATTTGGACACACAGTTCACGAAATCCCAAGAAAATTGGGAGAAAAGACCTTCAAGCTACAAAAGACACCAAAAGGTAAGCACCTTCTACCAGAGCACTATGCCAGATGGAGAGCGATTGTGCGCGCGCACAAAGAACCCAAGGCTTTTCTCATTTACTTTATAGATGATACAAAAAGATCTTCAGCTGTACCCTTGGGTTTTCGGAGTCGGGCAATCGATTGAAGCTATTCATTTTATTGAGTCTATTGAAACTCGAGTTTAATCGGTCGATTTAGATGAATTCGAGAACTTATTAGCTAGATAGCGAACGATTATGACAAAGAACACCTTGAAACTTTTTAAAGATCTTTCAAAAGCTTTCAAAAGCTTTGAAAAGCTTTGAAAATCTCTGACGAATAAGCGTTTTCTTTTTTTGACACAAATTCTACCATTTATTTATCAAATGACTTACTCTTTCGCCTTTTCGAAACACGATTTCTCTTCGTTTATCGTCACCATGTTTAACTGAAATCGAAATTTTTATTTTGATAAATGATTTTGAGAGCATTTCCATGGTAATTAAGGTTTTTGTTTTACTATTTTAAAAAGAGTTTCCATAACAACAGAATAAAAAAATACATTTTTTGCGATTTCTTAACGAAATGAGAAAAAGGGATTCATAAGGAAAATTTTCGAGAAATTGATAAGGAAAAGAAGAAAAAGAAAAATTGCAGATTGCTAGTAAGCGAATTTAAAAAAAATGAAATTTTCTCAAGAAAAAAGCATCATTAAATCATTTTCTTTTTGTAGTCTCAAAGTTCAAAAAATGAAATAAAGAATTGAAAAAATAAATCGTAACTTGTTTCTATACATTTCAAAAGAAAAAAAAGAGTGAAATTTACTAGATTTCTTATGATTTATTCACATTTCAATCATCTTAAAGTATTTGAAATTATTTTTTTAAGTAAATTTAAAGAGATTAAAAAAGAATTGTAGTGAAATTGAAGTGAAATTGAAAAAACAATTGAACTTGTTTAGTAAATTTCATTAAAATTTCAAAAGATTGATGCCCAAGAATTGATGTTGAACAATAGAAAATTCAGCATTTTGTGGTTAAATTTTAAAAGCAAAAATGCAGAGAAATAAAATTGGAGGGTAGCCAGGTAGCCTTCCCCTACATCGTCTTATCCTCACAAACGATCGAATATCCCTGAACCGAGTGCTAGGTAACCGCACTGGTTCCCAAGACCGGGTTCTGGTTCCCCTAGGCCACTTCCCCTCGGGATTGGGATAACCAAGGATCCAAATGGTAGACCCGTCTAAGGCGCAAGCTCATAAAAGGGTAGCCGGGTAGCCTTCTCCTACACGTCACACCTGCACAAACGATCGAATATCCCTGAACCAACCATCCACTGTAGGTAATCGCACCCATATGGTGAACTTGGTTCCCAAGACCGGGTTCTGGTTCCTCTAGGCCCCTTCCCCTCGGGATTGGGATAACCAGGGATCCAAATGGGTAGACTTGTCTAAGGTCTAAGTCTAAGGTTCCCAAGACCGGTCCCCCTAGGCCACTTCCCCTCGGGATTGGGATAACCCAGGGATCCAAATCCAATAAAAAAAACAAACAATAAACAAACAAAAGAATAAATTGAAAAGAAAAAGAAAATTTTGATGAAATACAAGTGTTTTCTTGCAAGAGTTTCTTCAAAAACTGGAAATAAACAGCTAACAAAAAAATAAAGTAAAAAGAAAAAGAGAAATCGTCAATCGGAATCGAAAAGAAATTGATAAATAGAGAAAAGAAAAGAAAAAGAAAAAACACACGCAAACTACAACCTCCAAAGGGCACGTAAACATTGCCTCCAAAAAATGGAGAAATCTTATCTTAGAAATCTTAGAAAAATATAATTTTTCAACTCAATTTATCAATGTAAACATGACAAAAGTTGTGAAAGAAGTAAATGAATGTTTCTGTCAAAAAAAAATCAACACTTTTACACGACCATAAATTCTCTAATCGAACACCACTTTCTTGTGTAATCGTCTAGTCTAGAAAAATCAATTTTTCTCTTAACCCCTATCCTTTTCTCAATTATACTTTTGGTATCAAAAAATACTAGATTTCAAGAGCTATCATTTGACACCATTGACACATTTCTAGCTTAAAGCAGCACCGAGAACGGGTCGTTTAAAGTTAGACTACGCGACTGTACGCCCTTTCGATTGAAAACGATTCTGTAAATGGTAAATTTTCTATTGAAAGATGTGAAAATTAAATAAACGTACTTTACTACGCGTACTCTGACGTACTTTAGGTATACTGTGACTGTAACAAGAGACTTATTGGTAGACTTTACAATATCGTTTTGTTTTCAAGTCACTTATTCAAGTGTTACAAGTAATCCAGTTATAAAAATTCACGTGTTACAAGTAATCCTGTATACATTATCTCTGTAGTAAAGTACTTATCAATCCAGTTATAAATCGATAACTGAATATCCTATCTTTAGCATTTTCGATTTTCTATCGTTATCCATTTTCGATTTGCATTGATTTTCAATTCACTCTTCATTTCTAACTTTATAAAATAACAACAAGAAACTCTACCAAATACCAGATTACTTCAAACTCCAAATACCGTATCCTCTCTAATAGTAGTGCGCACTATTATTTTTTCAACCCCCCTCCCTCCCGGACCGCAACACTATTAGAAAGTTTTGGTACTCCTTGAATGGCGAGTCACCTTTACTTTACTACAGAGATAATGTATACAGGGGTTACCGGTGATTTGCATTTTTGCACATACATAATCACAATTTACACATTAAGACCTAGGGAATCTTCTATCGTTTGTGAGGATGGGACGGTGTAGGAGACGATGTAGAAGGAGGAGGTTACTCGCTTTATATGAGCTTGCGCCTTAGACGAGTCTACCTATTTGGATCCTTGGTTATCCCAATCCCGAGGGGAAGGGGGCTAGAGGAACCAGAACCCGGTCTTGGGAACCAAGTTCATCATATGGATGCGATTACCTACAGTGGATGGATGGTTCAGGGATATTCGATCGTTTGTGCAGGTGTGACGATGTAGGAGAAGGCTACCCGGCTACCCGCTTTATATGAGCTTGCGCCTTAGACGGGTCTACCCATTTGGATCCTTGGTTATCCCAATCCCGAGGGGAAGTGGCCTAGGGGAACCAGAACCCGGTCTTGGGAACCAGTGCGGTTACCTACAGCACTCGGTTCAGGGATATTCTATCGTTTGTGAGGATGAGACGATGTAGGAGGAGAAGGCTACCCGGCTACCCGCTTTATATGAGCTTGCGCCGTAGACAAGTCTACCCATTCTACAAGTCCAACTCTCCAGCTCCCTTCAACTATGTAAATTTTATCTTTAATTTAGAAATGTTAGAAATGTTGAATTTAGAAATGTTAATATAATTCCTCTCTTGAGATTGGATTTGGTTTTTTTTACAATTAAAATCCTTGATTCGATTATAATTGAGCTTTCAGGAATTTCCAATCAACAATTTGAAAAGCTTTTTCAAAACAGTAATACGATTAGGATTTAAATTACGATTACGATTACGAGCACAGTATGCATTCTTGATATCCTCTATATTTATATCTATTACGTTCGATCTAGACTGTTTCTGGATCCGAGGTTCGATCTAGAGTAAAATGAAGTCAAACGTTTGATCTAGAATCAAGCCGATCACTCTAAAGCTAAGCCTGGATTGAATGTCTGCTTTAGAGTGATCGGCTTGATTCTAGATCGAACGTTTGACCTCACTTCACTCTAGATCGAAACCCCGATCCAGAATCAGTCTAGATCGAAAGTAACAGATATAAATATAGAGCATATCAAGAATGCATACAGTGCTCGTAATCGTGATCGTAAGTTAAATCCTAATCCTTAAATCCTCACTCCACTTTAGATCCTCCACTTTAGATTGGACGTCCGACTAGAGTCAGTCTTGATCGAACGGATTTCTTGAATTGAAAGTAACATTTGTACCGATTGAAAGCTAAAAATCGGATCAAAGTGATCAGTTTTCGAATGAATTTGACTCGATTCATCGCTAGCAAGTTTCAATTGTAGAAATTGTAAAATAGCTAGCAAGTATCATTGAAATTAAGCTTAATTAAGAATAGCGTATATTCGTTGTTTTTGAAATCTCCCCTGATGCTAGCTTTTTCACTCTAGTAAAACTTTATAGCATTGTAGAATAGCAAGTATCATTAAAATTAAGCTTAATTACGCTTTGAACTTGAACATTTTAATGTTACTCTTCAAAATTTCTCTCATAATCTTAAGATCTGGTTTGCTGAATATGGTATTTGTACGATTCTTCAAAGAAGATAAGGCCAATCTGCCAATGAGATATTTGATAGAGTTTACATTTCTCAAGTGTATTGGGCTGAGAAATTGAAGGAGAGAGAAGAGCTGAAGTGTGTGAGGTGCTCTCGTCGTGAGTGCACTGTTAGAAAGCTGGATGAGAAAGAGTGGAGATTCTTCTTCTTCGAGGGACATGCTCATGCCAGACCCCCAGACCCCTTTAGCCAAAACGAGAGCTGGCCTGCGCCAATCGAAGGAGAGCAAATAAACTATCGGGTTACCGTTATCGGGTCTCTTGTCTTTTCTCTTTCTTTTCTCTTTCTTTCCTATTCCCATCCACCAAACATGGCCCTTCCAGCCCCCTTCCATCCAGTGCCCCTGAAGGCCATTCCCATTCCAATTTCCCTTCCACATCAACACCAAATCCTACTCACTAATTTGACTGAGTCTTTAGTTTAGAACTTTAGAACTTTATGATCATTTTATTATTAAATTCTTCAAACCCATCCCACAAACGAGGCGTGTCAGTCGAGGTTTCCAAAGCAAAACGAATACGAAACTTTTTAAATGCGTATATTCGTTGTTTTTGAAATCTCTCCTGATTCTAGCTCTAGTAAAACTCGATGCACTCTAGTAATCACTCTAGTAATCACTCTAGTAAAACTTTATGCATAATTTGATAAATCATCTGAATTTAATAGAAAATTGAATCCAAAAAATTGAATTCAAAAATTGTTATGGTTTCCACGATTGATCTCTCGAGTCTTTCGCTAGAAATGGTCGACGAAGACGGCGATTTTCTTCTATTGATTCCATTCGACTTGAAATTGGAACCACACTCGATGCTCGAGACATTGACATTCCCTAAATATTGAAAAAGAATATTGGCATTAAGTTTTTCTAGATATTCAAAAGGATCGCTATCTTGATTTACCTCTTGAGGCTAGCCATATGAAGTTCTATCGTTTATTCTATAGCAACTTTTGTTGAGTATATCTTTCTTATCATCTAAGAAGACTTATATCTGGCCATTGTGCGGCTTACAGTAAGAAGACTTACAGGAAACGTATTCCTCCCGTGAATTGAGTGATCAGCTCGGAGACGTCCTCGGGGGAAATCAAAGCCATGTCTAGAGAGAAGACTCATATTCATTCGACTCGATGGTCGGCTCGATCCAATCTACAATAAGTTTAACAAATCAAAATCCAAAAATCATTGTTTAAAAGCCAATATTTCAAAAGAAGAAACAATTTGTTTACAGCTTTGTAAGCAATTTTTAAGCATCTTTGCAAACTTACAGGCGTCCGTCGAAGCTCACTTCCGCTATCCATCGAGAGTCCGTTTAGCGTCGACGCAAGTGACTCCACCGACGCATGTCGACGGTAAGTGGCCAATGAAGGTAAACCTTAAAAGAATTTTTAGTTAGGAAAGCTTTCACCATTTGAACTTTTCTTCAAAAGCTAACCTAGAGTTTTGAGTCTTTTCCAATAGCGAGCCACATCAATATCCTCCCAGCCAGCATTATTCAACTTATCGAAATATCTAAACAATAGCTAAACAACCTCTAAACAAAATATCTAAAAACAAGAAGTCTAAGTCTAAGCCTAAGCCTAAGCCTAAGCCTAAGCCTAAGCCTAGACTTCAGCCTAGACTTAAGCCTAAGCCTAAGCCTAAGCCTAAGCCCAGACTTCAGCCTAGACTTAAGCCTAAGCCTAAGCCTAAGCCTAAGCCCAGACTTCAGCCTAGACTTAAGCCTAAGCCTAAGCCTAAGCCTAAGCCTAAACCTAAAACTTGATCTACCTTCTCATAATTCGATCTCTAACTCGAAGCTCGAACTCACTCAATGAAGTAGAACGCTTTCCGTCACAGGTTTCTGAACATTGAATTCTTAAAGATTTTTAAAAACAAATATTCTACCGGCAATTCGAATAGCTTCATCAAGTTGCAAAAGACTGCCACAACCAACGACACATGTCGAAATGCCTGGGAAATGCATCGAATAGTCTAACGCTAACCTCTCCAAACGGACTCCTTTTCCCTAAATTGATTAGGAGATTGATGATATTTTTCTTTATTGAATCTTTACATGAACATATTCCTCGGCCTGGAGAACTGTTTCACGGACGGGTTGACTAGCGGGATGCCATGGTGGCGCACCCTCACCACTCAATAAACCCATCGATAACGGAGATCCATTCAACACACCAATATTCAATGACTAAAATTTATTTGAAATTATTGATTCTTTGCTAATAAAGTTATATTTTATATGTTTTATACTTATTTTTTTTGTCTACAAATGAGTTTTTCAAAAGAATGAGACAAAAAGAAACACAAAGAGGAAAAAGTTGTTTGAAAAGCGTCATGAATTGGTGATCAGATGAGAAAAAAAAGAACATTTTCTTGAACTCACAAAGTGACACAATGCACTTGAGCTTGAAATAAATGAAATCGAATTTGTTAATGTCAAATTTATAAACTAATTGATACCGTATTTTCTCTAATAGTAGTGCACCCAAAGCTTTGCCTAAATTGCTCGGAATCTCGAGAACCGCTTATCAGAACCTATCGATGTGAGGTCGGAAAATGTAGCTGATGATGAGATCTTGTGGGGGATTTGAGTGTTGAGTTTCTTGGGAAAACTTGGAAACCGTAAAATAGTCACCAACTCGGCTCACCGTGGTGCACTACTATTAGAGAGAATACGTTTTTCAATTTACCGCTTGTAAGCTTGATTAGGCATCAGATTTTCATTAGATTTATCACCAAAAGTTCACTTTTCCCATTGGTGCCATTATTTAGTCATTATCTTTTAAGCATAAATAGATTCAAATGTAAGATACCGTATTTTCTCTAATAGTAGTGCACCCAAAGCTTTGCCTAAATTGCTCGGAATCTCGAAAACCGCTTATCAGGACCTATCGATGTGAGGTCGGAAAATGTAGCTGACGATGAGATCTTGTGGGGGATTTGAGTGTTGAGCTTCTGCAAAAGCTTGGAAACTGTAAAATCGTCACCAACTCGGCTCGCCGGGGTGCACTACTATTAGAGAAAATACGGTAATTGGTTTTGATTAGTTAAAGAAAGTACTTACTTTACTTACTTTTACTCAAAACTTTACACAATTCAGTTTAAAATACAATGCACTTACATGCATAAATGGAATGAACTCTCCAAGAGAATTATCGTTGAGCGTTGCATGACCGTACGTCAAAATCACTTCGATTTTTGCCGACGAATTTTCAATTATCGATCTGAATCCCGTTTTTTTTACTGATTCTTTTTCATTTACTTAATCTTTTTGAGCGGATAGCCGGCGATACCGATGTGACGCACTTTGCCAGATGAGCGAGCCATTTCAAGAGCCTAAAATTGCTGATTCAAAGTTTTAATCCGTTTCTTTTCCCAAAAAACACAAATTTATGAAAGTTTATAGCACAAGAATATACGTCAAACCGTACATTCAATAGTACGTCAAACATCTGATTTCTTTCTTTTTATTTAAAAATAGAAAATGATTTGGAGGTATGGGGAATTGAACCCCAGACCTATCGCATGCGAAGCGAGCGCTCTACCACTGAGCTATACCCCCGATGAGACCCCGGGGAATTCAAAAGAAACCCAATAACTCACCTGAAGCGTAACTCACCTGAACCGAATAACTCACCTCAAGCGTAACTCACCTGGACTCTACCACTGAGCTATGCTCCCGATAAGACCCCGTGGATTCAAAAGAAACCGAATAACTCACCTGGAGCGTTTCATTGAGCATTATCGAGATATTTGGTTCAAAGTCGACATCATTTAACTTAAAAAAATCATTTAACTTTTTACAAAAACTATAAAGCTTTTTAGAAAGTTACCTGTAAAAAACAGACATCAACATACGAAAGACGAAGTCGTTTTAGACTTTCTTGTAAACTTTCAAGGACTTTATCGGCTCGAAAGTCGAAATTTCTCGCAAAATCGAGCTCAAAGCGACCGATTCGCGTGGAAATGTAGTAAGCTCGGCGAGGAATGTTCGCAAGAATCTAGAAAGTTTTCGATTCAAATTGAACTTCCAAAAATTGCATCAAACTTTTCCCAAAATGCTTTCACTTCTCGCTTGCCCATACCAATAAGCCGTATCGATCCAGTTGATTCCGCGGCGTAACGCTGACTCGACCATTTCTTAATTAGAAAACATTAGAACTGTTTACTTTTTAAATGTTTCGTAATTTTAAATACGAAAACTGAATACCACCTTTCTTGAATTGATAAATAATCGATAGACTTTAATTAATACCTGAAATCGAATCCTCAATATCGCCAAATAGGCCACCAATTGTCCCACAGCCTGAAAGAGATCGAGTTTTTTTTAAAAATTGAATATAAACAGCTTTTCCTATTCATTTCTGAACTTTATACTTAAGATTTAACTTCTCGAATTGATTTCAAATTTATTCAAAATTGTTGCTATTTTATAGGGAAATCAGTTCCCTGGATACATAATTTATAGTACAAGAATATACGTCAAACCCTACATTCAATAGTACGTCAAACAAAATTGGGCAAAATTTTACTTGTACTGATTCACAAAAGTGAAATCATGCTATAGCAACCAGGTTTTAAAAAGGTTTTAAGGTTTTATATAGATTGTAAAATAAGGTTTTATATATATATATAAGGCTATTTTAAAGGTTTTAACATCTAAGGCTTTAAAAAGTTTCCTTTAAACACACCAAAAGCTGTGACTGATACTTGCAATCCGGTGTTGCCAAGCGTTCGATAAGGCATTCGTCGAACAGCGCCCTCCTCGTGAAAACCCATCACGAAAGTTGGTGGAAGACCAGAGGAGAACGAGCTTTCTTTTTCCGTTTTTGTACGATGCGTTAAGCGATGTGATTTCGTGGGTGAACCTTTACGACTCGGCTCGCTTGAGCTCTTCGTGTATCCACGAGATGTTGATGGCTAAAGGGTTGTCGATTCTCGAAGCTATTCAAAGCGAATTGAAAGCTTTTCGGAGATTACTGTAGATTATTGAAGATTACTGTAATGAATTGATCGCATATTTAGAATTCTGGGAAAAGTAGGAAAGTCCAGACGGTATAGAAGTACTGTATTTGCAAAGGTTGGGTTTTCGCCCCTGGGTTTGCTCGAACGACAGCTGGTAATTCTATGGGTGAAAGCGTCTAACTATGGGTAAGAATAAATGAGCTAGAAAAGCTGGTAATTGATCCGAGTTTTAAAAGCTTTTTTTGAAAAATGCAAAAATCTCTCGCTCCTGGGTGGGTTCGAACCACCGACCTTTCGGTTAACAGCCGAACGCGCTGCCGATTGCGCCACAAGAGCAGGTGCTCGCGTGAAGGATTTAATTGCTTAAATAGGAAATCGCACTAGTATAGCTATTGTTTTCAATGACGGCATACTTTAACAATAGCTATACAAGCGCTGTCTCCTATTTAACCTCCTATTTAACCAACTAAATCCTCCTCCCCACCACTTGCTCTTGTGGCGCAATCGGTAATTGGTATTATGAGTTTTAAAAGTTCTTTTTTTGAAAAATGCAAAAGATTTTCGCTCCTGGGTGGGTTCGAACCACCGACCTTTCGGTTAACAGCCGAACGCGCTGCCGATTGCGCCACAAGAGCAGTTGCTTGAGGGGAGGATTTAGTTGCTTAAATCGCGATCATGTCGTTGCTTTTTATTGTTTATTTGAACAAAAATGCATACTTTTATCAATTAATAATTTAATATATAGCTTAAGCTTTTATCAAAATATTCAGCTATATAAAAGCTTACTGTAACTTGATGTGAAAAGTTCATTTGTTCAAGAAATACCTGTGAATTCGTCGATGTTCCATTGCAATAGATTTGTAGTCCACGCGCTCGCGTGAACGTGTGCGATTGCATTCACCGATGAAATTCACTCAATGATATGCGGTGAATATGATAATTGTTGATAATAATTGTTTGGCGAGATCAATGTCGTTTCTCCGTTTTGTGCTGTGTGACTTGTGCCCATTTTTCTCGAAAGCGATGGGTACGCCAGCAGCAGAGAGCATCACAAATGCATTCAAAGTCCCATCCTCACCAATTCCTTTTTCCTTTCTTTCTCAGTTTTCTTTTCTCTTTTCATTCATCAATGAAAGGAAAGAAAGAAAAAAAAGGCTAACCATCAGCAAATGTTACTCACATCTAGTCAACGAAAAATTTATGGTTATCAAAAAAAAGGGCAGACTTTGTGGAGTAAATGTTTAGGAGAACTAAAATAATTTTCTAAGAAGTTAGCTCAGTTAGCTCAGTTAGCTAAGTTATTTTTCACTCAAAAGCTAGCTGAAAATCGATGAACTCTCTGTTCAAACAACCGCAAAAAGGTTTTGTTTCGAAGTATTTGCGATTCCATTTTGATTGTGCATTCGGATAATCAAAAAAAAACGCAACTCTTATAGGCAATGTGCTTCTGCAAATCAAAAAAAAAGACTCTCGAAAGCTTCTATTTTAAATGATTTCTATAAAAAGTCGTGAACTCTCGAGTCATTTTGAGTATACTTTCCTAAAACTAAAACAATGATACAAAACAAAAATCAATCAAAGATCTAAAGAAGTTTAGCTTGTTATCTAGATGATTGGCTTGTTATATAGAATCTTCTTATCTAGATGATTGGCTTGTTATCTAGAAATAACATTCTTGCAAAAGTTCGTCCAACATTCCAGCCATCAATTGTTTTCAGGAATAAACTCGGCCTGTATTTGTCTAATCTCTTTCATTGTCTTCCATTCTCTTCCATTCTCTTCCTCAAAAAAACCCCAAACTACCGTTTTGATTTAACGTGGATGAAAAGAAGGAAGTGCTTGTGTGAAGAAGAGAATGGAATGGGTGATGTGAGTGAAATGAGTGAATGGGTGAAGAAGGGGAGAGCCGATTGAGTAGAGGAGAGAAGGGGGACCGATTAGCTGCCAGCCGACTGCACGTGAGTGTCCTCCATTGGGGGCACACCTGCAACAACCAACAACGGCCGGCTTTCTCTTTCTTTTTCATTCTCTCTTGCCTTTATTCTGGGTAATTCATCGAGATTCATCCGCAAGTCATACGAGGTAGCAGAGAGACAATAATCTCATTCATTTGGACTCATAGCCAGTCTTGTTCCTACAAAACTCATTCGGTTAATACAAACAGATAAATTATAGTCAGAACTGAGTTGAAGCAAGTACTGGATCAGGTACTGGATCAGGTACTGAACAAGCGCTGGACAAGTACTGAACAAGTACTGAAGCAGGTACTGAATCAATCAATCACTGAAGCAAGCTTTCAATTCGCATGTCATCAGAATTATTTCATTTTAAAGATCCGAAATGGCTAAGCCCATTTTGCGCACACTTTCCAGAGAAGGCGAAACTCGGAACTGGTTGCAGAGGGGAAAAGATAAACAAAGTAGTAGAAGTAGATGGGAAAGACTTGAAGGGAAGGGGTTGGTCGGTCATCGGGGGAAGGGCGGTCGTCATGGCTGCGCGAGGGGCCGCATCGCCCAAGGCCCGTGCCCACCTGGACCCCCTAGATCCCCTCTACGCCCTCCCCCGCTTTCCATATCCCCTTTCTCTCTACACCGAGATGGATTGTGTTCTCTTCTCTTTGAAAACTTACATCCTGAACCTGATGCCCATTGCACACCTTTCCGCACTTCATTTTCCACTTTCCCACCTCGAAATTCGTCTCTTTGAAATTGTCGTTAAAATTTTATGAACCATCACTTTTTACATCACTAATTTAGCGGAAATTCGTTTTTTTTTTCAATAGCTAGCGTTCTTTTTTCTTTCTTTGTCAACAAACATTCTGAATTTCTACAATCGATTCCAGCTTTGAACTTTAAACTGAAGCTTTCTACAATCGATTCCAGCTTTGAACTTTAAACTGAAACTTTCTACAATCGATTCCAGCTTTGAACTTTAAACTGAAACTTTCTACAATCGATTGCTGCTTTGAACTTTAAACTGAAGCTTTCTACAATCGAATTTGCGGCTATGAACTTTAAACTGTAACTTTCTAAAATTGAGCTTTAAGCTAAACAAATCTTTACCGTGATTCAATTAACTAAAACTATGAAATTCATTTTTTTTCGTTTTCCGTATCAACTCAATCATAGAAAATGAGTCTGAGACGGCTGAGAGGGGATTTGAAAAAGATTTTCTCATAACTCTTTTCATCGCTCAAAAGAATCGATTTTTTTTTTGTATTTCACATCATTAGTGGAACTTTGATTTTGCGTCTTTTCCCCTCTAAAATTAGCTTTTTCTATTAAAAAGAAATTTTTGGGGATTTTGAAATCGAAATTCGAGATTTTACGAGATGGAGAAGTTGATCACTTGATTCATAAGTTCATTTTGATAATCCCAATTGTTACAATATGTTTTTCCATATCATTTTCAGAATCAAATTTCATCTTTAATAAATGATATTGTTTTCAGCATGACAGAGGATGTCGATCAGCACATCCTCGACAAATATGAGCTGCAAAAGCGTTTAGGGAAAGGAGCGTATGGTGAGTGCACAATCATGCACAATTTCGAGTTTTAAATGTCTATATATCAATATATTATAAACATTTATATAAGTTATAAAAGTTTTTCTATATTGTACTAATAATAGTGCACCCAAAGCTTTGCCTAAATTGCTCGAAATCTCGAAAAGCACTTATCAGAGCCTATTGATGTGGGGTCGAGAAATGTAGCTGATGATGAGATCTTGTGGGGGAATTGAGTGTTGAGTTTCATGGGAAAACTTGGAAACCGTAAAATAGTCATCAACTCAGCTCGGCGGGGTGCACTACTATTAGAGAGAATACGGTATACTAAAATCCGTTTTCTAGTTTTAATGATTAAATCGGCGACCGGCGACCTTTTCTATTTGGAAAACTTATATATTTTTGCGAAAATCTATGAAGCATTTGATCTATTCATTTGAATTTTAATCTAAAACTTTCAATCAAAATCTTTTGTACTCAAAATCCGCTTTTTCCCGGTAAACACCGATAGTCAAGGAAGTGAAATGTGGCCATTTATTCCTCTGACTCATCGCAGAAAGTTTTTCTTTGAAATTTCAAAATCTCTAAATACCGTATTTTCTCTAATAGTAGTGTAGCGTCGCCTAGATTGCTCGAAATCTCGAAAACCGCTTATCAGAGCCTATTGATGTGGGGTCGGAAAATGTAGCTGATGATGAGATCTTGTGGGAGAATAGAGTGTTGAGTTTCCTGGGAAAACTTGGAAACTGTAAAGAGCTATCAACTCGGCTTTGCGGGGAAAATATGGTAATCTTTAGGAATCGTTTGGAAAGCTTTGGACAAGCGAACGAAAGAGACGGTAGCGCTAAAGAAGATCTTCGACGCTTTTCGTAATCAGGTCAGAAATTTAAGATTTTTGTAACTTGTAAAAGAAAATAATCTATATTAGAAAATCTATATATATAGAAAAGATCTATTAATATTTAAAAGCTTTAGACTGATTCACAACGAACCTTTCGAGAGGTGATGTTCTTGCAAGAGTTCGGTCGACATCCAAACGTGATCAAGTTGTTCAACATTTTGAAAGCCGACAATGATCGGTAAATTTACTCAAAAAAGTACCAAAATCTCTCCAGTTCTACTTTTTGCTTATAACTTTTTAAACCTTTTAAAACAATATTAGTAAACCTAATGCTCCTTTGGGAACGATTCTGGCTATTCCTATAACGATTCTGGCTTCCAAAACGATTCTGGTTATTCCCATTCCATTGCTATTCTTTTATCTGTGATTAATAACTTCTAAACAAGGTTTACTTTTTTTTCAGCGACATGTACTTAGTCTTCGAATACATGGAAGCCGATTTGCACAATGTAATCAAGAAAATGACGATTCTAAAAGACATCCACAAACAGTACATCATGTGTCAACTTTTTCGAGCCATTCGCTTCCTTCACTCTGGAAATGTGCTGCATAGGTATTGGATTTAAGAAAAGGATATTCTAAATCTAAAAAGGATAAAGCATTTGATGAATATTCTTATGCGAAAACATTCAGAGATCTCAAACCGTCCAATGTTTTACTTGACGCTGATTGTCGAGTGAAACTCGCTGATTTCGGCCTCGCTCGCTCTCTATCCTCGGTTTTTTTATAAAATTTTTGATTTTATTTTCAAGAGTTTTTTTAGCTAGAAGATTATCCAGAAGGACAAGAAATGCCAGAATTAACGGTAAGCTGTTGTCTCCATTCGTTTACCACAAAAATTCAGGAATATGTAGCCACTCGATGGTACAGAAGCCCGGAAATTCTATTAGCCGCGAAGAGGTTGGGGAAATTTTGAAGAAAATGTTTGAAATCTCGAATAAATCAATCTAAAAATAGATGCTAAATGCTTTTTTAGATATACAAAAGGGGTTGACATGTGGAGTTTGGGATGTATTCTTGGGGAGATGCTGCTGGGGAGAGCGCTTTTCCCGGGCACTTCAACAATTAATCAGGTTAGCTGGAAATGAAATATGATAGAAAAAGTTATAAGTAGTTATAAGAAGATCTAATATATTATATCTCTAGATAAGAAAATGTTTTACAGATTGAGCGAATAATGAATACGATAGCTCGGCCGTCAAAGGGCGACATCGACAGCATTGGGAGTCATTACGCGGCATCGGTTTTAGAGAAAATGCCTGCAAGGTTTCATTTTTTTTATCAATATAAAGTAATCAGATGATCAATTTTATTGAATACAATACTAGAATACTGTAATGTACTACTGTAATCTAATACAGTAATACATAGTACAGTAATTTATAGTACACTGTAAATGATCTAACTGATCGGTTTTAGAGAAAATGCCTGCAAGATTTCATTTTTTTTTCTATCAATATAAAGTAATCAGATAATCAATATTATTGATCAATATCAATACAATACTAGAATACTGTAATCTAATACAGTAGTACAGTAGTACAGTAATTTATAGTACACTGTAAATGACGAAAACATTTCAGACCTCGAAAACCGATCGATGCTTTCATTCCCTCCAATAACCCGCATGCGATCGATTTGATTCACCGGTTTGTTTGAAAAAAAAAACAAATTAGCAAAGATCTTTCTAAAAAAATAATAACATTATCCACTTCTAGATTGCTCCTTTTTGCTCCACATCGTCGTTTAACCGTTGAGCAATGTCTCGTGCATCCATATGTCCTACAATTTCACAATCCCGCTGATGAGCCAGCTCTTCCTTACGATGTTTCTTTAACATTACCAGATCATATTCAATTATCAATAGATGATTATAGGTGATCAAAAAATCGCTTTTCATTTTGATTCAACTTTTTAGGAATAAGCTTTATGAGATGATCACTGCGAAGAAGACTCACATTCGACGGATTCAACACGAGCGTATTAGGGTGCGTTTAGAAAAAACAAGCTTGTAGTTGAGCTTTTGAAGTGGGAAATGGTTATGGTTATGAATTTTTGGTTATGCCCCAGATACACTTTGTATGTAAAGCCTTTAGATTCCAGAGAAACAACCCGTTGCGTCCGGCTCGCAACCCGGCAAATCCTACTCACAACCACAACCGCAAAGAGGAGTCTCAAACGAACGAAGCGCGCCAATAGCACAGGTGTGTCTCTTGTACTTTGTAGACCTGAACTTTGTCTATTGTTTTTATAGGCTTGAACTTTGTCTTTGTAGACTTGAACTTTATCTCTTGTCTCAGTAGACTTGAACATTGTCTCTTATTTTTATAGACTTGAACTTTGTCTCTTGTCTTTGTAGACTTGAGAATAGATTTGCTTATTGATACTTATTATTAAATAGAATTTTTTGTGAAGCTTTTATATGTATTCTTTTCGTTTTCGTTGTGAATTGGTACAACTAGTGGCTAGAAAATATGCCATTCTTTCAATTCTGTTAGTAAAATGTGATTTTTGATATTACTTTATCGATTCGCATTATCAATTATCAATCTAATTACTACTTTATCAATTCCCCAAGTCTAGCCTGTAGCTCGTGAATGATCAGTGATTAATAGCATCCAGGTTGCAGGCCGAATGCAGCGACACCGACTACGACACAGCGAGGAGTCTCGCACGCGAACAACGCCACTTTAACAAGCAACAAGCCAATCACTCATCAAATCATCATTACGATAATGGTGTCCACGAGGAGCAACCGAGAATTAGAGGTGAGCTTACCGAGAAACTGGGACTTATCGAAAAGGATTAGGAACTTTAGAGAGAGCCGCCTCGGCCGACTCAAGAGCCTCATCGAAAACTTTAGTCCAAAATGGCTCGGCGAAGCGCTCGAGTGCTAAAGAGCGTCGCAAGTCACAGGATCGTGGATCCACTGAAAAGGTTTCATGATTTGTTTGTTGCATTTAAACTCTCGTTAAACTGTACTCTGTAAAAGGGCTTTTTCGGAAGAGTGCTCACGCAACCCCGTGGTGTATTGGTTAAGCGTTCTGTCTCTGGCATGCTTGACTCATACATTTGCCATGGGTTCGCCTCCGACTTCGGGTTTCAGTAAAATGAAATCATCAAGTCGCAATTGTTAGTTGATTTGTTTATTGAATTTAAGCGCTCGTTAAACAACAAGTATATAAGAGGGCTTTTTCGCAGGAGAGCTGGCTTGACCCCGTGGTGTATTGGTTAGGTGTTCTGTCTCTGACAGGCTTGGCTTGACATTTGCCGTGAGTTCGACTCCCGCCTCGGGTTTTACTAACAGTGAAATAGTCAAATCGCAAAACTAAGTGAACTGACTTTGTTCCATCAACATTTTTCGAGTTAAGTCTGAATATTTTCCTTTCCAGAATTGTTTAGTGAGACAAAAACACTGAAATTTATCTTGAGCTTTCAGTTTTCGGCTTTCAAATGACATTTTTGAGATTTTAAGTGATGTTAATGGATTAGAGATTTCGTAAAGAGATCAATTTTGATTTTACAATCTAAAAAAAATTCCAGTACGGGTCCACAGAGAAGATACGGGTGTTTTCGAGTCTCAAGAGTGCTTCTCATCTCATCAAACACCCGCAAAAGTTCATCGGAAACGGGCACTAGGCACCTTTATCGTATTTAGCTATTTTTTTCATCATTCAACTAGTCATTAAAGCTCAAATCATTTCTTTATTCATTTGAAAAGTTTCTTGTTGTCTTTTTTTGTTTTTTTTGGTTTTAAACTCATCTAATCACCGACAAAACTTGTTGCTAACCGTTGTTGCTTAAAGCCATTGTCTTTCATTTTCTTTCATCATTTTCTTTTCTTTTCTCGATTATCAGATTTCCTTTTTGTATGTAGAATCTACAATTTTAATTTCCACAAATCACAAATCTTTCCTCTTTTTTTGGCTATATGAGTTACGGGAAAGAAATAAATCGTATCAACATCGAAAAGAATAAAAAAAAGCCGAATTTCAAAACATTCACTGGCTGAAATAAGGCTGAAATATCCGCCAGTCGTTCACTCATTTCGCTTGACACAAAAGCAATACCGTAAGCCAGTAGAATTCAACAAAAGCTATACCATAATCTGGCAATATCCTTTACAATTCTTTAAAAGCATAATTTCTAAAGTTAAGTCTTTAGTCTTAAAGTCTTAAATTTTGAATCATGATGGTTGGACCCCCATTTAGACTAATATCTAGAACAAGTTCGCGAGCAGCCTAAACTAACTTGATTCATTGTCTCCAAGAAAATAACCTCAGAAAGCTCGATCCATTGACCCTCGAATAAAATAGCATCCAATCCTAGCCAGGCTGGAAAATCCAAAGCCGGCAAATGACGGAACGTTTCTTTTTTTTTTTAAAGTCTTAAAGACTTAACTTTAGAAATTATGCTTTTAAAGAATTGTAAATGATAATGCCGGATTATGGTATAGCTTTTGCTGAACTCTACTGGCTTACGGTATTGCTTTTGTGTCAAGGGAAATGAGTGAGACGACTGGCAGATATGCTGGCGAAAAGGGCGAGTCAAAGGCCACCAATTATCAAGGATTATACACCCGGGTAACGGAAACGAGAACGGGAACGAGAACGAGAACACCATTTACCCTCCTTTAACAAATCCATCCCCTTTCAAACCATCTATGATCGATAAAGCTTAAATCGATTCCCTTTCCCCGGAAATGATTACTATTTTAGCTATATTCCTTTTCTTTCAACATGCAATCGCTCAGCCGACTTTTGGCCAAACATATCAAGTAAGTTATAGATTTATTTACATGTCATACAAACAATATACAAGCACCTAAAGCCTTAAATTAGAAAAATCCCATAGATATGGAAAAAAAAAGAGCCAACCAAAAAAGGGAAAACAGTTGTGGGAATCGAACCCTTGATCTGGCGACTAGGATACGAGGCTCTTACCCACTAGACCATGCCGGTCACCGCCCTACTGCTATCAACCAGCGCTCATATATCTTCAATAGTACTACGAACCGTTGTTTCCTTTTATATGTCATACCAGCCGAGAATTTTTCTCGATGTTTTGAGGTCGGCTTTTTGTCGCCGTGAAGCAGCGGATAGCGCGCCGGTCTATCGACCATACGATCCGGGTCCGACCTCCCCGTGCGACTCGAATTATACTTTTTAAAAAATCCAAACACAACTTACACAACTACATGTAATTCCCTATTCAACGGCGCAAAAATTATTGCAAACGGTCCTCTGGGGGCTGAAGAGTAGCGCGCACGGACAGACAGGCGGACAGACAGACGAACAGGCAGACAGACGTCTTAGTCCCTTTATATATAATAGATTATAGATCTAGTAAAACTGAAATTTTAAAGGATATGTCAACAATCGATCTATTCGGAAATAAACAACCGATTTTCAATTATATGCCAAATCCGGGTCATGTCGATCCGACGCTTTTGGATCAACGAGAACGATGGATGGATCCGAGAGAAGAGGAAGGTTGGGCTCTTTCTGGGTATTTTGAATGGGTCATCACACTTTGAAGCCCCTATAACTTTGTCTAGAGATCATATTTTTCTTAACATTTTATATCATTGTAGAGAGGAGATTTCAAGCTTTAAAATGGTACCAAATAGAGCTTGATTAGATAATCCAGTCCAAGACAATCAGAGCCAACTCTAAGCAAATGAGGCCCATTCAACCCGGTTGTCTTGTCGCCTTGTTTACATGGAAATGAAAAATCGAGTCAAGCTCTATTTGGTATCATTTGAAAGGTTGAAATCTCCTCTGTACAATGATATAAAAGGTTAAGAAAAATATGATCTCTAGACAAAGTTATAGGGCTTCAAAGTGTGATGACCCGTTCAAAATACCCGGACTTTTCCAAAATACCCAGAAACCACGCAAGAACCGCAGGTTAAATAAACAATTGAAAATAGAAATATTCAAGGAAACACATAAATCTAAAGCATTTTACATCATTCCCATTAGGCTGGTGGCATTTGTTTCCCTATGGACCGTTGTACAACGACGCGAACCTCTTGATCAAACCGCATCACGATCGACAAATCGATTTCGATTTCGATTTCCCTTTTTATGGTTTTCGATTCAATTACACAATGGTTAGGATTTTGCAATTGCAAAAACTGAATTAGATTTAGATTTATCCAAATGGCTTTCTTGCCTTCTCCGATCCCGAATTCATTCAACCGCCATACACTTTTCCAAATCCAAGATGGCCTGAGCAAAAGGTTTTTGAATTGCTGGCTTGTTAAACTTACTTACCGTAAATACTGTAATAGCACCCCACCCCTCTCGTACAGTCGCGTAGTCGCAAAAGTTTTTTAGTATTTCATTTTTTTCAAAGCGCCCGTACTTTCCAAAAATGCGTCTTTGGTAGCAAAAAATAGCTGAAATTCAGGGCTATTTTTTGATACCTAAGCGCGCATTGTAGCATAAACCAGTCTCGAGAAAAACTCGTTCAAAGCTAGACTACGCAACGCTCCGCACCGTCATTATGGGGGTGGGGTACTATTACAGTATTTACGGTACTTCTTATTTTGCTTAAACGTTAAACTGATTCAAAAGTTACAATTAAAATAGGAATAATTAAAATAGCAATAATTAAAATAGCATTTAAGATAGCAATTAAGATAGCAATTAAGATATATTCTCATAAGAAACAAAATATATATATATTTCAGGATGCGTCATTTATTGCTGCTTTCTTTGCTGATCAAACATTTCAATATGTCGGTGAAAGAGGGATATCGAATGTTTGGTTTGTTACAATCTTGTTTTAGCATTTTTATTTTGATATAATGCTTTCATTTCTTTCTTCTCCTGACTTGTGTCACTTTCGGTGCTCCTCCGTAGGCCATTCTTTCCCAAGTCACAATCACAGCATAGTCAGCACGTTATTTAGGTATCGTATCGTTTTTCGTCCTCGTGCTTATGAAACATTCGACGAATGGGGAAATCCACTGATGGGACCAAGGGTTTTTTGAAAAGAAAATATCGAAATTACGTTCAAATTCAGGATTCCGAGTTTGGGCGCATGTTTGAAACATCAAGAGATCGATATGAGAAAAAGGTTTTTACAAAAGAAAAATAATTTTTGAAAAGAGTTTATAGATGTGGGGAAGAGTTGAGGACTCGATACTTCTTGATAATATTACAATGGCTGTTCGAGATGGGATCATTGGTAGGCTTACTTTAAAAGAACGCTTATGCTGTACATTGTGCTCAAAATAGGCACAGAAACAAGACCTATCTGGCACACGGGAAACACCGCTAAATGAACTCCAGGAGCTGTACTTTGTGCTCAAAATAGGCATAGAAACAAAACCTAACTGGCACACGGGAAACACCGCTAAATGAATTCTAAGAGTTGTACTTTGTGCTTAAAATAATCGGAGAAACAGATCCTATCTGGCGCCAGGGCATACTGCTAAATGAATTCTAGGAGTTATACTTTGTGCTTAAAATAAGCGGAGAAACAGATCCTATCTGACGCCAGGGCATACTGCTAAATGAATTCTAGCAGCTGTACTTTGTGCTCAAACTAAGCATAGAAACAGATCTGGAGCCAGTGCATACTGCTAAATGAATTCTAGGAGCTGTACTTTGTGCTCAAAATAATCACAGAAACAAAACCTAACTGGCACAATGCTAAATGAATTCTAGGAGCTTGGGGTTTTCGTGCTGACTATGCTGTGATTGTGACTTGGGAAAGAATGGCCTACGGAGGAGCACCGAAAGTGACACAAGTAAGGAGAACAAAGAAATAAAAGCAAAAAAAACTAATTTCTAGGTAAATCGCTATGAGGAGGCTCGTCGATGGACAAATACCTATCAAGTAGATCGAAATTTCGTTTCTCTAACAAACTCTTCCAAACCTTCAGATAGTAATGGCAACTGACGAGATTCGCTCGTATGTGATGTTCAACTATGCTCACATTAATTGGACCTCATCGAATACGGCTGGAGCTTTGATGGGAAGAGGAGGACTTCAAAGTGCAATGGTTTGCAAAAGAAAATGAAAGAAAACAAAGTTTCAATGTAGGCTGGGTTTAATGGCGGAAACGGAACTGGTTGGACTCCATTACCGTATTCGGGAGAGGGTCGTGTGATTAAACTGAAAGAGTTCTCAAATGTCGGCATTCCGGGACGATGGTTGTTCAGAGTTGATGAGGAGATCATTCGAGCAGGATGCAGTAATGAGAGTATTGGTTTGTTTTAGAGAATTCTAACATTGTTGTATGTACAACAATATCATGTAAAACAATATTGCAATATTTTCTGAATTTCTAGGCTTTATGACAACAGCTCCGATAGCAGCGACAATGATTGGTGGAGTTTATGTGAATGTTTCGGGTCCATGTCTACGTTCTGGTGATGTTGTGAAAGTGATTTTCGACGAATATCAAGTCGATTGCATTCGGGTTTGTCACAGAATTGATATATAGATAAAATTATCTTTTAAAATTCTTAGCTTAACATGCATCGAGCTCAATGCGTTCTCCCAGTGAATCGTATGTACAAGACTGGACTGGTGAACACAAAGATGAGTCGAGACGGTGGCCAGAGTTACCCATACATTGGCACATTCTATATGCGTCAGTAATTGAAAAACATTTTATTCAAACGAATAATATGATAAAAGCAATACAAAAGCACAACCCTTAAGCTCTAAATTTAGGGAAAAATCGATAGATGAAAAAAAGAGTAAAGAATCTAGGCGGGATTGAACCCTTGAGCTGTTGACTAAGGCTCTTAACTAGCCTACAAGGCTCTTAACTAGCCTACAAGGCCCTTAACTAGCCTACAAGGCTCTTAACTAGCCCACAAGGCTCTTAACTAGCCTACAAGGCCCTTAACTAGCCCACAAGGCTCTTAACTAGCCTACAAGGCTCTTAGCTAGCCTACAAGGCTCTTAACTAGCCCACAAGGCTCTTAACTAGCCCACAAGGCTCTTAACTAGTCGGCCATGACGAGATACCGTCAGCTTCTTTCTAATCAAGTTTTTAGTTCAACCAGCGCTAGCGGCACCGCACATCAAACTGATCGACAACCCGAAAGAGCCACATAATAATTGGCGAAGTGCAAACGCGACAAGATTACGGTAATGTCTTAAATTTTTTAAAAAACCCCTGCAATATTTACAATAATCTTTTAAAACATCACTATTTTTACATTTAAATTTTTACATTTTTACATACATATGAAAAGTCGAGTCTTATAGGTAGATAAAAATACCCTACTCTTTTTCTGAAATGTCGATTTTGCAAGATTTTCTTACAAAACATACTGTTGGATGGCAATGGGGCATTACTTTTGTGGGCCACTGTACTTCACCTCTTTCAGTCTCGAATGGGCACCGATGAATTTAACAACAGATATGAGTGCTCAAGTTGACATCAAATTAATCGGCTATTGGGAGGATACGGATGATCATGTGTTTGAAGAGGTGAAAAACGAGTAGTATTCAATATTCTTAAATTACCTATCGATTATTAGGTGGGCACAATTGCATCAAGGACAGCAAACGACGGTTTATACGAATTCGATCCAAGGACTTTAGCCAGAACAACAATGGTTAGCTTCGTTAGTTTAAAAAAAAATAAAATGATACATTTAAGGTTTTCAACTCTTGGAGACGATTTTCTTTTGGTTTAGTGCGAATCTCAATTTCCGATTCTGAGGAAACAACTGGGTTTGTTTAAAAAAAGAAATTTACCGTATTTACTCGAATAGAAGACCGGTCTTCTATTTTTTCGATCATCCCCTAGACCCCGTCTTCTATTCGAGACGGTCTTCTATTCGAGTAAATACGGTAGTAGGCTTTTCCAGCAAAATCTTTTCCGTTCCTTTTCGTAATTCCGATTAAAAACAAGAGATTGACTGAATGAATTTTGCTAAAAATTTAGCTATATACAAAACTTTTTCTTCTCTATCTTTTATCTATTGAGACGAAGATAGGTTTCTTTATGTTGAAGTAATCTAAACCGTATCACCATCATCGATCTGTCGCTCTTTTTGACTACCGGACTTCAGGCTCTCAAAAACTTCAAACATCAAACATTTTAAGCCCGTTTTAATGTTATTTTTTAGAATAATTGACCAATCTAATGAAATAAAAATAGATTAATTGATGAATTTGTTATTTTTCAATTAAAAGACTTTCTGGAAAGCTTAATAATAATGCGAAAAACTAAATTAAGCTTTATAAAACATTATTTTCAAGCTCTTACAAGTTTATGGTTACTTTAGCCAAGTAAAGAAATAAAGAAGCGGTTAAAAGCAGATCTATTATCACAAAAAAAAAATTCAGGGTTTTCTGGTCAAAATTGACCCCATTTGGGTGGTATTTCCGTGATGTTTGGCAATACGAGTTGGGATCTGATTGGGCAATGGAGTTATGCCATGATTGGTAAGTGGAAAGTGAAACCATTTAACACGTTCGGGACGATTCGGTGGACGAAGGCCGTCTGGCCCCTGGGACGGTTCCGTCCACCGGTGGACGAAGGCCGTCTGGCCCCTGGGACGGTTCGGTCCACCGGACGAAACCCCCTCCCGCCCCAGAGACAGACACTCTGCGCTATAGAAGATAGAAGCACGACTGCGCTATAGAAGACCTCTATTGCGCGTATCCCAGTCAAACGACCTTTTTGGGATAAATTCTTATCAAAAAATGATGTTGATGTGAAATGTTCATCTAGCTGAGCTCCATCCAATAAAACAAAAATCGTGGAAAACAGACCATTGGAGAAAGAGAAATGCGGCGTTTTGTCTCACGAGCCAAAAAGAGCCGATATCTTTTTGAGGGAGCAATATTTTCAAAATCTGATTAGAGATTCGGATTCAGCATGAAATTTTACATATAGGAGGTGTATTTCGGGGCTAATAGCTTTGCGAGACACCCCTCATCCACTGGGGTAGTAACGCAAAAAAAAACGCCTCGTCGCGAATGTGTTAATACTTTATTTTACTTTGCAACTCCTCATTTACAGGTTTGACTACGATGGGAAACGCGTGAATTTTGCGATGGATCTCGAACCGTTCATCCCGTGTCCTTGCACTCTCGATCAGGCTCTTTTAGACATGGGTGAATTCATGAAATCAACTTAGAAATCAACTCTACCTAACTATCACAGCTATCATCTAGTATCTTTTAGGTCGTTACATGCCTTTGTTCGGATGCGATATGGATGGTGACGCGTCATGTGAGTACAATAAAGGATCCCAACACTGTGTGATGAGTACAGCTGCTACGTAAGTTATAAAAAAAGTGATAAAATCATATACTTTGCAAGAAATCTGCAATTCTGTTCTAGTTGGACTGGAGCCGGGCAAGTGTGCTGCTTCGATTTCTCCGGTTGGCTTATGCATTCCGACGACTACGAGAACGCGGCACATCTTCGCTTTTTCAGGTAATAGTAAGCTTCTTATAGAATATTAGCTAATATTCTTATTCTAATAGAAAACCATGATGGTCTATTTTTCTATTGTATTTTCCAACCTTCTAAAATCGGCCGGCCGAAAAAGGGGTGGGTTTTGAGGGGTGGCTTCTATTAGGGACTGATCTTCTGTTGGAGAATGATCTTCTATTAGTGATTGATCTTCTATTAGTGATTGATCTTCTATTAGTGACTGATCTTCTATTGGAGACTGATCTTCTATTAGAGACTGATCTTCTATTAGAATAAAAACGGTAACTTGAAAGGTATAAACAAAGCTAGATTAAGCTAAAAACTGAAAAGTAATTAGAATTTGAGAAATTTAGTCCCGGTACTGCTCAACGTGCTCATCCGATGGGCTCATTTCCTTTCAAGCGACCACCTTACGTGCCCTCACTCTCCAATTACCACACTGATGTTATGGCTTATGAGAAATGTTGCAAAGTGAGCCAAAGAACAAAAGATCAGATTCAAATTCGATCTTTAGTGGGCCGGTCATTGCGAGTTCTACTTCTGGAGACGGCAAACGTCGGGTTGTCAAGAGTACATCCCCCCAGTGGCTGGTTGGTTTTGCACGTTTTCCTAAAATAGCTCATTTTTAGGCATTGCTTATGGTGATCCACATTTCATCACCTATGACGGAAGCAAATATACGTTCCAAGTAACGACTTTTTTTCGTGCACAAGTCTAGAAAATCTTTAGGGAAAAGGTTACTACATTCTGACGATGTCAAAGGATCCACGTCATGATCTGATGGTTCAAATTCGAATGGAACAACCCCCAAATACTGATTGTATGATTGTCAATATATCAATCAAGAATGCAAGCCAAGTCTACAATATTTTCAGGGAATCAAGTGGTGCACGCGTCGGTGATCACCGGAGTGGCGGCTCGAGAAAATCAATCAGACATCGTGCAACTGTTTGCGAGAAAAGAGCACAGAAGGCTTGTTTTTGTTCTTGTTCTTGTTCTTGTTCTTGTGCTTGGGCTTGTTCTTGCTCTGGTTCTTGTGCTTGTTCTTGTGCTTGTTCTTGATCTTGTGCTTGTGCTTGTTCTTGTTCTTGATCTTGTTTTATTCAAAATTTCCTTTTCAGATGGAGATATCGAATGGATATCGTTGTCAACGGGCATCACCAATATTTCGATACACCTGAGCTGAAAATGCAAAGATTTAAAGTAAGTTCTTAAAGCGTAAAAGCTAATAGAAGCCGAAAGTCAATCGAAATATTGACTTGAACCCATCATGTGCTCTTTAAAGCTTTGAGCTTTAAAGTTTTGAGCTTAAAAATGATCCTTAAAACAATCTGTGGTCGGGAGTAAAGTTTATTGACTATAGAGGATTCTAATAGAACTCTAATGGAAGCACATGGCTTCTATTAGAGTGGCTTCTATTAGAGTGGCTTCTATTAGAGTGGCTTCTATTAGAGTGGCTTCTATTAAAGTGGCTTCTATTAAAGTGGCTTCTATTAAAGTGGCTTCTATTAGAGTGGCTTCTATTAGAGTGACTTCTATTAGAGTGGCTGCTATTAAAGTGGCTTCTATTAGAGTGGCTTCTATTAGAGTGACTTCTATTAGAGTGACTTCTATTAGAGTGGCTTCTATTAGAGTGGCTTCTATGTTTATTGTAGCTTTTTTTACTTAGGGAGTCACTCTACGAAGTCCAGAACGAAATCACAATCAATCGGAGATTTGGGTAATGTTTGATTCGGGAGCAGGTTTGAGAAAATTTTTACGGCTAACCTAAGACTCAATGAAGGTCTTCGTGTCGCCGAAGCTCACGGTGTTCTCAATATTATGACCCTTTTACCGCCGGACTTCAACGAGACTTTTGCGGTATTTAAAAAAAAAATGTTTTTCAAGATACAAATTAACTTAGCATTATCGTGGATGGGACTTTTTCGGGGGCCCAAATCGACAAGATGATGGAACTTTGATGGGTACGCTCAAAGATTTATTCGTCGATCGAGTCCAAGGACCCGCGGATACACTTCAAAATCTTGCCGGTAACAAAGGAAAATGATTCTTGAGGAAAAAAAAATTAGGTGGCCAACGATATATGACAGTGGGCCTTATGGGCACATTCAATGGGAATCCAATCGACGATTTAATGGACCCAGCTGGACGAATTTATGGTGTCAGTCATCCACCCACTGATAACGACAATATGAGAGCTTACGAATTTGGACAAACTTGTAAGTGAAGCAATTCTTTATTTTAAAAACCGATCAAACAGTGTTTGCAAGATTTTTCCTTTTATAAGCTTCGAGATCGTTCTTCGAGTACATCACCATCTTTCCCACCTAGGAAACAAGCAGTTGTGAATGGATTTTTAAATGCATAACCCTTACTTCACTGTTACATAAACAAATCAACCATGGAGTGATGAGGGAAAAGATTGCGTTCATTGTTGGATAGAATAAACGAATCGCGTAGATTTGATCGATTTTCTGAAAAAAGAGAAAGTGGGGCTTTTTTGGGGCTTTTTTTTAATTACTTCTTTCTCTCGAGTGCTGACAAAGAAGTATTGTAGTACGTGGAAAATCGTGCAAAGATAGAAACCGGCCAGCATTCCCGCTAGAATGAAAGTCGCAGAGAGTTCGCGTCTCGCTCTTCGGCTTCTAATTTTCTTTTAGATTTTGAAAACTTTAAGTAATGTTACTGGCTTCCCGTCGCAAGATCAACAGTTATTTGAATCAGAATCCGAATGAAGCAAAAAGAAACGACAACGAGCGCGACAAGGGAAAGTACAGCCACTGAGAGGGCATTTATCTGGAAATGATAGGCAAAGTTTACGTAGGTATTTGAAATTCTTTGAGCTCACAAGAGAAAGGTTAGAGTCAAGCTTTTGCCTCGAAACCATGTCCATCTTATAGAATCAGCCATGGGGATCTCGAATCTGTTTTTAGTTTTTTGCAGAACGCTTCGCAAACGCGAGATATTTAGCTTAGAAAATCGCCTTGAATTTCGAGCTCCTTATGAGGCTGTCATGCTGGCTTAACAGCTGATTCGGTGGTATAGTGGATGGACTTCTAGACTACCGAACCTCTTAGACTCTTGGCCCTCAAGTTCGAGTCCCGCTCTAGCCAAATTTTGTTTGCTTTTTTCAAGTAGTTGTTAAGGGAGCTTGTGACGGCTTCTTAAGGAGTCCAAAATTTAGATGTCTCGCGTTTGCGAAGCGTTCTCGTCTCGCGTTTTGCCAAAAAACTAAAAACGGATTCAAGATCATGGCCTACTCTATAAGATGGACTTGGTCTCGAGTCAAAAGGCCAGCTTGACTCGAAGCCTTTCCCTTGTCAGTGACTCACCGAGAAATCCATAAGCGGAACGACAAGGTTCATCTTCTCCTCGTCATCGTAGGTGTGAAATTGCGTGAGTACGGGCACACAAGAGAGAATCGGAAGTGTCCAATGCGATCCAATGAGTAAAGCTCTCGGGAATCCGTTGAAAGCCTAAACTCTTCAGCTTCAGCTTCAGCCTTGAATTCCCTCCTACATAGTTCATCATCGAGTTTGGAAATGTGACTGAAGCGATTCGTTGCAAGGCCAGTAAGCTAACACCAAGTATCCGACCGACGAGGAAAATGTGCTCACATGCGTAGCCAAAAGATGGAAGATATGATTCACGAGTGTACCAGTACACTCCCTAAAAGTTCTTTTTTTTTAAAGACTCATCATTCTTAGTTACCTTTAGCATATGTCGCAAATCGCAGAAGAAAAAATAAGTGAGAAAAGCGCCAACATCAAGAATACCCTGATTTTCTACTAAAAAAGAACAAGAAATTTGTTCACTACCTGCGAGAAAAGAAGCGTGTAAAAGGGAGAGACAAAATTCAGTGTTGATCGCAATTTGAAAAGGAGACGAAGCACGAGAAAGTAGAGAGGAATCGAGACAAGACCAGCCACAGAAACCACAACCCATTGCCATTGCACAACACTAAATTCCCAAAAAGAAAAGCTCATCTTCAAAAAATTTACATGCAAAAGATGTCGAGCAGTGGGCCATCAAAGGGAATCGAATCGTTGGCACAATATCTCATTTAGAAAAAGAAATAAGAAATAGAAATAGAAATTGGTTAAGAAATAAGCTCAAGTTGGGTAAAAAATACTTGAGAAAGAAGGCCACCAAAGAGTCAAGGTGAAATAAAAAAAAGGGGGATTTCGGGTGAGACAAGGTGGTTTCAAAATTCTCAAAAATGCATGAGTTCGCCGTCTCTTTTCCGTTTTTTGGCGCTGCCAAGCATGTGAAATTTCGGCATACAGGAAACACGCTTCATAGTTTCTCTCTTTCCTTGAAAATTGATGAAGTATTTCTAAGCGTTCCCCCCAAAAAAAAAAACTTTTTAAACAGGGAGAGTTGACGGCTCGAGGCATAAGATTCTCTTCCAAGATGACATCAAACCAATCTATAATCCACTACAATTTGGGGATGATAGGTAACAAAGTTAATATTCAACATATTTAAATGTTAATTTTAGAAACTACCACCCAGTTTTCGATCCATATCGTAATCAATACAACGCCAGTTTGGTCTTCACATTGGATGAAGTTCGGGTAAACTATGAAAATCAACAATTTTGCATCTGATATTCTAGATGTTGTGCCAAAACGTTTATGAATGCGAATATGATTACTTGTTGACCGGCAGGCGTGAAATTGCTCTAAACACTTTGGAAGTTCATGCGAAATTGGGAGATTTAAAGAGCAAAGGATCAAAAAGAGGTTGGTTCAAGAGAAAACCCACAATATACTTGAATCAAAAATTCCAGTGATGTCTTGTGGTGCCTTGTTGACAGCTCCTGGAGTAGTCAAGTACCCACCTGGAAACAACTATCTTGACGGTGTCACAGTAAGTTTAACTAAAAGAATAAAAACCACTGTACTTTTAGGTTACTTTTACATGCAAACCCGAATACTTTATTCACGGTGATCAGCAAAGGACTTGTGTGAATGGAACTTGGACTCCCGGATGGCACGTTTGGTGCCGATGTAAATAATGTTTCTAAATTTTGAAAAGTTTTTCAAATAGATCGCTCGACTGAAATCGGCTTGAAATGGATGACAGGAATCCTCTCATCAGTTGCCATTCTTTTGGCGATCATTTCGATTTTCATTGGATGCTATTTCAGACGAATCACTTTACATCCCGAGACACGAATCACTTTTCGGAAAAAGACCTTTAGGTAGTCAAGAAACACTTAATTGTGCAATCCTTTTCAGTAGCTCAACCGCAACCGTTTCGACGGTCGCATCTGATTCGGATAAAGTTGGGCAATTGCCCGCAAGAAGTTCTCCAAGATTTTCAACAAATCCACAACCAGATCCACAGTCAATTTTGCGTCGTCATGCCCCTTCACCTTTCAGAGGATATGTTACATCAACTTAATAACTGCGATTTTGTTTTACAATAATAAAATATTTCTAGTTTATTCATTTTAACTAAATACAAAACAAGAATTGTGATTATAACTACATACTATAAAAGTTCTTTTTACATAAGAAGGCTACTTGCTTGAATGTGTTTATTTACGGCGTGCGGCACGAATCTCATCAATCTGGGCTTGCACTTCAGGAGAAAGAAGGTTGTCAGCCTAAAATTAAAAATACATATTGGTTTACAACACAAACGCTTACAAAGTCAAGAATATTCATATATTTATAGCGAAAGCTTTGATTTGGCAAAGATTAAAGAAAATTGTGGTTACCTTTCTAGATTACAGGGGCTACTCTCAATGATATTATTGTCAACCAACACTTGCAACATCTTAAAGCACATGGCCAGGTTAACTAATAAATACTTCCAAACATATATTAAACTGATATAGGGCAAAATTCAGTTCAAACTGTGGTTTTAGCCAATATAGGGTAAACCCCACACTTTGAATTGTGGATTTTACTCTATATTTATGTGGATACGTCACGAATCTTTCCTCAGCAATTGCTCTATTGCAAGACTTTTATCCACGTTGCTTTTACATCTCATAAAATACTGACCCGTGGACGAAGCGAGTCTAAGCGAAGAAGCACCGAAGTTGGATAAGAGAGGAACGCAACCGCGATGAAAAAATAGAGGCCTAAATAAAAAGAATTCGCATGAAATTAACCGTAATAATATTAAAAATGTTGCGGAAAAGATTTGACATCAATATTTAACCGAACTACTCCTAAGAGTCGCTACCTAAATATATTCCGAGGGACAAACGTTCATTATCCACTCACAAAACGATTATGTCTTATTTTTTCTATCCACTCAAAAGTATTTATTTATATTTCGATGTCCGCAAAAATTTTATAATTTTCTACATGTCATTAAGTTGAAGATAGATAAAGATAAAATTAAAAAGATACCGATTCTCTCCGGGATTGGCATGAATCGCAATGGTGGCGTCGAGTCGACTCCCTTGTGGAGAGCACGCTTTTGGACGGCAACAAATTGACGGCCCAAGCCCAAAATGGCGCGATTCATCTATAAAAAGAAATTAGAACATTGATTCATGTTTGAAAGCAACAAAAAAGCTAAAATGTATCGAGCAAAGAGAAATTTTGTCGCAAAATGTGATTTTAAAGGACGAAATAGTGGTAATATTTCAAAAGTGTGCTGGAATAGCATTTCAATGCGGTGCTCCAATTAGATTTCTGAAAATTTTAGCCAAAATTTGATAAAAGATAACAATTATGGCGGTAAAGGTTCGTAAGAATTTAGTGCATCAAAGGACGAGCGACAAATCTTGACGGGGCACTAGCTACCGCAGGCAATTCTTGCTAAGACCGCGCGATGACAACATGAAAAAGATCTAGCGTTTCACTCATTTACAAATCGAGAAACAATAGCGTTTGGCAAAAAATGCAAACGGCAACGATTCAACGAGAAAAAAATGACTAAATGGACAAGGGGGTAGACTAATTTCCGTCATTTTATTTGCGCAACTCGCCATAACTTTCTTATAAGTGGGCCAATCTTTATGATTTTGGTGTCATTTTGTTGCACTTATTCTGATCTACAAAATGACACTAAAGTCATAAAGATTGATCCACTTAGAAGAAAGTCATGGAAAAGTGAAAGTGAGTTGCGCAAATGAAATGGCGGAAATTAACCTACCCCTGGAAAAGTGCTGAACGCGGGACGGCCCAAAAAGCGCAAATTTTTTCCGCAAAGGGGCATTGCCGCAACTTTTGATATCTTGACAACCCGTGGTTAGATTTCTATGTTTTGGTACCATTTTGTTGCTCTCGTCAAGTGCAACAAATTGGTACCAAAAATATAAAAAATTGCCCATGGGTTATCGAGTTATAGAAAGTTAGCAAAAAAAAATTCGTGGCTTTTGGGCCTCCGACTCCCCTTTAAAACTTGCACATGCTAACTTGATACAAATTAGGGTACTATATTTTACGGAGTTAGTGCAAATTAGAAATTAGCGCACAAAAATTCGAATTGCATTCAATTTTATATAAAAGCCAACAATTGTTTTTCTTTTTAATAAGATAGAGAAATCTTTATTGCTGAATCAAAATAATCGAATCATCATGTGAAGGCGGGGTTTTTGAAAGCTTTTCAAAGATGAATGATCTCTTCGATGTAGTCCGAAGAGATCGATGGGAATTTGGCGAGTTTCGGTGGTTCCTAGGCTCAAGATTCTTAAGCTATTTTTTTTTCATTCTCACCTTTTGCTGTCGTTTATTCTCCTCCAAAACATAAAGAATCTCCATTTCCGGTGAACAAGCCAGCTCCGCATTAGCATTATTCCATTCTTTGGTGTCTAAATCTTTATAGATGCTTATCATAATAGCCCATAGATATTACGGTATGTATTTTAGAATATAAAAAAGGTTTTTTTTCTACCACACCTTCTAATAAAGGCTTCAGTTCTTCAGTCCATTTGCGAAGTTGATTCCAATACGAAATATCCATTAGAAGGGGTTTAATATTAGAATTCTGAAATCGATTTCCCCTTAAATTTCTAGCTTTTAGACTATACTTGATTTAAATTGGTCAGCGTTGCAAGCAATTGTTTTCCGGTATCTTCTCGACAACTTTCATCGATCTCATACTAAACTGCCTAGATAGATATTGCTGAGGCTCAATCACCCACCCTTTTCTCCAAAGCAAACACCAAACATTCAAAATATTGCACATGTTCGTCAAAATTCTCCTTGAAATAATCACGATTCAGCTCTAGAAATTGAAATTTTTCAAGAAATTGAAATTTTTCTGTTCCAAAAAGTAAACCCTTTCTGCTCACCCAAAAACTCAAGCCAAAAACTCGCAAATTTCTTTGCGTCCTTCAAATTTTCCGCATTTTCAACCATTCTTTCATAGGAGCAATGAGCCAAAAAAGTCAATTCACTAGAAAGATTTGTGGGTTTGATATATTAGTTAATTTTTTTCCTTACATATCAAGGAGATTCCTCTTTGCCGCTTCTTCAACGATTTTCACGCAACGAGCATAGATTTCCGCGTTAAAAGCATAGTGAGCCGAGATGTGAATTCGCTCGATCTCGTCGTTGTCATCTAAATTTTGACTCAACATTGTTGTTAGGAATAATTTGAACTCGAAATTTGATTAGCTTTACCTAATGAGCTTAATTAGCTTTACCTAATGAACTTGATTAGCTTTAGCTAATGAGTTTTTACCTAGATATTGAGCTGAGCTTGTTGGTGAAAGAAGATAGAGATTCTGAAGAGAAATGGCACTTTGCATGAAAGATTTCGAGCCGCTAGATAATGTCGATTTTGGCGACAATGCCGGGGTTAATGGTGGTGAAGATGGAGTTCTAAGAAGAGACAAAAGCTGAAACGTTGTTAATGTCTCGAAAATTTGGTCTACAAGAAAATTGGATCTATTTTCCTAAACACAAACCCGCATCACATCGTCAGCAACTGCTTCAATTCGCTCTTTCGTTTGCATTCCTTCCAAATCCGACTTCAATAACTCTTTCAAACATCGATCGGCCTCTCGTAAACGATTCATCTATTAATTTGTTGAAAGGCGGACTCATTAATTGAAAAATTTCGCCTGTTTTCGGCGGTGACATAAAAAAAGAGAGGTGAAAGTGAATGTGGATATGCTTAGGAAAAGATACAAAAAAAAATGAAACCGGAAATTTATGGGACATTCATTCTTTAAGACAAAAGAAGAGAGCAAAAGTGAAATGATGGATCAAAACGCGAAGAAGAAAACGGCAAGGAAATTTTTTGAACGGAGAAGTGTCGGCAGCAATTTTGTTTGAGAAGAAGAAGAAGAGCTAAGCTTCTCGGAAAGGGAAAGGGATTGGGGATGGGGGAATTGAGTATAGAAGACCGGCCCTTTCAACAATGGACTATAGAAAGAAGGGAGAAAAAGGTATAAACCTGCCGTTTCTCGTCTATTCTATAAGCACATCAAGCCTCTTAAACTTAATAGCTACCAGCTGATTGCACAATGACTCATCGTTATTACATAAATAAAAGAATCTCTGGTACTTACCGTAAATACTGTAATAGTACCCCCACCCCCCTCGTACAGTCGCGTAGTCGCAAAAGTTTTTTAGTATTTCAATTTTTTCAAAGCACCCATACTTTCAAAAAATGCGTCTTTGGTATCAAAAAATAGCCCTGAATTTCAGGGCTATTTTTTGATACCTAAGCGCGCATTGTAGCATAAACCAGTGTCGAGAAAAACTCGTTCAAAGCTAGACTACGCAACGCTCCGCACCGTCATTATGGGGGTGGGGTACTATTACAGTATTTACGGTAATAATAAAGCCTATTTAGAACAGCTTTAATCCCAGATCTATCGTCTTTCTTTGGTCTTTTACTAGTCATTTTGGTCTTTTTGATCTTTTTAGTCTTTTCTAGGGTAATTTTTTTAACGCTAATCTCTAATTTAAAGTAATCAACTTGTCAAACTTCATTTCTAGATTACAGTTCTAATCTTTTTTTAAACTCACAATTTCCCTGTAGTTTGGCCAAAGCCAAGAAAGTGGAATCATTTGAGAATCAGCTGACATTAGAATCAATTTTTTTTTTCTTTTCTTAACGATTCAAAACTTTTAAGATTTAAACAAAACAATTATGTGTTACGATTACGATTCCAATAAATAAAGACAAACATTTTACAGCCTGAATCATTTTCAAGGTGTCAACGAGAAACATTTGCACAATCAGAGGAAAGAAAAATCGAAGTATGGAATGTTATCAATATTTACAAATTGAATTTGAATACAAATTTACAAAATTGATCTAGTTTTTTGAAATCGAAATGAAATTGGGATCGATGAGAAAAAAAAAAGGAAACGGTGAGCCGATTTGTCATCGCGCATTCTCTTCAACAATAGACTCAATGACGTTTCGAATTTCTGAAAAAAAAAACTAAAGGAACAAATATTGAGCAATATTTTTTTTTTGTGATTTCAAATTTTCACGGATCAGCTCGTCAAAATTGGAATAACAAAACGAATCGAAATTTTGAGTGAGCCCATTTTTGCGCGAGGGAATTATCAAGGATGATCCCAGTGAAGCTTTTTAGAGATCGACAGAAAAAAGAGAAGGGATGAATGGACGAGAAATTGGAAAAGGGAAATTGAATTGAAAAAGAAAAGCTGGTTAAAAAAAAGCTGGTTAAAAAAAAGCTGGTTAAAAATAAGCAAAGATATATTGAAAGTTAACTTTATTGATTGAAATGATCATCTCAAGGAAAAGAAAAGAATTTCACGTTTTCTTTCGAATCAAATTTAATATAATTCTTTTCGCGGATATCAATACAAAGTTTTTTTGCAATTTTTGCACAAAAAAAGATTGGTGGTCAACTCTGAACATACAGAGGTGAGTCGTTTCGAAAAGACTTATTGCAAACAACGATTTCTTTTTCAACGAATGGTTCAACTTTTTTTTTTTTTTTGCTTTTAATGGGAAACTGCATTTGGGAATGGCGGTAAAACAAACTTTAAAAGCTTTTATCATTTATCCAAGAATTGTAATTTTCAAAGTAATTCTGTTTATTTCGTGTCCATCATGCGGGAAATGATTGACAACATGATCTAAAATTGATTAAAGGTTAATTCTTAAAAAAAAGCTTTGATATTTTAGTACAAGTATACAGTACTGGACAATGAAATATCATACTTGAAAAAAGATTGTCACTTTCGCACGTCTGTAACTCCCTTGTCTTTGAGCTTAAACTATTAGTGTTATACATTTTCTGAAAGCTCCTTTCAAGCGTTACACAATGGTAATATTAATATTTAGAAATACGGTAAAGACAAGGGAGTTACAGACGCGCGAAAGTGACGATCTTTTTTCAAATATCATATTTCATTGTCCAGTAGTGTAGATCTATTCTATAGACTATTCTACATCAATTTTACAGTTTAAACCCATTCTACAATCTATTTGACAAGTTTAGAGCTATTCTTCAATCTATTCTACAGTTTAGCTCGATTCTACAAGTTTTGATCTATTCAATTTCCGGGCCGACTACTTTACGCCAAATTTTTTTGCCCAACTTTGTCTTTTTTCAGCATAACTTTCTTCTAAGTTGGCTAAGGATAATCTTTATGATTTTGATGTAGTTTTGTAGATCTCAACAGTTGCAGTCGTGCAAAAAATTTACCCCAAAGTCACCCCGTTCAATTTTTAATCTTTTCACGTTAACCTCATCAGCTCCGGCGCCAATCGAGTGTAGACGAAGATCTCGGTACAATCTTGTCACTTCATTCTCCCATGTATACCCGACACCGCCCCAGTACTAAATTATTTTAGTCTTGTGCTTTTTGAGGAGTCTTACCTGTAGACATTGATCCGTGACGGCTCTTGCCAATCTGCCGGCTTTGAGTTTACCCATACTCGCCAGCAGAGTCACGTCTGTGCCTAGAATTGGTTTTTAAGATTAAAAATCGTTTGACATATCACTTGTAACTTCAAGTTCACGGTTCTGAAGACCCAGATAGACCCCGGTATTTTCTTCTCCTTTTCTTCTTCTCCCTTGTCTTTCCCCACTTTCTTTTGGCAAGTCAAGGTACCAGATAGCTCAGTGCTTAGAGCAATAAGGCCCGGAAAGCAAAGGTTGAGGTAAAAAGGTCAAGGGTTCAATCACCTCTCCGGGAATCGACCTTTTTCCCAATTCCTTCACTTCCTTATTTAGAAATACACGAGACCTGCCATTCTTTCCAAAACGGCTCGATAAAGCAATGCTCGAAGCGATTCAATTTCTGTCTGTAACTCAGCCAAACGATAGTGTACAACCTAGATGTTAGTTGATCTCAGCTTTGCGCATTTTGATCAAACCTGATTCTCATATATCGGTTTTCCAAAAACATGTCTTTCTTTAGTGTATTCTCTCGTCATTTCCACACATCTTTCCATCGGTTTCAACACTAAATTCTTCTGAAATTTCTTCTTCATTTTCTCCTCTTACAAACAGCAATCGTCACTAAACGCTCGTCTTGGAATTGCTGCATTTGGTATTCGAATCCTTTCCCTTCTTTGCCTGAATTCATTATATCTTTTTTTATCAGCAAATGATAGTGAACCAATAAGATGATGAGCCGGTACACGAACATTCTCAAAGAACAAAGTAGCCGTATCCGACGAGTGCATACCCAGCTTGTGCGCTACTCGACTTCGATGAACTCCTAGAGTCAAAGTAATCAAAGAATTCGGTGAATTTGGTTTTTCACCTGGCGAATTTAACGGCACAACGAAGAGGCTCTTATTTTTATGTGGTGGATCAGCACTCGTGCTAGCTAAGACACAAGCCCAGTCGGCTTGAATCCCATTTGTGATCCATGTTTTCGTCCCATTCAACACGTAATCGTCACCAATCTTTTGTGCTCTGGTTCTAATGGCTAAAGAAGAGTGAATCAAAAATCTCGAAAAGAATCAAACCAGAAACATCACTTCCAGCATGTAGCTCACTCACAGCAATGCAGGATACCAGTTCTCCTAGAAAAACCATATTTTTCTTTGTTTGAATTGATTACCATTTATCGTTGGCCGCAGAAATTCTGCTTTCAAGCGCTCAGATCCGTACAAAGCCAACGCTGGAGTGGCCATATCACTCTGAAAGAGTTACATATGGGAAAATCTAATTAAGTTGTAAAATAAAAATAAAAAGAACTTCAGTGGCACGGAGCGGGGTCGAACCGGGTCATCTGGACCGGGGAACGCCAGCCAGAGACCAAGGTACTCCCGACTGCGCCAAAACGACACTTGCAGGCTGGGCAGAAAAACCCGCCCTTAGACCATTGAGCGGGTTTTTCAGCTGGTCTTGCTTTTGTACCTGTACAGCTACAGCCATTGGTATTGATCCACATCTCACTGTGCCCATCTCTTCAGCAACTGCAATCGAATACGAACAGTCAAGCCCCAATCCACCACAGTCTAAATTGTTCATAAAAATTGATATTTCATCAACAAGTACCAATTGATTTATTGACGGCAAAGACTCCAAGTTGACCGAGACTTCGAAAGAGTGAATGAGCGGGGAAAAGGCAGTTGTTTTCCCATTCTTTCACGTATGGATTCACTTCACGCTCGATAAACTGAAATTTGCTTTTAATTGATTGATTGAATGTTGTTGATTTTGAAATATTAGACCACTTTTATAAGCTTACCTTCCCAATCGATTCCCGAATCTGCCAGTGCCCTTCTTTGTAAAGAATATGAGCGCTTGTGGGAATGATTCGAGTGGCTGTGGCAATTTTTGGCGCTGCCATGGCTTTTAAATGAAAAAGTTCAAATAAATAAATCAAAAATTGTTTCAAATTGAATGGTGATCAGCTGGCAGAGGGAGAAGGAGGGAGAAGGGAACTCGTCGAGAGGAGAACGGGTTTCCGCCCCTTCCCCTCCTCCTTTCCACTCATCCAAATTCAAGCTTTTTTCCTCATTTCTTTCATCCAAAATCTTTCCAAATCCACAGAAACCGGGCTCTCTTTAGCGTGAATGCTTCTCTCAATGAATACACTTCAGCATTCAACAGAAAGGCGTAGTTTTTTTTGGATTAGATTGTGAATGAAAGTAAAAAGCGGTTAATTTAGTTTAAAAGAATTGCCTAATCTGAAATATTTGGGGAATAGAATCTTTTGAATCAGAAACAAGCTAGACTTTTCCCATTGCCTAATGACAAAAGAGATCAAAATTCAATGGAGCTTGCAGGAAGGCTATAGACTATAGACAGGCTATAGCCTATAGATAACAGGCTATAGCCTATAGATAACAGGCTATAGCCTATAGATAACAGGCTATAGACTATAGAAATCTTCATTTTCAGTCTGATTTTCAATTGGTGTACAACGGAAAACGAGCTTTCAATGGATACTTTTTCAAGGTTTTTTCAAATCAAAAGATAGAGCTTGAAAAATACAATCTCTATGTAGCATGAAATCCTGAAAACGTAGTCGTTGAAGTGGCAAAAACTCGTTTATCCATTGCCTACCTATTGACAATTAGATCGAAAATAAACAACTCTAATAGACTAGCAATTATAAAACAATTTACGTTAACTTTTTCTTAAGTAGAATCATTTCCCCTAGTGCCTTACATTAAGGACTCGAGGAGAAGGGAAAAGAAGTTGATGAATTATTAAAGTTCTTGCGAGAGCCGGAAAGCGGATACCCATCTCTTTCCATTCAACTCCTTTCAATCAATACGTACAACCATCCATTTTCAAATTCTTTCGTACTTCAAAAACAAGAAAATCATATTTTATTGCTACAATGCATGATAAAAATTTATGAGATCTGTTAGAGTTTTTCTTTTCGGTGAATAGAGATCCTTGAGTGAGCGCGGAAGGATTTACAAGAGATCCAGAAAATGGCAACAACTTAAAGACTCAAACATTGCAAAAAACCAAGCACATCCCGTAACGTGCTTGCTTGAGGGTTGAATAAAGATCGAGCTACAAAAAAAAATACAAAAAATAACTTTAAGATTTCTCTAGAAAACTAGATGAATAACTTAAAAAAATGAGAAAGGCGATTCGGTAAGGGAAACAGTTGAAGGGCCAGGAGTGGGTGAATGAGAAAGGATTGGTTGAGATGCATGAGTGAGTTGAGAAAAAAGATTTTGATTTGATGCGGAAGTGGATGAGGGAAGAGAGAGTGGAGGAAGAGATGAGGGAATTGATGATTGAGATGGGAGAGTGGTGGAAGCAGGAAGGGATGACATCACGCTCGCTTGACCCAACGACTGAAGCAACACATCGCATAGGGTGGCCCTTGTTTGTTCGATTTGAAGCGAGTTATTCTGAATGTGAATTTATAGTATGAAAACTGGCTAGAAACTGTCAATAAGAACTGTTTCCCTTAAAAGTTTGTAGGATAGAAGCGTCGCGTAGTCTAACAAGTTTGCCTTATAAGTTTATTTTCAAACAAACGCTCATATCTTAACACCAGTACGTTTACTTTTGCATGTTTAGATATCAAATTAAAGTACAGAAAATGCGTGATTTTTTGAGATATAACATAGATTTTTAACATTAACCAGTGCTTAGAAAAAATGATTGAAAAATAGCAAAAAAGCCGATTTTTCATTATTTTTCAATCATTTTTTCTAAGTACTGGTTAATGCTAAAAATCTATGTTATATCTCAAAAAATCACCCATTTTCTGTACTTTAATTTGATATCTAAACATGCAAAAGCAAACGTACTGGTGTCAAGATATGAGCGTTTGTTTGAAAGTAGACAGACTATGCGACGCTCGTATAAGGACTTTTCTAATAGAATATTTACCGTATTTTAAAGTAGAATAATTGAAGTATTTTAAGAAATAGGATAAACCTCTAAACGTTGATTCGAAGTAGCCGGTGAAAGGAGAGCATTTTGTTGGGAGGAGGGAGGTGGTCGATGTTGGGGGGAGGAGGGGCCGAGCTGATAGGGTGGAGGGCAAGCCCCCGGCCACCCCACCCCGGCAACGAAACTGAGAGCGAAAATCGCTGAAATTTGTTTGTTTTTCTTCAAAAATCAAAATCATTTCCACTCACCGCTTTTGTTTTTGTCGTTGATTGCAAAACCAAACGCGAACAACATTTTTCTTTAAATCAAGTTTATCAGCGATTGCCGCAATTCTTTCGCCCGATGGCCGGGGTTGTTGTCTGTAAATTTGAATTGAAAAAGTTTAGCATTTAGAGGGTTTAAATGAAATGAATTCAAATAATTCAAAAAAATTCAAATAACCTGAAAAAGTCTTCCAATAGTCGTTTCTCTGGGGCAGCAATCGATGTACGTTTTCGTTTCTTGTCAGTATTCGGGAGGATACCCGAGAGTTCACCTGTCCCATCTTTTCCCTTCATTGCCTCTTCAGCCTGAAAATTTCTTTAAAAAAAATCTTTTAAACTTATAAACTATAAACGATAAACTTATAAACTATAAACGATAAACCTATAAACTATAAACTATAAACGATAAACGATAAACGATAAACGATAAAAATAAAAATAAAAAAAAAAAAAAAAAAAAAAAAAAAAAAAAAAAAAAAAAAAAAAAAAAAAAAAAAAAAAAAAAAAAAAAAAAAAAAAAAAAAAAAAAAAAAAAAAAAAAAAAAAAAAAAAAAAAAAAAAAAAAAAAAAAAAAAAAAAAAAAAAAAAAAAAAAAAAAAAAAAAAAAAAAAAAAAAAAAAAAAAAAAAAAAAAAATAAATAATAAATAAAAAAAAAAAAAAAAAAAAAAAAAAAAAAAAAAAAAAAAAAAAAAAAAAAAAAAAAAAAAAAAAAAAAAAAAAAAAAAAAAAAAAAAAAAAAAAAATAAAAAATAAAAAAAAAAAAAAAAAAAAAAAAACTTCTAAACTATAATCTTCTAAACTACTTTAATCGATGGTGTTACGAAAAAAATAACCTTCTATTAGAGTATTTACAGTAAATTTTATGTACCTTTTCTAGCCAAGAGTGAAGAATCGGCTTAAGAGCCACCATATTATTGTGAGAAAGAGTGAGCGACTCAAATCGACAAATCGTTGATTGCGATAAACTGCCCACACCCGGCATCTTTAAGTGTGCCAAAGCCTAAAAAAAATAACCATAAGTTTACTACCAAAATCAGCTAGCTTTTCTCACCTTTCCAACATCAGCCTGTGTAACTCCAAGCTTGATTCTTCGTTGTTTAAAATGTTCAGCAAAGCGCTCGAGCTCTCTCGGATCTGTTTCCACTTCTAAGCCTGAAAATTAATGATTTGATGTTGCTGAATGATGAAATCTACCAGAATTTGGTGCAGCAAGGGGATATCGCGGCAATGTGGGAGTGGGATTAACGACAGAAGTCGGAAATGGAGTTGGCATCGGGTATTGGGGGAAAGGAGCTGGATAAGAGTGATGCATGGCCATCACCTAAAGCATTTTGTTTGCTATTTGGCTGAGTAACTCGATGAATCACGAGCTGAAAGACCCGCTTAACGGTTTAAGCCCGGGTTTTTCTCGCCGGTCAACACTTGTCACCATGGCCCAGTCGGCAGCGCTCTCGTCTAGAACCCACACGATCCGGGTTCGACCCCCGGTATTGACACTCATTTTTTATTTTTTGCATTTTAAATGGCACAAGTATATTACACTTTAAGACTTTTTAAACCGCAAATACTTTAATATACCTTAATTTCTATTACCTGTTGTAAATTGACCATTCCATCGGGTGGTTCATGAGAAGAGACGGGTAAAAGCGCGGCCGCTTCAAATCCTTCACCCGACGCTGAGGGAAGTCCATAAGCTCCATCTCCGTGACCCATCAAATAGTTACTAAAAGTTTATGATAAATCTCATCATTAATCTCATCATTTTTTTCCAAAACTTTTCCACTCACCTAAACATGTCCGGTCTAAGCATTGTGTTCACATTTTTCACATCAATATCGGCCAAAGCCTATAAATTTAGTATTGCATTGTTTTAAATTGTGAAAAATCTCTTAAAATCTTTAAAAAACTGTACCTGCGCGGCTCCAGTGTTGAAAATTGAGTTGTCAAAGCCAAAGATTGATTGACTTTGGAACTAAAAATGGATTTTATTTAGAGAAAAGGAAAGTTCTCACTCGAACACTTGCCGGCAACATCTCTAGCAAAGTGTGGGTAGTGAAATATTGCTTTTGAAAAGTCTAACGTAATACATTCGATCCATAATTTATTTGGTGAGTTTTTATCGACAATAGAAAAGAAAGAGTGGTTATGGGGTTGCGCAGGTGAAATCGCTGTTTTTTTTTTTCATTCATCCCACTAAATCTCATTATCAGTTTTTTTTGAAACTTTTCAAGAAATTCTTTTCTTTCACTGTAAAATTATTAATAATTATTGTTCAATCATTTTACTAGAACATGCTAAAGCATCAGGGTAAAAACCTACCGTAAATTCTGTAATAGTACCCCACCCCCATAATGACGGTGCGGAGTGTTGCGCAGTCTAGCTTTGAACGAGTTTTTCTCGACACTGGTTTATGCTACAATGCGCGCTTAGATATCAAAAAATAGCCCTGAATTTCAGCTATTTTTTGATACCAAAGACGCATTTTTTGAAAGTACGAGCGCTTTGAAAAAAAATCAAATACTAAAAAACTTTTGCGACTACCCGACTGTACGAAGGGGTGGGCTACTATTACAGTATTTACGGTAGGTTTTCAGCTAGAGTCTCAGAGTTAAGCTTCAGTTTTCACTGACAGATCAGCAAGAAGTGTCTAAAAACCCTTAAAAACGACTCTATTTTGTATGTAGCAAAGGATTTTCTCTAAAAAACATTAGAGTTATTCATAAGATGTTCTTAAATTTGTGATTTCTTAAAAACCAGTGAACAGTTTCATTTGAAATTTCTACTAAATAATCTATAAATCTATGCTAACTAGTAGAAAAAGTTTGATAACGATTGCTTGATTCAATCGAGAGAATGAGACTGTTCGAGAGAGAACGAGAGAACAAAGTTAGCATGCATTTGATCTTATTTTAAATTTGATAACGATTGCTTGATTCAATCGAGAGAATGAGACTGTTCGAGAGAGAAGTTAGCATGCATTTGATCAGTTTAACAAAGTTAGCATGCATTTGATCTTATTTTGAGGGCTAATGTAAGAGAGAATTTTCATATTTCTACTAAAAAAAAAGATGAATCAAAAAAAGCTAATTTAAGTTGAATGATATCCGAATTTTAGATCGACCAATCCTCCTGGATCTTTTCTTCAGATTTTTCATTCGTTTATTATAGAAACTATAAAGCTGAGCGAGTTCATAAAGAGTGAAACACTTAAACATCAACGTTAGCGACTCATTCTCTCGTTTGAACCAGAGCAATTGCTATCAAATTTTGGCTACTAGTAAGTCTATACTTATAGATTATTCACTAGAAAATTTTAGATGAAACTATTGACTGCTTTTTTAAGAAAACACAAATTTAAGAACTGAACTTAACTTAACTTAAGAACTTAACTTTAAGAACGCAAAAACTTATGAACCCTAATAGATTTAAAAATAAGGAAATGTTTATAGCACCCCGAGAAATGAAAGCAGTCATTTGTCGAGTCAATTCGACTCGGATGGGCTTAATTAAAAATTGCGGTCGTTCTTTTCCCTATTGCTCATTTCTTTCTACATCCAGTAATCGACATAAGCCGTTGTCAAATGACCGCATGAATGGATATAGAGATCCTCATTCAATAATCTACTTCTTCTACTCTCTCATCTCTTTTTCTCACTTATACATAAATTTATAATCGCATCAGATGTGAATTTTTCACTCCAAACCCGATCGGGTCACTGAATTATGGAGGGACAGTCATTTGGAACTCTCTATGACCTTTTTTTGAGTCATTAAAGTAGATTGAAGCCGACTTAGCTCTCAATCTTGATATGTGAAAAGATTTAAGGCCATAGATTAAGGCAGTAGATTAAGGCAGTAGATTTAAGGCAGTAGATTAAGGCAGTAAAGCTTGCTATAGATTTCTATAAAGCTAGTGAGCAAATGAGATTTTTGCTATCAATTAGAAGCTAACAACCCGCTAATCTACCAACCGTTTGCATTCTGCGAGAGTCGACGTTTGTCACAGAAGAGGATGCAGAAGTAAACGATGGAATCGGATTCAGGGAAAGTGGGTAGAACCGCTGTGGCTGCATCGCACATCTGGGACCCGCACTCCACCCCCTTCTCGAGACCCACCCACTACTGTAGACCTCGACCACGCCTCCTTCTCTCAACCAACCAACAACCTCTCTCTCTCTCTTATTCAAGCCTGATAAACCCCAGAACCTGGCCAGAGTCTGATAATCAAAATAAACAGCCTTCAAGTCTTCAAGTCTTCAAGTCTTCAAGTAGTTGTTTAAAGCCTTGAAGAGGAGAGCTCTCTGGGAGCTCTCGAGTCGACGCCCCCCAGGCCGTATAATTATTTCAGCTGTTTTGAATCATTGATACAGCTCCGGTGGGGGGAGCTCTCCCCCCGGCTCCTCGGCCTCATCCATACATGCATTGCGAGCGTGAGCCGACCATTCCAATTGACTCTCCTTTGCCCCTTTCTTTTCACCCAGGCCTCCATCAACTCTCTCCGTTTCACTTCAGAGCTCACACACACTTGATGAGTCTTCATGTTTTCGACCACGATTAATTTCTCTCCAAAGCGCCATATTCGTTTCCACCGAACTAGAGAACTCTGAAGTTACGTTTCAAGAGCGAGATTCAAAAACACCCAAAACTGCTTTCAAATCCTACTTATTATAAGCCATATAAACCTTCAAAGGTTTTGGGTTTCGGCCAATTTTTCCAAACAGCAAACTAGCCTACTTAAAGCCTTGATGCCGACCGATTCTGGATGCCTAGGTAGCCTATTGGAGAGTGCCTAGGTACCCTATTGGAGAGTGCCTAGGTAGCCTATTGGAGCTGGCTCCACGCACCTCTTCTCCCTGGTTCGAATCCCCTCACTGCTTAAACTTTTTTGCTTCTTTATTAAGGCATAAAAATTGATTTTAAAGTGTTCTAAAGTCTTCTAAAGTCGTTACTTTTAATCGCAAGAGTTTCAAGTTTGTGATAAATATCGTTTTCATTGATTAGATATTTAGAAAATGATTAATATTGTTTAATAAAGTTTCTCTTAAACATGAATTTTATTCAGATGATTCTTGAGGTGAAGAGGTGACAGTTCAAAGCCTGAAATCGAACTTTCGGTGCATTGGATGTACCATATTATAAACTCTTATCGACAAACGAGTTTCTGAGGATTTACCTTTAAAATATTGGGACACTGGAGTGAATAGCGGTAGAGTAGAGAGGGCCATCTGGACGTACAGAGGGCCATTCAGTGGATGACCGGCGGGGGTTACCTGTGCCCTTTTGCCCACCCAAATAAGAGTGCTACCACCCAATCATCTGCCCTCAACCTCTACCGCAAACAGCAAACATTAAACCCCTGTTAATCCCTCTAGTCTCTTGTATTTGTCTAGAGAAAATCCACTTTCCTTTAAGTTTTTCTAAGACATAATGCCAGGTGAACAATCGGAAATGCTCAAGATTTGCTTCTAGATTTTTCATAAGTATTTCTAAATGTCAAATGATCAATTGAATAGATCAAGCTGGTTTTGAAGCTTGATCTAATCAATTGAATCTGTTCCCTATTATTGCTGATAAATAGGATTTTAACTAATAAATGTACTGGGAATAGCTTGTGATAGATAAACTGTATAGCTTTTCACTTTCACTATGATGAACTTGTTTGAAATTTGAAGCTAAAATCGCGGGGGTACGGTCTTGTAGGTCTTTCATCGTCTACCCCTTTCTCCCCTTCTTCCTTCTTCCTTCTCCTCTTCCTCATCTCCTTTCCTTTCTTCAACATCGTCGCAAGCAAACAATAAAACTTCATGAATAGTGTATGAGGCTTCTCTTCTCGAAAAGGCGAGACTTTCCCCTGAAAAGCTTTCTCTTTCCAAACTCGACTTGGATTCTTTTGTTTCTTTCTCTTTTTTTCATGATAACTAATTAGAAAAGGAAGAAAATTTAAAAGAAAAAATACTTTAAAAGATTTTGAGAAAGCTTGAATCTATATTTCTCTTGAATCTATCTCTTGAATCTATATTTCTCTATTCATATCAATTGCTCAAAATGAACAGCGTGAGAAGAAGAGATGTGCTGGATTTTAAGGGGGAAATCTGTGTTTTGTCAAAATGAAAAGGAAAAGGAGTTTTGCACATTCCATTAGCTAAAGTAGTGAGGAAAAGAGATGCACGAATAGCAAGAGATAGACTGGAGAAGGAGGGGACCTTCTTCACCCCTTCCGATTCCCTCATACAATAATAATGAGGTGCACGGCCACGCGAGGGGACTCTTTCTCTCCATCACAGAGCTCCGTCTCTCTCTCACGCTATACTCACCATCTTTTTGCTGAGCTTTCCTCTCTTTTCAAACAAATACTGTGTATTTTAAGGGAAAGGTCTTGTTTTGAAAAAGTGAAATCAAAAAAACTTTGAAACAAAACAAAACAAACCAGCTTGATCTAATCAGATTCAACAAACAAACAATTCAGATTCGTTTTAAAGTAATATAAACATATTTTCTATAGTCATACTGTCATCAGTAATAATGGCTTGTTGTCATTGAGTCTTGATTTTACTATAGCAAGTCTAGGGTGAGACGAGTGACTGGTCATAGATAATGGACCGCGGGTTCTCGAGGTGATCTCTTGACAGCCACCTAATTGCCCCCCTTCCCCCTTCTTTTTCTATTCGTTCACATTCGTATTGTGAGCTGAAGAGGACCCATAGTTTCAATTGCTACGAGTGGACGGGGACACTGGCAGCTGGACGCAGCCAGCCGACAAAAATTCCCACACCTCAAATTTTCGACCTCAGCATACAATTTCTAAATGAAATGAATGGATCAACGATAAAATATGATTCAAAATACTGTAATGATAGCAAGAATGTTGGTCTGAACAGTCTTTAGTAGTTAACAGAGTTGGCAAAGAGATTTAAAAGGAAAGGCTAGTTAAAATAAATTCAAGTCACTTTAAGCCTAAGCCTTAACTCTAAGACTTTAGCTTTAACTATAAGACTTTACCTTAACTCTAAGACTCTAGATCTAACTCTAAGCCTTTAGTTCTAACTCTAAGACTTTATCTTAACTATAAGACTTTACCTTAACTCTAAGACTTTACCTTAACTCTAAACCTTTAACTCTAACTTCAAACTCTAATAATAACTCTGAAAATGGTCATACAATCAAAAATTCTATAACCATTTTCAGGTTTTCATTTATGAATCGTTCTAATTATAAGCTACTCTTTCAATCTTTCAGAAAAAAAAACGAGTTGTTTGATTGGGGTCATCGCTGTTCAGCGGCATTTTTGATGAGAAGATCGATGAGCAAGCAGATATATGGAGAATGTGATGGAGAAGAGTATCGAGAAATGATCCATGAATTGCATGGTTGCCCAAAACACGGTCGACCATCACTCGACCAGCTGTTGTCCTTTATTATGCAACACACGGTCGGCAATCCTTGTTTTCCTTTTTCTCTTTTCTTCTCGCAAATCAACAACCATATTACCGCGCATCAATCACTGTTGCTTTTGAAAGTGAAATCTAGATCTTCTGTAGAGAATCTTCTATAGAGAGAAATCTAGATCTTCAGTAGAGAGAAATCTAGATCTTCTGTAGAGAGTAATCTAGATCTTCTGTAGAGAGTTATCTAGATCTTCTCTAGAGAGAAATCTAGATCTTCTCTAGAGAGAAATCTAGATCTTCTCTAGAGAGAAATCTAGATCTTCAGTACAGAGAAATCCAGATCTTCAGTTGTCTTAAAGTTTCTTTTGTTTAAGCTGCTTTAGAAGTCAAAAAATATAAAAGAGTAACTTGAAGAGTCCAGAAGTCTCTCTTAAGTTTAGAAGAGGAAAAGATTCTCGGAAGAAGCTGATGATGGAAAGGAAACGAGTGGAGAACGATTGAGAGAGAAGATCGCGTGCTCGATACACTTCTTTCTTCAATATCATTTCACTCTCTCTCTCTTTCTCTTTCTCATCTTTCCCAATGAGCACATATGGTCGAAATCGTGTATTGGGTTTTCTTGTCCCTTCTCCATCACCCATTTACCACAAAATTGACCCTTAAAAGGGTTTTTCCCGAAAAAAAAACGTGCCGCAACATTTCTGCAAACGATTTACGAGCGTTTCATTCTGTCGTCGATTAGCTCCCGATTACCCATTAGAGGTAAACCAAGAAGGAAAAAAAAGCCATTTTCCGCTTTTAACCACAATTCAACCCATTCTTCAAACGCTTTATTGCACGAATCGGCGTTCTTTTCTTTTTTCTTTTTTCCCGCTTTTCAATGTGAATGTGAATGACAATGTGAATGTTTTTGGGTACGGTAGCTCAATGAGCTTACTATTAGCCTTTAAGGTCACCAAACAAGAACATATCGAAAAGTGAGCTTAAACTATTTGTCGATGAGATTAACACCCATTGAGACAGCTGGCACATGACGCTTCTACACACTTTACTTGCGCAATCAAGCACTTCGATGAATAAGGGAACACCAAAAAGAGATTAGTACTAACTAGACGAGATTGACAACAGTTGGAAAGTGGTAAAGTTAACAATGAAAATCGATGCTGATTTATAGAGTTTTGTTTTACAATCAGAGATGTTTTACATTGTTTTACAATCAGCAAGTAATGCAAGCAATGCAAGTAATGCAAGCAATGCAAGTAATGCAAGCAATGCAAGCAATGCAAGCAATGCAAGCAATGCAAGCAATGCAAGCACTAAATCTAGAAACAAACAATTTACACTACTGGACAATGAAATATCATAGTTGAAAAAAAGATCGTCACTTTCGCGCGTCTGTAACTCCCTTGTCTTTACCGTATTTCTAAATATTAATATTACCATTGTGTAGCGCTTGAAAAGAGCTTTCAGAAAATGTATAACACTAATAGTTTAAGCTCAAAGACAAGGGAGTTACAGACGTGCGAAAGTGACGATCGTTTTTCAAATATGATATTTCATTGTCCAGTACTGTATACTTGTACTAAAATATCAAAGCTTTTTTTAAAGAATTAACCTTTAATCAATTTTAGATCATGTTGTCAATCATTTCCCGCATGATGGACACGAAATAAACAGAATTACTTTGAAAATTACAATTCTTGGATAAATGATAAAAGCTTTTAAAGTTTGTTTTACCGCCATTCCCGAGATAGGCTACTTTGCGCGAATTTTATTTGCGCAACTGGGTCATTTGCGCAAATAGTACTAATAGTTTAAACTCAAAGACAAGGGAGTTACAGACGTGCGAAAGTGACGATCGTTTTTCAAATATCATATTTCATTGTTCAGTACTGTACTTCAAAAAAAAGAAAGCAAATCCCTCAAATAGTAACCTTTTGCAGGAATTTGAAGCTTATGCAAGTCTGAAATTCAATTCATTTCCAAGTCTAAAAGATGAAATTTATAATGTATTAAAGTTGTAAATCAAGTCTTGACCCCCTCAGTAAAGTAAATTTTGTTTACGTTTAGTGAGGGCGCGCCCTGTTTCTCTTCAAAAATATTGTCTTATCAGTTGTTGATTCAAAAACACAATCCAGAAAGCTAAATGTTCTTTGGTATTTTTTTATTGATTATTTATTTAAATGCTACTCCAAACCTACCAATCGGGCATTTTCGACATATAATTTTGTACGAGTTTTAAAAAAAAAGGGTTTTCTATCTCTGTTCCTCTGGCAAACATCAAGAGCGTGTATGGGGATGATGCTTCTTCCGAAAGTACAATAAAATCCTGGTTCCACAAATTCAGAAATGAGAACATTTCTCTCGAAGATGAAGACCTTGAAAATTCAAATATTTTCTTTAAAAAATTCGCGAAAACTCCCCGGGTTTCTTTGCGTGAATTGCGTGAATTGCGGCTGAGGTTAGATACTCTTATGTAACAGTTGAAAAAGCACCTCCTTACTGAATTGCGGCTGAGGTTGGATACTCTTATGTAACAGTTGAAAAAGCACCTTCTTACTGAATTGCTGCTGAGGTTGGATACTCTTATGTAACAGTTGAAAAAGCACCTCCTTACTATGGTTTTAAACCGATTGGGTGCCCTATAATCGGTTTCAAATGTCAATCGATGCCCCACAACCTCACCGACTCCATGAAAGGGTAGAGATCATCAGTCGATGCCCTTCTTTTCAGATACGAGTGGAAATCTTTCTTGCCGGGAGATGAGTAGTGGATTATGACTGCAAACTTTCAGAGAAAACGACAATCGGTGGGACCTGGAGTTACACCAGCAAAGGATGTGCTCCCACCAAAAGAAGTGCATGCTATCAGTTTGGTGGGATCTCTTAAGTGTCATTTATTTGGAGCTTCTCGATAATAAGCAGATGCTCTATTATACAGCGACCAGCTCAAGAAACTCGATGAGAAAATGAAGGAAAAGCGCCCTAAATGAAAAATGGACATTCTCCAACACGACAGTTCACATACGACAAAGTTGATGTGCTCCACAATTCATGAGTTGAACTGGGAACTCTTCCGTCATATTCTCCTGACCTCAGTCCTACAGATTACCGTCTTTTCCTATCGATGCAACCAGCCCTGGATAGAGAGCACTTCCAAAATGAAGAAAACCCCAAAAAGTGGCTTCAAGACTATTTGAATTTGAAATCAAAGATTTTCTATGAAAGAGAGGATTTGACGGATTGCCAATTGCCAGTAAAATGAGTGAAAGTCATCGCAAATAATGGAGACTATTTCGATTCAACTGCTCTTTTGGTTGACAATAAATATTGTTTTGAATAGTTTGAATAGACTTAGTTTATAACCTAATAGATAGGCACGATATTCTAATTTGGTAACTTTTTTTAAACCATTATAATCTAAACTTTGATAACTGGTGCTTAAGAATTAGCAATTTGTTTAGAATTGAGGAGCAAGAGAGACTTCCGTTCTTCTTCTGCTTCTTCTTCCTCCTCTTCCACTTCTTCTTCTTCTTCTTCTTCCTCTTCTTCCTCTTGTTCTCCTTCTTCTTCTTCTTCTTCCTCTTCCGCTTCTTCTTCTTCCTCTTCTTCCTCTTGTTCTCCTTCTTCTTCTTCTTCTTCCTCTTCCGCTTCTTCTTCTTCCTCTTCTTCCTCTTGTTCTCCTTCTTCTTCTTCTTGTTCTTCTTCTTCTTTCTCTTCTTCTTTCCAATCAACCTGTTCTCTATTCTCTTCTTTACCCTTCCACCTGTCCTCCTTTAAGCTCTAATTGCGCTCAAAAAAATAGAAGAGAAAAGCCGAGAAAAATAGGAAAGCAAAAGCCGACAAACGACTAATCGACTGTTCGGCTTTCCCTTGAACTCACATTGGTTCAAAAATTAAAGACAACAAACATAAGGATTTAAGGGAAAACAAGGAAGTTGCTTAAAAAAATGTTCCCAAACTGTGTTTCTAAAACTACCGTAATCCTTGTTCTAGTTTTTATTCAATGTACTTTTATATGTTTTCTCACATAAATTCGAGTCAAGATTGGTAGTTTCTGAAAGTTGAAACGTTTTAGGACTTAGTGTCGTGGTACTTAGTGAGGAAAACTATCTGGTCATTAAACATGCCCCACAACCTCACCGACTCCATGAAAGGGTAGAGATCATCAGTCGATGCCCTTCTTTTCAGATACGAAAGGAAATCTTTCTTGCCGGGAGATGAGTAGTGGATTATTACTGAATTGCTGCTGAGGTTGGATACTCTTATGTAACAGTTGAAAAAGCACCTCCTTACTATGGTTTTAAACCGATTGGGTGCCCCATAATCGGTTTAAAATGCCAATCGATGCCCCACAACCTCACCGACTCCATGAAAGGGTAGAGATCATCAGTTGATGCCCTTCTTTTCAGATACGAGAGGAAATCTTTCTTGCCGGGAGATGAGTAGTGGATTATGACTGCAAACTTTCACTGAGAATGAATCAAAAATGATGATTTTTTTAGTTCAAAAGAGTTTCCTTTTTCTTACTATCAAATTGATAGAAATAATGGCCAAAGGCAAATCTCTCATTTCCTCCATTTGAATCAAACAAAACTTTTCTTATCAGTGGCCGGCCAAAAACGATAACAGCCATTATAAAATCAAACCAACACAACCGTTCACTCCATTTTCGTCAACGAAAACAATCATTTTAAAAAAAAAAATCTATTATTCTATCTAAAATCTATTCGAAATTTTTTGACCTTGAATCCTTTAGATTTTCTGGTAATTGAGGAGTTAAGAGGAGTTAAGAGAGGATTAGATTCTTTAGATTAGAGGAATTCTCTTTAGATCTTTAGAATCTTTAGATTTAGATTAGAAAAAATTCTTTTCTCCTAGAATTAGGTCAGATGAAATTTGGAGAACTTTACAAAACTTTACAAAACTTTACTCGTTTATTCATTCTCACAAAAATAATCTTATATTATAGAAAATGATTACAGAAAATGAAGCTAATTATTGAAGAGAGTGGAGAGGCGGTGGCTGAGTTTGCAGCGCGTTATGTGGCTCGACGAATTCGTCAATTCTCACCGAATCCTGAGAAACTTTTCGTTCTTGGACTGCCAACGGGTTTGATTTCAAAAGAATATTATATTTTTTGATATTTTAATACCGTAAATACTATAATAGTACCCCCACCGCCCTCGTACAGTCGCGTAGTCGCAAAAGTTTTTTAGTATTTCATTTTTTTCAAAGCGCCCGTACTTTCAACAAATGCGTCTTTGGTATCAAAAAATAGCTGAAATTCAGGGCTATTTTTTGATATCTAAGTGCGCATTGTAGCATAAACCAGTGTCGAGAAAAACTCGTTCAAAGCTAGACTACGCAATACTCCGCACCGTCATTATGGGGATGGGGTACCTCGTACAGTCGCGTAGTCGCAAAAGTTTTTTAGTATTTCATTTTTTTTCAAAGCGCCCGTACTTTCAACAAATGCGTATTTGATATCAAAAAATAGCTGAAATTCAGGGCTATTTTTTGATATCTAAGCGCGCATTGTATCATAAACCAGTGTCGAGAAAAACTCGTTCAAAGCTCGACTACACAACACTCCGCACCGTCATTATGGGGGTGCGGGTACTATTACAGTATTTACGGTATGTTTTATTTCTTCTTTTACAGGGTCAACTCCTTTGGGAATGTACAAGAAATTGATCGAATTGCATAAGAAAGGTTTTGTCTCGTTTCGTTTCGTCAAAACGTTCAACATGGATGAGTACGTTGGTGAGAATGTTCTTTTTAAACCTTTATAATCTTTTCTTTTAGCTTTTAATCATTTTTTTTTTAATTCTAGGCCTTCCTCGCGATCATCCAGAGAGTTATCACTCGTTTATGTTTCAAAATTTCTTCCGTCATATTGATATTGATCCAAATAATGTAAATATTCTTGATGGAAATGCTGAGGATTTAGAAAAGGTTGAGAAATTCGAAAGCAATAAATCTAGCAATAAACTTCAATTAGGAATGCGCTGAATATGAGCGAAAGATTGAAGAAGCCGGTGGGGTTGAGTTGTTTGTTGGAGGTAGGGGCTACAGTTTATACAAATAGAATACTAGCAATTAGAAGGAGAAGAAGAGGAAGGAAGGACGAGGGGGTAACTTTGAGGACGATATTTATTGACAACCAAAAGAGCAGTTGAATCGAAATAGTCTCCATTATTTGCGATGACTTCTTGTTCTTCTCCTTCTTCTTCCTCTTCTTATCCTTCTAGAAGGAGAAGAAGAGGAAAGATTCTCTTTCTATATCTGCATAAAAATATTTAGGTATTGGCCCTGATGGTCATGTGGCGTTTAACGAGCCGGGCTCATCGCTTGCCTCTCGAACGCGGATCAAAACGTTAAACGCCGACACGATTCAAGTAAACAAAAATCTTATAAAAGATTTCCATTAGAAATAGAATTTTAAGTAAGAGTAAGGGATAAGGTTCTACCCTGGCGGCTAGCTGACACGTCTTGGTGTAGCTCATTGCTAGAGCGGTCCCATGGTAAGCGAGAGGTCACGGGCCCGGATCGTGTTTTTTTTAAGGATCAAGCCAAAGCATTTACTTTTGTATAACTTGCGTTCGACAAAAGTAAGCATTAAAATTCTCAGGCCAATGCTCGCTTTTTCGAAAACGATCTCTCAAAAGTGCCCACGCAAGCATTGACGGTCGGTGTGCAGACGGTAATGGACGCAAAAGAGGTAACAGATCAGTTTATTGAAATGAAAAAGCTGATAGTTGGATAGAATAATTGAATATCAGCTTGAATTTTGAATATCAGCTAATAAATTTCAGGTTGTGATATTGATCACTGGTGCTCACAAGGCATTAGCTTTGCATAAAGCGATTGAAGAAGGCGTCTCGCATATGTGGACTGTTTCCGCTTTTCAAGTCAGTCAGCTATTAAGCCATTTATGATAAAGAAACTAGAGTAATTTAACTTGGATTAGCTATGAATAGATACCGTAAATACTGCAATAGTACCCCACCCCCCTCGTACAGTCGCGTAGTCGCAAAATTTTTTTCAAAGCACCCGTACTTTAAAAAAATGCGTCTTTGGTATCAAAAAATAGCCCTGAATTTCAACTATTTTTTGATACCTAAGCGCGCATTGTATCATAAACCAGTGTCGAGAAAAACTCGTTCAAAGCTAGACTACGCAACACTCCGCACCGTCATTATGGGGATGGGGTACTATTACAGTACTATTACCGTATTTACGGTATATAATTTGTAAGATAGATAGTTAAGACAATAGATTAGAATACTTTTAAATAAAGTTTAAGCAATTTTTTTTCCTACCCTTTCTGATGTAAGCCTTGAAATCGAGTTTGTCAGAAATGGTAGATTTACTTGAGCTCAAAGTACATCACAGAATAAGATTTAAAAGCTTTTTCCTTAGATGCACCCACTGGTGACTTTCATCGCTGATGAGGATGCCACTTTGGAGTTGAAAGTGAAAACGGTGAAGTACTTCAAAGGTCTAATGGCGCATCACAAAAAGTTGATTGAATGATGATACCAGACTAGTGTAATATCTTTTTATATCTTTCATATCTTTCAAATCTTCTGCAATTCTTCCTTCTGATGATAATCTTCAGCTTTATTCAAATCTGTATTGGAATAATAAAGAAAAAGAATTGATTTCAATGATATACAGTGAATATTGAAAATAAAAGAAAGAAAAGGAAGAAAAGGAAGAAAAGAAAGAAAAGAAAGAAAAGGAAGAAAAGAAAGAAAAGGAAGAAAAGGAAGAAAGGAAAGAAAGAAAAGAAAAGATAACGATATAAAAGCTATTGAGATCAATAAAAGATAAAAATTGATATAGAAAATAGCTAATTATAAGCAAATGAGGTTACTAATTTCAATTTTTTTCTCTAGTCTCTTGAATTTAAGGCCTAGCTAAAGCTAAATGTTCTAAAGAGAAAGATTAAAAATATGCATAGTGAATATCATAGCTCGAAATGATAGAATACGATTAGATTCTTACAGATTAAGAGTTTTAGTTTAAGTTATCTATAACTAAAACACTTAAAGTTATCAAATAATTTTTAAAAAAATAGTATTTGAATGAATCTAACCGAATTGTTTCATCAAAACCGGAAGTAAAAAAGAAGAAATATTTTGTATGTACATAAAGCTTTTAAAGAGAGGTTAGAATCTGATAAAAAAAAAAAGAAAACAAAGAAAAGAATAAAGAAAAATAAAGATAAAGAAAGATAAAGAAAGATAAAGAAAGATAAAAAAAAGATAAAGAAAGATTCTAAGAGATTTGGGAAGGGTTTTGAGAAGAGAAATTGATGATTAAGATACTTTTGTAATGTAAAGTTACGCCTCTTTGATAAATGCACTTTCTAAAGGCACGTGAAAGATCGTAATCTAATGTAAACTGATTTATTTAATAGCTTTCAAAATGTCTTTTTGAAGTTAAAGAACACTTTACTTGATTACGAGAACTTTCAAAAATTAATGCTTTTTAGAAAATGCATGAATTCAATGGAAAACAAAGGAGTGGAACGAATGCGACCTTTTTTTTGCGCACCTTGCCCATTAGCGCACCTTTTTTCACGTTTTAAAAAAGCTCTAAAAAGCTAATATTAACCAATTTTTATTCCAAAAGTTGTTTTTCTAGGTAATTTTAGGGCGTAGAATCGAAATTTTGACATATCAGAGCTTGTGGAAACAAACGGACGGAGTTATACAAAGAGAAAAATCAACAATTTTCTGTAATTTGATCTAGCCGTTTTGTCTTTCAAATTGGTTCCACATGCTTCGTTATGTCAAAATTTCGATTCTACGCCCTAAAATTACCTAGAAAAACAACATTTGGAATAGAAATTGGTTAATATTTAATATTAGCTTTTTAGAGCTTTTTTAAAACGCGAAAAAAGGTGCGCTAATGGGCATGGTGCGGAAAAAAAGGTGCGCAAATGTCCGGGTGCGCAAAAAAAAGGTCGCATTCGTCCCACTCCCGAAAACAATTTAGTGGCTAGTCTTTTCTTTCATTAAAACACTACTATTAGGCTAAAAAGTATTCACACATTCACCTGAATATCTTCTATTCTATTGATGACTTTAAAGATATTCAGTTAAAGTAAAAAAAACTGCCTTTATTGTATGTTTTAAAATCAGGCAAAAATAAGGGACCCGTTGCAAGAGAGCGACTTTTCGGCTTAGCTTAAATTTAAAGTTCGAACTATTAAAGGTTTAGATTCAAGAAATAAAGGTCAAGAACAGCAAATTCAGGCACAGAGAATTAAAATCGATTTAAATCAGTAACAGAAAATTCATAAATTGTCCGGGATTTGATCGGTGGTTGAACGAATCTCGTAATCAATCTCGATGGCAAGTTGTCGTTGTCGAATTTCCGAACGAAAACCTTTCTCTGAAAGTTCTTTGTGAAATCGTTAGATATTTCTAAATCTAGATTTTTCATTCTATTGGAGATAGAGAAGTAATGGCAAGTTGATTCAAAATCTACTGTATAAAAGAATCTACTCTGTCTGTCTGTCTGTCTGTCTGTCTGTCTGTCTGTCTGTCTGTATGTCTGTCTGTCTGTCTGTCTGGCTGTCTATACAAGCATTTTCTCGGCCATGTTTTAACCAATAAAGCTAAAACTTCTTTAGAAAACCTGAGAATCTATTGTAGTTTTTCTTTTATAAAAATTTTAAAGAATCAAAGTTGGATGAAGCACCCGGGAAGCGAACCCAGGTCGTGTGGGTCGTAGACAAGCGCCCTCCCTACTGGGCCACAGTGACAAGAAACAAGACTCAAAACTAAGCCAAAAATACAGAGAGAAATCTACCTAAAAGATTTTTCGACTGGTATTCAATAAAAATCGATTAGTAGAGAAATTTACAACTAGTTGAAGAACTGTGGCAGCTATTGGCTTGGCAGCTTACGAGAGAATGGTCTCAACCCAAAGTTGGGATACAAAAAAGGTTCAGGCAGGATTCGAACCCCCGACCGCTAGACCCAGAGGCCACTGCTCTATCGACTACACTACAGAGTGACATCGACTTACTTTAAGGAAGCCCTTCTAACCTTAAAACCCCCTAAAGGAGTACCAAGGACCAATGACATTTTCTGTTTTGTTGAAAAACTTTAAAATTAAATATCTCGGGATCCAGGTCGAGTTAGGAGCTAACTCTTGCAGCTTATGAATCTGCGCTGTCGATTCGATAAGGTTTACTTGATCGATTCCGGTTTACTCGATCGATTCGGATCGATTCCGAACTTTGAGTTGAGAATATTCCCTCGTTAACTTTATCCGGCAGTAGCTTTATCCACAAGTAATAATTCATAATAAGATCTTTTTTTTTTCTTTTAAAACGAAGTATTAATTATCAAAAATTCAAAGTCCTTACATTGTTTTGAGCGAAGAAATGTTTTCTGAGTGGCTGTCATTCGATGGTATTGAGTCGGCTGAGTGACGATTTTATGAGGGCGATTTGTGGGCGCTCGGGCTTTTATCCTAAATTTTTCGTTTAATCTTTCAAATTTCTTTTAAAAACTTTAAAAAATGTCTTTTTTTTTTAAAAATGTTTTTTTTAAAAATTTCCTTTTTTAAAACCTTTGAATCGAGCGGGCTAATTGAAGATTTTCCGCTCGAAACGATTTGTTTTGTTGCTGCAAATCGACGACCTCTTCATCTTGCCCTTTAAGGAGAGAATCCAATTGCTTTTCACATTTAATCACCTAAATGTTTTTTTTTTTTAAATTTGTAATTTAAAGAATTAAACCTCATGTATTAATTTGGTAAACCAATTTGGTTGACCTGTGTCAATTTTGCCGAGTCCGATCATACCAACGAGTTGACCGACTAGATCGTACTCGTCCCTTCCCAGCAAACAATTGTTCAAATCTGCATCTGGATAAAGGTAAAATGATTGTAATTTGAACCTAGAATTTGTTGTTTTGTAGCTTGTAGTTTTGGAGGTTGTAGTTTTGTAGGTTGTGGTTTGTTTATGGACGGTTTGTAGTCGTTTTGGCTCAGCAAAAGGGTTGCTGCAGTGGGTTCGAAGGGTTGCTGTCTAAATCGATTGATCATTGAGAATTTATTGAACTCTAGTAAAGAAAGCTGGCAAATCTGGCAAATCTGGTAAATTTCCATTAAAAAATGTGAAGAATTCTTTGTGAAACAAACCGCAAAAGAGTCGCCGGTCGAAGTGGCTTTACTTCGATGATTTCCACATCATCGTCGTCGTCAAAAGGCTGAAAATTCAGCAAATTTTTGTACATTGAAAAGAATCTATTAACAAGTATGTTTCTTAATAGTTTTATGTTTATCGTAAAACTTTGAAATCTCAATTTTTCTACCTGTACTTGCGGTAAATTCGAGCTAGTCGTCGGTCGATCAGCCACAGCTTGCTTTACACTACAATATTTCATATGTAAATATGAAAATTAAATAAATAAATAAGTATAATCTTTGCAACAAACATTCTGATTTTTGGAGAAATCGATGAACCGGGGATGAGCTCTTGGGGAGACGCGAGTGATGGATGAGTGAGTGATGGAGGCTGAGATTCAGAGGGGAACGGCCATGAACGCTTTCCTAATAATGAAATTGAATAGAATTTCTTTGTAAACATTAGCTAACCCTTGTGCTGACTGATCTTTACAATCTGAGTCGGTTTATTTGCGTTGCTCGTGCCGGGCAAATCAACTTGTGTCAATGGGGTTTTTTTCACGACAACAGGCTCAGGAATTCGCTCAGGAATTCGTTCAGGAGCTCGCACAGGAACTCGCTCAGGAACTCGCTCAGGAATTCTCACAGGAATTCGCTCAGAAATTTGCCCAGGAGCTCGCTCAGGAACTCGCTCAGGAGCTCGCTCAGGCACTCGCACAGGAATTCGCACAGGAACTCGCTCAGGAGCTCGCACAGGAATTCGCACAGAAATTCGCTCAGGAGCTCGCTCAGGAACTCGCTCAGGAATTCGCACAGGAACTCGCACAGGAATTCGCACAGAAATTCGCTCAGGAGCTCGTTCAGGAACTCGCTCAGGAATTCGCTCAGGAGTCCAGAAAATCGGTGACGGGGATCTTTCCTTTTGGCTAAACTATTAGAATTAAACTTTTTTTTGAGTTTTTCCTTTACTCTGGTAAAAATTTCAATCTTCCTGAGCTGGGCACGGTTTGGTGAAGTCGAGAGAGGATCTCTTGAATCTCAATATACGCAAATGTTGGCTCTTCTCGTTTTCTAGAAGAAAAGAGTTAATATTTATGGATTTTTGATGTGAACATCAATAGGTGTTCAACGGAAAAATGGTATATTTTGGCCGATTTCACTCACATCTTTTTGATTTTAACCTCAATTGACGCAGAATTTCATTTTCTTTTGATTAATATCAATATCAAAAACATTCAAGTGAAATTCGCCTAGATATGGCCATTTTTCCGTTGCACGCCTATTTACGTGCACACCAGGGGGATTATTTGATAAATCTTACTTGTTATTTGCATGATTATCCACAGAAGAGTTGTGGAGTTCATCCGCATATGCATTCACTTCTTCGGGCACGTGAGCATTGAGAATATTGAAAAGTTCGGTAGACGAAAAGACCGGATTTTTCACCAAATCCGAGCAATCAACATCACCGGGTAATAGGGGCTCATCGCCGAATTCTAACAGATCAAATTGTAAGTTGTTTTTATGCGAACAAGGGAAAGACAAGGGAAAGACACCGAGTCAAGCTGGCCTTTTGAATCGAAAGCTTTGACCTTATCTTGCCGCCAAACGCCCCGTCACGAAATGCCTGGGTGGTCTAGTGGATAGTCTGATAGACCACCGAGCCGTTAACGTCTCTTGTACTCAAGTTCGAGTCCCTGCCTCGGCAAACTTTTTTCCTTTTTTTCTTGCATTGAATTATTGACTTGTCAAAAGGCCAGCTTCACTGCCTTTCCATTGTCAAATCTGGATATCCTATATACATCTGGATATCCTATATACATCTGGATATCTTATATATGTTACGTCCGAAACGGACGTCCGACTCAGATTCGGGCCTCCGGATCGGAGATGGACGTCTCCTCAGATTCGGACGTAACATATACATATATAGGATATCCAGATAGATACATCCTCTTCTCTCACTCCAGTAATCCAAAAGAAAAAAGTATTTTGTTTTCTGGACAAACATTTCATTCAAGCAGATCATTTTATTGGCAATAAATAAGGCAAATTCGACTAACCATAACTAGGACATCGCTTCAACTTCATCCCACTCATCTTCGACATTCGACTTTCGCCACTCATTGTCATTTTACTTTCATTTCCTTTTGTTAAAGTCTTCACATCAGAATATGACGTTATCTATTTAAAAAGGATTTTAAAATTTCCGAATTTCCAAACCTTCTTCGGGTCGGAAACAGTCGGACTCCCTTGAAACCCAGAATCTTCAGATTCTTCCGACATTTTCGAAAATTGTCCATTCTCAATATCATATCGAAAGACTTCAACAACTAGAAAAAGGAATTAAAAAAAAAAAGAAATGAAAGTTTTACCTGGCTCCGGTTGGTTCGAGTTCTCATCTTCTTGTTCGAGGTCAAAGTTGAACTCTTGCGAAGAAACATCGGATTCTCGAGTTTCTGAGAGAACCGGCGATGGATGGCAAAGAGTGGATGTGGATGGGGTTGAAAGCTGCAAATTGGTTATTGTTATGTTATTCAATCGTTCAACCTACACTTTGACGATTCTTTGTTTTTTTGTCTATGCTTTTTGCGAGTTAGCAAATATAATTTCAGCATAATTTGAATCTTAGATAACTTGCTCGTTCCACATTTCTAATATTTTTTCTTTATTTAACTTTTCATAAGTTGTACTTGTTATGTTTCTTTTCAATTGTTTGTTATGAATAAATTTTGAAGTTTGATGATGGATGCTCAATAATCAAAAGAAAGAAAGCATTAGTTTTAAAGATTTAGTAGTGAAGTTTGGAAATTGTTCAAATATACCGTAAACCAGCGAAATATGCTCACTAACGTTCGCATTTTTCACTGCGGAGTCCACGTTTTCCGCGCAACCTAAGCCTAAGCCTAAGCGCATGAGCATCGCCAAGCGGGTGTCCCTTAGCCCCGAGAACTGGCTGAGATCCGGAAATTGGGGGTATAGCCCAAACCCAAATAGACTTAGTGCTAGGCGCTAGCCGCTAGCCTTCGCACTAAGTCCAAGCCAATGGCTGCGCACAGACGAACAGGCAGACAGACGTCTCTACTGCTTTATGTCGTAGCCGATTATGAATGAAATTTTTTGACAAACCTTTCTAGTAGAGCAACCCTTTTATGTATGAGGACAATCTAATATGATTTTGTAGCGAATTAAATTCTGCGTCGATTAGTATCGAATTTGTAAGTTTAGTTTTAAAAATTACAACGCTACAACGTTTTATTCAAAATCCCCGGGATCCCCGTAGCCGATTATGAATTTCAGCCGATTGTGAATTTCAGCCGATTGTGAATTTCAGCCGATTGTGAATGAGTGGGTCTAGAGGCGTACAACCATCAAGTGTTTAGTATCATTCAACGCAGAATCATTAGGTTAAATTAGGTTAAATTTTTTAAATTAGAAAGATTGGATGAAAAGAAAAAAAAATAGAGCAAAAAACTGTTTGTTCGAGAGAGAAAACTTTGAAGCCTCATAATTTTTTTCTTTTTATCCAATCTTTCTAATTTAAAAAATTAAACATAATTATCAATGATTCTGCGTTGAATGATACCAAACACTTGATGGTTGGACACGCCTAGACCCACTCATTCATAATCGGCTGAAATGCATGATCGGCTACGACCTATATATTAGATAGATACTCTAATAGAACGCTACCTTCTCGTACAGTCGTTTAGTCTACGCGTAGTCTTTTCAGCTCATTTTTTTGCACATTTTTTGTTCAGTTTTTCTCAGTCCCTAGATATTTTCCAATTATACTTTTGGTATCAAAAAATACTAGATTTCAAGGGCTATCTTTTGACATCCAAGCGGAAACTGTAGCTTAAAGTAGCGCGGAGAACGGGACGTTTAAAGTTAGACTACGCGATTGTATGCCCGTTATGAGAGTGGCGTTCTATTAGAGTATTTGCGGTAGGTTGGATGTTATAAAAACGAACAAAAACGGACGTTCGATTCAGAAATTTTTGAAAATCCGTTATTGAATAGATTCAATAACGAACATATACAATAACTTTTTGTAACATTTATAAAAACTATTTCTTATCAAAACGTACATTTCCAACAGGGAGTGGCTTTTGAGCTGAATCCTCGATTTGGACATTGACGGATGAATCTTGAATCGTTTTTAACAATATGACAACATGATTTATGATTCTTATCGATTCTTAACTTACGAATATTCCTTCGTGGTGGCGGGAGTTTTTTGAATTTCACTGATAGAATCCTTCTCTCGATTTCTTTCTCAATGTCATTATCGGATGCTTTGACGGGTAATTTTCGGTGCCTATTCGCTTCCATTTAGAGCCCTTGCTGGAAAATGGTTTTTAAAAACAAATCCACCAAAGCTGTAGTTGAAGAATGAATGAAGAATGAAGAATGAAAAAAAAGTGTAAGCTTCAGGAGAATTAATTCTGTATAAATGAATATAAAACTATCAAAGAGTAAGCTTTGCAAAAAGCGATTGATTTTCTGAAAATCATTTATCTTAAGAGTTTAAGCTGTTGAATTAACGGCATTCAGTTAAAGGCATCACGAAGAAACGTCAATTCTTTGTGGGCAATTAACAGACAAAACTCGTCACTTGTCATCGAGCGTACTCACGATGAAATCCGCTCGGTGTGTGTCATCGAATCCGGCGAAGAAAAACAATCTAATCACCCTTTGGATTTTCATTTCTCATTTGTTTTCCAAAGAATTATTACTTTTTACATGTTTGTTTATGTAATTTTAGTAGTTTTAGCATTTTTAGAGAATTCTTTCACTCAATGAGTGATCGAGTATGCGAGGGGGATTTTGGGAACGCGAAAAATGAGGCTCAAATTCCGGGAGCTGTTGCTAGACCAATCCCAAAACCAAGAACGAAACTTCCGCCAGATTCGAAGAAATTAGATGCAGAACATGGACAAAAAGAAGGTGAGCTCAAGAAAAATGCCAAATTTTGCATAACGAACGATAGATTCTATACGTACCTATAGCCAGATAGCTATATAAATTTGAAATCTTGTACATACTGGGTAAAGCTTGTACTTGTACGTAAAGCAAAGTAAAGCAAAGCAAAGCAAAGCAATAAGTTAGCAAAGCAACTCTGTCCTCAAGAATATCGAGATTTAAGACTTTAACTATAGACAAAGCTAGCTAGCTTCAGGATTTGAAAAAGTACCACAGCTTCAATTCTTCGAATTTAGCTTTAGCTTCAATTCTTCGAATCCAAATTTCCAGGCTCTCCAACAACAAGTGGATCAGAGATCCATTCCGAGAAGGTTCCCCCGCCCCGTCCACCACCACCCCGACTATCCTCTAAGGGTTCCTTACAGGCTCCAAAGTTACCCCCTCGTCCAACACTTCCTGCAATCACTCCATTCGTTGATGTAAACAAATCTCCATCTCCTCCACCATTGCCACCAAGGTTGTCAAGTGATTCTGATTGTTTTGAAATGCTTATCCAGATTTGGAGCCTTTCCCTCTTTACCCCATCCGATCCTTCCACCAATGGATCCACCGAATCTTTTGCCATTCGACTCACCCGTTCCCGCATCACCATCAGCAAAACCGCCATATCCAATGGAAGATCGATTGCCACTACATGCACCAAGTAATTTTGGGAAAATAGCATAACTCCTTTTCTTTACCAAATTAAAATTTTTAATTTTTAGCTTTAAGTAACTTGTCTATAGGACCAGATGGCATTCGTTTTTTCATTAAAAATTCTATTTTCAATTCCACTTGTTTTTCTGTATTCAAAAAAACGCAAACTGGAGAGCCTGAGCATTTCAGAGATTGTGCGATGATAACGAGTAAAAAAAAAAAATAGGCTGTTCATAAAAGAATGCTTTCGATGTTGATTCATCATTTCCCCCCATCCCAGAAAATTTTGGGTGTGAATCGCTTTTGATTCGTTTCATTTTAGAGATTGGTTGGAGATCACACTGGTCATCAACGGACGATCCAATGGAGCCGCTTCCAGAAATCCCATCCGGCATCGTGTTTCGGAACGATAACGTATAAATAAACGTTAAAAGTCTAAAAATATTTTTTTTATAGAAAGATCTTGATAATGTTGTTGAGAAGCTGCCGGTGAATTTGGTGCCCGATCGACCAGCGTTGCCCGCACACTTTGAGTCGACTAGAGTACCAGAGCTCATCTCAACCAATCTTCACTTGGACACACCAATAACTATTGAGAAGAGGTAGGCAATAATATTTACTTAGCCAATAATAAACTTTCAAACAGTACTCCGCCGATTGATCCTGTGAAAAAGGGATACGTTGAAGCCGTGGCTGACGATTATGTCGATTATGTGGAGAATCCGATCTATCTTCGATTGGACTCTTTCTTGCAAAGAACTTTCCATGACACTTCGGCAAAGAGCCACAGCGTGGGATATGCAGATGTACAGTTGGCAAATCGAATTTCGATCTATTCAACTTTTCAGAGTAGCGCTCAGATCGATGTGGCTGTGAATTTGCCGTATGTGAACCCTCCACATCCATCCACCATTCTCCCTCAACGACCCATCAACGAAAATAGTCCAGCAAAGGTTTTTGGGAAAAATTCTACTTTGATAGTATCATTTCGTTCTCCACAACGCAAAAGTCGGGGCAGAATGATCGTATTTTTGACAGAAAAAAACTGCGGAAAAGCGTTAAGTTGCGTAGTTTTTGCCTTTTAGCCCAAATTTGACGTGTCAGCGAGGTCTGATTTGTCGAAATTCGGAATCTACGCATACGATTCCCTTCTATGAAAACATTTTTGAAGCTCTACGACCTTTCCTAAGGCCTTTTCCACCAAAAAAAAGGTGCGCAAATGTCCAGGTGCGCAAAAAAAAGGTCGCATTTGTCCCACCCCCCAAATTTATTAATCTTTTTCATTTTTTGTTTATTCTAAGAAATCCCCCCTTCAAACTTCCCGCGCGTTTATGTTTAATAAAACGCGTTTATAAAACAAATTTAGATTTTTAACCAAATCTAATAAATATTCTAGGTAGAAATAACAAAATAATTTCATTACTTACTCGTGAACAATAGATTTAACAATAGATAAAAACGTTAACATAACACGTAGACCATTTAAACAACATAATCTTTCAAAGCCGCAAAAACATTACTGCCAAACTCGTTTCCCTCATGTTGTCAAACCGCAAGCTCACTGATGTAGGAGTGCCTCTAATGTTCCATTTTATTCCTTGATTGGTTTCTTCATCCTTTGCCAAAACAACTCAATTGTGTATGCACTTTCTACACCATCTTTATCAACCCGAAAATATGTGTAGATAAAAAAACTCCTGGTGCTTACTTTTTGAGGGTTTTGGAGTGGTTCCGCGTGCGGTGCTCTTGAAATACTTTCTTGAATCCAGTGTAACTTTTCCACATATCCGTGTAAAACGTTGAGTCAGCGTTGATTTTCTGTTGCAACAATGGGATCATCGTTCGATTATTTGTTCAAAGCACCTTCTTGTTCCCCGCTTTCATCCTACAAGTAATGAAATAAAATAACTTTGTTAAATCTACCCCTAAAAATCCGTCACTTCTTTGTCTTTTTCGCTTCGTCCATATTTGCGCGCATGTAATGCATATTCATCGACCTCAACAATTCCTGTTCGTCAATCGGTGCATATTTGTTTTCAATCCTGTTAATATTGCATAAGTGAATCTAGTAGTATACTAGAGTCTAGTAGTATACTAGACTAAACAAACTCAGCAGTGGGCGTCTTGGACTTTCAAAGATTTGGAAAGAAAACGGTGAAAAAAGATATCAGGACTTTTTCGCCAACCTAATAAAGAACCAAAATCAGGCATTTAAACTTTCAATTCTCGATTCTAAACTGTGTGGAAGAGAAATGAACACTCGGCAGAGTGCTCCTTTTCCAGAAAAGTCCAAGACCACCCACCCTTTCCCTCAACCCGGTCCTCTCCTCGTTTCCTATCAAATTTCCTCTTTCTGGCCATCGACAGCTTGGTGGGTGGCCTCGCCGTCTTTTTTACCAAGTCCCTTTTCCCATCTTCCAGCTCCGATGCTGAGTTGGGCAAGCTTCAGTTTCAGTACGTAGCTACGTGATAAAAAACAGTCGTATGACCAAGTTTTAGTTCGTTTTGCAGCTTTTGTGCAGAGTACCTAAGCTTGTCTTTATTATGCACGCTAAATAAAATTTACCCTTTAATCCACATAACAACGAAAGTGACAAATTGCTTGCAGCTGATTGCTTCTTTGCTGATTGCTTCCAAATACGATTGGCATTGGCATCGTTGAGCAGTCTTTTGATTTTTTTTTTCGCGACATCTCCACTAAACCAAATTCTAGTAAAACACGTAACTTCGTTTAAAATGTATACCTCTAATGATCCCCGTTTTTTTCACAATTGCATTCCTTTTCCGCATTTGTCCGTTTGTTCCGTTTTTGTTCTTGTGGAGGATTCCTTCTGTGGAGGATTGTGGATTATCAAAGAGTAGATGCAGTCGATCTCGTTCGCAAAAGCTTGTTGCACATCAGCAATCGATTTCAATGTCAACAGCATTCTAAAAGAAAACATAAATTATCAAACGAGTAACTAAACTTTATACGAGCAGAAAACAAAAATATATTAGAAAATATATTGTACAACTTTTCACTTAGCAAAATTTAACAGAACAGAAAAATTTAGCAGAATAATTTAAAGATTTGCGCAAGATCTCAAGCATAATAGTTTCTTTCTTTCTTCTACTTTTTTAATTTTTTGAAAATACGTACCGTAAATATTGTATTTCTTCGAATAGAAGACCGGGTAAAGAGTATCATCGCGTACTCCTGCGTAGCAGCCCTTTTTAAAATTTCTTTTCTGCATAAAAGCTTTCAATCAAGTGCTATAGAGCTGGAAAATGGCTCAAAAATCTGTTAGCTCATGTGGTAAAAAAATCATCAGAGAGCGTAAAACCCGACACTAAGATTTAGTGCACTTTGGTGGAGGGATATAAAGATGAGGGAAAAGAAAGTGGTTACCGTAAATACTGTAATAGTACCCCACCCCCCTCGTACAGTCGGGTAGTCGCAAAAGTTTTTTAGTATTTCATTTTTTTCAAAGCGCCCGTACTTTCAAAAAATGCGTCTTTGGTATCAAAAAATAGCCCTGAATTTCAGCTATTTTTTGATACTTAAGCGCGCATTGTATCATAAACCAGTGTCGAGAAAAATTCGTTCAAAGCTAGACTACGCAACCATCCGCACCGTCATTGTGCGGGTGGGTTACTATTACAGTATTTACGGTATGTGGTTTTGTTGAAACCAACAAAAAAACACAACTAAACTATAAATTATTGGAAAATTTTTAATTTTAGCGATTTATAAATAAAAATTCGCGTGTTATTTGTAAAGTTGTGTTCTATGAGGGGCAAATTATGGAATGTTCAAGCCGGGGGGCAAAAATGGAATGCGGTGGGGGGAAAAAACGATCGTTGTCCCGGTTTTTGGGTTTCTTAAAAAGTATTCTTTAGAGCCTCCTTTCACCTTCAAATGGATTCATCCCGTCTACGATCAGCCCATCAAGTTTAAATCTGATGCGACCGTCTTCAATGATTTTGCCCGAAAAAGTCCGTAAAACTGAAATGTTAGAAAAGTTAATTTAGAAGTTTTTAGAAATAAAATACTATGATAGTTTTAAATTTAAAAGAAAACTAAAAGAAAACTTATTATAGAATTTACCGTCATTGCCACGAGCCCCATCATCAGAGCTTTCTCCTGGAGATCAAACCCCAACACTGCCACCATTGCCGACAACAGCCGTTTGTTGCTTTACCCCATTCTCAACTTTCAAGTTCTAGGGAAAATCAAGCGAAAGCACTGACACTTTAACTCCGCACGATCTGTCGCCTAGTTCTCTTTCCGATGAAGATCCACCAACACCAATTGCTGGAGGGCAAACAATGTTTATCTCGAACAATCAACCACCATCAACTCCCATCACTTATCCGAAATTACCTCAAGAAATCAACTATCGCAGTGGAAATTCAGGAATCAATGACATGTACAGCGACATAAACACCGACTCATTTTTACCTTCAGAAGAAGTAAAGTGAAACTTTAACCCTAACACATAGCTTTACAGGATTTGGCTCATTCTATCGAGCCGGCTGTTTGTGTGGATACTGAAAACAATCCTCCATCAGTGGATGGAACAGCTGTTTCGTATTCTGGTAAAAGACTCGTTTTAATGATCAAATCCATTTCGAATCTTAGGTTCTGCGGAGTTTTTTGCAGCTAAAAAGGATAAGAAGATTGCATATATTCGGTTAAATCATGGCCGAATCTCGGTTTATGACAATGAGGATGGGGTAAGAGCTTTTGAAAGACTTTAGAGATTGTTAAGTTTTAGGAAATCAATCCAATCGCTGGTCCATTTGAGCTTTTCAAAGCTGAATTTATTGGGAGACAAGCTGAAACAAGCACAATCGTTTGTCGCTTTTTAACGGAAACGACAGATCCGAAGAAAGTGTTAAAAGAAAAGGATATGAAGAAAGAGCTACGATTCACTCCAGATGAACACATCGAACATTGGTTATTGCTTTTAGGACAGGTAAATAAAAAGATAAGAAATAGAGATCGAAATAGTGCTGGCTTATAGTGCTGGCTTTCACCATGGGAAGATCTGCGCCAAAGTGCGGCTGAAGGCTTGATTGCATGTGGAAGGATTTGGCTGCGACAAGGGACCGGCCATTGGACATGTGCTATTGCATTCCTTCAAAACAAACTTCTCAACTATTTAGTGGTTTGTGAATCTTGAAAAGAATTCAGATTATTTTTTCTAGCAAGAGCATGCTGATGTGATTTATGAACTTGATTTGCGGAAAGTTATCTCAATCAAGGGAAATCTCGATCAATCACATTGGTGTCCGCATGTAGCAAATAGAGAAAAGGGCAAAGAGAAAAGTGGAATGGGACCATTTCTGATTTCGGTTGAAGGAGGGTGAGAAAGAGGACTGGTAATTCAGTAATTGATGAATTGTTGTTACAGATCGGTGTACATTGAATGTGATGATGCCTCGTCGGTGGTGTTGTGGAGGAGATTGTTGGAGGTGGACAAGAAAGTCTTAATAAAAACCTATGAAATCGTCTAGACAGCACTCATGAGTTCTCCCTTCGATCTCACGGAGTGTCGGTTGACTTATGAAGACATTCCAGTTCACATTGATAAGGTAATTAATGTTTGCTTATGTAAAAAACGAAATATTTTATGATTACAAGAAAATTATCAAATTTAGTGCATTCGATTTGTCACAACTTATGGCTTGACCCAAGAAGGCTTGTATCGGAAAAATGGACGTGTGGCCGAGGCAAAGAAAATTCGTGAAAGCCTGCTACAAGGTAAACAATGTTTTATGTCTTACTAGTTTTATATATGTCGTAGCCGATTATGAATTTCAGCTGATTATGAATGAGTGGGTCTAGGCGTGTCCAACAATCAATTGTTTGGTATCATTCAACGCAGAATCATTTATAATTATGTTAAGTTTTTTAAATTAGAAAGATTAGATAAAAAGAAAAAAAAATTACGGGACTCCAAAGTTTTCTCTCGAACAAACAGTTTTTTTTGCTCTAATTTTTTTTCCTTTGATCCAATCTTTCTCATTTAAAAAATTAAACATAATTATCAATGATTCTGCGTTGAATGATACCAAATACTTGATGGTTGGACGCTCCTAGACCCACTCATTCATAATCGGCTGAAATGCATGATCGGCTACGGGGATCCCGCCGATTTTGAATGAAAGGTTGTAGCGCAATTTTTAACCTAAACTCACAAATTTGGTACCAATGGACGCAGAATTTAATTCGCTATAAAATGATTTAATATTGTCCTCATATTGAGTTGGTGGAAAAGTCCTTTGGGATTTTTTGGGAGAGTACCTTAAATTTGTCCAATTTTGACGTTTTATAGCTCATCCTAAAGCTGAATTCAAGACGGATCGATTGGTAAAAACCGTTTGTGTCTAGGGGTTATTTTTGACGCTGATCACGAAACACATGTTTTTAGCCTAGGTTTCTGCACGGAAAACTAACGAAACGTGAAAACAGCCATTTTTTGGCTCTGCCGCCCTTTACTAAAATAGCTGTAAAAACTTTTAGAAAAGAGATATCTCAAAACGGTTTTTACCAATCGATCCGTCTTGAATTCAGCTTTAGGATGAGCTATAAAACGTCAAAATTGGACAAATTTAAGGTACTCTCACAAAAAATCCCAAAGGACTTTTCCACCAACCCAATACATTAAAGGGTTGCTCTACTAGAAAGATTTGCCAAAAATGCCAAAAAATTTCATTCATAATCGGCTACGACATATAGTTTTTAAAATACTAATTATCTTAGACCCTTGGGAGTATCGAATCGCTAACGATAGCGATGAGACAGTGCTGGCTGTGGCGGATGTGTTGCGTCAAATTCTCCGCCAGCTCACTTCTCCCCTCTTTCCCATTCAATTTCACGAGGATTTCTTCAACATTTGTAATACTGATAAACTAAAGGTTTTCAATTTTAAATTTTATAGATCGGATGTATTCGATTGGCGATGAAAGAAGTGTTAAAAAGCACAAAGAATACAAGGAACTCTTTCAGCGATCATCATTCCCATTGGTTAACTACAGGCACGGGAATTTGTTTTAAGAGAAAAGAGAAAGGGTTTTTTTTAGTACAATTCGGCGATTGATTGCGCATTTATGCGAAGTTGAACAGAACTCTCAACACACAAAAGCTTCTGTCGAAAATTTGGCAAAGGTAATGGCAACAAAGAGACTCAACGGTACTTTTTGTGAGCTATCTTTTTTATTTTGTCATGAAAATCGGTTTCTTTGAAAGAAACGGTCTAAATCAAATCAGTTATCATTTTTGAAAACTCGGCTTCTTGCTAATGATTGCTAAATCTTTAAAACAAAGCTTTTCAAAAGCTTTCAAAAGTCAAGAGAAATCATTGGGCTAATGAAAAAAACCGTATTTGATAGCTTTCATTTGATAGCTTGAAACTTATTTAATTAGAACAATAAATTTGACAATTCTCAAACCTAATAAAAAGTTAAATTTTAGATATTTGGCCCAAATTTGTTCAGCGTGGAATCTCAGGGCGTTTACGATACAAATGCTCCTTTACACTTACAGGTTTTTTTAGGCATTTTTCTCAAAAATCATTCACACTTTTTCTGGCTTGTATTCGATTTTCCAAAAAGTGTGTTCTCTAACAGTTTGGTGGTAGTGCTTGTTTTTTCACTTGCTAGTGAACTTACAATAAAATAGCGAGAGTGTTTCAGCGAACACGAGTGGAACCTAGTTGGGTGTGCTACTTGGAAGATGATTGGCATGAGAATCCGGTTGATGAGCCAACTGTGAGCCCCATAACCTTCACAGCACACACACACACAACAAAAAAGCCCCTATCTTTAGTTCGCCCTTTGTTGTGTGCTTTTTTAGCATGAGAAAGAGTATCGATCAGTTATGCCGCTTGCTTTAAGAATTAGAGGATTTTATGGATAAATTTGGATTTCAGATTGGCGTTGTTGCTGATATGATGAAGGGTTATGCGGAGATCTTTGATGTAACAGTCAGAGAATCGACTAGTCGACGAAGAATTGATAGTATGGATATTGTGGCTCGACAGCACAAGGTTGTAGATCGATGTTTACATGAAGAATATTTCAGAGATGAATATCTTTGTTTATATTCATTTTGAAGATAACTAGAGTAGCTTTAAGATAACTATTGGGTTGTCCAGTTATGAATGCGCGTTTTTTACTATTTTGTAAATTTCTCAAGATACCGAAATCAAGAAAAAGATATCTATGAGTATTATTCGAAAGCTGAAGATCTCCTCTACATTTTCATATAAAAAGCTTTTGAATTTGTCCAGCTTTTGGGGGCAAATTGACTGCACAGAAGAAGAGGTGGCCAAAAAATGGAAGGGTGCCTTTGGATCAAGTTTTGGCTGCGCTCAAATTGAGTTAACCGTTTGATGTTTGGCCAATAGATATATCAATACAACTTTTTTTTAAATATAACAATTTCAGAGCATCTTTACTTTTTTTTTCTGGGCGCTTACACCATAAAACTTGAGGAATAGCTAAGCTGAAATGTTTTTTTTTCGGAAACGACCTCTCCCTTTGTGCAGTCAATTTCCCAAAAAGTTGAATGAATGCAAAAACTTTTTTATTCCAAAATGTAGAGGAGATTTTCAGCTTTCGAATGATATATAACACCCATTATACATCTGTTCGATATCATGAGAAATTTACAAAATAGTACAAACGCGCATTCATAACTGGACAACCCAATAGAATAGCTTTAAGATAACTAGAGTAGCTTTAAGATAACTAGAGTAGCTTTAAGATAACTAGAGTAGTTTTAAGATAACTAGAGTAGCTTTAAGATAACTAGAGTAGCTTGAAGATAACTAGAGTAGCTTTAAGATAACTAGAGTAGCTTTAAGATAACTAGAGTAGCTTGAAGATAACTAGAGTAGCTTTGATCTATCATCAACAAGTTTCTCGATAAAATAAAGATTTTAGAAACCAGCTGGAAATTTGTTAGTCTCGATTCACCTTTGGGAACGGGATAATCAAGCATTCAATGTGAGCAGTGAACTGGTGGCTGAACAGGTTAGAATTCGATAAACAATCAAAATCAAGAAGTTCTCTAGGTTTGTGCTGAAGCCACTCGTCGGCCTGGCTTCGACGCACCACCCGATGGTTCGTATGCGGTTTTTGAGGCAAATTTTAACGGTACAAATCAAATAAACAAATTTTAGGTGATTTTGAATGGAGCTCTGTCGAGACGGCTTGCTTCTCACGAAAAAATCTCGTCCATTGTTGTGGGAAGGTTTGAATGTAAAAGATTGGAAATTTCTCAAAAATTTCCTTCAGATGGATGCAGTGGAAGTGCAATGACGGATTTCTGCTTTTCAATCACGATACCACTCAAAAAGATCCAGTTGGGAGTGTGGGGAATAAAAGAAATTGAAAAATTTAGACCAAAAGCACGTTCTCCGGGAAGGTGAAAGTGGCAGAGCCTGGATCGAAAAGTTTCAAATCGGCTGAGCTGGCAATTGAAGAAGGGATTAAGGTAAAAGAAATTGAAGTGCAACAAAAAGCGTGATCTAGATCTCGATGTACAAAAACAATAAGCATATTCAAACATGGCCTATCGATGACACTTTGTGGTTCGTGGGAGTAACTGCATCGAGAAAGGTGAGGCAAAGGAAAAAGCAAAGGAAAAGACGGTTCTTTTCCAATATCGGGGGAGCGGAAGGATTATCGGGAGAGCGGAAGGGAAAATCGGGGGAGCAAATTTTGGCAGCGCTACATACAGCGCTGTAAGTCCTATATTATACAAACTACCGCCATAAAATCCGCAAATTACCCTTTATTCTCACAACCTTTATATTAGATCACAAAAGTGACTTAAATATCTAACACCCAGCGAAATAGATCTTTTCCCTTTGAGCGGACTTTCATTCGCCACAATTGCATTCGCCACGATTCGCCACAATTGCAAATCCACGACTGGATGACTCCTTTGGTGACGAAATAATCGATTGCCGTCGATTCCTTGAACGCACAAATATTGGAGAAGGCGCATCGTCGTTAAAGTTTGAAAAAAAAACGTTGCAGTTAAAATACAGTCCCAGAAATGCATTTTTCGAGGGGGCAAAATTTGCTCCCCCGATTTTCCTTTCGCTCCCCCGATATTGGAAAAGTACCGAAAAGACAATCGAGAAACATAATTCCAGGCTCCCATGTCTTTTTCTGCCACATTTTTTGTGGATACAGGATCGGTGATTGGAGAGAGATCGGGATGGGTCGTATCATGGAGTACATTGAATGAAAGAAATCATTTCATGAATGCCATCTCTCGGGCACAATCGCGCGGTGTCCCGCCAGTTCTTCTTCGTTTATGATTTAACCCATGACATTTCTAGATTTCTAAGTTTTTAAAGAGATACGATTAATTCGCTTTAACAAGTTTTACGCGAGTTTTATTCAAACTTTAATTAATCATTCCTATGAACGTACTCTCAAATTCAACACAGTCTCGCTTACAAGTATTCAGCGATCAGCTAAAATCCGGGCCTTACAATTTTTTTCTTTTCACTTTATTAAAGAATGGTGCCTTATTATACATTTGCTTTCATTGACTTTACAAAACTTTGGTGCTTGCTTGAAAAACAATACATTTAAATAGCTTCAATAGGTGCAAATTTCGTTAATAAGTAAATGAATATTTAGGATAGGCTAATTTCCGCCATTTCATTTGCGCAACTCGCCATAACTTTCTTCTAAGTGGATCAATCTTTATGATTTTGGTGTCATTTTGTAGATCTGAATAAGTGCAACAAAATGAAATCAAAATCATAAAGATTGACCCACTTTGGAAGAATGTTATGGCGAGTTGCGCAAATAAAATGACGAAAATTAGCCTACGCCAAATATTTTGTAAATTTGAAGCAAGTGCTATTTTTATTTTTTCGTGCGCAACTCATACGCAGCTTCTCGTTGCTTTTCACACAATAAGCGCTTTTTACTTTTGCGCCAAAGATTGAGCTCAACTTTTAGAATCCTTTAGTCTAAAATATAGAAAAGTTTTATTAATAAAGTTTTAAAAGAGGTATTAATATTAAAGTTAATATTAATACCTCGATTTTATTGTCTTTTTTCCTTTCCTCCTTTTTTGCTATTTCACTTTGAATTGAGAATAATATTGTGAAAGAAATTAACGAAAAAACATTTAACGGTGCTTCTTAATTGTAGTCTTGTGCCTTTTCTCTTTTCTCATCCGCTCCAAGATTTACGTGTTTCAAAAAGATACCAAACTGAAAATTTATTAAATTTATTAAATAAAATGATTTTGACACGTGATGTTTTTGCACAAAAGTTTAAAGCTTTTGATATCTATTCTGTTTCATATGCATTCATTAAAAGTTTTGACGTTTTTTTTTAGATTGCGGTGATGTTAAGGCCGTTTTTGCGCTCCAGCCTCGGCAATGCCACTCGTTTTCTAGGAACTGAAGCCTCGGTTGGTTTTTATTAGTTTTTGATAATACGTAAGATTAAAGAAGTCAGTATTTTAAAATTCAAGTTACTTAAAATTAATAAATGATAAATGAAAAGCTAAAAGCTGTTCATTAAAGTGTTTGGTTTTAATGAAGGATTTAAGAATTTTTGATAATGCTGCAATTCTACAAAAGTTTATGACTTTTGTCTCATACTTTTTCTTTATCTTATAATAATAAAATATGTTTAGGCTATATCCGAAGAAGATGCGGGAGCGCCACGAAATTTGAAGAGAATAGGACGTGCCTTGGAAACATATCTGCGCCATTCACGAGAAGTTAGTTTTTTCCAGCAATTATGAAAAAAAAAATAGACGAGTGAAGCAAGCTTTTAACGTTGCAATTTTATATAAACCAGTAATTTTTATGCATTTTATATTTGTTCTTTAGAATGCTTCGATGATGGCTCGAGAGCGAGCGGATTTTGATCTTGGAAAGCGACATCTAGCCAACATGATGGGGATCGATCCGCACACGATAAACCAAAACGACATTGACAAGTTTCTTTACTAGCTTTTCTATAAAATCTCTGTTTTTAGGGCAATTGAGTATCTTTTCCCATCTTCGTTATTTGACAAGAAAGCGAGGCCAGTGATGCGTCCTCCAGATGAGGTGGATTCATTTTTTAATATAAGTGAATCTAGTTTTTATAGATCCTTCCAAGATTTAACCGATTCACTTTTGATGATGAGGGTCGCCCAAGTGATTCTCGATTTTACACTCTCCGCCCGAAATTCTACGCCCTGCTTTCGGTATTTTTATTTAAGGAACAAATTAACAACAAATTTTAGGAAATTGGCCTTAAAACATACAATGTTTCTCGTCTACATGCTGAACATGTAAAGCTCAATCGCAAGGATGACGTAAATGATCAAACTGTGTATGTGATTTGATTTATTTGTTGGTTGCATTCAAATCTTATAGTTCGTTGACCGGCACGACTTGGATTAACGAAGAGAAAATGAAAAAGAAACTCGGAGAAAATATCACCACTGAAATGGTATGCTTGGAGTTTTTGTTTGTTAACCTTGTAAATATCCATTTAGTACGCTCATCTTTTCCTGGCTTTTGATTACCTTGTTTCATTACCCGGATCCGTTGTCGAATCGGAATTCATTTCTCAGGTAGTTGATGATTTTTCTTGCATTTAAATGCATCTTTAGTTTCGCGAACCTCTCACTTCTGCTACGGCATCACGCATTTTTGGACCAGAAATTCCAAAAGTGGAAATTTGTAGCAAAACCAATCGTCGCACAGCTACCGCCAGGTATTTAGATTTATGTAATTATTAAACTAATATTTTTGACCACTGAATTATTCCCTTAAATAAGTTGTTCACCTGTTTCTAGTGTTCGAGTGAAATCAACGAACGCCACTGTGACTGTGTCTGATGCTGGAACAGGCCAATGGGATATTGATGGTTTAACTATGCACAATTTCCGCTCATTACTTGCCAGGTGCGTGCTTGCCTCGTAGCTTTTGTTTTCTTTGTATGTAATACCCGCTATTTTCAATTTGAAACCATTTAGAGAGGTGCTCTTGTGTCCTCTAATTGTTGCCAACCTGATTGGACAAGTCGATGTTAAAGCTACAACAGTAGGAGCTGGTAAAAAATTTCTTTATTTGGTTTAAGCTATGTGTTTTTAAGGTGGAGCAACAGCGGTTCCACGTGCGGTTCGACACGGCACTGCATTAGGTCTAGCTGCTCTTTTCCCAGATGTGGAAGAAAAATTGAGATTGGGTAAGAGATTTGTGCATTCTTTATCAGACACTACTGGTATTTTCAAATGTTATTGCTTTTAGCTGGGCTAATCAGTTGGGACCCTCGAGATAAGGAGCGCAATAAAGTGAACCAACCCGGCGCTCGTGCTAAATGGATTTGGTAGGTTTTAAGTTTTTAGTAAACATTCTTCTAAGGTCATAGAAATGATAAACATGATAATTTTTTAGGAAACGACGTTGAATACCGAATGTAACCGATTGTGAAGTTCAACCAAATTGTTTGTTGAAAATTTTTGATTTATAGTCTTAGTTTAGATTCAAGTATATGATGTTGTTTTTGTTGAGAAAATAAAACATTGAAAAGTTTATTATTTGAAAACAATTATTCATTCAGGTATAAATATTTATAACGGTAAAAAGTAGTTGAGTAAACTCGAATTCACTTGAACTTTTTGGTCAGTATTCCAAAAGGACAAAAAGATTGTAGCTCTTCGTTTTTTTTTTAAAAAAAACTTCCCCAATCGGTAAGAACGGTTCTCTCAAAAAGAAAACTCGAAAAAACTATTTCGCATGTATATGCAGCTGTGTTGTTGCTTGCAAAAGGATCAGCTGGCTCTTGATCGTCTCGTTTCTCAGCGTCTTTCACGCTCTCTTTTCGAGTTCACTCGTCTATTTTCCAGTGCCTAGCTCAAAGAGAGTCGTGCTGGGCTCCGTTCCTTGCCGTGTCACCTCGTGTCGGGGGTCGCCGCCTCCCCCCTCCGCCCTCCCCCCCGTGGCCCCTTTCCCCGTCGGTTCACCCACCACCTCGTCTTCTGCTTGTGCACCAATCAGAAGCTGTGATTTTTCAAATTAATTCCCTACTCGTATTTACTCAAAAACTCCCGTACTTTTGAGCCTTTAATGGCTGTTCGCTGCTCTGAGTTGCCTAATTTGGTAAGTTTTTTTGTGCTATTGTTATTTATTTTATAGCCTTTCTCAGCAGCAAAAAATAAATGAAAATTTGTAACTTTCTACTTGTTTTATAAAAATTTGAAATTTGAAATAAAAATTTTAATCTAGCTTTCAAAGGAAAGCTAGATTTTCTTGAAAAAATATTTTGACTTCATATTGACTTTACTATAAAAATGCTTAAAGCCAGACACAATAGGCAAAGCTTTCTCATTTTGTTGCAGATTTTCCCGCTCTTGTTTTGTTGTGTGTGTGTGTGTGTGTGTGTTTGTCTTTCCCACGCCTTTCATCGTCTATCCTCATCCCATTTTTCTTCTCTTTTTCCTTGCCTCATTCATCCTCTTGCCGGCAATTTAAACTAAAACATTCCATTGTTTTGAATCATACAAATAAAATAAGATCTTAAAAATATTCACAAGAAAGAAAAGCTATAAGAAAAGAAAAACTATAAGAAAAGAAAAACTATAAGAAAAGAAATTTCCCTTTTACTTAAGTGCTTATTAATTTGGAACGGTGGGACGCATGACAAAATGTAAATTTATGCCAAATTTGTGACCTTTTAAGAAAAATTTCTTGATAACAAACATTATTTTTTTTTAATTTTTTTTCTTTTAGGCTTGCGAGGAAGTTGGTGTCGCGTGGGGAAGAATGCTCGATAAAGAATGCTGGAATGAGAAAACGGCAACCCCATCGTTTTCTCCATTCTCATCCACTCGCACTCCATCAAATGATTCGAGCACATGGTACAACAATGTCTACAACTGGATTCACTCGTCTCAGGTTTAAAAAAATAGCAAAATTTTCACACTAAAGCGATTTTTAGAGCTCTGATGAAGCTGGTGGATCATCGCGTTCCTCGAGCTCGAAGGGCTCTCCGTGGGATGACGACGCACAGGCACAGCTCATCAATGGACCATTCTCCGCCTGGGAACCTCCCTTCAAACCTGTCCCCTTGCCCACACCTCAACTTAAAAATCTCAACGATTTCAATCAAAATCCTTATGCGAATATCATCGAGGGTCTGCTTAAGTTGAATCTCGGCGAACAGGCGACCGTTGGTAACTCTGCCCTCAATGTCCCATCCACTTCCCCCACCTCTTCTAATACTACCTCTTTTCTCAGCGATGAGCCAATGTGTCGACCTTGTGTCTCTCAAGTTCAGCCCAATAAAACTGTCCCTCAATTGGCTCAACCTCGTCCGATCATTGGACAAAATCAGAAAGATCACCACAGCGCTCCATCTTTGGCTCATGACAGCAAGCAAGCTGAATGGCTTTTGCAACAAATTGAGGCACAACGACAACAACAGGCTATCTACGAGCAAATGTGTCAAATGATGATCAATGCAAATCAAGTAAATCAAAAAAAGAGCTTTCGTTTACAAAATGGAATTTTAGCAGCCACCTAGCTCTGCATGGCAATCAGCTACAGGGAAATGCTTCGTCGTGTCAATCAGCGCTCACCCAGCGAAACTCGACTGCAATCGAGTTGCACACGAAATTGGAGGAATGCTCGGAAGAATATCGTCAACTCGAAAAAGAGAGAAAACAGGTGAGAAACGTTGTGAAGAGTCCCTTGAAAAGGAAATCCTCATTTCCAGACCGAAGCCGAGCTCGCCAAGCACAATCTGGGCAAAAAGATTTCCTCGTCGAACGGTTTACCCATTCCGCGTCTTCCCACCGCTCCGTCTCGTCTCGATCGACTCATCGTCGATTTTCATCGTGAACACGCCCGCATTCTCACTCTTCTCGGGAAAATGGAGCAATTGAGGTAAAAATGCGCCTAAAATAAGCCCAAAAAAAATGAGCTGAAAATTTTCAGAGGAGAACCCCTTCCAATCAGTGTTCACAACGCTTTAATGCAACTGCAGCGATCTGTTGTCATTTTGCAGAATTGTCGCCAGGCTGAGAGAACAGCTATCTTGCAAACACTTCGCGGAGAGCTTGTTCGATATGATGAAGAAAAAGGTTGGTAATTTTTTTCTTTTTTCAAAGATTTTTAATCAAAATTTGATTCCCGTTTTTCAAAAAAGCAATTAGAGGTTTGAAGGTGAGATTCCATAGGGATTGAGTTGAGAGAGAAAATCAAGTGTTCCGACCACCCACGATGGGGGGAAAGATATGAAAAAGTTGTGCTGAGAAATGGGTTTTTTCTTCTCTTTTTTTTTTTTTTTTAAATGAAATACCACCGGGTGGCACCGCCTTTGAGGTCATTCCTTTTCTCTTTTTTTTCTTTTTTTCACAAGAGAAAATCGCACAATAAGTTCACTCCTGGGAAATGAGGCATGTGATTTGATTCAGAAAAAAAAGAACATCTTTCAATTTTTTTTTCATTAATCTTGGCCATTTCTTAATTGAAAAGCTCTCTTTTTTCTTTTTCATCATTGCGAGAATGGTTATCCATAGAATTTCAATCATAGATTTATTAGAGAGTCATAGATACCGTATTCTCTCTAATAGTAGGGCACAGGCCGAGTTAGTGACTATTTTACAGTTTCCAAGTTCTTCACAGAAGCTCAACACTCTAATCCCTCACTAGATCTCATCGTCAGCTACATTTTCCGACCCCACATCGATAGGTTCTGATAAGCGGTTCTCGAGATTTCGAGCAATTTAGGCGACTCTCAAGATGCACTACTATTAGAGAGAATACGGTATGCAAAAATGAGAAACCACACACAAAAATCAAACCCTCCTGTCGAAAATACGGTATTAAGCATTTAGCGAAAATGCTAAAGGTTGAAAAACGATTAGAGTACCGTACACCGTACAATTTCCCCTTGATTTCAGCTGGTCTTTTCCCCTTTTGTCCTTTTCCCATTTTCAGTCATTCCTATGTCGAGGTCATTGATGGTCCAGGATGGTTTAAGGGTTTGAGTGTAGAAAGAAAGAAGAAAGAGATGGAGGACGGGGAAGGCTTTGGGGGAGAGGGGAGGGTGGAATGGTTGTGTTGTGGCCGTGCCAGGCACCCCGGTTTTCGCGTGCGCCCCGCACGCGTCAACAAAAACTAGCGCCCCAAAAAAGCGGCGCAAAAAAAGAAGGGAAAAATTGGGGGGGAAACCCAGCCCTTTTTTTTCCCTTTTTCTTTTCATCCGCCCCTTTTTCTTTCTTTGAAATCTTTCCACCAAAGTACTCAAAGAGTAATGCGAAAATTGGAGGAAAGTTTGTGAGAGGGGATTGTTTAAAGAGCGAATTGAAATAGGTGATTGAGATAGTTGATTGAAATAGGTGATTGAAATAGCTGATTGAAATAGCTGATTGAAATAACTGATTAAAATAGCTGATTAAAATAGCTGATTGAAAATTGTTAAAAGCAAAAATTAGATATATTTGTTTATAATTTAAACGAATATCTTATTAGGAACGTTTTTTTTTATAGAAACATTGGTTCTGGCGAGCGCATTGTCAACAGTACGTAAAGCAGCGCTGCGAGCACGATCCGCCAATTGGGTGTCACTTGTTTCAACAATCGGTGTCGCGGATCCGTCTGAGCAACAGGTATCATACTTTTCATTAAATGCTATTTGTTCAAATAGCTTATAGCTTATAGAACCTTATGATAAGCTTATGATAAGCTTTTTAAACGAAACTAATGACCAAACTAACGACAATAAGCTGATTTACACAATTCAGATAATCAAAATGTATCATTAACAATCAATAATCAACCAAAAACATCAATTTTCTAATTAACAACTAACATTGTCATTAGTTTGTCAACCTCGGTGTTTTAGGCTAATGACTAGACCTAGGTCGTCTAGTCATTAGTCTTTTTAGACCTAGGTCTAGTCATTAGTCTTTTTAGACCTAGGTCTAAAAATTTGCATCTGAAACTTTTTGGAGGTGGGGAATCCGAATCTGAAATCAAATTCGAAAAATATTCCTTGCGCGCTGAGAATCTAAGGGTTTTTGAGCGCTTTTACGCTTAGCGCTTACGTGCGTACTTTGTGCTCCCGCCGACAATCCCTCTAGCAAAGGGACAGCAAGCCGCCAGTTCAACAATTACTCAACAATCCCCCATTTACCCACCGACAAAAGGTGTTATATCTTCTAAGAAAAAGATTCCTTTGAAAACTTTCAAAGAATACTATAAGATATTTTTAAACTTCTAACTTTTTACAGTAATTCGATAGTTTACAGCAACACAAAAGATTTTTTTGATAAATTCCAGGTAATCGATCGTTTGATTGCCTCCGATTTCACCCTTGCTCCACCGCCAATTCGCAGTCGTCCAGTCAAAAAATAAACCCCTTTTCTTTTCGTTTTTATTTTTCTTTTTCTTTTTATTTTTATTTTTCTTTTTATTTTTCTTTTCATTCATTATGTCACAAGAAATCGGTTCTTTTTAAATCTTTTCCTTTTTAACATACCGTAAATACTGTAATAGTACCCCAGCCCCATAATGACGGTGCGGAGTGTTGCGTCGTCTAGCTTTGAACGAGTTTTTCTCGACAGTTTTATGCTACAATGCGCGCTTAGGTGTGACGATGAATGTCGAGGCTGTACCGTGAAAATAACCAATGGCACGAAACCAGATGAGATATTCTGATTAGCGTATTTTATGCTTCAGTACACTAGGTTTAGTTACCCAAAATTTAACCTGGTACACTCGTATGGTTTGTGCTCGAAAAGTTAAAAGGCTAGCTTTCTGATGGACCAAATTTTTCTTAAGTATCAAAAAATAGCCCTGAATTTCAGCTATTTTTTGATAGCAAAGACGCATTTTTTGAAAGTACGGGCGATTTGAAAAAAATGAAATACTAAAAACTACTTTTGCGACTACGCGACTTTACGACGGGGGGTGGGGTACTATTACAGTATTTACGGTAACCACTTTCTTTTCCCCTCATCTTTATATCCCTCCACCAAAGTGCACTAAATCTTAGTGTCGGGTTTTACGCTCCCCGATGATTTTTTTTTTCTTTGTCCAATTTCTGTACATATTCCCTAGTTAACTGTAGTCATTGATTGCATTAAGTAAAAGAATCCATCCAAAACTCCGGTGAATGTTCTGAAAACTCTAAAAACTCTAGGCATAATAGAAAAGTACCGTAAAAGCTCTAATAGAACGGTGCTCTCTAATCGAAAAATGGTCGTTCTATTCGAGTTTTTACGATATTTGTCTCCAAGTTGTTCCAGTTGTTCTTTTTTGATTATTTTTCTTGAAAATTTAGCTTTTCATCTTTATAAAAGCGGTTGTTTCTCTCCTTTTTTTGTCAATTTTTATCTAAACTTTGGCTCTTTTTTCTTCTTCTTCTTCTTCTTCTTCTTCTTCTTCTTCTTCTAAATCGTTTACCTGTGATAGAGAAAAATCTCTGTGTAGAAAAATCGTCTCAAAAAAAAACTCCTAGAAACTCAAATGCTCATTTAGAATCATATTTTAGGAATTTCTCAACAAATATAGTTTCATAAAATGATATAGAGCTTAGCAAAAAAGCGAAATGAAATTTTCACGGCTTTTACTCAAAGAATTTCGAAGGCTTTTATCAAAGGACTAAGTCTGATTAAGGCTACAGGCTGATGCAGGCTGATGCAGGCTGATGCATCACTGACCATCCTGCAACGCACAAGTAACCCTAAGTCAGTGGTACTGATGGAATGAGTACTGTAACGGAATCGACTTTTTCCGATTAGAAACTTTAATCAAGATGCATTGTGCGTTCCAGGATCGGTCAGTGAAATAAACGCATGATGCAGTAGGTTTTCAATTTTTGAAAAAGCTGACATTCGAAAGATAAAAAGAATAAAAACTAGAAATTCTTGATAAAAGCCATAGTGTCCAACACATGAAATTCACTCGAAAACCTTTTTTTTCCCATTTTTCCCATTCATTTCCTTTCTTTTTTTCATAGCTTTTGTGATTTAAGCAAAAAATTCACACAGAATTTCGTTGATCTTTGTATATCGACATCGGTTTTTCTTTGTTTCTTCTTTTTGTTTCTTTTTTTTTGTTTCTTTTTGTTTCTTTTTGTTTCTCTTTTTTGTCTCCTTTTTGAGATTTCTTTTTTTTCTCTTTCTAAGTACATAAATGTTCCGATAAACTCTTTTCAAGATAAATATGTTAATACTAAATACTTTAGAAAGAAATTTTGAAAGAAATAAAGTGCGGAAACGAAATGAAAAATGAAAAATGATAAAAGATCAAAAAGTCACTTAAAATGCAAAGAAGTAGCCCTTTTAAAATCATCCACGGTCAAGATAAAGTATATTTATTCGACACGAATAATGAATGTCAACACAATGGAGGAAATTTTTACCCCTAATTACCCCTATTGCCAAAATGTTGTTAAGAAAAAAACCCATAATAACGGGAAGAAGAATCAAACTTTCTAGCCGCCGGGATTGAACCCTTAACCTCCCGACTAGGAGACAAGACTCCTATTCCTTAGTTAACTGTAGGAGACAAGCCTCTGGTCAACTAGGAGACAAGACTCTGGTCGGCTACGACGGCTGGACAAGACTCCTATCCAGTCGGCTACGATGGCTGGACAAGACTTCTATCCGGTCGGTTACGACGGCTGGACAAGACTCCTATCCGGTCGGCTACGACGGCTGTACAAGACTCCTATCCGGTCGGCTACGATGGCTGTACAAGACTCCTATCCAGTCGGCTACGATGGCTGTACAAGACTCCTATCCGGTCGGCTGAGATCAAACGCAACTTTTCGGCAAGGGCATTCCAAACTTTAATCACACGATTTACAAAAAAAGCGATGTTAAGAAAAAAAACGCACATTTGTTCTAGATTTTAGAAAGGAATTATATTTAGAAGGAATTAGATTTAAAACAATTTTCCCTCTGTTTAAATTGTTTTTACATGTAATAGAATAAAAAAAGAAACAAATAAAAAATGGATTTTGAGTGGCGAAAACATGGGTTTTTTTTTTTTGGTTTAAGCTAAAATTCGATTTGATATCATTTATAATTGCGTTCTATTTATCATTTATAATTCTCAAAACAAATCTTTTGAAAGTCTTTTTTGACTTTAAAAAAACTCATTACTTTTTAGAGAAAATATTTTTTTTTGCAGAATCTTTTCAAAAAAATGAAGTTTTTTAGTGCTATTATTTTAAATGCTATTATTTATTTTTCACTTTCCACAGATATTTAACAATTTAGCTACTGTTTAAGGAATGCAATATTGATTAATGATTTACGGGATGTGAGCTTAGAGCATTGGAGCAGAGATCCAAGCATTGGAGCAGAGATCCAAGCATTGAAGCAGAGATCCAAGCATTGAAGCAGAGATCCAAGCATTGAAGCAGAGATTCAAACAAAATACAGCCAAAATTGAGGAAAATGCGCTAAACGTGCTTAACTCTTTATCCGATTCAAAATCCAAATCTCGAACTGTTTATCCCAATTTTCGATCCGATCTCCAGGATCTCTTGATGTAAAGCATTCGAAAATTTCTCTCTCAACCCATCACTCTCCGTCGATAGTTCTCCCCCGTCGTCGAGCCACCTATTTTTGGTGATTGTTTTTTTGGACACAAAAACCATTCAAATTTAGGGCTTCGCTTTGAGATTTCACTTTTAAGGGTGAATTCGGAAAGGGAAATGCTCGTAGAAGTGCTCTCGGTGACGGCGCTCGCCTCGACATTCGGTTTTTTCTTCTGTGGTGCCCAAATTTGTGTGCAAATTCGGCGAAAGGGTGGCACTGAAGGGATCGGTGAGGGAAAATTTCTTTAAAAAGATAATTTAATTGACAAATTTAAGCTTGCAAGACTAATATAATGATTAATTGAGAATTGCAGGCGCTGCACCGTTTCTCATCGCTTTTCTCTCGTGTTTTTTCATGCTACAGTATGGGATTTTGAGGTATGATTCTTTTTCTTTAAAGTCATTTGACGTTTAGAATAGTTTTACTAATATCAATGAATCAATTATAATAGAAATCATATCTTTTTAGAGAAGATAAGGTGGTGATATTGTGCAATGTCGTTGGACTTGTTCTTCAAGGTGCTTATCTTCTCTACTACTACTCAATGACCATTCATAAGGTGAGAGTTGATCGGAATTTTGTGCAATTATTTAAAGAATTATTTAAAGAATTGTTTAAAGAATTGTTTAAATAATTGTTTTATATCTTTTACTGAATATCTTTAATGCAAAAGAAGCTTTAATTTTTGTAGAGATTATGATAGAGTCGAGTTCAATTTTCTCTATCAGTTTATAGGTTATTCTAACAAAAGCCTGGAACTTCTATGGGGTAGGCTAATTTCCGCAACTGGGTCGTTTGCGCAACTCGCCATAACATTCTTCCAAAGTGGGTCAATCTTTATGACTTTGGTGTCATTTTGTAGATCTGAATAAGTGCAACAAAATAAAACCAAAATCATAAAGATTGATCCACTTAGAAGAAAGTTATAGCGAGTTGCGCAAATGAAATCGCGGAAATTAGCCTATCCTAAATATTTATTTACTTATTAATTCTTTAATGCAAAAGAAGCTTTAATTTTTGTAGAGATTATGATAGAGTCGAGTTCAATTTTCTCTATCAGTTTATAGGTTATTCTAACAAAAGCCTGGAGCTTCTATGGGGTAGGCTAATTTCCGCAACTGGGTCGTTTGCGTAACTCGCCATAACTTCTTCTAAGTGGGCCAATCTTTATGACTTTGGTGTCATTTTGTAGATCTGAATAAGTGCAACAAAATAAAACCAAAATCATAAAGATTGGCCCATTTAGAACAAAGTTATGGCGAGTTGCGCAAAAAAAAATTCATCCAACTCTTCTGATCGATTCGCTATCGTCTAAAAATAAAAATAAAATCTTGAATAGATAAAAAGAAGTAAGAAAAAGAAAAAGAAAATGTTAAAACATAAAAGTGTAAAATACTTTTTTTGTGGTGATTTTTGGGTTACGGTATAAAGAGCTTATAATAAAAAGGAGGCTTTTTTTTTTTAGAGTTTACAGGTGTTTTAAAAATTACAATTGTAAAAGATAGATGTTTTGAGCGTTATTTGCGACGAGTTTTTCTGATCGAGGCGCTTCTGATCGGAGCAATGGAATGGATGGTGCACTGGTCGACGATGCCCGATCAAGGGATGACGATTCTCTCGAATTCGTGCATGTTTCTCAACATTGCCGCCATGGGCGCCCCACTTGTAACACTAAAAGAAGTAAGAAGGATTAATAAATGAAGATTACAGTCGAGAAGTAGAGTGTGTTCCTCGGGAGTAAGTAACAAGTAAGTAACTCGAGTAAAATTTGCATGAGTAAACTTTACTCGATTAATCGACGTTTTTTTGTTGGGGCTAACTACGAGTAATCCTCTTTACACGTCGAGTAAATTGAATATCTTTACATTTGAAGGAAATTTGCCACCAAATCATTTGAACGGTTGAATATCTTTAAAAGGAATCGTATATAAGGCGGCGCTCGTGATTTTCGCGCCAATTTTTTGGGGGTGGGAACAAATGCGACCTTTTTTTGCGCACCTGGACATTTGCGCACCTTTTTTGCTGGAAAAGGCCTTAGGAAAGATCGTAGAGCTTCGAAAATGTTTTCATAGGAGGGAATCGTATGCGTAGATTCCGAATTTCGACAAATCAGACCTCGCTGACATGTCAAATTTGGGCTAAAAGGCAAAAACTGCGGAAAAGCGTTAAGTTGCGTAGTTTTTGCCTTTTAGCCCAAATTTGACGTGTCAGCGAGGTCTGATTTGTCGAAATTCGGAATGTGCGCATACGATTCCCTTCTATGAAAACATTTTCGAAGCTCTACGATCTTTCCTAAGGCCTTTTCCAGCAAAAAAAGGTGCGCAAATGTCCAGGTGCGCAAAAAAAGGTCGCATTTGTTCCACCCCCGATTTTCGCGCCAATTTTTTTGCAATAATTTTCGCTAAAAGTACGGTAATTTTTCTTAAGCGTGCACTTTAAAAAAGGAACATTACTCGCGAAGAACACACCCTAGCGTGCACTTACACGTGCACAAAAAGGAACATTACTCGCGAGGAACACGCCCTAGTCGAAAGTAGTACTTGACAAATGTATTTCCATTGTAAAACAAAAATTGCAGGTGATCAGATCGAAATCAACAGCGTCTCTTCCACTCCCATTGTGCGTCGCTTCATTTGCCGTCTCGGTGCAATGGCTTGCCTATGGGATTCTTGTGAACGATCCTGTTATAAAGGTTTACAACTTTATAAGGAACAATTTTTATCAACATAAACCAATTTTAGTATCCTAACTACATAGCAACTCTTTTGGCACTTATACAACTCTCACTTTTCGCTATCTACGGCCGATCGAAAACGATAATAAAAAAATTTCAGCCAATCCCTTCAAGAGAAAAACTAAATGGATACAATATTTAGTTTAATTAAAACGGTTTTTTTTTTCTTTTATCTTTTAATTTATGATAATCGCTAGTCATTTTATGGGAATAAGGGTTTTAAGCACTTTCAGCTTCCGTTTTTTTTCATAATATTTGTAAAACTGTGATGGAATTTCATTTGATTTTATGCTTTTTTTTTTTTTTGCTTTACTTTTTTGCTTTGTCAACATGCAATTTTTTTATGATTACTGTGTAATCGATTATGGTAGAATTTCGTAAATCTGTGTTCTCCGAGTGCCTGATCTCATCGAAAATTTGAAAATTTTCGAAAATCCATTTCCCTGTGCACTTCTTGAAATTTTTCGATTTTTTCTTTTTTGGGTTTACAAATAAATTGACTTTTATTGATTATTTTAATGAAAAAAATGATTTTTTTTATAAGAATATTAAGTTTCTTGCACATTTAAAGCAACCGGGAAGGCTCATTGGACGACTCCCACAAACATCATAAACAACCTAAATTGCGTTGAATAAAGAAAAAGAAATTGAAATTGAAATTGAATTTGAAATTGAATTTGAATTGAATTGAATTTGAATTTGAATTTGAAATTGATTGAATTTGAATTTGAATTTGAATTTGAATTTGAATTTGAATTTGAAATTGAATTTGAATTTGAATTTGAATTTGAATATTTCGTTTACAATTAGCTGTATGCTCTAAAAATGAAAATGATATTGATTTCAGAAAAATACGGCACATTTCAACATTATTTGTTTTCTGATTTTGTTGAGGGGCTTTTGATACCGTATTCTTTGATTCAAACATTAGACAGTCAGCCATTAGACACGCCGATTCCTATATAAGTTGGGACTGGGAATACAAAAAAATGCCGGGCCCGGGAGTCGAACCCACGTCCCTTCGCTTACCGGGCGAAAGTTCTACCAGTGAGCTACACCATCACCTAACTGATGGCCGCCAGAGAAAGGTGTTATCCTTTACTTAGTCATTCTTGATGACTAACAATGGAATGATCACACTTCGAAACCGAGAATTTGCCACCTCTTTTGACATGCCGTATTTCTCTAATAGTAGTGCATCCCGCCGAGTTGATGACTATTTTTACAGTTTCTAAATCTTCCCAGAAGCTCAACACTCTAATCCCCCACAAGATCTCATCGTCAGCTACATTTTCCGACCCCACATCGATAGGTTCTAATAAGCGGTTCTCGAGATTTCGAGGAATTTAGGCAACGCTCAGGGTGCACTACTATTAGAAAGAATATGCTATGCATTATGGCATTATGAATATTAGATAATCAATCTTTTCTTTTTTGTTACTTCTCAGACTTTATACTTGATAATTGAATGATTCTACCCGTGGATCCTGTGCTTGTGCTGTGGTCTCCAAAATCATCACCACCAGTTTATCCTTTTTTGCCGCACCCTCGCCGCGTGCAATCTGAAATAAACTCATCTCGATTTTTTTTTCAAATTCTCAAATCTCTTTACACTCAATCCCACGGATTGTCCTGAGTCGATGAACGCGAAAACTGGCGACACTTTGTAGAGTTTATTATCTGAGCACTTGATCTTCACCGCAACTCTTGCTGAAGTTGGAATGGAATGTTAAATCTTTGAAATGTTTAATCTTTTAACAGTTATTCCACAATGATGTGTAACTCAAAATAAAGAGTGTATGCAGGCTTAAAATCAAGAATGGGTAAAGTAAAGTAAATAGATCTAGAATTGAACTTTTTAAGATGTAAACTAATAGGTTGATGCATAAGTCTTTTCGTTTTTTTCGTACTTCTGTTAAAAAGTAACAAATTCACCAATTAATCTATAGTTTGCTCTATAAAAAAAGTGTTTTTTTTGCTCAATTTGCATCTTTTTAAATGAATTTCGGTTCACTTTCAAGCAAATTCGAGAGTGAAAAACGCCTTTTTCGTAAAAATCTATAAAAAACTCTACGGAAAAATTGGCTGAATGAATTTCTCTGAAATTTTGGCGAAATATCAAACGTTTTTTTTCTCTATCTTTTATCTATTGACACGAAGATAGGTTTTCTTTAGCTAAGGAGCACGTGTGGCTGACTGGTTAAGTGTCTTTTATCTTAATCGGAAGGTCGAGGGTTCGAACCCCACATGCGACATGGTCACCCCCTTCGGATTTCCTTTCCCTTCGGGTTGAGAGGTTTTCTGGAGGGCAGTCTGGTGGTTGTGGCCCCAGTTCTTTAGAGTGACAAGCCACTCCTTCATCGTCATCTTCCCTTCACCACCAAAAAAGCTATTTAGTTCCCCATTGAGCTTAGGGTTAGGGAGCCGTCTGTCATGACGTGGGTTAAGTTAAGATATAGCCTAGTATTGTGTGTGTCGTTGTATTGTGATTGATATATTTCGTGTATGCGATAAATTCACCACTGGTAGCCCCAGTCGGTATTTTTTAAGGTGTCTAAACAGCATCATCGAGTTAGCCCTTTTTGACTACCCGACTTCATACTCTCAAGAAAATCCAGGCATAAAATATTTTTAAACCCGTTTTAATGTTATTTGGCAGAAAAATAATTGGTTTTTCTAATGAAATCAACCGTAGTTTAATTGGTGCATTTGTTGGCTTGAAACGGCAGACGAAAAGGAACAAAAACACTTATGCATCAACCTAATAGTTAGGTTTCTTTTTTTATGCCAAAGAGTATTCTTTTGTGCTTCCAAACACACTCACTTTTGCCTCGATTCGTGACCGTGTGCTGACTGGTGCCACCGAGCTTCGAGAATGAGGCGGTGCGGGGATGAACGGAAACGAGTGGAGCTGTTGCATGGCATGAGCATTCACATCTAAAGCTTTAGCTTTATTTTATAGCTATAGTTTCAGGAAAATATGCAAAAAGTGTGTTTTTAAAACTGCTCACCCCCAGCGTCCTGAAATGCGCGACGATGAGACGAGTCCCTCCAGATCTTCTCGAGTTATCGCTGAATTAAAGTTTTGATTTCAAATTGCTTGGAATATTAAAGCATTTCTGAAGCTAGAAAGTTAGAAAGTTTCCTAGATGAGTTATAAAAAAATCTTGAAACCTTTTTTTATGTTTCTTCACGTCGATCAACTTGTTTATAGTTTGGAACGAAGAGTGGAAGGGGCAAGTCTCAAGGGAGAATCAAGGACTGAAGAGAGCTCACCGATAATAGCTCCAACGTGTTGAGGCGCACTGCGATGTGGATGTCGACTCGTTGCAGCTCTCTGGCTCGTTCGGCGCTCCACCTCTGCAACTCCATTTGTGCCGCGCATTCTGAACAAATTGTAAATTCAGTGGTATAGAGTTCTGTGAAGAGTTTAAAAGGAAATTGGTAGACTATTGATAAAAGGAGGCTTTAAACAGAGGCGCGTTGGCTGAATAAAAGGATAAAAGGATAAAAGGTTGAGTTGAGAGGGATCAACGAATAAAAAATGGTTGGTAGGATGAAGGGGGAGGGGGGGGGGGGTGATGAAAAGGAGAGGCCGCTAGGGGGGAGTAGAGGAGGAGGGGAGTGAAGTGGAGGAGTGAAGCCGACTGATGGATGGGCCACGGCTCTTCCAAGGAAACTTCTTTCAAAATTCATCTCTATTTCAAATCTATTTCAAAAAAACGATAAAATAGCTTTAAAGAGAAGGCAGAATTTGTTGCAAAAGCTACAAAATAATGGTATAGAATTAGAGACTATTTGAATGAAATTGAAAAATGAAATTGAAACGATCAATCAATCAATAATATCAAAAATTAAAGTTTAATTGGTGTAAAAATAGAGACTATTCTTAGCTATTAATCAATCAATATCAAAATAAAAGTCTAATTGATATATATTGATATAGAAAATCATAAAAATTCAAATCAAATTTCAAAAGTTTACATAGAAAAGGAAAAGGATGAGAATCCCACCCCAACCATCAACCAGAATCAAATTTATAAACCCAATTTCTGTCGAAAAAGGAAAAAAAAAAAAAAGAGAAAACTCCAATAAGTCACAAAGTCTCCAAGAAAATGTGTTCAAAATGTGAATAAAAGCGCCGGAATTTCTTTCAAAAGCGCCGGAATTTCCTGGACCATCGCTTTCCGAAGTGTGGACACAATTTTCAACTTTTGCATGGAGGAAATTGTCTCTCTCTCTGTTTCTTCATTCTTATTTCACTTTTTTTTGATGGCTGAAGGGTATTCAGTGGGTACTTTTGAGAGTGGTTGAGCCTCCTCTTGCAGTATTTCTCTTCCCTTTTCCCGTTAAATCTCCCGCTGTGGTACCTTCTCGTTCACCTGAAAAGGATTCGAAAAGCATTTATGGATTCAAATTTGAACTTGACAAAGGTGAGGGTTAGAAGAAGTGAAATGAAAAAAAGAATTCACTGCGAGAAAAACAATGGTTGAAGTAAAGCACAAGAAGGCAAAGTTAAAGAAAGTAAAGCACAAGAAGGCAAAGTTAAAGAAAGCAAAACTTTTTCAAAGTGATTTTTGTATTTAAGAGTTCAATGTGAAAATTGACTGAAACAGGTGCTGAAACGCAAAACTAGAATTGCAAATTGATTAGAGTTTTTTTCCTGGGTGAATTTCTGGGTGAAAACTTTTGAGAGTAAGATCGCATGTAGAGAATTGAGAATGAAATGTCCTGGGTGAATAGCGGCGATGATGGAGAAAATATCGGAAACCCAACCTCTCTCAAGCGGTGAGCGCTCTACTCCTTTTTTTTGAGGCAGAATTTTTGAGCACCAGTCCATCACGAGTACTTTTATACACAAATGGAAACGGGCTGTTGTTGCAATTGTTGAAAATTTTCTTAAAAAAATAGATGTAAACTTAGATTGAAGTGTCATCAAGTTGAGTTGAATCGTCACTTTTGCTACGGGTACGGTAGCTCTTTGAGAGACAGACTTAAGACAGACTTAAGACAGACGTAACCGAGTACGGTAGCCCTTTGAGAGACATACTTAAGACAGACGTAGCCGGGTACGGTAGCTCTTCGAGAGACAGACTTAAGACAGACGTAACCGAGTACGGTAGCTCTTCGAGAGACAGACTTAATACAGATGTAACAGGGTACGGTAGCCTTTTGAGAGACAGACTTAAGACAGACGTAACCGGGTACGGTAGCTTTTTGAGAGACAGACAGACGTAACCGGATACGGTACCTTTTCTAAAGCTTTTCCTTCTTTTTTAAACTTATTAGCACCAAATTTTGACGTGAAAACTGTCGCCCTAACTTTAGAGTTAAATTTTTCAATCAGAATACGATAGTTTTTCTTAGAAACTAAAAGTCAATTCAATGTTTAAATTTCTTTTTCAAATAACTTCCCTAAAATGTTGCTGCTATGAAAAGACGAGAAATCTAAACAATTTATTTGACGAGGAGAAAAAAAAAGAAAAAACGCGTTCACAGTTTACAAGTGGGCCACAAGTCGATAATAAATGCTCTCATTTTCACACATTATTAGCCTCCATTTCATCAATTTCATTTCTAAATATAATATTCAATTTTCAGTAAAGATGAAGGGTCTCTTTTTGTGTCTTCTCATCGCTGCATCATTCTCTTTGTCAATCGCGTGTGCTCGTTTTCAAAAACACGCGAATCTCTTCTGTAAATTTGACAAAGAAGCTAAGCCATGTCTTCAGAAAAACGGTAATCAATTATTGAAAAGGCTTTAGAAAAGGTACCGTACCCGGTTACGTCTGTCTGTCTCCCAAAGAGCTACTGTACTCGGTTACGTCTGTCTGTCTCCCAAAGAGCTACCGTACTCGGTTACGTCAAAAAGTTAGAATCTCCAGAAAAAGAGGAAAATATTTGAAAGCATTGCTTACACTAAGCTTTCAACCAATAAAAGTACTGATTGGGTACTAATTGGATACTGTTTGGTTACTGATTGGTTATTGATTGGGTACTGATTAGTTACTGTTTGGCTATTGATTGGTTACTGATTGGTTACTGATTGGGTACTGATTAGTTACTGTTTGGCTACTGATTGGCTATTGATTGGCTATTGATTGGTTACTGATTGGGTACTGATTGGGTACTGTTTGGTTACTGTTATGGCTACTGTTATGGCTACTGTTTGGCTACTGATTCACTACTGATTGGCTATTGATTGGGTACTGATTAGTTACTGTTTGGCTACTGATTGGCTATTGATTGGGTACTGATTGGGTACTTTAAACTTTAATTGGTTGGTTGGTTTCAACCAATTTCAACCAACTTTAATTCAAAATCTAAACTAAACTTTACAATATTTTGTAAAGTTTCCAAGGAGAAAGTAATCCCTTGAAGTTACGAGAAAAAAAATCAAAATCAACAAACAAAATTTTTTTTAGTGGCTAGCGAGGAGCGTATCTGTTGTGGAAAAGCGGGTGGATGCTCACTTCAAGAATTCAACAAGGTATCTTAAAAAATGTTGAATTTTTAACGTCTTAAACCTCATCTTCTATCTTCTACCACAATTTTTTCTAGGAGAGAGTCTGCTGTTTCACTCAAGATTGTCTCGATCGATGCTACCCGGGAAAAGGACATAAAATGGGAAACGTTTACTAAAATTATATCAATAAAATATCAATTAAATGTCAATTAAATATCAATTAAATTTTAGCACTGTAAGATCTAGTTTATTTAAACATTATCTTTTTTTTTCTGTGCTTTCCATGTGGCGCTTAAACAAACGGCGAAATGACGTATAGGGATTTTCACGGCGTCGAAGCGCTGAGTGGTGATTAAAAAGAACGGAAGACTGCATATGGAGATGAAAAGAAAGAGAAAAGAAATGGAAATGGAAAAGAAAGAAAAGAGCCGATCGAGAGCTGATCAAATGATGAGACAGCGGCGCGGAAATCGCGGCTACAGAGGGTGACACTTTCATTCAACTCTTTCTCTCTTTCCATCTCCTCCATCGTTTTCCCGGGAGGTCTTCCGACAACATTTGTGACCACACACGTGCCAACAATTTCCCGAAATTGTACATAGATCTTTTGGCTGGTTTGAGACTTGAGATTTGAGATTAAAGGCTTCTTTAAAAATTTGAGATTAAAGGCTTCGAGTAGTTTCTGGTTGGCTGCTGGCTATGAGTTAATTCTCGAACTTGAGAAAAACTGATTGGCTATTGTTTGGGTACTGATTGGTTACTGATTGGCTATTGATTGGCTATTGATTGGCTATTGATTGGCTACTGATTGGTTACTGATTGGGTACTGATTGGGTACTGTTTGGTTACTGTTTGGTTACTGTTATGGCTACTGTTTGGCTACTGATTGACTACTGATTGGCTATTGATTGGCTACAGATTAGTTACTGTTTGGCTACTGTTTGGCTACTGATTGGGTACTGATTGGCTATTGATTAGCTACTGATTAGCTTTACTGATTGATATTTTAATTTAAAAACTCAGAGAACTTAAGTTTAAAGAAAATCCACAAGATTTTTCACAAAACCAAGAAAGTCAAAATTTTCTGAATTTTCTGTTTCTCTTCAAAACTGCTGATAGAAATTGGCACTCAAAACTGTCAAAATCTCAATGAATTACTTGAAATAATGAAAGAAATTTGATTTCAAATGAATGATTTGTTTAAGCAATAGTTAAACTATTGAAAAGCAGGGTATTAAAAGTAGAATAGGTCCAGAACTTGTTGCATACTGTAAAGTTACAAAATCTTACTACTTCTCCCTAGAAAAGTTACAAAATCTTATGACTTGTTCTCTGCTTTTCACTTAAAATTGAATAAAGACGTGATAAGAATTTGCAACGGGAATGGTTGTTTTTGAGTGCGCGAGAAAGCGTGAATCGGTGAAAAAGGAGGAAAGACGGAGAGAAGCCACAAATGCAGGTGCCAGAAATGCCAAAACGGTCCCGCCCTCTTCACGGAAGTCGGCCCAATCTTCCCATCTAGGCACCTTTCCTCTTTTCATCTCATCTCACTACTGATTAATTCCGTTTTCTACACTATCAATGAGAAAAGATTATGGATCATCAACAACTTTCTTTTTTTCGTTTTTCTTTTCACTCATCTCAACGATGATTGCACAAAATAATATGGTAAAGCTGATTAATGGAAAATTGAAATATTTAATCTTTTATCTTTTAGTTTTTTGATAAATCGTTGCCTGATGTCGAGACATCGTTAAATGATCAAGATTTTATGGTAAACCTTTCGATTTATCATAAACCTTTAGAAATAAGTGAACTCTAGTTGGCAAGAATTTCAAGAGATGCAGCTGACGGAGAATTTTGGGCTAGCAAATCTCGAGTCAACGATTCAGCAATGTACAATAAAGATCGTTTTGAGGGAGATATCAGTGAGTACAAGGGAAATACAGAAAAATCAAAGAATTTAGTGACAATTCGTAAAAGAAAACGTAAGTTAGACGTTGTCTTGGGTTTTGTATTGAAAAGAATGAAAACTACAAAAACTAAAACTAGAAACTAAAAACTCAAAAAAAAAAACCTTCTGACCTTTTAGTTAATAGCGGTTTAAACCCACGAACGGTGAGCGCTTTCATGGGACAAGCGAGAATGCCGGGAGTCATGAGAAATGCCGTTCGACAGACGTATCTCAAATGGACTGATGGTGTTTTTGAATTTCTTATAGAAAGTTATGCTTTTCAATTACAGGACGAATCCCATACACAATCAGCTCACAGTACTCGTCTTTCAGGTGAAATGAGAAAAAGAAAACAAATCAATGTGACTTGTCGTGTTTATCTTGAAAATCTAGTCGCTCGAAAATCGCCGAAGCTATCGAAGAGTACCGAAAACTGACGTGTATCGATTTTGCGCCTAAATCCGCCGCCGATCAAGACTATATTCATATTGTGCCCGACGATGGTTGCTATTCGCTGGTCGGAAGGATTGGTAATGAAAGAGAAAGCTTTGAATTGATTTGAAATTGATTTGGAAGGATTTGAAATGATTTGAAATGATTTTAAGTGATTTGAAATGATTTTGAATTGATTTGAAAAATTGATTTCAGTTCTCAATCGGCTCCGATTCAGTTCTCAATCGGCTCCGATTCAGTTCTCAATCGGCTCCGATCCAGTTCTCAATCGGCTCCGATTCAGTTCTCAATCGGCTCCGATTCAGTTCTCAATCGGCTCCGATCCAGTTCTCAATCGGCTCCGATTCAGTTCTCAATCGATTCCGATTCGGTTTGAAATAATTTCAAATCCTTCAAATTCTTCAAACCCTTCAAATCTTTCAAATAATTTCAAATCATTTGAAAAGGAAGCCAAATTTCTCAGGGGGGAAACAGCCGGTGAGCCTGGGCGATGGATGCATCCAAAAAGGGATCATCATTCACGAGCTCATGCACGCCGTCGGCTTTTTCCACGAGCAGAGTGAGTCAAATTTTCACCTTTTTCTTTCAAAATCACCCTAGAATTGTTAGCTTTATCGTTTTTTTTGTTTTTTAAGCTTTTTATATTGTTTCACTAACGCAAAAAAAAGAAAGAAAGAAAATGGTCGCACAGCAACGCTCAACAAACATAACGTCTGCCGCAATCGACCTTCAAAAAGGACTGAAAAATATAATGCAAAATGAAAAAACAATCCTTAGCTACTGGGATTTTGAATTTTGAATGAAAAATGTATAAGTTTTTGAGAAATCTATGAATTCAATGATTCCAGGTCGTGCCGATCGAGATGACTATGTGACGATCAATTGGAGTAATGTTGAATCAGGATTACAGGGTAGGGATGCAATAATTTGTGACTTTTTGACAGTTGACAGTTGACAGCTGACTTCAATAAAACAATTCCGACAAAAGTAGAGCAAAAGTCTTTAGATCAATTCGATAAATACTCTCTGAACATGATCGATCACCTCGGCACCAAGTACGACTATGGAAGTGTGATGCATTACGCGCCGACAGCATTCAGCAAAGTAGCTTTTTTTTCTGATCACTCTAGCAGTTGATGTATCGCAAAAATCTCAGAACGGAAAATCGACAATCGAGCCGAAAGAGTCGGGAGTCGAGATCGGGCAACGGATTGGTTTCTCGGAAATCGACGTCTTTAAAATCAACAAACTTTACGATTGTCCACAACTTTGTGAGTAAAGCAAGCCAGCCATACATTTTCGTTTTTTGATGACTCACTGATTTTTAGCTTAAACTTAAACTACCATTTGAAAAGATTTCACTTTTCAGCAACAACCACCGAAGCAATCCCTTCATCAACCCTTCGAATGCGCACAAAGAAACCCTCATTGACTAAAGAAAATCTCGGTAAAAGAATAAAAAAACCCCCTAATAAATACAATAAAACTCATTAATAATAATAATATAGGAATTATGGGTCCAATTGGTGGTTCGTCAGCGATTTCAAGTGGAACAAGTGGAACTGGGAGTCAAGGAATGGTTCCAAGACCATCCATCATTCCACATAAGCCAGAAGAGAGTGGGTGTCGAGATAGAAGACGGTGAGTTGATTGATCTCTGCCTGAGGTCTATGCCTGAATTGAAATATTTCCTCTTTCTAGTGATTGTCAATATTTGGCAGCAGCGGGTCATTGTGAGAATCGTTTGTCGATTCGTTTCATGACGGAGAACTGTCAAAAAAGTTGTGGAAAGTGTCCAAAAGAAGAAACGGGGAATGAAGAGACAAGTGTTGAAGCGGTTAGTTACAGTATTTACCGTAAAAAAAGAAATCAAGTTTCACAAAAAAAAAATGTGCAAGTGATAGATTTGTTTGTTTTAGTGTAGCGATTCGCGTTCTTGGTGTTCTAGATGGGCCACATCAGGTATGTGTCAACAACCAATTTTCGAGGACTATATGCGAAGCAAATGTCGAAAGAGTTGCAATTTGTGTTAATTTCAAATCATTTTTTTCTTTTTCACACATTACCTTCACGAAAATACGGGCCATTATTTTCACTGATGCATCGTCGAGCTTTGCTCAACTTTTCCCTATTTTGCTCAAGAAAACTGTATAGATGACTTTCACAAAATTTAATGAAGATTTTTATTCGTTTTTCGGGAATGTTGAATGGCAAGTTTAAGAGAATAATATAAAGAATCAAACACAGCACGCACAGCACACAATAACTGCATTTACAATATGTACAAACGTTGATAAAAGGAAGGCAATTTCTGGGACCCGAATGAAAATTTCATGAGAAAATCGAGGAAGCGAGCACACAAACGAATCGGGGAAATCAGGCAGAAATACAAAAAAAAAGACTAGATGATTTTAAACCCTGTTTGAGCATACCAAGAATCATCAATAGAACTACAAGCGAATAACAACAATAACAAATCGCTCTTTAAATTTGAAAAAAAAATAGAAGTATATAATTATAAACTTCTGGAGCGATTTGCTATTTCACATCTATAAACACTAAAGCTATACTAATTTCATTGCTCTTTTGGTCCCTGAGATTCGACAGCGTCGTTATTTGGCACTAAAATCCAAGTTTTACATAGAAAAACCTCAATATGCTGACCTTGGCTTGGGGCTTCATTTTTTTTCTTCTGGAATTGAGCGGTAAGGTTGCACACTTGAAAAGTTTTTTTTTCTTCTTCATCAACCTGAAAAAAGAAAGTCAACACTTGGAACGAAAACGCAAACCTTTTCCAACAAATCCTGTAATTCCTTTGTGGGGTAATCATCCAAGAAACCGTAGCTGCTTTCTATCTCCTCTTCCATTCTAAAATGGTAAGTTAATCTAAAATTCCGAAATATTACCTACTTTGCAACAGTCTTTCCCAAAGCCTCCATCTCATCGGCTAGTTTCTTTTGCTCTAGCTCCAGCTTTTCCAGATGACTCAACGATTGTTCCATAGAGGCGATGGCCTAAAATCATACCGTGAACTCCTTCTTTCACTTTTCATTAACCTCAATTATGTGTAATTCAAATTTCGATTTCAAATGAGAGCCAGTGATTTACCTGATTACATCCACAATTGGCAGCTGATGGCGGCGGTTGAATTTGCCCACTAGTGTAAGCCTCAAATTCGGTCTGCGCCATTTTCAGCGAGTCATGGTTCATGTCTTGTACGAATTGAAGCGCACAGGAAAGGTTTGTGAAGAAATAACCTAAAAATTAGCATTGCTTACATATAAAATGCAGTTAAAGTTGGCTCATTAATACTATTTGAAACAAATCTAAACAAATCGTACCCGATTCGCCACTCATAATACGATGTGGAAGAGCATATCGTGAAATGTATTTGACATTGGACATCAACAATGGTGGGTTTCCCTGAAAGTGAAAGACATTAAGATAAATGGGAAAACAAGCGACAAACCTTTAGCAGAATGTAAATCAAAACTGGCAGAAACTCGTCTGCAGATGTTGGAGCTGCTAAAAATAAACATGTCATATAAAAAGGGTGCCAAAACTTACCACTGTTTCGAAGTGCATCGAAGATTCGATGGCAACATCGCACTATGCAACCGAGTTTCTCATCGATTTTTCGTGGCGAGTTGATCGATAGACATTCCGTAAGTGCCTCATCCAAGCTATCACGAACCTACAAATTAACATATACCAATTGAGCAAGATGCGTTTTTACCGCTGCACGTTTAAAGTCGAGCTTCGTCTCCAAAAAACCAGCCGTCACCCAATTGAGACTGCGAATGCGTTCTTGCAGTGAAAGATCACCAACTTCTTCGTCGGCTCTAAATAAAAAACAAATAGATAAGTTTGAAATATTCCTTACTATCATATTATCAATCGAGAAAAAGCTTACGTTGGACAGAATAGTCGATTGTACGTCACTACCGAAAGATATCGCTCTACTTCTTCCATCACACTTTGTACTTCCACCGACTCTAAAGAAAATTTGAATACAAAAACATTCATTCTTCATTCTTTAATAATACCTTGATTTTGAAAAAACTTGTTGTGATTTAGACGATCGTTGAGGTGTTGATAGAAATTTTGAACCAATTCCGACATATCATCAGCAGCAATGTCAAACTAAATAATAGATTTGCTGATGGGATAAAATCTATTATCAACCTCATGTATTTTATGCTCAGCAAATTTCGTCATCTTCGTAACTTCTTGCACGACTGGCGTGGGAACATTTCCGACAAGCCAATCCGTGAAGGCAACTCGGGCAGAAGAAGAATCCGGAGAAAGAGCTCGACCATGCCTAAAATATTTTGTAGTACAAATTCTGTGTTATCTATTTTATAGTTTTTACAAATTTTTACCTTGATGGTGTTCCATTAGGTGATGCCCGCAACTCGCTTGTCGATTCGGCTAAAGCAAAGAAATAAAAATTGAAACCAAAAAGGAGAAGAACAACTAAATAGTTAAAAAAACAAACTCACAAGAAGTGAACATCGAGGGTGATTTCTTGATGATATTCCGAAGCGTGAGGCTTCGACTATCCGAAGATAGCTTCCTCTTCTCCTCAAATCGATCAAACGCGAGAAGCGTCCTGAAAATTGTAGTGTTAAAGTAGGAACAAGAAAAAAAATACCATATTTGATAATATTATCCAAACATTAGCTTCACCTTTCAAAATGTTCGGTCCTCTTAAACTTCATTCTTACGCTATTCACCAACTTTCGACAGCACTTGAGGCTAGATTTAAAACATTGGATTGATCAAAAAAGAGAAAAGCTTCCATGTTTGAGCAAATGACAACTTTTCTCGCATCTTCACCAACCCATCAGAAAGAATTTTGCAGATAAACCGCCAGCAACCGCGAAAACACATGTCTGGCAATCATTCGCAAAAATTTAGAAACGATTACAGGTTGGGAAGATAAGAAATGTGAATTGTCCAAATCAAGCTAAGACGGCTACTCGAGAACGCCTTAGGCATTTCTCCTTACAATTCACACCTGCTGACCTCTAGGGATTTTCAATGGGGAAATTAGCGCCAATTCTTGCCGTCCAATGAGCTGACAAGAAATCTCTACCTACGGTCATGTTATTGATAGCATAAAGTTGATGTTTTCTATTCAAAACCTTATTACGACTAATGATTAAATCATTTTTACTTGATAATCTCAGAAAACAGCGTAAGAATGAAGGCAAGGACCAAACTATATGCAACTATATGCATAATGCCATTAAAATTTACCCAGATTTTTCTTGGTTTCTGCCTCAAAAACTATTTAAAAGATAAATTTACCGATTCCGAGCATAATCGATGTTGCGTTTCTCGGCAATTTGATGAGCCCGCCAGCACTTCGAACAGCGATTTCCCCATTGGGGTGTCCCGTAAAAGCCGCATCCATTAATGCATAGCTAAAATTAATAAAAATTCTTGTTTAAACAATAAAATATTACTCACCAAATCTTTCTCGTTGATTTGTACTCGCAATTTCCGGTCCTCTTCGAGAAGGTCGCTTTCTGAAGTAGACATCGAAAGCTCTAAAATATTCAAAAGCATTAAAGATGTTATCGATGAAAAGAAAACAGAAAAAATTGAATGAAAGAGATGTTGTTTGATTTTTTTTTGTTGACATTGTGAGATGTGAGAAGGGAAAGGGCAATCAACACAAAAATCTTGTGTATTTGAGCTGACGATGGATACTCTATACGAGCCGGCGTTTTTCGTCGTTCTTTGTAGTCCTCACCCTCACTCTCCCCTCGATCTCTTTAATTGCTTCTAATAATAAAACTATCGATCGTTTACGTTACTCAATTTATACAAATTACACTATTAATGCTTCTATTTTTCTATCAAAAATCTTATGCTTAACTAGCATTTAAAATAAAAGCACAACAAAATGCGTAAACAGATTTAGATAAGAACTTTTTATGGAAAGCGAGGGTTTAACCAATGAACAACCGTCAACTTCGTATAATGGTGGTAATAGTGAATCAGAATTTGCTGGTTAAACAATTTCTTTAGACGAACATGTAAATAATTGGGGTTCGCTGGGAAATTCCCACGACAACGAACACTCGTCGATTCCCATAGCGGAGATTTGTCCTACTTTTGAGGAAGAGATCTTCCCATACAAGAAGCAAAGACCAGAGAGAGCTGGGGAGGTAAAAAGGAATAATTTTTAAAAATTAAAATATTTTCAGACTCAATCTCAACAAGGCTCTCAATCGACACGACATGATTCTCGGGAAGACGATAATTTTGTGGTAAACTATTGAAAAAGTAAAAATCATGAAAATGTAATAGGCTGAAGACGATGCTGAAGGAATTGGACCAACTTTCCCCCCAACAGATGCATTCGGTTTCATTCGAAAGCCGGAACAGATAGACAAGTAAGCCTTAACCGATTTGAAAATGAATTAATATTAGTGAAAAATTTTGGGCACTTTAGCAATCGACCACGCATTGACATGCCGACTTTACATCGAAGGGAAAAAAAGTGGATTGAGATGCTGGAGAATTGGCGATATTACATGGATGATAAGTGAGTCGATTTTGAATTTAATCTAATTAATCGATTCATCGATTAATTCCAAACACATCTAAACTACAAATCAATTTAGATTTGATAAAGTTCGATCACGTTGCCGAAAAGGAATCCCTCCCGCGTTGAGAGGAAGAGCTTGGAAATATTTATCTGGAGCAGCATATCAGATGGAAGTCTCCAATAATCAATACGTGTTTGATGTGAGTAAAAACGGTCAGAAAATTTACGACATGATTTAGTACCTTCAAAGACAACCAGGAGATCCAAAATTTGTCGATGAGATCATGAAAGATTTGAATCGACAATTTCCGGAACATGAGCTCTTCGCAAGAACTGGGAAATATGCACAAGGGGGGTGAGTAATAACAAATAAATATCTAAATTCATGATAATCTAGAAAAGAAGATCTTTTCGAACTACTGAAGTGTTGGACTGTTTTACATCCAGAAGAGGGTTATTGCCAAGGACAGGTACACAACCCAATGCTTCTTTAATATCGAATTCCAGGCTCCGGTTGCCTCTGTTCTTCTCATGCATATGCCGCTTAAGGACGCATTTTATTGCTTTGTTCAAGTTTGCCATAAATATCTTCAAGGATATTATAGTGCTGGATTGGTTTGTGTTAAATGAAAAAAAAATCTTATCTTTAATTGATAGGAAGCTGTTCAAATCGATGGAGATATTCTCAATCAATTACTCAAAGAAAAGTCAAAAAACAGCTACCGTCATTTGGTGAGAAAGATCAAGCATTCAAAAATCAGAAATGAAATCCAGAAGAAAAATCACGTTGAGCCGGTGTTGTACATGATCGAATGGTTCATGTGTGTTTATTGCCGTTCTTTGCCTTGGCCCACTGTGCTCCGCATTTGGGATATGTTCTTTTGCGAAGGTTTAAACATTGAAAAGTCGAAAAGACACACAATTTTCAGGTGTCAAGATACTCTTCAAAGTGGCTATTGTCATTCTTCGTGGAGTTCTCGGCACAAATGATCAGGTTTTTCAAATAGAGATCTTACTCTTTCAAAGATCCTTCCAGTGCAAAGCTCATCCCGATTTACATTCAATTGTCATCGGCTTGAAAAACTTGCCTAATCAAGTGACAAATGAAGATACGTTAGTCAAAAAGGTACCAGAGTGTTGAAAATATGAGAAACTGAAACGATTTCAGGTTTGTGAATTGGAAATCGACGATGTGGCAATGGAGAGATTGCACTATCAAGCAATGAAACTACGTCAAATGCGTCAAAATGGAAAAAGAAACTTTTAGATTTTGTTTTAGATTCTTAATAATCTTTATTTATTCTATCGCCTTTATGCCAGGCTTTGTGATATCATACCTCTTCTCTTGCGTGACCCGGAGTCAGAAATTTGAATTTAAATGCCAAAACCTTTTCTCATAAGCTATCAAAATTAGCTATCAAACAAAAATTCAAACAAATTTTTCAAAAATTGTCAAAACGAACATTTCTTGCCTTCGGGTCTTCTATTGCTCTTGTGTGTTTTCTGCTTTGATTGGTGCTTCAGATTAATCTTAATTTATTTTTACCCACTATTTGTACAAAAATCCCATATCAAAGAAAAAAAACGATTGGAATGATCTATTTGAGAGCTTCTTGTATGATTTTGTCGAGAGTTCCCTCTCGTTGAAGGCGAATTGTATCATCGCAACCACCAATAAAGTTTCCATTGATAAAAACCTGAAATACATGAGATTATGGAATTTGTTTGGGTAAAAGTTAGAATTTGAGAACAGAATGAGCTTCAGTCATTACCCTTGGAACAGAACGTGCTCCTGTCATTTGAAGAAGTTCATCGAGAATCTTTTCCCCAGGAAGATCGTTTCTTTCGTCTAACTCGACGTATTCAAAAGAGTCCACGGAAAGTCTATACGTTGCAAGAGCTGCTTTCACTTTTCTAAAATCTTTTCCATTTTTTCAAATTGCTTTTCAACTCACCGGCAAAAGGGGCACCACGTCTTGCTGAAAACAACGATCGGCTTGCTAGCAATGAATCTGAAAGAAATAAATGATTTACTCTACAAATGATCTTTGTCAGCTCGCAAATGCTATTTACCTTGCAATGATTTCTTTTGGCGTTTCCTCCTTCGCAGCTGGGAAGACTTTCTTGACCGAATGCGAGCCGACCGCGTGTTTGTATACAGATTCCTTTTCCTCTTCCTGAAAATCGTTCAAAATCAGAAATTTTCGTTCTTTTCACTGTTTAAACTAAATTAAACCGAAAAATTGATGCAGAAAATTGGCAAAATTTTTTTTAAAGCTCAGCCTATTTATACTATTTTTAACCCAAAGGTATGACAAGATACGACAAAAATTTTGGGTATAAATACTACGCACCTTTTTCATTTTCTCAAGTTTCTCCTTTTTTTTTTCTTCTTCCTTCAATTTTTGCTCGGCGGCCACTCTTTCGTATTCTTGTTGTTGTCGTTCGCGCGCTTGTCGTACCTTGTCCGCCACTTTATCATCGACGCTTTTATCTGAAAAAAATCTTACTTCGATTCCCCTGCAAATTTACCGAATTTCTTTCGTTCTTCCAACTCTTTCTCATTGTTCAACTGCTCAAGATAGGGAGCAACGTATTTCTTGTGAAAAAAATATGCAGAACAGATCCCAAAAACAATTACCCATCCAAAGGGACTAAACACTATGTCGTAAACTAAAAATTTTTTACGATCAATTTACTATTAAATAAACTTACATATTTGAAAGACCATGGTTTGTCTACATCTAACTGTGTTTTTGAGTAGCCCTTATGCTGATCCGATTATTCTCCATTGCATTACTTTCGACGGAACTTCATATGCTTTATTGAACTTTGTCATTTCAAGATTAAAGAGGGCAAACTTCCCAAAGCTTTCTCTTGAACTTATTTTTCCTTCTTCCGAGATTTTTATAAAACAACTTTTGAAATTTAGATGACGAATTCTCAGCTGGTTGTGGAGGAGCCGATCACTCATGTGATTTTCGATTTCGATGGACTTTTGGTAAACTTTATGATTTCTTACTTAAAGTTTGTTTTGATTTTAGGTGGACACCGAACCGAATTACACCTTTGCGAATAACATGATGCTGAATCGCTTTGGAAAGGATTTTACAGTGGAACTAAAGAAAGGTGAGTTTGTTTTTGATTATTTATTTACCTCGCTGACCAAGAGTTTAGGGCAAATGGGTAAAAAACATGACGAGTCAATTGAATGGTTGTTGGAACAGGTTTCTTTTGGCCCTTCTCATTATATAAATCTTTCTTTAGACGGGTTTAACGGGAAAAATTACGATCGAGGATTATTCGAAAGATTATGACGCATGCCTCTTCGAATTGCACACAAAGTCACCAGCAAAACCAGGGGCTGAGAAACTTGTTCGACATTTTATAGATCACGGTAATTTAAAAAATAATTTTGAAATAATGAAATTCATTTGCAGGAATTCCTACTGCAATTTGCACAGGCTCAGATACAAAGGATTTTCCGATTAAGAGTGCGAATCATAAGCATTGGATCGATCTTATACCACTGCAAGTGAGTTTAATGTTTTTTGTGTCATTCAAAATTCCTATTTAGGTTTTAACTGGCGATGATCCGATGGTTAAGCGAGGAAAACCGTTCCCGGATGGTTTTTTGGAAACAATGAAAAGGTTAATATCCATGTGTCAACCAGAAACCGTGTATATGTTACTATTTAGATTTGAGAGTCCACCGAAGTCCGCGAGAAATATTTTGGTGTTTGAAGATGCGCCAAATGGTGTCAAGGTTCGTTTTGTTTTGAACGATTAAGTGATTTAACTGAACTTTAAATTTAATTTGATTTAACTTTGATTCTAGGCGGCACTTGCAGCGGGAATGCATTGTATAATGGTGCCCGATCCACTTTGGCGTCCCGAACCCGAGTTTGCAGCACAAATCACGCAGGTTTGTACAATTTTATGGATAACTGTTTTTGTGTACACGTTTTTACATTCATAAAACATAAACTGAACCGGACCAAATATCATATTTTTACGGGTAACTAAATAAAAGACTTGTATTTTATTTATTTACCTTTTTATGATTTTATTTTTAGGTTTTGGATTCACTGGAACATTTTGTGCCTTGTCACTTTGGACTACCGAAATTTTCGATCTGAATAGAAATTGATTGGTCTTTAGTTGTTAGTTTTTTATATTTTTACGGGTGAATAAATTGTTGGATTTAAAAGCTCATGTCTGTTTTTGATGGTTTAAACCATTGTTATTGAAGTATTTATCACCGATTTTATTTTGTAGTTTATCGGTGTTTGATTTAGGGCATGTCATTAGCTACTTGGCGATTGGATGCGGGTACGGCGTCTCGTTCGGCTAGAACGGCGGACAGTCAAAGTTACTTCCCTCCCGGCTTTTCACCAATCGGTCAAGCAATGCAACAAAATGTGGAAGCTGAGGTAGAGCCACTATTTATTTAGAAATTCTTTAATAATTTATTTTTGTTATAAGTTTTGTTGCACTCTGATCTATTTTAGGCGGCTGCAGATCAACAAGAGCACTTGATGCGAAAACGTGCTTGGGACGTAGCAATGGGACCGGCTAAAAGGTTTATCTTTAATAATATTTACTTTTAACTTTTGTTTGTCTTTAGTTTGCCTATGAACATGTTTATGATGTATATGGCTGGACGTTCGATTTCGATTTTTCCTATAATGATGGTTGCAATGATGTTATGGCGTCCACTTAAGGTGATTTTGCAACAAGCTTTTATTGATAACTTTCATTTAGACGATGTTTTCTGTAAATAGCACTTTTAAACCGCTACAAGACGATAAAACTGGTTCATTGATTTTGCACAAGGTTTGGAAATTTGGTCTGTCGTGTTCTTAATATTATACTTTTTAGATTTTATTTGTTCTTGGAAATTTTGGCGTTGTAGCTCTCGCAATATATAAGGTTTGAATTTTATTATTGAATTAGTAAAGGGTTCATTCAATTCAGGTTCATTCAATGGGATTACTGCCTAATTATGATTCTGATTGGCTCGAATTTATTCCGGAAGCCCAGCGAGGTAGTTTTTCGCTTTCAAATGGAGATATTTTTATCTAATGTCTTGGCTTGTTGATTGTGATATAATTTCCAAATCTATCCTATCATCTAATGTGTTTATGGTTGTGTTATTTTTGTCATGATGTCTAGGTTTCTTTAAAACTCTTTCAATACTAAAGGATTATAATTTAGGAGAATGCATAGTTAATCTAATTTTAAGATTCCTGGTACCAATGTCTTTTCCTGTTTGCTTGTTCTTTTGTCGATAATAAAAATTGATAGTCAAACAATTCGTAAACTTTGTAGGTCTGGAGAGACAAATCGCCCTGAAAAGTAAAATTGCTAAACAAAAATGGAAATTTGATACAAATCATTTCAACTCAGCGACTAATCGGTGCGCTGCAATTTGGATAAACACGGGATAAGCGCTAGTGGGAGGAGAGACTATGCAGCGAGAGCCACTTTTCGGACGTGAGGGTCAAATATTTACTCGTCACATCGCAAATCAGTCCCATAATCGGGTGGACTTACAGAGTGAGGGGCGGGTCATGACGAGGACATCTTTCCCTTAAAGCACACTCAATTTGCATAGACTATAGTGTCATCTTTGGTTGACGTAATGACCCGGCGCTGATATTTAATTCACCAACTCCACCATTTGAAACCCCCCGAGAGTTTGGCTTCTTTTTTTTGGTTTGCGATTTCGTAAAGTTTAGTCGTTTATATATCAACTTGTCGATATATATTCAGAATTTCGAAAAAACAAAATGTTAGAAGTGTTCGTCGAGTTGAGTTTCCGCCGTTCCGCGTTCACTTTGTGCTCCTCTAGCTCTTCTCAGCCTTTCCCTTCACCCTCAAGGGGGCTATAGTCGAAAAGCCGAATTTAGATAGGAAAAAGGGAGCCCGAATAGACAATGTTTCGTGAGGGATGCCTCATATATTTCTCTTCGTTTCTTTAACCCTTTTTGGTCCCTTGCCCTCTTCTTTCCCCTCCTTTTTTTTACCCCTTTCCATGCTTCTCCCTCCACTTTTTTTGGCTGGCAAGTCGCCGTTTTTTTGCCTAGTTGAGCTCTCCCCCTTTTTTGGGGGTGAAGAAGAAAGAAAGAAAGAAAAGGAAGAAAGAAAGAAGCTTTCTCTGGGGGAGAACAACCAAATTGAATGCACATCTTCTGCTCAGCTTTTCCCGTTCATTATAATGGACCAACTTTTCATTTTCACTTCACTTACCCAGTCAACCAAAAAAAAATGGTTCTAAGCTTTTAATAACCAGTTTGAGCGATTGCACTCAAAGTTTTCTTGAAGGTTTTTAAGAAGAGCTTTTCCTTATTTAGATTCTTAATTTTAAAGTGAAATTTTTTGATGAACTTTAAACTTATCCGGACGCGTATCCGGACACCATCCAAAATAGAGATTCGATTTTCATTCTTATACAACAATACAATGAAAGTCAAAAGATTTAAGTCAAAAAAAATCTAAGTGAAATTTTTTGATGAACTTTAAACTTAGATTTTTTTTTGACTTAAATTGTATTGTATATAGACTTTCAATTGTATTGTTGTATAAGAATGAAAATCGAATCTCTATTTTGGATGGTGTCCGGATACGCGTCGGCACGACTCTCATGATTAGTACAATGGAAGTCGAGACTCCATTTTTTTTTTTTGAGGCATTTGAGGCAACGAGAAGCATTGCTGATTCGAGAAGATCGAAAAGGGTCGACTAAAGGAGAAAGAGACTGACTGGAGAACTGGAGAAAGGCACTGCTCTGCACTAGTAGCACGAAATTTGAGGATTCGACGAGTCCCAGCTTGGCCTCTTTTTCTTCTCAATTTTTCAACACTGGTCACTCCTTTCCCTCGGTTTTTTTCTTGTTGCGCCGAGAGTGGACTTCCATTTTTTTTTGTCGATGAATTCATTTCGCGACAGAAAAACAGCGCAGCTTTTTTTTTACAAACGTCTGAGATGTCAGTCTATCGAAATGAGCTATGAAATTTCAAGCTAGTTTACTAGTTCTTTTTTGATAGCTTTTGATAGCTTAAAATATAATTATTCAAATTTTAAAGCAATAAGTACTTTGAGAACTTTTAGAAATAAACTTCTCTTGATTAAGTGAAAGTCCCCTCAAAACTGAGCCCGTTATTTTTGAGATCAAGAAAAGAAGTTCAGACTGGAGGGTTTCTTCCCTCGTTTTCTTTTTCTTCCCAAAATGAACCGACTTTTCTTTTCCTTTTCGAGACAGCCGTTTTTTTTTGCCTTTCCAAGGCTGAGGGAGAGGGATGCTTCTTTTTTTCTTTGGTCCTCTGGTTGGTCGTCGTGCCGATTGCGAGTGCCGTCCCCCATCCCCCTCTTAACCCTTTCTAAATTTCTTTCTAAAGCCTACATCAAATCCTTTAGGTTATCAAAGTTTAAGCATCACTTTCCTTTTTTCACTCTTGTTTTAGACTCTGGCTTTCTTAGATCTAAACCCTTTAGGGTCTACACTTTTAGGAAGCTCTTCCACTCTATTTTGTTGCAAAATGCGGTATACCGTCATTCGATGCATTTTCAGCAGTTTGGCAAAATCCGAAGTTGATCGTCCTTGTGCTCCAAGCTGAAGAATCGCGGCACGGTTGGGAGAAGCCTTCACCATTATGTCCAAACTTAAAAATTTGCTTAAAAACTCCTACATAATATAAAAAAAGCATTCAAATTAAGAAAAAATAATCCTTTGGCAAGAAATAAAAATCAATCAGTTTCTTAAATCAATGTTACAACCTTGTAACCATACTTATGCCGCACCCTGTAGGTCTTAAAAAGCCTTTTCAAATTGAGTTCAACTTTAAACTCAAACCATGATCCATCGTGAAATCAAAAATTTCAGCTCAGCTTTTTTTTTTTGCCAGCAACCCCTCAACTGGGCATCCATCTTCTTCTGGGCATTCTTCTAAAAACTCGAAAGAATGAAAGTTTTGCCGTTTAGCTGACCATCGATGTCCATAGTAAATTTCAAGGAGACAAAAGCCCCCGGGAACGATTTCTCTTGACGAGCCGAGTTTTCGGTTCCCCTGAGGGTCGCCTCCCATTCCCTTCTCGTCTTCTTTTTTTTTCAACCATTCTCCCATCTTCGCACATTCATTATCCATCTTTTGTTTGATTTTTTTTTGAAACCAATCTCCGGAACCTTTTACAGCTTTATTGTATTGTCTTTTTTTTTGCGCCCCCAAGGAGATTCGATTCTCGATCGACAAAAAATTCGTTTCTCTTCGTGAAATCAGTTCAGCCAAGAGCGCCTCCGAAAATTGCATTGTGTTGGGGCACAGGGAAATTACGAAGATAGCGATGGAAGTGAAAAAAAAGATGGAAGAAATTGAGGGAGAATTGATGGGAGAAGACTCGTCTGGCACTTTCACTTTTCAATTGCAATTCTCTTCCTTTTCCTCACGATTTCCTTCTCTCCGACGACTTTCCCATCTGAATTTTCGGATTCCTGAGCCAAGCTTTTTTCAAGTTTCACCTTTGTTTGGCTTTTTACTTTTTACTTTTTTGAAAACGAGATTTTAGCATGCGATTCGAGGCGGAGGCTGGTGGAGCTGGATGTCAGGCAGCGATTCGGAGACAGATGACACTTGGTAGAATTGTCTAGAATAATTTGCAGTTAAAGCATGAGTATAGTCTAATTCTAAGACTAAGCGAGAGTTGTATTTTAAAACTGAAAGCTCAGGGGAGCGCCGAGCTCGGAATCGGTCGTTGTGCTCGGTGCTGTGCAGTCCTCCGCCTTATGGCCTCGCATATTCGGCCTGGATGGGAAATCTATCGCAGCTCAAGTGAGGCATTAAAAAAACGATATAGAAATAAAAGTAAATAGAAATAGAAATAGAAATAGAAATCAACGCAATACAAATTATCATTTTAGACTTGAAGACATTGCGGCAGCGGAACGGGAGTTTTCTCTTGGACCGCCACCAGAGTTTATCAGGTAGATTTTCAACATTGAAAAAGAAAAAGAATGGCTTTAAGAAGTTTACTAAAACTGCGGACAATAATGATCAGAATGAAGTTTTGTCGAAAATGATTTGATTTGATTTGATTTGATTTTGATGATTTGAAATGCTTTGATTTTGATTTTTATACCCACAGAATACAGTAACCCAAAATACGACGTGAACAAGCCATTGAGTCTAGCTAGGTCACAAAATAGAACACACAAAGTCTACAAAATCCTATTTTTCTTTATTCTTTTACAGATCTTGCTATACACCAAGAGATTTGGGGTGGGAAAACGAGGTGATGTTTGTTGGATCGGGTGATATTCCGCACTCGAAAACTTTTGAAGCTGATTCACCAAATGATTATGAGGTTTTTCCGGGGAGAAGATGTGAGAAAAATGTGAGATTTCAGTTGGATTGTGTGTCAAGAGGGAAAAAGTCATCATCATCGAATCCATCGGCTTCATCGGGATATGGATCAACGAGTTCAGAGAGTGATCAAGAGCAAGTGAGTCTGAAAGAATTGTTAGTATCTTTAGAATTTAGAATTCGACCACGGATTTCTCCTCTATTGCTCGTCGATCTCGCTTTATGCCGAAAGCTGACCGAAAAGTGAGAATTTATGCAATAGTAAATAAGTTGGAAACTAGGGCAAAACTTTTGCTTCGCCGGGACTCGAACCCCCTACCTTTCGCTTATCGGATAAGTCCGCTAACCACTACACCACAACGAATCAATTGCTTTCGCTCTAGAGGGGCTTAACTAGTTACTATCTTGAAGGAAATTGGGTTAGTACCGATTGAGGCACTTATAAAGATCATGATGTTAGAGTAGAGTATCGGTCCACTGTGCTAACCATTACACCACAACGAAATTGATCTCCGTTACTCCAGGGGGGAGTGAACTCATGCCAGTGTATTAATCTTTACAATACAATACAATGTTTACTACTTGTTGCAAGAAAGCTACAGTACCCGTTTAGGCTGAGAAACAGCGACGCAACAGTGTTCCCGCCACTTTGCGACCAGCATATTCAGGTAAATTTTCGTTTATTCACTCATCAAGACTTTCCAAAGAAAGTAATTTCATTGAAAATTTTAGAAGATGTAATGCGAGTTCTGGAAAAGGACGGCTATGTGCGCTTTGAAACAAATATTGTAAGTTTTTTGTAAGTAAGAAGTGTAAGTGTAAGTAAGAGTGTAAGTGTAAGTAAGAAGTGTAAGTGTAAGTAAGGAGTGTAAGTGTAAGTAAGAAACAAAACAAACAAACAAACAAACAAATATCGTAAGTTTTTCGGTCAAAAAAAAATTGCCACTCAAACGAATATCGTGAGTTTTTAGGTTACAAAATTTTCTAATTTGATTACCCCCTTTATTTTTAATAGCGAAAACACACACACACACCAAAAAGGATTCAAAGCGAAAAAAAAATGATAGTGAAGAGATTAGGCGCGGGAGTTTCTTTGTTCTCTTGTCTACTCCCATTCAATCCCCCTTTTGCCTTCTGGTGTTGCACCCATTCAAGGACGATTCTCTAAAAAAAAACCCCCAACTCTAAACGATATGCTCATTATATTAGCGTTGATTAGATGAGAATTCTTTTGAGTTTTTCAGTTCACTTCTTTCAATCCTTTTTCTTATCGTATAAACTGTAATAGTACCCTCATAATGACGATGCGGAGTGTTGCGTAGTCTGGCTTTGAGCGCGGTTTCGACACTGGTTTATGCTATAATGCGCGTTTAGGTAATAGCTGAAAATAGCTGAAAATAGCTGAAATTCAGGGCTATTTTTTGATACCAAGACGCATTTTTTGAAAGTAAGGGCGCTTTGAAAAGAAATACTAAAAAACTTTTTCGACTACGCCATTGTACGTGGGGGTACTATTACAGTATTTACGGTAATTCATAATCCTATTTTTAATTTTTTAGCTTTTTCCTAATCTTTCAAATGGTTAGTTGATCTCGATTCTCTTTGATTCTCAAATTTTCCTGTCTTATCTTGTCTCTTTTCCCTCCAAAATATGATCTAGAACTGTTTTCATTACTATTCTTTTCATATTATACTCGTTTACACGAATGACCGGTACTTAGGAGTTGTAATCCCTGCAGTTCTCGTATATCGTTATTTACCTGCTTTCATATACTTCAACAATACATCCAGGGCCGCCAATTTGTTGGAGATGCTTTGTTGTTAGGTATTCGACAAAACATTCCTCGTATAAGTGTTAAAGTTCATTGTTTGAGGGATTTTGAGGGATCCAGATTCATATAGAAGGACTGTGGGGCTTATAGTACTGAATGACTTGCCTAAGTACTGAATGACTTGCCCAGACTCTAGCTTCTACCAGTAAACTTGAAAAAGATCAATATTTTCTCTAAATTTGACACTCTGAATCAAATCGTTTAGTTTACTTTAGCTTTCGGTTTTAATTTCTCATAGACAATTCCACAATTGGATAAAAGATTGGTGAAGGGGAGGGGAGATCACCTGCTGTCTCGGCAAAGGTCGTCTTGCCTCCCCCTTCCACTTTGTTTCTTCTCCATCACTCTCACTATGCTCCTTGTATAGAGTATTTATGAAAATCATTTCAAAACTGATTATTCTTTTTATTATTATTCAATTTATTCTATTATTCATTATTCAAAATTATAGAGATCCTTAAATCCTTGAAAAATCGACATTTCCCCATCTCTTTGACTTCCTCACTTCTGTTGTTTGCTCGGAGCTCTTGAAAATTTGCATACACATTGCTCAACTCACTTTTTGCATTTATTCCTGAAAAAGCTAGGATTTACTACTAAAATTTATCAAATCGAATACTTTTAATCTAATAATCTAATACTAAAACGGAATTGAGAATGCTACAACAGTAAATGTTAGCAAGGTTAGTTTTCGTCAAAAACCCGTTGCATAGTAATTAAATGTTGTTTGCTCGGAGCTCTTGAAAATTTGCATGCACATTGCTCAACTCACTTTTTGCATTTATTCTTGACAAAGCTAGGATTTACTACTAAAATTCATCAAATCGAATACTTTTACGCATCTTCTCAAAGGCTTTTAACAGATTTCAGATTTTTTTTTCCAATCATTCCAGTGATTCCAAGCTTGCTTTTTCCATAAGTTTACTGTTTACTATTCGAGAGTCTCCCTTTTCTTTCCCTCTTTGTCGATCTGGGGTTGAATTTGATTTTTGTATGTGGAAGGCCCGGCGGGACCATGAATCGCAGGGGTGAGACATCCGTGACACAGACGAACAATCAAAACATTCGCTCGATTGAACGGAAAGCGAATCGTCTTCTTTTTTTTTTCCTCTTGAAATTTTCATCCATCTTGTTTCAAGCTAATATTCACCGAATAGAGAAGTCTATTTCTTGCTTGAATGATCAGTCTTTTCATCTAATATTTTAGGATACGGGTGCCCGGGTGCCGGTGGTCGACATGCGCACGGTTCGCCAAAACGAGTCGGTGCTCGATTTGGCTCGAAAATTCGCCGAACTAAACGCCCAACAGGTGAATCTAAAAGTTTATAGCTTTATTGAGTTTATTGATCGCCTGTAAAACTATTTACAATCAAACTTTGATATAACGAATCTCAAGAGGCCGGCGAAAAAGTTTGTTATATTGAAGGGGATTTAAAGGTGAAACCCTTCGTTGGGATCAAAGATAGTGTTCGTTATATCGAATATTTCGTTGTCTCAAAGTTCGTTATCTCGAATATTTCGTTGTCTCAAAATTCGTATCAAAGTTCGTATCAAAGTTCAACTGTACATTTCTTTATTTAGGAAAAAGCTCGTCTTCACTCATCTTGGCATGCTCCAGCAAAAAGTGGTCCGTCAACAATAAAAGGTAAAAGAAAAAGAAATGGAGAGATTGTAATGACTAAAACTGTGTAAAGAAAAAAACGAGAAAACAAGAAAGCATTAGAAACATCGACGGGAAAACAAAAAGCAAACCCGACAAGGCACTCATCAACAATGCTCATTGAATGGAAAGCGTCAACGAAAGAAAACGGGGAAACGAAAGCGAAATCGACATCAATAACAGCAGGTCCACATCACGCAGAACTTAGCACGCAGTACATACGCGAAAAGTAGCTCATTTTGTTGCAAGTGAGAGAATTTCTTTGAAGATCCACGTGTACTTCAACGTCGCCAGCGAGAGTCTCGTGCAAAAACCTTGATTTCCACAACAGCACCAGCTGATTTAATTGAATTGAAAAGTCCACCTGGTAGAGTTTAAAGCTTTTGAAGCTTTGAAAACTCTAAAAAAATTAGAAGACACTTTGCCTGATGATTTCGATGAGGCGACAAGATTGTGGAAAGACCTGAGCACAGTGCGCAAATCGCGTCGCGAAAGTCTTCAGGCATCGGAAAATCGAATGCTCAAAATTCGTCAGCTTGAAGAGACGCAATTCTTGGGTATCAAAATGCTTCTAACATTTGTGCACAACTTTCTTCTTCGACAATCCCTTTTCTATCACTTTTCAGGGTTTTTTTTTAGTTATTTTGATTTTTTTTTCAGAGGATTCCATCAATCCGATTGATAAAGAAGGCAAAGAAAAAGCTTTTTATTTATTTCATTTGCTAAAATTGAAAACAAACAACAAAACAAAGCTCTCCACGAAATAAAGCTCTTATTTTTCAGCTCGCGATCATGGATTGGGAAGTATCGCATCACTGGGAGGTTTGTTTTCTAAATCTCATTGTTTTCTAAATCTAAATCTAAATCTAAATCTAAATCTAATTTCGAAAAGGGTTTTCAAGATCAAAAAAGTTTTTCAATGAAGCTTTGCCCGAAAACAAGAGCCAAGTAGTTAATGCACTCTCGGGGAGGTTCGTCGATTTTACAGCAGCATCGAGGTGTGTGCAGGGGTGCCACACGACCCTTCCTCCTCTTTAGACCTCTTTAGACCGAGAAACTTACACACGTGAAACCCTCGCTTTTCTCAATATCAGCCTGGCCATCGGATATCAGCAGCGCTTTTCAAATATTGATACAAACCTCCCATCAATTTTTTTTTCTTTTGTTTAGCCATATCGACAAGAAATTGTTGAGATGTTTAGTTGACTATCCGAGCTTGATTTTTTGTTTTAAAAAAATATCAATAAATAATCGTGATGTGTGCCTTAAATTAGATGCAAGCGAAATGCTTTAGATAAGCCACGAGCGTCGGCAATGCATCAGAATCCTTGGAAACAGATGCCAAAGAGTAACACAAGGTGAGTGCCATCGGTGTTCCTTTTCAAAAAAAAATGGAATTCATTTGCAGCGTTAGCCGCCCAATGAACCCGAACTCCGCCAAAGAGGCGCTGCTACGATGGATACAGAATAAAATCCGAGATTATCCAGTAAATTTATGAAAAATCCCACTAAACCAAAGGATTTCCAGATCGAAGTCACCAACTTCTCTTCCTCATGGGCTAATGGGATGGCCTTTTGTGCGCTCATTCACCGTTTTGCCCCAAATGCCTTCGATTTTTCAAAGCTTGACCCAAAAAATCGTCGCGAAAACTTCGAATTGGCTTTTCGTGTTGCCGAGTAAGTAGTAAATTTCATTCGTTCAAAAATGCCGCAATTCAATCTCAATGTACTCAAAAGACAAATTTAGAGAGAATGGTGTTTGCCCTTTGTTAGAAGTCGATGACATGATAATGATGGGGGACAAGCCTGACTACAAGTGCATATTCACTTTCTGTTCATCTTTCTACCAAGAATTTCGTAATAGACCATGAGAAGTACAAGTTTTTTATTCATTCTTATTAAAGTTTGAGTCATGATTCTTTTAATAGGCATAATGTCTCGTATGTGCAAATTCATAGGAATGTTCGATTTATCGCATATGATAGCCCTGCAAAATCTTAATCAAGAATATCTGCCGACTATTGTTCTGGTGTGATGTGTGTTGTTTACTTGTTAACTATTATTTCAATCTTGTTGATAATCCTCTTAATTGTCATACCATATTATGAAAATTTTCCTACTTGTTGGACCAATGCATGAACTTTTCCTTGTCAACTTTCAAAAAACATTTTTATTCGGGGAACGGTAACAAACAAAATGTGGCGACTGGGACTAGGTCTAACCACATGAAAGACTTAACAAACGGAATTGAGAATGCTACAACAGTAAATGTTAGCAAGGTTAGTTTTCATCAAAAACCCGTTGCATAGTAATTAAATAGTAAAAACCTGCTAAGCAAAATGTTGAACACTTGTAAAAAGGAAAATCCTTAGCACAAAGAAATGTCAATTTAAAAGGGGCCACAACAAAACAACCCGCATTGCAATTAGCGGATAAGGAGCGACTCCAATAGAAGGCACCAATTATTGCGGAGCGATGACCGACCTAGAAAAAAAGATTAATCTTAATCAGATGTGAAAGTAAAATTTGTTTCGGAAAGCAGTTTCTAATCTTGCCAAGAAGTTGATATTCGGATGGAATTGTTTGAAACCCCCAAAGAATTACTTTTCATATTTGCGCCGGTTGAGCGGTGGGGATAAACTATGATCCCTTCTTGGTCTAAGACCGTAACTACAGAAAACAAGTTAATCCACAATATAAAGTAGAACTACCTGCGAACACGCTTGCGAGATTGCCTAGGTTCCTCAACAGCTTCGATTGTAGTAAAAGACGAACTAACAGGACAATCAGATGCACCAATGTCGAATGCCTACATCAAATTTTTTTTAATCTACTCAAAACAGACTGACCGCTTCCATAATCTCTATAAGCAAGAAAGGACGAAGTGGCTTCATTTGTTTCCATTCAGCCGAGTGGGTGATGTTCTTTTGATTCTCAAAGAAGAAACGCGCGCAAGCATTCTTGAGGATTTCAGCAGAGTAGATATCAGCGACGACAAGTATGCTGAAGAAGTTCTTCAAAGTCAATTGACTGGCCAGACACCTAAAAATCAGTAGTTAATAAAAGGTAAATGGGCTGAGAAAAAATTAAACTTTCAACTTACTTCTCGCACTTTTCCTTAAGCGGGAAAACGGCATACTTATCAGCAACATGCAAGACATCTTCAGCACAAGTCTCATCCAGTTCAAAAGCGTTGGTGTAAATGTAGTTGACCATCGCGTACACGGGCTCATACTTGCAATCCTTGATATCAATGATTCCTCCCTTTGCTTCAACCATCGTCTCGGTCTAAACAAAATAGCTTTATTTAAAAAGAACTTTCTGTGTACCGTAAACATGGTGCGGAAAACCTCCGAGTGCTGGCCCAGGATGCACTTGTGAGCCTTGATTTGCTTACCGCCAACCTAAAAAACGATTACTTAACTGAAGTAGATCGTAAAGCGAACCTGAATGACACAGTCAGTAAAAAGTTCTTTCAGCCACATTTCTCGGTTTGCGTCGCGAACAGCGTTCTCCTCGCTTTCTTGCATAAATGAAGCATCTTCAGCTGTTTCCACACTCATCTTGGCTCCAGGTGGGAAGTACTCCACTTCGCACACAAGCATCAAGCTACCATCGCTCCGAATAGCGTTATTCATTTTTTCACGCGACACCTTAATTTGGCTTAGAGACATCTAAACAAAAATTACTATTATCTCAATGTGAATAGATGAGCAATTACTTGCAACAAATTCATACCTGAAACTTCCCACGACCTTGTTGATTGGTGAAATCCTTCGTGTCGCGGCAGACACTAACACGTTGGTTTTCTTTATTCAATGCGTAAATTTGAAATTCAGTCATGATCGGCTCCTCACCACGCTAAAAAGTCTACTATAGTCAGTACTTAAGGTGATCTAGACATTAAACCGTGTAAAGCCTCACCGCGAGGCCAACTTGACGCAAGAAGAATGACACGTTAGTTGCATCTTCATCGCGCTTCCCATTTGGATAGACGTGCAGTTCCCAAGAAACAACGGTAGCTTCTGGACAGCCAAATTGCTTAGAGATGAGATTCTGGCCGTTCTTAGAGAGCTTCATGAGACGTTCAAACTAAAGAAAATTATTATATTCACAGCTAGCATATAAATACAAAAATAAATCAAAATTACAAACCTGCTCAATTTTCCACTCAAGCTTTGCCGATAGAGCGGTGACTTTGGTCGCCTGCTTTGAGACAACTTCTGCCCTTGGGAGAATTGGCGATGGACTGAAATTCTCTCTTGAGCTATTCTCTGCAAGTTCAAAGGGCCAGAAGCTAAAAGAAACACATACAACAGACAACAATGAGTTAACCACAACCAACAACACTGAACTTACTTCATCATAGCGAAGTAAGACTCGTCAAGTTCACGAGCACGAGTTGGCGTCAATTGTCTAGCAGGTGGACGTGACTGCATCCTTTCTTATATGACCAATTTGATTACCTAAAGAAAGTGATCAATGATGGCATTTTAAAAAGAAAACAAAAACATAAAAAGAATATGGTCGTTTGATGATTCGAAAAGGGTCGCGGTAGACTTTCACAAATTTGGTAGCACTTTAGTTCAAATCAAGCTATTCAAGATAGCACGAAGCAATTTCTAGAACATTAAGCGCGCAAGTTATATTAAGTCATGGGATCGGTAGAGGGAGTGACAGAGCATTAAGCAACCCCCTTTTCCCCAAATCATAGCATACACTCGATCCTTTACGAAACACGCAGAGGATGGGCTACGGTAGGGCGACTAGGCATTTAGACTGGACAAAGGAATTTCAAATTGTGTGATTGGTTGCGTGATCAAAATGTGACCAAGTACAAATAATAAGCAACACACAAATAGCGCACCCCGACAAAGCAAATGAAAAACGAATTTTTTCTGATTTTGTGCTTTGGCTTGTTTTACCTGAATATCTTTTAAAGAAGAGTGGAAGCAAAATTCATCTATTTAAGGAACCTTCTTTTCACTTGTTTTTTTTTTCCGATTTATGGGGAGTGGGACAAATGCGACCTTTTTTGCGCACCCGGACATTTGCGCACCTTTTTTTCCGCACCTTGCCCATTAGCGCACCTTTTTTCGCGTTTTAAAAAGCTCTAAAAAGCTGATATTAACCAATTTCTATTCCAAATGTTGGTTTTCTAGGTAATTTGAGGGTGTAGAATCGAAATTTTGACATATCAAAGCTTGTGGAACCAATTTGAAAGACAAAATGGCTAGATCAAATTACAGAAAATTGTCGATCTTTCTCTTTGTATAACTCCGTCCGTTTGTTTCCACAAGCTCTGATATGTCAAAATTTCGATTCTACACCCTCAAATTACCTAGAAAAACAACATTTGGAATAGAAAGTGGTTAATATTAGCTTTTTTAAAACGCGAAAAAAGGTGCGCTAATGGGCTAAGTGCGGAAAAAGGTGCGCAAAAAAAGGTCGCATTTGTCCCACTCCCCTTGTTTTTTCCGATTTATGAAATCTTTTATTTGAAAACTTTTTCGGCGCTAGAGTAGTTGGGGGGAAGGCAGTCTGGAACTTGACCCAAAATCAATACTTTTTCACGAAAACTTGCACACAGGGGCTTTTGACTATGCTGAATCGATTATGAATACTTTTAAAACTTTTTAAAATTCATTTTCTTAATTAATAACATTTTTAGTAAAAATTCGAACACGGGTAATTTGCCGTATGTCCGTGATGCGCGATCAAGAAGTGACCTGCGTCACATCGTGTTTTTTTTTATTGGCCCACCGCAGGTGCTCTGGGAAACCACGTGATGTGCCATCCCGGAACCACATTCTTACATTTGGGGGAACGTAAGCTACTAAGGATTAGAGGTGTTTCCGAGCGCTTTTAGCAAATTTCATTCAAACAGTTTATATGCAAGTTTTGTGTGCGTGCAACAGATTCACAAGTACCAAATAAAATTATAAAAGTATTAATAATCGACTCAGCATAGTTAAAAACCCCTGTGTGCAAATTTTCGTGGAAAAATATTGATTTTGGGTCAAGTTCCAGACTGCCTTCCCCCCAACTACTCTAGCCCCACTTTTTCATTGTTGTTGTCTTTGATATCAAATAGCTACTAAATTTCGAAGAGTAGGATAAGATTTTTTAAAAAAGCATTTGGTTAAGGTTGAGTCGACCCAATTTTGATTTACTGTTTGGCACAATTTATAAAGGATACAACTATCTATAACGATTTTTAAGATTCAAGCGCTTTTAACAAAAAAACCACGTGAACTTCTTTCTACATATGTGCAGTAGAGGTGTTGGAGTACGATAGACTGTCACTCGATGAACATGAAGTGAGCTCTATTCCCGTTAATTCGACATCGGCTTAACTTAAGCTCAGCTTAACGTTAATTAACGGGCTCTGATCTTGAAGTTTGAATCCGTAATGTCAATGATTTACAGGGCTGACCTTTTTAGCAGATGGATGGTTTGGGCGGTGACTTACAATGCGGCCATGGAGAAAGTTAATTTGGACGCCGTGGAAGCTTTAATGTCGCCAATCCGGAATAATGAGTACGATCTGATCGTCGTCGGAATGCAGGCAGGTGCACAAAATATTCAGAAAGAGGAAAAGCGTTCAGGAAGTTCCTCATTTTGAGACCTTGGGTGGATTCGCTTCAACTTGGCAAGCAGCAGTCGCTGAATGGATAGCAGTGAATGCGAGAACGATGACTCTTGTTGCAAAAACTTATCAAGTTTGGAAATGTTTAGAAATTGAAATATCGCGAATTTTAGGCAACAAATCAGTTAACGTTCTTCATGGCTAAAAAACGGCTCGAATCAGTAGAAGAGGTCGCCTTTCGGTATATGAAAAGTACATTTGGCGGGCTGACAGGTCACAAGGGATCGATTGGACTTAAAGTTCGAATGAAAGTTAGTTCAAATTTCTTTGATTTGAAGTTATGAAAATTTACAGGGACTGAAGAATAGCACTTCGAAAGGTGCTGGATTCGTTTTCGTTGTCTCTCATTTCTTTCACGACGCCACACAAAACCATCGACGTCTTCAGCAATTTGGAACAAACAAATACTGCACATTTCCCGATAGATCAAATATCAAGTAACTAATCAATTTACTTAAAGAGTTAAAATGAATCAATTTACGTGCTAGCAACTTTTCAGTGCTCGAATCTGGTTGGGTGATTTGAATTTTCGAGTGGAAAAAGATTCTGAAGAGGTGGCCTCAGCACTTCGCAATGGAGACTTCAAAGACCTACTGGAATCCGATCAACTCTCGCATGGACGGAAACATAAACTCGTATTTGGCACCTACAATGAGGTATCGAACAATTAAATGCTCTTTCAAATCAATCATTTCCAGAGCACAATCAATTTCCCGCCTACATACAAGCTAGTGAAGGGAACTACTGAATATGATTACCGGCGTACACCATCTTGGTGTGACAGGATTTTATTTGAGGTAAAGCAATACTGTTTTCAGTATTCGACAATGGTTGATGAAAATCGTTCTAGCTGATTCCCAAATCGCATTTAAGAACTAATTGTGAGATCTATTTTCATAGTTTGCTTTTTTTCTTTTCTTTCGCAATATGCTATTCAAATTATTAAACACTTTTGCATTCAGGGGACGGGAATAACTTGTGAGAAGTACGATTCAATTCCACAAGCCCTTCACAGTGACCATTTGCCAGTATACGGTCGTTTACTCAACTCGCTATCAGGCAACCAAAACTTTAGGTGAATTCAGCATTATGGCACCGAGTGCTGGTGAAGCGCAATGGGATGTGGTTTTCGAATCAATACCAACATGGTTGGTCGTTTAAAAGTCTCAAGTTCAGAGTCAAAGTCAAAGTCACATAGCATAACTTTTCAAGGCTTACACCAGTGCCTCTCGTTGTTCGTTTTCAATATCTAAACAATTTTTGGTCAAAAAAGGGTGAGTGCTGTTAGAGGTTTATTCATCTAAAGTTTACTGATGATTTTAGGAGCTTATCAAGACTGGATCGGTATTTATCCAGCAACTATCGAGGATATTACTCGTCCGCTTAAATGGGTAAGTCATTGTTTCGGAAAATAGGAGAACATTGGAGAAAAAAATTTCCAGAACTATGCGGTGACTTGCTACGAAACAACGATCAACGAGATATTGTACTCGGTTGCAGAATTATCCGCTATGCCAGCTGGAACTTATCGGTCAGTTGATATCAATTGCAAATTACCAAATCACAAAAGAATTGAAAAAAGAAAATCAAATTTAATTACAGGGTTGGATACTTTTCAGCCAACTTCCATGTTCTAGTGGGCCTGAGCAATTCGATTAAAATCGAGGAAGTTAGTTTGGAGAATTTTTAGAGATTGCATCGTTTCCCTTTTCATTCATATCAGGGTTTCATCTAGTCACATCACCAGGGTTTATAAAATTTTTAACAGAAACTACAAACAATTTTTTTTCCTTTTTATGAACCACACATTTAATTTATATGACTTATCTAAAAACGAGCCTCACATTGTGATTAACCCAGACTTTTTCTTTTCCGTAAATGTGGTTGCGTCTGTAATTTCTTTACTTTTTTTTTACTTACTATTAGAAGTAAATGTATGTAAGTTGCAATGCTTTTCTTCGTAAAATCTCAATTACCATGTGATAGGTCCGTAGCTCAGTGACAACCTAATAATTACAAGCCCACGATTTTTCAATGATTCTTAAATGTAATGCTTTTTAACGCTGAATGACCTCCCGCCCCACGCTCTTCTTTCATATGTATCTCAAATTGTGTAGATCAATAAATTTAATAAAGCCAGCATATTAATTCATTCAAAACATCAATAAATCTATGAACGAGATCGGAATAGACTTGGGTTTAACTTGCATTAAATTCAAAAGAAATTAGCAGCAGTGAAGAATAGTTATGCTCATATCACAGATTCCGTAAAGCATTCAAAAACAAGTAAGGTGAAATGTCAATCAAGCATATCTAAAGGAAAATTTGACCAGAAAAACGGCAGGTTAGCAATTGAAGTAAAACCAGTAAATCAAAATTTTTAAAAATAACCAAGTAATATTTCAAAATATGAAACAACTTTGGCAAAGAAATATAAGAAAAAGTTCTTTGTCTTGTCAGTAGGCTTCCCAGACAGCATCTTCATATGACCTAAGCAACTACATGATTTAAATCTTACGAAATAATAAATCACTTATCCATCTTCTGCTGGTCGATCGTCCGCAGTCGTAACCGAAAATAGGCAATTACCGGCTTGTGATCTGACAATACCACCGCCTCAAGGGAATCATAGCTAAACAAAACATTATTTACGTGGAGAGCTTAAATTACTAACGATGTTTGCGTGATGTGTGTATATGGATCGAGTTTTCGCCAAAGAATCCGATCACACCATGCAGGAGCTCTATCCTAAATAGACATAAGAATATTTTTAAAATGTTATAATTATTACCTTTTCACTGCTATCCCATTGACAAGTTCCGACATCATATTTGTAGGTTGGACGAAACGCTGGTGGTGTTTCTTCAAAGCCAGTAAACACTTGTCCCCTCTTTTTTTCGCCGTTAAGCTAAATTTAATAATTGAAATGGAGATCGAACCTCATCCCAGAACCAGGAATATTATTGCTTAAACTTAGTTCTCAATTTTAATTAGCCAAATGAATTGGTCTAAAAAATATTGATACCTGATCATACTGGAGAAGGAAATGGGCGTATTCAGTAGCTGCGATTTCTCTAATTTCTTCATTCGTATAAGGCATCTAAAAGTGGGAATACATAACTAGTAAATATCGATAGACACACGTCGTCTGCCAGCCGATAGTTCAGATCACCGAACCAAAATATAGCGTCGTGACTCCAAATGCTCGCATACCAGTCAAATGTCAAATTTGTGAGGTCCCTAAAGACAACTTTATTGCGTCAGATTAAAAATCCACTCACCTGAAATCTTGATTTCGTCGTTTCAATTCCCCATTTCCAGCCGCTAAGTGGCAATTGATAAAACAAATGCGCGAGTCGTTCAACTTTAGCGAGATACCAGTGCCACCCTAAAATACATATATACTGTTTTATCGAGTTCCCTTATCTTTAAAATGTTTTAAATTTACCTTATTTCCTAGCTTGGTTCCCATAACTGAGATTCCTGTCGCCAGCATACTCGACTTCACTTCGGATACGTGAACATTACACTTCACCAACTTGAACATGACGATGAAAACACCAACCAATCGATGTGAACGAATCTAAAAAAGAACCTAACATCCAATCAAATTTCCTACCACGGTTCTAGCAAAATACTCACTCACCTTGATATAGTCGTTTGGATTTGGAAGGGAGTTTCGTATGCATTCAATCCAGTCAATTTCTTTCTTTACGTTGTCGATGATGTGAGCCCCAAAAGATTGGTCGATTTCTTGTAGCCTAAAAAACAATCATAGAATTGATGGTTTCAATTAAGTTTAAATAATTGAATCTAACACTGATTCAAACCTAGTAATGCCAATTGCTCACCCAACAATGTAGAAGTCTGCTTTCTTGTCCCTCGGAAACCATCCCATAATATTCCGTGGAGCTTGTTGTCCATTCACATTAAAGGTGGAAACACAAACATTAACTTCCGTATATGTGCAGTATCTAAATTAAACTGACCAGTCTATTCTTTATCTTTTACCAGGGTAACGAAAAGTTTTATTGAGTTTCTATAGGAATTTGTATAAACTTTATTTTATAATAGCCTCACTATAAAAAAGGTACTATGCGCTTTGGGGGGCCACTTTTTTTCACCAAAACCATTTTCCCTGGAGTAATTGATGACGCTGATCACGAAAAAGTTATTTTTAAGGCAAGTTAGTAATGGAAAAATATCCGTTTTTAAAACTATAGTAGTTGGGAGGGGGGGGGGGGGGGGGCAAATTTCCTTCGCCAAATGAGCTGATTTTTTGACTATGCTGAATCGATTGGTGATGGTTTTACAGAACATTTCGTAACTTTTAACAACATTCAAGGCTCCTATATTTATCTAGGCTTTGGCTACACACCTTAGAGTCATGTGGCTCCTAGGCTATCGCCTAGGAGATATGGAGGTAAAATTGGTAAAATCCAACTCCTAGGCTACCGCCTAGGAGTTGGATTTTACCAATGCCCGCAGATTTCGCCCGTCACTTTTAAAAGCTGAATTTCTACAGGCAAGAGGGAATCGACGAATTCTTTCCGGCATTTTAGATTTTCAAAGCTTTGTTGCTGTTAAAAAGTGCCAAAACAAAGCAATAATTCCCATAAAAGCAAGTCTCGGTGCTGGCGGTTTAAAAAGTAACCGTTACTTTTCTTGCCAGGCACGCATAATGTCGTCGACAACCCGATTTCGCCCCGGTACATAGCTACTCGATCGATTCATATAAAACGCCATCCGCGGAATCTAAACAAAACATTTAAGAACATACATTTTAAAAAAAATGGTACTTTTTTTTACTTTGTCCCCCCAAACACCAAGCAAACTTTTTAAATACTTTAAATGCACTTTGACGAAATTTGAATTGGCATTGTTAAATTTTTGAAAATTTCTAATTTTGGGGGCAACGTTAAAAAGTGAAAACAATATAGGTTGTGGCATTTAGCAAAATAGTAAGATAGAAAGTAGATATGGGCCTCGAGTCACGAGTCGATTCGATTCACGATTCACGATTCACGAATCGACTCGGTGACTTGACTCGAATATCAGGCAAAATTTTTGACTGCTTTAAATGCATATTTACAAAATTTAAATTTGCATTTTGTTACATTTTTGAAAATTTCTGATGTTTGAGCGGGGGGGGGGCAAAGTAAAAGAATACCAAAAAACTATAATTGAGAAAAGAAGTTGAAAAATAAAAAGTACGAAGTGTAAAATTGTGGGCACTAGATTGATAACGCCTAACATAAACCTAGATCAACTATCTAGGCATGATAACTAAACACAAGAAAACATTAAACCCGCCCAAGAAATGCGCATATAAAAACGACAATAAAGTTTTCTTGCAGCAGTTCATCAAATTAAGCTATTCAACCAATTAACTGAATAGCTTATAGCTTGGCTAAAAAGCGGTAAATGCCCACAAGATTTTTCCACATGTTTCCGATGATGCTTTTCGTTAACTAAAGATTTGATGCCACTTACGAAAAGTTTAATCCAAGTAGAAATGAAAAAATGACATTTTCCATTGCGTGCTGGTCTGTATCTGTTAAGAGATTCAAAAAATAAGAAATTTTAGCAAAACATTGGTCTCTTTCAAAGCCAGCAAAGGTTTGAATGGTGTGTGCTAAATAAAGCAAACACCACTCAGACCCAAAATAGATACTTGAGCAAGTTTTGTTGCAGCATTCAAATGAAGCTTACTTTACAACAATACATCAGGAGTCAACACAGTACTAATGTAACTCAAATGGAACGATATTTATGTGGATCTTTTATGTAAGACTTCTATTTGATTGTATTTTTGAGATCCAAATACATAGCACAAGTGAGCTGTTTGTTTATCTACTGTACACTTCTCGAGTAATGCGTTTTCTAACTCTTTCCTCTTATTTTATCCGATCTAAGTACAGTCGAACTTCGATATAACGAATCGCTCGGGAACGAAAACTTTGATATAATGAACCTAAAACGTGCCTCAAATTCTCTGCGTAGCTGTCCTGGACGACCACTGATTGCATTTGGCTGGGGCGGCTACGCCGAAATTTTGAGCACGTTTCAGAGTTTCAAATTCGTTGTATCGAAGTTCGACTGTATTTTCAATATTTTTCAATTTTTTTTAATGAAACAAGCATAATTAAACGAAACGAAGACATGTCGGAAAAAAACTGGCGGCAAGGTTACGGCAGTTTCGTTAAAAGTTGAAAAATCTCTAAATTATCTCTAAATCTGGTTTCTTATACTGAATTTGGTTCCTTATCTCTCAAAGTTTGGCTCCTTATCTCTCTAAATTTGGTTCCTTATCTCGCTAAATTTTTTTCCTTATCTCTCTAAATAAGAAGTTGAAACGTTTTGGAAAAAGAAAGATCCATTCTACTTTTTCAGGCTTAAAATCTTTTTTTTTGCAAAGTTTTTGGCCTAAAGACAAAGGTCTAAAGTTTTTGTTGGTTTTCTTCAATGACAAATTTTCCCACTTTTTCAAATTGGTAACGTGGTAAATTGGTCAAACGACAAGGCCCCTTCGGCTACTTATAAAACTCTCAATTCAATTCAAACTCAATTTTTTTTAAAGTTTTGTTCGTCAAACTTTGCACAAGATTAGATCTATTCTAAATCACGACAAAAGACACTTCACCATGAACACTCTTTCACTGGGATCTCAGAAAACCTATCATTTTGTGAGAAAATTGCAAGTTTGTGTATCTGGTGACCACTGAGTTGAGAATTCGACTTTGAATTAACGAAAACTTCTCCATTCCAGAATGTTTTTCTCCATTGAAGGGTTGACTTCGCAATTGGCTTTGTATTCAGGATTACAATCAAAGAATGACAATCTCGGTAAGAATTGAAAAACCTCGACTTTTGCAACTCTTCCCATCAAATTGCCCCAATTTCTATGCACGATGAAGTATCTTATTTTAATAATAGAGCCAATTTGGAAAAGTTTCCATTTATTTTCAGATCACTCTAAAGTTTTTTTTCGATTGGATTTTTAGATTTTAGATTTTAGAGTTTAAATTTTAGATTTTAGATTTTAGATTTTCAATTTTAAATTCCATGTTTCCTCACTCACATTTCAAAGACTTATTAGTGCTTTGGGGAAGAGTTTTTGACTCTTTTCGATAAGTTAAGCATTCAGTTTTTTTTTTGAATTCAGTTGAGCTCTTTTAGCTCTTTCGCGCGTCATTTATGCTTCTCCCGTTGCGTACGCCCACATATTTTTTTGTTTTCGTCATTTGTTGTGTTGAGAGAGAAAGGGTGGCTGTCTCGTGGCTGAATGAGAGAAAGAAAAAAAAAGGAGAAGAGGGCCGGAGGAGCTGTGACTCTTGCAATCGATGCTTCGCCCTCTTTTGCTAAAATACGCAACGCTATATTTTGCGGTGCGGCCTCAACTGACGACATTTTTGCCATCCTTTTTTGGGGTGGCCCTCCCGGGCGCTGGGCCCTTTCCCCCTCCTCTTCTTTGGCATTTTGAAGGCCATAACGCTCGAATTTATTAACTAATTCAACAAAATTTTCTGATATAAAAGCTTTTAGACATCTGATTTCAGAAAAATCTTTCAGAAAAATAGACGACAACGAGCCGAACACGTAGCGGCTTTATTTGCTGCACTTTAGCTTTCGTTTTTTCGATTTTTCTTTTTACATTTAAGAAGCAATCAACCGTAAAAATAGGTGAGTTTTTTGTTTTATTTGCAAGAAAAAGATTTACATACTTATTTACAAATAAGTAGAAGTATAAGGAAAATCTACATTTTTTTGTTTTATAGAGAGGTCCCTGTTACACGCTTTCCACTCTTTCGTGGCTATTGCCAATACCACACAAGGTTTGTGAAAAGAAGATGGATAGACAAATCATTGAAATCATAATTGAATAATTGAATAATGAATAATTGAATAATGAATAATTGAAATTCAATAATTCAATAATTCAATAATTCAATAATTCAATAATTCAATAATTCAATAATTGAAAAGAATCTCAAAGATATTTAAACCAAAAAAGATATTGAAACCAAAAAAGATATTTAAACAGAAAAAAACAAGATTTGTTATGTCTTTTTAATTGAAAATAAACATTGAAAGCAGAGATTTTCATAAGATTCATATTGATTTTAATATGAAAGTGCAAAAAGATGGCTATTTTCTGTGGATTTTCAGAGTTGTTAGGCTCCCGCGTTGGATGGTTGGGAAAATAGTATGTTTAGACGTTGAGTATCGTATTGTGTTTGTCAAATGATCGTTAGATTTAAGTCTTTTTCAAATTTAAAAGCTCTTTCTCAAGAGAATTAACTATTTTTTTTAGTCTACCGATGGATGCACGCCGATTCGCTTTCCTCACCCTCGGCTCTCTGTCAATCGCCACTCTCATCGCTTGGTATATAAGCAAAGCGGCGAAGAAACGCCGTGCGCTTATGGTGAGTTTAAGAGGCAGGATACTACAGTACTGGACAATGAAATATCATATTTAAAAAACGATCGTCACTTTCGCGCGTCTGTAACTCCCTTGTCTTTGAGTTTAAACTATTAGTGTTATATTACATTTTCTGAAAGCTCTTTTCAAGGGCTACACAATGGTAATATTAATATTTAGAAATACGGTAGAGACAAGGGAGTTACAGACGCGCGAAAGTGTTTTTTCAAATATGATATTTCATTGTCCAGTAGTGTAGATCTAAACTAAGAAATATTATCTATATTTATATCTATCTATATTATTCTTTTTTCTGGACCTTCCCAAGAAAAGAGCTATTCTTGAGTCTTTTATTGACAAGAAAATTGAGGACTCACCGCTTTTTTATAGACGATTTTTTTATAAAAGATTTCAGAAGCTTGATTTCCCATTTTTTTTTTGATCTTGATTGTTAATAAAGTCTATCGCAAAATAGAAATAATTAATGTAAAAATAGGTAACAAAATATTCAATTCACTTTTTTTAACTTTTAAATAAACAAACTTCAACCTTCAATACCTTTTTCTAAACGTTATTAAATTTAGAAAATAATTAAAGCAAAGTAAATAAGTAAAGGCAGATGTTTTTTTAATAATTTTATATTTATCAAAAAGGAATTAGAGATTAATTGAAAATTTTTAAACTTTATAAAGCAAAATAGTATTAAATTTTGAAATAAGAAGAAAAAGCAGGAATGAGTGATTCACATCAAAATTTCAGAGTGATTCACATCAAAATCTCAACACGGAGTCAAAAAACGACGCGTTTCCAAATCAACAACGTGTACACTTTGAAGAACAAGAAAATCATCATCAGAATCTGGTTTGCTTAGAAGCTTTATTTCTAATCTTAATCTTATCCTTATGTCAATCTAAAGTATATCAAATTTCGGGGGGTAGTCAAAACAGCGCCATAATAGAAAACATTCAAAACAGCGCCATAATAGAAAACATTCAAAACAGCGCCATAATAGAAAACATTCAAAACAGCGCCGTCAAATTTCTCAAAATCCAAAAAGAGTTGGTTAACTGAATATCTTTAGAGACCCCAACAAAAAGCCGGTTCAAGTTTTATATCAAATAATTCCTTACGTTCTTGGCTACATGATGGGTGAAACAGTTTTTAAAAAAAGCTAATATTTCATAGATAAAAAGAGCGCTCAAAAAGAGCCCAAAAAGAGCTCAAAATGGGTCTCTAAAGATATTCAGTTGACCAACTGAGTATCAAAATGTGTGTCGAGTGATTTGAGCGAGATTTGAGCGCTCTTTTTATCTATGAAATATTAACTTTTTTTAAAAAACTGTTTCCTCCATCATGTAGCCAAGAACGCAAGGAATTTTTTTGATATAAAACTTGAACCGGCTTGGTTTTTTGGATTTTGAGAATTTTGACGGCGCTGTTTTGAACGTTTTCTATTATGGCGCTGTTTTGACTACCCCCCAAATTTCGCCAATAGCCCGGGAAGTCTTTTCCGATTTTAGTTTTTGAAATAAATAATGAACCAATCGATCTATAGTTTCCTTTATCAGAGATTTCTATTATTGATTTACAAATTGCTCTTTAAGAAATTTTGAAAACCTTGCGTTAGTTAAGTTTTTTTAAAGGTCAAATTTTTTTCTAAAGTCGAGCAATCAAAAACGGTGAAACTTAAATTTTCGTTTTGATTTGAGCACAGAAACCTATTTTGGTTTTAAAAGATAAAAAAATAGAGAATAAAAAGTTAGATAGTTAGACAAATTTTCATAGCATTTCATAGCATTTCATCAAACGGTTTTCATTTCAATGTCCATTGTAAGGATTTTAGGAAAAACACGAATTCTCGTTCGGATTTTTGCTTAAAAATGAGCTAAATGATATACTTATATATATATGTTGTGTCCGATTTAGATTTCCGTCCGATTTAGCTTCAATATAAATTGGACGTTCGATTTAGATTGAACTTATCGCGGACGTCCGATTTAGATTCAATCTAAATCTTATATAGATTGAACAATAATACGTCTTATATAGATTGAACAATAATATAAACATGCTTAATATATGTTCTTAAGCGTTTTCTGTAGTTTTCTGCATTTTTCAAAGGTCTTTTATTGATTACAGTCTATATTTGAAAAATGCAGAAAACTACAGAAAACGCTTAAGAACATATATTAAGCATGTTTATATTATTGTTCAATCTATATAAGATTTAGATTGAATCTAAATAGGACGTCCGATATCGACTGTAATCTAAATCGGACACAACATATATATGCTTTAATCAGTTGAATAGCGACAAAACAAAATCACAATAATTACCCGGGACACCACTCAAAACACACCCCAAAAGATAAATAGATACCTCAAGAAAGAATCACAGAGCAGTCAAATCAATTGCCGAAATTGCGGCTTTAAATCTAGGCAAGATGGGAATATAGAGATCAAGATCATCTACAGATAATTTAAAGATTTCGAGACTATTGAACGCTCTCAAAACTCTGAGGAGTTGATTCCAAATTCCAAATTGATTCCAAAAAGTTATTGGGGGTGACTGGAGTTTCTAAAACGAAAGAACATCTCCTTGAATTTAAATCTAGCCAAGGTGGAAATATCACTTGTGTCGCAACATCAATTTTAGTTTTGACGACATCACAATCCATTGTTTTCCTCGTAGTGCAATTTTTCATGCCATCTTTAGAGACAAATTTTTCTTTTTCTTTTTTATATAGTTAAACTTTATATAGTTTATTTTTATATAGCTAAACTTTTTTTATTTAAAGCAAATCATTATTTAAAGCAAAAGCATTATTTAAAGCAAATCATTATTTAAAGCATTTAAAGCAAATTGATCGGCTAATTATTTATAAATGAAAATTTGAAAATGGCGGGCAAAACTTTCCAAAACAATACTACTACCAATTAGAGTTTGTTCATTTCGAGTAACGGATTTTGATCTAAAATTCATCTATTTGAGGCTACCAATAGTCAAACTGCTAGTTTACATTCGATCAACCCAATTTTAGTATCATTTGATGAGGAATCACAAAGCTTAGAATACCAATTAGCAAATAACTTTAGAATTACGAGAGTCACAAACCACTCGACGACGACGATCCACTCTTGAATGTAGACGAATCAACCGATTGCGAGGTAAAGTAAAGGAATGGTAAAGAAAGATGCCCGGAGAGAGGATTGAACCCTCGATCTTTTCAGACATTTTTTCTGAACCAAATTTAGAGAGATAAGGAACCAAATTTAAAGAAATAGGGAAAACTTTTCTGCTTTTCAGACAGCCACTGAGCAACCACTGCTCTAACCATTGAGCTATCCGGCTCTAACCATTGAGCTATCCGGCTCTAACCATTGAGCTATCCGGCTCTAACCATTGAGCTATCCGGCTCTAACCACTGAGCAACCACTGCTCTAACCATTGAGCTATCCGGCTCTAACCATTGAGCTATCCGGCTCAACCATTGAGCTATCCGGCTCTAACCATTGAGCTATCCGGCTCTAACCACTGAGCAACCACTGCTCTAACCATTGAGCTATCCGGCTCTAACCATTGAGCTATCCGGCTCTAACCACTGAGCTATCGGGCACCAAGAGAAAGAAGGAAAGACAAGGGGGAAGAAGAAAGAAAGAAAGAAAGAAAGAAAGAAAGAAAGAAAGAAAGAAAGAAAGAAAGAAAGAAGGAACTAGAGCTTACGATAGCTTTTGTAAGCAAAGGATTACAGTTTTACATCTTTTAGAGAACTAATAAGTTTAAAATCAAGTAAAAGATAAATCCGAATCTTAAACTTTGAACGTTATAATTGACAGAGTATAATAAATAATAAAAGAAAAGTTTTGCAAAGCAAAGAATGCTACAATTTTCGATAGTAAAACTCAGCCTACACGCTTTAACGATTTATTGAGCCAAAAAATATGAGTTTTGTGAGTGGCAAAAAAAACGGTGAAGAGTATAAAGCCCCAAAAAAAAAATGATCCGAATGAATGGTCAAAATCCCTGTCGCTTTCATGTCCCGTGTGATCCTCTTCTCCTTTTTCTCTTCACTTGAAAATGCTCATTTTTGTCGTTTCCCCCCGTTTCTCCTCACTGAAATTCTCTTTTTTTTTCTTTATAGAGACAATTCTCAAAGTTTGTATTCCCTTCAAAAATAAAATTAGTTTTTTCCCTTTAGTATAGTCGCTTTAGAGTTTTGATATTGATTGATATGGAATTGAAAAATATTTAATTAATAACTTTTAATTTAATTAACTTAAAATGTTTAACAAAATTGTAGTTATTTTGAATTTTGCAGGAAGAGCTGGAAGCGACGAACAGCACAGCCACCGATGATGAGACGAGAAATCCAGAGATCGAAATTGAAATAACCGAATACGGGGTTTGTGAAAAGTTGATTTTAAATATCTAACTTTTTTTTTACTATTGTAATTACAACTTTGACATTACTAGCTTTTATTTATTCCGAGAATCAAATCAACTTTAGGACGAAGGCGCTGACATTGACATGGAGAATAACATTGAGAGCAAGGTAGTTCAAAGAGAATTGAGCAACATTGAGCAATCAAATTGATTGATCAAATTGATTGATCAAATTTGATTGATCAAATTAATCAATCAAATTAATCAATCAAATTAATCAATCAAATTAATCAATCAAATTGATTCTTCAATTAATCAATCAACAATAGTTATCTTTCATTTTAAGGATCAAGTGCCGATGTCAATATCCCCACTCGCCGAACTGCTGAACTCTGCCGACATGGAGCCGTTCTCGTGGAGTGAGGAGGTAAAAATTAAAAGCAAAAAGCTGATCAAGTACTTAAAGTCTGAGTAAAATGAAGTCTGATTGATAAAGCATAAGTACTTCAAGTACTAGTTTAAACTTCAAATGATTTCAGGTAGAGCGAAGTTATCAAGAGTCGTTGGAGGAAAACGAGGCGACGAATGGAGACCGTGAGACGATCGAGAGTCCCAGTCTGCAATCACAGGATTCAGATGTGAGGAATTATTATATTTTGATACGTTCCCATAATCTATTATATATAAAAGAGTAGTGTCTGTCTGTCTGTACGGCTTTTTCTCAGCTGTTTCTCAGCTGTTTTTGAGCCAAAAATAACTGAAATTTTAAAAAAGTCTTAAAATCTAATATATTTGTGTCATTTCAAATAGGGCCTCTATAGCGTGTCTCCGGGGGGGGTGGCTTGTGTTATAGGGGGGTTGGTTTTTTTGGGGGGGGGGTTTTTAGTTTAAGTCGGCCGGGGGCCGCCTTACGTTTAGGGGTTTAGTTATATCGGGTGTTTGGGGTTCGACTGTATCTATTATAAAAGTAATAAGGAATGATACGATATATAATTATTATATAAATAGAGCTAAAAGACACGACATTTTTAGCTCTATGTAGTCTAATAAAAAATGAAATTGTCAAAAATGAGTGGCATTACTGGGGTCGAACCCGGATTGTGTGGCTGACAGAGAAGCGCGCCCCCGACTACACCACAGTGACAAGGATTGCAGCGAGAAAAACCCCGAGTTAACCAGGCTTTTCAGCTAGTAAAATGAGATTTTTGGCTAATAAAATGTGATTTTCGGATGGTAAAATGAAATTTTCATTATCTAGGGCTCTTCGGGAGATAGCGGGCGGGCCACTGGTGGGCTAGCTTCGAGCTTATCCCCGCACGAAGACTCCGGTGAGATTTTGCCTCAATACGAGTTCGAAATTCCCAACTCTCTCGTCGGTCTCATCATTGGAATCAAAGGAAAAACGATTAAAGTATGTTTCTTACTTACCCATTCTCCCAAACAAAAAAAAACGACTTTTTCAGGAACTTTCTACTCGAACCGCAGTCAAAATGCTGATTCGACCACATCATTCACAAACAAAAGTCGACTCTCATCAAATTTGTCAAGTAGATGAAAAAGAAAAGTAAAAGAAAAGAAAAAAAATTGTTTTATAGGTGCGAGGGAAACGAGATCAGATCAATAAATGTTTATGTATGTTGAGGAAACGTTTCCCACCACCACGTTTCCCTGAGCTTAACCTTCAACCAGTGATGCCACCACCATTACCTAGTGGTCTTTATGATGCTCTTCATTCCCAACCAACCTGGGTATTCATTTCTCCTTCAGTAGATATAGAAAATCGATTTTTAGCTTAAACTTAATACCGTAGTAGCTAGAAAACTTGAAAGTATCTTTAAAATTCCCAACCTTTCCTTGCACTACATTCATTATCTAGCTAACCCTTCCTGAAGGCGTTTCAACTGAAGTTGTCATTTCATCTTTGGTTGATCCCGGTCATCTTTTCCTTCAACAACCCACTCATCCATCATTCTCTTCATTAAACCTGCTTGATCGGTGCTTTGTTTATTAACAAAATTTCAATTTCTTTTTTAGCTACATGCTTCATCTCTATTCACAAGATAGCGGTATTCCACATCTATCAGAGCCATGTGAAAGTGAGATTTTGAAACAAAAGCTTTGATAACAGTTTTTAGCCGGTCTTCTATGCGCAGCTCCAATCCTTGGCGCATGGTTCAGAGCAGTCACCGTTCTACATTACCCGGAACAAGATGAGGTTTTATTATTTAATAATTTCATTGAAACAATTCATTTTCTCTAGGTTTTGGTGCGTTTTGTTGATTACGGTGGGTACAGAAGAGTGTCGAGAATGGATCTTCGACAGATTCGAACCGATCTAATGACTCTACCCTTTCAATCAATCGAATGCTATTTGGCTCATGTGCAACCAGTTGATGGTTTGTTGCAAAAAAAAATTGTTTATATTCGAAATCTATTTAAAAACTAAATCTATTCTATTCTATTCAAAAGCTTCTATAATAAAAGTTTTTCAGGAACTTCTCAATGGGGCGATGAAGCTTTCACCGTTTTTAAGAGCGCTTGCATGGGAAAGGTGAGCTTTTAATTGTTGTTGATGTGTTGATTTCAGTTTTCAGAATATTTCGAATATTGTCATTTGTATATTTGTCATTTTGAAATAATTCGATTTTAAGGTAATTGAAGCTCACATCATTGGGTATCATATCGACGATCGAGTGCCATTCGTTGAATTGAGCGCTCCAAACCACAATGGAAAGGTAATTGTAATTGTTTTACGTTTTTACAATACTACAGTTTATGGTTTATTTACCTAAATAAAACCCAATTCATTTTTTTCCATAATATTCGATTCTGGATTTTCTAAAAGGTGCGCTTTTTGAAAAGCTATTAAATACAATAATTAAAGCTTTAACTGACTAACATAATAAGAGAAAAAGTTTAGAAATTCAAATTCAAATCAAATTCAAATCAAATTCAAATCAAATTCAGAGCAAATTCATATCAAATTCAAATCAAATTCAAATCAAATTCAAATCAAATCAAATCAAATCAAATTCATATCAAATTCAGAGCAAATTCATATCAAATTCAAATCCTATTCAAATCCTATTCATATCAAATTCAAATCAAATTCAAATCAAATTCAAATTCATATCAAATTCAAATCAAATTCAAATCAAATCAAATCAAATCAAATTCAAATCAAATTCAAATTGAAGTAACGTTGCCAATTTCAGGTGGAACGGGTGGATGCCCTTTTGATGAAAGGTGGATTAGCCAAAGCCTCGGATCCATCCAAGGTGAAGATTTGTTGCAAAATGAAGAAAAAAAAAGGAAATAGCTTCTAGCTTAAATAGCTTAAAACAAAACCTTGAAAATTATATGAGCTTTTACAGATTTGCCGTCTTCAACCAAAAAATGTTAGCATCATTTGAAAATGTCTGAAAAGCCAAAAGGAAAAAAAAAGAATCCTCTTTCTCCGTTGCCAAATCCAAATACAAAAGTCAAGCTTTTTACAGGTGTTTTACCCATTTTTTTTAAAAATTTCTCCTCTTTTTGCATTTCTTTTCTTTTTTCTTTTTTTCTCTTTTCTCTTTTTCACACATGATCAAACGCTGTGATGGTTTAAAAAGTGTTTGCAAGAGTCTCTCTCATAGTTGTCGATGTTATAAGATTGTTATAAGATTTTCTTAATTAATTAATTCTTAATTTTCTCAAAGTATTGTTGCTCTGTTAGCTTTTTGCTTTGTTGTAGTCGATATCTTATATCTTATAGTCGATCTTATAGTGCTCTTGTTGCCGTTTTAAGCTATTAATCTTAAGCTATTAGTCTTAAGCTATTAGTCTTAAGCTATTAGTCTTAAGCTATTAGTCTTAAGCTATTAGTCTTAAGCTATTAATCTTAAGCTATTAGTCTTAAGCTATTAGTCTTAAGTATTAAGCTTTTAAAAAAATCCCTTATCGTACATTCCTGTAAACATTTCATTGTCAAAGGTTTTTCTCTTACTCTCAAAGATGGCCGATTCAATTGAGATCTTTTTGTGCAAGTTCAACGAATTATAGAGATCTATAGTGATCTATAGATCAACTAAAGAGATCGGCTTTTTCAATATCGATAGACTTTTACTATAAAAACATATCCAAAGCTTATTTTCTTCAAATACTGTATTCTCATTATGTCTCAAATTGAAAAGCTTTCTAAAACGTGCCCCAAAAAGAATACGGTATTCGTTTTCATTTCATGCTTTTTCATTTCACTTTCCGAAAAAAAGTTTTTAATGGCTTTAAAACTTTGCGCGTTTTCCTTTTCCTTCATTTATCCATTTATTCATTTATTCATTCATTCATTCATTCATTTATTCATTCATTTATTCATTCATTTATTCATTCATTTATTCATTCATTCATTTATTCATTCATTCAGTCCGGTCATTTTGATGTGCTGAAAAAAAGAATTCCTTTTACGGATAGTATTTTCTAAGCTTAAGTACTTTACTTTCCTATAAACTTGTTAGAAATATACCGTATTTCTTCGAATAGAAGACCGGGTAAAGAGTATCATTGTGTACTCCTGCGTAGCAGCCCTTTTTAAAATTTCTTTTCTGCATAAAAGCTTTCAATCAAGTGCTATAGAGCTGGAAAATGGCTCAAAAATCTGTTAGCTCATGTGGTATTTTTGAGCCATTTTCCAGCCCTATAGCACTTCATTGAAAGCTTTTATGCAGAAAAGAAATTTTAAAAAGGGCTGCTACGCAGGAGTACACGATCATACTCTTTACCCGGTCTTCTATTCGAAGAAATACGGTAAGTAAATGAGGATAGCTTTTTGTAGAGTGTCTAGGCATACCTTTTCGACGCAACGCTTGATTTTTTACTGTAGAAAAGACAAAAAGCTATAGATTCTCTAGTGTATTTAATAGAAAATCTATTTGCATGTGTTGTAAGTAAAGAAAATAGTTGCTTCTAGTTGTGAAATAGTTTTTGGCAGTGATAGTTTCAAAGCCGCTACCCATAGGTTTGATTGAAGTGTTTTCTAAAATATGCGCTCATAGTAAAGCTAAATTTGATTGAGTGCTTTCTATTCTTTTAACTTTTTGAATTATATTTTTAGCGCACTTTTTAGGCAGCTCGTCACTCAAAAGAATCAGTCTACCCATTTCCCTTCCACAAATTTTCTTCTCGGGGTTTTGTTTTGTTTTCTTTTTTCGTTTCCTATTCGTGTCTGTCAGTTTTGGGTCTATTCTATCAGCTCAGTGGCTTTTTTTTTTTCCTTTTCCTTATATATCCCTTAGTCCTTTTTCTTTATCAACACCGGTTACTGTTACTGTTTTCCTTTTTTTCTGTATAAAAAAAGTGTTTTTCATAGTCGGATTTTTCTCTTACAAACTGGTCCCTTTTCACATTATTTCCTTTCTTTATTTTAGAATGCTTCTTGATCAATAAATTTATTTTAGAAAGGTTTAAACTACAAAAACTACAAGCACTACAAGCACTACAACAGCTACATGTTTTTTTTCAAATTTGAAACTTAGAATTTAAAAAAACTTGGCTAACATCATAAAAAAATGATTTTTGTTTGATTTCCAAAAGAAACGAGGGTTTTTTGAGTTGTTTCCTTTTGGGAATCCTGTCTAACATTTAACTAATGAAAAACAAACGATTTTTCTCGTTCTGGGTACAAAAATGACCTAATCGAATCAAAGCATCATGAATTTTTATTTCCATTTTGCAATTTCAAATTAGAATCCATGATAATCCCAGTAGAGATATGGAAAAAAAATGGATTCCATTTTCGTTGCGCAAACGTGGCTTTTAAAATTTATATCTCAAGGTGATTAAGTTGAAAGTTATGAAGATTTAAAAAAAAACTGATTGTTTTCATTTATAGTTAAAGTATAAAAGTTTTCAACTATGAACATTCAATTTCAATTTTAAAATAAGAACGTTCAACTCTAAGTCTGGGATCACGATCGAGGGATCACCGACGAAAATTCTCGAAAAGCTTTTGAGGAGTTGGGGGGAAATTTTTGAGTGATGTTCGCGCGGAAGGAAGAAACAAAAGAAAAGCACATCATTTTTAAGTTATGACCGCCTCGATTTCCCGAGTCAAATTCTCCGATCAAATGTGAGCACTCCCAGAAACAAGCGACACCATTGCTAAAGTTTATTGTTTTTTTTTGCATGTGCTCAAAAATAAATCCTTTTTAGTTTTCGTTCATTTTTCTGATTTGCTCAATCGTTCGTTTACTTAGAAATTTAAAAATTTAAAACAAACGGCTTGTTGCACTTGATTCAAATTAGGATTTAAAAGCAAGTAGTATTAAGTAGTATGAAGTATTAAGTAGTAGCAAGTAGTATTAAGTAGTATGAAGTATTAAGTAGTGGCAAGTAGTATTAAGCAGGGTGTCTAAAAATTATTGCAAACAAAAATTTAAGGCAACAATTTTGTACATTAAAATTAAAGTAAATCGCATTATGACCGCCTCGATTTCCCGAGTCGAATTCTCCGATCAAATGTGAGCACTCTAAAAACAAGCGACACCATTGCTAAAGTTTATTCTTTGAGTCATGGATTGCTGAAGCTTTTTACCCAAACAATAGATTAATAAAGTTTATGTTTTAAAATAATCTCAACTGGTCTTCACACATTTATATGTAAACGCTTCAGAAATTTATCAACAGTTTCTTTTTTTTGTTTTATATAGTATCAAGTAAAATCTAAGTCTAAGCAAATCACAGCATTTCAATAAAACAATCGTCGTTCTTTTAGAGTAATTTTTTTAGAGATATCGACTGAATAGAATAATCCAAGGAGTTTAAATTAAGCAAATTTCAGAGGCTATCTTTCAGAGCCTTTCATCCGCTTTGAGCTGACTTTAAACTCAAATATCTTGACTCTCAATTGCTCGATTGAAATATATCGTTTTGGTATCGTTAGACTCGTCATGTCTTCAGCTGTTGATTGATATAAAAATGATTTCAATAGGAGCAACAGAGAAATCACGAGCAATAATAGTTGTTGCAATAATTTTGCTTGTCGATAGATTGAAGATTGTGAACTGTGAAAGGCAAGCATGTTTCATTTAGAGACGAAAGTTTCAAAGCCGTAGAAGAAATTATGGTTTTAAGGATGACAAACAAAATGGAACCAAAATGGAACCAAGTTTTCACAGTTTTTCGATCTTTTTTGAAAACTACGGTAAGGATGAGAGGTGTGAAAGCGATGGAATGAACGGGAAAACGAAATGAGTTTCCCCTCCGTTCTGATCTCACACCGATAAGCTTTCGGCATCGTTTACAAATCCACAAATCACCGTTCGCCGTTCTTTTGAAAGTTTTGTTTTGAGAAGAATGAGAAAAAGAGCTTTGCAAAGGGGGAAAGAGTGGGAATGAGAAGAATTCGAAAATATATGTGCGAGTCTTTCAAACCTAGATCCCGAGATCGTATTTTTTGAAGTTTAAGGATTCAGTACAAGGGCTGCTACGCTGTTTAAGGCTTTTATTTTATCTCTGGCCTTCTTCAAAGTCCTAGGGTTAACCCAGAGGCAAAGCCAGAGCCAGGTACAAGGCCAGACTCTTGGACAATCTTGGACTTGACTTCGTTTTTTGATTTCTCAATGAATGTATGCCCATGAAGAAAAATCCATTTCAATCCAAGTAAACTCGCGATTTTTCCAATCTTCATCGCTTTTTTATGGATCGGAAAGTGAAACGGTTTTTACGCAATAATTGCTGAGCATTGTATACGAGTCAGAAAGTTGACTAACCTCAACTTGACCTCAGAAAGTTGACTAACCGGTTCATTTCTTTCTTTCTTTCTTTCTTTCTTTCTCTCTATCTACCCTCAATTTTTATTCAAATATAATCGAGATTCACTTTTTGTTTCAAATTCGCTTTTCAAATTGTGTCCTTTTCGTTTACTTTAAATTAATTACTTTGTTAATTAATTACTTTGTTAATTAATTACTTTGTTAATCGTTTGGCAGAGATTTGAAAACGTTTGTGATATTTTTTTTTGGTGAAAAACAGGTAAAAGAAAAGAAATGGGCGGTTGTCTTTTATTTGAAAAATCAAGGAGAAAATTCGCGGTCTCATCAAAGAAACGTGCATAGTTTGCATAGAAATGGGGGTTGAGTGGAGGCTTGGAATGGGGGAAAATGGAGAAAGCACTAGATCAATCACCGCTTCACACATTTAAATTCAAATTTTCAATTATTCGAATCGGAATTTGTCTTGTTGAAAGTTAATGAAATGGTAGGTCAATAAAATGGTTTTTTTTTATGCTAAGCCGTTAGAATGATGGTTTAATTGAATTAGAATTACTTGAGGGTTTTCCTTGGCTCCCAAGATTACTTGGAGTCAAATGATTTTTTATGCTAAGCCGTTAGAATGATGGTTTACTTGAATTAGAATTACTTGAGGGTTTTCCTTG